TTCCATGGGCAGCAAAACCAGGTTATGACCGAATGACCTTGGCTTAGTAAGTATCATCCACGCTCGGGCTCCAAGACGAGGACTAAGGAAAGATGAGGGAGAGCCCGGTAGCGGCAGTGAATGAAATTGAGGTGCAGTCTCAATACCATGCCTCAATAACGAGCGTGTGGAATAAATAATAGAACGAGTATTAACCCGTGGGAGGGAGGCCAGCAAACTAGTTGCGCTGCAATAAACAAGGAAAAAGACAAACAAAACTTGACCGGTTCAACATTGACGATATTCGTGGTATGTTGTCGGAACGTTCAACTGCAGTAGCCCGGCCCTCGTTCTTTTTTGTGCGCCTTATGCGCCTTTCCACTTCAGTAAATGCCTGCATGGCCTGTCTGGACTGGAGCCAAAAAGAATTTCAGACAAAATGATAAGGTAAGTTCGGCCGGTCTTTTGTTGTTTGTTTGTTTGTTTCTTTGTTTGTTCCCTCGGGTTGGGCATGACGGAATCAGGATAGACACTAGAATGTGATGATGGTGGTGGTGGTGGTATGGTTGTACCGCCTCGTGATGATGACCATTTGGCGTGCGCCATGATCCCGGCAGGCACCGAGTGGTAAACTAGTTATTCTCTTTTCGAAGATATTGCCTGTCTGTGCGGGATATTGGTGTATGTATGTTCTTGATGTGCCTGGCTCATCAGAAAAGATTTCACTAGCCTGTTTGCTTATTGTGATGGGAGGGAAATAAAACATCGCCAGGGATCGGGGTCAATATATGGGTGACTGATCGGCCAAGAGAGCGCCATTCCGTCGCCGGTAGCTGTCTCATCCTCTCTCTATTGCGTGTGCGCCACGCTACAGCAAAACAACTGTGAAAGATACCGTCCATGACCGCTCGATTGCTCTGCCTCTTATTCGCTCGAGGAGAATGGCACCCGTAGCGATCATATCCATGCGCAGACCTGGGTTCTAATTCACGCCCTCTCGTCCTGGTTGCTTTACTCAGACCCCCACATAAACAATGGGGCTTGGCTAGGTTGTGGATGGACTCAACGGACTCCCCCGTGGCAGGGGCAACGCCTTGTAAGCTGTTGGATGAATATTGCGCATGTGGTAGTTGATAGGAATATCCTGAACGCTCGCTTCATCGTACAGATCAGAATGGGAGACACGTGCAGTGAGGTCAAGCGGCCGCGAGCGCGTAGTCCATCAGAGATGGCCTGCTTTCGTAGAGTTGAGATCGGTCCCTGGCGTGTCTCGGATGCGACCTTGACGACCTCGTGCTTATCTTCGACTGCGCCTCTCCATCGGTGCCACGGATCTTGATGTGATACCTGTCGCCTGAAACACTGTAACCTATACAGCAGGGTGTCGGTGGTCTCTGGCTAGGGGGCACAAATAAGCTAGGAGCTTCTTATCTGAGCAAGGCAGAAATAACCCCTGATCGCTGGCGAAAACCGCTTGGCCGTCTATCCGCCGGTTCAGCCGGTTCGGCCGGTTTGTGGGGAGTAGCGAACTGGTCACGATACTGGACTGCGTTTGGTCAGGCACAAGAGACCGGTAGACGCCGTAAGGCTTCTTCAGACTGTCATGAGTTAGCTCCATCCGTCCTTCGAGTAGTTCTAAGTAACTCAGACAAAATAGCGAGGCGAGCAAAGTAACCCAGTTTGGTGGCACTTCTCCCCGTCCCTGGAGCTTTCTACTCGGTCAGTTCAGAAACCACATCGTAGTGATGTTTCAAGGTTTCACCCACTGACGGGTCTCCCTGCCTGGAGAGAAGCAGCGTTGAGGCAGCTAGAAGGGCATGGCATGCCTGGTATGACGGATGAGCGGGACATGGACATGACCGTGGGACACATCGAGGATCACTCGGCTTGTGTCTCAACTCGGGCGATGATGGGCGACACGACGGACTGGACGACGTAATCTAGCAGGGCTCGGTTCTCGATGGGCATGCCAAGCCGGACTGTATTTTATTGAGTTAGGGCCATGATCAAGTCAAGGACGGGAGAGTAACGCGAGGGGAAAGGGCAACTGAACATGTCAGCAAGGGGTTACATAGCAGAGACTTGGTTAAAAGCAAATACAGGCCTTGCAATAATGAGAGGACTTGTGACTGACTATAACATAGGAACATACGTTTTAACCCAGGGTGAGGGAGATCTCCAGGTATTACCATCCTTTTATATATACATAACGTACTTCTGTCGCACACTCGCACACTCTCATACTTCCTCACTAGCGCTTACACATGACCTCTCTCTCCCTATCGCGTGAATTATCGCCTATACCTTTACTTAAAGAGGGCTATAAAACATGTGAACCCCCGGTGCTCAGCTCACCTGAAGTTATAAAATCCCAACTCACGAGCTGGGATCGGCCAGTCGCTTTTGCCCGCAATGACAGCAAATTATTCAAGCTCGAGCTGGGCCCGGCTTCTTGCTACCTTGGCGATAAACCCATAGGTCAATTTGACGCCGAAAACACCAGTGTGTGCGAGTCAACATCAATTCCGGCCACCACGACGGGGCAGTAGTAGGTCAGGATGTGGATCGGACTGGCTGCTGCTCGCTGTCATATCTCATGCTTATCGTCGATGTGAATATCTAACTTCAGTCATCAACACTTGTGTAAAAACACACTCCTTTAGAAGATTCCAAAAGTTGTGAGTGAGCGTACTTCTTATACCTAGCACGTGATGGGAAGTCAGATCTGCCAGCCTTCTCCAGCGGCTCCCTCGTCAGATTCGTCGGTTGTACCTTCTCTTCCGCTTCATGGCCGCCGCCTCGCAAGTTGGTGCCGGCCAGAACGGCTCCGTGAACACCGAATTGAAATAACAAGGCGCGGTGCTGGGTTTGGAGGCCACAGTCAATTTCTTAGGTTGTTGGGTCGGGTTGGAATTAGGTTAAGGGGGAATAGACGCTAGGGGGGGATAGACGCTTAGGAGAAAGGACCTGATATATTTTAGTGCCAAGGCAACAAGGGTCTATAGAACTGAAGCGTGTTCATGTGAGATATAGTAACAAAGGTGCGATAAGTGACAGGTTCGCCTTCGGCGTTAGGTTGTTTTGATTTCGGCAGCCATTGCTACTACAATGGTCATGAAATCACTCAAGGCAGTCATAATCACTCCATCGTGATCGTTGAATGGAGGCACCGCAGTAAGTCATGCTCCTTACCAAGGTTGTTAAAGGAGAAGAGTTGACGAGAATTTTCTTGGCGACAGTGCTCTAGCGTTGCCGAGGTGTCAAGCCGATTTGTTTAGTAACGGACAAGTGGTTCCACTTGCGCGCGGGAAATCTACAGCTTGCAACTCAAAGGTCCCGTACGATGCGAGTGTGTTTAGACGTTAGGCCTATTTTATAGCTGTTTGTCGAACGGATGTCCTGAAAGTAATGGGGTTGGGATTTCGACTCTCGAATCTATGAGAAGGGGATCTCCTGTTGTGTTAAGTTGACTCACGTTCCGATGTCGTAGTGAGTCATCTTACTATGGTAATGTGGTAGTGTGGTAGTAGCTTGCCGGGGTAATACAGATCCCCCCACGATTTGCCGAATCCTGGGTTACCTTCCCCAGAACGACCAACTCCATTTCACCACAATCGTCAAGTGTGTAAGTCATCATCAGGCCAGTCCAACTTAACGATGGTGGAGGTGGGGGCGTGGTCATTAGTCGTTCGAAAGGTGCGATTTCTCGTTTGGAGACCCTTCTGGAACCGTACGGGCTAATAGGATTTTGTGGTTCGGAAAGAGACTATGGTGAGATTGAGTTCTCTGCCATGTGAAAAGTTGCTGTGACATATCGATGCAGCGTATTCAAGTTGCAATTGCATGATCTGACGAGCCGACAGCGCTGACACCAGCTGGCCAATGTTTCAAAGTCGAGTGCATCCCAAGGTAGCATTGTGTGACAATCCGTGTAGAATCTCGATGCTGGGTATTGTCCGCGTCCCATGCGCTTTTCGTGTGAGGAGTATAGTGGACCCAAAGAAAGTCTTATTAGCGTAAGCGTAGGCACGTCTGCATTATCTGCTAACGAAGCTCCCTCCCTAGTGACATTCAGTTTCGTCACATACCAGGTTCTATTGGCCCCAGGTCCTTTTGCGGTGTGTTTAAAGTGGTTCTGGTAATTCGGACGTCTCGGAGAAAACAGCGCCAAGTCAGAAGCAAGCTTACTAGCGCTCACCATCGAAGGTGGTGGTGGTGGTGGTTCAGCCCAACTTTGGAAGGATGTCGGGATGCATAGGGCTTAAATTCCCAGAATCTGACCTTGGCAGGGTCCCAACTGCGGGTGACAGGTGTATTCTCAACATATTGTGTGTATATATGTGTGTGTGTGAGGGTGTGTGTGTCGTTTGGATGAGCTTGCCGCTTTGAGACGAGGTAGACTTGTTCACGACGTCAGTTTCACTTGACTCTTCACTCCGATTGCGAAAGTTTTAGCCGAGACCCGTGTTTTTCGTCCGACCGTCTGGAAGCTCAACGGCCCGCGGCTGTTAGAGCCAGGAATATCCCAACTTGAATGAGGCGGTCATGCATGCTCACCTTCCCCACAGTCAACAACGCGGGCGGGTAAAAACTCAAACGGTTCATCGACGTGTCTTTGTTCGCTTCCCGCATTGCTGCAGTGGATGGAGTTGGACAAACCTTGAATCGTCCCATCTGCGATCTCGTCTCGACTGAGTGCTGCGTCCTCTGATACAAGCGCTACCCCGGTAAAGGTTGTCCACTTGCATCTCCTCCACCCACTAGCTTCTTGCCCCCCCCTGCCCTACTGCTGGCATTTCATCTTATCAGCTTGTACGTGTCTTGGCTTGCAGACTTCTGGCCGTGAGTCTGCTGACCGGAAATACCCGGCACATCAGGCCGGCAGTCTGGAGGAACACTCAAATCTGCCCAAGTCCATTGATCTCGAAGAGACAGTGCTCGAGTCACCGCCAAACTTGCCCGCTTGCTGTTATTGACAAGACACGACGGGACCGGCATAATGGTTGCCACCCCGGAGAAACATGACCCTCGGAGTACAGATGTCGAGGCAGGGTTGCCTCACCATGAGGCAAGCCATCATGGAGGCTTGGCGTCAATTCTCAGAGTAGAGGACGGCATTGTATACAAGCCTGAACCCGAGAAGAATCCTAGGTGGTATCAGCGGTTGCTCGACGCAGGCATGGAAGAGAATGGGATCAAACCGGTGCCAATCGAGAAAAGAACCAACACCCGTTACAACAATCTCTTTACCGTCTTCTTCACAGGCCTGCTTTGTATTCTCCCACTTCCGACGGGTATGCTCGCGACCTTGGTGTTTGGAATGAGCCTGAGAGATGCGTCCTTGACTATATTGTTCTTCTCGTTGCTGTGTTGTATACCGCCGGCGTTCATGGGGTGTGGTGGATATCTCACAGGTCTCCGACAGCTGATCCAAGCTCGGTACTCCTGGGGGTTTGTAACGTCCATCCCTCCTGAATATTGGCTTGACTGACGTGGACCAAAGTTTCTACCTGGTGACAGTGCCACTACTCTTAAATGCTGCCACAATCACCGGGTTTACCCTCATAGCCTCTATTGTTGGCGGCCAAACGATCGCCGCCATAAATCCCGGCAATGTTAGTGTCAGCGTGGGCATCACCATAACCATCTTGATCAGTTTCATAGTATCCCTTCTGGGTTTTCGAGCACTTCATTCATGGGAACGGTGGAGCTGGATACCGAATCTGTTGGCCATCGTCGTCGCAGTTGGTTGCGGCGGCAAACACCTCTACCAACAAGCGAAAGTTGAGCCTGCCACGGCACCACAGATTGTTTCGTATGGTGGACTGATCGCCGGATATTTCCTGACGTTTGGTGGAACAACTTCGGATTACAGCGTTTATTACAGACCTGACGCTCCCAAGTAAGACCGTGTTTCTTTAGCTCAGAATTCTTCTCGTACGTACTAATATCGCGTACAGGATGAAGATCTTTACTTACATATATTTGGGCCTCCTCACGCCGTCAGTCCCGCTGCTCATCCTCGGTGAGTTGGCTGTGCCTTCATGAACTCTTGTGACCACCATAGTGATGCTAACAAACTGGCTTCAAGGCGCAGCAATGGGTGGTGCAGTACCTGTGGTAGAAGGATGGGCAGACGGGTATGATACCTACGGCGCGGGAGGTGTTCTAGCCGTCATGCTCGAGCCTGCAGGGGGATTTGGAAAGTTTATCCTGGTCCTTCTTGCTCTGACCGTGCTGGGAAACATCGCAATTTCTATGTATTCAGTCGCGCTGAATCTTCAGATGGTGTTGCCCGTCTTTACTAAGATCCCTCGGTATTTGTTCATTGTTGTGGTCATCGTCGTAATGATCCCCGTGGCAATTAAAGCTGCCGAGGACTGGGAAGAGTCATTGGAGAACTTTCTAGCATTGATTGGATACTGGGCAGGCTGCTTCGACGCTGTGTTTATTGAAGAGCTCGTGGTGTTTCGGAGGATGGACTTCTCGACATATGACCATGACATTTGGAATGTGGGTCGTAAGCTCCCGTCGGGAGTACCTGCTTTGGCTGCATCACTTCTCTCCATGGGATTGGTCGTCCCAGGAATGGCCGAAGCATGGTACACTGGGCCAATCGCCAAGACCACTGGCGACATAGGTTTCGAAATGGCCTTCTTCGTAACGGCCATATTATATTTTCCATTCCGCTGGTTGGAAATCAGATGGCGGGGTCATCTTTGAGCAGCCAGGCATAGGTACGTTCTTAGGGGTGGATTTGAAGATGCGGGTTCGGAGGACTAAAATGTACAGAAGCACATCATCGCATACCACATTCAACTGTGGGGAGCTGTTCGGGATGGATCGGATGCCAGCAATGGGAAGTGGACAATGAAAGTTAAGGGACTGGGGTTACACGAGGAGGAGCAATGGAGGATGAAACGGGCGGGAGTGAGCGGACTATGGGATCTCCCGAGATATGACTGTAATCCAGAAGGGAGTGCACTGGCTCTATTTGGCGAGTTTGCCGCACAGAACTACATCTTCCCCGAGTGGAATCCAGTGGGGTTCGGTAAGCCGAGCTGCGGCCACCGGTTGGCCGTCTGGTCCCATCCTTCGGGCGGGACACACGCACACGCTCCCCTGACCCAACCAGGTGGGGGCTATGGTTACAATAACGGAGCCAACATGCCCGGCGTTCTGCGGTTCAAGTAGTGAATTTATAACCTCGCCACCCCCTTCGACCATGATGCTGCGCAATCCCTGGGCTGCGATGACTTGCAGGATGTCGTCCCATTGGAACCGCTGTTTTGCCAAAGTAGCAGGGGGGAGGACGAGATACTTCCCCCCGAGCCCTTCAAGAAGTGCCTTCTGGCTCGCATGCGGTTCGCAGTTCGCAGTGATGATGAAAGGTGCCAAACCTCGTCCGGCTCTCGCCAGTCGCATCACCGTGCTCTCCGTCGAGAAATTCCAGCGCAGCGCTGGGTCGATGACGATGGGTCTGGGCTGGGAGGCAGCGCCGTCCAGACGGCAATTCAAGCCGGGATCGTCAGCTACGGCGGTACCCACACCGATGCAGATGGCATCGTGCCGGCTGCGAAGATAGTGGGTCATGGCCTTTGATGGGGAACCGGAAAGGGTCGTCCTGGTTCCCGGTGCCAGAGAAAGGCCAGAGTCCAAGGACGTGGCAAAGGTCAAGGTGACGAATGGGAGCAAAGACGTTGCCGCTGGCATTTCGACACGGTCAGGCCCCAGACGGGGCAGGTGAGGCTCAAGTTTGTTTGCCACATGGTCGGGAAACGTCAATGTTTGTTCAGACATTGTGTGGATAGAAGCCGGTGGGTGACAATAGCCTTAATGACTTGGGAGGCGGGGGGCCGGGTCGGAGTCAACGAGCTACCGGGCAATATGTCTAATTGCAGCAGAGGTTTATTTCTTGGTTTTTTTCCCCTGTTTTTCCTTTCCTTCCCAATTGGTGTAGAACCGAGGAGACGTGAAGCCGGTGAGGCAAGTGACAGCAAGGCAATCGAGGCAAGGAGGCAACTACTGGATGCAGTCAAGGATAATCTCGAAGGCCGGCAGGCAACAAATGCAAGCGGTGTCACAACCAGAATGTGAAAGTCCAATGGCAGTGGTCGACCTAGACGACTGGGGTAGTGGTATCGAAGACTCGAGGGATTTAATTGAGCATGATTTAGCTGGGTGTTGCACGAGGATGTGCAGTTGAATCTAGAGGTTGATAAAGGTAACAATGAGAGAGTGTGGTAGTGACCGGAAACTGCAAGCAAGGATCTAATCTTGGCGAATGAACACATTGTGGATCCCCGGTGTGGGAATTTTGGGGGAATTTTGGCCGGGCTAATGCACTAACATCCCCGTGTGAGACGCTCCCGAGGCTCGCCAGGGGAGGTTCATGTTGAGCAGTTTCCTGCACTGCACTAGCATTGGCTCCAGTGGCACAACTTCAACCGTCTTCTTGTGTTTTCTGCTCCCGTCACAACCAGTACAGCTTATGATGATCAGATTTTTTTGCAATATCCCAGCTCTTTTCCCTCGCGGGTGAAGACCCAAGAACCCAAGGGCGTAATGAAGCACCTAGGTTCCCGGCGTCAAATCCACCGTTGGCGGAAACCCCGTGGTTGCGATACGGGTTGTGCCAGCATTAACTGGCTGGATTGTGAATCTCATGCGTACACCACGCTACAGTCCATTATCCGCAGCAGACCCTGGCCGGTCCCGGCTATCTGGTTTCGCGCAACTCGGCTCAGGCAGCCCCAGTCTGTTACCACTTCGTCGTATACAACAACGCGTCGTGGGCAAAGCAAGCCATAATGCTCAACAAAAGAGTTGTGCTTGCTCACCATCTCCCTAACTTCCATAATCTTGATGAACAGAACAATCAAGTTCAGTATAGTGGGCTGGCATGACTTGGGAACAACTGCTTCCGCGGGCCCTTGTCTGCTCGAGTATTCTGCTATCCGTACCCAAGAATGCATGCCGGTGGAACCTGCGTCATGTCCGGCCCCCAAGTTGCAACACCAGACAGATCTTTTCATCCGTATCCGTCATCATCTGCCCATTTTTTTTTTTCGCTCCGAGGGCTAAATTTTCGAGTGGCACCCTCCGAAACTACACAAATTTGCCTTCACCCCGAGTGATAGACCTGTAGCCATGTACTTCAAGGGCATCGACACATATGCTCATCTGGTACAGAATACGCCGTCCTATTTCCTAGCTCTCGCGCTGGCAGTTAGTGGGCGATGTTGGGACGAGTATCGAGAGAATTTGACTCTAGTATATGCCCTCAGCCTCCGACCGATATCCTTCGATTGACACCCAATCGTGCTGTAACTGGAGGGTACAAGAGTCGAGTGTTGGTTCCACAGTGTTGAAATATCTGCTCAGATTGGTCGTCGACTGCTATGTGTCTTCCGATTAATTGCATGGTAGTTCGGTTTGACGTCCCGAATAATGACAAGATGGGGTCCGTTGTGCCTCTCGGCCGCCGTTACGCTTCCATCCTTGTCCTTGCCGGGCAAGTGCCGCCGGCAATATCTTCGAGGAAACTTTTAGTTCCAAGGTTCCGCTTGATGTGGGTTGAAGGCTTCATTCGCGGCTGCCCTTAATTGTAGTCAGCCATGTCGACTTTGGTACTATGGAGACGCTTGTCACCAAACACCGAACCCTGTAGAAGGGTCCAACAGATTGCAACTGCATCTTATATATCTAGCCTTTGGAGTCTCACACTACTATGGCCAATTCACTCTGCATCACGTCCTGGCCGGTGAATTCATGTATGCCCCTTAGTGTAACGAAGGCCACGCCAACTTCTGACAGTATCGAGAACTCTCATCACTATCTCTTCGTCAATGTCACTTTGTGTGAAGATTCAGGTACTAGTGCTACTGCTAGACCCATACGAGAGCCAGCATGGGATGCCTTCAAGAGCGGACGGCACAGACCACCTTTGGGGCGTGCAGTCAGTCAACCTTCATAACTAGGACGACCGGAAGAGACCCCTACAGATATCAGGTCGGGTTCGGGAACTTCTTCAACTCGGAAGCAGTGTGAGCAAGCCTTGCAGAGGCTATGTATCCCCGATCTCTGTAGGCCTCTTCTCTGACGTAACAAACAGCCCTGGCGTCATACCAGAAGCTCAAAACACGCCTCAGGTTTGCAAATACGGCTTGTATTCGGAGCAACTGACCAGCGAAGGATTCATTGCGCCCCGATCCACTGCGCAGCATGTCTGGTTTTACAGGATCCTTCCTGGTGTCGTCCAGGGAATAGCTACCAAGCTACCCCACAACCTAGATGTGAGTCTGACCACCCCACAGGACCTCATATCGAGTACGCATCAACTGACTCTTGAGCCAACCAGCTTGAGTCGAGATTCGCTACTGAGAATGGCAACGTGGAATTCGTCCCCCACGGTCTCTGCTGGCAACCCTTCCCGCTCCCGTCGGACAACGAACAAGTAGACTTTGTTCAAGGTCTCAAGACCATTGCTGGCAATGGCGATGCGACAACAAAGGAAGGTGTGGCCATACACATTTATACGGCAAACGTTTCAATGAGAAACCGAGCCTTCTGCAGTCATGATGGCGATATGCTGTTCCTACCTCAACAAGGAAGAATTGAAATCCAGACTGAGCTTGGAATGTGAGGGTCTCCCACAGGAACTAATGCACCTGTACTGACACTTCTAGGATGATGGTGCGACCAGGGGAGCTGGCTGTCATACAGGCCGGCATCAAGTTTAAAATCTCCCTCCCCGATGGCCCATCGAGAGGATGTGAGTATGCTTGAGTTATTTATTTATTCTTGGCAGGCTCTGACACCAATCAGATGTGCAAGAAATTTTTGGAACACACTACGAATTACCAGATATGGGACCGATAGGTACCAACGGAATGGCCCTTCCACGGAACTTCAAACACCCCGTGGCTTCGTTTGATAGGGATCTCTCCGAATGGGAAAGTAAGCACATCGCTGTACCAAAATCCTTTGGAGCGGGGCTGATACTATATAATAGTTGTCGTCAAGCTGGCCGGAAAGCTATGGTACAGTAAACAGAATCATACGCCATTCGATGTTGTTGCTTGGCACGGAAAGTAAGTCGCATCTCTTCTCGATATCTTGACAAGACATTTACACCAGTTAGTTGCGTGCCGTACAAGTACGGACTAGAGAATTTCATCAACACTGCGGTGGTGGACAGAGATCAGAGCGACCCATCGGTGTACACGGTTCTCACGGCCAAGTCGAAGATACCCAATGTCGCTATATCAGAACTCATGGCCTTCACTCCGAAATGGAACGTCAGCACCAACACATTTCGACCACCCGTAGGTAGCCCCCACCCAGCCTTGTGGGCCAGCGACATACTCACTGATAATCGTAGTACTATCATCGCAACATGGCTTGCGAGATAATGGGTCTCATATACGGACCATACTGTGGAAGCAGTCGAAAGCTTGCCGCTGGCGGGCTTTCGTACCAGTCGAGCTACACACCCCACGGCGAAACCTACGAGACTTACAAAAAGGCCACTGAAGCCGAGCTCAAGCCAGAAAGGGGCGGAGAGGGTGTCCTAGGTGAGAATGCATTTGGACAGTCGAAGTCACCTCGCTCACTGTTCATCGCACAGCATTTATGTTCCACATCCCAACGCATATTGGGTTGACCAAGTACGCTCTAGAGCGAAGCGGAGTACTGGATGGCAAGACCCAACGTTTTACTTTAGCCTTGTTCATATCGCCATGGTGTTGGGCTAACGTGGGCATTTCCAGAACCTGTGGGTCCTCTGTTCAACACGATGAAACCGAACTTCATGGACCATACGAGCGAGGTGAACGAAGACTTGACGAGAATGGGACTTCCTCCTTTAGGTACAAGTAGTTGGTGGCTGTAATTGCTCACCTGGGCGCTTCTATTACAAACCTAGACAGGGAAAGAGGGGCGAAGTGCTTGGAGCAATCATGGTTCGGTATTTTCTAGATACACAATCGTTGTACTGTATGCTGTGCTGGCCAGTTGGCACATGGTAACCGAGCCTGTTGCCAGATATTTGATGCTACTCAACAACATCTGCTTTGCACACTATGGTGGCACTGCAAATCAACTGTAAGCTATCGTGAGAATATAAGAAGACCCGTTCTATCGGTGGTCACGTCGTAGCCAGCGGCTGCACAACCCAGCCTACAACGAAAACGTGTGCAGGTGTCTGAAAATCCGGCCGGCTGCCGCAAGAGGGTGGTCGCGTTGGCTTCGAAGGGCACGTTCATCATCGCAACGAAAGTACGACGTACTTGTATGAAGTACTTCGCGATCTGGTCCGGAAGCCACCTGACAGCTTTTACGGGTGTGGTTTTTATAGGAGGCCACTACGCGCCAATGATAAGTGGTCACTTTTGCTTGTTGGTTTGGCTGTCTAATAACTGCCGGAGGGCAGTGGAGAACAGCGTAACAATAAACAGCATAACGAAATGGAACACACTAGAAAAACCCGATAACCCCGCGACATGAAAAAGTATAACATGAACTACACGTGCTGGTTACCTGGGAGCAATAACTATGGCTTTGTACCGAGTAACAGAGCTCTGTATGACGGATGTCCTCAGTACTTAAATAGACAATAATACATTGATGATGCCAAACTATACCCATTGAATAAAGCTGGTGTTGCTTTGAAAATTGATCAACCATCGAAGCAGAAGAAAAGGAACTACTAGAGGTGATTTGGAAGAAATCGTTTGCTTATGCTTAAGTTAGACGTTGTCGACTATAAGGTCTTATCGCTGGTTGCTCAGAGCCAGCCTTGAGCGAACGAACAATGGTTGAGGGTTTCGGAGCCGGCAACGGGATTTGACTTGGACGATTGGCTGACAATCTGCAGCCGAGTGAGGCAGTGCAAGCCACATTGATGATGTGGCGGAAACGTTCGCATCATCTCGTTGGCTCGCGCATCTTGAGACACAAATGGTTTGCGACTGGCTTAGAGTTGATCCTGACACATGAAGGCCACGGGAACGCGGATGAAGTATCCATCTGGCCAGATATCGATACGTCTTTGATCTTCGTTAGGTCGTTGGTAGAGGCCGTTTCTTGTTCCTATATTTCGTTTTTCGCCAAGCGAGCGCCTCCCCTATTTCCTTCTAGAGTAACGTACCAAGCTTCCACACTCAAACTATTGGCTTCTTGGCCAGCCTGAAGCTTAGCAAGCCTTCACAGCAGTAGTCTTCCGCCACGACCGTCGCACGTTCTGGCTTTTACTTCGCACCATTCATTTGTCTCGTAAACTCGGAGCTGTACTGCTGACACCCCCTCTCTTTGCGCCGGTAATCCGAAGAGGCCGTCCATCCAGCGATCTACTTCGCGTCTTCCATCTTCGCACCTCGACAATCGCCATTTGCGCTCCCTCACGATCCTACAACACCTGTCGGTTCTTCATCACGCAGCTTCGCCTATAAACCACACACCGTCGAAGTTCCTCAGAACCTGCATCAGAATGGCAGGCAAAGCCGACGAACCCCCCGCCTACACGAGCGGTCCCCAACCGCCACAAGCCGCCTACCAAGGCGTCTCGTACGGCCAGCCGCAACCCCAGCAGTACGGTACCCCACCACCTCAAGACGGAGGCTATTACCAACCGAATCCGAACATGGGGTACTACCAACAACAGCCACCACAAGGCGGATACCCCTACTCACCGCAACAACAACAAGGCGGATTCTATAACCAGCCGGGACCGTACGGACCGCAGCAGGGATACTACGGCCAGCCCCAGGGCGGATACTATCAAGATCGGAGATCGGGGCCCGGGTTTACCGAGGCGCTACTGGCAAGTTTGGCGTGTTGCTGTTGTTTGGATTGTTTGTTGTTTTAACGGATGTTGAGGTGTGTTTGGAGGCGTAAAAGTCGCAGGCTTAGGATATACGATAGGGAGGAAGTTCGCTGCGTCTTGTCAAGCGGATGAGGGAAGAGGAGATAGATGTTGGAGGGACAAGTTGGCATAATATCGCTGCATACATTTGTCCAGGGTTGGAAAAGCACCGAGGCGAACACTATCACCGAAAGCTTCATTGGACTCGGCGGCGCCTGGGATTCTTTTGTCGCCCGTCTGGAACGTTGGCTCGACCACCTGGCGTGTAGGATTAGTATGTACTATAGTTAACTTACTCTTATATCAGTACCGTTCTCCTTTGTTCACATGACATGGACTTTACGGGACGACGAACCAGTTGAGCAATACACTGTGTCAAAGTACCGTTTGAATACTAATAACTGTATGAGTCCTCGTGATCAACAATGTTTCACTAGTAACCCAATCCACCCGCTATGTAAGACCCGCATACAACTCATCAAATCTCTCAGCCGCGTCCTTCAAGCAATCATATTCATAAATCATCTTCTGCACATCAGGACTCGCCCACTTATCCGGCACAGGCTGCCCCTTCTCCTTAGCTGCCGCAAACTGCCTATCGCGCTCCTCCTTCGCCTTGCCCTCACCTAGATGCAGCGTCCTCCCCGAAAACGCCGCCAGGTCTACCAGCGTTGTCGTCCTGGGTTTCCGCAACAACTCGTACACCTTCAACGCCTTGGTCACGGCCTCGGGGTCGGAACCCCCGCCGGGCACACGGGTGATCACTTCAGCCAGCGTGGCCCCGTCCTCAATAGCCATAGCAGCGCCCTGGTTCAGATGCGGCAGTGTCGGATGACACGCATCCCCCACCAGAGCGACGCGGCCGTGCGTCCAGGTAGGCAACTCCTTGTGGCTGCGCAGCCGCCACTCGCAGACCTCGCCCTCGGGGACAAGGTCTAGCATGGTCTGCACAATGGGCGCGAAGTCGGCGTACACCTGCTTCATGACAACCTTGCTCCCTTTGGTGGTGTACATAGCGCTGGGCGCCGAGGCGAAGTTCTCGTCGGGCTGGCACGTCGACAGATTGTAGATGTTGTGACTGCTGATGGGATACGCGATGATGTGGCGCTTCTCGCCGATCCACCGCTTCACACCGTTGTCGTCGAGGAGCGCGAGGAGGTCGGGATAAGGGGACATTTCTTCCCGCGTTAGCATGATGCGGTAGGCGGCTTGGCCTGTGTCTTCCACTTCGGCGTCGAGCTTGAGCGCTTTCAGCATTGAGTAGCGCGTGGCGGATTTGATGCCGTCGGCACCGAGGAGGATATCGGTTTCCACCGTGTATGGGTCGCCCTGCCGCGGCTGGAGCGAGAACTTGACCTTTCCCGACTGGCCGAACTCTTCAACGCCCGCAAAGGTGACGCCGAAATTAAACCTGACGCTGTCTAATTTCTTGCAGGCATCGTACAGCCCACCGGCCAGGGAGGCGCGGTGCCCCGTGCAGTGGGGGAAGCCGTACTTCTGCTCGATGTCAGGCATGTCGACATGGGCGAGCTCCTGGTCGGTGGCGCCGTCGCGGATGCTGGCCGACTGGACGTTGGTCGCGTCTCGCTCGATGACGGAGCCCTTCCAGCAGTCGAGCCGGTCCAGCACCCGCACCAGGTTCGGCGCGATTTGAATCCCTGCCCCGACGAACCCCAAGTCCGCCGCGCTCTCGTATACGTTGATGTTCTTGAAGCCCTTCTTGCCGAAGGCGAGCGCGCATGCGAGGCCGCCCATGCCTGATTAGGAGACCGATTGTTAGCTCTCCAGTTTCGCTGTCATAATCAGTCAGAGTGGAATTGAAATATGGCTGGCTTACCGGCGCCTATGATGGATATCCTCAACTCCTTGACGTCTGCCATTTTTTCAGCTGGGGATAAAGATTGTCCGTTGTTAATGATTTCGATATACGGAGGAGACAGCTTCGTTCTTAGAGTCATCACCAGCTGAGGGGACCTATGCCATCATATATCCTCTTTCCAATTGATACGGCACATGGCAACGCATCAATGGCATCCGGTGTGGGGTTACGGCTGAGGTGTGAGTGGGTAGGGGTCGAGGATATTCCCAGACTGTCGCATCGGCAGTAGCCTCGCTCGTTGACTGGAACGAATAGCTCCAAATATCGACGCTTTCCCCAGCATTCTCGACCTCCTAACCATAGCACCGGGAAATCATTTTAACGACGACAAGCTGTTACGGCGCATTCAGGTGGAATAGCCACGATATGTCAAGCATTACGCTGGAAGATCGGGCTTCCTGTATTATTCCGTTGCGCCATTTGTTCTGTCACGCTCTTGACCGGGTTATAATTTCAACGACTGCGAAGAGGGAATAATACCCCTGTGGATTGCCCCAGAGAATGGCAAAAGGCTTCTGTCCGTTTCGGCCATTGTTTTGGAAACCGAGCAGTGGCGGGGCCCGCGGGGTAATACTAAGTATGCTCTGGAGGCGGGGCAATCAGCAGCGTTGTTCCACCAGGGCAATGAGTCGGTTTCTTTCCGAGGGCGCGTTGGGGTCGAAATGACCAGAGCTAATAGTAAGTTGTCACACTACCGGCTCTCGTAATCGTCACCCTGTTTTGCAGACCGCTTACATCTGATCCAACTACATGACCACGGACCCTTGACTTCCCGTTAGCCTTATGTACCATAGAAAGCACGTCATACCCTACGCATATCACAATGGCAGCCCCTGAAGCACCCCTCATCACCGTTCTCGGCTCCCTCAACATCGACCTAGTCTCCTACGTCCCCCACCATCCGCTACCAGGCGAGACGCTGACAGCAACCTCCTTCGCCGTCTCCCCCGGCGGCAAAGGTGCCAACCAAGCCGTCGCCTGCGCCAAGCTATCCCGGTCCCGCGACCATGTCCACCAGTCGGAAACCGCACACATACGCATGGTCGGCGCCGTAGGCAGCGATACGTACGGCTCTCTTTTACGGTCCAACCTAACCGCACACGGGGTCGACGCTTCGGGCGTGTTGGTGCGAGAGGAAGTAGGGTCCAAGACGGGCATTGCTCTGATCGTCGTCGACGAGCCAACGGGACAGAACCGCATCATCCTATCCCCTGAGGCGAACCACTCGCTTCTTCCCGAGCAATTTGCGACACTGCCGGGGCCAAAGCCGGATTTGCTAATTATGCAGCTCGAGATCCCGCTCGAGACGGTGTTGCAGGCATTGCGGGCGGCGCGGGAGGCTGGGGTTGCAGTGCTGCTTAACCCGGCGCCAGCGGTAATGTTACCCGATTCTGCCTACGAGGGGCTGGCGCATCTAGTGGTCAATGAGACGGAAGCGGCGACGCTGGGCGGCGTCAAGGAGGAGGAGCTGGAGAGCGAGGCTGGGTTGGTGGCTGTGGCGAAGGGATTCTTGGCCAAGGGGGTGCACAATGTGATCGTGACGTTGGGGGGCAGGGGTGTGTTCTACATGAATAACATGGGGAAACAAGGACTCGTGCCGCCTGAGAAGGCGAAGGTTGTCGACACAACTGCGGCTGGTGACACGTTTGTTGGGTCGTATGCGCTGGAGTTTGTATCGGCAAAGGCGGCGTTTAATATTGCGGGTGCGGTGCAGAGGTCCAACAAGGCTGCTGCGAAGACGGTGGAGAAGCTTGGTGCTCAAGATTCCATACCATGGCGAGACGAGTTGTGATGGGGATAAAAAGTGGCTGACGAAGAGGATTGTGACCGGCGAAAGGTGTGACAAGTGATCCAATGGTTGGACCTAATATACCCAAAAGAGAAAGTAGAATCGTAGCCATCTACTACCAATGGCGCCATGAATGGTACTCTCGTACCCCTCAATATGCAGACCCCGGGATAACTATCACGAAAGCCGCGGTCCTATATCTGCGTGCTCTGGATCGATCGAGACTGTTATCTGCGGCGGCCCGCGATGTCCAGAAAACGTTGTATAAACTTTTTTTCTATCGAGCAACTGACAGGCTCAGCCTTTGGATTCTCGTCCCTCAAGAAGAACCTCGACAGTGCATCTAAGCATGTTGATGACGACCCCGAGCACCAGTTCGTGCCTTTCAAACCGAACCTGTCCAACCTTCACGGAGTCCAAAAAACGACAAGGCATCATGTCTACCTGCCAAGCCTTCCCTCGATCTTAGCCTTCTCCTGAGCCCGGAGCTCAGCCACCTCCTCCTTCGAAGCATTATACGTTGCCGCAACCTGGTTGAACGGATTCTCCGGCGACTTCTCGAACTCCTTCCTAATCCTCTCCTTCCTCTGATTCAGCCTCAACCCAGCACCACTGCCATCCGTGTCCATCTCATCCAGCCGTCTCTCTTCAAACGCAGCATATGCAGCCTTAAATCTCCGCTCGGGGTGCTTCTCGACCTTGTCCTGTGAATTGCCCGCCACGCCCAGGGCGTCGAGCGCGTTGTCGATACCCGATGCATTAAGAGCAGGGAGCGATTCGTCGAGCTGCGAGAGATCGAGGGTGCCCCTCCCGGACGTCTTCTTCTGCGCGCTCTTCGCGTTCTTGGGCGCGTTACGACTCGGCAGACTCTTCTCCTCTTCGGCTAGGGCGGCTTCGCGTTCGGCTTTCTTCCGGGCTTGTTCCGCCTTTTTGGCTGCTTCGGCTTCCCTATGGATGTTTGTCAGTACCGTTTGCTCGAGGGTGGTAGCTGCGCAAATAAGAACTCACTTCTTCGCGTTGCTCTTGGAGCCCTTGGACCACTCAGCATCCTCTGATGCTGCCTTCTTGGCGTCCTCAACGGCAGCCTTTTGGGCAGCGGCTTCGGCCTTTTTGGCGTTCCCCGATGCCTTCTTGGTGTTCTCTCCCTTTTTGCCCGCCATGTTGCACGTTCTAGTGTTGAGCTTTCGGGTTCCTTCCGAGTGAAGATGATCGCAGTGGGGTGATGCGGGGTTCGAGCTCGCAAGTGAAGAAAATGAGGTTCTTGCCTGTGATGAGCAGGGGTAAGACTCTTGTAGGTACTAGACTTGCAACCTATATATAAGATGGACTGCGCCGCAAGTGCTGGAAGTTTGCGCAGTGGAGGCAGCGTGGTCGATGGATGAAAACTGCCAGATGTGGAAGGCTGATTTTCTGCGTCATATGGCCGGTTCCGGATGTAAGTCACGGCAGTCCAGTGGTAGAGGTACTGAACAAGCCCGATACAGCAAGAGCTAGCTACATGCACCTTTAATAAACTGAACGCCTAATGAGACCTTGAGTTTTAATAACTAATAATTTGGTGTTAATTCCAAAATTTCGGAGTTACAAGGTGCCCTCGTGATACTAATTAGAAATTTCAAGTTGATCGCTGTACAAGTACTTGAACTACCATAGTAGCTCTGGCCCAGTTGTTCATGACCCCGCTATTGATAACACCTGATGCCTCTAAATAGTGACGGGCAAGTAGATCACAACATTGAAAACAAAGGGCACAACAGAGTGGAATAGTGTAGAAGGAGAAAGAATCGTCCGGTATTTCAGTGCGGTAGATCAGGTTTGACCTGACTATTACACCTGGGGGCTGCTCGATATGCAGTCTATTTTGTCAACTGCTTTGGCGGGCGACCGGAAGCTGTCTCGTCGGACAAGGGTCTTGAGTTCACCGTGTTGGGCCTAGCAGTCCGGAGCTATCTGGGTTAGGTACGCGACTTGACGCATTGAATTCCAGCATATCGAGTGTCTCAACTTTCTGAGGGTCCGACATCCTACCACCCACCTCTAATTGCCTTTAAATTTACCTACCGCCATGTGGTCATTTTCGAATACTCAAAATTAGTAGACATCTTCAATCCCACTGACCTAGGCGTTCTGCATCAAAACACCATGGCATCGTTAACGCTGAGCGGTCTGCCAGCTCTGAGAAGGCAGCACCTCCTGGTCGAGTTGTAAGTTGCCCCATATATACCTCGGATAATGGTCAGAGCTGAGACTGGTAGTGCCGGGCTCAAACAAGTCTGCCCTGAAGGCGTCTTCGTCACTCTAAGCCCAGGAGATCCGACTTTGTGGTCAGGAGTCCTGTTCGTCCGTGATGGTGGGTACTTGCCCAACCGTGCCACCAGAAACTATCTAATGGATTTGTCAGGACCATACGCGCCAGCTGTTCTGCGCTTCCAAATATCATTCCCTGACTCCTATCCAAGACTGCCTCCCTTGGTCACTTTCTCAACGGATATGTTCCATCCTCTCATCACTCCCTTAACTACCTACATGCACTCGACCGACGTCCAGGACGATGGGACAGTCAGCGCAACGGACGAGGAGCGACTACCTCCCGGTGGCTTTACTCTTCGCCATGGATTTCCCGAGTGGTTTGGTAGAGGTAGCAGGAATACCAGCAGGCAGTCAAGTGGACAGCATCAGCCAGTGCAAACGCCCCCACGACAACCCCGGTTATCAGTGAGTAGTAAAGGCACGCCTACATCGAAGGGTTCTGCAGTTGGGAACTCTCCAGGATTTGCCGAGACACAAACGAAAGAAATCTCCACCTTTGAGGTGCTTCGTTACATTCGCAGCACATTTGACGACGAAAATGTGCTGGACTCCATCCCAGTCGAAGCGGCGGGAAATTCGGGGGCATGGCATGCATGGCGTACGCATCGTCAAGATCAAGGCAAGGTGTTTGAAGGTGCATCCGAGGCACCTGATGCGGGAGACACGAAGGAACCTCCAGGACAGAATGAATCTGGGATGCCTTCTGGGGTGAGAAAACCTGGAGAATGGAACTGGGAAGGTGTTTGGGAAGAGCGGGTGAAAAAGGGGGTTGCTGCCAGTCTATCGGAGGCTGTGTTGTATGGTGGTGCTGCAGGAGGAGGAGGAGGAGACGATGTGGTGAGTCGCATCAAAAACTGACTTATTTGACTGTTCGCTCATTCTTCCCTCAGATTCGTTTCTCAAATATGGAAGATGATGACATCGAAGCCGTCAAGGACAACCTGTTGCGGGCTATTGCGCATTAAGTTACGGTCTCTCCATCGCTGTTTTCCAGTCGAAGAGTTGTTGGCAAACTGTTAACAAAATAAATGGCGCATTCAGGTAGAATAACTAGATTATACCGGGATTGCTACACTGGAATACAGAGCCCCTCCTATACATTATTCCACGCTATTTCACCCTTCTCCGCCGTCTATTTCGTCACCTCCTTGGGTTGCTCTTTCCAGAGCGCATTGGGTTGCCATGGTCGTAGTTCTCTCAGACGACACCCGGGCGATTCTGGCCTCGGGAGAACCCCAAACCACCCATTTTTGTATCCGCTCTATCGTTCTTACAGATCAAGAATCAGTCAACAATAGCACCTACATATGGCTACAACAAATACCGAACTGCATCCAGGGATCATTGTTGCTGTCGCCCTGATTCCGACCGTCCTCGTGGTGATTTTAGTGCTCACCATCCTTCGGGGCTTCGACTTGATACCCAGTTTTTCCACCTGTTTTCGAAGACTCTGGGTCAAGGGCTGCAAACGACCATCGCAGGACGAACCAATTGGGCCCTCGTACTCACAAGATTCCCTTAGTAGCATTTCAACGGCTAAGAGCCACTTCATAGGCCAGATCAGGGAGTCTCCGTTGGCAGCACCCCCTCGAATTCAAATAGTCGACTATGGAAGCCTACCACCCCTCACCGCTGCAGGTCGTCAAGACAAACTCGGCTAAAGCAACGGCCAACGGCAGTCCGCAAAGAAGTCTCAGCACGGGGACTGACGAGAGCTCCGGGAGCGCACCCGAGCAACCAGGTTCGAGTCGACAACTGACTGTTGTCAAGAAGCGGGCAAACAGGACCAGCCAACTATACGGAAGTGGAGACAGTGAGGGGGGCAGCTTTGGATCGATCAGCTCAAGGATTTTCACGCCAGAAAGAGGTAAGCTCTCTACTTCATATATCTCGATAGACATGACTGACTGGTGAAGCAGCCGCAACCCCTTTTGCGGACATTACAACCCCTAAACCTGGTCAGCCACCGACCTCGAGAAGGACATCTAGCTACAACTTGCCTCGGACACTGACTCCAAATCTGCTCACGCGACTCCGATCTTTCTCCAATGGGCGTATCCTGTCTAACAAAACTTCCAAAGCGACTTGTCGCCACTATGACATCCGGGATCGTGACTCGAGTGGATTGTCCGGGTCACCTCGATGCTCAGACTCGGTTTCTTCAGAAAACAGCGTTGGAGACTACGACTACACCAGTAGCAGCACCTCCTCAGGATCTTATGACCCAGAACCGTTCCTACCACTGGGTTTTGATGGTTTTGCTACCAACCCTTACCGCCTGCCGAGCAACTCGCTTTCGTCGATACGAGAGTCTGACGGGTCTATACTTGATCCATACTTACTGGTGCCACACATTGCAATTACGCCTGAGACGAAGATACTCGAGGATGGTGAGACCACACTCTGGGCAGCAATCGAAATATCTGGTCAGCTCTGTCGCCCACACGCCGTTGATCATTCCAGGGGAATCACAAACGCCAACCATAGCGGCCAGTGCTTTCTCCCAGTTCATCATTGTGAAGCAGGACTCTCAAGATATGGATATCTATATGATGTAACGGTAGAGATATTTCCAAGAGCAGAAAGTGTTATTGTCGATTTAGTGAATGATGGTTCGACAAGGTTGGTGTGATGAGCCTCAGACGACGAGCGACACGAATGCTGACTTGTGATCAGGGACATTAGTCCTGGCTCCAGCCTGCTCACTTTAGCACACGTCCGTCTCAATGCTGCTCAGCCTCCTCAGGCCAACAAAAGCTCGACTAGTTTGTCAGATGATCTCTTTGCTGACCTCGAATATCAACTTGGGAGTACCCGAACGGAGTATATGAAAGTTCGTGTGTCATACTGCCACTCTGGGTTTCCGGCATTCAAGAACACGTCTTCGCAAGAGAGCGGTTCAACATGTCAAACACGACTAGAGACAACATCAATCGGTGTGATCAAACGGCACAATCCAGCATCGGAATGGTCTCCACGTCCGACACCATCGCCAGTGTCGAATTCTTTATTCGCTATTATTGCTTCTCACTGGGGTCCGATCCGCGCCAACGACACCATGTACAGGATTGTGACGACGTGGTCAACCCCTCGAAAGGTAGCCAATGCTATAAACCGCAAGGTTGACAGAAGCGAGGACACTATCAAACCGCCCGATCGCACAGGGACTGCACCACCACTAATCGTACCAAGGAGGAAGACGAGCCTCAGAAAGGCCTCGACAGATCTGGGGACTGACATGGACCCAGCAAGGAAGATCTGGACACAAATGAGACGGACCTCGTCTGGAAGCCGCCCAGCATACTTCGTCAGTAGGGTCAACCGGATTCCTGGATCCTCCACAGACTCATCAATGCTTAGTCCTCAGAGGACTGATTTGAAATCGGACGTTGAGCGGCAACGAGATTTGATTCGAGAAATGGCACTTCATAATAAGAGATCGATAGGTGCTGACAGCCTTCGGAGCCTGGTCCCGTCTCCGGTCGATCTGGGCTTGGATGACAAGAGAGAAACGACCAATAGCGAGGAAAGCAACAGCATGGCATCCAATGGAAATAAGAGAGAAGGGCGGTGGAGTCTCAACCAATGGTGGTGATGGCTGTGTATGGAAAGTATGAGTCGCTGCTTGTTTGGTCAATTGACTCCGAGCAGGCAGATACAGGACCGTGGCTTTGGTGGTGGTTATCCGTGGATCTACATATTGAGGGAGTATTGAGGGAGTAGGAGAACAATAGGAATAAAGTTGTTGATTGAAAATCTGAACATCGACTGCCACACAGACTTCTGAATGGAGAGTGCATTGAGTATTCGAGTATTCCAATCGACTGCTTTAACTATGTTTGAGTGGTACAGCGTGCTGCAAGAGCGGAACTTGCCAAACAGCTTTTGCGTTAGATAATGATATGTTAGACATATGGGGTCTGGCTGAGCTAGGTCGTTCCGCCCAATTACAGCCATAGTAAAAATAACCAAGTGAAACGGTGACTATAAACAAGGTACTACACTTTTGAAGCGAGACGGCTATCAATATCAACATCCGCTGTATTAGCGGCGAACTGTATCCTCAGGTTAGAGATATTAGCGGAAGAAGCGTTCTGTACCCTTGCCCCTGCATTGTTAATCTTATTCATCGCACCAAATTATACACATCTTCTCCAGCTTAGTGGTTTATACCCGGCGCGATGGATCGAGAGCGCTCTGAGAAGAATATTTCAGAACACGAAGATCTGCATACCAACCTTAAGGATCGAACAACCTTGGACTTACCTCTTCGTTAACTTCATTATAATTGGAGGAACGGGATATAGCTGCCTCAAACCCCAGGCCTACGACTTATTTAAGACACAGGAGGTGTTATGCAACCTTAAGAATACACCTAGATAGCGCCTTCTAGTGAATTTCCGAAGATAGTCTCTAAGCGCCATCTAACCTAGTATACCAACGTAGTATGGTAGTGAACGCAACGCAGTCGCCAATAGGGCGAACCGACGACGCAGCGTATGTATTTAGTCCAGCCATTAGGGCACGGTTTGACATACGGGAGTACTAGCAGAGGTACCGGGGGCTTCGAGCCTACGGCGTATTTAATAATAATAATAATAATATTATTATTATCGGAGACGATCGGTTAAAGTATAAAAAGCTATAGTAGGACATGACTAGGCTTATTATTATCCTTATATAAAGTACTATAGTTTATAGAAGCTACACTATAAGAAAGAATTAACAGCTGTGAGCTTCCGATCACTTCGTACAGTACATTTGGGAGGATGGATCAATTGAAGCTAGATAATAGCTCTGAGTGAATGTACACAGTCCCTATACAGGTTATCCCCCGCGTTTCAGCACAGAAGGAGCCCGGATTGTGGCCCGGATACCCGTAGAAACAAATGCACTACTGTAACGACCATAGAAATACTGATAATAGGCCTGTTATACTTATTAACTGTCGGCTGGTGTAGTTGGTCACTTCGCTGGTAGATAAGTCCCGATTTGAGCCTCGCCCACTTGGGTCGGTGACGAGTCGCGGGTTCGAATCCCGCAGCTGACACACAAGGGGGTTTAGTCAACCCTTACGGCGCGCTGCCCACCTTGTTGACTTCGCCTACCTAGCGATAATAGGGAGATTGGTGCAGTTTAGGATTACGAGCATCCTAGCCAGTCGACCGTCAAGCACTACGTCGGCGGAATATAACTCGACAGCCGGTCCAGAATTCGAATCGTTAATCCGACCCCTTATCGGACCTCGCCTTTCCGATAACGCTCGTCGGCGAACCCGTCCCCTCACGATAGAAGGCGCGCAGCACGCCCTCTCGCCGCGATTCTTGCGAGCGTCTGACCACGTTACGGTCTATCCACTTGAGCGTATGGTTGAGATGTATACGCTCGACGAGAACCCCAATTAGCAGATACTACGACTTGTCGCGACAAAAAAATAGTCGAGCATCTTCTGCACATCAGCAGCATCCCACCCCTGAGGACGAATTTAAGTGCCACATTACCACACTTATCGGTAGTTCAGGCAGGGGTTGTAGCACAGACTTAGGGAGGGACAGGAGGTTTAGTAGTCGTTTGGCTACAAGTTTACCTGTATAACCGCCCGACGCGGCTTAAGGGCCCGCTATATCATCTATAGCCCCTTAAGGGAGTACTTGTAGAGGTACCGAGGGTTAACACCTACGGCGTATTTAATATTATTTACTTATTAACTGTGGGATTGAGCGCGCGCCAAGGGGTCAAACCCTTCCCCGTAGATAAAATAGCTACATAGAACAGCAGAGACACATAACAATCAAGACAGGATCGCCAGAGTCATGAATAGAGGATTGAATCCCTCATTAACTACTAAGTTTTCTCCTTATTACTTATACATCAAATTATCATTGTTATCGGAACGCCTGTTTGTAAGTATCCGACGCTCGATATGACTACTGATCTATGTATGTAGTTGTTTAAGAGCCGTACTCATGCTATTATAGCACCGTAGCCTAGCCACGAATCCAACAGGTACTAACTATCTAATTGGTATGTGCTTCCCTCAAGCCTTAAGAACCGCGGTGGCGATTACGGCTACATAGCGCTTCAGGGGGGCACGGCCATATAGCTCATATCCACTGGACTATAGCACGCTCTTGCTCTATCTAGTATTAATCGCTGCAGTAATACGGCGCCGTTGAGGTACGGCGAGAGGTTCGGAGGGTGGATAGCGCAGCGTACGGCCGCAGCGACTTGTGCATTGGCTTTGTTAGCTAATGAAATAGCGCGCGCAATATGCTGCTCAAACCAGTAGGGGCCTTGTCTGCTTCCATTGCCTCGTAAGATGCGGTTGTGAAGAAATTGAAGGTGGTTGTGTTAAAGGGGGGCAATTTCAACGAGCGGCTTGAGCGGGCTTTAAGTCAGCTCGGCAAGCCTCGGCTAGCAATCCATTGTTGCCCATTATTCCGCCGTGTTCCTACGCCATGATAATCAACGAAGTAAGGCACGGTTTCTCCAATTTGCAGCGAAGTTGAACCCTGGCCCGGCCTAGGGTAGTGCTCCATAAAATCGCTCCTCAGATATTGCCGGGGCCATTACCGATGAATACCACACAAAGCACCAACAGGTGCGTCGCGATTTCCAATCTGGCCAAGGCGATGACGGACGGTAGTTAAAGATCAGATCACAACCCACCCCGGCCACACAAGTGACTTGCGAGTCATTTTGTGTCAGAAGAGGGAATGCCATCGACGCTCGACACCACACATCATGCCTCCGTGTCTGAGATATTCTCTCCACGAGAAGGTCACGCGAACAGCATCGACGGCAGGATGGATGGTGGCGCTGTCGTCAAGAAGGCTGGAAGTGCCGCTGAAGGCGGCAGCAACATGGCAGGGACAGAGTCGAGCGTTACTGAAGAGGATGCGCCGGTAGCAAGGGCGAAGAAACAGCCCGACAAGCACAGTTTCGATTATATCTGGCGCTCCTTTGTTGCGGGTGGTCTTGCAGGGTGTGCTGTACGTTAATTTTGTATCCCACTCTCTCGCTATTTACATACACACAACCAATACTGACAAGATATGTGCATATAGGCCAAGACCACCGTTGCGCCACTCGACCGCGTCAAGATTCTTTTCCAAACCAGCAACCCGCAATTCGCCAAATATCAAGGCTCATGGGTGGGCGTCGCGCGGGCCATGCACGACATCTACGGCCGGGACGGCGTAATGGGCCTCTTCCGGGGACACTCCGCGACACTCCTCAAGATTTACCCCTACGCCGCCATCAAGTTCGTGGCGTACGAGCAATACCGCGCCCTGCTGATTGGCTCCAAACAACACCACGAAACGTGGATCCGGCGCTTCTCAGCCGGCGCGCAAGCCGGCGTCACGTCCGTCTTTTTTACGTACCCGCTCGAAGTCATCCGCGTGCGTCTGGCGTTCGAGACAAAGCATAGGAGCTCGTCGCTCGCAGACATATGCAAGAAGATCTACGGCGAACACCCCTTGCCGAAACCGCAACCACACACGGCGGCGGCGGCGGCGACGACGACGGTGGAAGCCGTGGTACCGCGGTCTGGCCTGGTCAATTTTTATAGAGGCTTCTCGACGACGCTGCTGGGCATGGTGCCATATGCGGGCATGTCGTTCCTCACACACGACACGGCGGGTGACTTGTTCCGAGGGCCTTCGATCCGGAAATACACCACTCTCCCCAAACCTGCCAACTCACCTCCTGACAAGCCAGCACCGCTGAAAGCATGGGCCGAGCTCGTGGCAGGAGGCATTTCCGGCGCCGTGTCCCAGACGGTCTCGTACCCCCTCGAAGTCATCAGGCGGCGAATGCAAGTCGGCGGCGCCGTTGGGGACGGACACCGCCTGCGCATAGGAGAGACGGTCGGTTTGATCTTCAAGGAGCGTGGCATCCCGGGCTTCTTCGTCGGGCTGACCATAGGCTACGTGAAGGTGGTGCCCATGGTGGCCGTGAGTTTCTATACTTATGAGAGGATGAAGACATTGTTCGGTATATAGACATGGAACACATACTAGATGGAGGGGAAAGAATGTGGAGTAAGGCGTTTTTTTGGTATACCTTGGGTAAAACAGCATCAGGGATTTGGGGGAGAGGGATTGTACAGCACTATTGTCATGATCATCGTCCACGTTGGCCAAATATGTAGGCTACCTATACTCTTGTCACATTAAGCGAAAACAATTAAGTTGACTGTCTCATGGGCCATAAGATGTGCAAATCTTACAGTCAGTCTACTCATACCAAATTGAGGACAACTCATAGCATCGCAGGTCGCTTACTCACCTTCACCCGCAACTATCGTGCTCTCCAGTCCCACTGACTCACTCAACTTATCCACAACCATCCAGTTCAAACAGATCCATACTGCTGCGACGGAATATTCCTTGTAAGTTATTTTCGTCCCAAATCCATTTTTATCATCGAGCCACTGCAAATTATGTTCTTCGTCTACGGGACGAGCAGCGTTCCCTCTCCGTACTAATTATCACTCTGACCGCAAACTTACTGCCTTCGGTCACTCAGTATCCGAGCATGAGCATGAGCATGAGCATGAGCAAGCAGCTAGTAATTCGGTTGCAAAAGTCATCCGTTCCCCTCTCACATGTTATGTTCACTTACTGTGTTAGTTCTCTCCACCGCTATTTGGCCGATTGAAAGACCAGAAACGTCGTGAGCACAGCTCGCAGTCTGATGGTCATCCCTGATTTACCCAACCGAGATGTGGTGTGCAGTAGCATTCTATTCTCTGCGAGCAAATCACCCAAAGCTAATCATAAATGCGGTAGTAGAACGTCGTTCTGACAAAATAAAATTGTCTGTATATTCAACTGCAAGCTATAGGCATTATGTGATGAACTACTGCGGGCTGCACCACATAGTTCTGTTTGTTAATTTGTTCTATTTGAATTCCAAACTGGGACGATTCCTCCCAACGCCTCTCAGGATTCCTACCAAATATTACGCCAGGGGAATATGCGTCCGAAAAACTTTGCCAAGGCAGATGCCGTCCGTCCATCCGTTTCGATCCATTAGGTCATGTCCCCCGTTCCCAGCCAAGTATCATTAGTCTGCCTTGATAGCACTACATTCCAACCCCCGTTAGTCAAAACTCACGAGAAAGATATGTGATGAAGGAAAGACAATAAACGTACCCATATATCCTCCTAACAAAAGCATACGCCGTCAAAAACCCCACGGTGCCCGTCAAAAGCCCATATACACAACACGCCATGAAGCTGTAGCTGAAGAAGAGCATCGAGCTCACGAACCCGGATATGTGCAGTTTCACAAAGTAGTACCAAACACAATAGAGAAAAACCCAGACGGCGCTGCCGCCGCCAACGAAGAAGGACTGCCACCACCAGTGGTAGTTCTCGGAGCAGAGCTGGATGTAGACAGTCACGACGGTGACCTCGGCAATGGTTAATATAAGGATGACCGACACCACGGCCAAGAATCCGAAAACGTAGTAGTATCCGCTCTTGTCTTGCCACACCGACTGGAAGACGAATAAGAGCTCGATGAAGATGACGGCAAAGGGGATGAGCCCAGCGAGCAGGATCGACTGCAGGCTCTGGATGTACCACGCTTGCCGCGGAACCTGTCGGGGAACGTTACTGGTTTTGGTGGGGTCTTCCCAAATGCCGGTTTTCACAAAGCCATACCAGGAACCAATGTACACTAGGGGAACCTGGATGCACAGCCAGAGCAGAACTATGCCGATCAACGTGCCAAATGGAATGGCTGTGCTGGAAGCTTGTGCCCAGACAAAGAGGTTGAGAATGAAGATCAGACCGAACATGAGACCAGGGAAGAGGGCCGCGGTGAGGAAAGCGTTCTTGCGGAAGTCCTGTCCATCAAACGTCTTGTATACCCTCGCCGAGAAGTAGCCAGAGAAGAGGCCGGCGAAGACGAAAAGTCCGACGCCGGCACTGATGAAACCGCCACGGAAGCTGGGGTTCAAAATGCCAATGGCGCTAAGAAGAACCAGGCCAAAAGCCATGAATAATAGTTGCATGCCTGACCCGACCAAGGGGGCCAGCAGGTAGCCATACTCCGGCTTTCTAAAGACATCGGCGTGAAGCAATTTCCAACCGGTAACGTCCTCAAGAGCCTCCTCGTCGGACGAAGTATCGGCATCGTTATCAGCCTCGCCCTGCTGCTCCAGAAGGCCAAGGCCTGAGGACTTCTCGGCGAACTTGGGACTGCGGATACCGGGCTTTCTTTTGCGTTTGATTCGCAACTTTCCATCTTCAACAATGCCTTCCTTATAACTCTTGATATCAGTTCTGATAGTCTTGGCTAGGATCATGAGAACGATGCCCGTCAATAGACCACAGATTATCAAAGAGTTGACAATGGCCAACCAGTGAATCTTGGAACCCTCTTCCTGGTTAACAAAATACAGATCCCACCGGCGGCTCCACTCAATAGAATCGTCCTCTCGGAAGTAAACTGAATAGGTGTATGGGATGGTGAGAGTGGCGTCGTCGTCATCGACCTCTTCCAAATCCTCGGGATAGTAGGAGGAGTGAGGATATTGGATTGTGAGGTCCGTGGTCTTGTTTGGCGCTAGGTAGAGTGCGAAATTTTCGTCCACATCATGTAGATCCACGGGGCAGCCGTTCTCGCGCTTATTACTAGGACCAATGCTCTTCGTGTAGACTTCGAAACCCACTACCACCTTGCCACCCTTGGCGCCAGCTCGGCCAGGGGCTTTGCGCCAGCGGACGACGATTGTATGGTGGTTATTGAGGAAGTACCGTGGCTTTCCCGTGCTTGACGAGTAATCCGTGAAGCCCAGCTTGAAACCGGCGGCATAGTACTTTCGTGATTTGTCGACCGTGACGAAACTGGTGGCTCCGGGAAGATTGTCCACAATCCATTCCACCACGTAGCCGTTTTTGACCATCTCTTTGGCTCGTCGGAGATCCTTCCGATTCACCTCTTGATTACACAGGAAACTGCATTCCTTGTCCTGTCCCATGATTAAATCCATATCCGAAGTGATGATGCGATCGCCACGAAGAACCTCGCCCAGGTTCAATGATATGCTCTGTCCACTCAAGAGCCCTCCGGCGGATTTCTTGCCCGTCGGAGGGCAGACGAAGGGCAGACCGTAATAGGCATATTGCAATTGGGTATTGTCCGAGTAGACCTTGTTGACCAGCAGCGGAATTTGCTCGTTGTCTTTGTAACTCTTGATAGACCAACCTGCAGCGCGCGAGGTGCAAGCATTAGCCCGGTAACTCCCACGTATACAAACTTGCGTCTCCGAGATGTCTAAACTTACCCGGAATGTAGAATCCGTGTGCCTGAGAAGAGAGTAAAAGAGACGATAGAAGCCATTTCAGGCCGGTTGTGCCGGATTTGCCCATCTTCAGCGAGTTCCCAAGTGTCCCCTATGACACCGACCAAATCGTGAAACAAACCGATTGAGCTGATGAAGTGCGCGTTGTACTGGTCACAATATGCGACCGGGGGGGAATGCTGCCGACCGAGACCGAATTGCGAGGTTCCTTAGAGTTTTCGTCCAAGGTTGGAGTTCGAAAAGACAAGCCAGGTCATCGATGAGAGGTGTGAGCTTACACTGGCGAATCTCCTGAACGTCCGTGGCTGAGGCGTTAGGCAGCGCCACCCAACAGCGACAAGGGGGCCGACGATGGAGCGTCAAGGCGTTTGGATTCAAGGTTTCAAACGAATGTAATCGGTACGGAGTACCCAGAAGACGTGAGCAAGTGCTGGTGCAGGATTGCTGTGTCGCGATTCTACGGACGGGAGGAGGCACGGAAAATCGGGGGGAGGGGGGATCCCAATCGCTGTGAGGCTGGACGCGCGTTATCCGTATGTATCAGCACCCGAGTGCTACAACCTGCAGAGTGAGAGTCGGCGATTGACGAAATTGGGCAAGGGAAGGACGGAAAGACGTGGCTGCCTGTCCCCTATTCCGGCTGCTTCTCTGTTTCTTTTAAGAGATTCGGAACAGATGGGTCAACTGGAGAGCAGCACCTTCGGGTTAATCAAGCATGGTTGGGGTTGGGGAAGCCAAGAGAAGCAAGTGGCTTCATGCCGATCGGTGGATGCAAACGCCAGGACGGTCCTTGGAAACAATTGTAATTCTAGCCGGCGGCGTCCCGCCTCCTAGCATGGGGTAACACGAAGTCCAGATGAACCCGATCCAATGAAATTACAGGAGCAAAGGGCACCTGCAGATCACGTGCGGCCCTGTGCCAAATTTAGTCCTCTTCCGAGTCTTGCAGCAGAACTTTAACCATCGCATCGTACAAAACTACTCTAAAATGCGCTGCGGTCTCAAGACCCTGAAATGTCACAGCGTTGACAAAATATTGCCAATTTCTCAGGTGGGACAAGTCCTGAACCGCCGTGGACGCGGATGCTCTGCTATCGCATTGCACATCGAAGGGTCCAGATACTCTGGGCAGTCCCGATTCCCGACGAACAGTCACAACCAAGGTGGAGTCTAAACGATGATCAGACGATCATAGTTCGTTTTGCCGGTGAATGAATCAGATAATATGTACTTTACTTCGCATAGAGTGAACTTGGACTATCCAGTATAGTTTTTATTTTTTTTTATTTCCGCAAGAGGGCCCGTTGCTCTTGATGCATATTTCGTTCTTAGCCAAAAAGTACAGTGTGAACATTGCCAAACTGTTTTATCTATCTTCCTGTAGTGAAAAGCTGGCTATAAGCAATCGTTGGGTATACTCTATGGCTATGCAAGGAAGAAAAGAAACCTACGCCATGCGACCATCGTGCAATCATTATATATACAGAAAAGGCAGACTGCTTGTGTTGCTCGAAGGGGAGGTTTCGGACGCCACTTACTCATAACACACATGAGTTTTTTCCATTAATTATGATGACAGCTTATTCCGGTGCGGGTTTGCGAGACGATGTCTGGATTAACTTAATTATGCCCCCAGTTGTTTCGATTGGGGGTGGAGGAATTATCTGGAATGACGGCGTTGAGCCCCGCTGTCCCGCATGTTGGGTGACCGAGGAACGATGCTTGGAAGAACTTCGTATATCGTGATTATCCCACTGAGAATTTGCCGGTTGTTGTTTGGAATAATTCCGAAGTTATCCCAGGTTTTCGACCTACTACAGATTGATTAGGTCGATCTCGCTGAAGTCAGGTGGCGCTCTTCCGTAGACGACCCTGACTTTGCTGTCCAAGGCAGTCCCTTCGTTCGAAATCCAAATGTGGTCACTGAATTCTCTAGTTCTCCGAATTTCATCGTCGCTGATCCCGATGTCATCCCTAGGGATCCAGACAGTCGGACATCTCGCTCGTAGAGCCGAGTGCATGAATGCGCGCTGGACGAGTACGTCTCTCTCATCTGGCGTGAGGTCCTCGATTTCGTCATGGAATCCGCCATACAAAGCGTCTCCGATGGCACGCTGCGACTCCAGGTCCTTCTTCCGCCGTTCTTCCCGGTATCTGGCCGCGCTCTTCACGCCTTGTTCCGCCTTGCCGTACGTCTTGTTCTTGATCGTCTTGCCAGCCTGCGTCAGACCTTTGACTGGTTTGAAATGGGTAAATTTTTTGCCGCGGTGTGCCTTTCCACCAACGCCGTCCGTTGTCGGCGCCGGGCCACTGCCACCAGGATGATGAGCTGGAAGGCCTTCCTTGTCATATGCATCGTCATCGTGGTCGTCATTCAGCAGACCCAAACGTTGATCTTGGGCTCGTTGGAATGCTTCATCACGCAGCGCTGCCTCGTCTTCGAAGGTGATGGGCAGGTAGCGAAACAATGGCCCAAATGACCGGTTGAGCATGATTTGGAACAGAATCGTCAAAACTGTCACGATTATCATGATGACGGCCTGGGGAAAGCCCGTGTCGACGTCTGCTTGAGCTTCAACAATAAAGAAGAGACCGATCAGGCAAATCTCCATCTGCAAGTTTCCATGTCAGTGATTACTGCTCCAAATGCCTTTAAGGTCTCAGTTCTGCTTACGACGTAGAGTCCAGCAAAAGTCTGGTTGATGGCACGTGGGTACAGAACGCCGCCTGTGTCGATGGTGAAACGGTTGACGTATAACATGCTGTACCTGTTGGCCATCCAGAGAAGACTGAACGTGACGATTGCGAAGACGCTGATGAGAGGCGCAACAACTAGTCAAATATTAGTCATTATGTCATGATGGAATAGCCAGAGGCTGAAATTATTCCAGTGGAAGTTGGCTGAAGTAACATGACGTTTCGGATTACCCCAGTGGGAGGTGTTCCTTGGAATAAGAAAAGTTCTCGTATGATCCCATTAAAAGTTCCCTGGGATAGTCGATGTTGTTTCGGACTCTTCCAGCGAAGTACGTCTGAGATAACTAGTCCACACCAAAGAGGGAGAAAGGGTTACTAACCAGAATAAACAAGAGCAATACAGGCAAAATTGGTATAAACAGGGCTAAATGGCTGTGTTAATATTCGAGTAGCGTGCAGCAGGGGACTGGATCCCCAGGGTCACTCACAAGTAAGAGCCCCATTTCACATTTGGGAGTTTGGTATTGGTGTTCCACTTGTTGCGTGCCGTGTTGTTGGTGATTTTGGCAATAACTAGCACAAATGAGGTCAATTTCGTCCTCTTCATGGATTCTGAGAGCCAATACATACCATACCAGCCCACTAAAGCTCCAATCTGCAAAAGGGTACCCGAACTTGTAGAAAGGGATTGCAGTATCATGCTACACACCGTCAATAATGGCCTCGAGCAGGGGATTGACGAGCCATCTTCCGAGCAATTTATACGTAAAAGCAAGACGCCCGGCAGAGGGGGACAGAAGAGGTCACTTACTATGAGAAGAAGTAATTGGCCGATTTCGGGAGATTAGTCGCCAGCAGCTCCGCAACCTTGCCCGGATTATTGAAAATCTTATCAAAGGTGTCGAAGGAGAAGGACGCTACGGAGACAACAAGAAACACTTGGACGAAGAGGAAAGCGAAGTAGAACATCTGCACCGTCTCTGCTTTCTGGGAACCTGTCTTGGCCCCCTTAAAGCCAGCAAGCAGGTCCATAATAACAGGCACTAGCCACAGCAGCAGGGCGAGGAGGATGGCCGGCAACACGCCAGCAAGGGCCTGGACAGCTTTGAGCACTATGACGTTGTCTTCAAGGAAGCCAAGCCATGGGAATTGGTCGATAAGATCCGTGATTTGGGACAGACTTGATGTGAAACCGACTGGGAGAAGTTAGCAACAGCCGAGTCCATTGTGGAACAACCTGGGAAAAGCTGCGAAGCATATCATTTCAAGGTTATACGACATTGAAGAGGTGAGGTGAAGGTGGGGACTCACCGGGAATGGCCCAAAGAATTATCATGCCGGTAACGATAGCCACAACGGCAATGGTCCTCATCCATTCAGCCCACCAGCTTATAGCCACTGGAACGACACATATTAGTAGCTGAGGGCATTCACCAACTCCTCGATTCACATACTGTTGTCCCATATAACATCATTGGGGGAGATCTCCACCATTCGGGGAGCCATATGTCTCGGAACATGGTGTGTCACACTCTGACAGGCCATGTGGGCGGCACTAAAGTCGACAATATCAGCATCAATTAAGAACAGCAGCAGTATCCAAGGTATTCCGTGTACTAGCACCGGGACAAACAGGTCACTCTTGGGCGGTTTTTTTTCTTGAGTTCGTCCCATGGAATTTCACTGGAACAACGCCTAGGACAGTCTGGGACAACTTGATGGTAACCCTGATGACTCTGGGATAGCCTTTGGGTAGCCTTGGGATACGGCAAAGTGACACTTGTCACCTCGTTTATCGTTTTCCAGGGACGTGGATGGGTAATGGATACTCACGCTTGGTGATTGAACTGGACGAAAGCCGATCTCATGAGAGGGTATCGTTCTGGGTGGTTTTGATCTTCCTCAATCTCAAGATTCAGCCGAGCCAGTTCTTCTCGGCACCAGTATATAGTGTCGACTTTCCTGTTCAATAGCGGAAGCCCGGGAAGGAAACCGGGAGTCCATTCGAAAATCGCGAGTCGGTGGGTCGGACGGTCCGACTTCTTCAGCCATTTCTCCCATTCTGCGCCCTCGTCGCCGGCTTCCTTCACCTCCTTGTTGAATGCGGGGGGGTACTCGACAGTATCTTCGTCACTGACAAAGATACCCTTGATCTTCTGCCAGACGGTCTTTTCGGTCTTGAAAGGAAACTCCTCGTCTTCAAGACCTTGCGGAAGGGGGGAAGCAAACCCACCGGGTGGTGGTTTCCAAAATTCGTACCACCGGGGTGTCTCGTTTATGTACATGGCATCGAGGTTGGAAGCCTTGCGAGTAGTGTTGCTATATTTTTTCATCTCAATGTCCCCATTGTTGGACAGAGAATACTGAGACGTGACAGAGTCGTGGTGAGAGTGAGAGACGCGAGTCGCAGTCGAATTTGGCTGTGTGTGGCCGACCAACCTGTGATGGTCGGAGCCTCGTGTAGGAGGCCGATCTTCGTCGGAGAATTGAATATGGCGCTGATCTCTGGCTGCTGGAGCAAGAGTGACAAAGCCGTTGGTCGTTTCCAACTCATCATCCACCTGACCTAGAGTCTTGCCCACGGCACCTACTCCTTTTCCTAGGCCCTGGGTAATCCCCCCTACGCCTCTTCCCAAACCGTGTGTGAGCTTCGAGAAGCCATGACTCAGCGCTGGAAGGTCGAAAGACGAACCCTTGTCTTGTGTATCCTGTATCTGCTGATTGTCAGCATGATATGAGCGAGATAATGGGGGTATTTTCTGTATGAAATGAGCAATGCTACAACGGAGCGGATCCACGGAATGAGCGGTGCAATAAGCACCACCGTCTGATGGAACGAGCGCCTGGCTTTAGTAGTCGTTTCCATGCTTACCTCGCGTGACTCCATCAAGCCATCATCGATATCGTGAGGGATCTCGTGCTTGTCCCCACTGCTGGCACCAGCGCCGCTCTCTGCCTGCAGCTTCGCCGCAGCGTCTTCGTCTTGTTGACGCTGAGCTCTCTCCTCCTTGGTTGGTCCTTTTGCCCTGGCTGCTTTCCGCGCCGCCTTCTCTTCGGCCTCCCTTCTCTTCAATTGCTTTTTCTTGGCCATCCGAATGAGCTCCGTTTGGGCGCCCTCCAGTTGCAAATGGACCTCGTCCCGCTTCTTGATCTTGTCCAATAGCTTGGTGAAGTCCCTGGTGAGCCACACGTTGCGGATTCCGCCCGGGAATACGTCAAAAAGCCCGCGCAGAGCTTCCTCGCTAAGCCATTTTTCCGGAACGGCGTTGACCAGGACCGTCGTGGCGGAAGCTCGAAGTCGGTGCTCCGCAGTCGTGAGATAGTCCTGGCGCACCTTGATGTAGATGCGCAACTCAGAGAAGAAGACACCACAAACCCATACAATCACGAGGACGGCCAGGACCAGATGTGCCCAATATCTGCGGGCACGCTCCGGTTTCACGTTGCCCCATGCTAAAGTATCGAGACCAGTAGGGTGGTCCTCCAGGTTTCCATCGGCGGCGGTAGCGTTGGAATTGATGTCCATGCTCTTGCCTCCATTGAAGTTGAGTGGTATCAGAATAGGAATGACGATTAGAGCTATAGGAACAAAGATGACGAGAAGCGTCTGTAGGTAACGAAGGAAGAAGTACGAGTCCAGACCGCATTTCTTGATGATTTCACGATCTTTAAAGCGCCAGAGGGCGTGGACCATGCCCCACGGGCTGTCGGGCGGTGGCTCCGTTCGTTCGCGATCGGGTACGAGGTACGTCTTGGGTTTGAATATTCTGGCGAGCTTCGTCCTGAGCAGCAAAAAGAGCCCCGTCTGAACGCCGAAGACGACCAACGAGGTCGTCAGCGCAGCGCTGAAAGCAACCAGGTTGATGCCCTGGCTCTTGGAGGCGGTCCCCGCCGAGCCCGTGTCCGACATATCGCGTGCGTAAAGGTCAAATCGTTCGGGAGTCGAAGTTGGAGGAGATCGAAACGTCGAAATTCGAGAGGATGGCAAAGATTGATGACCCTCACAGTCGGTATGCTAGGTAGTATGGTTTCGCACCAAATTCACTGTATTATTCCATGGTGGCAACGTGGACTCCCACTGTAAAAATCAAGAATAATCGTGGAAATACTTGTTTCTTCCACTGTCATAGACAGTAGCTGTGTAAAAGTAGTAGTAGTAGTAGTAGATGCGTATGAACCACGGGGTAGAAAATGGAACAGTTGAAGTAGAGCTCTGCGACTGAATCAGAGAGATAACCGACGCAGATTATTATTACATCAAGGGTCCAGGGTAGTAGTTTAGATCGTCCCAAAGAAATTCGAGCGGGCCAGACCGACAAAAACGCTACACGTATGAGCGGCAGCCGAGAAGGAAACTTCTATGGACCAAGGGTCAATCAGAGCGTCTATTGGTACTCTTGGTCGCGTGGAAGTGGAATTCATTGGCTCTGAGCTTCAGATACAGGCAAAACCTGGAACCGACCAGCATTGTGCGTCTTGACATCAGAGGCGCAGATTGGAGCAGCTTGACCAACGCTAGCCCCGCAAACCCCTGTGATTTAGCGGTAGTTGTTGAGTGGGCTAGTTCACGCGCGCTTGTTGCATCAGGTTGCAATTGCTCAATTGGTCTGACTTGGCGACGCTTTGTGCTATATTAAGAGTGTTCCAGGTGTTGCTTTATGACTCGATGCAGCTGTTTGCCTTCCGGCAATGTTTGTTGAAGAATATTTATTTGTTGGCATGCGTCGTAGGGGTGAGTCGAGGTACTTAAAACGTTTGGTTCCGAGTTTCCATTTTGGGACAAGTGGCTCTTGGCCTCAGCTCGCAAGAAACAATAAAGTTGGCAGGCTTTGCATAGGCTGACATGGGTAGACAATTACGCGAGCGACGAGATCGCGATGAGCTGCGAGTCGCCTTCATCATGCATTCGGACATCAATTGCCACCGGAGCTGGCTGATGCTCGCGGTGCACCTTTGACGGACGCGTTCAGTGACGCCAGTTTGCTGCACCTGACCTGCAAGCAGGTTCTGGGGTGTTACATACACAGTCGCGGGGAAGCTTGAATGCATCAGCCAATCTTGTCTGTAAGATGGCAGGGAGCGTTGACGCGGGAGTGAGGCTCAGTAGTCCTGCAACCAAACCCATGTCCTGCGGGGATATGACTTCGTGTACGCTGTTCCGGAGTACGGACAATTTGGTGGTCGTAATCGACATACCACGATCAATCGAAGAAGCTCAAGTTCTACCTGGGGAATTGCCAGCCAGGAGGCTCATCTCTTCTCGGCCTCCGCATACACCATGGCAGACTGCGACACCCAAGAAGCTGCAGCATACAGACGTTCCGAAACCAGCATCAGCGATTATTGGCGAGCTAATGGTTCTCGAAAGAGTAAAAGGCGCCTTGGAGCAAGTCGCAGAGCTCTATTCTGGCCCATGGTGTATGCCACGAATATACGAGGCTAAAGAATGTCAGTCTCCGTCTGGGAAACCTCGGAAGAGAAAGAGACCGGCATCAGAGACTACGGCCCGGAATGTCGCCGACACCAAGGTTTCGCCATATCTACCAACTAAATCACACCACCTCCTTGGTACTGTCAAATCCTTGCGAGACACCTTTTTAGCCACCGCGCCAACATTCGACGTCATGGTCATCGATCCGCCGTGGCCGAGTAGATCCGTGAAAAGGAAGAAGGATGGCTACACGATCGCGTATAGCATGGAGGATGCCGGGCGTCTACTTTCCATGATACCCGTGGCTTCGCACCTGGCGCCCACAGGACTGGTGGCCGTCTGGGTTACTAACAAGCCAGCTACCGTAGAGCTTCTCACATCCCCGAGGGGCATATTCTCCCAATGGGGCCTGGAACTCGTCTGTGAATGGGTCTGGGTGAAGGTTACGAGCTCCGGTGTGCCCATCATTGATATTAATTCAACGTGGAGGAAGCCCTGGGAACGGCTATTGATCGCGAGAAAGGGCGGCCATCCAAACCTGTCCCTGCAACCCAAGATCATACTGGGCGTCCCAGATCTTCACTCGAGGAAACCGAACTTGAGAAGTCTCTTTGATGAGATCATTCCATCCGGATACCGAGGTCTCGAAGTGTTTGCCAGAAATTCAACTGCAGGATGGTGGAGCTGGGGGGATCAAGCTCTTGTATTCCAGGAAAGACACCATTGGGTTCACAAGGGCGAGCCTGAGGGCTTTGACGGAGCGTCAATGGTAGCAGAACCCCAATCTAACAACTCCTGATATTTTCAGCTAAATATGCGTTCGTGCATGATTGTGTTGGGATAATGAGTGTTTCCCCTGTTTCATACCTGTGCCACTCTACACATCGCGCTCTCCATGCTCACCGCCTCAACAGTCGGAAGGCTTAACACAAGTGACTGCATGTGTGCCTGTCGACAAACCGGGTAAATTCCATTTGAAGGGAGCTTGCGCCACCTACATTACAAGTGTGACTTTCCTTAGTGCACCCCTCAGTAGACATCACAGTTGACAAGTCGTATTTGGCTTCAGTTTAAGACAGCCACGGCTGTCATAATTCCTCTCCCCCACAATCCGATTGACTCGCCTGAAAGGGCGGCAACCTACAAATTAAGACAGCTTTGATATAGTTCACGAACCGCGTCGAGCGTACCGCCACCTCTACACTTAGGGCTTCGGTATTGAGCTTGGATAGGCCCATCCCCATCTCCATCCCCGCAACTGTGCTGTGTGCATACAGCCCGCGGCCCGCTGGGAAATAGTGCTCATGTAGGTCCAGGTTTTCATCATCTTACAAGTACCAAATTATTGTGTTCGGCAACGACGCTAGCGGTATCTCGGCTGCTGCTATGAGTGGAATATGACGGATTGCGGATTATTCAGGTAGTCAAGGGATAAGGAGATTCCAGCATATCATTTCTCACGCATTGATACTCTAGACTCTCGAGACATCCTGGATTTCTTCACCTTTGGCGACTCTCCAAAGCCACTCGAGAGTAGACAGACCATCTTTCATCATGACCGAACAGGCACAACCTCTCAAGACCTATAGGGGCAATTGCCATTGTGCCGCCTATATCTTTGAGGTCAAACTACCCGAAATCAAGTCTGCCGTCCAGTGCAACTGCGTAATCTGCTCCAAGAAGGGCGCTTTGTGGCAGGTGCCCGCGCACGACAATTTGACCTTTGTCAAGGGAGATATGGACACACTGTCCAGCTACAGCTTCGGTGGGAAGATCATGAATCACAAGGTGAGAGAAATCTCAAGCTTCGAGGTATAATCATAGACGTTTTGCTACATCTGATGGCGATGATGTCAGTTCTGCCCTCACTGTGGGACGAATCTCATGTGCATGGGATACATGAGCCCTCCTAAACCGGGTGATGAAACGCCGCCCCAAATGATTGTCAATGTAAGTTGAACTGGTGGGTCATAACAGAACACTTGAAGTGCTGACAACTGCAGGTCCGGGCCATTCAGAACCTCAACGTATGGAGCTTAGAGCTCCGTCCGTAAGTGAATCCAGCGCGGGGCTCCCGAGTGCGTCGGTCACTAAGAAAGTCACCCGTCCCTAGTATCGACGGCGCCGCGATCCCTCCGACATACGAACCACCCAAGTTCACCGGCCCCGAGCCGAGTGCTGACATCGAAGGTGGCAAAACCTACAATGGAAGTTGTCACTGTGGAGTTGTCAAGTTAGCCCTGAAGACCAAGCCGCTTGATAAGGACTTCGACGCCAATATAGCTGAATGCAACTGCAGTATCTGCGGCAGAGTGCGTTTCGCCACCCCTTCTTTCTCTTTCCCCGATTGCCATTTGCCAAGAATTAACCCGTCTCCAGCTGGGGTGTATCTGGATCTATCCCAACGCCGACCAAGTCGTCTTTGAGGGCGATGAAAACCTCACAATTTATAAAATGGGGCTCGGCATGTATGGCAAGTCGTTCTGCAAGATTTGCGGAGTGCCGATCCACAACCGGCCAGAGACGCTCACTGAGGAGCAGATTGCAGCTCTTCCGGAGGAGCCGCGGAAGTGGTTCACCTGGGGGAAGAACATGAGCATTATCAATGTCAGGGTACTGGAGGGGGTTGATCTGAAGGAGCTCAATGTCAAACAGATGGACGGCTGGAACGCTGCCAAGCAGTCCTACGTCAACCCGTAGGCAGTAAGCCGAGACGAGTGGAACAGGTGGTTTATTGGTGCATTGGAAAGTGCTGGAATTGATGATGGCCTGGCAAGTTCTGCATGGCTTACGAACTCAAGAGGTTCCCTTGTCCACTGTTTGGCCGCGTCGAAGTAATGGATCAACACCCAACTTTCCCGATGACTTCTTATAGCGTCCCTTGTCCCAGCTCGGATTTCCATCATCGTCGAATTTCGCCCATTGGAAAAACGCGCAATTTTCCTTACCGGGCACGTATCCCCCGTAGCACATCCAAAAATACTTTCCCCAGTTCTCCTTCTTCTTCTGGACGACCTTTAACACGGCAGGAATGCCACAGTTGCAGCGCGGCGTGAACTTGGGTTGTAAGCTGGGCCTGTAGTCCCTATACGTCACGTTGATCCGCCTATTGCCAGCGATGGGATGCGGATCGATGGCCGTAGCGGGAGCGATGCTGTGTTTCCATTCTTCCTGCATTTCCGCGTGCATGACGAGCAACGAGTTGTGCGGTAGGTGAATCGCGATTTGTCCCTCCGCGTCTGGATCCTCGGACGAACTGTCCTCTACGTCTCGGGGCAGGATTCTCCTGACCCGGAACTCTCTGGCGACACCGAGGGAGAGGGAGCCTATGACGGCTCGCGGGCCAAGGTAGGTGAGCTGGTCTGAGTGGTAGCCCACATTCTCCTTTCCGCCGCTGTAGCAATTGACGAAGGCAGCGTTGGGGGACCATTCATCTGGAGACTGGTACTTCAGCTTCTTACCGTCGGGGTACTGTGTCTTGATTCGTTTTTGAATTTCTTCGTTGACACATCTCTGGACCCTGGGCTTGACTCGTAGTAGTTGAGGGGTGATTTTGCGTACATCCTGTTCCGGGTTAGTACACACACAAAAGGAAAACTCGCAGAACGCCTTGCTCAGACTTGACTGAGTTGAGCCGAGACTGCTGTGCTTGAATTCAGATGTCGGTGCAAGGGTTAGGCAGCTGGGACACCTACCGTCAGTCGAGCACCGTTGTAGAAATATTCGTATCTCTGCTTGTTGAGCTCCTCTTCTGTCTCGACATAAAAGGTCGATGTATGTGGGCTAGACACAACGTTGTCGAAAAGCTTGAATGTTATTTTCTCAAAGGATTTTGACTCTTCCAACATCTCCAGCAAGAGCTCTTTGGCCTCATCCGGTGGCAGGAAGTTATGGATGATGGAGCAAGGCGTATGCTGGGCGATGTCATCAGGATCGTATAGATGGAGGGTGGTTCCCTTCTTGGAAAGCAGCTTCGCCTTCTTCGGCGATACACCGTCTCCAGAAACTGGCAAGCCAGTAGCAAAGAATTTCAGCGAGGTCTGGGACCCAACGACCCGGCTGGAACGCGGCTTCTTGGCCACTTCCGGTCGTCTGTCGTTTAGCGAGGCAGAGGCTGCCTCCACGGATCCATCGTGGGCTAGAAGTGTATCTAAAAGAGCCTCCTGGCTGAAATCTGGAAACAGAGATGCCATGATTGCCAACTTGACATCAGTAGACTCGTTGTCGTCATCCCGAGTCGATTCGGGGGTTGAAGTTGCTTTGCGCTTCTTGCCCTTCAGAAAGGTTTCCATCGTGAAGCAATACGACCAGCTTTTTCAACAGCTTGGGAGACTTCATTACGAGTGTTTGTGCTTATGAGTTCTTAAAAGATCTCAATATCAAAATTGCCGTTGTCATCAGAGGTTGCCTCTTGCCTCACAATGAAGTGGGAAAGGGCGTCCAATAACTGTGGACACCACATGCTGCCTCCAAGACAGCGGTGCCCCGGCTCCAGGTAGTTGAAGGTTAGTGGAGTTAAGGTTCTATGCCGAGGCCCCCACCTTCTCATGCTCGGCTTATCGACTTGTAAGCACCCGTTGACGTCTTGGTAACTTCAGAGCCAGCTTTGTTGACCACAATGCTTATAAGTTGCTCTGTTTGTCTCAGGTCGTATTCATGGCGTCCATGCTGCCCTTCCAGACAAAAGGCTTCAATCCGTATGCCGTCAAATACTCTCCCTATTTCGATTCGCGCATCGCCGTCGCATCCGCCGCAAACTACGGCATCGTAGGAAACGGTCGCTTGTGGTGCCTAGGACTGGGGCCGAATGGGATTCAAGTAGAGAAAACGTATGTCCTATGGGATACAAAGGAGCAGCAGTGGTTTTCTGACATGGGAGATAGGTTCGACACGAACGACGCCCAGTATGACCTCGCCTGGTCCGAGATCAACGAAAACCAGCTGCTTGCGGCTTGCGGAGACGGCTCAATCAAGTTGTACGATGTGAACGTCAACGAGTTCCCCGTCATGAATTATCACGAGCACAAGCGGGAGACATTCTCGGTCGCATGGAGTCCTGTTACGAAAGACACGTTCGCATCGAGCTCATGGGATGGTACCGTCAAGATCGTGCGTGTGCCATCTGATGTAACATCGTTCTCTGACGAACTGGTCTAATCCTCATCTCTCTATAGTGGTCGCCGGCGCGAAAGGAGTCTCTGAAAACGCTTCCGGTGGGCAACTGCACTTACAGCACGCAATATTGCCCCTCTAATCCACACATCATTTCCGCCGTGTCGACCGACTCGCAACTGCGAATCTTCGACCTCCGCACCCCCGTCAACGCGCAATACCACCTCACATCCAAGATCCCCGTCCACCTTCCACCACCCGTACCGTTTCCACAAGGCATGGCACCACCCCCAGCGATGCCATCCGAGATCTTGACGCATGACTGGAACAAGTACAGAGACACCGTCATTGCGACGGGCGGCGTGGATAGGGTCATACGGACTTTCGACATAAGAAATCCCACGGGCGGACCAGCATCCATTATGATGGGCCATGAGTATGCCATCAGGAAGTTGGCTTGGAGCCCGCACGCTAGCGATATCTTGATAAGTGCGAGTTACGATATGACGGTTCGGTTGTGGACGGACGGATCGACCATGGCGCAGGACGGTCCTTCTCCTTTCAAGCCCGGAGTGCAACTTGGCATCATGAACAGACACACTGAATTCGTTACTGGCGTTGATTGGTGTTTGTTTGGCGAAGGAGGTTGGGTTGCGACGGTTGGCTGGGACGAGATGGTCTATCTGTGGAATGCTACTTCCCTCTTCAGTGGGTAGAGTCAGAATCACGCACGTCGGATGGATCTCCAGGTCCACCGATGAACGTTACTCATCCGGAGCGGCACATTGGGCGCTGGACATGACGACCTGGCACTTCAGTTTCAGCTGGGAGCCGTGGAGGGCTCATTGATGATACAAACGTCACATTCACCAATGCGACGACGAATGAGGTATATTCCGTCACCACCCATGATCGGTTGGATTTAATGATATCTCGAACGATCCATGATGATGTTTGGACGGCTGATTGGCAGGGTTCACAAAAATAATGAAGACGTCTATGTAAGAAGTACACAGGAAGATGGCTGCGGATGGAGTTGGGTCCAACTCTCAGGATGTCTACAAATCTGGCCAGCTCATTATGAAGGACCGAAGCTCAGCTCCAACTCCCCAAAAAATAAGGGTTCACGGTAGATGATACGGATGAAAGAGAAGGTGCTTATATATGCCCCTTGCTTCCCCTACAATGTTCAAATGTGTTGCCTTGAGCAGGTCTTATCGGATACACACTCCAAACCCAAACGACACGACTACAAAGACGGTGGCTGGTAGATGAGGGATATTCCCGCATCCTCATCAGTGAGCAGTTCAATCGTGGTGGATGGCCATAGAGACGAACACTCAAAATCTGTCACAGCTGGCCGGGGTGGCGGGCGGCCAGTCTCTCGCTGTCGGCATGACTTTTGGACTCGTGGTCCACGAAACCTTAGGTTAAACTGTTTGCTAACCCTGGCGAACATATGAGGAAGACGTACTTGTTTCAACTGGAGCAGGTTCCGCGAGGTACGTGATGGCGAAAAGGGATTGAGAATCACGTTACAATGTCTGACAATGGTCCTACTTGTCTAATTGGCTATTGTTGCCCTCGCATGTGCTTGAATAGGTGTTTACACAAATAACCTTTCGTCACTGACAAATGGATACAGCTTAGGGACGACAGAGCGCTCGGATTACATGGTCTAAAACCAGGTTGCTAAGGCTGTACTCGACAGACGCTAGTGAAGCATTACCTCGTATTGGATAGAGACCGCTGCTACCTCCTCACGGGAACGAAGGCTTACTCCTCTTCGCCTCCCGCCTCGACTTACACCCGGGTTTCCCACCATCCGTCTTGTTGGTCAGAGCCTCAACAACTCCGTAATAAGCAGGATGTTTCGTGAAGTTGTCGAAATACAATGTCGCCGCCCCCTGACCTTCAAAGACGCTAGGGACCCACGAGACCTAGTATGAAACACAACTCGTTAGCCGACCGGTTTCTTACGCATCTCACTTCGGATAGTGCCAGCCTCATGTGTGTGACTTACCGGATCCCAGAAATCCCACACCGTGATCCCAATGCACTCCTTAACTTGCATACAAGCCCCCACCGTCTTCTTATAATCCTCCTTCTGCTGCGCCAAATTAGACGTATTTGCGGGCAAATCCAATCTGATATCCAGCTCCGTGATCGCCACCTCAACTCCTAAATCCGCATACCCTCTCATCGTCTCAATCTGCTCATCAATACTCGGTGTGCTGCCCACAACGAAGTGACTTTGCAGTCCCACACCATCAACTTTAATCCCATCATCCTGCAGCATCTTGACAATAGTCCGCGCGGCCGCCGACTTGTTCCCAGGACTCTCGATATTGTAGTCATTATAGTAGAGCTTGGCACCTGGATCCGCCCTCGCGGCTGCCCGAAATGCAATTTTAATGAACTCCGGCCCTAATATGTCGAAGAAGACCGACTCCCTAAAGCTCCCGTCTTCATCCAACGCCTCATTCACCACATCCCACGCATAGCACTTCCCCTTCCACTCTCTCGCTTCCCTAAAGACATGCTCCTCCAGCATCGGCGCCAGCGTCTCGGCCGTCCACGTCGTGTTCTCGACCCACGGCGCCAGCTGGCTGTGCCAGACCAAATTATGGCATCTGAGCAACTGGCCCGTTTTTTGGGTAATGTCTGTCACAATGTGGCCTTCGGTGAAGTTGAATACTCCCTGCAAGGGCTCGGTGAATATCCATTTCTGCCCGTTGGATGGAACCAGCTGCCCGAACTCGGATGTGTTGGTTAGGATCGAGTAGTAGGTCGTATTGCCGAGCTCGCCCGTGTCGGTTGCCGTGCCGAAGTAGAGCTTGCCGGCTTTTCGGGCGAGGACGTTGAGTTGGGCTAGGATGGCGGTTGGCCCTAGGAGGGCAAGGAGCAGGAGGAGGGGGTTGGAATACATTGTGATTAAGACCCACGAGAAGTGAAAGCCCGGCACGGGTAGGTGGGGTGGTCTCTGTGAGCTCTCCCTCCAGTTGAACCAGGAACATGGAGAGGAGGCCACAGATATATAGATGCGAGTCTTTCGCCCTCAATGACCAACCCCCGAGCTCCCCAGCTCCTCCAACCGACATCACGTATCCCGGTTGACGAGTCGTATCTCGCTTGGAACGGTTGGAGGGTGTCATCGAACCAGGAGATGATGCCCTTCCTCGCTCAGGCACTAGAGATTGATCCCAGCAACCAAGCCAGAGAAACTACCCCAGCTCGCCACCCACGGTGTAGGTTTGGATGCGTGGTGACACAAACGAAACCAATCTCCGGGGACCCAAACCCCAAGATCTGGTCCCCATGCTGCATGGTGGTCCAGTCAGGAGTGCCGGGTAAATTGAACCTGAACGAAACATGCATCCAGAAGTATTGAAGCGAGCCCATTAACCCGCGGTTGAATGTTTGATGGGGGCCCGACAAGCTCGTGCGGAGAAGTGATGCAGAGTCATTGTTGGGGATGCCGATATCTTGGTAGTGGAGGTACAACATTGCGGGTTGATACTATGGTCGCATAGGACCCATGCGACTGGATATTAGCCTAAACATGCTTGTGCAGCGACTTCATCCCAGTCTTTGTCAAACTGGAATGACCCAGCGAAATATTCTTTGTCTCTGTAGTACTGGGGATAAACGGGCTTCCAAGTTGCCAGTGATGCCTTCAGCAGAGGACTGGCGGATAATAGGGCAGTTATTTTTATAGTCAGAATGCCAGGAAGACCTATCAATACCTCAAAGCAAAGCTATCTCCCGACCACATTGCCCATAGTCACCAAAGATGGCTTGTCAATGGTGGGAAAGGGTAGCCAAGTGTTCACCACACGTCAAAATATCACCCTCAAGTAGAACACAATTTCAGTGTTAAGTAACATCGAGGTTTTCGTACGAAGTAGGCCAGCACATGTCTATTTCTTTCTTAGTGTAGTGGTTGTACATTTATTACTGGCTGTTTTATTCCCCCCATCATACACGTTAAAGTAGAGATTTCCCTCTTCGGGTTTGTTTTACGCCCGTACAGCCCAGGCTTCATCACCTCATGAGAACTTCCCAAAGATCACGCTACTCCGGTTTTCGGTGGTAACCAAACGCCACTGAAAAGCTATACCCATTGCGATGATTATCATCACTGCTTTTCCGTAGCTGCAATGTACATGGCCTGCAGCCTCTGATATCTGTACAATCGGAAGTGTTGACTCCTGCCTGGAGCAAGTATTTCGGGATATTTCGGAAATAAGACAAAGATGAAGACGATGGTGCCAGAGTCTGTTGGCCCCAGGGTATGTCTTTCATCGCTTAGAAGTCAGAGTTACGACCACCATAGCCGCCGCCTCCTCGTCCTCCTCCTCCTCCACGGGAAAAGCCGCCACCACCACCACCTCCTCCTCCTCCTCGCGAGAAGCCACCGCTGCGGTGGTCACCACCAAATCGCGAGCCACCGGATCGGTCACCGAAAGAGGATCCACCACGTCCGCGGAATCCTCCCCGACCTCCGAAGTCATCGTCTCTCTTGGGAGGTACCACATCATCATGCCCAATTCGAACCCCTCGCACTCTCGACAGGCCAGTGTGTTGGGCTCTCTTGGGGGAAATAGCGGGAGGTTCCTCCAAACCCACACCCTTCAGCGCCCAGTTATTGAGAAGCCCGACTACGTCCTCGGCTCGGAGGTTGCGCCCGAACTTCTGACCTAGCATGGAATGATACATGGCATGAAACTCCCCCCTGTGCGCCCTTTGGTAACCGCTTGCGACCTCAGCAAAATATCGTTGAAACGACTGAGCAGGTTCGCCCTCGCCCATCACGTGTTTTGCTGTTTCCAGAGTGTTGTTAGGCTTGATCGGAAGTCCCGGAAGGCGAGATCGAGCCTCGTCAATCTCCTCCTGGGCGAGAAGCAGCCAACCTTCACCAGTTTTCCCGGCGCGACCAGTACGGCCGACTCTGTGAATGTACTGATCACGGTCGGGAGGAAGACCGACTTGGATCACATGGCTGACACCGGGGAAATCCATGCCTCGGGCTGTGACATCCGACGAAAATAAAATACCTGACTCCGCACGTCTGAATGCTTCGGCATTTCGTGTGCGTTGTTGTTGGTTAAGTTTAGAATGTATGTCGAATAATGGGATGCCTTTGATTCCACCCAATGAGGTATGCTTGAAGACGCTGTATGCGTACTCCACGGTGGCGGTATTTGAAAAGAAGATGATAGCCTTGAAAGGGAGTTCCGATGGATCGTTCTTGTGCTTTTGCATGCCCCTGTCGGCAATTTCGAGGATGGCCGGGAACCAGTTCTCATAACCGTTACACGCAGCGACATGTTGGGGGACCTTGGCGTGGGTCGGGGCTTCGTTTTGGTCAATAGTCTGCACAAACTCAAAGTTGTCGGTCTTGACCATGCTCTTGGCCAGATGGACGACATCGCGAGGGATTGTGGCAGAAAACAGGAGAGTTTGTCGGTCAACTTCCTTGACGGTAGGCACGAGCGCCAGAATGTCGCGAATAGCATCGGAGAAGCCAACATCGAGCATGCGATCAGCCTCATCTAGCACGAAAGCCTTCAGATTGGGAGCCGATACGTAGGCATCCTGGTCTGAGAGAAGATCTTGCAGTCTGCCAGGCGTGGCGACCAGAATGTGGCATCCCTCACGTTGCATCTTCCATAATGCTTCTCGTTTCCTCGTGCCACCGACAGCTGTCTGAACAACAATGCCCGTATTTGCGGCCAGCTTCCTCGCCTCGACGCCGATCTGCTCCGCCAACTCACGAGTCGGCGACATGATGATAGCTTGAACGTCCTCGGATGACGCCTTGCGACGGGCGTGCTTGTCGGCAAGTTCTGGCATGTTGACCAGAAGCTGCTGAAATACGGGGACAAGGAAAGCGAGCGTCTTTCCAGTACCGGTCTTTGCTTGCGCGACCCTGTCGAGCGGCGAGCGATTAGCATCGGGTTATACGCCGTTAGCAGAAGATACTCACAGGTCTACACCGTTCATTGCTGGGTTGATTGTCTTCGCCTGCACATCCGTCATAATATCGTATCCCATGCCTCTGGTGATGGCGTCAAGAAGTGCGGGGTGGACTCCGACTTGATCCAGATCGGCGAAGCGCGTGATGAGACCGCTCGGGGGCGCTGGAGTACTTTGGGAGTTGGCATCCTCGCGCTGGACGGCCGACTGTTGTGAGTAGAAGCGCGAGAGGGACTGTTGCGAGGACAGAACATGGGTGTAGACAGGTGCCAGGGCTCTCCTGCATGACTGTTGTTCCAAAGTCTGGGTGCGCAGAACGCTCAGGGAAGAGAAAGAGGAGATTTGACGGCGGGCGACATGGCCCAACCGGGCCTGCCGCTGTAGCGAAGCCTTGAACATACTTGAGTATTGACAAGTACGACTATGGTAGAAACCCAGTAAAGACGATCGGCCTTCACAAATGAATGGATTGAAGGCGAAACTGTCTTGGGTTTCGAAGAAGATATCGAGATTTGCAATGGGCAAGAAACAAATGTAGACCAGCTATCTTATCGCGTCCAATCGACTTTGAAATTTTCTGGAGCTCGGGTCGGACTGGTCACTTTTTTTTGGCGGAGACACGGAGCTAGCGCGGTTGGGGTCCTCATTTCTTGCCATCGTTACAGGGTAACCACTCCCACTGCAGGATTGAAGATAGAAGCTCGACAAGTTGCGACCTTCTGCCTCTCGACACGCTAAGAGAACCGGAAGACCTCACACCAATCTCCTACATAGGAATTACCGCTCTGCATCCGTCTTCTCTCTGCCAATATGACGCTGCAGAGTGAACCAGTACGGCTGTGGCAGTGTGGCCACCAAGTTATGACCTCGAATGCGGTCGTTGCGGCAAGAACATATCCAAAACGGATCTTCTCAATCCCTGGAATCAGTGTTGTCCTCACACATTACAAGCGTCAAGAGGCGAAACGTTTACATGTTACTTACGAGCATGCAACGGCCAGCACAAGCTCCAAACTTTGGTCTAGAAGCTGAATCCATGCCCTCCAACGAACGGTGCTTTCGGTGCCACGTTGTCGCCACAGGCTGATCTATCCTGAGTGTTGGGGACAGGTTACGTAGTCCGTGTAAGTGCATCTGCAGCTGCACCTGCACCTCAAGGTGCACTAGATGTCACAACAACCCGCCAACTCCTCGACAACCTTACAGTCGCACGACACAACAGTGTCCCCGCAAGGACGATCTAATCAAAACGTCAGATTAGCGAGGCTGAGGACAGAGCAGCAACACGGCAATACAGCAGCACAGCACAAATAGGATGCAACCAATCCGAGTCTTGGTTGGCCGACTCGAGCTTCAAGGAGATGAGCCTCAGAGCACATGCACCTCAGAAGGACGTTTTAGAGTTCGCATACCCGGCTAGTGTCTGGTGGTAAGACCCTTCCTCCCTCCATTGTGTCTAAACGATCCATGGCAAGCTTGCATCGGTACTTTCACATGGTCGCACCTGGGCCCAACGGATAGGTACATAAATGGGTCAAACCGGAGATCAACATGGGAAAGTTTGCGTCTGGCTTAGACATACAGAGTCTGGAGGACTGGGAAACTGGGGAATACCTGAGCTTATTGATACCTTTTATTGATAAGCTGCAATCCAACACACAGATATTTTCGACACGCCCTTTCACATACTTCTTTTCTGGTACAGTCTTTTTATGTTGTCTGGTTTTTCTATGTGGTTGCCATCCATACCAGATACAGCCCGGTATCTGCCTCTCTCTTGAGGTCACGATGTCTTTCCCATCCGCCCAGATGGAGCAGCCTGTAAACCTGTCGATGATGCAAGTGTTCAACATGCTGCCGACGTCGGTTCAATCGAGAATGCCGGTCATCCCCTTTACTAAATCATTGAGGAAATCCGTCAGCTTGCCTGCGCTTCCTCGCCGATCTTCAGCTCCGCCTCCGTACTCGGATGCTGTCTCGACCGCCACTAGCTCAAGCAGTCACTCGTCAGCTTCCGAGTCTATCTTTTCGGATGCGGAGTCGGGAATAACGGAGGTCTCAACCAGCACGTCGACGGCGGCCAGCAGTATAGGTTATAAACATCAGCCATTTGAGACATCCCTACCAACGGTCATGGAGGAGAGGAGGGAACAGGAAAAACGGCTGCCTCGTCAATTCAGCGCGTCCTCGTTCGACTCAACCAACCTTCGATGGTCCCCGTCCGGTATCAAGTGGAGATATGCACGCCAAGGTATGTAACGCATCCTCAGCGCTATCTGAGATAAACGTCCCGCTCGCATGTGATTTCTACTTGCGCCGTATTCCTTTTTTAACCCGCGTTTGGCAGGTGCGCATCTGACGGGCATGGCCTCGGAGGAAATGGTAGACTCTTCTTTCGAGCGACGCTCCTATATCGACGGCGTCGCCTATTTCTTGAAAGCCTGCCCGGACAATCTGACGGAACTAGAGACGGATATCATTTTGCGGTCCGCCCCATGGCTCGCTGAAAGGCCACGGCCGGAACGTAGGGTGACCATACGGCGGCCCTCGGACCGGGGCAAAACGTTCTTGCACCGCGGCGTGCAGTATTCAGTTTTTATGATGGTTGTGTTAATGCACGCCGTCTGGTGCTTCCTGCTCAACGTTGCCCGCTTCGGTGCATATTATGAAAGGCAGTACAACATTTCGCATCACATTATGGCTCGAGGGACCTTCGTCGCCAATGCCGTTGGGAAGCATAGTGTGGTTCTCAGCGGACGGATTAGCTCCATTGGCGATGGAAGGGTCGGGCAGTTTATGAGTGGCTTCGCCGCCTGGACGATGGATAGCTTGACTAGTGGCATACAGGACGGGTTTGGGGACGGCATTGTGAAGATTGGCCGCCAACCACGAATTCAGCTGCAACCCTGGGTTGAGAACTAAACCACACCACGATGAGGTGTTGCGAATAGGAAGTCGACGGAATCCACAGTCCCCCGAGGCTTCTGGGTCATTATAGGGTTGATGCACAAACGGCATCAGTATCAGATTCCTGCCACACAGAAACTAGCCTAAGTCTTGAACATTATAGGATGGATAAGGTCAGGTTGCGGCATAGACTGTATGATTTGCAAGATTCTGGGCATATTGGGTATTTGAAAGCATTTCAAAGTATGCGTACCGGCTTCCAGCGTATAGACATGGTTATTCTCCTATGTACTCGAATATAACAGTCAAACAATAGCTTCATTACTTGTGTCGTGACTTCTATCAAGTTATACCCTTAGGTAAACTACATGTAGCACACATTTCACCACATCCGACCAGTGCATTGAGCTCCCGGGATATGATTTAACCCCCGGGGTATTAAGGACGGATACCCTTAGGACCTTGGACCTGTCGCAACCACGCCTACATTTGGGAGTCCAAACTACGTAACCGCGGATTATTCGCTGGACGGACTGACACAACTTGTGAAGCGTGCTCCCATTATTGACCCATTATTGAATGTGCTCGCTGGCTAGAATGGCTACATACCGATCTCCAAAAACACATGCGGGTAATATATACCAAAGCCGTTACCGCCCCCTTCCCCCCCCTCCTTGAATGGTCTCGTACAATCCTACATAAAAACTGTCTCGGGGGAATATCCGTCAACGCGTGATGAGGTGTACAATCCTAGCCCGCCATTCAGCTACTCCTCCATCTGTCCCATACCATCAGTCCGCACGTCAACTACCCCCAGCAGCCCTTTCGGCGGCTATTTTCGCCTCCATCCGCCTCCGCGCCTGCAGAATCATCTCGTTGCGCCGCTTCTGCAGCAGGGATTGCCTCTCGTCCTTGTTTGAACTCCACCCCTGGGCCTTCTTGTCGTCCGCTGCGTCCTCGCTCGCCCCGCTAACCTTGTTCTGGAGGTTGTACCGCGTGATCAGATCCGGCTCCGTCACACTGGGAGGCGCCTTTTGTACGTGCGACTGCGAGGTCAAGGAGGGGCTTGGTGAGGGGGCGGAGGGGGTTGGAAGGTCACCGGGGGCTGGGAAGAATATCAGTGAATATGTCGTGAACAGGAAACGGGGTGCCAGAAGACGCAAATCAAAAGAGGGTGAAATCATAAGATCTCAGGGTCGTCCAGGTGGAACTCACAGTCTCTACCCGTCCCGACAAGATCCTCTCCGTCGTCGCCGACATATTGCCCCCCGTCCGCTGCAGATCCCACAATAACGTCCTCCGGTCCACCTGCGGGAACATCTGCTGCAGCTGCTCGACCGCGGCGTCCCTTCTGCGCTGCGCGGCGGCCGAATCCCGCGCCTGCGCCTGCTGCTGCTGCTGTGCTGACGGCCGCGCTGGCGACAGGAACAAGTACCGCAGAACCACAACCGAAAGCACCACGATGAGGATCACCGAGGGCAGCGAGATCTGTTCGTTGGCCATCGTTCCTTTTTGGATGGGTGTGCGGGTGCGTGGGCGCGTCGTTAGTCGTTCGTCGGGCGACACTGAGTGGAGGTGATGACGATGGCGGGCAGCTGGGTCGCTCGAGGTAGTGCTCGTGGGTCAACCCAGTCGAAATGACTAGTTTTGGCAGCTTCGCGCAGGCGCCAAATGCAAGTACGAAGCTTGGGTGAGTGATCCCTCGACCTTGGAGTACAAAGGAGGTTGAGTTTAGAACAAAAGATGGTTTGTTCTGGCGCGTTTAGTTGCGTGTTCTAAGGTTGAAGTGCGTTACGGCTTCCTCCGGAAGTACGGGGCCTGTCGGCTCCGATCCCGCCGGTCGTTCAGACATGCACCCAATTCCATTGTTGCAGTGGACAACCAATGGATTGTCATATTCGACTTGACCAGACATGGCTATCCCCGGTTTGACGCCGGAACAAGAATCCCGTACGAGCATAGCTGAACCAGATGTTGTGTCGTGGTCAGCATATTACCACAAACGACGCTGCTCGTTACCTTTGTTATGGATAAATGAATATACAGTTCAAGCAACAAGACTAGGGATACATAGTCTATCAGTGGACCTAACCTGCTATACATACTCCCATCCACCAAGCAGCAGCGTTCACCTCAATATGCCTGCAGTTCTTCCCAGCTGACCTATTCCCACCCCAACCTTCCTCACCACCCTGTCCAAGCCAGAGCAAGCAATGAAGGTCCTCACATCACAACAGTTCGCGTCAATCTGGAAGCAGTGTAATACCAGAGACACAGTGGAAGCCAAGTCATTATGCAGCGCACAGCGGACCCAGGCCATCTCGATTTGCAAAAAATGGGCATGATATGGAGAGATTCCAAGTAATCAAACTTGAAAAGAACAGATACTACACATGATCTAAGCCAGAGAGGCCAAGAAGAGCTGGAGAAGAAATAAAGGCATACATGAGTACGAGGGGCAGCACCTTTATATGTACATTTTGAGGGCGGCATTCTGGTGTCCTGAAAGCGGGGCGGACAGTAGGTTCTGCTGACATTACTCTAGGCAACCACGGAGTCAAACAAGACTATGACTGTGTTGACGAAATTTTCTGGTGGCAATCTCGCCACTGTGGTGCCGCATCTAGTGAAGCTGTTGCCTGCGATGGCTATATCCACCAACGAGGTCGTCGCAGTGGTTCATGGCGGGGATGATAAGGCCGGTCGGTCTATGGTATCAACTATGTCTCCGTCACATCAACAGGACATGGTCATGACAAGGCCCAGTAGTGACTTGGCAATAGTCACTTTGCTGTAACATTTAACTCTGGGTGGTTCGAGTAGGCAACAAGAACGGCGTGTGCGGCCATAACAACTGAGCTCGCCACTCTGAAGCTGTCTCCTGGTTGCTCACAACCCAGAAGCGCACACTCCATGTCAACCTGAGCTTATGACGTTTAATAATGATACAGTACCTACGGCAAAGAGCTCTTCTCGAGGTCAAAGAAGACTGTCTTGGAATCGACTCAACGACAAGTCCGCAATCGCAGACATCTGCCATGTTCTATCTCCCGATGATCTTGCCATCAAGGTAGTCAAAACTCCTAGCCTCGGGAGAATGTCTATGTGTTCGTGTAGATATGCCTATTATACAGCCTAAAAAGGGCATCCCTCAGCCCTGTGAGGATCCAGTCTGCGGCAAGCAATTATTGAGCAATCTCTGCGCCCCAAGCCTAAAATCAACGCTTAAGCCTCTCTAGTGCCAAGGCTGAGGTATACACGTTCCTCAATCGTCCGGCTCTCAAGACGCCTTTTTTATAGCCCTCAGACTCCGAGAATGAAAGCCAACCGGACCAACCCTCTGAAGCTCCCAGAGTGGTGAATTCACTGTTTCCTTACGATAGACCAGCACCACATTAACCAAGCATGGAATGCGTGCGAACACCCTTCGGGCCAAGTTCGCTGTGGAACGCAATTAGTAACAACTCATTGCCATCTAGGGAAACACGACTTACTTATAGTCAACACGGTTGAGGCTCATCTGGCGTTGGGCCTCGGTGGTCGACGCATCCAGATTGTGAATGCAGTAGGCAAGCCGGGCGGCTACTAGCGAGCCCAGGAACATGGCCTCCTCGTAGCCATTCTTGGTCCACTCTGCCAGATACGTCGGCAAGCTTGCCATCTTGATGCTGGTCGGAGTCTGCGCATGAGACTGGTGGTGGCTGGGACCGGCTTCGCCCGTTGTCGAGCCAGGCGCATTGACCTGGCCAGGTACACCGAGGGATGCTGTGGTCGCAGCCTGCAAAAGCGGATTCACAGAGCTTGTCGTCGGCAACGGACCGGTGAAGGAGCCCGTGGGCGTTTGAGAACCTGTGCCAGTAGGCGTGGCCATGTTCGAGGGAAGCTCAGACGTGAAAATCGTGGCAGTGCTGGGCGAGACAAGGTGTCGAGCGTTCAACGTCTGCATGATGTTCTCCTTGAGACCTCGCAGCCGGCTGCCGTTTCCGACGAAAACAATGTTGTCCCAGCAGCCTGATCTCTTGTAGATCTCATCGATGTTCTGAATTGCGCGGTAGATGGTGTCCGTGATGCGATCAATCTCACCGCGGTCGGCAAAGAGGAATCGCTCGAGGCCAACCTCAATATCCCGCCGGACGCGCTTCGTTCTGCGCTGAGTGATGGAGCCAGTAGCATCCGCAGCGAAGGGGAGAGCGTCACTACTACTCGTGTCGCCGTTAGCCGGCACTGCCGCCTCTGCATCGCCGTTTGCGGGAGTGTTTTCCGGCGCAGGTGCCTCTCCGTTTGCCAGGGTTGCCTCTGCGGGCTTCGGCGCTCCGTTCGATTCGGGGACCTGTACATCCTCGTGCACGAGCTCCTCGTAATGAAAGACGTTGACCTTGCGTCTCGAGTTGGGCAGGCGGACAGCCTTCGCCGCAGCAGCCTCAGCTTCTTGAGCTTTGCCCTTCTTGGCCTTGGCCTTTTCCGCCTTCTCCCTTTCTTTCTTGGCAAGAAACTCTCTCGCGTTTCCACTCGTCACGATGTTGGCCACATCGAGGACACCGTCGTTATCTGCCTTCTCATCGATGTTGCCACTTTCGTCATCAACTCCCAAGGGGACCGCAGGCTCGTTGACTTTGGGCACCTCGGCAACTGCTGCGGTATCAGATCCACCTTCCGTAGGCAGGTCCATGAGTTCCGGCAGGTCAGCTGCATACGGCAAGACTTCACAGAGAGGGCTTTTCTTCAATTGCTCAGCCATGTCGTATGTGAAGTTCTTGTCCCTCAGCAACGATAGCAGTTTCTGGGTGAATACTTCACCGCCTGAAATGTATCGCGTAGGTGTCGGGAAACCCAGGTCCTTGTGGCTGACGATGATGTGGTCGTGTATGCAAGTGACATCCACCTTCTCAAATCCAATGTCCACCACGGTCATGGTAGGCCATTTTAAGCCGTACTGAGCAGCGACGGCACTGTGCAGCAGACATAGAGCGGGAGTCTTAGTCTTCTCGAAGATGTACCGCGCAATTGTCTCGCAGTCGGGTCGTGTCCATTGGGGCGACGCCATGAGCATAATGGGAGTGTTGTGATATGTCGTCGTGAGCAAACTGTGCACGTGGTCCAAGAATGCGAGGAAGGCTTGCGTATTCACGATGCGACCACCCTGAATGGGGTATACGGCACCCTCAGTCGAGTCGCGGTCTTCGACATATTCGTAGTCATTGCCGCCTCCATCACCATTCGCGCCTTGCTTCTTGCGCTTATAGGTGTGGAAGGGTCGGTACTCATCGGTCTCGTCATCCTTGAACATACGGGTGGGAATGCGATGCGCCGGTGGTGTGAGCTCGCTGCATCCCAGCTGGGCCATGGTGGTGTGGCTGCCGGGGCAGATAATGAGCACCTGCTCCTCGCGCCACTTTCCTTGCTGACTCGACATGGTGTCGTTATCTTCGTCCTCGCTGATTGCGGAAAGGAAGGTGTTTTTCCTGCGCGACTCTCGCTCAAGGGCTCGCTGTTGGCGAGGCGTCAAGTCGTTCTTGGTGGGTGAGAAATGCTGCGGATGCGCTCGACTGGGAGTCGATGGGATTCCGGGGCTGTTTTCGCGTTCGTCGTTACTCGAGACAGCGTCGTCGTCGTCCTCCTCGTTGTCTGGGTCCGAAGCGTCGTGGTTTGCCCACGAGTTGAGGATACCCTGAAGTTCGCGCGGACCAACGCGATGCCACTTTGAGCTCTGCGGCGTGGATTCCGACTGACTTGCGGTGCGGTCGGCGTTTTGCGGATCACGACTGCTTGTACTGGAACTTGGGGTTAATCCGGTGCCGATTGGCCAATGGGGGGCAAAAATCGACTGATCTAAGTGCGATGCACTTGGATGACTCGGGTATAGAATAACTTTTTTGACGAGCCTCAAATGGCAAGTTCTGTGGGCAGTTGCTTATTCCAACATCCAGATGAAAGCTGCCACTGCTTCCTTTTCTTGGCCATTGTTTTGAAACAGCCAGCTGCCCCAAGAGACTGTGCCACTTTGGACCCCATGTTCTTGGAGTTTGGAGTATGGAGTACCATGACTTACCTGACTTTAACAGGGGTAATGGCTGTGGCTGGGGCTGATGCTGCCGTTGCCGCTGCTCCACCGTCCGTATCTGCAACTGCCGTTCCGTCTTGGTGTGCCGGCAAACTGGCCTGCGGGGCCGAAACGCCGGGTCTTCTCCACATGCCAGTGATGCGCTTCGTACCCCTGGGCCGAGCCATCATGAATATTGATCAGAGGAAAGTGTTGTGTTCGTTTACCTATGGGGAGCGTCTTGAGTTTCCATGCTGCGCAAACTTAGAACGTTTCTGGGCGGCAAGTTCGTTAATCGCAGGCAGGTGTGTAAACAAACGTTGGTCCAAGGCAAGCTCGTAAACTTTGATCGAAGATGAGCTTTTGGATATGGATCACAGGAAAGCCTCGTGGATGTTGGTCCAAGGCACGCATGTGAACTTTGACCAAGGCAGGCACGAGAGAGAGCATTGGTCAAAGGCCACCGCCGAGAACGCGGATCTAGGGCAAGTGCCGAAAATATTAGTCTGCGGTAAGCCTTGTGGTTATCGGCAGACCCCTCTAATTCAGCTCCCTTCCAGGAAAGGAATGAAAAAGTGCAGTTCTCATGCACTCTGTACCGTTGGTAGTTTGGAGCTTGAGAGGCCTGGGGGATTGGGGGACCAAACTCCAGGCCAGTCTGTAAATAACACGACTGGGTATTGATTTTCTGCCTGCAAACTCACAGGACATTCACAGCTTCTTCAAAGGCCTCAACTTTCAAAGAGTACAACTGTATCTTGTGCTAAGATACTATCAACTGGGCCTTGTCTGATGCACTCCCACTGCCCCCAACATTCAAAGAGGGTTTGTCTTACTGACCTGGCTCTCTCACATCTACTTGTGTTTACTACATGAGCACTCTCTATTCGTTTAACATAATTCATGATTGTTGATCCTCCTTGTTGTGGAATCAGCATCTCAAAAACTAGCGTCAAGATTTGATGGAGATCTCTTTTGGAATTCAATACCGCAGTGAGTGGGTTGCTTGCCTTTCGATGACATACGTAGACATATGTTCTTTCGCCATGTAGGGGCTTGGTATTGTCCTGAGTAGAATGAGGTAAATGCATTTCTAAGAATGGTGACTTGATTCGGATACGGCTATCAATATGAATTAGGTAAGTGGTAAAGTTTGTTTGGGAATCTGGTTGGTTTTGTCAGGCTGTTTTAGGACTTGTCAAGAATAGGAGTGCGTTATGCATTATGTCTACGTCCTCGATGGATATCCAGCATGTCGAGGCTACCTGAAAATACCCTTGGCTATATCGGTCCTCCGTATTGTTTCGCAAGACCGAACATATCAAGAGTAGTCTCAAGCCACGGCCCTGCCACTAAGTAACCAAGTCTGCTACTGAATGTATAACAGACATTAAATTGACTGTTGGTTTTCGTTAGGCAAATCCCTGAAGGTTCTCCCCTGGCGAGTAAAGTGTTCCTCGCATCGTCATAAGTGTACAGATGGCTAGTCGCCAAGAGAAACCGATGCTGTCCCATTCCAAAGAGTCCGTTCCACCCAGACCCATGAGTTCAATCAAACACTCCACTCCGCCGTAACGTAGATTATGTACAAAGAATTATCTAATACATTTTGGCAAAAAAAAGACTATTCTCTCTCTCTCTCTCCCTTCTTGGGGAGGGGGCGGCTCACATAGGACCCAGATGGATGGCCTCGCTTTCTTTCCACTGTTCTCGTGAAAGTCCCATATAAAGTAAGAAGCAACCGTTCGTTTCGTTTCCTGCGCGCCGCCTCTCATGCCTCTGTGGAAAAAAAATCGAGAGCCTTTCCGCAGCCCGTGTGATGTCGCTAAATGAAAACTCCGTGCCCATATCTTAAATCGTCATGAAGGAGTGTGGAAAATGGTATAATATGCGTTTTATGCAACCGATACCGGTACGCCATGGTTGGACTCGGGCTCAACCTTCTCTGCCTCGATGAATGCTGGTTGCGTTGCCGTAACTGCTGCACGTGCTTGATCGTGGCTGTCGGACAGCGGGTTGATTGTCTCCTGAGTTGGCGTTGCCGAGCGTTCGACCTCCGTGCTACTAGTGGCTGGTTCCGCGTCGCCAGCCGTGCTCAGCGGACTGGCAGCACCGTTCGTAGAAGCGATGAACGTCTCGCCAGGCTTGGGGGTTGCAGCCTCCTCAATCTGAACGCCGGTTTCGAACTCTTGTCGGAGAGGGCTGGCCATCATGCTCACATCGCCAAACTCGCTTTTGCTTGCGCGAGACATGCGAGCTGGGCTGCGAAGCGGCAAAGGTGGCGGGATTCGGCGAGGAATTGTGACCACTGCCCCCTTCATCTGGATAGCCTGAGCCGCAACGATAGTCATACGAGGGGGGGCTTGTGCTGTCGCAACCTCATACACTACAGGCTCTTCCTCCTCCTGCTGTTCTGCGTCTTCAAACTCGTCCTCGCTATCAGAATCGCCCATTTCTTCGTCGTCGGCGTCAACTCCATCGTCGTTGGTGACATGAATATCTGGTTTTTCGGCTTCAGCGCTGGTGTGCGCCTCAGCTTCGCCATTCGAGACATGCTTTTCTGGACTCGCGGTGATGGGTTCCTCTTCCAAATCTGGAAACGCCGACAAGTTTCGCAGGGCGCTCAAGTCGATCTTGGTATAATCGACTTCCTCGGGTTCTTCTTCAAATTTTGGCACCTCCTCGCTAATTCGCCGCGGTTGCCCATTCTCGCTGTAGCTCGGGCTCGGTGTCGTTTCCGGCGTGTTGAGCTCTGTTTGAGTACACGCATCAGTCATTTGACTGCGCTCGGTGGCCATCGTTTTGCTGGACATGTAGCTACCTCTATTACTTCTCGACAAGTAAGTGTCGACGCTTTGGCGCCCGGCTCTGGGGAACGCAATGCTTGTGGGGCTTGGGGCATACTCGAACTGGCTGCTTTCGGGCCTGAGCCTCGTTCCGGCCTCGCGAATTTCCAGTCCCGCCATCTCGAGCGCCAAGACCCCGAACGGGTCAGGATCTTCGATGTCGGGAATGCCAAAAGATGGCGATAATGAGCTTACGCTAGACGGCGATTCTATACTTGCATCTGAGGGACATGGGGTGGAAGCCAGTTGCTCGACAAGTACGGCGTCGTAGTCCGTCCTGCCTTCAGCCGCCTTGAGTATTTCGGACAATGATCTCAACTGGGGCAGACTTTGGTTGACGTCGCCAGCGAGGATTTTGGGAATGCTGAAATTGGCGCCGTAGAATCGTTCGTTCTCGTCGGGTCGGTGGCTCAAGATGGTGCCGTCCAACCTCACGTTGGCCGATTGCCCTTTCGCTTTCACATAGGTGAAGACCGTGTCGCTCAAATCCGCCCATCTGATATCGTTCTCGAGCAACCCGAGCGATACGAGGGGACCTGCGGCCAGGCTGACATCAGTGCCGAGTGTGAATTTGGATCTGCCGAATGTCTCCAGCATGGTGAACGTGTTGATGATGACAACGCAGTCGTATATGTCAACCCCTAAGACAAACCCCAGGGTTGCAGTCTGCAGCATCAGCCCGGACGGTGGTGACCAAGTGCCATCCGCCTTACGGGCTAGCAGGATACCACTACCTCCCGATCCAGACGTCCACAAGCCGGAGCGCATGGAAGTAAACACGGCTAGCCCCACGGCATTCTGCATTATTCTCGGCGGGATCTTCTTCAAGACTCTACTGGTGCTGGTGCCGCCGCTCGATGTGGTCAACGGACTGGTTGGCCGCTCGTCAGGGACCAAGAAGCCATCGCCTAAGGAAGGTTATCAGTAACACGGTCCTACGAGCTTGGGCGGTTTGTTGGTCGTACTGCAAAACGACTTGAGGATGCGAGCCGCCTTCTCGCATTCCTTATCCAGCGTCGTAGGCCAGAAGGCTTCCTTTGTGAGTCGAGACGTGCTCAACCGATTCGTTGGCGAGGGGATCTTGTCGGCCCATCCGCGAACCTTGTCGAGGCTCGTCTTGTTGCCATTAGTGCTGCCGCTCCCGGCGCTGTTCCGGCTACGGTCCCAGCTTGGAAGCAGAGCCGAAACCCGCTGCATGGTTGTGATTATCCAGGTAAACCACCAGTTGCGCCCTCAGATCATGGAATCATGGACGCAAGGGAGAGAGACGGCGATGGGGGTGGGAGTTGGTGTTGGGTGTCGCAGAACCCATCAGGCTTCTACGCCAACAAGGGAGGGCGGCTGTCTTTGGCGAACTCTACTCTGTCGCGTGTTGGGGAACGGAGGGGGTGGAAAGAGACGGAGATGGCGGCAAGCTGATGGGAAACTCAAGTGACGGTTTGACACTTGCGGCAAAGCGTGTAATTCCAAAATGGGGTGGCGTGGCTAGCGGGGGTGACCAGCACACCTGGTCAGCCTGCAGGGGAATGCTGGACCTTTCTCGGCCGGTGGCCTAACTCAAAGAGTCCAGGATCAATGTCACTGACGATTTAAATTCAGGAACGAGGGTAATTAATAAGGTACCGGCAACATGTAGATGGTCCACGGGTGTAAATGGGAGGGGCGGAAGCTGCGGGGCCCTCTGGAAGCAGCAGCAAGCTAAAGTAGGAACATAGAAAACCGACGCGGGAGGAAGTTACAGTAAATACTTCATTCAATAGGTACGCAAAAAGCAAAGAATGCAGCCCCCCAGCTAGTCAAATTTGGAGTGGAATTGCTGCATGTAGACAATAAGGCGAAGGACTGGGGCACTCCTCACTCTACACATCTGCATTTCTGCATTCAGTCAAACCAGTGGCTTGAGGCTAACGTAAGGCTGTCGCCATGGCTTGTCATCCTTTTGGATTTTACTTGGCGGAAGGGTCTCCCATGAAAGCCTTCCAAAGTCTGATCCAAGTCTTGCAAATTTCGGGACGAACGCATGCTCCACATTTGTTCGCCCTCCTATTACTGTCACCGGCAATTTTCGCAACCAAACGAATCGCCGATGTTTTGCCCTCTCGTGCCTTTTTCCTCCTTGGCTCTACCGCTAATGCTGTGCTCCGCACTCCCCCACTGTGTCTCTCGTCAGTGTCACAGAGACGGTCCCTCAATTTAAAAAGAAATGTTGACCATGTAGTACCACTTGTTGAACATTGGCCACACCAAACTTCAGAACGAATTGAACCTCGGAAGGTTACCTGCTTGCTTCTCCACATCGTTTTTCCAATACTGGCGTAGCAGCGGCGTTCCTACCGGAAACGCACTTGAGCACTGACAGGCCGGCATTAGCGGCTATCCCATCTCTTCTTCTTTGGCGGCGGAATCACCAACATGAATCGACGGCTGGAAAAGGCAAACACCCTCAAGTTTGATGCACAGCAAGTGATACACATAGAGTAATCAATATTGCAAAGCAGACGCACGGCATAAGCAGCGCTAGCCCCCAAGATGACACCGCAACGCACGTCGTTTACTACCTCGCTACCGCTTACATCGTGACCTTCCGAGTTGTCATTATTGCACAGAGATCAAAGCGTACATCAAGGGCTAGTCTTGGATAGGGATCATCCTCCGCAGGGTGCCCGGACCCCGTTCCATGCCGCTGGTTCCCAAACACAGGGTCATCCTTGAACCGCATCACGAAAGCCGGTTCTTGTCGTACATGGCATGTTTCTGTTCGCGTCGCTCACAGGCCAGCAATTCGGGACAATTCTCCTAGTTGGTGGGCATCGCCACGATTTCAATCAAATAGGTTTCCTTGACCAGTCTGTCTGATGAGATCGACCCCGCCCTACTCCGCCTCCAATACGTCGTGAAACCCGTCCCCCCCCCCCGTTCCCCCCGAGATCACCCGCAGGAGATACGTTACGAGTTGTCTATGCAATAGGGTTTCGCTGTGTACACTACCGATGCTGCCGATCCTCCCCACTCGACGCCGCGCCGGAAGCAGTACTCTAGTGGCATGCGTAGATCGTTCCGCGCGCGGCTAGGCAAAATATGTACAGGAATGTATGTCAATAATGCTAATAAGTCGTTCATCATTACTCAGTAACTTTGCAATTGCATCCTCTGAAACTCCATGTATCTCAGACTCTGATTAACCCAGCCAAACCACGAAACTCCAATCCCCTGAACCAACTCTTTTGCCTGCATCGGGGGTTTGTTCCGTTCGCTCGTTTGTCGCTGCGTCGGAGGGACCCTGAAGATGATCGTCACGAGATTCCAAGATCTGAAAAGTGGGAACCCCGAGATTTCGGCTTTCGTCTAACCCTCCAAGTCCCCGTTCCCCCTTACAGCTGTTTCTTCAATGACCCAATGGGACCGTCTCCCGACAAGACCTCGGAAGCCTGCTTGTTGCCCTTGAGTTGCGCTGGAGATCATTATCAGCAAATGGATATACCTTTCAGTTTCGGTAGTTGGGGGCGGCGGGCTAGGTTCATCAAATTAACAGGCTAAAAATAAAAACACTCACAGTCCATGTAGTCTTTGCCCTGAGCTTCCATTTTCTCTTGTTCTGCCTTGGCTTTGGCTTTGAACATCATGACACTGAGGGAATGGCACACATAAGTTAGTTCGAAGGTTGTGATACCTACTTCAGTATCGTGCACTGGGATTGGCAGAGCCTACCCGAGCTTCTCAATCAGTGGATCCAGCATGCCCTGCTCGTAGGCAACGTAGCTGCCGCCTATCAAGGCGCAGATGACTAAGAGCGAGACGAGGACCGTCTGCCAAGCTTCGACTTCAGCCATCATGTGCGGGTCGGTGTTGTAGTGTGAGTGCTTAAGTGCCGGCCTGGGGAAGAAATGGGAATTCAAGGTAAAGTCTCAATTGTTTAATTAGATTTCTTATTTTGTTTTCGGAATTGACTTTCGTTCTATACATTCTGTTCCTTTATATCCCCCAGGCCATGCTATATCCCAACCTGTTTCACGCTCCAAATGCCTTGAAGAGGAGATGAGGTTCATGCCGCATGACGACATCGACCAACGCAAAAGCCGGATTTCTCAAGCCCGCAACAGAGCTCGCCACACCCGAGTGATACAAACGCCAGGAGTACAAGCGCTCCCAATTAAATCATGAGTGGTTCTGTAGTTCGAAATAATCAAGGTTCGTCGTGCAGCTATCCGAGCGGCAGATACCATGCTCCAAACGCCATGTCATCGTGAGGTGATATTGATGCGAAGTTCTATATTGCGCCCTCGATCCCTGCTGTCGAGGGGCTTGTGGAAAAGTCTCAAAAATTCTGTGCCAGCGCGTTTCCTGGGTACGAGCCGCCGAATCGTACAAATTGTTCGAAAGGGAGGCAGTTGATGGTCTTCCGAGAGGCTCGAACCCAGCGTGGACAAGGCACACTTTCCCAGGATTCATTGGTCAAGGGGTAGAAGTTGTAGGTCTCGTGGGAGGGGAGGCCGCGATGCTCGCATTCGAAGATGCCCTCCAGGTGTAGACGCTCAAGGTTGGGGAGCTTCACATGCAGCCCAGCGAATAGAGACTTGAAGTTGCCTTCGTATAAATGGATGCCTCCACTCGAGGCAGCATCTGGCGTAGCTAGTCCACGTCCACCCAGGCGGAGGCGCCGCAATGTCGCATTGTGTCGTGCGAGAAACTCCCTCAGGTCCTGTTCGTCGCAGGAAACGCCTTCCAGTGTCAACTCCTCGAGTTTCGTGAAAGTGAAGCCATTTAATAGTTCCCGGAAAGAGAGAGCGAACTTGGAGTCGGGGCTCGAATAGGGGTGGAAAGCGAGCTTGAGTTTCTTCAACTGGCTCGCTACTTGTAGAAGGTAGCCCAGACCGTTGACCGCCATGACGGCGGACGAAGGTCCCACGAGGCCAGACGGATCCAGAGTCAGGCTGAGTTCGGACAGGCTGTCAAACGACTGGGCATGTGCAAACCAATGCTTCCGCTGGACCTTGTTTTTCAACATCTCCAAAGGGAATCGGTCGACCGAGAAGGATGAAAGCCGCACGCCATGTAGCGCGAATATAATGGTGTCAAGATTGGTGGAAGCCAGGGGACGGTCCATTTTCCTGCAGTTCGGCATGTCGTAGACCTCTCTCATTACCACCACGCTGTCGTCAAGGGGGCATTGCGTGAAGGTGATCGCCACGTCCTTCAAATTGGGAAGAGCAGTGAAGGCTTCTCTTAAGTCATCGCTTCTGGTGTGCAGTGGATCCGCCGTCTTGCGACCTCTCTGGACCTTGCGAAAGTCGTCGAATGCACTCGTGAGGAGAGCTGCGCGCTCTTCGGGAAGCTGAGCAAAATGCTGGCAGTAGGCGGAGTGTCTGGCATAGTATTCATCGACCTCGGCAAGATTGATGACTATCGACTCGATGCTGCCTCGGAGGCGGTCATGCAAGGCGATACTGTGCAGATGGTCGATGTCGTCCCTGTAGCCCAGAATGGTGAACTTCGGGGGCAACAGGTAGTCGTAACCCACGTCGGCCAAGGTACGATTTGTTTCTCGCAAAGTCCTAACGGATGGGGGATCGCATGATGAAAATATGAGCCTCAAAAGCTCGACTGGCAAGGCGTCCATCAACTTGTTGTGGCCGGATGCCGCCTTTTGCAGCTGTCAATAACGAGGCCGGCGACGAGAACCCAGAACCGCGGATACCCGAACACGTTGTGATGATGATGATAACGACAGGGTGCGGGCTGTCTTTTGCAAGAGAACGAGTGTCCCGCTTTTACTACGACTGGCTGGGAGGTCGGTCAGTCAGCGAAGGCGATGATGTCGAGGCAAACATTCAAGGCGATGCGGCAGGCTGGGGGTGATGGAATAATATGTATGTATATGTACCTAAAAAGTCAAAGGGTAAGAGGAACGCCCTGGTCTGCAGCGGGCCTTTCAGGATCCGATTGGGTCGGTGAGGGTGAGACACATATAGACTTTGTCAGTGATCGAGTCTTTTGTTCTGTCAGACACGGGCTTGGGCAACTTTTTATCACATGGAACCTCTGCAGTAAATCAATATCTCGCTTCTTTCTTTTGTTGGATGATCGAAGTTGCGGTAAGGAAAGCTGCCAGACCAGCCTGCGACGTGGCAAGGGGTCTAGTACCTGCATAAGTTCGTTAATCATCAACACCGTGTGTCTAAAGCCTGGGCCAGACTGTGCATATCTGGGAAGCTGGAGGAGTTTTCGTGAACCGCCATTGGCCAAACGACCTGCTACACCTGACTCTTTTGAGCTGATGCCTGGCTCCCACGCCGCAATCGAGAATGCACATGCGTCTGTTGGGACCTGGATAGTTCATGAAGAGCAACGACAAGCTTGACTAGGTCTAGGGCACCCCAGGAATAGTGCCAGGTCACACAGAGCCGGACCAGCATGAGAGCCTCAGTCACACCGACTTCTCCTCTCCATTGCTTCTCAAAGTTGGGGAATCGGCGACAACCCAGACACCACCAAGCATCGCATCGCATCGCATCATCCTACCTCGCACCTTCCACCTGTCTACCCTTGTTCGTCTTCCAAGTCGGCCACGAACCCTACACTGTCCTGTCACCAAGCAACTAACAACTAGTTAACCACGCCCAACGTTAACGGTGACACAAGAGGAACACGAGTGCCCAAAGTTGCATCGGATTGCGCATAGTGTGTGCAGATGTCGCTATTGCAGTAAGTTTGATTGACTGGTCTTGTGGGTGGGTCTTGAATGGTCTTCTGGAAAATCATCAATCAAAAACTGGGGTTGGTCGGCTGAATAAACAGACAAAGACACTAACACACGTGGTTTACCGCCAGGACGTTCCGGAACCTGTCGCCGAGGATGCGCCTGGGAGTCGGTGTCGGCATGCTCGCCTGGGGAGCGATTGGGCTGCAGCTGTCCGATCGTGCTGAAGACAAGTACGGCCTCAAGGCTAGCGAAAAGGACCACGCTGCCCTCAATCAGATGGTTCCGACCATTGTCACAGTGGACAAGGCCAAAGGTCGGTGAGCTGGTGCAACGTGCAACCACCAAACCCGCTTCGGCGGTGAGCAAAAGCTACGAATATCAAAGCGCACACACATAGGCAGCAGGGGTTGTCTCCCAGCTTTCAAGACTACGTCCATCTTGTTCCGGAATGTGGATGAACTCCTCGCTTTGGCTCCTGGTCACGGGGCGCCTCAATTGTATTTTGGAACAACTACAATACTCAGACTTTAGTGGCCACCGTCTACTTCATCCATCCCATCCTGATTGATATCATGACAGCTTATTTCACTCGCTGAATTGAACCTCTGCCACCAACTATCCACGTCGCCCCATCGACAATCAAAGCAATCATAGTCGAATGATGAGTTCCCTGTAAAAGCTTCGGTTGTGAAACGACACAAGATATTCAATACTGCACCACCAACCCGGCCACAAAAGCCGGCTCCGTAGCCACTCCAGAGACCATGACTCATGTGTCTATCGAGATGCTTTCACTAGTTCCTTGAGCAGCTTCAAAGTTTAGATACTCTAATGTCTGAAGCAGTATCCTCGAGGAAGATGCAGGGTTGCCGGCGTACAGGACACCTGTTCGTTGATGCAGGCATTGGCTTCGTATTCACCCAGTGGAATGCAGCCATCTTGTAGTTCCAAACCTGTCTCCCATATTACTACTAGACCCGCGCGACCCCCCAACATGTTCATGTCATCATCTCTTACAGATCTCTGTGCTCTATCTAGTACAGTCCTGTTCTGAGCCTCCTGCAGCTTACTTACCCAAATTACACAAGCACGACATAATCAGCAGGATCACTCTCGTCTTCCGAGAGACCATCGCGTGACTTCTCCACCTTCCCAAGGCTTGTCCTACACGATCATATTGTAACCTATTGTGTCATCCGCCACCGTTATCGGGGAACCTCGTCTTGCTCGGAAGTAGACTCATATTCGATATTCATAAGGGGGTAGGTAGGCTCTGGCTGTGTGCTCGAGCATCATCCCGGAACTGCAGTCGATACGTAGAGTTGAAGGATCATACCAGAACTACAAGTAGAGACCTGTGCCCTACAGTCCCCGGCAATCGGTGTCTTCTCTAGTTCAGCACTTGGATGCCGTCAAGCCACGGAGTACTTGCTCACGTAATCACGGCGTAGTCAGCAGACGGTCATCCTCGTCGTCCCAGGTCAACTCAGAAGCTGGCCACAGCCAGATAGGTTTGGGAGGAGCTACGTCGACAAAGAGTCCACCGTTTTCATTTTCATTTCCATACCCGGTCGAAACTATTGACCGCAACCCAACAGAGTCTCAAAGGAGCAATCGAAGTACGCTACAACCCAAAGCGACGGCATGACGTAGTCGGCGAAAACCCCTGAACGACATAGTAGATATCCAGCTTCTGTCACTGGCCCACCGCATCCTGGCTCTTATTTAGACGTCGTCGGGTAAGAGCATGATGGAAAGCATCAATGTTTGTTGGGTCACAGCCGTGTAACCAAGCGGCGTCCCTGCACCAAGACAGTCATCGCAAAACGGATGGATATACGCAAGACACGGAGAGTATATCAATGGGAAAACTTCAAAAATTGCCTTGATTGGTACGAGATAGGCTCAAATAAAGAGATACATCGCATAATACAACTGAAGACTGCTCGACGAATGCTCTTTTCATCAACTAGTGCAACGCGTACCGAGTGAATCATCCTCCAACAGCAGAATTTGCTACACGTGAAAAGTCATAATCGCCACCTTTAAGGGGGCCCAAACCGGTCCCCCGGCCTAATCTATGGGTCGAGTCTAATGCAGAAGCCAGTCTAGTTCAAGTATCGCAGCCAACCCCGGTAAAATGCAAGTCAGAGATGCCGCCGTCATGCCAGTCCGATGCAGATAAGGGGGGAATCGAAACTTTTAGACAGGGAAAAGAAGAAAAGTAAAGCATGTAGAAAACGCCTGAAATGCTGTAACCATCGCCCGGTGCCCCCTTTGCAACACACCCCTCATATCTCCGTCTTAATGGCAGGAGAATTTACAACCTGCGGCAGTGGCCGAAACAAGTCCGTCATGTTGACAGTTAGATCCTGAGCATCTCGAGCGCCGTAGTCATTAGCGATGTCGCCAACGGAGCCCATCTCTTCACCTCTGTTGACCCCATCAGACATTACCCAGGCCTTGACTGATTTGAGGAGTCCCATGACGTGACGGAAACGATGCTCGGCCGGCATTTGCAAATCCCCAGGTCGAGTGTTCTTCAGTAGCCACTTCGCCAACCAGAAGTGATGGATCCCATCGCGCGAGAAACCATACCGTCGGGGATTCTGAACCGAGTTTGGTGGAAACTGAATCGCCATGTCCATGTCCCAGTTCGACTTGAATTTGTCGAGCGCAGTGCAGAATGACTTGTACACCTGAGGGGTGAGGCCCTGGTTCAAGGCATTGACAGGTGTAGCTCTGCCGCTGTTGTTTGCGCTCACGTTGCCACTGCCAGCTTCGGAACCAGACTTGAAAATCCAATCGTTCTGAGAGAGGGGCGTCAAGGAACCATTGATGCCGCTGATACTGTTCAAATTGCCACCCAGTTGCGCGTGGCGGATTTGAGCAAGCAGACAATGAACGATAATGAATTTGCCGTAGAGGTTTGTGCTTCCAGGATGAATCTGATATGAGGGGTGAAACAAGGCCTTGAGTGCAAGATCCACTTCAGGCTGCTTGCTACGCTGAGACCCATCGGGATTTCGTGCTTTTGCCGCTTCGGAACCATACAGATGAAGCGCTTCGGCGCACTCAATTGGAGTCTGAGCTTCCCAAGCCGCGTCATCTGCTGGCAACGGAATGTGCAACTCAAAGCTGTCAAACTGGGGCCTAGTATTAAAGTAGAGACTTTGTGCCACATCAGTCAAGTAAAGCATGTGCATCAGCCGCACACGCCGCTCCTGTTCAACCCACGTGGACCAGTCGAAGCTCTGGGGATTGACAGATTCCAGAGACAAGTTGGGTTGGTGGAGAATACTGTAGAGAGAAGAGTCAGCCGAGACTTGCAACAAGCCGCGGCGTCTAGCAATGCCCGCAACCATGGGGAAAAGGCGCGTAGACGTCTCCCGTTGGGCTGGCGTGCCATTCCAAAGTAATAGGGCCGTCAAGAGAACAAGCGCTTGCAGTTGTTCAATGTCTTTCCTATTGTCGCGAGTTGGAGCCCCATGCTCGGATTTAATTTCCTGGTGGTCTGACAGAAGATCTGAATCGGCATCCAGAGCAATCTTCAGAAAATTCATGGCATCGCGAACGTGGTCAGGTGATACTTGATCGGAATAGCATGCTCCAATGCAGCACATGCCGGCGAGAAGGCCAGTGTACGTTTCCATGGGATGGAATGTGGGGGTGTGTAAAAAGGAGAAATGGACGTGGTAATGAATATATTTTTCTAGAAAGTCTTTTATGTTCGCTGGCGAGAAGAAGGTGTTGATACCAGCCGTTGGGGGGCCCACGACAGCTCCGGGAGTGTGGAAGAAGTTGATGATCTGTGAAGACAGCTGATGATACGATATTCCCCAGTTGGCAAAGAAAGGCGGTCGTTCGTTCACGTTGTTCGCGGTCGTGCCCGGAAGCCCAGTGGCCCTTGCGGTGTCTAGGTTATGTTCTCGTTTGGTTGCGATCTGCGTCTGTCCAAGATTAGGATTCGGAGGAGGGAACGTATTGACGTAGGTCTCTTGCGCACCAGTCTGCTGGAACATATTCCAATTGAGATCCTGTTGGCCTGGGTTGGAACCTCCAAACATGGGCATCCCGTTCTGGTTCTGGGACATGCTGTAGTTGGCCAGCTGCGGGTTGATGTTGGACGCCATGGTGCTCTGCATATCGCCGTTGTAGACCGAGTTACCACCAGTCATGCTTCGTCGGTCGCGATTGTTGGCATCTTCCATTCGGCTCATGCTACTAGATCTCGAGAGTTGGTTCTGGTCGTTGGCCATGTTCTGCATTCCGTCGTTCATCTGGACCATGCCGAAGGGGTGCACTACATTGTCGCCCTGCATATTGTTCATACCGTTCATCTGGGCCATTTCGCCCTCAGCTTGCTTCTGTTGTTGCTGTTGATGCTTCTTAACGTGAGCTTGGGGGTGGGACAGATGGCTCGCCCCAGTCGGGTTTCCGCGGCGAATCGAGCACTTCTGGAAGTGACGCTTCAGGATATCACTACGGGAGAACGTGTCCCGGCACAACACGCACATGTAGGGGCGGTCGCCGGTGTCTGGACACACTTCGTGTTAGTTTATGATCCAGTCCCAATCCTGCAGCAAGAACTTACGTCGGAGCAGATGGCGCTTCAGATGCTTTGCATGAAGATAGGTCTTCGTGCAATGAGGGCAAGGAAACTTGCCATCCGCATCCTTCTGGGGGATGACGGTACTCTTGGCAGCGCCAGAACCGGTAGGGGCAGCAGGTCTTCCCGGGGCACTGGGCAAAATACCGCGACGTCCTTGAGAGCCAACGACGTGAGTAGGCTGGTCACTTTCCTGCATGAGAGACTGTTGGTGGGGCATCAGCGGACTTTGACCATAGGGAGACGACAGGCCGGACTGAGGCATGACACCACCAGCGGGCATAGGCCGCAGGACGGGCGGTCGGCTGGCGGGAGCCGGCGCAATGGGCTGCGGGTGGGAGGCGGCGACAGAGGATTGAGGCATCATGGAGGAGGAAGTGCCATATCCTTGGTGGGGTTGCGGGTACGGGTTCTGCATCATTTGTGGATAGCCTCGACCAGCACCTTGGGAAGGCGGAGGGTAATTGCTCATGCTGTTGGGAGGATTGGGAGTTCCAGGAGTACCAGGAGTTCGCGGCGTGTGCGGGTGACTCCCGTAGATAGATTGCATAGCCGGGTTCTGAGGTTGCAGAGGCGGCAGCGTGTGCGGCGGCATGTGGCCGTTCTGCTGCAATTGATGGGGCGAGATTGCTGCTGGCGACGGATAGCTTGATGCTGATGTGCCTATGACATTAGACTGGTAGTGAGAGCCGTCCATATCCCGTCGAGCCGAACCGAGCCGGTGATGCGATCGATGCCGGTCTGTGAAGCGTCTCGTGCGTTCCCACAGAGAGGCAGGTTTCCGACTTCTCGAGCGCTTCGAGAAGATCAACACAACAGACTGGCTTTATGCACAGTAGCTTTTGTGGTGATGCAGACGCGTTGATCGTCGAGGAGGGGGGGAGGGGGACAAGGCCGCGCGAGAGTTGGCGATGTTTGCTTGCGATTGTTTATGGGACCTAAAAATCCGAGAGTCCGCGGAGTGACGAGGGAACAAAAAAAATACGATGGACCCCAAGAATTCCTCCGCGACTGTTACCTAACGGGTTCGTGAATAGTTGTCTCCAGTGTGGGCGAATATTCCTGGAGTGCAGTCTCGTGGGTACAGGCCTGATGACAATAGGAATAATCTGGTGATGAGGGGAATTTGGTGTTTGGGGTAAGAATTGGGGACCAGATGGAGCTGTGGATGAATTGTAGTTCGTGAGGCTGCAACCAAGCCGGCAGTAAAAAAAACAAAAAAAGAGATGGGACTGATGGGGTCCAAAAAGGACAGTGAATTTGGTGATTGTGTTTGTAAAGTGGAGACTTTGGGGTCTTTCGAGCTGGACGGGCAGAGGTGTCGACTCTTTATTCGTAATGAATTTTTTTTCGGGCTTGCCTCTTCTTCAAAATTGTGCGGTCGGCCTTGGTTCGCAGTGAACCTGGTCAATTTGGAGATCAAGTTCAGGTAAGTTTAGGTAAGTTCAGGTACAAAGAGGTGCCAGAGTGGAACCACGAGTGCCGCGAAGAACCGTTTATCGGTGGAAGAGTGGGTTCACTTCTAGTGGCAGCGCACCAGGGTGTGGATTAGATTGAGAGCGGATGAATGGTGACGGTGAATTGACGACGGGCAAGACGGGGTCGTCACGAAGTTATGCAATGCAAGGTGCACTGCTGCTTGGCTGCTGCCGCTTCAAAGGTGGTGTAGATGTGAAAAAGAGTGGGTAGGAGGCAGGTGGCAAGTGGATCCCCAAGTGGAGTGGAGGGGGAGCGAGCCGTACACCGTGGTCGAAAGGGAAAAAAAATCTATGGCAGAAGAGACACGAATGGGTCCCAGGAATCCACCGAGGCGTACCGCAGGTTGAGGGAAGGCACGTACGTCACGCTTCAGACAAGATGTGTCAAGAGATGCACTTGCTGGGTGACAGCTACTCAGGGATCCTTCCTAGCGATGAAACCAATGCGTTTGACAGGTCGGGCCTATCGTCGACAATGAGAGGATGAGGAAAGGTGGGAGGAAAGGAGGAAAATAGAAGGGGAGAGAGAAGAAATACAGATGAGTGAAAACTGATCGCGAAGCCGCAGCAGGAAATACCCGTACGTCGTGTCGAGGTCTTCTGTTACAGACTGGCAGTACACGAGTGGCATGCGCAGGATGTACTGTGGGCGAAGTACTCTTGCCAACTGGCTAGGATCTATGGATACTCTCAACCGAGTTACTGAGTCGAAAGTGTCCACGAGGTACCTTTACGCAGTACGCCTGATTAATGAATGGCGCTTTCACGTTTTGGAAGCCTTTGAGCGTAAAGTAATAGAATATCTGTTGTGGCCTCTTGTCAACTATGCCGGTCCGTCCATCACTCTAATCAATCGCAATCGCTCGATGTGCTTCGCCCTTTCTCTTGATTCTCTACTCAACATGTAATAGGGCCGGCTTCCGTTGCCGCCTTAAGCCACCACGGCGCTTTCTGACTGGCATCAGGGCTTGACGGCCGCACTGACTGGTTGTCGTGGCCAAGCTGTGCTGCCGGCCACTACGAGGCTTATTCCTTGATCGTCGGACGAGCTTCCTCTTTTTTATGTATGGCATGCCACTTTTGCATAGGCGTTGAGAAAGGGTCAAGCAAGCAATTGAGTGCATGGCATCATCTCGCTCGTACAGATATATCTGCATGCACATAATCCTCACCACGAAGCATGATGGTTGCGAGATCATGTGATGACTTCTTGATACTGCCCTTTCGAAAGCCAATTGGCAGCATCACGAAAACTATCTCGAGTAACTTACGAGTAAACGTCTCTACATTTGGCCGCTTGGCCACTGCTCGAGCAGCTGCATCTGCCGTATTCATTGCCGAGCAGTTTCAGCAAATCCTTTCCTTTTCCTTCCTTGCGCACTGTCCACGAGTAGATGATGCTGTCACAGAAAGAGTAGCGCAACAAGTGATATTCATAATCTCCTTTCGGAATGTTTGATACAGTGACAGCAGGGATGCGGCGAGTTTGGTAGGGATGTCTTGCGCGTACGCTTCAGGAATTGGGGGGTTGAAGCCTCTCAACCAAGAGGGACTGACGATGCCGCAACGCTATCAACTCGGCCGTTTTGATACTTATTTTTGTCAACTCAATTGGTGCAGCAGGTGGTATTTTTTGTCGAGAGCTCCATTTTTCTTTTTTTGCCCTGGACTCCTGTCAAGCGTATCCCCTCAAAAGTGGAACTTGCTGTTGCTGCCGCCGGCGGTGCGCGGCCCACGCGGATGCGCGACTCGAGCGGGCGCAACCACCAGGCACAACCCTTGAACCTCGACTTCGAAAAGATGCGGAACAACCCATCATGCACTCGGCATACGCGCGCATGGAACAAAACAATTTGACAACCACGCATCGAAGCTTCCAAGCCATGATTGATCAGATTATGTACGCAACGTTCGCAGCTTTACCGGAATCGGGCACCCGCTTGCTTGTCATTTCCTGTCTGGCGGTGTAAGCAACTGCCTATCCCATCCATCCGTACACGATATTGAAGGTGATGTCACACCCCACGATACCACGCATCCCTGGATCTCTCATACCGAGATACGGCACAAGAACGCAACGTCACAGTCGGCTTTTTTTTTCAGAAGCAATCTCGATGATGACGAACAACGATAGCCATTCCAACCCGTCCGTCGGCCATATTAATTGCGTTATGCGAAAGCCACCACGCTTGGTGCTGGGCCGACATGTTTTTCTAGACCTCCAGTCCTTTCGACATCGTGATTCCGATCATGGCTTCATCCAATGTAGGTGGAACGCTATGCAAAGATACCAAGGAGCCCTTTCCTCAAGGTATCAGGGTACAGGGGCTCAGCACGCACCTACGATCCCGGCCACCCATAAACTTCAACTGATAACTTGCTGATCAAGGTATTGGCAAGCACCCTAAAGGTTCGATCGATACCTTCAACGTGCGTCCACTAATACAACATTTCGATATTTTACCGTAACGAACGCGCGTGTGTTTCTCCTTGCAATTTGCTACTTAGCTGAAAGTAGCAATATGCCCACGGATAAATGCCTTGCCATAGCAGCACCGCCCTGACCCAACACTGCTAGCAGGATTCAACAAGGGACTTTTTTCGGCCTTGCTGCACAGTCTAGTCCAGTAGAAACTCAAAAGTTGCTGAAGGAAACCAGGTGTTCATGTCTTCCGGCTTCGCTATCCTCTTGCAGCGGTTCAACATCCTGCCACAATTATCAGTAACATATTTCCGCAGCCACGAAAAATTTGATGCAGGTATAGATCGTAAAGCATTACACGTTTTGGGCACAATGACGACTCATGATTGCTGCATATCACGGTGCGCCGTAGATAAACCACGAGTCAAGCGAAACATCCCCAAAACCCACAACTCAGGTCTTGGCCTCCTAGTGGCCAGCCAAGCATATTGGTCTACTGGGCTCGACTCAGGGTAGCAGGGACAAGTCCATGATTACGTCGTTAATTACGATAACGATTACGATGAAAGCAGTCGCTTAGCCATCCCCATGAGACACAGCTCCCAGCTGGCCCTCTTTAATTATCTTGATTATTTGATCTGATAAGAGGGTTCAGTCGCCAGACGTGGGGAGAGAGTATCAATAGACAATCTACTGCAACTTCTAGGTATCAGCTTGGAGCTGCCTAGCTATACCAGGCGGGTGACGGGACCCTGCGAGCTGCGAGATGTTCCTTAGCTTCCAAACCGTTGGGGGGACTATGCACTGTGTCTTCGCGCCAAAGCAGCTACACTTCGGGCCAGGGCATTATGGAGACAACCCGAGAACAACCAGCTCACGGTGCAAGGTGGTGGATCCATCTGAAGTACAAAGAGCTAAGAGAGGAGCGGACTAGCACTTGGGACCCTGTGGCTCTCTGCCTGTGGACCCTGAAGTCGATCTAAGAAAACGGGGCTGGATCCATATCGCGGAACCACAGTCATGGGTTCTGTGCGACATCAAAGGCACTGTGGAACTATCGGCTCCAGCTTGACAGATCCGAAGCCCACTTGAAAATGCGCTTCTTGCTATGAGCTTCATCTGAGGCTTGAACGCAGGGCCCATCTTGTGTAACGGCTTCCATTCCTTCCACGGTCGTTCTTCAGATGGGTCCCTACGTCTACCACAGTTTGACACCGAAGACCTGAGAACAACATCAAAATCCCCACATTTCACATGGAAAATCATTGAGGTACAAGACAACATCTTCGCATGCATTCAATTCTTGTTTTCTAGCTCAGCTCTTCCTCAACGGAACAAGACAGTGCACAACTCTTGTGTTGTTCGTCAGGTCGTCACCGAACATTGTGCCAGCATTTGCAAGGTAAAATTCGGGCTCACGTTCTTTCTGTCCGTCACACAGGATAACTAGGAAGGTCCCCCCACCCCAACTCTGTTTTCCTCCCACAACGGTTGTTAATAGATCTCAGTACTCCCAGGTGAGCATCGAAAAGGTTGGACGAGACATGCAAAGGCACATTTAAGTAGCCGCTTCGAAGTCAATTGAACTGCCTCTGAACTCGCCGGAACACTACAGACAATAACCATTATTTGGGGGCGAGATCACATGGCAGATGGAAGAGGAATGTTACTAGATGTCACATTGTGATTCTGCATCTGGCCACCAAGCACACCCTTTCAAAGTAGTTTCTAACCATATTCCCAAAAGGGTTTAGGGTGCTCTCTTTAGCCTCTGCAGATATTTCTGTTTCGGGCTTTCTATGGAGATGCCAAACCACCCATGAATCGTTGCTTTGGCCGAGCTTAGACCGAGAAATGTCGAGATGCCAATTCTGAGTTGTCTGTTCTTACTTGTCCAAGCGGTTTGCGGCACAGCAAAATCTCAAGGTGTCCATCAACTTACATAATCATAGCGTGGACTACACCGCCGCCGCATCAGACTGCACAGTATACGCAGCAAAAGCCAGCTCTTTGGAATCCGATGCATGACAGCGAAATCATTCTGACCGTGAGTCTTTCATCGTTAGCGTAGTTAGACCTGCCTCTTTAGTTCTAACGTACTAGCTTTAGAGCTGACGAGTCAAACGTTACCAAGAAATGTTTTAGGAAACGTAGTTACACAGCGGCCCCCAAGAGAGTTCAGGTACATGAAAGTCGTACTGACGGCAAGTAGCTAGATGGCCATGCTACACGTTCGGCACTACAGGGTGGCTTCCAAGTTTGACAAGGAAGTGCTGTGGTAGAGTTGCATCAGAATTGATGGTATTGGAGTTACAGCACAAAGTACGAACAAAATGGATGAGTTGCAATCGCCAACCACCTCGAAACTCGACGCTGGTAACAACTTGATTACATGCATTGTGTCCAATGTAGGGGGACATGCCAAACCCGGAGTGTAACCGGTCGAACTGCCTAATCGGGACATCCGACACAACAATGTGTGCGAGAGTGGTTGAAGATCTATGTGCAAATATTTGGGGGTCGGTGCGTCGGCCGGCTTGTCCACCAGTCAAGATTGGGTACAGGTACATAATTCAGGCACTGTTGCTCAAATTTATCACTCCAATGGACGGCCACAGCCTGCAGAGTAAACGAACACCTCGTGATATTTTGCGCGCGGCACCATTTCATCCCAGCCATTGCATTCACGAACCGGTTGGAGCGCTTCGTGGATCTTGGAAATCTCTTGTTTCTCCAAAAACAAGAAGACGCTGCGACGCTACGACTAGCTGGCGGTTGAGGCGAGGGCGGCCGCACCACTGGTGCGCATAGCAGTGCGCCAGGCGCGTTTTGGGCACGTTTACATCAGCAAAAACACACCATCGTGAGGCTTGCAGGGTGGTTAGGCCGAAGGTGGATGTCACGATCTATTTTCTATTCTTTGCAACAACTCCTCGAACGAGCACGCTGGCAAACTGTCACCCTAGTAATTAGGGAGGCCTGGTTCACCTTACGGTTGCGATTCATGCAAAAAAAGAACGACATTTGTCACGAGGACGGAAGGGCCAGATTTGGGTGCACGAAGCGACATGAAGCCGTGACGAGGCGGTGTGCAAAAGACAGGAAACTTGCCTGGATGTGCACGAGTCATGCCCACATCGGACCGTTGCCGTACTGGGAACCCGAATAACTTCGCGCCTGGATGGGATGGGATGGGATGATCCGAGGAACAGGTACTTCCGGAGACGGACGTATGGCATGGTCATTTCATCGCCGTGCTATCGATGCCATCATCAATGGTGTCGTAAAGCTGTTTCACAGAAAATTGAGCAGAGGGACGCGATTCAGAAGTCGCATAAAGGCATAATTGTTCCCAAGCTATACTGACGAAACCACCAAATCTGCTCGAGTATAATCGAATGTTATTGGGTAGTGGCTCACCCATGTCGAACGGCTGAGCCAATGCTCGGGGCCACTCGACCAATGTGGTATTATTAGGCACCCTCTCGTCTCTCTTTTGCACAAGCCGGGCTTCGGTTCATTACCTCCTAGACCAGGGGCACCATTCATCGGAACCAGGCCGAAATACAACAGTACAAAGTACGTCGACGGTGTTGCAGGATTCGTTGCTAGCCAGCGGAGAAACGGGCATTTATTCCTGGAGGTGTCGTTGCAGCTAGAATTATCGGAGGTATAACTACTTGTAACATGCAGAGTAACTAATTTGCTCAGAGGGAGTCAACAGCTTGTCGGGTTGTCGGGTTGTCGGGGTTGTCCCGACCTCCGAAATCAACTTGACTCTTTGCGGGACCATTCTAGAATGGAAGAGAGAAACGAACCATCCTCAAATGCCGTAACATCTTCTGCCACGTTTCTGCAAGCATGTTATGCACGAACCGTTGAAGGGCCAGAGGAGTCCGCTTTTCATGTCGCGTGTGTTGTCCATGTATTCGTTGTTTGCCAAGACTCTTTGCTTGTTTCAGCGCTCTATAGAAAAATCGCCAAATCTCCGACAAAAATACCGATATAGTATGTCGTATTGTCCAGGACGCGTCTATGAGAAACAAGAAGATCGGTCAGAACAATAGCATCTCCGCTGGTCTCTAATTAGCGCCTTGTTGTTCATCCTTGCTGGCATGGTGGGCGGGTTTTTCTTACTTCGTATGTAAAGTCCAATTATGTTACTTGACCGGCTGGTAGTACAAAGTACTTTGGCAACAAGAAAAAGTTCACGATATCTTCAACGTTTCTTTACGTTACACAGTACTTGGACGCCCGAGTACCGAGATTTTCCGACACAGGTCGTATAGTGTAAAACAGCCGACGCTTGACCAGGTTGCTAGGCTGCGGAATAATATCCCGACAAGTGGGGTTGGCCCTCGCGTCGTGGTTTCGTTTGCAGACGAAGATCTACAAAGCGGCTCTCTGGATTGAGCATCGTCCAACTTGTTGTGTTGAGAATCATTCCCTCCCCTAGCTAGGATCTGCCTCCGCGCCTTAGCAACCGCGCCCGCCTCTCTCTCTCTCCTTCGCCGCCTCCTTCTATGCTCGTATAGAAATTAATAAATAAAATAAAAATTGGCAGCGTTGCGCAAGCAAATCAGCTGATGAATCAAGATAAGCCGAGCAGGGACAGGCCATGCATAAGACCAGGCAGGTAGAAAGGAAAAGCGCGACGCCACGGCCGGCAAAGAGTCCATTCCATGCCTGATACCGGCGCATAACAATAAACTTGACGATGCCGAGCTCGAGCCCGCTGGGATTGGGTGGCATTGGCCGGAAGTTGGCATGATAACGTCACTGCTCTTTGTCGGAATTATCACCCAACTAAGATGGCCCGAAATCAGCAGATTTGCGAGGATACTGACTCTTGTGATTCACTGTCAACAGGGGACTCGAGTCAGTTTTTTCAGGTTAGGTCGGAAGCGAGCAGATTCATCAGGAAGTACCGAAACTTGCGTAGTCTGCGAGCATTTGCGTCTGTCTCGAGGGCAGACAGGTGTGTGCTCAACAGCAGGAGATCTCAGGAGTTCCTACTCGCGTACGCCGAGCCCCTTTCTGGACGAAAGGCTTGGTAGGAATCACGCAACGGCGACTTCAGCCGTCGGACTCGGCGTCGTGCCTGAAGGCCTGCAACCAGCTGCTCGGCGAAGACCACAAAGTCCTTGATAATGCCATTGCAGATATCTGATGTCGGTGATGAGCTCGTGATATTAGGCCCCGAATTCCTTGGAGCCAACCTTGCCCAACTGAGGCTAAACCAAGCCCAGCTTTGCCGTAGTTATTGGTATCGTTGGAGTCTAATTGAGCGACAGTTGTAAAGTACCAGGCAACCGGGTCATTTGCGGGCTCCCTGGTCGATGCAGATAATCCTCCATGTGAAGCTGGCAAGACATGTCGTTGCTTTTGCCATAGAGCCTCATTTTCTGGATACTGGTCCGCTTCAACGTGGGCGACCCCCTTCGAGATCGAAGCGGGAAGACTCCACCAGAATGCTATCCGAGATCTGATCCGTCGGATCCATATGATAGCTTCAATGATATGGATGGAAGCTCTGTTCCACAGCAGAGACCTATCTCAAGACTCCATATTGCTTCTGCCTTTGTGTGTGTGGGCGGCGGCAGCGGCAGCGGCAGTGGCACCTGACAGTCCGCTTTCTCCCCTCTCCAAGACCCTTCGTCCGCGGGCCAAGATCCACCACAAGAACTATGGCCCAGTGTTGCCCGTCCAAGATCTTCTTCTCGCTGTTTTCATCACTTGGGATGGTTTTTGGACGGTTTGTTTGCGGCGACTCGCCATGTTTACACGACCATTTACCTCACGACGACACCGACGAGCGAAAACGACTGCGACTTCCACGTTTAGGTTGACGAACAGGGAGGAAAAGAAAACAAAACCAAAACCAAAACCAAAACCAATTCGAAAGAAAACCTGAAAATTAAAAATTGAAAAATTCAATCATCTTGAAACTCACTTGGGATTCTACAGGAGATGTTGGTGATTGTTTCTCAGGCTGGTAACCATGGTGATGCCCTTGACGTTGCTGGCAGTATGAGATAACATTACTGAGGACAAGCCTCAGATCTGCAGCTCTCCTCCACATCAAAGCAAAAAGTGCCTCGATAGCCACGAGACTACGTCGTCGGTCGACAAAGTCCATCGGCGCGACTTCCCATTCAGTGTCACACCTGATTTAAAAAAAACAGCAAGTGACAAGCGCACTAGAGACGACTATATCATGATTTCCTTGTAGCTGTCGCAAAACTGCAGGGACAAAATATGCGTCATCACGATGTGTGCATTTCCTCCGCATCCGGAATATATGTTTCCGAACGTGGAAGCGCATTGCTATGCAGCGAACCCAGTGCTTTCCCTAGCTATGGTTAGTGCCTCCGATGTTCCCTACATGGAATGCGAGACTTTGTAGCCCTCGGCACGTCTTCACAACTGACGCTGTAAGATAGACCTGTCATCCCCAACAGCGCCATATCAAAGACCTCGAGGCCTAGGCGCGAGGATGTCACAAGATCTGCATTTGCCAACGATCCGGTTCAGAGACTTCGCAGCAAGTTATGCGGAAAACACATCTTTGTAGAGCTGCAGCCGCTAAGAGCCACGCCAGACGCCTTTGGTCAATCCCTTTTTCGATTCGCGACCTTACAAGACAAATCTCGGCCTGTGAAAGGCTATATACGGCCGTTACGAGGCAGATCCTCCTATGTCAAACAAGCGGAATTCTGGTTCTTGATGAACCCGCCGTGCACTTTGCCGTCAACCAAAGCTAGACGGACCGCTCCCGGGCTACTGGCACGTGGTCAGCATCCATCACCACGTACTGCATACCTCTCAGGCAAAAGCAAGACTTCCTACCCTGTCGTAATACCTGAAGTCAAACGCGCAGAAGCAAGTATGTCCAGCTTGGTGGCTTCGAATCTACCCATCCCCAATGTTCCATTTGCCTCATGTGCCTTTGAGAGCTGCCGCGACTCGTGGTCCGTCCCGGGTTGAGTAGAGGAGGCGCATGCTCAAGTGTTAAGTAACTTAAAAGACGAGTTACACGACATTGATATTGGCGAGCAATATAGCCCGTTTAGGATTGTCTTCAAGTCAAAACAAACACAGCACATACCTGATGGGCCCCCGTAGACACACCCTTTAAGGTTTCGCTTGCGGATTTGACACATTAACGGCTCTCCGATACGTGGTGGACGGACCCGTGGATGACGACCCAACTCGAAATACTTCACATTTCACAAAAAATGACGGAGTTATTGTTGTTTGTATTTTAACCAGCGTAGCTTTGGAGAATGCACGCTGTGGGAATTCTGCGTTGTTCCAGCTTGTTGGCACTGTACGTCAATACTGTGTATATACCCCACGTAAGACGAAGCTCCTTCGAGCTGCTCTAAGTCGTGCAATTAGTTAAGCATATTTGCCCCGACAAAGAGAGATTCTCACGGATATGGTCACCGTTCAACTGGACATTGAGTATCTCTTGACATGCTTGTACGCCTACTTATAGGGGCAAAAATGGGTTGCCCTTCCTGTGCTTCGGATCACGCACATACACCATTACTCCCTCCTAAGGTCGAAAACGAGTTTGGGATTCTACGCGCTTAGGGTAAGAATTTCTTAGTTTTGTCGTTATTTTTGGAACCTGTTAGTGAAGTCATTCAAATACCATTTCACAGTGGGTATATCACAGTGGCATATGAAATAGGTACACACCACACAACTAATATCAGACAGAGTAGAGGGGCCTCTTGAGTGTCAGAGTTTGTGAAGCTACTATCAATTATAAGAGCGTGCCAGTAACGTGCCACCGTTTCTCTGCTACATGTTTCTCTAGGTTTTACGCCAGGTATGCTAGCAGTCGCAACATCCAAGTGAACAGTTTTCAATTACCCTCAAGTTATTTCTATAAATCCTTCCCAAATGCTATGTACATGAATCGCACCGAGACCTTTTCGCCAGGTGTTGTGCTACACGGGCTTCAACTTGGTACCTGACTACATTTGCATTAGCCTCCGCGTCCCCAGGAAATTGGTGGTATAGGGTATGGATTATAATTAGAGGATAAATCGAGACAAGCTTCTGATGAATTCTCAAGACTTTAAAGCAGCATATTTCAATCTTCTTAACGACTCTTGGCTAGCCCCTGAAGCGTCCCTTGCGACAAGCTCTCTAGGCTCGCCGACGCAAAACTGTTCAGATCCCTCGCCTGAGTACCCCTTATTTCCAGTTTGAGTAAAGCATGTCAAGTGTATGGTGTGTAGTTTCCAGCATTGCGAAGTTCCTTGTTACTGTATGGACATTGAAGCTCTGTCAACACAGCAGCTACCGTGAAGCTAGTAATGGAGGTATGCCCACCCAAACGGTGGAAGTTAGCCCGAGATACTCTCGGGTCATAATATGTGTCACAAGGATTTTCATGAGGGATGCGGTAGCGAAGATATCGATCCCCAATCGTTGGAGAATCTTTAGATCTGGTTTCGCGGAATGGCCGACGAGGACAACGTTCCGAAAGCTGCTATCAAGGCCCGAGGCCTTTTTATTTTCGATGTGAAGAGCTTTGGTAATTCTGGAAGGCGGATCATCTTGTCTAACGTGATAAGTCTTTGAAAAAGTTGCACTATCGAATGATCCCTGTGTGCTTAGTAGGCTACGATGTGACTGATGTTGAGAAGTGCTGGGTCCGAATGAGGCGATCTAGGTTTGGTTGTTTGGTTTGGTGGCATAGATCCCAAGTGTAGCGGGTTGAAATTCTAAGTTGCCTATCCAGGCTATCCAGAGGCCGTTCCCTGGACTTAAGATCTTTATTCGTTGATATTGCGATACTTCCAAATCAAGCGAGACAAGGATAACATCAGAGGAACGCAACCGGTGGGCGTCGTAGCGAAGTCCAAGGATTCTTTCGAGACGTTTCAAGCCACTACTCTGGCATATTTTGCTTCTCATCTATCAGCGATTGGATATGGCGCCATAGATGTGTAAGTTCAGATGTAGGGGTGGGATCGGGTGAGTGTATTGCTTGTTACAGCCATCAGACCTGTTAATGCGCGCGGAATCAAGTTCTGAAGATGAACACAGAGCAAGAAAGTAGCGCATACTGAATAGAAATGTGACGGGCTCACTGCGAAACTATACAGCTCAACATGGCCAAATACTGTTAATTATCTAACTGAGGAGGAAAGTAAAATATGCGAGTTGTCCCGGGAACACGGACTATGTTTTGTGTGCCCTCGATGGTTCCTTTGGTGGATCCGGACGCACGGTCCTTGCAGCTCCGGATCCCATATCAGGCACAGCCTGTCACATTACCCCCCTCCCAAGGTTTTGAGAGAAGAATTTTATCCCATTATGAATTATCCCGCTCATTAATCTCATCGTCAGGGCTTCCACCGAAGCTCCGGTTGTGCGCTTGCTCCTTCTTGGTCCAATAGTGGCTCCGGTGTTCTCACCGACGCCGTCCCCGGTTCCGAACTCCTGCTCGAACTTGTCCAAGGCAACAGTATCTTCGAAGTTCTTCCTTGGTTCCCAGTTCGGAGATTGGTATCCCTTCCACTTGACGAGTACCTCTCGTCTGTGGCCTCTGCCTCGTGTCTTATTTTCTGCCCTCAGGATCTTTTCGACCGTATATTCGCCTTGGTTTCCTTCCGATGAGGGTGGTAGTACGGCAGGCGGTTGCTCGTCTAGGACCCTTTGGGACGGTAGAGGGTCTGTAGCAGCATGCTTTAGGAGGTCCACATTAAACCTAGGCCAAATACCTGTTGGTACATTCAGTTCCACGCAGTGAGTGTCGATCACCCGAGTGACTTGATATTTCGCATTTATCCAGGCCAGCTTTTTGGAGAGCTGGGGCGTGTCTATGTTCTTCAAGTTCAGCCAGACCTTGTCGCCGACGTGGAACTTGTCTGCTTCTTGGCGCTTTTTGTTGGCCGAATCCTCCATTCGCTGTTGGACTGACGCCATAGCTGCTTGGGCGTACTCCTGTGCCTCATGCATCCTGGCGACAAAGTTGTCTGCCCGCTTGGTCGGGTCAGACCTAGAGCCTATTGGTGGCGTGACTTGTGGAATGGGCTCCACATGGTAGCCGTGTGTCAGGAAGAATGGGCTGAGTCCTAAAACGGTGTCCCTGTTGTTGATTGCCAGCATCGCGGAGGGAAGCATTTCGGGCCAGTCGAATTGTGCGTAAGAGATAAAGGCTCTGAGATATGCGAGTACCTCCTGATTCATTCGCTCTGTGCTCCCATCGGACTCTGGATGGAAAGCAGTTGACAATCGTTGTTCGATTTTAACCAGTTTGCATAAGTGTGTCCAGAAATCGCCTACCCAGTTCGTTCCCCTATCTGAAGTCAGGAACGAGGGGAATGCATGAAATCGGTAGTGACACTGGAGAAACCTCTCTGCGCAATCTTCAGCTTTCATGCTACTCATTGCTTCCAGCGTGCAGCTCTTAAGCAGTCGATCGGTAATAACCATCAGAAATCGGGGGTCTCCTTTTGACTTGGCGGGCAGCTCTGTCATAAAGTCGATAGAGAGTTCGCTATGGAAACGGTCCGGCACTGGCAGTGGGTGCAACAGACCTTTCCTTTTCTCCCTCCAGACGTGTGACCTCCCGCACACGTCGCAGTTCCTACAGAATTGGCGTACCATTTTCGACATTCCTGGCCAGAAGAAGCTTCTATTGAGGATCGCTAGTGTGCTGTCCCTTCCAGGGTGGCCGGTAATGTGCGAGTCGTGTGTCTTCTGAATCAGAGCTGTGCGTAGAGGTTCCCACTCTGGTACCCAGGCTCGCTTCCTGAATCTTAATACACCTCTCTCGTCGAAGTCACACTCGGAGATTGACGCTTTGAGTTTTTTCAACACCGGTGGAAAACTCCTTTCCCCCTTCGTTAAGGCTTGGTACATTAAGGGTAACTCCTGATCCTCTGCTACTCCGCGGTCCCAGAGCAGCTGCAGCTCGATTTCCTGAAAGATGCTTCGTCCTTTGGGCAGGCTGGTTGACTGTTGCTCCGTTGACACTGGGGGGAGTTGTATGGAGGAGATCTGGGTCTGTACAAAGTCGGCCTGGTGGGGCTTGACCCATGAGTCCTTCAGTAATTGGAATTCCCTGTTTCGTAGGCGTTCATCGTCGACGCCTTGAGGCATGTCTTGCTCTCTCCGTGAGAGTGCATCAGGACGTAAAGCGCTCTTACCAGCCCTGAACTTCAGCGTGAAGTTGAACTGCGAGAGGGTGTGTGACCATCGGACTTGTCGTTCAGAGAGTCTTCGGGTTGTCATAAAGTACTGCAAGTTCTTGTGATCTGACAGTACCACGAAGGGCTTTTCCAATCCGATGAGCATGCCACGCCATTCCTCCATGCACCTGACTACCGCGAGCAGTTCCTTGTCATGAATCTCGTAGTTCGATTCTGCTGGGCTCAGCTTTTTGGATAGATAGGCGACGGGCCTGAGTCGTCCTTCTTTGTCGACCTGTGATAGACACCCGCCCATTACGTATCCGGAACAGTCGGCTTCCAAGATCGTGTCCTTCGACTCGTCCCACATAGCGAGAACTGGTGCGGTCATAAATAGCTCCCTGAGTTGGTCGAACGCTTGTTGTTCCTTCCCACGCCACTGAAAGTTCGTGCCTTTCTTGGTCAGGCGTAATAGGGGGTCGGCGATTTTGCCGAAGTCTGGGATGAAGTTCCTGTAGAAGTTGGCAAAGCCGATAAAGCTTCTAACCCTTTTTACTGACGTGGGGGCTTCCCAGCCTCTAATAGCCTCAACCTTCTCCGGGTCGACCTTAATCCCCTCGCCCAGCGAAATAATGAAACCTAGGTATTTTGTTTCCTTCACCGCGAATTCGCTTTTCTTCGGATCGAGTTTCAGGCCAGCAGCTCCCAGCTTGGCAAGGACAGTATTGACTTTGACCCAGTGGTCTGTTAGGTCTCCGCTAGTATAGATCAAGACATCGTCTAAGTAAGCCGAAACGAAGTCTCCCAAAAAGTCTTTGAGAACTTTGTTGATCCACCTCTGGAACGCCGCTGGGGCCCCTGTGAGCCCGAATGGTGTTACCAACCATTCAAAAGAACCATACCTCGTACGGAACGCCGTCTTGAACTCATCTCCCTCTCGAACCCGAAGCTTGTGAAAAGCGGCTCTCACGTCTACCTTCGTAACGTATGTAGCTTTTGCCACGGCTCTCAGCGTCTCCCGTATCAGAGGGAGTGGGTAACGGTCCTTCTCAGAGATCGCGTTCAGTGCTCTATAATCCACGCAGAATCGGAGTCCACCTCCTGGTTTCTTCGCGAAAAGCACTGGTGCGCCTCCTGGGGAGGCGCTGGCCCTAATCCAATTTCGATCAAGGTGGTCGGTAAGAGTCTTCCGAAGTACTAGGAGCTCTTCCCTGGACATGTCATAGAGGGGTCCATTTGGGACCTCTTTCTCGCGTCCATATTCGTCCTTCTGGAGCTCGATTTCCATGTCGACTCCAGGGCGATGTGGGGGAACCTCGTTATTCTCATCCTCTGTGAAGAACCGGGCGTTTTCCCTCACTTCTTGAGGTAAGTTGGCCGCTATTTCTCTAGGCGATTGCTTCCTCTTTGGCTCTAAGGCCTTATTAATATCTGCCATTGTAGCAGCAAATAGCCGAGTTTCTCGATCCTTCCTGGCTCTCCTCGCGAGAACCGTAAAGTGGCTGCCGATAACCATCCGTGCAGCACCTACTGATACCGCTGAGACTCGCTTCTTCACGTCATTCGGAGCGCGAGTATGAAACCATCCTTTCTCCCTGACTACGAGCCCGTCACAGTCGATAGCTAAGCCTACCGGGTCTATTTATCGGCCCTATACGTACGTATATACGACGTATTCCCAGTATTATTACTAGAGCCGTAGTATAATTGGGAAGGGGTTATAGAAAAGATACTACTCCTAGAGCTAGTAGATAACTAGGAAGAATAGCTAGTTTGTTACACGCAAAGGTGGTCAAAGATTTGTGAGGTTGTAAAAGCATGACATTCTATCTAGTCCTATGGAGCACGAAGGTTGGACTTAGTCCCGAAGGGCTAAGTCACGTGGTAACCTTGGTGGTCTTGGCAAAGCCCACCAAGGTTGCCTAACATAGTTAAAAGATATCCTAAGGTATACAACTGATCGAGGCTCCCTAGAATACTTAATTAAATATTGATGGACAAATGGCACGTCAGGAGTGACAAACCCGGCCCGATAAATCCAAAAAGCAGATTCTCGATCAGCTCCAAAGCATGGTTGCCGAGCTTCGCTCTATCTACCCGCCTGAAGGGATGGGCATTGCTAACGTCAACGGTGGCTCCTTCTACGACTGTCGCTTACCTTCGAAGCTGCTCTGGGGTCCATTCGCTTCGGCCCGCGACTTCCACGAGGCGCTTGCGAACGGGACAGACACAGAGTGACCTTATGACAACCTGCCTCCTGATCTCCAAGAGCTTTTTGCCTTCTATCGGCAGCCGTGCGGTGGGCTGGTCTTAACACACGGCGACCTGATCAGCTTAAATATCCTGGTGCGGGGGGATAACGTGTTAGCATTGTCGATTGGGAGACGGCAGGCTGGTTCCTACCTTACTGGGAATACACTTGTTGTGCATGGCATGTTAATCCCTATAATACATTTTGGCAGGAAGAGGTAGGTAAGTTTGTGGCACCGATGCCACACGAGCTCAGAATGGAAGGCATCCGGCGTAAGTATTTTGGCATCTTCTGAAATAAGAAGTTAATTGGTCTCTACAACTCTGCTACAACCAATATTCATCCCCCGGTGCTACAATGGTAAGGTCCTTTATACCTATGGCAATAGTTCTCTATTCTCGAGTATGTCCTAAGTTGGTGCTTTGGTCAGGTTGTAACGTGCTCGTCTATCAAATCGATGAGCAGTCTTCGAATTGATGTACCACATGACCGTATCTCGGACAGACTGCTAATCGGTAGCGGATATGCCCAGGGCACTGCTATCTTGCGTAGCTGCACCGAAAGCCTCTTTCACCCATTCGACGTAACTCCGGTCGAAGTGGTGTTCTCTCAAAAATGGACCAAAGCTAACTTCTTGCCGATAACAACGCGAACTAGTAGCATAGATGTCGGCGCTAGGGAAACTTCCAGTTTTTCGTACTACTATATAGACTGCGCGGTGGGTGGTTAGCCAGTAAAGGCTATTTTCTCCTTCGTATGGAAACGTCTACCTCGACTGTTGACCGGCTTAACCTTTGACTTAACGATAAACGCTTAGTGGTAACTAAGTACTGCTAGTATCCGAAGATATGGGACAGGATCGCCCCAATTTATAACGATGGCTATGCATTGGAGGTACCAAAACGATGCCGCGTAATGCCCTGACTAGGAGACGAGATGCCGCATGATGCCCCCATATCGATGCTAAGCGCGCGCATAATCATTCCGACCCAGCTGGCCACCATATTGTCGCGTTCACTAATTTGGTCAAACCGTTATGTCGCTAGTAACGCACTTCCTTGTTCAGTGCTGGAAGTGATTCGATTGTTTCAGATCATATCGCCCCACTGACTGGAGAAGAGATATTCATGTAAGAAGTCTTGGAGTGAGAGCCTGGTACTGTCAAGTAAAGATGTGAGCCAAGATCCTTACCAAGGGTGTAATAGCTAGCAACAACTATCTCTCGGTAAGCAGAAATGACGGAGTCGCCTACGAAGGTGCAGTAGGTATTGTGCCATGTATAATTATGGTCAGAGGGGTGAACGACCGAGCCTGCAGGTGAATGCAGCTGATTGGCACCCAGGGCCCGCGCGGTCTCGCGCTTAAAGGTGGTGCTGCTCACCTGCGCATCTGGTTGGCCTGAGCGCCGGCCCCGGCTGCACATTTTCTGTCTATCGGCGAGTTCGAAGGCTCAGTGTCGACCTCAAATTCGACTGCTACTGATTCAATATTCCACGTCAATAGCAACAGGCGTGCGCTCCATTGATGGCCAGCCCAGCCTCCATCCGGCCGTCAATCGGTCGGATACTTCAGCAGAGCAGCAAGGGCTGCCCCTCGAGCTGCTACAGCCTCCCGATCCTCATGTCCAGACCCGTTCAGAGCTCCCCCTTCTCCACAACCCCTGAGCTGCAAGAACGCCGGCCAAAGCGCGACAACAATCGACTGCGTGGCCTGAGTAGTCTCTACAGGTCCGGGTTCAAGGCAAGCATGGCAATTGACGGAGTGGAGATCCCGAAGCCCGCCAAGTACAAGCCCGAAATCAAGGTCGACCCCAACCACGGCCTGTGGGACTTTTTCTATGAGAAGGACAAGCTGCTGCAGACGCCCGAGGAAGACTCTCAGCATGGTCGGGCTTGGACCGTGGAGGAGCTGCGACACAAGAGCTGGGACGACCTGCACAAACTATGGTATGTGTGTGTCAAGGAGCGCAACCGCATTGCCACGGCGACTCGTGAACGGAAGCGCATAGCTCTGAGGACCGGTGATGACGAGAGCGAGGAGAGAGACAGACAGGTAGGCTGCGCTTGATATCCATCGATGCTTGGACATGGGGCTTGCGCGACAGAAGCTAACTTGCATGTGTGCACGTTTCATAGGTATTGCGGACGATGAAAGCTATCAAGTTCGCACTTACGGAGCGTTACTACAGCTGGGAGGATGCGAGGAAGCTGGCCGAGGAAGACCCCGAGGTCAACCTGTCTAACACCAAGAATCCATATACCCCATTAAGCTATCTGGAGGACGAGATGACGGCATCCGAGGCATATGCGGCGGATGAACACCCATTGGAAGGGGAACAGATGTTTCCAGAGGAGAAGGAGATAACTGCCGAGACCGTAGACCCTGCTTCGCTCGAGCCAAAACCCACCGAGACACAAGCAACTACTGTGCGGCCATGAGGTTGTCGCCCGCCCACGGGATACCCGCTGTATTGATACAGGAGCGAGGTTGCATAAAAAAGCACATAGAGTTTATACCTGCGGAATCCGTGTAAATACCTGTAACATATTGTACCTCAAAGGACATCGCTGGCCTTTACCGTCTCAAAAAGCAGTGACGTCGGGCAAATGACACAAATTGGATCAGTCCATTTCAAATTAGCACTTGAATTGCCTTATTGAATTCAAAAGTGCCATTGACAGTCTAGGATAGCCGCATGACGATCTCGACCCTAGCACTGCAACACGCACCTGGGGCCGAACCAAAGTCCAGATGCCAAAACGCCGCGAGACGCCTGCTCATTGGTCGCAGCTACTGATTTAGGGGGCCCCGTCCCTCCATGACTTACCAGACCCCCTTCTACACCGTACTTTTTTCCCTTTTAACAACACAAAGACCCAGATAGCTTTTTTCCTTACTACGAACTAAACTGTTGTTTGTCATACTACTGATACCCAAACGCATACCAACAATATACTGTCACCATGGATGAGATCGCCCCGGAGTACGATGTCATCGTGCTAGGCACTGGTGAGTTCCCCGCATTGCTACTCGCTTGGTGGTGGGGTTCAGCGTTGGAAGCTTGACGGCAACGCAACGCTGCTGCTGGAACTGTACGAGCGAGAGATACTGACGTGTAACCAAACCTACAGGCTTGACCGAGTGTATTCTATCTGGGTATGCGAGCCAGCCGACCGATTTCCGATATATATGCTGTGGACTGGACTGGGCTGACTGCTTTTGTTGCTGATCACAGTGTGCTGAGTGTCAAGGGCAAGAAGGTGCTGCATATTGACCGAAACGACCACTATGGAGGGTACGTAACTCCGCCATGACATAGACGCTTTCAAGTCAAGCAAAGCTCCATGGTTACAGCTTCAGCTAACATTTGCGCTCGCACAGAGAAGCTGCGTCGGTGAATCTCGAAACGGTACGAACGACCACGACAGCGCTCCACGAGCCCACACCTCTTTACCCCGTCCAATGACCTTATCGTCCCCGTCATATATCCTTGATGCACATAGGCTAAGACAGGTGTGATACAGCTCTTCAAGAAGTATGGCAACTACGCAAAGGACACAGAGCCATGGAAAGCATACGGCCGCCCCGCAGACTGGAACATCGATCTGGTGCCCAAGTTCCTCATGTCATCCGGCGAGCTGACCAACATCCTGGTCTCTACCGACGTGACGCGCTATCTTGAGTTCAAGCAGGTGGCTGGAAGTTACGTGCAGCAGAACTCAGGGGCCAAGGCCACCATTGCCAAAGTTCCCGCAGATGCCGCCGAGGCCCTCCGTTCTCCCCTGATGGGTATCTTCGAGAAGCGCCGCATGAAGACCTTCATTGAGTGGATTGGCACGTATGATGCTCAGGACCCCGGCACGCACAAGGGACTCAACATGTCCACGACCACCATGATGGAGGTATATGACAAGTTTGGCCTCGAGGCCGGCACCCGCGACTTCATTGGCCACGCTATGGCCCTGTACCTGACTGACGACTACTTCACAACCCCCGGCAAGGCCCATGAGGCCATTGAACGTATCCGCCTCTACGGTAACTCGGTCGCCCGCTACGGCAAGTCGCCATACATCTACCCCCTGTACGGTCTCGGCGAGCTGCCCCAGGGATTCGCTCGCTTGTCTGCCATCTACGGTGGCACTTACATGCTGAACACCACCGTCGACGAGATTACGTATGACGGCGACAAGGCTACGGGCATCAAGGCCACCATGGCCGGCATTGAGCCCGAGATGAAGTTTGAGACTAAAGCCAAAATGATTCTTGGCGACCCGAGCTACTTCTCAAGCAAGACGAAGGTCGTTGGCCATGTCTTGAGGGCTATCTGCGTCCTGAAGCATCCATTGGCTGGCACCAGCGATTGCGACTCTTGCCAGTTAATCATTCCCCAGTCCCAGGTCGGCCGCAAGAACGGTAAGTTTCCAGCGACTGACACGTGAAAGGAGCGCCGCTGACAAAGTCAATACAGATATCTACGTTGCCTGCGTATCTTCAGCACATAACGTATGCCCCAAGGGCTACTACATTGCCATCGTGTCCACCATTGCCGAGTCATCGGCCAACCACCACCTGGAGCTCCAGCCCGGTCTCGACCGTCTGGGCAAGATTGAGGAGCAATTTATCGTATGCACATCAAATAACAGAGAAATAAATAGCGTGGCAAATAATACTGACAATGACTGATCAGGGACCCCCAATTCCTCTTTACGAGCCTCTCGAGGACGGCACCAAGGACAATATCTTCATTTCCAAGAGCTATGACGCCACTTCCCACTTCGAGACCACCACCGACGATGTTCGAGACATCTACCGCCGCTGCGCTGGCGAGGAGCTCAAGGTCGAGGGCTTGCGTGAGGGTATTCAGGTGGCTGAGGAGTAAATTCGGCCTGGTGCAAATCATCGACAGTAACAGTCTGGCCACAGCTTGGCTGTATCGTAGTGGCAGGAATCAAATTCACAGTGAATCATACGGCTTGATGTCGGTGGAGCTTAAAACCACACCATCGTGGAGTGAGTAGAAAACAGACACGTAGGACTGAGAGAAGTCGAAACGAGAAAGCACAGTCAATAAGGGGAATGCTAAGGAACTATTTATTGCCGTTCAGTCTTGAATCGGAGGGAATAAATACTGAAGTAGCTATGGGAGCCCAAGCCATCATCATACTGCATTACGCCCCTATTTGAGTAACGCCACCCTACCCCTGTCTCTCAGGGGCGCCCGTCAATGTCTAACGACAGGTCGAATTCGTAAGCAAGCTAGCACTCATGGCAACCCGAAAATTGTACGCCATTCACATAGACCGGGAGAAGAATTGACCTTTGGTTTTTCCGGGTCTTTGTGTCAAATCGCCCGATTATGATTTTACGGGGTCAATCTTGTCCATAATGGAAAGCGTACGATAATGTTGCGATTATCTACCTCCCCGTACCTATATCTACGTACGTAGGTAGTGAGTGAGCGAGTGTTCCGTCGACCATGGGCAAGTGTGGGCAACTCGAATAGGGGGTTGGTTGCTTGGATGCGGCGGACAAATAGATGGTAATCGCTGGGAATTCCAACAACTCATTACTATACAGTCTGATAATCTTCTGTTCACGTATATTCCAAATGCGCCTATTGCCTATCCAATAAGCATCATAGTTTCCTCATGATATGTAACCGTTACAATTGTCCATGTTTTATATGAGAGAGAGAAGCCGGGGCGAGTTTCCCATACCTTAACCTTCCGCATCTTACACGGATCAATGAGTCGAACTCAAAGCAAGTCGCAACAGCAGATAGTTCGGCAATGCCTCGAATAATAGGATCTTCAATTGCACAACTAAAAGTATGTGAGAGTCTCTAGCAACCATTCCGATTTTCTCTCCCTCGCCTGAACGCCAAGATGAAAAAGAACCACACTCATCGTCACATAGATCAAGATGGATATCGGAACGGGGTATGTACGCAGCATTAATTCTCCCTTTACCGACGGCTCGTCTTGCCCACTGTGCGTTTTCCAGAGAACTGTACAGGTTAATAATTTGATCACAGATCCGGGAATCTTGATATAGAAGGTAGCTTACCAAATGTTTCGGCATCGCAGTACCAATATGTCGATCTGCCTCTCCCTGCCTTGCCATGCGGTTCATCTTGCGCTGTGCCACCTTGGACGCCCTCTCGACCTTTGACCTTACCGCCTCGTCGGCCACACCGTCTTCGAGTCTGTTGGTAGCCGGCTGGCTTCGCGCTCTGCTCTTGGACCGCATTCTATCCCTGGGTGTAGCATCGACGTCCATCGCATTTGGATCTTCCGTCCCTTGGCGTGATCTCGCAAGAGATCGGCCACGACTTTGAGAACGAGCTCGTTCCCGAAGACCAATCTCCTCCGTGTCGACACCCAACACATCGAGGTGCTCCTCGAGGTCGGAAAACGGCTTCTTGAGCGCTTTGCGGGGTATGACGGCTCGATTCTTGAGCGATTTACGCATCTTGCCTTCGTTTCGGATGAGGGCTTGCTTCTCCTTGATCAGCTCGGCCTTCTGGAGAATATCATCTTCTTCGGCATCCTCAAGCTCCTCGTCTGAGTCATAGTAGCCCTCTGCCTCAAGGCGCTCCTCTTCTTCCTCGAGTGCTTGCAGCTTGGCCTCGATATCGGGGTCGATGAAGTCGTAGACGTTCTTCCCGTCGTAAACCTCAGGTATCCTGTCGTACTTCCACTCATCATTTTCAAGGATGTAGTCAGCTCGCAAGTCCACGTTGAAGACTCCGGCGCCGCCTTGCTCCTCTTCAATATCCCGTGCCAATTTGCGGCGCTCAGGATCGTTCTTGTCGTATGGCTTCTTGTTGAGGATGGCTTCCGGAATGAAAGTTTCGCGAATAGCGCCATGTGCTGGTGTTGCGACGTGAATACGTGACATGACATCCGCCAACCTGCCGCCAACGGCTCCACTGCTGTTGGTACCGGCCTTCAACTTCTGGGCAACTCGCTCGGCAATCAGACGCTCGCAGGCGGCGTTCTTCACCTCCTGCACTCCTTCCTGTGATACACATGACAGCTTCAGAAGCTCGACGTCACCAGCTGAAAGCAACGACTGAAGTTCGGCTTGCGTCTCGGCATCCAGATCTTCGGGTCTCAAAATATCGATCTTGTTGATGACGATAAAGACGAGCTTGTTGGAGAAAAGCGGTCTCAAGTTCTTGAACAGGCCGATCTGGTCCTTCACTGACGATCCACACTGCTCGCTGAGATCCATGAAATACAGAACAGCGGATCTGAGGTGAGCAATTGCCGTGATGGACTGCATCTCGATGGGGCCCTTGGATTCCAGGGGACCATCCAGCAGACCCGGAGTGTCGATAGCCTGGAAGCGCAGATACTTGTAGTCGAAGTGACCAACGTAGAGCGACTTGGTGGTGAAGGCGTATGGCTGGACCTCGACGTCGGCACGCGTGATGCTGCGCAAGAAGGAGGACTTGCCGACATTGGGGAAGCCACAGATCAACAGCGTTCGCGTGTTGGGGTCGATCGAGGGAAGACGACCGAGATGCTGGCGCACCTGATCCAGGTATAGGAGAGGATCCTTTAAGCGGCGGGTGAGGGTGGCCATACGACCAAGAGCGGCCTTCTTAAGCTGTTTGCACTGGAAGAGCGACTGGGCATACTTGAGCAGTCGGACGTAGTCGCGGCCGATGGCTTCGACCAGGTGCTTTGCGGTCGACAGCTGGCCGAGGGCAATTTTGAAATGGTCCGCATCGTAGAGGGTGTTGAGCAGATCCTTGTGGAACGGATGGATGTCCTGAAGTCTCGGGAAGTCGTCGAGGATCTGGCCGAATTTTTCGGAGAAGGTCTCCTGGGTGAACTTGACTTTTCGGGTGTAGAAACCTCTGATACGGGAGATCTTGAAGCCAGCTCGAATCTGCGTGGGCAGTCGTCTCTGGGTGCGACTCAGAACAATGTCGAGGAACTCTTGCGACGTGGGCACCGGCTGGATGTCCTTCCTACATCCGAGGTTCGATTAGCATTCGGTCAACGACACGGGCACGCAGGTAGCTAGCAATGTAATCTGCTATACTCACCAAGTCGTCTTCATGATGGGCAACGATCAATGGGTGGATGGATGGATTGGGCGGTGAGGTTGGTTGGCGTCGTAGCCGTTGAAATAAATTGACCTGAAGCGAGGTCCCTGAGACTGTATCGCTTTTCGCCGCCTCTAACTTTTTTTATCGAAATGGCGGAGTGGTTTTGCGAAATCTTGGCACCGAAAATTCTGGCTTATCTTATCGATTTGTGCCGCCTTGACCCCACCAAATACTCGTCTAAGTCGAACCTCAGCTTCAAGATTTGGCACTTGGCATATCATGTTTCCTGTCAAGAAGAGACATATTGAGGATATGAGATATACGATACCAGTATCCATGAGAACCACTTACCAGATGCAGAAAAAGCTATCAGATTTCGCAGCAAAAGCGAAGTTGTAGATGTCGTGCAAGCTTCAAAACCCCACTTACACCCGCAGTCGGGGGCAGGCATAGAAGTTGGTGCTTGAATATCTGAGGACATCCTGCGGTAGTCGATGCCCATGATATCCCAAAGTAACCTTGCACATGTCAAGTAGACCGGAATTTAATCGAGATCTTGCTTTGTCTCTGAAGCAAACTGTTCGCTTGTAGAAATCCGAGTATCACCAACCCAAATATTGGCCTTCCGGATTACGACTTACTTGAATGCTCGCAAAGTACTCCGCTGCATCTGCGCCAAATTTTGACCACCCGCAGACAACGAAAAAGGATCCAAAAATCAAGAAACCCCCCTGCTTCCACCTTCTCTTCCCCCAGTCCACTCCAAATCCGCAACCATGGCCCTCGAACCCTACAAAGCCGACTTCCTCCGCGCAGCCCTCTCCGGCAACGCCCTCCGCTTCGGCACCTTCTCCTTGAAATCCGGCCGACAATCCCCCTACTTCTTCAACGCGGGCGACTTCTACCGGGCTGACCTACTCGAAGCCCTGGCCGTCGCCTACGCCAAAACAATCCACACTTCGAACGTTAGCTTCGACGTCATCTTCGGGCCCGCCTACAAGGGAATCCCTCTCGCGACGGCGGCCACCCTGGCCCTCCGCCCCCTTGACCCGGAGCGCTACAACAAAATCGAGTACAGCTTCGACCGCAAAGAAGCCAAGGACCACGGCGAGGGGGGAACCATCGTGGGTGCGCCTTTGAAGGGGAGGAAAGTGTTGGTGGTGGACGATGTAGTGTCGGCCGGGACTGCGAAGCGGGAGGCGATTGCGAAGATCCGGGCGCAGGGAGGCGAGGTGGTGGGGATTGTTGTCGCGGTTGACCGACAGGAGACGCTTCCCGACCGCGAGGGAAGCGCGATCGGGGAGTTGCGCAAGGAGTTTGGCATCCCGATTATTGCGATTCTAACGCTGGAGGATATCATTGCCGGGGCGAGGGACGGGTTTGCTACTGAGGATGATTTAAAGCGGATTCAGGAGTACAAGGCCAAATACGGGGCTAGTGACTGAGCCGCGCATCCAGGGGTGGTACATAATGCGTGACGGCATTGTTGGATTCGAGTGATATAGTGCAACCTCGACAATATCACGTCTCTAAGGGGGTGCTCCAATGCTAGAACCGGCTGGACAGTTTTAATTGTCGGTTGCGTTGCAGCTTAGGAGTGACCCGCGAAAGGAACGGGGGAACACCTACCTCCTCCTTGAATAGACACTGGTATAAATGGTGGTCGTCACGTCTTTAGAGATGATCCACGTATAACAACCACTTGCCGTGATGGCATAGCTGATCAGGAGCCCAATCAACGACATCACGAACAATCAGGAGACAAGGATAGATACGAAAAAGGGGATATGCTCTATGAAGCCTATGCATACCAGCCAGTATGTCGTGCCCTGTCTATCTGAATCGACCTCCATGTCTACGTGAAAACGCCGTAATTCATTCCGACCATAATGTCAACCACAAACCGTTTCGCAAATGCCACTCACTGTACTCCTCGTTCCTAAGTACGTGATGAAGAAAAGTCCAACCAAGTCCGGCAAAGGGGGTATCAAATCTCCACGCGGTCATCATCGCCAACAACAGCAATGCTAAAGCTCCCAACGAATGAATAGTGCGCGGGAAAACCATACAACTTCGCCGTATTACTTCTTGGCTGGTCCGGCTAACTCGAAGACCATGTCGTGCCATCCACCACCGCCAAACTGAGCCTGGCTTGGGCCATTATGCTTGAAGCCGAACCGCTTGTAGTAGTTGACGAGGTACTGACAAATAGAATCAAGTCAGAAACGGGGCAAATAGGAGACACGTTGATGGCTACTCACATCTTGGCAGATCAGAGCCACGCGACCTGCAGTGCCCGAGTTGTTGATCTGTTGGAGATACGCCTTCATGATCAACTTGCCCAGCCCACAGCCCTGAAGCTTGGGGTGCACGGCCAGCGAGTGGATGGCAACGGTACGTCCGGCCTCCTCGTGACCCACACCCGAAGTATTGGGCCGCGCGGTGCGGAAGTCTCTGGGATAGTCCATGGCTGAATCTGTGACCACCTCGGCACTGGTTCGCGTGGACACGATGTGGGCGAGCAAAACACTCACGGCACCATCGTTCCGTCCCGTCTCAACCGGCTTGGCTGTCTTCAGGGTATTGATATCCAGGTCCTTTGCGTTGTTGGGGTTTACCGTGCAGAAGACGCCCATGCAGAGTTCGGGACAGGTTGCGAGGCGATACTCGAACTGTGCAAAACGTTAACGCCAATGCCAGGGTATAGATCTATGGACTGGGAGAGTAGTTGGTAGGGCTGGATGACACCTTGGTAGTTAGGTGAAGCGAAATTTGGCTGAAGTGCCGTGGCCGGTATAAGTGACCAGTTTGGGATTAGTCGCCGTTCGAAATTGACTTCATGAGTATAGGAAATGGTAGTCGCGAGACCGTTTATTTCAGTGTGTAAGTGTATAAGTAGACAGGGTGTAAGGTGAGACAAGCAAAGCAGCAGGGTAATGACGATGTGATGGGTACGAGCTATCCCAATGAGCATGGTGAATGAGAGGCAAGACGACGAAGGTCATGATCAGTGTGCACAAGGGACTAACTCAACGCCTTACCTTTTCGCGAGAGCAACGATGCTGAGGATCATGAAACGCAGCTTCCTCCAGTGCCTCGCAGCTCTCCACATCCGAGACGATCAAAGGTCGAATGTTGGGCAAAAAGGGAAACCCCAAAATCTCCTGGACGCGGTTGTCCTCGGAAGCCTTGGATTGGCGACGACGTGATTCGCCGATTTTCTGGATGTTGAGCATGACTGTGTCGGCGTCGAGCTCGTCTGAGTCGTCGATGGCGTCCTCAACTTCGACGGCATCGTTTTCGTTGTGGTCAAATTTATTCCACTTCTTGCTGCTGCTGTTGTCATCCACCATGGTGACTGTGATTGGTTGCAGCGCGCAGGTGCAGTGCAGTTGCAGTGGATGGGCCAAGGCGGTTGTTGGTGGGCGAAAGAGTGATGAACCTCAGGCGTTCCTCCTACCTAATAAGGACTGGCCGCGATGACGATGAGGTCCTGGAAATATCCAGGAAAACCATGCGTTCCCACGCGCGAAGTTATCTTGGAATCAGAGGAAATGCACCGGGCGTTCATCGAGTTTTCTATACACAAAGTTTTAGAGAGAGATGGTCACGGTGTAAAAACCGAGTGAGGTGAGAGTAAGAAGACGTTGCCCAAATCTATGCAGGTGCAAGCCTTGTTGAATTTCTGTTTGCTCGCGTGACCCCCCCCCCCCCCCCCCAGTTGTCAAGGCAGAGAAGGGAAATGAGTGGCATTATTTGGCGACCACGTTTTAGTAAGTCGGAGAAAACAAGGCACCGCCTGCCTACTTTCCACCTGCCCGCGTCTAACCTACAGGCGGCACACATTGACGTGAGGATCAAAAGAACTTTTGATAAATACTATTCATTGCAGTCACTGCTCAGCAGTTTGTCTTTGCTCTGCGCAAGCTCGATCTACTCCATCGAGCCTCTTCCGTTGTTATTGTGCCTCGAAGCCAAGTACTTCAACCAGATGACGTTTGGGCTAGACCCAGTTGTTACTGCACATTTGTGCCAGTACTATATGTGCTATCCCATTACATCACATGGCAAGGGGAACAGGCTGCAAAGCACTCGCGCATGTCCTCTACAAGTAAACAACTCGACAATGTATCGACTCTTCTCAACTCAAACGCCTGCTCAAGTGCCGCTTTCTCATGCGGGGTTCCGTACAATGTTTGCGAGGTGACGTTATAGTTTAGGTCACGTATGCTGTAATACTAGGAAGTATGTTTCAAGTAAACCCATGCGAACCATTTCAACCTACCACCATCGCCAGACTACGAGATAAGGTTCTCATCGAATTGACACTGGTATACAAGTCTCAAACAGGGAACACAAGATAGTGTGAAGACCAGAGGGTATCATTGCGTTTATCGTACACATGTCGCCGCCAAACCGCCCATAACCGTCACCGTCTTTCACCGCCGTTGTTAAAGTCATTCTACTCCCTCTAATGATGTGTGGACCTCAACAGCCTAACAGCAATCACCTGCTTGACCAAAATCATTTGTTTTGCGATAACCCATGACTCTTGATCGCTTTTGTGTCGCATGTATTTTCAATAGTATAGGTGAGACCGCTTGAGAGGGAAAACAAAACCGACTGCATCAACAGATTTGAAATCAAAAACTTGGAGGAAAAAACAACGCTAATTTGTGGAAATAAACTGCAAATATGGTATTTTCTCCTTTTCTTTGCTTTCTGTGGTATCATATGAGTGCATCCACCCATTCGTTCGACAACGCCGCCCAAACCCCGGGAAGCTCGTGGTATCATAGTTGGGGTATGGATCGTGGATATAGCGTAAGACAAATCATGTGCAGGCGTGACCCGGCTACCCTGGGGGGGATCGAGAAAAAACGACAGAAAATCAACGGAAATCAGAAACAGAGCCGACCAATGCATGATCACAGGACCGGGTATTTTGACGCCAGGGTATATCCAGCCGGGGGTATTGCACGTAGAGCATCTAAAAGATGAAAATCTAACGGTAAGGTCCGATAGGACCGGGGTATCCTGAATTTGTAGAATGAGAAGTCGACGGCCGGCCGCTGTCGCCAGAGGCACGCGTGCCGTGTCGAGGCGTCACATCGCCGCCGCCGTGCAGAATGCTGTTGGGCGTCAATTTGTTATCATAGCCGTTGCCGAAGTGGCGGTTACCCCAGATGTTGCCGTCGTCATCGGGGAGATTGACGCCGCTGTCATTCCAGGGGTTGCGATCAGCGTTGAAGCTGCGAGTCGACTCGATCGAGATCAGAGAAGATTTGGAAACATTGCTTGACCCCTTGAACAGAGTGTTGACAGAGTGAGAACTGTTCTTTCTACGATCAAGCGAAGAGAGAAGCTGCGAGGGCTTTCGGAGCTTGTCAAACAAGGTAGTGCTGCGTTGAGAGACCTCCTCGCCAAACGCCGGCTTGGTTGGCGAGTCGGTCCCAATGGATGCAGGCGCGTGCTGCAGAAGTTTCGAGTCGAAGTATTGCAACGAGTCCTCAAAAGAGTCCGACTTGGGTCGAGGAAGAGCGCCTTTGACGACAGTGGTTTCGACTTCAGCCGTGGTAAACTCGGCGTGCAATAAGTCAATCGCGTCACGGAGCCCCCCCGCATTATTTCGAGTAAGTTTCCACAACAAAGTCATGGTACGCCCACCGTCGTCCGTCTTCTCTTCGGGATTCTCGTGAACTTCCAGAGTGACTTCGTAGTGCTTCTTCAGTTTCGCAACGAGATCGTTGACGAAAGTGGGAGACTCCAAATATTTAATCAAAGAGGGAGTTCGAGTCAAGACTAATTCATGAGTCTCTGGAACCATGCCCTAAACCGAGTTAGCATCATTACTACACAATACGTTGGCAGTTCGTCTTACGAGAAATTCATCGGCGCAGAGAGGAACCTGCCATTCAGGTCCCGTCACCGTCACTTCGTCGCTTGCCTGCTCGGTGCTAGGGAAGACAATTTTGCAGTTCCACTTCTTCTCGAGTTCTTCAATCTCGGCCAGACGAGCGATCAGTTGACGGTGGTACAGCCGGTCAACATGAACAACCTGTGAAGTGAATTCAGAGTGCTAACAAGCATGTCAGCTATAAATTCAGAATGCCGCGACAGTGTATCAAAACTTACCGCCCGATCAACCATGTCTAAGATCTCCGACTTGACAAGCTCCAAGTTTTGGGCGTTGCGAGCAGGAGTACGACAAATGACGTTGTCAACCTTGACGTCGTCATCTTCCCGACCCATGCCGCCTCGATCCATGGCGTTGGAGAACTTGACGAATACGGAGTGCTTCTTCATGATGCGTTGGATATGCTGACCACCAATGCCGATGATGCGCTTATGGTATTGATCCGGCACATGGAATGAGATGGAAGCGGGCATCTCTTGCTCGACAAGTCCCAAACCCTGTTTCATGGAGTCATACGTTGGCGCAATAACGTCAATGTCAAAGTTGTACTCTCTGAAGCTGTCGAAAATAATCTGAACGTTGCCTGAAATGGGTGTAAGTGCATGAATCAACTTGAAAGAAACGTCTCAACCTACTCTGCGTCATGATCTTGTTGATCTTGCCGTTCTTCTTGCCCGAGACAAACTCCTTGTGCTCATTGGCCAACTCGATCTTGACGCGTATCTGGTGCTGCGTCTGATTCACGAATTTCATCGGTGACAGAACCATCAAACCAGCCTTCACAGCGTCATCATTGCCCGTCACAGTAAACGTCATCTTATCAAAGGAAATATCGGCGTCTGAGTTGGCACATATGTCTCCCAGCATGGTTCTAATGTCATGGGGACTGGGCAGCTGAGAAGCTCCAGCTTGCTGAATCCACCACGAAGCATAGTAGAACTGGCCGGCAAGTGACATGATCTCCTTCATGGTGCGCTCGATTTGCAGGCCCTCCACACCTTGAACTCGGATCATGTTGCGCTGAGACGCGAGAGGGGGAAACATGATGTAAGTGCCGTTGTTCTCCATGATCTTACGCACCTTGTCCATTCGGCCGAGCAGGACAGTGTCGATTTTGGAGGGCGAGGCCACTGCATCCTTCATAAAGATCTTGGTTCGGCTGACCAATTCGTGGATCTTGCGTTTAGCCAGCTCAATGCTCGGACGACTTTCGCCCGTGATGTAGATTTCTTCGGGGTTCCGGCGCGTAGCATTCGGCGGGCAATATCGGTGCATCTGGGCAAACGGTGGGAAGTAGATTGCCGTGTTAGTCATAGACTCGATCAACTTGATGTTCTTTCGAGAGCGGCCGCACACGATCGGGTGCAAGGTGCTCTCGAATCGTACCATATCAAGGTGTCGTCCGAGCTGTCTGCCATGTTAATAACTGTCGCACCTCCCAGAGTTCCGTCGATAAGTTACGCACCAGCTTGTCAATGAAGATCAGAACTTGCGTCTTAGCGTGTTCGGTGGATTCGGTATCGCCATAGATCGCCACGCGCCATCTCTGGTCTCGGATCACCTCGATATCACCATTGAGGCCATCAACCATAGGGGTGAGCTTGGGGCCGAGGATGAAAATGTCAACTCCGCAGAATTGTGCAAACGTATCGAGAGCATCTGTAACGTGCTTGACCAGAACACCAGCTTTGGAATCGACAATAAGATTGTATTCAACATCGACCGTCGTACAGCGCTAAAGGCACTTAGGTCAGCCACATGCAAAGCATATGTATATAGGTAAATGGATCAAGGTCTGCAAAGCAAGACCATCACAACTTTTTAACGCAAGCAAAGCATCACACGCGGGGGCATGAGCAAAGTTTCAAATGCATACCAGGGCCAACGGGGTTTCGTTCAAAATGGTCTCTCGACTCTTGTGAACCAGTTCCGGGGCGCCGGAAAGACAAACGGTGGTAACCTGGCCCTTGAGGTGCTTCGGCGTGGTTGATATGACGTGGGCCTCAATGGGCAGTGGGCCCTTGGTCAACTCGACACACATGTTTCGCAAAGCTGCCACGTTCTGTGCGTGTACCGGCAACTCGTAGATGGGAATGTCGTCGGGTGCTTCTTTGGGATGCGTCCATCGCATTATCGAGTCGCCCGTAGCGTGCAGGATCTCCTCGGTGTTGGGGCCGGCGAGTTCGGATGCGAAGGGAACGTTGAAGGCATAGTGGATCGTGGTATCGGCGGCGGGCGAGGGACTTAGAGGCGGAGCTCCCGGAGCGCCATTCTTCTGGTGGGCATTTAATGCCGTCATGTTCATGTTGTTCGGCCGCGACGACATGCCGAAGTTTGGACTCATCCTCTCGGGCCAGTGACGCATGTTGGCGAGCTTTTGCATGGTTGTAGTGTCGTGGTGATCGTGGGTGTAGGTGGAGATGGAGATGGAGGTGGGATTGGGGTATCACTTTAGGTACGGAAAAGAGAGGCAAAAAGAGAAAAAAGGAAATAAAAGAAAGACAGGGAAGCAAGGAATGGGAAACGACGTCTTCGTCGAGGTCGTCGTTCTCTTCCTGCTGTGCAAGAATGCTGCCACCTCTGTTTCTAACGGGATAGAGGCGAGGTTGAAGTGGTTAGAGGATGTGAAATGTAGAGAGTGAGAGTGTGAGAGCAACTGGCTGGAACGACGCAGTCAGCAAATACCTTGAGCAGGTAGCGAGAGGAGTCGTCAAAGCTAGGGTCTGGGTGCCAGCCATTACGCCCGCCCATGGGCCACAAGAACCGTGGTAGGTCGGCCCCGTGCATGCGCACTACCATTGGCAGAAATACCAGCACTGGCAGCACCGGGCAGCACCAGGCCCCGAAAAGTGGAGATCGCCCAGCGGGCTTAGCAGCATCGATTACAGGGTACGACCCCCAAACCCCGGCCTGTCGAAGCGTCATGTTTCGCTCGAGTGCTCAAGTGGTCCGACTCGTGGCATCCTGCGGTCTTCACCAGCTTCGACAAGGATGTGTCGCGACCACATTCATTAATCCTTCTTTCATTTTGTATTCGACGTCTCGAGTACATGAAGGCTGTCGAGTTTTCCTTCTTGGTTCTTTGTTGTTAATTATCCCTGTGCTATGAGGCAATTGCATTTGACTTGATCAAGGTTCTGTCTTGTTCTTGGACATGGATGGATCCAGCACCTTATGCAAAAACCAAGGCCACCACCATTTAATAAAGTCTGCAGGGATCAGAGAACAACTCTCCAGACTTTGGACACTCGACACTCTCTTAATAGTGAAGGTGACCCTGAGCCAGTACATGTGAGACCCATGTATGTGTAAGCACCACTACGCAGTTTTCAAGCGCCTTTTCAAGATTGCCGTTGAGGTACTGCCCGTAGGCTGTCGACTCGTTTCCACTCGGACGATGTGGCTCCATTTTGTCTGCTTCAAGACGTAATATCTAACCGCATTGACCACCTTTTTGCATGCACCCCCATTTTGCAGGGTCTAACTGAATCAACCTAAATACTTCGTCCATATTATTTATATACAGAACATACTTAATTTAAGTGTCCGAAGACTTAGATATATTCTTTCGAGCCCTCTTTTTAGAAGGGACTCTTCCTTCGAGAAAAGTATCAATTTCTAACTTCCGGCCTGCAAAAAAGTTGACCTCCAAATTTGAAATATAGAAGGGTCGTAGTAGGAACAATGTGCTGGGTGAAATAAACTTCAGGCACACTACATAACTCGGTATGTAGGAAGTAAGTAGATTGATATGCGGCTATTAGATTTTGAAGCCAACATTCGACAGGCCAACAAATGTGGATTTCGTGCCCCAAGCCCCAGTCGCCAGAGTTGCAAGGCGGGATGGTCAACATTGCGTTTGAACCCAGTGGACGACACGTATCGAGTATCAACCCGTACCTACAAGGTTCGGACGCATCCCCCTCCACCACAACCATGTTAGATTTTGCATTCTGTTAGTGCCCGAGCATTCCGCGGTGATCTTCTTGGATGTTACATCAAATTCACCCCAAACGATGGCCTAATTAATGACAGATCGTACCCCAATCTGTACATAGAGGTTTGGTATTGGATTTCTTTTTGCGTAACCGTTGTTTTGTTGCTTGTCAGGTTTTTTGTTCTGTACTGTATGAACACCCTACGTTACTCGACGGGAAAAGGGGAAGAGGGGGACTCCGATGCTATCTGCACGTCAGTAGTCTCCACTGTGCGTCTCAAGTGCCGATTTTAGACCTCGGGCGCTTCGACACACGCACATCAAGACCTCACACTTCATACTCCCTGCTCTTAGCCATACTACGGGCTTTTTGGTTGTATTACTCCCTGCTGATATAGCCGCGGTCAATGTTAAATCCCCAAAGGAGTTGTTACTCTTTTATTCCAAAATATCTCTGAATATCCCGCGGGGTTCGTCCCTCTGTCGATCCACCTGGCAGGCGACATCTCACGGATCCGTTGTCGTACGCCGTTCCCGAATGTGGGGCTGCAACGCCAATTCCTCATGAAGTTTGGCAAGGAGGTGCTTGCTTAAGTGTGAAGAATATTAAGGCCTGGACTGTGTGAACACCACCAACAGTCAGTCGATCCTCTATCTGTTTTTATTATCTTACAGGTATGTAATCAAATACAACTTGCACGGGTATAGTGAATAATATATTAGTATATAGTCAAACCCACATGGAAAGGCAAATGGTGCCGAAGCCATGAACTATCTCCCGACCGGGACGTCCCGACTTGCCCACCCCGTAGGAGTACTTACGTGGCAAGTATGAATGTGAACGGAGGTCTAGGTTGGTAGTGGCGTACTTGATCAGTATATACTACTACCGTCCCGAATCCCTCTTTAGCTGCTGCAGTTTCTGAGATCGTGCTACAAAGTACCATTGCAATATTCCAAATCCTCGATGTGACTTCATTTTTTACTCCAGCGTTCATCCGTAAACTCCAGTCTGGGTTAATGTGATTAGTGGTCGGGCCGTTTATATATGACGTGGCTATTGATAGTACTCTATATCTACCAAGGTCATAGATGTAATGTACTGTCACTTCGATCGTCAGCGTCATCTACATTCTCTGCTCTTGCCATCTTCGCATATGTACTAGGGGTTTACAGATCCATTTAGCGACAAGCAGCCGTCTAAGGATACACGACGGATGCAAAGATATCAAGTAGGCACAAGCATGCATTCGTCAAGGAAATTAATGTTATTCATGTAATTTGTAGGTCCTCGGACGAAACTGATCCATGTCGTCTAATTAGAAGTATGGAGACGTATAGTAAATTCATGTCCTGTACACTTCATTACATGGAAGCATCTCATTGACCATTGTCGGACTGCCCTATGCAGTCATTAGTGAGGCTTTCCAGCATTCCGAGGTTTACAAAAACGCCGATCGAATTCTCCGTGACTGTGCCTCCTCCGTGACACTTGTTGGGAGAAGCCTGTAGGGCTATACCCGTTGGTCCATGCGCAAAATAAACCAACACGCGGGGCTTAGTTGGTCATCAGTGCTGTGTCTTCATTAAGATTGGTACTGTAATGCAATTTAAATAACAGAATCCTTAACAGCGCTCAAAACACACTGTAACCGCTAAGCTAGCGACCTAAACGGTCACGCAGTGAACAACCAAAGCGATTTATGTAGTTGAAATTTCAACATTATAGTATTAAGAGCTATGATAAGCCCTATTCGCGTATTCTAGCTAATGTTAGAATAAATACCCTAGGCTATATACAACCTTGCTAACACTCGAGCCGGTATATTAGAAGCGACGACGGTTTGGTACCGCCGGCTTAATATTAACGTAGATTATAGAAAGGTGATGGAGTTCTAGATCTACATAAATCAGTTAAGAATTATATTCTAAGTATGAATTGAGCCGGCGGATACCCTTAGAAGCGAAGCCTACGCCAAAATTATCCGCGCCAAAATTATCCGTTACTATCTTCAGTAAGACTATGCTCTAGCGCGTCTAGTGAGCGGTGTTGCGAGATATGTCCTGCTCGACGGGGCCGCGTTAGCCCGCCCTCTCACCGGCATTGGCATGGATTTCTAGCGTAATTACACACAAAAAGCGTTTACAAATAGCTTCAATTATCAATTGTGACAAGGTGGTGCTATGTAGGTGACGTTGCACTTTTCACGGTATCATGGTTTAGTGCGGTTACAGTACTATTGAAGACACAGCACTAATAGTACCGCGTGTTGGTTCATTTTACGCATGGACCAACGGGTACTATTCTGCGACCATCCTCATAAACAATTTCCTGCTGAACTGTACGCGGCCTCTCAATGAATGCAACTTCCTCCTCGGGCATCGCTGGCCGGTCGCAATACCGCTCCACAGGCCGAGCACTGTACTCGCGTCGGGGTATGCCCGTTTCGGCAGGTCTGAAACCGTACTCTGGAATGACGTGAGGTGGAAGCTCACGCCGCGATTCGGGGTGGACGCTGGCCGCATATTCCCGTGGTGGCATATCCGGCCGGACGCTCTGCATTCTACCGTATTCATATCGAATTGGCTCGGCAGGCCTAATGCTAGCGGCCCTCGAGTATTCACGCGGCATCTCCTCAATGATTCGCCTCTCGGTGACTCCTCCGTACTGAATATACTCTCCTCCCGGGGCAGGGATTGGCTGAGCCGAGTAATCCCGTTGCCGATAACCACGGTAGTCGACGGCTCCGTATTCTGGCTGGGTGACGATACGCCTGGGCGCAAAAGTCGGGGATGCGCGTCTGTAAATCACACCATCGTGTTCATACGTATTGTCTGGACCCAGCAGTCGAGACGCAGGGCGCGCTGGCGCTCGCTCGTAAACAATCTCGGGCTCCGGTCTTCCGACGGGTGCAACCGAGTGTCGTGCAACAGGGGGTGAAGGAGATGGTTCGAGGTATTCACGACCAAACTGATCTCTAACTATTCGCGGTGGCAGGGCACGCGGCGGAGCCATCGCAGATGGCCATGCCTCCGTTAGAACAGGAGATCGGGACCGGGCACGATCTGCGACTGGCCTTACGCTCATACGTCCATCGCGACGGTACACGGGACCATCCTGATACAGAGGTTCTGCCGCAGAGGAATAGGTCGCTGAGCGCATTGATCTAATCTCACCTGGAACATACTGCGTGGGATATCCGGACGGTGATGCGACTCGGCGAACGTATTTGACGGTTTCGTCCGGCCTGCAATCCTCATATACCGGCAGCCCCAACCTGTGGCTGCTAGGAGCCACTGACTGGCGTATCGGGCGCGCATATGGATCATCGATTCTCTCATACCCCATGGGTAACCTCTCCTCGCGGTGAGGTCTGGGCACATATTCTTCCTGCCGACCTATCTCGACCGGCTCCCTCGGCTCGTCATAATTCAGCTCTTGCTGGGGTCGATGCGATTGTCTTTGCCGCTTGTTCGGTCGTGTAAACTGTGGACAGGAAAGAGGGGATGGGGAACGCGGCTCGGGTTTGATGTATGGCGAAACTGGGGGCTCCTGCGCTCTCAACTCGGCAGCTTTCCTTTTGTTCTTTTTCTTGTTTTTCTTCTTATTCCCCTTCTCGCCCTGGGGCGAACTCTCTGGGCTCGTCCCGTTGCCAGCTTCCTGTTGTCTCAAGGCCGCTACTTGAGCTGGCGCGCCCGGCAGTATGCTTATTTCTGGATCTAGTACAGGTGGTTGCCGCACTGTCGCCAACCGTGAGACGTGTGCAGGTTGAGGAGCGAGAGGAGAGAGATTATGCGCTCTGATGAGAGGCGAACCAGGATGGCTGAGCTGAGGGCCGGCCAACAGCTGATGAGGTTGCTGTACGCGGGGCTGGTTCAAACGCTGTTCGGAATCGACATTGCCGGAGTTAGATCTGCTCGTTGTACCGCTTTCATTAGAACTGATAACTTGAGCGTTTACAACCTCAGGCACAGGTGCCTGGACACGCGGTCGTCCCCCACTATTGTATACTTGGCGCGACGTCCCAACCTCGTTTCTACCAGGAGCAAAACCTGCATTGGGTAACGATTGCACATGTTCAGAGGGATTCGGCCGAGGCAGGGAGGGTAAAGAATCCGGGATCTGGATGCTTTCTGGGGCGTTGTGAGCGCGAGGTGAAATATGGGGTTCGGGAGTGTCATGCTGACTAGAATAGAATGTATTCTCGTCGAATGAGTCACTTGCATCAGATTGGTTAGCAGGCGGATTCGCATCAGCTGGAGCAGGTGGCGCAGTTGCCTGCACGAGCGTAAGGGCTTTCGCGAGGACATCAGAGTGATTGAAGTCAGACACCTCCTCAGAAGCCTGTTGAGCCGCCTTGCTCGCAGCACGGGACTGATCCAGCTGTTCTCTTAGAGTCCTCTCCAACTTCTGCCTTTGGAGCTGTAGCTCAGCTTTGATGAGCTCATCAGACTTAGTAAGTAGAAGGGGATCAATCTCGGTCGTGCCTGAGCCAAACGACCGGGATGTGCCAACGCCGGTGATCGAGGATCCCAGCGCAGCAGTGGCAGCAACAGCTGATTGATGCGAATTTGCCCTGAAGGACTCCAGATTATCTATTTGGTAGCTCTTGGTGAGAATTTGGCGTGTGGAGCTGCTGATTGTTTCTGTGGCAGGCTGTGATGAGAATTGCGGTCTACTTTGGCCGTTTCCCAAGCTTTGGGTAGGAGCCTTGATACGAGGATGGCTCCCGGACAATATTCTGTCCCGAAACCGAACAATTTTGTCATACTCCTGTATTTCGCGCAGCTCATCAGCTGTGAGTGCAGTAGCCTGCAACCCAGGCCGGTTGGGCTGTATAGCCATTGCTTGCGCCATGTTGATTTTAAGGTAGTGGGATGGGAACAGGATAGCAAGCTAAGCTTGGAAATCAGTTGGACCACTCAACGGGGTGCGACAACTATCCGTGCCGAGCAACAGATGAAAGATTGGGAAGCAAAATATCACAATGCCGTCTTGATGGACAGGAAAGAATGGAAGATCAGTCGATGGAAAGGAAGCCGACAGTTGCGTTCCGTAAAGAAGTCTGGCAAGCAGACAGGCAGAGAGCGACGTGTGGACTTTCTGAACTTTTTGAAGGGCGCGACTGTGAAGGTTCCACTTAAATTCACTTATGAGATTATTAGCGTGCCCGAGGGTGAACAAATCTCGTCAATGCCACATTGTTTGTTTGGGACACCCGAGACTGACAAGCAATGTTTGGTTGGTTCAAGGCACGACCCCAGCGGCGCTTGCCCAGGTCTTCGGATGAGACCGCCTTCCCAGGTTGGCTGCGTGCGTGCTTGGCACCTAAAGCCCGGTCTGTCTCGTCGCACTGCCATTTGCCCGCCCCCAAACGTTGCACTTTCACACCGGTGACTCAAGTCTCAGCTAGTATACTGAGTTTGCTGAGTATTACGAATGTAACAATCTGAATACCAAGAAACCTTGTGGAGGGGAGTTAATTTCTTCGCTGTCACCATACCTCGTCCACGTCAGAAACAATTCATCACCTCACTGAGTACTTGAATAACGGTAACACATCAAAACCCTATCACTCCTCAGTATATCATCAATATTGTACTTTACAGCTCGGCCTTGCCTCCGCCGACATCACATCCTTTAAATTTGAAGTCAAGATTGGCTGCAGACCAAAATGGGCTCGCAGGCAGAGAAATCCAATGTGGAATGCGCGACTCGACCCGTATGGTTCTTGTAAGTCACAATGGCCAATGAAGTATATTGAGTTTCTACTAACAACCCACAACAGCGACATAGACAACTGTCTCTACCCGAGATCAACGAAGGTGCACGACCACATGGCGGCCCTGATAGATGAATACTTCGCAAAGCATCTTGGCGTCACAGAGGAAGAGGCCATTAGACTGCACAAAGAGTACTACCAGAACTACGGTCTGGCAATAGAGGGGCTAGTCCGGCATCACCAAATGTAGCACTCTCGTTTGCCCTTGGCTTATGCTAAAGTGATTGTGGACTAATCCTTCCAGTGACCCGCTCGAATACAATGCTAAGGTTGACGATGCTCTGCCCCTTGAAGGCATCATCAAACCCAACCCCCAATTGCGCAAATTCCTGGAGGACATCGACACAATCAAAGTCAAGCCATGGCTGCTAACAAACGCGTACGTTACGCATGGTAAGAGGGTGGTGAGACTCTTAGGTATTGACGACCTCTTCGAAGGTCTGACCTACTGTGACTACTCATGTGTCCCCATCGTGTGTAAGCCTCACAAGGACATGTATGCTAAAGCGATGAAAGAGGCCGAAGTTGCGCGGGTTGAGGACTGCTATTTCGTCGGTATGTAACTATCTCAACCTGAATTAACGAAACATGACATTTGCTGACCTCTCCAGACGACTCGTACGCAAACTGCGTGAGTGCCCAGGAAATAGGCTGGACAGCAGCGCATCTGGTCGAAGAAGGATTGAATGTCCCGAAGACGCAAGCTTCCCAATACCAAATCCGACACTTGGAGGAATTGCGGAATATCTTTCCACAGTTCTTCAAGTCATCCGACTCAGCTTGAATGCCTGCCTCTGATATATGTCGAGTGGAAAAGGTGCTCTGGGCATTGGTGATTATACACTTTGTTTGCATATAGAGGTTGTGTGTGGGCATAGAGACATTGCTACTAGACAAGGCCAGGTGTATTTATTCTAGAGCAGCCACCGAACTGAATCAAGATGCCAAAAATCCATACCATAATTCATCACTTACGCCTGGTTTCCGGGGGTATCATGCCTTCAAATCATTCTCATCACGTTATGGCCGTCGAATGCTCCGAATGACTGTGTCAAGCTTCGTCATGATTTCCGCCTTCTCCTTAATAGCCTTCTGACGTTGGGCTTCAGCAGCTTTCAGCTCCTCCTCAAGTTCTTTGATATTTCGTTCCTGGTCCTGTTCACTGTTGTCCAATCCAGGAAGTATCGAGATGAGTAACTCGATCTGCTGCTCCTTCGTGATGAGGTCCTGCGCCAGCTCGATCTGCGATGCCTTGAAGGTCTCCGGCGCGTGAGGATCAACTTTGAAATCCATCAGTATGCAGCAAACGTAGAGGCTATAGATCGAAGGTACGAACCATCTTCTTGGCCGGGCTCCGGCTTTACATCTCGAATTTGGTCGTTCGGCCCGAGAAGTTGGAGGCTGTGGTGTCGATTGATATAGTGGATGGAGGAAACGAACTGCTGGGCAAGCTGGCATGGGTATTAGCAATGGCGTCAAGACCCAATTGGCTAACATTGAAGGGCGCTCGGCGAACCTGATCCACAGCATCCTGCAACTGCGTAAGTCTATCCCCCATGATCCAAATTGAAAGGAGTGGTCTCAAAGTTGCGAGAGGACGCGATGCGACGTGGAAGTCAAAATCGGGCTAACTGGTGAAAGCCGTTGACAAGCGCAGAGAGATGGTGGGGTTCGGTCGGCATGTTACAGGCCAAGTTCCGAACTCCCATTCAAGCCTGAACTTTCTTTTTTCAGAGCCGAATGATCTTTCCTCGGTCTTCATGTTCTGGATAAGGCTCTCGTTCGGTTTATACATCATAGGAAATAAGCCATGATCTATGTCGCGATACGTTTGCCACATCGTGGCCTCATGGTAGGAGCGACATGTCGCATTAATGGCATTAGGCAGTCTCTCCTCCCAAGAAGTTTGGGCTGTTGGCGCGCTTCAACAACTGATACGAAGCAAGCGTTGCCGGACGCATCCTTGAGATACCCAGACTCCTCAAGCCTTGAGCACCATGATATGGCAACTTACTTGGCTTATACCGCGCGCACTGGCTTGGATACCGGCTCGACAACTTACGTTGGAACGCATTTCGAATACACCGTAGGTATGGCACTCGAAAAATTAGGATTCACTCTGAGGCGCATAGGGGGCACGTCTGACCATGGCATTGATCTGCTCGGCACGTGGACAGTGCCCTCTGCCGCTCATCCCCTACGCGTCATGGTACAATGCAAAGTCTCCGCGCAGAAAACCTCCATCGGTCCTCACCAAGTACGCGAGCTGGAAGGCGCATTCGTCGGAGCACCTCCTGGCTGGCGCGGCTCCGGTGTAATCGGCTTTCTGGTCACGCAGAAAACTGCCACGAAGGGTATTCGGGACTCTCTGGGTCGCAGCCGATGGCCTATGGGTTTTATATCCTGTTCCCCCGACGGCAAGCTGCAACAGATGCTATGGAATCGCAGAGCTGAAGACGAAGGCCTCGCTGGTTTGGGAGTAGGCATTCGTCTCCCTGAAGAGGTTGGCAACGAACGAGAGTTGGCTTTGGTATGGCAAGGCAGGCCGATATCTACAAGTCCTTCGTCTTAAGTCTATCGTTGCATGGAATCAGCGATCCGGCTGGTTGAGCCCCAGTATGACAACATAATCACCAGCGTAACCTTCTCGAGCAGCTACGTGCAGAGCCGCTGATGGGGCGGGGCGCCACCTGACTCGCTTAGGGAGCGATACATTGGAGAACGATATGAAGAACGAAGATTGCATCGGCTCTGTGGACTCTATTTTGATCGGGCACAACACAATCCCAGCTAGACCCGTACACAGGCTTACCGTACTTCGACATGCTCTATCGGAAGCACCCTGGCCGAAACTTAACCTGTCCTTTGGACTTAGTCAAGACAGCATATCAACATGTCCGAAATCAAGCCCATCATCCTTCACAGAAAAAAAGCGGCCGAGACCAAGCAGGAGCCATACATCTCTTAGAGGCGCTGTCATCGAGTATCTGATTGATACCTAAGACAAGGAGAGCATGTCAACGTACGTCACGTTCCCGGGGAAATACCAGCTCAAGCAGTTCCTGTTTTCCAAATGAGCGGGCAGGGCCTGTACTACGGCCAGCTAGATTGGTCCAAGCACTACCACCCGGAAAAGGTGGAGGACGCGATCAATCGTTGAGAATACCAGCCGTTCCGGCTCATTTCTGTGCTTGACAACCTTCTGAAGGGCAAAGAGTACCTCGTGGGTGACAAGTGCACATATGCCGACATCTCTATCATCTTCTGGGAGTCAATGGCACACCAAATGTTCCCAAATATGGCCGAACGAACCAAGATATATTCCAACTACAGCGCCTGATGGAATCGTGTCATTGCCCGCCCGCCCCGCAGTGCGCAAGATATTCGAATACAAAGCTGAGGCAGCGTCGAAGACGCATCATTGAAAGACTGCTCAGAGGGAAATCCTTTGGTATCGACGTTTCGAGTAACATACACACACTTGGTAAGTCATAAATGACAGAGGCTGAGAGGCTGGGGAAATGGGGAAATAGCCAATCAAGAACACGCGGCTCATCAACTGTCAGCTTATGTTGCATATTTGGATGTAGGACTTCTCTCATATGCTAGATTGTATCGTTCTAGGCTACGCTAGTACACCTGCCATGGCCACGCAAGATCCATAACGGTCCGAACATCCGAAGTATTATTGAGATCGGATGAAGTGCCAGAGTCAATGCCTCTTTTGGGACCACCTAATTCACAAAATTCCGAGTGTTGTTAACCATTCGTGAGCCACGGGACTACTGTTCACGACGAATTAAACCGCTCTACTGGAAAGTGAGTTGTCGAAGACAACGCCAACCAGATAGCCGGACATAAGCATAGAGCACTGCAGATCGATAGGCCCCCCGAGATGCGGGTTCCACAGTCTCGGCCGATGTTGCGGGGAAGTCGTGGGTTAAAATGGGGTCAAGGACGATTTGGAAATGACCCCACCGTCACGCACACTCAAGCTGTGACTTCCGCAGAGTCCTCCTCTCATGTGCAACTTGAGATCCCCTTCTTATTCCATATCTTGTCCAAGCTCTCGAGATCCGACCGTTTCCATGCCCCTGAAACTTCGATTTCTACCTCTTTAGGCTATAAACAGAAGTGGTTGTTTAGAGTCCCTCTGCCCCTCTCGCTCAGTTCTATAGCTTGGTAACAAGCTTCCTACTGGTTTTCCAGAGAACGACACCGTACGACTGGAACCGACGACAGCGCACAAACTTACCCCCGTTTCCGCGTCGCACTACGGGACTGGACCTGCAAGCCACTTCCTGACGCAGCACCCACGCCCAGAGTTCTTCCTATACACACTTCCGGTAGCAATTCTTGCTGGGACAAGATCCGCAGACGTGAGATGGCCAGCAACGCAAGCGGCGCCACCACGGCCGCACTGTCGAACCTGTCCCTTAGCCCCTCAACCCACAAGCCATCTAAGGGGAAGAAAGTCGTCGTAGCAGACTCATGGGAAGACGAGGACGTAGACGCGAACTCGGATTCGGAAGACGCCTCCAAGCCGAGCAAAACAACCCCCAACGAAATCACCAGTAGCAACTCCGGGTTTGCAGCCCCACCTCCGACACCCAGCTCTCCGACGTACACCTCCGGCGCGCCATGGCAGTCGATGTCATCTTCGTCCCAACAACAGTACGAAGGAGCGGGAGCGGAAAGGCTACGACCCGAGAAGACGGATGCGGTGGCGCGCAGGATGATTGCCAGTGCGCTGGGAGTCAAGGCGCCTAAGCCGACGGAGGATCAGAGGGCGTATGATCGGGCGCTTAGAGATAAGGAACGGAAGAGGAGGGAGGTGGAGAGGGAGGCGGAGCGGAAGCGGAAAGAGGAGGCCGAGAAGGCTAAGGTGGCTGTGTGGGAGGATTGAGGGAGAGGATTGGTAATATAGGGACAACGAATGAGAGCCGGGCTATTAGGAGCTGCTATGGGTATTGTTCTAGGGAGAGAACATTGCGAGTACATGGAAAGTGACTTGAGAGTGGGCGTTTTCGAATTAAGTATATCCTCTCACAAAACCACATGGTCGAGGGAAGAAGGGTCAGCGACAGGTTCTTGGCTACCAAGGTGGAAGATAGTACACGGGAAGAAGTCGGCCGCACAGAAATATGGACAGTTGGCAGCCAACTAACAAGCGGGAGAGGGCTTGTTGGATGAAGCATTTTCCCTCAGCACACGAGTACTGCACGAAGAGCCAGGCTGACGCTCCTCACTGAAAAGCGTTGTTATATAGCCGGCTTACGGTATCCATGAAGATCCGATGCATCATGAAACATGATACATCCTAAGCCATCACCCAAGGCCAGTTGTACCAAATTAAATGCTGACAAGAAGAAGAATTCACTTTTGGCAACAGTTGATTGCGCAATAGCACTGCTATTCTTCTAAATGGCACGCAGCAAGATATGTACAAATAAAGTATGCTAACAAAATTGGCCAACATTAATCCATGAAACTCTGAGTTCGCCCTGCTAGTTCACTTGCAAGACATGAGCGCAACTATCTGAAACTGCCAAACGGCTTGATTTCTTTCGTCGACGATCGCGGAGAAGATGACGTGGAAGCCGAAACTCAACGAGGAAGTCAGGAACACCCAGAGAACATGCACTGGACGCGAAGTAAACAGCGACACAGCCAACGATTTGCATGCAACCCACGTATTGAAACATCACCACAAGAGTAAAGGCAGCAAACCTGTAAGCCAGTAACTTCTCAAAAGCTCTACTCCATCTGCTCCAGAAGCTTTTGGCACTCATACCCTGGCAGATTCTTCTCATATTCGTCGTCTGCCACCTACAGCGCGGGAGCAAGCAGCGTCGCCACGACGTGCAGCTCGGTCGTGGACCACGTCTACGATTGCGCAGCATGCGCAGGAGAACCAACCCGCTTCGGCGACGGGCCGATTTCCTCCCAGACCACGTCGTGGATCCCAGATAAGGTCGACGGCTACGTCTCGGCAAATACAAATCGGGCGAGTAAGAGCGACACAGACAGCTACTCTGGTGGGGTTTCCCAATTGGAAGGTAGCGCACATGTATGCTAACACTCCAGCCCCGGCTTCTCGGGTCTGGCATCGCTTTGCAGCTCCGTGGGTGATGTTCTCTCGGCGGGGGTCACCACCACAAGTGAGTCCTCATCGAGAGCCACCGAGAACACCTCCACGGCCGCCCAGACAGGCCAGGGTATGGGAAAGCGCTCATTGCCGACGGCGCAACCATCACGGTTACGCCTGCGGCCACGTCGGAACTGGGAAGCAGTGCTGCCAACGGACAGCGGGAAAACAACCTGACTCACTCATCATCGGGGTCTTTAGTGGGGTCATATCACTTCGAGTCATTCTGTGATGCTGTTTCTATTCGGCGAAGTACGGCTCTGGTGCTTGTAAGCCATCTTATCATGACCCCTTTCACGTGTTACCTGTAGGTCCAGTGGCAGGAAGTGAAACGACGGCGGGGAGGGACTCGAGGGTGTACATAGTCTAGGCTACAGCCACCACATAGTGAAAGCATAACGACGGCATTTCGTCTCAGCTGACAATTGCACCCGTTCGTGATGCAGGACGGAAAGTAGTCCTCCCAAGCTGGGTTCAAATGACACAATATCGAGATCCAAAGATCTATATTGCTCAACTTCCCGTCTACGAAACGGTCTAAAGGGTATCTCAAAATGGTGTCGTGGGGCGTGGACACAAGTGGATGGATTACATCTCGTCCCCGTTCAGATCTACTCCGACACCACGTAATGCCTCGACGGCCCAGAGTGGATAGTCGGCTTTGTCCGCATAGAGGTGAGCAAAGAACTGCCGCAAGAACTTGGGGTATTCATCCGCGACGATAGCATCCCGGACCTCGGTCATGAGATTCAGTTGGTACCAGACATTGTGTATACTGAGGAGATGCGCAGCAACCGTCTCCTTGGACACATTGTGGTGGACGAAAGCCCGCGTGACGGCGATGCCACCTTCGCCTTTCCTGCAGCAGATGCAACCGCATCCGTCTTCGATGGCACCGAAATCCCCGGCGTACTTGGCGTTCCTGAAGTTCAGCACTCCGCGTTTGGTGATGGCGTTTCCGAATCTGGCTGTTCTGGTCGGCCACACGCAGTCGAACATATCCGCGCCCAGGGCGACGCTCACCACGAGATCCTCCGGGTAGCCGATTCCCATGACGTAGCGCGGTTTCAACTCGGGCAGAAGCTCTGTGCATGTTGCCACCACACGACAGTAGTCTGCCTTTGCTTCGCCGCCGGAAAGACCGCCGATGGCTATACCTGGCGTATCTCTGGCCACCATCTCCCTGGTGCACTCGCGTCGCATTTCCACGTCGAGGCCACCTTGAATAATGCAGAACAAATTCTGCGTCGTCGGATTCTTGTGGGCTGCTATACAGCGGTCCAGCCAGCGTACGCTTCGCTCCATAGCCTCCCGCATTCGTGCCTTGTCGGGTGATGTGGTGACCAAGACATCGTCCAACTGCATCATGATATCACTGCCAATGGTGTTCTGCAGCCCAATGGAGTGCTCCGGGGTCAGTAGCATCGGCGTACCGTCGTGTGGGCTCAGAAACCTAACGCCTTCCTCGGTGATGTTGGCGAGCTTCAGCAGGCTCACCATCTGGAAGCTGCAAACGCAAGTTAACCTCCGGCACAACCTGCATACGCGTCTCACTAGGCCTCATACCCGCCACTGTCAGTCAAGATGTTGTAATTCCATCCCTGCAGCTTGTGCGCACCGCCCACAGCGGCGAGCACTCCCTGGCCTGGTTTCAGCCCGAGATGATAGGTGTTGTTGAGACACAGACGGCATCCTGTTTCCGCTAACTGCTCCGGGGTCAAGCCCTTCAGCGAAGCCTGGGTGGCCACGGGCATGAAGAGCGGGAGTTGAACCGGTCCATGAGGCAGCGTCAAGACGGAGGCTCGAGCTCGGGTTGTCTAAGGCCGAAAGTCAGACAAGAACGCCGGAGAAGCGGTGTGAGTGCGGGCCATCGGTCTTACAGAACAACGAGCAACGAGCTCGAACGTGAGAGCTGCGGACGACTGTGAGGCCATGGTAGCCATTTTGCCCAGCATGGCGCTTCAGGGGTTTGGTGGGTAAAAAGGTATGATCCGAATGAGTGGGGCCCAAAGCCTGGATTCTCCGGTACGGCGGTCGGAACACTAGAGCGGCCGTCCTATGGCTGCTTTGGGGGTCGATCTTTGCTGCTCCAGTTTGATTTGTTCGGCAGCTGGCTCTAGTCTATTCGGATCAACCGCGAAATCTTCCCATTGGACCTGGCAGCATGAACCAGCAATATGGTTGCAACTCCAAGAAGCAACAAGTAAATTTGGAGACGGTCATGCGTTGGCGGGCGGACGGAGGCCTTCGCAACCAGCAAGCCAAGAGCAAGTTGGTGACAGCCCGTTGGCCCGCCTATATAAGGAACGCAGGGGCCAACGGGTATTTTTCGTCGTGAGGACCTTCTCAGCCCTTCAAGCCTGGACTGCGCGTCCGAAACAGCAAGGGAGTTCTACATTTTCTTCCGGTGGGGAATCCGCTTGATACGAACCAGCGGCTCGGGAGTCTACGTAGTATCGTTACACATCAAGACAACCCCACGCTGTGGACAAGTTGTAAAATCGTACGACTTGGCATTCGCAGTGGATTTTCATTCGCAATCGCGTTCATCAGCGCTAGTCTAAGTTCCCTTCAGCAGTCGTCTGAAGGCACTCTATTTCATTGTGCCGGCACTGACGCACGGAGAGAGGGGGCCGTCTGTGCTAACAAGGCGGAAACCTATGCGCAGCTCGACGTTGACCCCAGGCCTCAGGAAGCCAGGTGGGTTGACTTGGCTAGGAGCCGCGTGGTCGAGTGGATTGAGGCTCAGGAGCAGCCACCCGGGCCCATGCGCATCGCTCTATCCAGACTCCTCTCTTTTCATCTTGCGTTAGGGTAACATAGGGCGGACCGCCCACGGGAACGCCCATGCGGAAGTGTTCCTTATACATGGCCCAGGATTCGACCTTTATCACTGACGTCTTTATAACTGCCGTGATACCCACGTGTGATCTCTTTGCGGATTCCGTAGGTCGTGAACCTTATTTTCGAACCTTATTCCTCCATTCAGCCTCCTTCGCCACAACTCCGCTGCTTCGACTGACGAAACGTCCACCCTGTCGAACATCAACTTCGACGCGAGTCGCTCTCATTCTCGGCCAACCACGCCTCCAACGGAAACCATGTCTTCACCAGAGTCATTCCACCTGTTCTCATCACTGCCTACCGAAATACGACTCGAAATATGGCAATATAACTGTCACCAGCCTCGCGTCGTTGAAGTCACCTACAACTCAGAACAAGACTGCTGCTGGACCACCTCAGCACCACCCGCCATCCTCAGCGCATCCCACGAATCACGCAACGAGGGTCTCCGATTCTACAAGAAGCTATTCGGCACCAAGACCCATGAAGCGAGGATATACTTCCACCCGGGCATAGACACGCTCTACCTGCCCCGACCGACAGACATGGGCTACGACAACAACTCGCGCGACTTCGCCCAGCTCGTCACCGGCACGGCCGAGGTGCTCAACCTCGCCATCGACCACGTCAAGCCCGTCATCCGGAGGCCCTGGGAGACGTACAACAAATACGTGCTAATGCAGAGTTTTCCCCAAGTCAACGAGGTGTCCCTCGTCATCGGCACGCCGTCGGAATCCGATTCTGAGCCGGAGGGCATACGGCATGGCTATCTGCAAATGGCAGAGCCAAACGGCGACCCTGTGTCGATATGCAGGCTCCTAGCTGATCTCAAGGAGTCGTTCTCGTACGAGGTGGGCGCGAGCTTCGAGACGGATCATAATGAGGAGGAGGGTGGGTTAAAATCACCTCCAATCGTGCTGAAGTCGATCGCCACCAATTATCTGCCGTTGCTTTGAAATGATGCGGCTGCCGTCGCGTAATCGTGCTGACAAGGTTCCTAATGTGTAACGTCGCGAATGTCTAATATAGGGATGAAACCAGTCTATATACCCCTATGTGTCTGTGCATCCCTGGCATGGACTCTTCAAGACCCTGCGTGGCCGTGTGGAACACACTCTCCCGCACGGGAAATACGACCGTCGCGAAAGATCAGATGGACTTGAATGCTCTGACTCGTTCATCCACGCGCGCCACCCGATGTTCTGTTCCAGCATGATCAGAGCCACAAGCAAAGCCACAAAGCCTGGGATGCAGCCAGCCTTCTATTTTCATGGCCGGTGGCGAAATGTACACGAATAAGCGAATACTGCTCTGATGATGCCAACCTTGGCTGTTACTATCAAGCGAAGCCTTTACAATCGACTGGACAACTCGTCCTTGGAAAGTCGAGACCCCATTTTGTATCGCCCTGGGACGAACAAAGACAATGAATAACCCCTACAGTTGGTCACATAGTTGTTAGTAAATATGCATATAGTCTTGCGGTTGAAGTCGTATCTAGATTTATCATTCATCCAAACCGGCTTACATGAAACCCTCTGCACGGCAACGCTGTTCCTGGCCATATAGTGACGCATTCAGTATCCTCATCGCCTGGTGAAAAATCTCGCAGTAAGTAATCCACAGAGGCGGATCGGCATGTAGTTACTAGCTTGTTAGATTGATTCGCTGTATGATTTGTCCGCAGGATGGTAATCAAAAGGGCGGATGACAATGATCCTGACAGCCTTCCTGCCACAAGGTCGTATGTATAGCTGGGGTATCTCCTGTCACAAGTGGAAATGTCAAACTTCTCCCCTGTATCATTTGCCATCGTATGAAGCTAACGTCGCTCACTATGCACTCATCCACGTACATCTACAAACATCCCATTTCAGGTACCTACCTATTGTAAGTAACAAGTAAACCACGAGACAACGATGGGATAGTGGTAAAAATAAAAGGTTTGACCAGAGGCTGAAAAGTCAATTGACGTCCACACCCTCTATATTTCCCCCAATCAGCACTACTACTAAGGTTCGACATGAACAAGTTGGTACCACTCCACGGCAAGCCTCGATCAGGATGTGTAACCACCTTCAGAAATTTACCAACCTTTCAGACTTATCCAGCAAGGGTAGATGAATAGCAGAGAGGGCCATTGAAATCCCGAATTCGAGTGAATGATTTCTCGTCCTCCCAACTACATTTGACTAAATACCCTAGTGTGCATCATATTATCCACTTCCAACCAACACCAAGTCAAAGCAAACCCTCTCTCAACTAAGATATCTGAATCAAGCACCACCTCCTCCTCCTCCTCCTCCTCCTCCTCCTCCTCCTCCTCTTCCTCTTCCTCCTCCTCCTCCTCTTCCTCTTCCTCCTCCTCCTCCTCCTCTTCCGCCTCCACCGACACCGACTCCTGACCACAAGAAGACCGCATGTTAGGATTGCCGTCCGGACAATACCAAGATGTGCGTAGGCTGTCGCACCCTAGACCACCATTGCAGCCTTCCTTATTCGGTGCCCTGCAAACCACCGTCGAGTGTCGGGACTGTCCCGCTGGGAATTGGTACCAGAGAACTTTGGTACGATGGGCACGTCAGCTGGCCGTCACGGGCCGAAAAATGGAGCAGCCTAGATTTTGTCGTCAGAGGATCATATCGGAGCTCCCTGCTGCGTGCCACATGAGACGTAATCAGAATCATTTGTGGACTGAAGCAGCACAAGAGCACATCAGGAAATATTACATTGATGACCACCGAATCGTATGCAAAATGATATTAAATATCTACAACCGGCAACCCCCAAACAGATCTCAACGAGTGACTTTTGTGGGCTTGTTGGTTACTGTGAAGAGCCCCTAAATTAATACCAAGCAGGAAATCTTTTGCTTGTAAATGACACACGAAAGACATTATCCACCATTTCAGGCCATGGCCAAATATCGACCATCCAGGTACTGCGTTGAAGGGCTTGTTGATTTGCCGAGCCAGGTTGAGCTGCTCAGATCTGATCGAATTTGCCAGGGTTGTAAACTGGCTTGGGTGAGGAGCATTTGTTGCCCCTGAGTTACAAGTCCCGAACCAGTCTGGCGCCCACCCAAGCATAAGGGTAGTTACGCTGATACCAGTTGACACTAGAGGCAGGTCAGCAACTCGGCCGGCAAAATCAGAATAGAAACTTACAACGATCTCCGGCCAGCAATGCGCGGATGTGTGGCCCAGGAGCCACCTAGGACAACATTATGCTTGCCATCGAAGAAGTCGGCTGCGACACGTTAGCATCTAGTATAACACATGGCCGCGGGAGCAAAAGACCATGGTTCATACAAGTGTATTGGGGATACAGTGCCATTGGCTCGAAGCTCGCATGCTTGGTCAACGTCGAACTGGTCCACTCCCAAACACCTCCCATTTCGGATTGTCCAGCCAAGCGGTTGCCGTGAGCCGTCACAGGAGTTGGGTGCCAATGCTTGAAGCCAACATTAGCATGAGTGAGGTCAACGAAGAGTCCTGGGGACTCTCCGTTGACTGACCTCGTAGCGCGTGATGGTGGGGTTTCTTCGACGCCGTCATTCGAAAGGTGACTACATGAATGTCAGCTATCATGACGAGGCCCGACACATCATGATGCTCACCCATTCACCGCCGGAACCGTCTTTCCAAGTTGATTTTCCGCTTGCTCCTTTCTCATGTAGTCAGCGTAGCTGTAGATGCTTCTCGCCTCTTCCTCGGTGGGAATTCTGCCACCCATCCAAGTAGCGCATCCAGCAAGCTCATCGTAAGAGGCAAACACGGGCCAATCAAGCGCATGCCTCAGTGGCACCAGACCATAAACTGTCCTCACTGTTTTGCCTTCGAGGAATGAACTTGGCGGTGACTGTGCGCCGTTGGAGTGGCCATTCGCATGACCATTGGAGTCACCGTTGGTGACGCCGTTAACGTATCCATTGGAGCCATTAGCTTCCTTCTGAGTTTCCTCTGCCCATGAAGCAGGAATCTTGGCTTTCTTCATCGCATAAAGATATTGCGCGTACTATTGAGGTCAATTATTGGAATGCTGCTTCGGCCATTTCGCTTCATGTACGAACCTCCTCATTCGTGATTGGCGCACCTTTCGCCTGAAACGAGTGGATATTGACCTGCCGAGACGGCTTCTCGTTATCCCTGTTGTGTATTAGTCGTGCTACGCTGATAGATTTGCGTAACTGCTCACCAGCCGAAGTGACCGGTGGAGTCCAAGACATCCTCGGGATCGTCAAGCCCGATGGTGACCTGTTGCTCAGGAACTGTGAACCACTGGTTTTCCACTCTTTCGGCAAATGCATTCTGAGCTAGCGAGGCAAAGTTCGGTTTCAGTGTGTGAGGTGGGGGCAGAGTTTTATCGCTCTGTAGCATCATGTACAGGAGTGTCTCGATGTGCATGAGTTCGTGCTCAAATGACACCCATATAGCTCTTCCCACATCTCGCGGGATTTTTTCTTGCCCCTTAGAGTACAAGTGGAGCAACCTGGTCCGAACCTGTTCCTGGTACGTCAAGATGTCTTCAACAGATGGCCACTCATCCGGAATTTCCGAGTGTGAATGACACAGCTCCGGGTTGTCCACATCAGGATCGATTCCGCCTGCACGTGTAGGTTAGCAATGGGATATCAATGTGACGACATCCAGAGGTGATTCTCGTCATGTCTTCGAGACAAAGAGAGAGAGAATCTCGAGCGGGTAATGTCGGGCTGTTCTACCCTCCGCTCACCGGACGAAACAGTGGACTGTTGAATTTGCTTACGCTCGAAGATAGAATTGAAGAGAGGATTGGTGGCAGGTGTTTTGGTGGTCTTTGTCAGCTGTCCAACTATGTCAGCAATTTTGACTGTCTGAATGTTTTAGCAGACACGAACCTGGATGTCGAGAAATGTCGGTATGTGCCCAAGATAGAAGATGCTGTAGGCATAAGCGTCAGAACTTTTGACAATATATCATTAAAGCAAAAGGCGATTGAGTTTTGTTAGTCTATTACTGATAGCAGCGCCCTGGAACAGGACCACCGAGGCAGATTTGCACTGCTAGAAAAAAAACGTACCAGGCGTTCCGCAGCTTTATGGGCTTTTCAGTCAGTTCCTCCTCGGGCAGCATCAATCGGGTGACTGTATGCCATTCCCTCCAGATTGCGTTCCAGTCTTCAGGAGTGGCCAGGTTGGTGTGGGCATACTCGGAGGGCTTCAAGCTGAAAGGCATGGTGGATTTTGTCAAGAGATGCAATCCTGTGCCATGTCAGCGCAACTAGTTTGACAACAAGACCTGGGAGGCCTGCGTTTAAGACTCGGCGCCGGCTTCGATACCATTGTGCAACTGATGCAATATGACATCCATCTAAGTGGTTGAAAAATAACTAAAATGTGGGGGGAAGTGCTTATTCGTGGAAATGTGTGGCCACCCCCATGACTCTGGATTCTAGGGTTGAACAAGGCAACACAGAGATGGATTGCTTACCATACTCCTTGCCACGCATGAACGTGGCCTGCTCAACCAAGCCGGCGGCGTTCCACAACCTCTCCATTCCCTCCTTGGAATACTTCAAGCTTTGCTCTACCTGAATCCGCTCTTCAGCGCGAATGGTTTCACCCAACACCGTGACCTCACGGATTGGGGAGTAAGCCGCCTGGTGACGTCCGCCAGACGCATCGTAAACATATTCTCCTATGACTCGCCAGTCCTCCTCCTTGAAGACTTCAGATCCGAGGACCTCATTCGCGTGTCGAAGACCATTCAGGACAAACCTACAACTGTCAGCCAAGTGTCTTCGCAGAGCTGCAATGTACTCACTGATGAGTCACGCCTTCTCGATCTAATCCCGAGGCGTACGTTTCAGCATCACCCAATACAAACATGCAAACACTAGTGGGACTGACCATTGTACGCGTGGTAGACTTTGGATGGATCAACACATGAGTCCACTCCAACGAGGATAAAGTCTGTAGAGCGCAGAACGTCTGTAAAACCCTTCAAGAATGATGCGGCTTCATCCCGTTGGAAGTTGCCTGTCAGAAGCAGTAAGTAGTCGGATTTGGGATGTGTCCCTCGAATCTCACCAATGCTGGACCCAAGACTCAGGACACACTTGCGCCTAGCCGCAATGGATGGCCGCTTTAACCATTCGCGTCCGTCATCGTATGTTCCCAGCAGGCCGTGACCTGCAAAACATTAGTTTCTGGCTGCTTGAACCTGCAAGTTGTTTCTTGGAAGTATCAAGCTGGGAATTTTCCAGAAAGAATGGTCTCTGTCTTCGACATGAAAGCCCAAAGACAGGTGCATTGAGCTTTAGGGGGGTTGGCTCACATTGCACGTGTCGAAAAGGGGGGATTTGTGCAAGCGTCCGTATCAACTCCTCTTCTGACAAGTCGAGCGCAAAGTAGTCGACTTTCTTCTCAGCATCCTCGATGGCTTCGAGGAGAATCTGCACCTTTCGTAGATTGCCGCTTCCTAGTTCGAGCAATATTGACCCGGACGCAATCTCTTGGGCCATTTGAGCTGCCGCAGACCGAAGAACTTCGATCTCATAGTTGGTCAAGTAATATTCCTCCAAATAGGTGATCTTGAATTACCATTAGCGTCGGGTCGCGTTGATCTGGCAAGAGAACCGCGTGTACCTTCTCAAAGAGCTGTAGACCCTTCTCGTCGTATAGCAGCAACGTAGGCATCCTCCGGGGGCCTTCTTGGGGGCGTAACATGCTGTGTATCTCCTCTTTGAGATTCAGCTCCACAGACTCTTGACGTATGTCAATGATGTCTAATGCGGGACTGCTAGATGGCCGCAAAAGTTTGGTGGCTCCCTTTCCCGCCTTGGGGTTGGGAGCCGACGCGTGAGGCTCGAAGTGAGTCTCGGTAGTGGACGGCATGGCGCCTGAAACCCCCAATTGTTCTGAATACAGCTGGATAATGCTCGAGGAATTCCAAGCGGATGGAGCAGTGGTATTTGGAAGCGGATAGGAAAGAAAGGGAAGTTATACAACAGGGGAGACGATGCGAACTAGACAGTAAGAGAAGTAGCGAGATACCTGCAACATACGAGGTCGCCGCACAAAGCTTAATTCCTCAGGCGCGCATTTCTCTCGTTGTTAGTTAACCTTGGTCAGATGGTGATGTCAATCACGGGTAGATGAGCTTCCAGAGGGACCGACGACCCCATTTGCCATCTAGTGTCGAGCCATAGGACGTAGCCCGTCAGCCCATTAAAAAAGGCGCTAAATGGCATCATACCGCGTTGCCCGAGGAGCTCCTGTGTGTACATGGCGAGGCACGCAGAGGAGAAAAAACAGCTGACCAAGGAAATAAATGGCGGTTTTTCGTCCGGCGCGGGTTAAGTTCTGTCATCGCAGCTTCGAGGGCGTGGGAGGTTAAGTCCAATAGCAAATCACGTCTTGGCAAGCTGTGACCTAAGACCCCCAGGCCCCGAAAATTGCGGGGCATGGGGCTCAATCGCTGCAGTGACACGCACCGCTAGAAGTTTAGCCCATACGTTCCTAACCGGACGTGTTTCGGCAGTGTCCAGATCGCCCACGCGTATTGGCCCTAGAAGTGCTATAAGGCTATACTCACCAGCGATAGTCGACGAAGGTATCCATCAGAAAGCATATCGTGTACCGTCCAAACTTAGCTCGGGGAAGAAGACAGCACCTGGCCCGCCCGGACGATAAGGCTACAGCTGAAGAGCCCTTGCCCCTAATACAACTACATAGTATAGCGCTGCGCAATCGCGGAGGATTTGCCACATCTGATATTCATGTGCAACCAGTAGAGGGAATGGCGACATGCTTCCTGTAATGCATGATGATCTCTTTCTTCATGCAGAGATGTCTTCTGCGGCTTGCTTCTTTCGTCCCACCGGCCTGGCCGCCGGCTGCCTCCGAGCCAGGTACCTTTCATTCCGTATACCCGATAACATCCCCAAGATGGCATACTGTTCCCATACTAATCAGACCTCGGGAGATCTTGCGGGTTTGTGAGCCGTGGTCTCGTCAACTCTTAGTTTCCAGAGCGTTTCCATTAGACGTAGTCACCTGCAGAGCTCATAGTCATGCACTCGCATCATTTCTCCTTCTTTTAAAACTATACGCATGTGCCGTGAAAAGTATCGTGTGCAGACGTCATTCTTCTCTGTAATGACACTGCTATATCTATTAATAACGACGGCATCCACCACTACCCCTCACTGACATACAGCTTCCGGTGCTCCTTTGCCTTGCCCCTCACCTCCTGTAGCCGCAGGGACTTGGCTGCCTGGCATCGTGAGCTAGGCAGGGCATCAAATCCTCAAGTAACACCGGAATTTATCAGCATGACTCACTTGATAACCCTCGTGTTGCGTCAACTCGTCCTCCTATTGCTTGTGCTGAACCGGGTCAAGAAGTCGTTCTGTTTCCTTCTCAGTGTCATGTAGATTGTATACTGTGGGGACACGATTAAGACTTCTAGAAACCGTTGATTGCATGTCGGATCTATAGATATGAGTGGCTACTGTGTGTTCTGGGCTACTGCACTACTGCACTTGTCTATACCATGCTAAATTCCTTAGGATGTGTTCGGAGACTTTCCCGGGAAATGATTTCAAAATTATTCTCGGGACTTAACGCAAGGCATATTGTGTCAGCTGCTAGCCCGTTACTTTCAACTTATGTTGATTCGTGCGTCTTTCCGCAGGCTTTGTCTGTGTTTTTAGAGAAGCCGGATACATCAAGCTGGCTTGTCCCATGACGGTCCGGCGATAACATTGAAATCCGATGGCATGACCATCTCGCGCGAAATTTTGCCTCGTGACACCAATCTTGCGCGAAATTCCGCCTAATGACATTGTAGAATCATTGCTGTGCTGTTGCTGTTGGAGGGCATATAATCTCCCGAACCAAGATATCACTTGACTAGAGCGCCATGCCGTATACTAGGAGTTCTGCGTCTACGTCTGCGCCTCGTAATTGCCATGGAAAGGTCCTACAGGGTGGTATCCATTGTTCCAGACCATTGGCTATGGCCCTTTCCATCATTGTACGCCGGGGTAAGTGAGTTTCCACCATCCACCGCATTGTCATGTTTCAAGTGCCATACTTCCGCTCACATCATGACCTCGCTGTGCCTCTCGGTTGCTGTAATATCACGTCGAAACCTTTCCAACAACGCCTTCAAATGCTACCAGATTGTAGAATGCCTCGAGAATAACACCGACGGGGTTTCGCCGGTCCGAGTTCCCCCCCTCCCATTACCCTGTACGCCAAAAGATGCCGTTTTGCCTTCAGAGAAGCATATCAATCACCTCCTTAGCCACTTCAGATGGCGTCAGGACCTTGTGGTCTGCAATGAACATATTGACGTAGTCAGGTTTCTGAGCGCATCTTAGTTCACACTGTCCATAATCATCCGAGGCGATAAGTCTTGCATGAGAGCTAGTACATACCGTATAGTCAATAGGTTTCGCTAGGGTTTCCTTGGGTATCTTGTTATAAGAAGTGCTGGTGCTGCCAGCTCGAAAGTCGATTACGCCTTGATCGAAGCCGTAGTCGAACTGACCACAAGGAAAAGTCTTGCCAAATTTGTGTTGCTCCGCAGCAACGACAAACTGCTTCTTGTTCTCTTTGGCCAGCTGCGCAATCTGGAAGGTACCCAGCCGGGCGATGATGCCGCCATTGGCAGTTACGGCGTCGGCTCCTACAATGACCATGTCCACCTTGGACATGGCGTAGGAGACGGCAGTTGCGGGAATGGTGGCAACCGGTACACCTTTTGCACGCAAAGCGGCAATAACCTTGTTGCTCTCCGTCTCAAGCGCTGGGTCGATAGCGTATATGACCTTGAACCGTATCGGATCATCGACAAAGTGGCCAAAATCGTGCTTTTCAGCAGCTCTTCCCAGCAAAGTACCCACGACTCGCGATCCTCCATATGTCAGGATGGTCTCGCCGTCATGAATGTGTCGTCGGCCATTCACAGCGATTCTCTCTCTTGCATTCTTGGCCCGCTGGGCAAATAGGCGCCCATTTCGTAGCAGATGCTGTCTCACGATATCAAAGTTCTTCTGAGTGCTTGTCTCCTTCCCTTCAGGTCCGGGCTGCTTAAGCGACATGACGAGGTACTGGCGGAACAAATGGGTGCCATGGGAAAGGGCGATCGAGTTGGTGACGGCGCATTGCAGCTTGGCCGACTGCGTCTCGACGAGATCAATAGTCTCAGCGACCGTTGCGACTTGCGACTGGCCAAGCACCTCGATTAGCGCCTCGATGGCCGCGATGGGCATCGTGAGGTCAGGGTCTTCCGCCAGAAGCCGGTGGTACGTTCGTACGATGCTGAAAAGGTCAGTTGGACAGGAGCAGCCACGAACACAAGAAGCCGTTTGATGAGGACTTACTCAAAGGAATCGCCATCCGTAGCAATGCGGATGGGTAGTTGGCGCGTTGTCGCGCTGACGTCTTGGTCGGTCGTCATCGCAAGTTCAACTATACACGAAAAATGACGGACGAGATTGAACGGTGGAAGAGTTACTCTGAGCATACATGAGTCCACGGTTGTGCTTTATCTCGTCGTCAAAATTTGAGAGAACATCATTGCTAGTGAGTCAACTCTGGGGGCCAAAAAGCGTATGAATTGACGTCTCTGCCCCGCCTGGTCCTTGCGCACTTATAGTGGGAAAGAACAACTCACTTCGTAGCTGCGCGGGGCAAGGTGAACCCCAAGTAGTTACTTTGCTCGAAGAACCGAGCAGTACCGTAATCTTTCCTTTCAGATCTTTCCCTAGCAAACACTCATGCTCACATTCTTTAGTATATACTCTATTTCCCTCAGTCAACACATCTTTCTAGCATACTTATTTTTTCTGATGATTTGACGGCTTGCGGGTAGCGCCCCGGCTTTCCTGTCTTTTACCTAGCTCTGGATCATGCCTGCGTGCGTCCTACTTCTAAAGTGCCGTTCATCTACTCGCACCCCCTCTTCAGGCAAGCAAGCTAGAGATAAATGACCAGTCCACGGAAATGGAAAAGCATGGCCATCCAACATGATTCTGGAATATCGGTTTATGCTACATTATTACGCTGACTGCGTCATTTACTTTGTTACATGCTCAGTCACTAATCTGTAGAATAGCTGGACTTGCATAAACAGATCTCGTGGTGGTTGAGGGTCTACCACGACTGACCCAACGACGAATCTCCGTACATATACTAATTGTACCAAACTGCAATATTCCAATATTCTCGACGGATATGTCCAAAATGAGGCTTATTTTTCCAAGCTGCAATTTTTTCTCCAGCTCAAACTGTTACGAAAGTCAACTGGGATCTCGGCATCTGAAAGAGCGAACCTTGCCAGGAGTTGCAACGCCCCCTTCCAACACATATTGATACAACTTCATAACTTCCATGTAATCCTTCAGTTGCAAGGAAAGACTAAGTGTCCTGTTAAATCTGGCATTTCCCCCGATCGAGCAGGCAGACGAACTCGATATACGTTGTATAACATCCTTGTTGCTATGCATCATCAAGTTTCTTCCCTTTTCTATCTATAATAAACCACAAAAGAAGAGACACAAACTAAAAACCACAGTGGCTATATACATCACCTATCGCGAAAACACATCAATCTACATACTAGTGTTCACAGCTGAGAAATCGAACAGGCTTAATGAGCCATCAATTGACCTTCGTCCTTCCTTACTGTTATTCTTACAAACTTGTGCTTGACGCACAATCCGACATGTAATCACATATTCGAAACCCACTATTAATTATGGCACTTGAGGCACAGGCCCCGAATCCTGCGAGTTGCGTGTATTTCAACCTGTAGGATCTGACTTACATATTTGACGCACAAGGGGCGGCACAGCCCGCAAAGATCTTTCGTTGGGTGCGAGCTGCAACTACACCACATCCTTCACCGCGAGACATGTTTGGCAAAACATATCTTCGACTGAGATATCATTTTTGCTGGAATTCACATTGAAGACCCGCGGACCGCGGGCTTGGGCAAGCTGAACTCTTAACGCAGCCACAATCAACGATAAGATTACTTCTTCAGACTCGAATCGATGGGGCAGCATCAGCCTATGGTAGGCGGCTCAAGCCAACGTTGACGCCCAGCTCTTAAAATACACATCCCTGGGGATTTCCCACAATAGCAAACTCTCTTGAATGGTTTACAGCAAAAACAAAGACACAGCCGACAAACATAGGTGACGTGCCAACAGCGTATGGGTCAGGCCTGAGCGGAGGAATACGTCCCGTCATGCATTCTCACCTTAGCTTCTCATCCGGCTTACCCCAATTTCCAGTTGACCAAACCGCGAAGGAAAAGAGCAGTCCGTCTGCTTGGCCCGGCGTTGAAGGAAGTGGAGGCGCAGGAGGACGAGACAGGCAGGCAAGCAAGCCCTAGTCATCAGCAGGGCCTAACCAGGCTTCGCATTGGTGATTTGGCAACTGTCTCGACCGACTCTTAAGCCCCGGGGCTGGCTTGGGCTACAACTAGTCCAGACCAACCAGTGAAATGCTGGCTAGAACGCCGCGCTGATGAGGCTGAGCTGACATCGTCGAGCAGTGGACCCGATATTTGGAGCACCGCTTACAGCATCTTATTACGCTGTAATAACCTGGTCATTCCAGTGACTATGCCGGTTTACTACATGGAAAAGCTGTTTACGCCCATAATTATGCCTGTTTAAAACACAGGAGCCATGAGGTATGAGACCGAACGCTGTCTAGCCACAGCGTTCGGTCTCATTAAACTAAAAGGCTGAGCATGATCCTTCGCTTACTACCAAGCTCGTAGGTAGGCAAAGGCATATATCAGCCTTTGGACACCTGGATGAAATACGATGTCCTCTCCTTAACTGCTTGTTTGATATACTGAGCTTGCCTGTTCGATCCGAAGTGGATAGGCCTAACTGCGTAGTCTGTTAATCTTCACTTTCATACCCTTCTCGACTAATAACATCCTTCACTCGCCTTTTGTCTCCAAAATACTAGCAGCTTCAGGGCACGCACCTGACCACCGCTACAATGAAGGCAACACTCGCGCTTGTTTTGCCCTTGTTGGCACACATTACTCCCACAGCCGCCGCGGTCCAGAAAAGAGAAATCCCACATCATGTGAAGCAACTGGGAAAGCGTTTTGGTGTCAAGGCTATGGATAATGATGACTTGGACATAATCGGCAATGCTACCTTCAACCAGAACGTGTGCCACGATGACGTATCCAAAGGGACGTTTGAGCAGAGATTTTGGTGGGATGCGTCTCACTACAAGCCCGGCGGGCCAGTCTTTGTTTTCAACCCCGGAGAACAGTCTGCAGATGGAATGATGGGTTACTTGGGTAACAAAGTAAGATATAAACACGCCATAACTTGTATGTCGATTTTTATCCTAAAAACAAAAATAGAGTCTTCCAGGCTATTATGCACAACAATTGGGTGGAGCCGCCATCCTCATAGAGCACAGATACTGGGGCAAGAGTATACCATTCGACTCTCTTGATGCGGAGACTCTGCAGTACCACACTCTTCCGAATGCAATGAAGGGTTAGTATTAATAACCAGCAAGTACGGGAGGAACGCCATGGCTAATCCTTTTGATTGACAGACATGACGAACTTCGCACTCAACGCCGAGCTCGATTTTTGCGAGGACGGCGACTGCAACGCCAACGACGTTCCCTGGGTATTCATCGGCGGCTCCTACGCAGGTGCTTTGTCGGCGTGGATTTCTCAGAAAGAGCCTGGCGTTTTCGCCGCATACCACGCCTCCTCCGCTGTTGTCGAGGCCATCAGTGACTTCTGGACATACTTCTCCCCCATCGAGCAAGCTCTGCCCACCAACTGCAGCAATGACGTCAAGGCTGTCGTAAGCTACGTCGACCATGTCTTTACCAACGGAGACGACGATGACGTCCTGGAACTGAAGACCAAGTTCAACCTGCAAAATCTCAACGCAGCCGACTTTGCCGACATCCTCGCCAACCCGGTTAGTGAGTGGCAGAGTAACCAAAGCGCAGTTCTTGCTTTCTGCGACTACATCGAGACACACGCCGGAACTTCCAAAGCTGTCTTGAACAACGGAGCCGGTGTCGGTCTAGTTGCTGCCCTCGATGCGTACGCCGCGTACATCAACGAGACGGTAAATTGCGGCGCCGACGGCAGTGCCTGTGACACGTACGACGAAGAAATCCAATGGAACGACCCCAAGGACTTCGATTCCAGACCCTGGCAATGGATGCTCTGCAACGAGCCATTCGGCTGGTGGCAGGTCGGCCCCGGCGTTTCAGACGGCAACAACATCGTTTCCAACCAGATGCGGCCCCAGCATTACACTCGGAGGTGCCCGCTCTACTTCCCTAAGACGAACGACTACACTTTCGGCATGGACGAAGGCTTCACTGAGGAGCACCTGAACCAGTGGACCAAAGGCTGGGATGCCCCTTACGAGAAGGTTATCTTTGTCAATGGCGAATTGGACCCCTGGCGCTCTGCCACCGTTGCCAGTGATTACCGTCCCGGAGGCTATGTCAACGACACGGACTCGCCGTCTTTTGTTGTTGAGGGTGGCGTCCACTGTCCTGAGTTGTGGATCGACAAGACCGACCCCTACACTTGGCCTGTCATCGAGAGCAGTATGAAGATCATGAAGAATTGGCTGTCTGAGTGGCAGAAGCCATCCAAGGCATAGCCATCTAATGAGCGATTTATCAGCTGATACACAATTGCATATGGGCGGCGTTGGATAGAATTTTGGATTTCTTCTAGATACCTGTAGACTTGTACATAGTGCAGAATAGTCACTACAGTGAACCTCAGGATGGAACAGTAGCATGGGATAGCAAATAACTACTTGAATCTGAAATTAGGAAAACCAGTACAATCTTCAGTTGCATACTCTAGACACACCGGCTGTTGTGCTTCGTGCAGCGCTTGGGCCAACTGCCCTGTTACCGTTTCGTAGCTGCAGCCTTGAGGAGTTGGTCCCCTCATCATCATCTCTTTTGCCTGCATTGCCCACACCTTCTTCCTGCAGGGTACGGATCTGCTGGCATTCTGGCCACATCGTTGGTTGGATGTGCAAGTACCAAAGCGGCCAGCGGGGATCCCACTAATATATGCGTGTGCCTGCCCCAAATGCACTGGTCACCTGATGTGACCAAATTCCCATACTATAGGTACTAAGTAAATAACGCTGAGTAACGCCTTTTATCCTACTGAAATAGGCAGGTCTAATAGTTGTATGACCGTGTTATTCTACTTCAGTATACCGAATGGAATAATACGGGATAACCCTGGTGTGCCAGGGTAATATGCTGGGTATAGTACTAGGATAACCTTGTTATACTACCTGGGTGTTAGAAAGTGGAGTAATGCTTCATAGGCTCGTCTACAATACCCCTGACCCAGACTGTGCTGCTAGACGGTACCGAAGCGAGGCGAGCGTCGAAGTAGATTTTTGTCGCTATGTAAGACAGATTGCGGGTCCAGCCACGAATCGTAGTTATGTGCCACCATTGATGATGTATGATAGTCATAAGTGGACGAAGTTGGGGAGGACTCCAATAGGTAGGTCTCATTGGAAAGAAAGAAAAATGCAAAATATTAAATCCTTGCCTCTCTCTGACTCTCTGAAAGCATTATTGATGCAATTCATAAAGGCACCATTTTGCAGATCAAGTTGGAAGTATCTTTCAAAGTTCTTACTCCTTTGCATGTCTGATCCTATGAAGTAGATAGGGGATAACCAACTGAGGAATCGACCTGGGTTGATGCAGAATATGCTCTATCTCATCTGAAGCAGGGGTCAAACCCGTATGAGATGCTCGGAGGGCAGGCACAGCAAGTAAGCATGAGGCATCCTGCCCCCAAAACACGTTGAAACAACTGACTGATTGCGCATTAAATTCGAACAGACTTTCACCTCAAATTACGCATACTATCCAGGATATCTTAGAAGCGAAAAACATAACAACATCTCCCATCAGCCCGACTAAGGCTCTCCGAGCAAACAAGAAACCCCGGCACAAAAAACACATGCCCATGATGTTCGAAACATTGGTGAACCAGTGTAGACAGCCCGCTAGGTACAGAATCTCCTAATTTTCCTGTCACACATGCTCAACTCCTGAAACACCTTTCATGCGTTTCAATTCCTCCTTTTTGTTTTGGTTTATCCTGAATACTGGAACTCTTGTACGAACTGCTGCATGTGCTGCATATCAGGTGGGAAGAGGTCTAGCCAAGGGTCGTTTTGTGTTAATATACCGAGATCGTTCGTGTCGCCGAACCGCTTGGACTCTTCGTGATCGAGCTCAAATTGCAGGTGAGGGGGGGGCTGATGGGATTGAGGCTGGTGAGACTGGGACTGCTGCTGACTATAGCCGACTTGAAGAGCTGCCTGAGCTGCAGCTGTCGCCGGGTCCAACATGGTGCCTGGAGGATGTGATACGGCGTAACCTTGGATTGGCGATTGATGTGGACGCATGGGGTTCTGCTGACCCCTCCAGTGGTCTGTGTGGACTTCGCTGTGATTACCAGACGGCCCAGCTGTCCTGTCCGAGTAAACACTAGGGTCCGGTAGGCCATGGTTTATCGCGACGAAGGACGCCGACGGAGTACTTCTTGGGGTTCGAACCCGCTCTATAACAGAAGCGTTATGGCTGTCAGCGCCGACGGAGGATGCCCGTTCCATAGTGCTAGCTCGAGACCGATCTGAGCTGTCCATGTGCGTGGGGTCGTCCGGATGAAGAGTCCCAAAATCCTTGAGCTGCTTCGACATTTGCTGGTATTCTTCGAGGGCACCGCCTCTGCCACCAAGGCGCAGACTCAGAGGCATCTTCTCGCTCAGAGACTTATTTTTATCCACGTGCCTGTCGAAGTCTTGCTTTATCTTGTCGAAGTAGATGTCCATGTTTTGGAGAACTCCAACGTAGGTAGAGGCCATCTTCAGCCAGTAGGATATCTTGTTCAGAGTTTGATAAGCCAAGCCCGTGGGGCCATGTTGAAAAACATCGCCTTCGGCGTCTCCCGATTGCTCGTTCCACCTATGGCTCAGCATGTGTTGTTGGACGTCCATGTGAGGGAAGTGGGCACCATATAGTCCAACAAACGCAGCGGTCCAAATTGCAAACAAGACGATGGTGGATTGCGGCAATTTGTCCTTTTTTTGGCATATCTCAATCAAGTCCACAATCTCTCTGGCAGCCTTGAACACCTGTTCAGCACTTTCTAGCCAGAATTCTCGGCGTGCGTTGTCTTTGGGGAAGGTGGGCTTGTCGAGAGGACCTTCCGGACCAGCACATCGGATAGGCACGAATGGTATGTATTCTCTGTGCAACATGATGAGGGAGACATTTCTGAGCATGTGCAGAAGAACATAGACGCTGGAAGCATGATGGTTCTCGTGCTTGAAATAGTTTGACCTCGAGAATGTGAATGTATCGGGCAAATTGTTGTCGAAGGCCGCCAGGTTTTCGCGGAGTTGGCGAAATATCGAGTTCGGGTCCCACGGCGGGTGTGCGTCTTTTACTCGTCCTCCTGCTGAGCTGTACCTGGAAATTTCACCCCAGATATCGACGAGGCGAATGAATTGGCTCAGCACGCTGTCGTCGGTGGCAGCGCTCTCGCGAGCGTTGCGTGGGCGGAGGAACCCTGTATTTGCCTCCATGGCCAGATCAAACTTGTCTTCTGAACAAGGAAGCTGGATCTGGAGGTCGTCGGGCTGGATAATCGACAGTCGCTCTTTACCACATGCGAGCATACGGTCCAGAATGAAGCAACTGAACATGGTGCGTCGCTTCACCTCATTATCCAAGGTCGTCTGGGAAAGCGACATCGAAGTTCTTCTCTGCCGACTATCGGAAGGACGGGTTTTGGAATCACCCGAGTCTCTTGGATTGTCGCCGAAGCCAAGATTCAAGAACTGAGCCATTCTGATCGCAGAGCCAACGTACATCCACGCACTCAGGCCTCCGGTTTTAGGTCGTGTTTGGCCCCATTCGTATAAGCCCAGCATGAGCATCGCCTGTACCCGCTCGAGTGAGGCGACTTTCATCGCCGTTCTCATCGGACCCAGTGCCACCGCAAGAGTATCGGCATAATACTCAGACGCTGCGGCTGGATCGATTTGTGTTTGGACTGGGCGGGACCTCGCGTTGCCACCCTGTGAGCTGTATACGTGCGCCAGATACTTGACAAGATCGGAGTGGAACCTGGCCGTGAGGACAAGGACACCTATAACGGAGGTTAGTGAGCTAAGCTCTGGACGGACAGAGAGTTGCGAAACGCAGAGAGCATTTCCAACTAATGACGTACACAACTCGACAGCATAGCAAACAAGAAACGCAATTCGGGTTCTGAGAGAAGGGGCTACTTGCCTAGGAGCACCAGATTGGTGTCGGTCGGCTCTGGCTGTGGTGCCCTGAACCTGCGACCTATGTATTCTCTCATACTTGGCAAGTGCAAGAATGGCAGCTCTGGCGCAAAATGTAACTTGTACAGATCCAGTACCTGGTCCCAAATATCTTCAGTTAAGAAAGGGGCGGCGAGGACCTCGTCAGCATAGAGCGTGACCTTTTGGTTGTCCCCCTTGGCAATCTCGTCGATTTTCTTCAATTTCTTCCGGTCAGATCCTCCATCACGTTCTTGCTTGATGGAAGACGGAGGCTCGCTCCGTTTCGGAGGCGTTGGGTTGGCTTCGGGCAGCTTGAACTCGCACTTCTTGCCGGTCTTGATGCAACCGTCGCAAGGACTACTCCCGCCGTTGTTCTCGCACTTGATTTTAGACTTGCGGCACCGCAGACAGGCGATACTGGATCGCATGGGCGGGCGCATTTTGGGCGGTTTCTTACTTTCATAACCACCTGCAACCACTGGCTTTATCTCATCCTCGCCATACCCCCGGGCCCCCACCCCCTGGGCTTCGCTTGGAGTCCGCTCCGTGGTTGAAATTCGCCGGTCCAACGGCGGCGCGGGTGGAGTGGGAGGGACTAGGGGACCATCAGGAGGGGCGAAGTCCTCGAACTTGCGCTTAGGCGTGGACGAGTAGGAAGAAGCGTTGGTCCGGGTCTCATCAGCATCCGACGGGTCGGGTGGAGAGAGGATCGACTGGATTCGGAGTGGAGTGGTAATTGTGACGGCTCGGGTCTGGCGCAGACCCGCACGACTTGGGTTGAAGGTTGAAGGTAAGGGGGATGCGAAGTGTCAGCCTTGTGAATTAAGCTTCACGGCTCGAGGCAAGGCTGCGATGCCGCGAGAGAGGTAAGCCTTTTTCAGTTGGAAAGTGTGACCTGGCAAGCCAAAGGAGGTGGCAGATTGCCGGCGCGATGAAGCATAGAAGTCGGTCAAAAGAGCTGACGGGACGGTGGCGGGAGAATTTGTACTGGGGTGCTACAACATCAGGATCACTGCAACGGCCCGGGAGTAAACAACTGGACACACTGAACCGAATGGGGATTCAATCACCAGCTTCCGAACGTCTAATGTGTCGCTGAAACGTCGCCTGCTCAGGATTTCGGGTACGGGTACCTTGTGCTGCTCAATGCTGACGAGGCGGGCAGAAGTGGCGGCGATCGGACACGGCGTGGGTGGCGGCGCGCTATTGGCGTTGGCGTTGGCGTTGGGGTCGGGGGACGTCGTTGCCGGTGGGTGGTGAGAGAAGTAGAGTCAAGGGCGACAATTAGCACGCATCAGTATTGAGAGTCTCAATTATTAATATTGAGGTGGCAGGCGGGTGGAAGGAAGGAAGGAACAGCGGCAATAATAATAACTGGAAGCGGAGCTGGCGAGCCGCGGGAGACGAGCTCCATGGCTGCTTCTGCTGTTCTGTTGCTGCACCTCTCCTCACTGCTGCTAGCAGACCTGAGAGCCCACCATAAAATCAAGGCCCCCGGGCGAGAACATCGGGTAAACGACCAGCAGTAGCCCTCTTGCGGCCAATGAGCATCACCCCTGATACGGGTCGGGCCTTTCACTGCACAAGCCGGCCGCGAACACCCCACGCTGGTAGGCAAGTAAAGAGAAACGTAACACCCTGCGCCATCCGCACCAACTTTGAATGATGGAATACTACCGTGACCTGAAGATCAACATTATGAAGACAAACTTGGGAGAAGAACCCATTTCTGTTTAAATTTGGAACAGAATGAAATGTTTACATCCACTTTACCTAGCTAGCTATACCCAACCAACCTGAATACATGGTTCAAAAACAATGCATGGATGGATGCTTGCCCTTACTTCGCTGCCATGCGAGGGGTTGCCGGAGCTGAGAGGACTGGGGTGATGAATTATGTGGTAGGGCGGAGACACCACCAAACCATGCTGGGCAGTGCCAGAAAAAGGCAGGTCCGAGAGTGAGCGCGAGTCAATCGAAAATAACTTGGTATAATTCACGAATAAGGTATGAAACCCCTTGACTGCACCCTTCCGGGTACAAGTCCGAAACAAAATAGCGAAGCAAGCGCAGCGGGGTGAACATTCGACAGGGCCGTAGTCCGTAGGACTCTCTGTCTGAATGAATGGAAGGTTATTCCTAGGTATCGGGACGCCTCGTGAGGTCTTGGGCAAGGCCTGGATGGGTTGCGGCACGTGGGGGAGTAAGAAGATATCTTCTCGTTTCTCGTCTATAATTATCTAGAACTAACAAGCCTTTCCAGAACGACAAACCTTGAGAAGATGAACGTGCACCCACTGTATTGAGTCTGGCTAGCTGACAAATAACTCGGGAGACAGACACGTGGTGGAGTCGTCCCTGCTCCATTGCGGCATCGTGATCCGGAATTCCATCTCAGCTTATCCCGTCCTATTGCCAATGCCGAGTAACGAGTTGTAGATTGTCGGGCCTTGCTATTTGAATCGGTCCAATCCGCCTTGGTGTGTCTTATTGCACAGCAATGCAAGCTTGAAGGACTTTTGAGCCAACCACATTGCAATTTTCTTGTCCCTCATCGATGTGACCGTCCACTCAATATTGATCCAATCAGGAGATTCGGCATTCGGTGGCAAAATGATGAAGCCTCAGCTGTTAAATTTGAATTAACATTTGTCGCCATGTCAAATCGCTCGTGTTGTTGACGACTCCGAAGGCAAAACTCAACCTCCATCAATCTCATGACGAGCAAACATGTGCTACGGCTTAACAGCACTGCCACCGGCTGGCCGTGATTGCCCCTCATTTGTTGTACTGGCCTATTCTTGGTGCTGGAAGTGGGGTTCATGAGAATTGCCAGTTCAGAGCATCTGTTGCATGCAGGCTGTTGGTCGCACTCCATCAGGAGTGTTCCAGACTCCCCCAGATGTGGCGATCATTCCCAAACACCAATGACGCCGCTGTGAGGCCTCTCTTGATTCGTGCGTTGGGAGCATGCCAAGCACAGCGCTTCTCGTCAAGCGCTTAAAAGCTATTTGCGTTGGCGATCACTACGTTAGAGACGGCCAACATTGGTCGTCCCCTAATGCCCCTTGCATTGACGGTACTTCTACCTACACCTCAAATAATTCCTGCCGCAAGTGCATTTATCAATCGCGAGATCTGTTTGTCGTTGCGGAGCATTACATTCTAGTCTACCACGCAATCACCCAGACTCGAACCACTGCGCACGTCACAAAAGCGACCACTTCTGCTAATTGTGCTTGTTCCCGAGCTGTACATCTCTCTCCCGATCCTGCCCATCAGCATACCCCATGATGGCGTCAGGACACAATGTGAGTACACTGCTTCAACGCATTGCTGACCAACTTGTTAATGCATGTACAAGGACCCCAAATTGCTATACGCGATAGCAGGTGTATCGGCGTACCACCTTTCACATGGCAAGGAGGAGTCCCTCACACCGGCCGGCCCCCAAACACTCTCTCTGCTGATGGTTCCTACATCATCGCCGTTCGCCGATACTTCAACTTTTGAGAACGGTTCCACCGAGGAAGACTTCTACCTCCACCTTCACCTACCGCCCGAGTTAGACATTCCACTTCCCGCGACCACGCAGATCTATCACCAGCCACCGACTAGCTATCTCATCCCACGATGGGACTTGGGTCCTGAGAGCGGCGCATTCACACGACTCGAGTTTCCCTCCGTCGGCAGCCGCGAGGGATTGCAAGAGGACGTAGACACATTCGAGACTATACTTGCGCAATGCACCGCGTTTTTGGAGAGGGCACCGCCCCCCAAGGCTGCGAAGAAGGCGAAGGGCTCAGCAGCATCGTCTAAAGCGCCGTCGCCCACCATGTCCAAGGCCAAGTTAGCGTCCGCGGAGGATTTACCCGCATACAATCCGGCCGCCTTCGCCCCGGGAGAGGCATATGCGAAGGGAAGCCACAGCTCCCACAACGGTGGTCAAATTGTACTCATAGATGAAGAAGATGGTAGCGTTATTGGGGAACTTGGTGACGGCTACCAAGTTGTGGAAGATAGTGCTTTGAAGCCAGGATCCAAAGGTATGTGTTGACATGGTGTCCCGAAATTGAGGACGTTGACGGCTAACACACGCTTAGACCCTGTGGAAATAGTTCTGCCGGGGGCAGGAGCCACGGCGATTGCGGTTGCACCTGCTTCTCAGGAGTATATGGATATGGAATTGCATCCAGCTTACAAAAAGTCGTTTCTCGTCTCGAAGGCTGCTTATGCATCTCGACTGATTGTCACAACGTCCGATCTGGTTTCCAAGGGGTTGCAAAGCCAGGCAGACAGCTACACGCAAAAGACAAAGCCAGGGGACAGGGCTGTTACCTTCACGCCAGCTACACATGATCGGGTTCGTCGGATCAGCAAATTCTCGGGCGGGGTTGCCGACTTGTCGTCCAAGACAGTTGGCCAGGTCAGCAAGGTGGCGCAGAATCTCGGGGCAAGTCTCTCTAGAAAGAAGGCTAAGGACGGATCATCGCGGGGATTCGGGCCAGATGGACAACCGCTTGACACATACAAGCCGGGATTATTGAACAAGAGCCTGATGGCTTTTACGACCATCGCTGATGGAATTGACCAAGCATCGCGCAATCTCATGACGGGGACGTCGTCCGCTGCGACGAGCGTGGTCACTCACAAATGGGGCGCCGAAGCCGGGGAGTTGTCAAAACACCTGGGTGGCAGCGTCAAGAACGTCGGGCTGGTATACATTGATGTCACGGGTGTCTCTCGCAAGGCCATAATTAAAGCGGTCGGGAAGGGCATGGTTCGTCAACTACATTTCCCCACCCCCCTTTCTGTCATGTTTTATGAGGAGAAGGCTCTTAATACAGGGCTTATCTACTCATAAAACAAGATATGAACCTCCCCTAAGATGGTCCAGACATAGTAATTACTAACACCGAGTGTTACAGGTGGTTGGCAAGGTCAAAGGTGGCGGCGAAATCATTGTTGGGGGTGGTGACGGCGGCGAATTGACACTACCTGGGGACAACCAGTTGCAGACAAAGCTTCTGACAGATTCAGCGAGCATCAGTAGTGCGTCAAATGGGAAGCAGGCTTATAAGTAAAGATAAAAGAGGCAGGCCCCAATGGCCAATGATGCGGTAATGAATTTAGATGAAGTACGAGCTTAGTAGATTGATAGAGTGTCCTCTATGCGATGTAACTTCTGCTTATTATTGTGCTGACTTGCACAGAGATTATTGGAGGTGTGAAAAGTTACGTGCTGGATTAGGATATTCCCATCTCTCACGTGATCGCTGCAGAGATGACGCGCTTGGCCGCGTACTTGTCAGGCAAGCGCGACACAGAATTCAAACACCAAGTGTAAGACGTTTGAGAGGGCAAGGTCATTCAGGGTCTGTCAAAGCAAATGAATCTAGATTTGATTTGGGACGACTTGTATTAATGGAGGGCCTCAAAGATCAATTCACTTGAGCCCAGAGACTGGAGATTCTACAGTCAATCTTTGAGCTTGATTTGTCTCGAGACGGGCAGGCCTGGTCTGGTGCAACAATTGAACCCGAGGCAGTGCGAAGCTGCTTCGTGCATGTTCTTTGCCACAGAATTGCGCTGCTCCAATGTGTCGATTTGAGTGCCTAGGATCTATTGTTCTGCTGCTCTACGACATTGGCGACAAAATCTGGACCAAGACACGGTCGCATGCTTTGGATGGGTATTTGCTCCAGCCGACCCACCGAGCTTTACTGAGCCATTCTCTGATATCTGACTGCAGGCATCCTCTACCAAAATGTTGCATGAAATCCTGCTCTCACTGTCAGGACACCCGTCGCCCCTGCTCCAAAATGACCACGCGGGGTCCACCGCCCTGTCAGCTCCAGAACGGAACCTCCTAAGGAGTGCCGGCCAGCTCAGCGAAATCCACTGCAACCTCATCAGTTACACTGCGCAGGTCAGTGCGACTCATCCCTCTGCCATATGCCGGGCAGTTTCCACGGCCATCACGTCTACGCATCTGGCTGCCTTCCAACGGAAAATATTGGAAGTGGAAGATGGTATCCTTCGCAAGGATGCCGGCCTCGTCGGTGCTTATAACATAGTGCCCCTAACCGCCGTTATGGGAGAGTTCTCGGGGTGGACTCGAACGATGCAATGGCTTTGGGATGTTGTGCAGTTCATGCTTGGGCAGGACAGTGTCTCAACGCGCAGGGGGTCGGAGCTTATCAACAAGCTGCGTAGCGAGATGCAGACTGGCTACGCCGATATCGAGGACGCGTCAACGAGTCTCGTCAAGGTCGCCGAGACCGCATGGCTGAAGCAAGTGTCCGCCTGGATATTATACGGACGGATACCGAATTTTGGAGGCGACGACTTCTTCATTCAGAGGGACAAAGAGAATGAGCAGGTACGGTACTCGAAAAATTAACATTGCGGAGACGGTACTGACGGTGGTTATCAGGGTTACAAACTAGAACCTGCGTTGTTGCCATCCTTCGTATCTGCCTCTACCGCATCTTCTATGCTCTTCATCGGCACGTCCTTGAACAGGGTACGAACCAGAAGTGTAGCAGACCCAAGCATCGGCACCCTTGCCCACCTCTCTTCGCAACTTCAGGAGCTATCAAGCCTCAAGTTTCCCTTGAACACGGCCGCTTTTTCGCGGACCATTATCTCGATACGGATGACCCTTTCCCGGACTATATTGCAGAAGCTTCTGCCTTTGGAAAAGGTGATAGAAATGCTCCATCTCCTACGCGACTTCTTATTATTGGGCCGTGGTGAGTTCGCTATGGCTCTGACACAGCAAGCGGATGAGAGGATACGCGGCCGATGGCGTCGCGCAGACAATCTTGCCTATGAGCAACGCAGTGGTGTCGGCAATGTTGTGGTCAAAGAGGGTGAGGTCACCGCAGTGCTCGCTCGAACCTTTGCCGCGTTGGGCTCCATGCAGAGTCAACACGCCGAAGAGGACGAGGAACTCGAGCTCGCCAGAGATCTCCTTCGGCTCAACCTGTCCAAGTCCAAAACAGCTACACCGAAGAAGCCTGCAGCGGTAGTTGTGCAAGATATGCCAACGAGTATAGTGACGACACCATTCCGCAACCTTCTCTTCTCCGTTCCTGTCGATATGACGATTCAAATACCCTCGCCGCTAGACTTATTTTTGACTACGTCGGATGTACAAACATACACAATGATTAACTCGTACCTTCTCTCTATAAGGCGAGCCCACCTTCGACTGACGGATCTGTGGAAAGTCACTTCGCTCCGTCGCCACCACCCAGCCCCGCCGCGCCCGCCATTCAACGGCACTAGAGGAGGCAGGGAAACAACGCGCACGCTGCGGGAACGGTGGTCGGCTCGGTCGGCCTACATGCGTAGTGCATGGACAACGAGCAGCGCGGGGATTTTCTTCCTCGCAGAAACCGAGGCCTACCTTCAGGTCGAGGTCGTAGGAGGCTTGTGGGGCGACTTCCACTCTTGGCTGACAGGGAGGAGCGAGCTCAGCAAGCAAGGCAGCAGCAGTAGACCACCAACTTCGGCCAATAACCGCGCTAATAACCGCGCAGAGCAGTCAGACAATGATGACTACGATGTCTGGCCGCAAAACAAGGACCAAGCCTCGCGCCCTTCAACGTCAAGTCGAATCATCCTTCCAAAATCTCCTCATCGCGATCCCCAGACTCTATCCACGGCCCATAGAGCCTACCTCCGCGTCCTGATCCGACGTCTACTCCTAACCCAAGCGAGCTTTACGGAGACCCTGTACAACCTACTCATCCACATTGACCACTTAGTGGCCTTCATCCACCGCCTCCACGGCATCTGGACGTCCATGGACCTCGAGATGGACGAGGGCGTCGTCGACGCCTTCTCCAACCTTGACGCCGAGGAGGCAGACCTCAAGGCTAACATTCGCCATGTCGAGGATAAGGTCAAGAAGGGGATCGAGGAGGTGGTGGGCGTGTTGAGGAGCTTGAGTATGGATTCGGCATTCATGGCCGAGATGGAGGACGAGCAGGGGGGCGCGGCGGGGGGCGAGGAGATGGTGGTGGTTGATGGTGGGGATGAGGAGAGATACGTACCCAAGAGGATTGGCGGTGTGGATCGGTTGCTGATGAAGCTGGATTTTGGGGGGTGGTTTGATGTTGGGAGGGCGGCTGAGGGGTGTGGAGATGAGTTTTGAGAGGATTCGAATGTGTGAAGTATATGAGCCATGGGCTAGTTTGATGATGGAGCTGGGAGGAGGAGTTTTGGGGGAGAGCTATATTATGGGAAGAATGTTGTACGCTGTAGGTGACCAAGCTTTGATCAGATGGAAGGCACATAAAGATTCATCGGCATATACGTAGATTGCTGAGAAATACGTTGCAGTCATATGAAAATGCCGGAGTTAACTAGGATTGTTGTTCATAGATATGCGCGATGACAGCCGTTCTATAATGTGGGCAGGATAATCCTTGAGAAATAGCGGAAACTTTCGGCACATGGCTACATGAAACTCAGCACGGAGTAGTTCGCGATTAGAAAAGTCGTCTCTATAAGGACTCCACAGCGGCGTGCCCGTCTGGTGTAGTCGTCCATTCACTTTACTCAGCCGTTACTATGGTATATTCCAGAGTAATATTGGACGAGTAGGCTGTGAGTTTTGCCTTGCCTCGCAGGCATGAGCCTAGCCGCACTAGTAGACGTCCGTTGTTCTCGACCTTGTCGAGGGTTCTTAGTATGAGGTGTCTGACAGACAGTCTTTAGGTCCCGTTCTGTTCTGGAGGCGCTCAGGAAACTTGGCTTGGAGTGTGGTGTTCTGTCATGCGGCTAGTTACTACAAGTTTGATTCGTAAGCTAGTGTAGAGGTGAACCATCGGTTTTGCCTGTTGCTATCTGACATGCTGCAGAGGTGTTGAGATCCATGATTCACAATTTTCGCAGCGCACACCTTCCTCAAGCTGGTAAGATGAGAGAGCGATAGCCAAGATCAGGCGAGGGATTCGTGATCAAGGCTCTTTTATTAAATTCCAGCTCCACACTTTGGTGGGAGGGGCAGCTTGAAGATGAGAGCAAAGTCTATGCTTGAGTATGCATATCACCGGCTTCGGTCTCATTAACAAGCTTGAGATCTCATGCGTACATGGATCCGAGTAAGCCAATTGGTATGGTGTTTCGATACTGGAACGGGGCCATGACTCGCCACCAATCAAGCAACTAACTCACTTGCTGCGTTGCCTCACTATAGGACACCAAGGGGCGGCTCGATATAGCCGGATCTAACATCTCCTGACTTTATCGTATGAGGAATCTAATTCATTGTCACGGTATCTTTTGGCCGTCTGGTGATCCATACAATGAATGATTGACAATTGTTCCAGTCCAACCTTACATGTGAATCAAGTCCACGTCTATGCTCGTGTAAGCCGTTGGCCGCGTCAGCATCTACGGGCATTGCCACTTGTCCAAAACCGCATATGAATCAGGTTCTCGAACCTGTAGTCCTAGGAATCGGGTTGGCTTGTTCTGTCAAGAACAGATAAATGGCTTGCTTTGATGAGCGGTAGGACTTGGAGATGGTCTCGCGGTATGCTCAGTTGTTTGATCCAATTACAAACTATGGAGTACCCAAGTTTTGGGCGTCATCGTACTGAATGTGTTCTTCGAAATGCCTGTTATCTGTGAGGATCCCCCTTTCCCAAGCTGCGGATGACGGAGAGCTAGCCCCAATGACTGCGAAGTTGGGCCTGGAGCACATGATGGAATCAGGCCAATTGTGCGCAAAAGAGTACATGGTCGTACGTAAGCTTTGAGGTAAGCGATCTGAATTTGGAAGATGGATTATTTTTTCTCGTGTCCGGCCCTGAGACGCCTACGAGAGATTTTCTGTGAGGCCAATGACACAGAGTTAGGCGCAAGCAGAAATCCCGGCAAAGGCCACAGAAATGAAGTCTCGAGTCTGTACTTCAAGTGTTTGAACTTGTATCGTTTGATTCCCAGTGAACCCCAACGTTGCCCCTGGATTCCCTTCGCAGCAAGACCTCGACATTTTCGGTCCGTCTTGCACACCTTCTGCGATGTTCCAGAACGAGAAGAATTTCTTCTCCGTGAATTCCCGTCTGAGACAGACCAGCTTATGTAACTATGATATTGCCAGGCCAATGTTTCAGTCCGCAATAATCAGCGGGTGGCCCTTCCTATTGGGGCAGGTCGACTGTAGAAAAGCGAAAAACCACGCACCACCACCAACGCAGCGGCAACAAGCGCCCATTCTCAATTCTCCCCACAGCCCTGTTCGGCAAGAGCGAATGCCACGAGACCTCTTTCTGCAGCCAGCTGCCTGAGTAAGACCCTGTCTCTCCCCACGACCTGGGCTCGTAGGGCATGTGGTACGCCGTGGGCCAGGAGTAGAATAGCAGTGTGGTATGTATCGATCTAATCATGTAGTGGCCATGTCTCAGATGCGGCAACATCAGCATCTGGGTTAGTCAGGGTTAGGCTGAGGATGGCTTCTTTGGGCTTTCCAATAGCAAAGCACATAGAGGGTAGAACAGCAATCCCGGCTTCCCACATGACGCTCCTTCGTTATGGGTAGTCCACGTTCTAGATTCAGATATTTCACTCCGTCAGGCACGATTATGTCGAGGTTCAGTGGCACCCGACATGTGATGAACTGTCAGCAAGAGCCATGAAGATAGCCGGTGTATGCTAATGGCCATTCTTCGAGTAAATTGCCCGAGACTAATCTGCTCAAACTTCATTCGTAGGCCCTCGAGAGCCGTAGTATCAATGACTTCTTGTGCTGTAAGGGCCACACTCCCGCAAACCGATCACACCAATGCCTTACGACCTCACACTACCATTAGTCGGAGCGAATACATACGAGACAGGCAATAATCGGCCCAGCTGGACCCAATAGGGAGATAATCTTTGACGGCGAATGATTATTTGCTCGATGGCTGCCCGCTGAATCCTGCTCTCCCGTAAGCTATCTGTAGTGTGGAAGGGCTGTCAGATGATCTTTGCACGCAGCTAACACCGGCGATCTGAAAGTCACTGGCTAGACTTCCATATTAGAACCAATAGAGCGAGGCTGAAACGCAGCATCGATTGGGGTAGAAGTCTGGGGTAAAGCCCAAGCTGTCGCTGACGTATCTTACGTCCTGAAGAAATCTCGCTGCAGTAAGAATCGGCCAGACCATGCAGGAATTGCACTATCCCACCGCGATTGGATGGTATCTACGAATTGGAACTTGCGGCCCGCGCCGGCAGCTTCAGAGTTGCGTTGAACGGGTGCGTTCGTCCATTTGGATGGGTGGCCTTTTTGCAAATACAATTGCGGCATGAGCTTTCCAACTTTGCTATGCAGACAAGTGATCTGCAACTGGCCAATGCCGGCCAATGTCAGAATTGTGGTGGCTGAATTACTGCATGTATGGTTGCAATCAACGACTACACCACCCGAGCAGAGCCAGTCAATGTCTAGGATATCCCACGCTGCCGTACCGTTGGGGGAGCAGATTCAGAACAGAACATCCGGGTGCTTATTCCCATGGCGTGGCATCGAAGTTCCGCAAGTGATCAATGAGCATGATGCCGGAGCGACTGGGCATGTCGCAACATCCAGATTGTGCCATTTGTGAGAAATCGGGGCCCCGCACCGTAATACTCGGGTTGATAGCCCACAGGTCCGGATGATCAATTAGAGAATGCCAAATCAATCGCCGGGCCTGCTTATCAGCCGGAAACAGCTCTGTGTCCGAACCAATCGACGACTTCACCCAGCAGACATGTTCCTGTAAACTGAACATGTGGCGAGAGCTCCAAACAGTTTTTAGTGGACCATCTCTGCGGCTTGAGCAGAACAGCCAGTGCTGTACTCGAAGATTGCCACACTGGCGGCATCGGCGGCAGAACTTGCTGTCGTGAAAGACTGGGAGCAAAAGCAGTCAAACAATTGACTGCCTATCGTGACACTCTGACCACCCACGTCATTCATCTACAAGTGACGCACCATTAGGCTGAGATACGTGGACTAGTGATGTTCCGTCCGAGGCCCCAGTTGGAGGTTTCCCTGAGGCGAATGCGGACTTGTCACTTGTGGTCACCATTTCAACCGTCGCAGCATATGCAAACAAGCTATGATGGAGTTTGTGTGCTGTTGCGGCAACGAGCCGAGCCGTTTGTGTAATATAATTCGGGTTGCTCGACGATGGGGACTAGCGTAGCTTCTCTGAAGCTCGCCACGAAGATCAGAGTCCCACCGCGTCTATTACTTCATCATCAAACATTCCCCGATTGCGTCAAGCCAGCCGCAAAAATGGTAGCAGACTCCCCAAACAGATGGAATGCCGACGTCGGCAACGTGCATGTGGGGTGCGTGGAAGGACTAACAACAGCGCGCAAGAGAAGCAGTGGATCAGGTCGGATCTGACGGAACCGATGATGGATAGACTGGTTCCTTCGCAGGCTGATCCGGGGAACTTGGGAAACGATCTAGAGATCAAACAAGTCGGGTCCAGCCAGTGTATGAATTGAGCCATCTGATATCACAGCATCATCGCACTCTGGAGTCTGAAGGCTAGTTGTCATGACACGACGATGATGGATCCACGAGATGCCTTGTTGAGGAAAGCCCACACCAGACACAAATCCAAGCAATGCTTGTTCCAACCACGACACTGTCTTGATTGCGCAAGGGGATGCCCATATTTCCGTACGGAATAATGGCGGCTCTTCGTGTCATGGCGCCGACAGCCTGGCAACTTGCTGTTAGCCTCGCCTGTTATCTGGATAGATATGGAGAAATCCGAGTGGGCAGCTGTAGCAGTCTCTCCCTGCTCACGAACATGGATCGCCTCAGGTCATGCAAGGTGACTTAAACACGTAGCCCAAATTAACCTGAGCCGCAGCAGCTCCATGACCATGGTTCGTCGGCCACGGAGCGAGGAGCCCAACGGCCAAGTATTGTCTGAACAGCCCAACAGCCTCAAAAACGTGAAGACGAATCGACTGGAGTGTCCCGGCAGCACGTGCTGAATGGGCTTGTGTGCCTGACGCGAGGTCAATATGAGGGTCGGGCCCAAATAAATCAACGAATGAGAGGCTGACACACAATAGTTCTCAATTGAACGACCTGCAGACGGCCAGATGATGGCAGGAACGGCTGTAAGGTGTCGATAGGAGGTATTTTCACAGCAGTGGAACGAGCTGGTAGAACAAGCGCGATGTGTCTCATAGAAGATGGAATGGCCCAGTCCGTGTCTCATGAAACAGACCGTGTCACAACCAACTTGCACATTGTACAACCTTGAAGTCAGATAATGCAAGATACGTGACTTGCTCCAAGCTCGGCGCCGTTGTCGGAAAATAGTAGGACCTCTCAAGACTTACCGAACGAGATGCTTCTTGACTGCCAAACGAGGCGGGGGCCACACTGATATTTCGGTTTGAGCTCTTACTCAGCCTTGAGGGGGAAGAAGATATGAATTCATCATGCAATTGGGTCGGGTTGAGTCCAATCCAGGACTCGTTGCGCCGTATCGTTCTGATAGCTTCGATCGTTGCCTTGGGCGAAGTTTGGAGGCCGAATTGAGCGCCTGGTATCCTACTTACTTGCAACCCAATACTGTCTGTTCACTTGACTAATTAATTCAGCAACCAATGAAGCCGGCCATGGTATACTGTAAGCCCCATATGAGCACAATGATATGATTGCAATGCATTCGGGCATCATACACCCGGTTCCCAGGAAACGGAATAATTGCCACGTACTACAACCCTCCTCAAACTAGAAGTGTTTTGGCTTTCACGATCATCGTCGTAAGATGGTTTACCAAGTGAGTGAAGATCGAGTCGACCAATGGGTTGGGGTGCTTCACGCGCGACTTGAATGACCGGTGGTGTTGTACTTGGTACCGTCTGCTGGGTGCATATGCTGTACTGTCGCGCAACGTTGACTGGAGTTATGTGCCTAAATTTGGTTCGGGCGCAGTGGGATTTGTCGCTGTTGTTCAACAGTCATCGGCACTTGGGGTGGCTGAAGACTTCGCGCCCTTAACCGCCCAAAAATTTGAAGAAAAAAAAAGAACCTGACTCCAAGGAACTGAGCATTTCAGTTAAGCTTCATACGTATTGACAGCGAACAATGAACCCCATCTTTTTAGTCGAATAGTCTCCAGACAGCAGATTTGCCAGCTAGGACGGAAGGAACGCGTTGCGGGTGTCCGTATCGGTGCGAAGAATGTCTTCCACCGACTTTTGTCACAGAAGCGTCCATTTCCCCGAATGAAGAATGAGAATGCTGGAATTAGTCAAGGACGCTTCCAGATGGGTAGCGAATTTTCCCAGCATCGATACCATCAATGCTGATGAGATGCGTAGAAAATTTTCTCGAAGGCACGAGAATTCTTCGAAACGGCAGCTGCAATCGCGGGACTTTTCGCCGTTTTCCCACAAGCAGCATCTTCGAAAGTTGCGGCCAAGTCGTCGCTCACCCGCTTTTTCCGACTCTAGCGCCACCTTTTCGAGCCATGATTTCGACTTCGTCTCTGTCTCTGTCTCTGTTTCTCTGTTTCTCTGAAGAGCTTCAAGTTCCCTGAGAGTCGCACATTCGGGTCCAGGCAACCTGCCGTCATTGGTCTTTTCCTTTCGTTTAGCCTCTGTTCTGTACAACTGGCAGACTGGAGTACTAGTACTTCGCACCAAATTAGCAAAGGTGACACGCAACCTGGGTGTCGCATACCTGTGGCTCAAGCCTAGGCAGGTCCGGTTTGTACTTCCATCTAAGGCTAGAGGTCGCCAAGGATAGTCAATCCCTTCTGATCAGTGGCTTGGGTCTCTGGGTGGTGGAACCCGGCGTTGTTCGCGTGCGCGGTACCTAGCGGCGTATATGTATATGGTGCGACCAAGAGGCAATGGTGCCACTCAGCAGTCCCTTTCCCCGATACCACCCTTTCTATCACCTTTTAATTGCATACAACCACTCACAGACGCCGTCAACCCGCGCGAGGTACGAGGTACTTCAAAGATTCCCTCACCATCGATGTAACTCGAATCAATCTGACTCCGGCTTTCGCCCACGCCTAGTAAATCAAGGCTCTTGTCACCAGCAAGCCCTGGAGCCTGCTCGATACCATAGTATCTGCTGTTGGTCTCCCGTTGGCCGCTTTGAGGGCCCCGTATAACGGACCTCGCCCGTTGTTCCCGACACGGCCAGTCGATCAATCCATGTCCATATATTGAAAGTTATTCTATGTCCACTTGTCCCATCCCACGTTGTGCCTCAATGGAATTTCATAAGACCCTCGCGGTTATGTCTACACCAGGTCACTTATACACGCGCATGTTATCCATGTTATCCAAGCACATGATAGTAGCTCAAGCTTCTTATATACCAGACCCGCCGACCTCAGGCCTCAATACAACTTGTCGACTCACCACTGGCTGAACCCCATAGGTTTCACCCCGCCCTCAGCATAGGACCCTGAAGTCGTCAAAATATATAAGATCCTGCGTTGTCTCTGACTACGCTATCTTGATCCAAAATAACAACAATAGTTTACACAACACAATACATATCACTTACTTCTTCCCACTTACATCGGTCACGATGGAAAGAAGACAGAACACCGTTTCATCAAATCATACTGCCAGCAGTAGAGACTCGAGGAGGAGTGCTGATTCCTACGACTCGCGGAGTACTGTGGCAACGTCCTTCTACGACAGTCCAAGACCGTCCAAGGGCTCCTACTCCAGGACTTCCAAGGGACGGGATGCCTCTTACGAAGAGGATCTGTCCCCCTCCACAAGTCTATATCCACGGTCATCCGTCGACACATACTCGTCTCAGGCTTCGAGCATTGACATCGACCAGGTCGAGGTGGACGACTGCGTCGACTTGGCAGAGATACCACCTTTGCCCTTGTACAGACATCAGATCGTCGAAACCAACGTGCGTCCCTCATCACCCGAGGATTTCGCCGAGCTCTTCCCGTCCATGGACAGACTCTCAATCCGCCACGACGATTTCACGTCCGACGGCAACATGAACCTGCGGGTTGACACGGTTGTTACTGGACGAAGGAGGTCCCCTAGGACAATCCAGCTATTCCATCTGCGCATGCACGACCTTGCGAGGCGCGAATTCTCGCTTCGCAGATACTGCCGAGAGTCTGGGCGAGAAGTCTGCAACTCGAAGCGGAAATTCACCGAGCCGGCCACCCAAAGCCGTCCCAACTTGCAGCGTTCCGTGTCGAGCGCAATGAAGAACCTGGGGCGGCCTTCGATGAAGCGCGTCCCGACAGCTGGCTCGAAGTTTTCGCCTAGGAGCCGGTCATCCACTAGCGCTTCTGCCGACCATGAGTTCACCGAGACATTCGAACAGGCCCTGTCCCTGGACCAACGACAGAAAACACCGAAAGTACCCACCAACACGATCAAGCTCGAATTCTCCAACTATGCCCGCGTCGATGTGCAGCGTTGTGGGAGTAGCAACGCAAAGCGATACGAATTTGAGTGGTGGGGACACAAGTACTCGTGGAGGAGAACAACCGCCAAGCTCACGGGCGTCGTCTCGTTCCATCTTTGTAGAGATGGTAACAACACCACCCCAGTAGCCCACATTGTCCCGGAGACTCGATCGCCAAATCAAGTCGACTCGGATGAGGTTGCTGGTGGTTGGGTACCTCCTTGTCATATGTGGATCAGCGACGAGGCTCTGATCACCGCCATGACTGACGTTGCCGAGTAAGTCTTCCCACGTCGACCAAGTTAGACTCTCGAGTATCCCTTACTAATAACAACCCAGCGTTGTCGTTGCAACTGGCCTCATGGCGCTTGTTGATGACTGCATCAAGGAACGCTGGGGGACCAAGAAGGCCCACCACATCGGCCTTCCTCTGACATCCAAGTCGGTTGATGTCGAGTATGTCGGGCCCAAGGCTTTCGTACAGCAGATGTTTTCCCGTCGGAAATCGGACGAGAACTCGAGTGCCCTTCGCCAGGCCAATCCAGTGGCGGCTTATTAGGCCGGCTTTACCGAATTTCACACGACAGAAGGCCCCTTGCTTGACCATCAAGATGCCACGACCAGGTGCTCTTGATGAGACCTGAAACCCGGATAGGTCGTCACGTTTGATATATACATATATCACCACATTACCTCTTCGAACGAGGGCTTATACGTTTACCTGGATTGCATATCCAGCTTGCAGTTCGAAAAAAATGGTCTCCGGCTGGAACCACCATCAGGCCTGGAGCGATCTACGATTGAGCACCATTGGTCTCGTCTATGGTCCCTATTAAAAATACCTCTTTATTTTGTTTTACTCAACAGCCGTATTCATGCAAATGCATGACGGACGGCTCTTTCCTCATTTTCTCTTGCACGAAAGGCTGCATTGGTTGCAACACACATGGCACGGCGGTGATAGCATTGGGCTGGCATTCTCTCGCGAGGGACACCATTTGATTTTCATATCCACAGCCTGGGTTGGCTGGTTGGAAAGCATGGAGCTACGGCGTATGGTACAAATCTCAGCATCGTCTGTAGTTATTTGGAGGGTTTGGTTACCAGACGTACACAGATCTGGTTCCGTACATTTTCGGCGTCCTATCCGTACTGGACTAGAATGAATGACGAAAAAATTGAACAATTCGTTACACAAAATTACCTTGATCGTCATGACAGTCCCGCCCATCTCGTGACGGCTCCTCTTCAACCGATCATTGGAGGCACGGGGCAATTTTACTGACAGGTCTAGTGCGGACAATAGGGTAGCCAACCACGGCCGACTTGAAGGAAATAGGAATAGGATCCCTGGGTCTAAGTGTCATATTTCCTGGCCCCTTCTGTTGCACTACCTACACAGGCTTCCCTGCAAGGACAATCACTCGTTGTTGTGCTCGGGCGGGTGGGAACCCGCGATGACCTCGTAACCAAACAAGGCCTTCGGAAGGAGCAGCAGCAGCGCCTTGCTTAGCACAGCCATTCGTTCAGCAACATTGGGGTTTTAAATGTCATTGTGTCAGTGACACAGAACATGTTCGCTGAAATGTCCGCCAGAAATCCATGATGACAGGAAAGAATACCGAATACTGGTTCTCACTTACAGTGGTTACAGCGTCTGGATCGTGGGAATGCAGCCTGGATGCACCGAAGCACAGCCGCGATCGCTCTGTATCAGTTGAGTCATGCGCCGGAATACACATCGCGGACAAGAAGAGAGCGGTTCTGCAATGCAGGCACCCACGTCGGATCAAATGGTCGGTGGGAGTAGGCTGTACGGATACTACTGCAGATATTCGGTCAGCAGGGAGCCCACCGTCGGAGACGGCTGGGCCACCTATGCATTGGAATAACTAGCCCAGGGGTCGGCAACCCCCCCTATTGGCGTTGTTCTTGAGAAACTTCACCGGAATATAATGTATTTGCTCAAGTATACAGTCTGGCATGGGTGCGAGATAAGCAGGCTGGAGGAACTTTAAATACCAAACTCCACACCTTCTACGAAGAACGGCTGAGTGGGACAGCTTGAAGACGGGGACCGATCCTATCATTATACCGAGGCTTTTGGCTTATAGATCAAGATTGGTTCTTGTACGCATAGATTACTCCAGTCCTACACTATCTCACGCATCGCATTGAAGTCGGAAGGGCCACGCTTTGAATACGACCTGAAGGCGGCCACGAGAAATCGCATTGGGAGACTCGGCATACCCGTGAGACGAGTATAGCACAGCTAGCTCGTAATCAGGTGAAGAGATCGGAATCCGAATACTGAAGCGAAAGTCGTGACTCTCAAAACTTCGATGAAAAATACGACTGTCGTAAAGGTACTGATTCGGATACTTTACAAGCTGGGTCGCGAGCGGCGAGCGTTCGGTTAGAGCTGCTGCTGCGGTCCGAGCCTGTATTGCTTGGCATCATCTGCGTCTTGAATAGGCCTCAAACCTCAGCTCGACATCGGGGGTTGAGTCTCCAAACCGCCGACCTACCACGCATCCATGCAGACCTCCAAACCCGCCCCGAGTTTGAGGCTAGAGATACCCGCGTAAAGACACCGCAAGTGGGCTCCAAGTAAGGTTGAGGGATTGTCGGAATTGCCAAGAGTGATAACCGGAAGGCACTCGTGTATACTTGAGACATCATTTGCCCCCCCTTCCCCCTTCCCCCCTTCTCTCTCTCTCGTGGTTTGATTGATGGTCAGCTTTGAATAGAAAAGTAAATCGTTGTCACTTCTCTGTAGATGATGAACTAGGCCTAGCCAGTGAGTGTAATTTGGCTCGAAGGATTCGTATGCTAAATGTTTGCCAATTTTCTTACCCGGAACCCATTCTTAGACTTAGATTCGAGAGGTAGTAGTATGTTCATAATTTCAGTTTCAATTTCGTCATCGCGGCACGCCAATAGAATGCATCCCTGGATCCAGCACGCGTTATCATCACTGGACATAAACAGCAAATGGTAGAGGTTATGCAGGTGCTTGCATTGCCAGCAGTAAACTATAATAACAAGAAGTGGTGTTTCAGTTTGCTACGTGACGACGGTAGTGATAGAAGGGCAAGAAAAAACAACATTAGTCACTCCCCAGCAAATGCATGCTGTGAGTGTTTCGTCAACTTGCAACCCACACGGCTTCCGCCTCGCCTGGACTCAGCGCGACAAAGAGTATCTCGGTTGCCGGAAGCTGGTTTGCCTCGAAAGTCGGCGCGGACTAGAGGCCCGACTCTGGCGGCCCTGATATTGGGTGGTGGAGTCGACTCTTAACAGCGACCAAAGAGACTCAATAGACGGGATCTCAGGCAGCTAGTTCTGAGAATCCCATCCGACCCAGCTTCTTGGCATGATACGCCAGATCTTGACCTCTCCGCTGCGCAGGTCGTCTAGCTTGAAGCTCTCCTGTTTTACCTTCTTGCTCTCCCGGCCTTGCTCCCAAGCTCGTACCTTCTTCTTGGTTCCGTCCCACTCGGCAACAATGGCGACGTGGTCTGGTTTACCAACCTCCATGGAGTACTTGGCGTGCATAGGTCCATGCTTACCCGAGAATTTGGCGTTGCGGATGGAGATGATATCACCAGGTCTGATCTCATCGTTCGTTTGTGTTGCGGCGTTAGCCATGTTCGCATACACCAGGGCGCCGTAGGCACGAGACCCAACGGGAAGCAGCGCGTCCTTGAAGGGCTTGAGAAGCTCATAGACGAGTCCTTGCGGTGTACCATCACCAACCACTGTGTCCTTCTTGGAAGTAATGGCAGTGGCGATTTGCATGCCGAAGCGCTCATACGCCTGCTCCAACTGATCCTGACGTAAGTTTCGAGGGGGTGGTTCGTGCCGTTGCTCCAACTGAGTATCGGCAGGATTCTGCGGGTCAAATCGAGCGGTAATGACCGTCTGCGAGTAATCCTGGAACAAGATATAGACCTCCTTAGTGACTGTTGTCCTGCCTCCTTGCGCAGTGGAGGTGGCTTCTTCGGATTCGAAGAAGACATCTCTTCTGCCCTGGAATGCAGGAGGCACGCCGTTGGGTTGAAGCCACCAGTTCGTATAGCTAGCTAGGTCCACATCATTCGCTACGAAACCGGATTCCATCGACGGTCTGCTAAAATCCATTGATCTTCGACCCGATGATTTTTGTACGTCGAGAGACTGTCGTGGAGCTCTGTTGGCGGAGGGAGCTGGCGGTGGCCCACGACGATCGGGTGTAGGGGGCGGTTGGTACGATGACATTGGTTCGGGAGAAGCCACTTGCTGCCTTGGCACGGTGTGCGACATTCTCTTCGAGACTCCTGGTCGTAGGGCGGCATAATTGTATGGATCGTACTCATCATCGTCGAACGATTGCTCCTTAGGCGGTGGTGGCGGAGGAGGAGCCGCCCGAGGCATTTCCGTTGAGGGTCGAACATTAGATGACATTGGTTGACTGGGAATTGGCGGCGGAATTGCTCTAGGTGGTGCAGCGCTCGGCATAGGAGGAGGGAAAGATGGCGTTGGAATATCCGAGACTGGAGAGCGGATTGGAGTGCTGTCGTCGATACTGGAGTCACGCGCATGGGATTTTAGCGCTTCTTTATGAGGCACAGATGATGCAATATCAGTGTCGTAATCTCCCTCATACTCGGAGACCTCTCCTTCTTCGCCATTATCCAAGACGCCAGGCTTCATCGGCGAAGTAGGTCTGTTGTCTGACGTCGGAGGGCGGCTTGAAGGAACCCCAGGTGGTGGTGGTGGAGGTGGACGAGCTTGTGCCGGTGTGGCCGGGGCGGACCCAGGAACAGGAGGTGGCCGACTGTTCCGCTTATTTGGCTGTGGGGGCATGGCTGGAGAAGTCGGAGAAATTTCTTCAGCGATGTACGACGATCGTTTAGCCCCAGGTGACCGCGGAGACGTTGATGATGTCGGTGATGCCAGTGGGATTGGCGGAGGTGCTCTGCCTGCCGGCGCCTCACCTCTTGGGGTTTCAAGTGGCGATTTCATTGCACTTTCAGACATCTCATCGTCCGACTCAGATCCAAGGCTAGGAGACACTACGCCAGCATTTAGCGGAGGCGGAGGCGGCGGTGGCCGAGCTGCGGAATTATATTAGCTTGATTTCCCAATAAGAAGAGGACGGCCTTACATTCGGCAGGGACTGGGGGAGGAGCGGGTCTGCCGGAAGGAACAGGAGGTGGACCACCTTTTATAACTAGGTTAGTATAGATTCAAATATATCGTTACCAGGGACAGAGTACTTACCCTCAGGTGCCACTGTTGGTGGACTAGTGGGGATGGCCGGTACACTGTCTTCCTCTGCCGGCGACTCATGCTCTTCAGGCTCAGCAGTCTCCTCCTCACGGAGCTTCTTCTGGCCCAATCCAGGCATCCCGGGAAGAGCCATCATGGTTGGGACTGGAGGAGCAGCCATGCGTGGCGACGCTTCTTCGTTAGGCTGCTCACTCGAACGCCGTTCTGTAGGTGGCGGCGGAGGTTTCTTCTTCTTTGCTACTGCAGATGCACCAGGTGATGGCATGGGTGCACCGAACATGTGCATCCCCATCATGCCCATACCGCCACTCATCTTGGCCATTCTAGCACGGAGCTCTTCCTTTCGCTTGAGCTCGGGGTCCATGTCGTCGTCATCTTCCTCCTCACCCTCGCCCTCCTCCTCCTCCTCCTCGTCGTCACCACCAGGCGTGACCGGCTCTACTTCTGGCCCTGTAGGCGCACGACAAATAGGTTGGGGCTTTTCATCAATATCCTCCTTTTCGGTAAGGTCATCCTGACCCTCTGTTGTGTCTCCGGCGCCGGACATATCTGCCTCATTGCCATCTTCAGGGGGGCTTTTCGAAGTCTTCTTTCGAAGCGGAAGCTGCCTGGGCTGAGGCTCATCTGTGGAGCTCCGTTCCAGAGCGTCTTCCGTGTCTCGCCGTTCCGGGGTTGGCAGTGCTTCAGCCTCAACCACCGGGGATGCTTCCTGCGGTGCGTCACTTTCGGTGCGCTTTTTCGGCGGCGGACGCTTCGGCTTCTTTGCAGCAGCTCCGGAATGTCTCTGAGCGGCCTCGGCCTGTTGCTTCTGGAGTAATGCGATGCGCTCCTTCAGGCTTGTAGGCTTGGGCTGGTCCTCGTCTTGCCCTTCTTGATTTGTGGATGGAACTAGCCCAGCCTTCTCAGCGTTTTCAAGGGCTTCTGCCTCTCTATCCCTGATCTCGGGATCTTCCTCGCGCCTGTAAGCCTTGGTAATGGGTGGGTCTCTTGGGGGAGGAACGTAGGCATTCCTGCTCGGAGGCGGAGCAATGAAGGGCTTCTTGACGAAGCTAGATCCGCCGGCGCTCAGGTTACCAGGCTTGAAGGGCGCGACCGGTGGTGCGGCCTTGTTGAATGCCGCAATGCGATCCTTGAACGAGCTGGGCTTCTCCGAGACTGGGGGAGGACTACGACGCGAACTAGGAGCTTTGGCGGCAGGTTGTGCAATAGGCGCAGGAGCAAGCGCAGGCGCCACAGCCTGGGGAGCTGGAGCGACTGGCGAGGCTACGGGCTCACGTTCGGGGGCCTTCGGCACCGGCGCAACAGAAGCTCTGGGCGAGAGAGGTTCCGCCGCCCGCGGAGGTGGAGGTGGCGAAGCGATTGGCCTCTCCTCTGGAACATCTTCGGGTTCCGATTCTGGAGCCGCCGGAATTGACACAAATGAAGCAGCAGTTGAAGGCGGCGATGCGAGAGGCTCGGCCTCTTTCTTCCGCGACCTCACCGGGCGGGGTGGCGCAACGGGCTCGTATTTCTCGACAAAGTTGCGAGGAAAGATGCCTTCTCGCGTCTCGCCGGAGCCATCTACATATTCTCCGCCATACCAATCCGGATCCTCATCATCGTTGACCGTTATTATCTGGCCCACTTCAAATGGTAGATCGTCCTCATGGCTCGAGGTGTACTCAAAGAGCGCCTTCACTTTGAACGGCGCAGTAACCATGGTGCCTCTGATGATGGCTCCGGACGCTGGGAGCCCCTCAGTAGAAGAGGATTTGGCAATCGGGTGTAATCGGATATTGTTATTGTTGCTGTAATACGGAGGTTTCGGGTGAGGGGTTGTTGTGGTGGCAAAGATCAGATTTGGAAAGTTATTGTCTTGCGGCGTGGTGAACGTTTGGGCAGGCTACCATGATTCTCAAACAGAAGTGGACCAACTCTGCGTTGAGTTGAGCATTTAGCAACAACCTGTGGGAGCGAGCTGTGAGGTGGAAAAGGTCGACGTCAGCGCATGAACTTGGACCCATACCAGATTTGGAGGCATTTGCCAGGCTTGACAGGCAACCCAAGATGTGGTGACGGGAGGCAAAGAAGTGCTGTGCATCTAAAAGAACAACGAACCTAAACCTCTGTAATTGCGACTGCCAGACCCATCTAGGCTTGGGTAATCCTCACTCAGACTTTGCAAATTGAAAAATAAAAGCTTTAGAGGTTCTATGCCAATACCAAGATGTCGCAGGGTTGTTCTGCTTGACCTCAAACAAATCAAGCCGACAGACCATCCATCATTGGTGTGACCCGCCAGTGCCAGCCAATGTCGTCGTTGTGGCGTCGTCATCATTCAGCCACATTTGGAGCTCGTTCTCCATCCAGCTCAAAGTCATTGTACTAAGTACTTGGTGTAGCACTTTCAGATGGCAAATCCGAAGACCTCTTGCAGAAGCGATAACTTCCCATAGCGTCAAACTGTGGTACTGCACTGCCTGTCTTTCTGAGACATATCAAATCTTGCCTTGGTGCGTGATTCAACCGGCACTTGTTTTACCGTACCATACAACATGGCGACCCAATCAAACAACCCCCTCAAAGGCATCCTTAAGAAGCCTATCCCCCCAGCCGCCGACCCCAAAGTCCGCGAAGTAGCCGTCCAGCACGCCAACATAATCCAGCAGCGCAAGGAACTCGAAGACACCATAACGGATTACATCATCGAGCTCTCCAAACTGCCTCTCGACCGATCCAGCCCCTACACCTCCTCGAGCCCATCCCCCACCGACGCCGCAACCTTCAAGTCGCATGTGCGCCTCTTCCAGCCCAGCGACTACGAAGACCTCATCTCGGAGCGCAACGCCAATGGCTTATGCGGGTACACGCTGTGCCCTAAGCCGCGGATGCGCGTAGCCCAGCGTGGCGAGTACAAGCTCATCAATTACGGGCGAAAGGACTTCAGCATCGTGCCCAAGAAGGAGATTGAGCGGTGGTGCGGGGCCGCGTGTGCGCGGCGCGCAATGTGGATCAAGGTGCAGTTGAACGACACGTCGGCGTGGGAGCGGGCCGGCATCGACAGCATTGAGATTGGGCTGTACGAGGAGCCCAAGAAGACGGAAGAGGATGAGGCGGCACGGCGATTGACAAGAGACATGGCGGGGTTACAGGTTGAGGCTGAGAGGAAGGCGGCCAAGGATGCGCAGGAGCTTGCTTTGGAGCGGGGTGATACGGATGAGGGGGCGAAGCGCAAAGTTGATGTTAGGATCCAGGAGAACAGCGTCAAGGGAGTGGCGGAAGAGCCGTCTTTGGGCAAGGATGATGATGGTCACTTGGTAACCGAAGGCTACAAGACGAAGTTCGACTCCCAGAAAAACACGGCGAGTAAGAACACGACGGGCATATAAATAAAGTGGTCCCGGTCGAAGCACGGTGTCACGGACATGGTCAACATCCAGCATCTATGGCGTTAATGGCAGCGTGAGTTCATTTAGATATCCTATTAATTTTAAGCCAAATATAGCATAGCACGGTCTGCCAAACATGACCGCTTGTCGCTACTCCAAAGGAAGCGCGCGATACCTCATCTGTCAGATAATCACCGGTAGCGGCCGTGTGAGGTTTTCGAAGCTTCATGTTCACATAGGTCAAAGGCTGTCTTGCCTGGGAGCGTAGAGCAATCACGCACGAACGGAGAAGGGAAATGGCAATCAACCGTCAACCCTGGATTTCTCCAAAGTATCAGGGACACCTGTGGGGGAGGAAGATCTTTTCTTTTGAAGATCTAGAGTGCACTCACTATCGTCAGTATAGACGCCATAAAGCCGTGAGACCCGTTGTGCCAGTTGCCAAAATCAATCATTCGTAACCTCCCGTGCATCCAGCCTACACTCCACATCATTCCTTTACGGGCGCGGGGGCCGGTTGCCGAATCGCTGGGGACGCTCAACCGACTGCTGCTGGGTGACGGGGACAACGTTGACGGGGATAGAGTCGAACTGTGGAGATCAGGTTAGCCCTCCAACACGGAAGAACACGGCGATGTGGTAGTAGCAAACGTACGCCGAGGTGCTTCAGCAGATCCTTGGTCTCTCCATCGATGTCCAGTTGGCCGCTCTCGGAGTTCTGGGCGAAGTCGAGAGCAGACACCTCAGGAACGTACTGGTCCTTGCGTTCACGCTCCTCTTCCTGAAGCTTGAAGGAGATACCACGGACGGGTCCACGCTGAATTCGCTTCATCAAATGGGTGGTGTAACCGGCAATCTGTGGTGAGTGGCATATCAGTCTCCCTGTTTCCAGTTCGTCAATCCAGGTTCCTTTCTCGGATGGTGCTGACCTTGTTGCGCAGGCGCTTCGAGGCGATAATGGCGATCTCATCGCATACTCGCTTGTTGGTCTCAAAGTCGAGAGTGAGCTTGGGGTAGTACCGCTCAATGATGACCTTGGCGGACTTCTTGACAGTCTTCGTTCGGACGCGACCCATTTTGGCGGTATTGGCTGGATGTGAGCTGTGATGTGAGTGAAAGAATCCAGTGGTGCTTGTCGGCTGCCGCTTTGAAGTTCAGTGATGAACCAATATTCGAGTGCGGCTTCCAAAAAGCAAAATTCCTAGGGCAGGTCCAGGAAAATGCTGATTGGATGGGGAAACTTCGGTCGTGTCGGACTATGGAGTGCTCCGCCAGCTGACAGCAGCTGGGTTTAATGGAGGATTAGCTAGAACTTCCACTGCAACGTAAGATGCTACTTCGAGCTTCTATCTAGACTTTAAGCCTGGTGCTGCTATTTACGAAATGTTGACGAATTCCAGAGCTTCTAAGTAGTACCTCTAGCCGCTCGAGTAACTCCCCAGATCCTTTATACAAAGCTGGGGCTGCATTGTAAATTGAGTCTGGCCCCCTTGTCAGGTGCATAGACGATACGACAGGAGTGCCTAAAGCTGTCTGAAAGACGAGCCGCAATTACAACAGTCTCGACACATGAAAGCCTCTGTAGCGATGGCTTTACAAAAGTCCAACACCTCTTTTACATATGTATTGTACATTGCTTGTCTACTTTTGTATGTAGAGTGGTCGTGTGGTGGTCCCAACCAACAGTCAGGGCACGCCAACTGCTGGTAATTACCTGGGCATTTTCCACGCTTCCTCACGCTGAATTTACAGAGAGCGTCCTCCGCCACTCAACCCATAGCTTATACTGCTGCCAATTCGAGCTGAACCTGATGATGGTGTTCGTGTCTTCGTAAACTGTGTTTGATAGTATGACTTGGCCGGCGCAGAGACTTCCTCCACCGCCTTCTGAAAGGCGTCAGCTTCCCCAACCCTTTCTTTTTGGACATTCACGGCTATTTCGGCGGCATCTTGCAACTTCAACTGGATCTTTCCGCTGGGGTCGATTGCAGCTGTCATTGGCTCAACATATTCCTTGGTTCCACCCTCTGCCTCAGGATCAAAATTGTCGACACCAGGGATCAGGCGCCTCGATGCTGAATGGCCCTTGATGTTGAATGCGCTTTCTCCTTCGGGGGTGTTGGCTACAATACCTGCCACACCGAGTTTAGGCGAGTAAGACCCAGAACCGTTCTTTGGTAAGATGACTCTCGCCTTGACAGGAGCGTGGCTTGCCTGCGGTCCATAGACGGGGTGGTTGTCCATGTAGCTCTGAGTCCTCAGATACGACAGACCAGCCGACGGGTGTGTCATTGGGGGCCCAGCTTCCGCATATGGGCCGTCATTCTTCACCTCGTACCTTGTCTCCGGTTTCAATTCCTCGAGTTGGTACAAGAAGCCTGCCGGAGATGTGTTGGAAACGGGGGCCAGATCCAGAAAGCGGCTCACTAGTCGAAACAAGGTCACGCGATCCTGCTGTCGAAGCTCCCTCAGGTAGTTTGTCAGGGCTTTGTCGGTGATGTCCTGGGCACGCACTGCGACAGGCTCTTCTCGTTGTTCCTCGGCAGCCTTTTGTCGCTGTTCTGTCTCGAGCTCGGCCGCGTAATGCTGCTTGACAAAATTGCGGAATGCTGACCGTTTTGGTCGCACGGTCTTCTTGAGATATTCGTCAAACTGGCCGTCTGTCATGCCTGCCAGCCAAGGACCGCGGAACTTCCATCGCACAGTTTCCGTCTTTGCTAGTTGGCTCTTCGGTATGGCGGTGACGTCGCCATCTTCCTCGAAAACCGACCGTGGTACCTTCCCAGATTCACTTGAGTTCTTAGGGACTGGTACTGACATGCTAAGATTCATCTCCTGGAATTTCTCTAGCGTGATGGTGTGGTCCGACGCAGATTGGAAGTCGGTCACTTGCTCAATTGAGTCGACCTTCTTGACGCGCACAAGTGGTATGGTGGTCTTGAGGGTTGTCTTCAGAGGCAGCGGCCGCTTGAAGCCCCAGTCTCCCACCAGTCGCGACGTATAGGGCGTGGTGATGGAGAGATGCGTCGGGTATGGAGCCGTCGCCGTGTTGGATTTATGTTTGGTAGCTTGCGAATGGTCGGTAGGAGTGGGTAGAGGTTGTGGCATAGAGAAGAGACGCGATGCCCTCAGGAGTGCCGCTCCCGGGGAGACACTGCGCGATGTTGTTGCCATGGCCAAAGGCTGGGCTCGTTTACGAGCTCCGAGGTTGGGTGGTCGTGAAGCTTTAAGCAGGCGCCGTTGATCAATCAATATTGGGTTTTGCAGGCGAACGGCCCGTGCTCCCATCGGGGGACGGAACGGGATTTTTTATGCATCCCGTTGCAAGTGCTCATAGGGTTCATTTAACCACATCAAGCCTGTAGACAACGAAGTCATAACTCTAATACAATCCTTTGCCAGCTCATCATCGTCCACTTCAACAGTGTCTCCGATGCAGTCTTGTATCCAGTGTCTACTAGTCGCTTCATTTCAGTATTATTCTTCCTCGTCTCTTCTCGACCTCTTGTCCGAAGGTGGAGATGTTGAATCTTGCTAGCGAATCCAAACTCACCCTAGTCGAATTCAACTTAACATTAGTTGCACTACGATAAGTTCCATTAACCCTAAAAAGTGGCCTATAAATCATCGTGTAGGCTCTAGAGGCATATCAAAAGTCTCCAGACTACAGTATATTTACCCTCTTAAGCAAGCGTCGGTTGCGTTCGATTTTGAAGTATAACTCTTCGTATTGTTACACTTAATAAAATGTCCGGGATCAAAAAATATATCCAATAACAGTTTCAACTACGATTACAATTCGCCTCGAGTGAAACTTCAACGTCGTCACTTTGCTCGTGATTGGCAAACCTGTGTTGGTGGGGCTGTTCTAACGTGCGAGGAAACACGAACATGAAATGCTGTAATCAGTATACTCGGCTTCGTTCTGGGAGTAGAGTAAACGTATGAGAGAAGCATCGGTGCAGGACACGGTGACTGTGATAACTAAATACCAATGATGTGAGACCGTGAAGTTATTAGGTCTAAATTCCGAGGAGACCCGCGCAGCTCCTGGCTTTGTATCTGATTACATGTGGCTCGTTTAAAAGAAACTTACGGGCTTTCCTGGATATGTATTCTGTTCTTTCCAGTTTTTGCCACATAGAACGTTTTGGCGCTGCAACTCCTTCCCATGCCTACTACACCACAACCTGGCATTCTATGATATCACTGATTTCACAACGAAGCTGAATTGAGCGCTGATTACATGTTGAGCAGATGGGACGTTATAAATACGCAAGATCAAACCAATTCAACACACAAGGCATTCTCATGAAAAGGGGTTGCCCCTGGCGCGAGCATATTGCTTCCCGTCGTGGCAAACCTTCCCGCCAGGCGCAAGTCGTCGTTTGCAGGAAAGTCACATCTAGCTCAAACGTCATATAACTAAGTCAACCATGGCTTCGTTGCCATTGTGGCCAAGGTGAACATTAGGTGCTAGTGTTTGATAATCTTTTGACTTATGTTTATGACTACAAGGTGGGCTGTGAGCCGTATTTTCCGTCCGTGAAGGTGTTGAAGTAACAATGATTATACCGTCACACTTGCCTTCCCAAGCTCATTAATGATTCAAGAGGTCCATTTGCATATGCTTCTGCTTGGAAAGGGGTATCAAAGTGGAGATTCCGCCGTCTTTTTGCGCCGGCCCGTACATTTCGCTTTACAGTTTTAATACACCTAGACCACACACAGAGGTATCTGCCCGTCTCACGATTAGCCCACAACCTCCTTCACCACCTTGGCCAAGTCCGCCTTCTCAAACACCTTCCCATCCAAAGGCCCACCAGGCGCCATTAACTTCTTCATAACCTCTCCCATTTTCGCCTTGCCCTGCACCATCCCGTCATCCGTCATAGCCGTCACCACGCCCATAGTCAGCGCCTTCAAATCCTCGGCACTGACCTCTTGAACACCGCTCCCGGCCACATACTCTTTTAGGACATCGATCTGCGCCTGCTCCTTCTCAACGAGGTCGTCCCTCCCCGCACCCTTGAACTCGGCCGACGCATCCTCGGAGGCGCGCACCGTCTTGCGCAGCAGCGCCACCAGCTGCACATCTGTCTGGATCGGGTTCGCCGTCTTGGAGGCGTTGAGGGTCGAGGAGAGAATTGACCGGAGCACCATCAGCCGTGGGGCGTCTTTGGCGCGCATGGCGGTTTTGAGGTCGGCTTTGAGCTTCTGCAGCATTGGCGGGGCGGGGGTTTCGGTGGAGGAAGAATAAAGACGAACAAGGGGGCTGTTGCGCGGGGCGGCGGACGCGAGGCGCGCGCGCAGGAGGCTGGGAGCCATGCGGCGAGTGGGTTGGAAGGCCATTGTGATACAGGAATGGATGTGATCGAGTTATTGGGCAATGCTGCTGACTTCGAATTTCAAAGCTCGCGATGTCATCCGTTTGATGGGTTGCCAAGGGACGTGATTGATTCGGCCTGTGTGTTGTGACTTCATTAATATCTGGAGTAAATAATCCGGGAGCTGAGTTCTTGTCCCGTTGGTTTCGACTTGACGAAAAGCTCTGACAAGCTTTGTAGCTGAATTGGCCAATCCACTTTCAGTGCAACCACACCACGTGAAAGTGCTGAAGGCGCTACGTGCGGGCTTAGAATTTCCCCACTAACGTTGCCGCCAAACACTTTAAGAAAGCTAACCCTTGCAAGCCTAGCCGCACAATCCATGGAGCTCACCGGCCCGTCGTCTGGGATGAATTGTGGACTGCCTGAGGTTAGAGCGATTTCGGCATCCGTGAAATCAAGATACCAATGTAAAGACTAGGGATCAAACTCAAATCACTACAATACTAAGGTGACTGATCATAGCAGGGACGTATGCATGGTACTTCAGCTAGACCGTAGATACGAAGAACTCGCAATGTTGGATTTGCTTCCGCATCTTTCTTAAAGCCATCAAAATGTACGTGAGTTGCGCAAGGGGATACAGATCTAAGATGACCTTTTTTTCAGACTTCGTGATAACCAAAGATGATATTTGTGAAGTTGAATGTGTTGCTGGACTTAGACGCAAGTAGACTTTTGAAGAGCCGAATCTGTTGGAAGTGCTTTGACGCCGTCCCGATACAGCAGAAAACTGGAACGATCGTGTGCAGACTGGGCTAGGTATTTCCTGTGCCTACCTGTCTCGTTGAGGTTCAGATGATACATTGAGTGCGCATATCATCTCAAAGTCAGTTCACAGAAATCAGGAAGTTGTACAGGATCCCCTCGAGGGCTGTGTGTCGGTCGAGAAGACGTTGAGAACTTAAATGGTTCGTCGTGGGGAACTGACATGCCACCTGCGATGCTTAGAATCCGAGCGTGACCCAGCCAGCCGGTACCGAGACAGCCACCAGTCTCAGAGTGCGGGAAAGGACGTCGCTCATTTCTATTTTGGTAGGTCAGGCCAACTTGTAAACCTTAAGTAGACCTCCTTCTTTCCACTTCAAGACCTCTGCTTCATCCCTTACCCTCTCCCGAAGACTTTGTATACACCAGAAACCCAGCGATCCGATTCCAAACAAATTTTCAACAACGACAGCCAAACACTTCAGGCGAACGGCTGTAAGGGGAATTCTTCGGTGGTTTTGAAGTTCTGGGAACACCCTGGCAAAGAATTTCCAGCTCTGATGAGTACTACACCCCCGCGCCACGAACTGTGAGCCGTTACGCTACTTTAATGCCGTCGCCTCGATGGCCGAGGCTTTTGGCCAATGGCAACGTACCTTAAGCTCCGCGTTAGTTGAGACACACGTCGTTAATCACCGAAGATATGGGTCTTACATCCAGAAATACGGCTGCATGCACAAGCGTTTCATTTTAGCCAGCTGTCAACTGCCAGAGGTAAAACTCGAACTTGCCTGGAATGCCGGATTACTCGCTTCTTGCCTGGCCTGTTCAGCCAGCAGCTGAAATTCTGCCAAGTCCATTCTGGAGCATGTTAGCATCTTCTATGCGAAAACTCGAGCCTTTCACCGCCTTGTCTACTCACCCTTCGAGTACAGTCAAGGGATAGAACGCAAGTGCCGATAGCATACTGCTTATATTTTCCTCACTTGAAAGCCCGATATCGTACCTTATTGCATCTGCATCATTGTTGTTAGACCTTCCATTGGTATCAACGCGAACAGGGAGACGTACCATCCTCTCTCCCTGAACCATCCGACCAACCACACATGGGCCACCTCACCGCCTGGCTTTGAACGTTCTCGAAGCCGGCTTGTGTCAGCCACTGTGCGAGCTGGCTGCCTGCTCTAGGCTCCTTGCCTGACCGGCTCATGGAGTCCATGTATGCCGTCGACCATCGGCTAAGTCCGCCATCTGATAGATAATAGTGAGCAAATATCCATCAGTAATTTCGACAGACAAGCTGACCATTTGGCAAGGTGCCGTTAAATGACTGGGCCGTGAAGTGTGTCTCGACCATCTGACACCATCCTCCCGGACGGACTGCTCGGTATATGTCTCGAACATACTGCGGCCATCGACTTGCGTTGATCCCCCCGGCCACACCTCTACTATTGACTAGATCGAAAACATCATGGCCAAATTGTAGGCTTGACACGAATTGGTCAGCCAAGGTTCGTGTATCTTCATCACAGTCTGCTACGTACGTTTCGTTGAGGTTACATAGTTCAAATCTGAAGCGATCTGGCCAATTCCAGTCCGGTGGTAGCATATTGGCGCTGATGTCGGTTCCCAATGCCTGGAAAAGCAGTTGTCAGCTTCGGATAGAGTTCCTGTCGTCATTCAGAATTATATATCGGCCAGCAGCTTTATCGGAAACAACTAGCCGAGCGACGAGGGCGGCATCAATACATCGTTAAACGATGAGCGCATCAACTTCATCAGAGGTTGAACGTTTCTTTAGTCGGCCGGGAACGCTCGGTAGATAAAGAGGATGGATGTACTTGGGGATCATTTGGGGGGTGCTTCAAAGTCTTGTGCTGGAAATCAAAGACTGAAGCGTTGACTGACCTCGCACCAGGGATAGGCGTTGGCAACATCTATGGCCCAGTTGGCCGGGCCAGTACCACAGTCGAGTACTCGCCTCAAAGAGGATGCCCTTACCCTTCCCGCCCGGTCAACGTTTGGGAGAGCCAGGTGGCCACCGACCATCATATAGAAAATCTGGTGGCAATTCTCCAGGCGCGCAATCTCAGCCTGGTGCACCACGTAAGAGTCGTGTCGTAAGAGTTTGCTGGGGTCTCTCCAGGCATTTACCTCATCAACAGGTTCCAAGTTCGTATTGCTGTTGACCGATACTACATGGTACAGCCTGTCGTGGTGATAGAAGGTATCATGATAATCGGGGGCAACCTCCACGGTCTCGTCGCTGGAGGAACTTTAGTATAAGAAGGCTACATCAAGGTGATTAGAGCTTGCGCACTCGTCCATTGAGATTTGTGTTTTCCAACAGTTGGGCTGTCCCGAGCTAACGACAGCCCCTAGGAGGTTCGATATTTAGAACAAAAAAGCAATATTGAAGGAACTTAAGCAACAGCAGGCAGGCTAATTCGTGGCGGATATGAGAAAAAAAGAGGGAATACCAGAGACCGACTGCCAATTAAACTGATAGACTTGACTCTCACCTTTTAAGCATGCAACAAGTGTTAAGGGATGATTAAACGAGCCACTCCTCGTCCACAAGCCTGAGCTGACAGTATCAATCGATTGTAGATGTAGATTGAACATTGCAGCTTGTGGAGCCACGACTTACCCTGTCAGATAACTGAAGCAGGTTACTTTTCTGGCTGCAGCGACTTTGCAATAATCCGAGGCCTCATGCTATCCGCAAAATCCATGCTGCCGCCGATCTGGTGTAATGCGGCTCATGCTTGGTGGCGGCAGCTTGCACGATGTCGAACACAATCATACCGAACAAGGTCAGATACCCAGACATCTGGGCTCCCTTTCGGTACACCTGACTTCTAAAGAGGTAGAGTGGACGGGATAACATGTTTCAAGTCCTGCAATAATAATTATGTACCTTTCGTACTCATTAAAGGGGCAGGAACTAGGGAAGCTGCTTCCAGTCTTGCGTGGTTGCCTCCAGTTGCGAAGCTAAAATAAGGTCTCCAGAATTACCAATGCACTTTCCTCGAGCAATCTCGCTACCAACTTTGACGTAAGGCACCTCGACCGCAAAACTGCGAGTAGCTGCAGCCGGTACGCTGTAATCCGCCCATTGTGGAAACACAGGCCGCTTCGACTCGAACTCGTCTCACAAAGAATTCGAGTAACCCTGGCAATTTTCGAACCTCACCTATCGGCAACCTATCGTGGCTAGCGATTTGCTTCTTCACTGCGGGCAACAGCAGTCGTGTCAGCCAGTTTCGAGAAGCGTGGCCGACATATCCAGCTGGAGAAGCAAAAATACTCACGTTGGCCTGGCCCGGATGCAACCTGGTATAGGTGGGAACTTCGGGGCCCGAATGACGCCTCCACCATTCCTCCTCCCAATCCCCAGTCCATCCTGCGGGTGATTTTCAGAAACAGTAGCACGACACTACGGGATGCCCAGGCTGTCGGGTTGGCCGTTTCTCCAACATATGCTGTACTGCCATGCGCAAGTAAGACGCCATACCTCGATGAGATGTCCCAGAGACGTGGCGTCGGGCTCCTGTGCCATATGCGGGCAGCATCTCTGACCGAAAAATCCCAGACGGGAAAGGAAGTCTCCTGGAGAGGCAGGGATGTGTCATGGAAATGTGTTTGCAGATCGCTTCTGCGATGTGGGTGCAGGCTAACAATGGTGCTATGCAAGCCGCCACACTTGCTGTCACTACCATGACCATAATCCACGACATGGGCTTGACAAAAGTCGCATTGTAGAAAGGAGGCATTGTTTTCATCGCCTCGACATAAAGCAATGTCTGGACCCGTCGTTGATCTTAGCGATAGTGAACGTGGATCACCCAACCCTTACACACCGGTTAGAGCAAATAGTCCGTGTTTGGTTCCTTCCCCCGCACATCTCTTCGCAACACACCCGCCCGGAACAAACGTTGGACCCATTGGTTCGGGTCAAAACGGCGTTCCCGAGCTCTCTATTATTAGCTCCCAAATGCCACCCGCGGTCCTGAGATTGCGAGTAACGACTCGAGTCAAATCTAGGGCTTGGTCATTCATCACGGAAATTGTCATCAACGAGACAGTTCGAGATGAGAGCGACGGCGGGGAATCTCAAATAGGCCGTATCGTTGGGCCTTGGCTCGAACACATGCGCAGTCTAGTCACGTCGCTTATGCGTTGTCTCCATCAAATGGTCCATTGAATGGTGTCATTCGACATATACCCCATTCAGAATGCTGTTTTGTCACTCTACTCGTTGATCCTGCTTTACTCTACCCCAAAGCTTCGATCTTCCCACCTGTCGGGCTCTTTGATCAGTTAATGGAAGCTCTGCTGCGTCGAGGTGTGGCAACATGAGCGGTGGATTCAATCAACACGAATATAAATAGACCAGATGAGAGACCTCAACATTACTGTCCACCAATATTACTGATCCAGGATCCATTATTGGACATGCAGCAAACCATCGATGAAGCCGGAGGCCAGGAGGCGATATAAGTGATCCACAGCCCTGCATTTTGGTATATAATTTGGCTGTATTAATCACCGAGAGCTCCCGACAGTGTGGATGACACGTAAAAATTACGTTTCGATATCTCCATCCAGGAAACGTGCTGGGAATCGACTCGATATTGTCATTTGCCGTATTTGTTCAGCGGGCCAACCCTTTCAGTTGGAGATTCTCGTCGTGCTGAACGTAAAGAAAAGATTACAACGGCCGTTACGCCAGGGTGGAACCTCAACACTGTGTTTCACTCCGTTTCTGCATTAGCGTATCCAGATGCTCGGGTCAAGTCTCCGACCGTCTATTTAACTGGCCAAGACTGCTGGTCTTCAGGACCTAGGAGAATTAAACCCCCCACCGCGACTCTTTGCTGCGAGGAACTTTTTACTCTGTCAGCAAGGGAGCATACGACACGGACAAACTTGCTGCAAGGCTCGAGCGGCTCGTTTGGTTCCCCATCCCTTTCGGTATGCGCTAGGCTGGCCGGATGTCATCATCATCAACCCAGTGCGGCCGGGAGGGGCACCACCTCACCGAGGATCGTCTCCCATGTCCCGTCGTCGTGAGTTGCATTCGATGTACCCCAATAAAAACAGCACTGTCGCGGCGCACACATCATCTCTCCACCGCAATATGGTGCAGGCCGCTGCGTTGGTATAGCGCCCTCGAAGCTGATCATAAGCCGAAATTGGTCGGCCGCATTTGAGGCCCCGGGACATCCAACTTCTAGACGCTGTAGCAGGGCTGGTTCTGCTTGCCAGTTCATCACCGAAACCCTCGCTTCTTTCCCAAATTCCGTCAGCCTGCGGAAACCGCTGCGGGAGAACGAACGCCACACAAGCAAACCAGGATATGGGTGCAGTCGGCAGCTGACGGCAGCGTTGGCCCACGGCCCTGGTCTATGTTTCTGGATGAATGCCACACCCGGATCCAAGGTCTCGGGATCCAGGGTAGGTTTCGAAACAGCGCACCGTGATTGGTGATACGCTTGATGTATATTTATTAGCGTCCGAGATAATCGAGCGAAGACGAGGACAACACGCACTTGCAGGAAATTATGAACGATGATGCACCAGGATTTGCGACAATGACGCTGTACCGGCGCTAGCATTCTCTGCTTCGATTGCCACTCGTCTCTCTCGCTGCATTCATCCCCGCTGTGAAGCATGATCGATCAAGAACTACATGCCCGTAGAGCAGTCCGATTGTAAAACCGGCTTGCCAAAGGACGCGACCTGCTGCTATACCATGTCATCTTATAACTAATTTCAATCAGCATGTGTGTCAGAGCTTGTAAGCCAGCGAAGGATAACCAGCCGACTGACTCCTTATGTTTCACGTCAACTACCAAGGTGGCTTCAGATTACAATGGTTCATTCCAAGTGAACGCCCTGAGTCGGACGGATGGCTCACTGCAGATTCGAGCCCCTGTACCTATGGCTAGGTAGTCACAGTTGTGGAAATAGGTAACCATCGGCTCGTCCGACACGAAGAGGCTATCCACAACAGCTTCATCCATGTGCGGCATGACATGTCACATCTGCAGACTTCGAGACTTGTAGCGCGCACATTGTATGCGACGAGCGCCTGGAGATATGTCACCTTGGATTACCGATACGCCGTAGTATGCCCATACAAATTTCTCATCTCGCGCTGGCCGTTGTTTGGTGCCACCTCATCTTGCCTACAAGGCTAACTCAAATGAATGCCAGTTGCCGACACGCAGTAAAGTGAGCTATCATACTGTAGCTTGCCTGCCTCTCATTTCCGTTTCGATTATCAACTTCTCGAGAACTTTCCCGCATCATCAAGTGATGACGGGATTTCCGCCAAATGATGGGTCACGTCCAAATTCATGCCCGTACCAACTCTTAAAACTTGGACGCAAATCTAGATAGACCATAGCAATGAACCAAACAATTCTGAATGAGCCAATGATATGCTGTTGTTCGCAAACGTGACTGCCTGTCCTGTATAATCCCCTTCCTGGAACCCGATGCAGATGGTATAATCTTTAATCGTCTTTTCCATGCCTCGCATTTTTGGAAGGACCCTGAGAATATTGTTTGGCCCAACCCCCCCCTTATCCCCTTTCTAGCATGTGCAGCCCAACCCAGATCTTCAGGCGTCGTCGTCCCAGGCATCCAGGCCTCTTCCAAGAATGTTCAAGGTCTAACACCAAGTAAACACTGGATTCCTTGCTTTCACCGTCTCCAACCGCTCTACAATAACCTTCCGTCTATTGCCCTCCATGCCCTCAGCGGCCGCGTATCCCAAGTCACCTTCCATATCGACATCGTCCTCCCCGTAACCGTGGTCGCCGTACAGTTGCTGCGCGATCGAATTACTACTCCGTCGCGTGGCCGCTGTGGCGAAGCTGAACCTCCGTTCGCGGTGTGGTGTGTACATATTGAGCTGGGGCCGTGATGGCCCTTGATAACTTGCTCGTGGCGCTGCCTTGGCTATTGTAGGACGAGATTTGCTTGTAGATGTCATTCCGAGTACATCGAAAGGGTCTGTGGCTTTGCCGTTGGGCGAGCTTTGAGTTGTGCGCTCCGTGTCGTCTGGAGATTGTGCCCGCGGAGTAGACAGCTCGAAACGGCCGGGGTTTGGCAGTTGGCTAGGGAGACCGAGCAAGTCATCCGTTTGGTTCGCAATTGCGGTGGATGAATTGGCTGCACCGATGTCAATCTCTTCTTCAATGGCATCGCGCGCTTCGGGCTCAGCCTTGCGGCGCATCTCGGTACTGGCGACGCGCATGGGTACCGCTACAGGGACGTCGACAAGATCGTCCCAGACACAGACTTTGGCACGCCGAGTCAGTTCCAACGGGCCGTGGTCTGGTGTCTTGAGTGTCTCGACCACATTCCAGGCTTGCCCCTTCATGACAGCCATTTGGCGAGAGAACATTTTCTCTTGAAAGTCCGGGTCCAGCTGGAAGATCTTCCTGATGGCCAATTGAGTCTCGCTCCACCAATGCGTAGAAGTGAGAAGAGGTAAGAAATGATCTCGGGTCTTTTGAGAAAAGGGGCGGCCGATGAGATCGACTGGCAAGAAGAGCCAGCCAAAAGGGAAACTGTACATTTTTTTAGTACTCAGAACATAGAGCAAGACGGCTAGACCTACCTTCGCCAGGCATCAGGGTGTTTCCAAGGCCATGACAGAGAGTTGTCAATGGCACCCACGGATATCTTGGGGTCTCTGACTGCCGATGCGCTGCTTGCATTCATGGGCTTTTGTGCCTGGTAAGGATGCGATCGAGTGCTAGGCGAATCGCCCCTGTCTGGCAAGTCCACAGGTCCTGCTGGTTGCTCATCGTCATCGTCATCGACGGCGTTGACGTTGAATTGTGGAGGTTCCGAAGCAATTGAGACTTGCTGGCTCTCCCAGTCCACTTTGATCATCCAGTTGTCAAGTCCTCTGTCGGTGTTCCGCATGATGTAGTCCAGAATGACTAACTTTTCAAGTTCCTCCCGGAATGACTGCTTCAAGCTTGGAGTCCACCTAAAATTATCTGGCCCGAGTGGCAGCGGCTCAGGCGCCTCGCTATCGTCGTCGCTATCATCAGAGTTGGCAGGCCTGCTTGAAGGCCTGCAGTTTTCGGCCCATCTCTTTTGCTTGTTGCGGTGTGTGTCGCTTGTGCGGAAACCTGACCAATATTGATCAGGCCAAGGATGTTGTTTTAGAAACACGTTGGCATCTTTGAAGCCTTTGAGGAACACCTGAAAGCTACCTGGCTTCGCAGGAAACGGCTTCTTTTTTCGGTAAAAACTCCGCCGGTCCCAGTAGGGGTAGTGGAATGACTTGGAAGAGAGCCAGACAACATCCGTATATGGGACGATATTTGTCCGCAGCTGACGATCGAGAGTGTAGGCTGCAGCCTCGCTGACGTACGAAAGGTTGGGAATTAGGCACGCTCTGCCAAAGCAGCAAGGGAATAAGTTCCGATGAATCCACTTGTTCCACTTGGGGTTGCCAGCGGCATACGGCTCTTCGTCCTTGGGTTTGAAGACACCGACAATTTTCCCTTCCGTATTACGGGCGAAATAACTTCCCGAACTTCCCTGCGTGATCATGCTTGGATGCATCCCCTGGTCAATGGCCGTTTCCACGCTTTGCACGATTTCCTCGAATTCGGCCTTCAAGATGGCGTCGTCGTTCGACGCCGCAGCCAGAGATTCGGCCGTGATCGGCCGTACTCCTTCTGGAGGTTGAAAGACGCTGTAATGTATTTCAAGTCCCTCTTCCTCTCCGGGCCTGCCCTTTTCCTTCCCCCTTTTGAATTTGGCAGCAATCTCCTCGGCCCATCTCTCCAATCTCGCGTTTATAGCCTTCAGATCCACACCCGAGTTGCTCCTAACCCTCCTAGGGCGGTTCTTCTGTTTCGATAGCGCTTTCGGAGAGACCATACCCGAGTGAGGGCGGGGCTGGGTAATGGGCGCAAACCTCGGGGCGGTTTGAGGTTGCAGCGAAGCAAAGCTCTGTCCCAGGGGTTCATCGTCCGAGTCATCGCTGAATTGCTCGGCCTGAGCTAGCCGTTCGTAGCCAGTGGTTGGTGGACGGTTTCGCGGCATCGTCGTAGTGTTTTCGAGATCGCGATGACTATGTATATCGAAATACCGTTATATCATTGTGCCAGCTATCACACGATGTTGGTTAGCTTCTCTTGACTACAGACAAGCTGCTGAGAAAGGGTATCGATGTTCTGCGTCGCGCTCCTCCTTGATGAGTGCAACGTGTTACGTTTTAGGAAGGCGGCCTCACGAAACTCAAGTATGTTATCAGAAGATGAATAATGTGAAAATAACCATCCAAGCAACACTGGAGATAATCAGCGTGTTGGTCTGAGTTGAACTATCTCGGACATTGCTGGTAAACGTTGGTGTGAACTGGCCGGAAGCAGTCACGTCACGTTCCTCTCCAAGGAGCGCTTGTGTACTTTCAGTTAGTTAGGCCAGAGTGCAACGTCGGGACGTCGGAGTCTTTCTGACCAAATCTCCGTGCTTTGACATGTAGGCACCCCTGCTCCCCCGCACTCTGTCAATTTTTTAACGAATCGCAACCTGGAGGCTTCGAAGTTGGGGGAGCTTCGATCCATCGACGATTGGGGTCATCAGCTCAATGCACCAAGGCCTTAAACCTTCAAAGTAAGTGGATTGGAATGCGGATGCTTTGTTGCATGCCTTAACTTGCCCGTCAGATGGGTTAGCTTGGATGCCTCCATAGCAGTCTACATGTATTCCAAGAGGTATTTGCCGTCATTCAGACTAGGCCACCGAAACACCACATTCAGGCGGGCTGAGATACCGGAGCTCACTCTTATGGATATGTTTTTGATGAAATGATGAACACATCTCCAAATGGAATTGACGGAAGCAATCATGAATGCGGCCGAGCTTGACGACTACCCAAAGCCAGGAGATCACCTTGATAAATTCAACCGACCTACCATCAGAGATCATGCGATCGACACTCGGCCAGTAGCACCATGCACACTCCTTCACGATTCAATAGGTTGAAAGACCCGAGCTATCTAGGCTCAAAGTCGTACCTGGGATCAATAGTCCAGAGCACCGGCTCCAAGCCCCTTGCTCTGCGTTTTGCTCTCAATTATACTTGAGAAGGTTCTTGAAAGGTTTGAGGATGTAAGGCCACGACTGCCGGCGAGTTTAGTTCCACTACTACTTAAGTAAATAGACCTGCGCTAGACCATGCATTGTGAAGAGAGTTTACTACAATCAGCCCCGGCCAATTGTATCGCGGTCTAGGGCTGAATAGGAACATTGCCAGATTCCCAAGGAACCATGCTGATCTTCCAACTTCACTGTAAGCTCTAGCTGAGACGAGCGACTTACGTTGATCTTTCGTCCCTTAACGCAGTGACATCTTGGCTCTCCATGCAACTCCATGCAACTCCATGCAAAAGGCCCCCTTTTGAGTATTCCCATCTCTTCGATTGCCTCTTTTAACCAACTTCAAAGTTGAACCCCAAACATCCTAACTCTGCTACTTAAACTTATCGAATTCTCGGCCAAAAGAGCCGCGATACATGCCCCTTGAGAGGCCTGAAATGGTCGGTTCAACCATCTGTGGTATCTCGTATGAATCCGCACAACCTGTAAATGCCCCCACAAGATTCTGAGCATTGGCGCATTTCATCTTATTTAAGCTCTAAAGCCCCCTTTCTCCTCCCATCTGCTTTACAACCCCTTTGGGCCACATAAAAAGCAACCCAGTGGCACGCTGCGAAAAGACGGTCCTGTCGTATGAAACTCAACATCCGAATGGCATAATCTGTTGTCATTGACTACGCTGCAAAATGGCCACGCAAACGACGCTTCCCGAAATCACAATGTCCACGTTTTCATCCCCAGAGCCCGAGCAACGGGAAAGGGGGCGGAAGAGACGCCGAAGCCCACCACCATTCCTCGTAAATGCGGCACAAATTCCTTCAGGCGGCTCTGCGACCTTTCGAGGCCGGTCCAGACATCGGTCAACATCGCGTGTGGACGCGTCGAGAAACACGTCTCGCCTACGAGGTGGATCGCTTTCGCCCACGAGACGTAAGCTGTTGCGTGTCGTTCAATTAAACCGCCACCGGAGCCAATCTCCCTCTAGATCACGTTCGGTAAATGTCCACGATCTTCCCAAACGAAGACGACACAGAACTAGAACCCGAAGCCGAGATCACGAACCTGCCTCAAAGTCTTCCGAGCAAACATTATTCCCCAGGCACGAGATCGTTATTCGAGCTGAAGGCACGACCATGAGTTTCAAGCCAGAGGGATGACCGCTCCTTACATCCGGATTGAATTAGAGAATCGCAGACGGCGAGGCTCAAACAATCAGAATTATCAGATACGCAGATATGGCTCGTGGACGCCCATTGGTCAGAGAAGAAAGCCAGCCGCGTCGCAACAGGGGACAGTTGTCGTGAACGAGCACCGAGATAGACATGATGGTGTCTCTTGCGGGTTTAAATATTAGCCAGCATCGCGGATATGCGTGCATATATATGCATTTGTCGAGTCACTCTCATTACCAAGCGCTAACTTTCCGCGATAGCGCGTTTTCAGCTGCAGGTGGTGTAGGGAAAGCCTTGGACTGGAGTTTTCGCTAGGGCGGCTGTCGACTGTTGCTTATGTACTCCTGACGTTGTATTACGGATGGCAGCTGACTGATTTTGAGATATTATCAAAGGCGTTCTGTCCACTCATGTAAAGAACGGCCGCAACGCCCACTGGCAATGGGAGTTTGCTTTTTATTTTATATTTTATTGGTTTTGTGAAAAGGCTTGGGCGGGGCAAGGGGGGGGAGGTGGTTTCTTGGGTGTGTCTTCGTACGCTTGGGCTTTGCTAGCAACTGATTTTTGATGGTCCATTAAGTCAGTATACGGAAAATTGAGCGTGTTTAGCAAACGGTAGCTACTCGTAGAACTAGGACTATCGAAGTCCACTTGAAACACCTGAGTGGAAATGCGTGATAACTTCATGTTGAATGCTGCAGAACCGGCCACCGTCAACTATCCACAATGAAGCAGTAAAGCCGGCCCCTGCGTAGTAGCACGTGGGCAAAAGTAACGACTATTTCCGGACTTAAGGTGGTCCAAGGTGGTCATGGGACCAATCGAGACTGCCTTTGGAGGTGGGACGAGCCTTGACGTGGGGTTTTATAGTGCGGTAGGCTGGCCCCCAATCGCCTATCAGCGGATACGGGCGACTAGCTCCAGCTCCACATGCAGATACCCTCGTACCAGTTACTAACAGATGATCAATAGGCACGCAAGGCAAGAGCTTGATCTGGGAGTTCAAATACACTAACCTTGAAGAACGCGACTTTTTTTTGCTGTTGTTGTAAGGTTCTCGTGACCTGATTGATTTTATTCATCACGCCGCTGCAGAACACTCCAAAACAATGCCCATTGTTGTCTGATTTCTTCACCCAAACATCGCCTCTTTCGATTCATTCCTTCCCTTGCGGCACCCCCTCGGCGCATTTCTCAACGCTTTCGTCACAGCTTCATGTTGCCGGCCCCACCATCCCAACCAGCAACGACCACTCTTGAGCACCTTCGACGACAACTCTTGTCATGCATCCTTCGTTTTGACAATTGTCCCTTAACAAGTCAAGTCTGCATTTCGCCGCGCCTCATCTGCGGGCGCCGCGCAAAGGGCAGCGACCATGGCCTCAAACAACGGTAACTGCAACCCTAACTTCTCCTATCAATTTGCCCCAGGCTCTGGTCACAAAAGAGCCAGAAGCTCGATTCCTTTCCCAGAGATGGAGTGCGACTCTACACCTCCGTCTGCAGCAAAGTCCTATGATGATACTTACAATCAATCTCACAAAGGCTCGACCGCAAACGGCTTCGCAAACCATGCCTCGCACCTCAGCCTGAAGCCCGCGATGCTGCTGAACCCACGAGTCTACGCTTCCGCCCCGAACAATGAAGCCTCGGCACAACCGATGCATACAAATGGGCTGAACCGGTCTGGGAGCTCGGCGTCACTCGACTTCCAGTTCTCCAGCCCAAACGATGGTTCTGTGTCGAACACGAGCACGCCGGTTTCATACTACTCTCACCTCGACGATAGTCACAGTCATAACCCGACGCCTGTAAACGGTTTTGGCAACATGTTTGAGCGCCAGCACAATATTCAACAACGGAGCTCGGTCCCTCAACCGAAACGACGCAAGGTGGAGACCGACGATACAGCTAACCAGAACCATGGTTTTGGAAGTGGCGGAAGCGGCATGATGGGGCAGTATGTGAAAGACAAGCGCGAAGAGGCAGCAAGAATACCTCCAAACAAGCATGTGCCCACGGTCGATCTTACCGAGACAGGTAAGCCCATACTGCATTTGTTACCAAGAGAAATGAAAAGACTGACGAATTCCAGTGGACACTGATGGCGAAGTGACGGAAGGCCCACACCCCCAGGATCAAGAGGTCTGTTACGGAATGATCAAGGACGTCAAGCTCAACTGTCACCTCGTACCGAGCCCCAAGCCTGGAACCACCGCCCTTGGGGGGGACGCGTATTGGCCCCGAGTCAAAATCGTGCTAAACAGAAGACAAAATGATCCCACCAATATCATACAAGCGAAGGACTATACGCGACAAGTTGTGGGCCGAGTTGACCCAGCCACTTCGTCAGGTCTTTCGCCACTTCTCGATTCTCGCCTTCAGCTCAGAACCGACTGCCATATCGGCACCAGGCGGAAGGAGCCCGACGAAAGAGCTGGTCAAGAGATTTCCAAGGCCTATCCGCTCGTGCTAATCGTGTATGGCCCGCGCAAATCTGCCAGAACTGTAGGAAGGCACCTGGCTATCAGGGGACTGTATTTGCGCAATCCTATCCGAGTTGATTCTGGCGTCAAGTATGAGAATCCACAAATCCAGGTAGGACCTATGGCCCCGCCGGCGAGCAGACCCCATGCACCTGCGCCAATGCCTCAAGCGCCACCAGTAATAAGGACCGTCGAAGAGATTCGCAGTCAAGTCATGGGAGTTTTTGACTCCTTGACTGTGAGTGAAGACCTTCCCTTGATGGAGCCAGACTCGAGGATCCAGACCGAGCTCCTAGAGCACCAGAAGCAAGGCCTGTACTTCATGACCAAGAAAGAGCAGCCGCGCAAGCTTATTGAGAACGGCAAGACGCCTAATTCCATCTGGCAGATGAGCTTCGGCGCCAATGGGCAGAAACAGTACCACAACGTGATTACTGGGGATACGTGTCGCCAGCCTCCACCAGAGACATATGGCGGCATCCTTGCTGACATGATGGGTTTGGGGAAGACTTTGAGCATATTGTCCTTGGTCACAAGCTCTCTCGACGCGGCCGTGGAGTGGTCGCAGTCTGCACCTGTGCAGCCACATACGTCCTCAGTGAGAAAGAACAAGCCAGGCCCGCGTGGATTTGAACCACCAGTCGCGCAATCCTTGGATCTGACACGATTGACGCGCAATGTACGAGCGACGTTGCTCGTCTGTCCCCTCAGCACAATCACAAATTGGGAAGAGCAGATCAAAGCCCATATCGTGCCAGGGACTTTCAAGTACTACATCTACCATGGGTCGAACCGAATCAAGGATTTAAGGAAGCTTGCCGAATTTGATCTTGTTCTGACCACCTACGGATCTGTGGCCACGGAGCTGAGTAACCGCCACAGAGGAAAGAGTGGCCAATACCCGCTGGAAGAGCTGGGTTGGTTCAGAGTGGTACTGGACGAGGCTCACATGATCCGTGAACAGTCAACACAGCAGTTCAAGGCTATTTGTCGGTTGCAGGCCAGCCGCCGCTGGGCTGTTACAGGTACTCCAGTACAGAATAGACTGGATGATCTTGCAGCTCTGCTCGCCTTTATCCGCCTGAAGCCGTTTGACGACAAGAACAAATTTACTCAATACATCGTGGCACCTTTCAAAGTTTGCGATCCGGACGTTGTTATGAAGCTCAGAGTTCTTGTCGACAGCGTTACTCTGAGACGATTGAAGGACAAGATCAATCTTCCACCGAGACAGGATCACGTCATCAAGCTGAAGTTTGCGCCTTCGGAGGAGAAGCTGTACAAAATGTTCGAGCGAAATGCCCAAGACAAGGTTCAGGTTCTGGCCCAGGGTCGTGAGAGAATGGTGGGCGGCAAAACATACATCCACATTCTGCAGTCTATTCTCCGGCTTCGGCTCATCTCGGCGCATGGCCGAGAACTTCTCAGTGATGAAGACCTGCAGCTCGTTCAAGGCATGTCAGAGGATTCAGCAATCGATCTTGACAGCGATGACGAGACGGAGAAGCCAGCGGTTGCCGAAGCCCGGGCTTATCAGGCTTTCGAGTTGATGCAGGAAACTAGCCAAGACAAATGCTTCTTGTGCGCTAGAAAGATCGGTTCCAACGAGGTCAACGATGTAGATGCCGAACGTGAGGAACCCATTATGGGATACCTATCCGGCTGCTTCCATCTTTTCTGTGCCGCATGCAAGCCGACTTGGGACGACCAAGCTGGTAGTAGCGGGTCTGGCAATTGCTCCTTCTGCAATCAATACATCCAATATGCTCTCGTGGAGCTTCGCAAAGACCGAGCTGAAGTTGAGCATGACGGCCATCAACATTCGAGCCGGAAGGCCAAGATCATGAATGCCCACTGCTATGGTGGACCGCACACCAAGACGAAGGCTCTCGTAGAAGACCTCCTGAAGAGCAAGCAACAGAGTGAGGACAACCCGGACGAGCCACCTTTCAAGTCGGTGGTGTTTTCTGCTTGGACATCTCATCTGGATCTGATTGAGATCGCACTTGACAAAGTCGGTATTACACACACCCGCCTCGACGGCAAGATGAGTCGTACAGCACGCACTCATGCCATGGACAAATTTCGGGAGGACAATGCTGTGCATATCATCCTGGTCTCGATAATGGCTGGTGGCCTGGGTCTCAACTTGACTGCTGGCAACAACGTATACGTCATGGAACCGCAATACAACCCAGCAGCAGAGGCCCAGGCGGTTGACCGCGTCCACCGGCTGGGACAGAAGCGACCTGTTCGAACCGTCCGCTACATCATGCAGAACAGTATCGAAGAGAAAATGCTGGCTCTGCAAGACAAAAAGAAACAGCTGGCGAGCCTCAGTATGGACCGTTCTCAGGTCATGGATAAGGCTGAGGCAGCGAAGCAGAAGCTCCAGGACTTGCGCAGTCTGTTCAAGTGAGGTAGCTTACCACGGCTATTCAGACGAACCAACTTTTGCTTGCTACGAATGGGGACGGACGGAAATTACGATTTCAAATACGCGACAACGATACCTGCTGGATGGACGCCAATATGCTGCATTTATGAGGCGTACACGGAAATGAAGTTTTTGAGGAAGTGATTTCGCAAGGAGCCTAGACGGCAGCGAGGTCTCCCGAACACGCAGAACCTAACCTAGATGGTTCCATGAATCTCACGTCACCCTGCATCGGTGTGATACGGCGAACGATCCCGCAACTGGCATCATATACTAAATCAAAATAGCCCAAGATGCTTGAAGACATTACGACTGGGGGGGGAGGGGGTAAAGGGCTTCTGGATTTCATTGTGGCACGGCATCCCCAAAAGTGGACAGGGGCCATATCACAACCCATGGCGAGTGTGTTTTGACTGAGGAATTCAGGCGTTCAGGAAGGGGTGGGAATGGATATGATCCTGTATGGTCAGTCAGCCGCGTCGGCTCCTAAGGAACGGGAAGGAGAGGGCTGACCCTGGCTAACTCGTTTGATATTTCACAATCGGATACCACCTGCGGTCGCCCGCGGAATGCATTTTTATTCTTGCTCCATAGACAGACAGAGATTATACATGCCTACATAGTCAATCCACACTAGAGATTTTGATTGATCATGCCCCGTTTGACCGTGAATATGCATGCAATCTTAGCATCTGTGACCGGATCGAGACGCTTGATTCCCTGATGGGCAACCAGCGTAGTCGGGACTCTACTTGCAAACTAATGAAATCCCAGTCTGGACTCCGCATGTTTCTGTGAACCTGCGGGATCGTGTCCAAGGCCTCAATTGCAAAAACGCCCGTTGGATCCCTGGATAACGAAATTCGTGACCTTGACTCCAGTCTAACATTCCAGCGAGTGTTAAACGCGAAGTAGGGGCTACGGTACGAGACGTCGCGCCTGCCAGTGCCAACAGCATAGACGATGAAATGTTTTATCAGAAAACCTGCTCTTGGCTTGGGCCAACCCAAGTAATTCTACCTCGTCATATATCGCTGTTGGACGACGTGAAAAGTGCTGTTACTGTGCATAGCATACGCAAGGACCTGCCCACCGTCCCTAATGCAAGAACCAGTACACCTAACCTAGCGAGTCCAAATCCCACGGAATGACCATGTTTACCCCAAGACATAAGCAGGGTCTATGCAAATTGGGCCATTGCATTCGAATAGCTCTATGCCCACCTCCAGCATCTGAAGCGGTACTTTGGCTACACCCTGAACCCTGACATCTACAGATTGCGTGGGCGAAGTGGACGGCGACGACAGACATTCCTTCCTCATCCGACACCAGACCCAAAGACAGCCCACCTACTCCGTTGCTGGATCCCACGTCATAGTTCTGGGGATATATTCTGTTGGGCTGGCATGTGACACCGACAACACGAAGCCAAGGCTTCGTTCGGCCCCGAGAAACACCAGGAAATGTTGGTAAAACACGTTGGGCACAATATAATCAGCGTACAACAAAACAATATGTTGAGTTTCATCACTCGGGCCTAGTTACCTCATACAGACGGGTTCGAAGATGTGCCAAACTAACAACACTTTTGGCATGTGACGGATGACGCCGACCACAATGCACCACTGCCGAAACAAACCCGTCGACAAATTCGACAACATAATTCCATGCTGAGCGCTTGCCTACCAGCATTCAAGACCATACCATAGACAACGAATACTTCTCGCAGTTAGGCAAAATTATGACCACACCAGAAGCCAAATATATAATTAGGAATAAAATTTATATCATTGTTCTCGGGGACACATACGCCCTGAATCTCGCTTTGCTCGTTTTGAACAAGTGGTTGTTTGTTAATACTGCGGTGCCAAATTTTCCACCCTGACTAATGACCATTGTCAAAACCCGAACGCCAAATCAATGCAACTGACTAGCTGCTCCTGGTTCGCTCATACGACATTGCTTGCCGCATAGCTTCAATATGTACAACCTATTCATCGTTTGTCTCGTGACCACACTCCCATGTCGGCGCTAGTGGCGCGCCTAAGTGCAACTCTAATCAAACGCCGTGTGCTTAATTTGTTTTCATCTCATTGTTGGCTCTCCCTCGTAACTGTTTACTATGCTGCATCGGCGCTGGCGATAGGCTGAACAACTTTCGTCACCTGATCTCCTGCGCGGATAATGCGCTGTCCAACTGAGTCGTTGACAACAATGGCGTCCTTGTTCTCGGATTGGGCTCGCTTCCAGACCTCCACCTCGCAGCCACCACGAAGAACACCAACACGCATGGTAGACAGCAAGTTGTGGGCGGCGTTGGAGTGTAGGTAGACACCACCGTTGAAGATTGCCGTAGCGTCCTTGCCGATGGCTGATCCGATAAGGGCCTTGCCACCAGGGTGGTCCTTGATGAAGTCGGTAACGTCGTGGATGACGCCGGCAATAGCGACAAGCCCCTTACCATTCTTGGCCTCGGCAACGAAGTCGTCCCAGTGGATGACGGGTAGTTGTTCCAGAGGGGTACCCCAGTCCAGAGTTGCGCGCTTCTGGTCGAGCTTCTTCTGCAACTGCTGGACACGGCCCTTCTCGATCTCATTTTGGCGGAACTCCTTCAAGTCGTAGGCCAGGCCAAGCTGCTTCCACAGCCAAATGGACCACTTGGTAGGGTCGTATTGCCACCACTGGATAGCATTGCGGTAGTCGGACGGGAACTCGTGGTGGAAGTTATGGTAGCCCTCGCCGAGAGTGACCAAGGCGGTGATGACGTGGTCACGGGGCGAGTTACGGTCATCGAACGGCTGATCACCGAGCCAGTGGGCAAGCGAGTTGACACAGAAGGTAGCTTGCTGGACAACGAAGATGCGGATAATGCCGCCGTAGATGAAACCGCCTTGCCAGTCGCCCCAGCCGAGGCCGCAGAAAAGCATGGGGAAGATGACGCCCATGAAGAGAACCGACTTGATGTAATGCTTGTGCTGCCAAACGACAATGGGGTCCTCGTTGAGATCGCTGATGTCAGTTCGGCCGATGCGCTTGGGGTTCTGCTTCATGACCATCCAGCCGATATGCGAGTAGAGCAGGCCCTTGCGGACCGAGTATGGGTCCTTCTCGGTGTCGGTGTAGCGGTGGTGAGCACGGTGGCCCCTCGACCACCATCTGATGGAGCCCTCGACCGCACCGGCACCGACGGCAGCCAGGTAGATCCTGAGCGGGGCGGTGGCCTTGTATGAAGTATGGGACCAAAGTCGGTGATACCCTGTTATCGAGTTAACTAAGTGGTCCGGCAGAAAAACGGGAAGCTCAACATACCAGCTGTGATGCCGAGACCGGTTTGGAAGTAGTAGAGAAAGGCGAAGATGGCCGTGTAGGCGTGAAGAGGCGTCCAGTATGCAGCGATAAATCCCATCAGGGGTACGCCGATGATGAAGTAAGTGTTGAGCCAGTCGACGTGCTTATACCAGTTCCCCCAGGTGATGGGGAACTCGGTGATGTGTGGCTTCTTCAGGTCGTACATCTTCTTCCTGAGAGGCTGGTAGTCCTTGGTGCCGTCGAGGAGCGGCGCAGCACCGTTGGCCTCTGCCATTTTGGACTCAGACGCTATGGTTGTGGTCGATGGGGTAGATATCTGTTGTTCGACCCCTCGAGATACGAACGAATTGACAAATTCTGGGTGAGGCTGTAATAAGGAAAGGGAAGAGTAGATGGTTTGGGGTGCAGGAATATTTATCTGTCCAACGGGTGGATTCAGGGAAAGGATTGGCTTTGGGTTTGGCGGGGAGTGACGGCCGGAAGGGGCGAATTACAGTTGCAAAACGTGGAGATTTTCAGGGTAGGGGCATTGACAGAGCATCCAGACCCAGATTTACTGGGGTTGGATGTCAAATTGTTCGATGCTGATTGTGAGCTTTGTTTCTTGCAGTCCCCGGTCCGACATGGTTTGACTATGTTGGGGCATTTTGTTGGGAACTTGCACAGGTGCAAGCCGCACAGGTGGGTGGGGTCCTCTGCATTCCAGGGTCCTTCCCACCTGGGAATTTGCTCGTTGCGTGCAAGATGATTGATTGGTGGACCTGTAAGGCAGTCCGTCTCTGGGGCAATCTGATACATTGCTACTGTCTCGTCGTAGGGTTCCAGCGTAGAATAATTCATTCTTCCACTGGAAGTTTCGTGGAAGAGAGTTCTGTAAGGTTACGCCAAATTCTGTAACTTTAGAACGAAAAACAAGTCAAGTGCGACTGTGAAGTGTATCCTGCCCTCTCGACGTGCGTGTCGTACTTTGTACCTCACCCCTGCTCGAACGTGAAGCTCGCATGGAACCTGCTATTAATTCGACGACTGAGATTCCGTCTGTACCTTAGGAGTTGATAGAGCTTTCAATCCGGTAGGTGCAAACGGTCATCGAGCCAAGCCATATTGTCGTTCCATCGTCCGATCATCCCATCGTCCCATCTACAAGTCGTTGGCGACATGCAGGCTAGCGCATTATTGGGTTATGATGACATCCTGACACCCGCCCGACACCCGCCCTAATCTGATTTCAAGATGTGTTGAGCTACCTGATCTGGCAGCCTCGGCAAGTTCTGGTTGTTCGACTTGTGAATGTATGTCTCCAATTGACATTTGCGTTTTCTTCTGTGACGCGGTTGGCGCAGGACATTGAACAAGTCAGAGCTTGCCAACCGGACGAAGTGATGAAAAAGAGGCCCATTTGCCACCCGACTCAACGATTCTAGCAACTTTGCACCGAAACTCCGATTCAGCCCGAGCTGTCCGGAACGGGAATGAGTGCACGTCCCACTTGATCTGATCTGGAGCCCCTGCTTCCCTCTTTTCTAGAAGCCTTGGCGGACGTCAGATCTTTTCGCTATAGGACTAGCAAAACGTCACTCCAATCAAGCATTCCAAATGTCGACCGATTCTGCCCTATTCTGACAAATTCGTGCAACCGGAGACGACACCGCACGTTTTGGATTTGTGCAAATAATCGATTGATGATATTCTGTTTCAGGGTGATGTGTATTGTTATGACAAGTTCTCCAGGATCAGTTATGTACGTCAGATAGTCCAGCTCATTGAACAGCCGGGTTCGACATTCGATACCATATCTATCGATTCGACCACGGGTATAATGTTGCACATGCTCTTATGACTCAACTGGGCAATCACCCCAACACTTTTAGAACGGTCGGCAACTTCTGCTGTCTTATGAAGCTTCCTTGACAAGGGAGCTGATTAGGTCTGAGTTTCCCGCCTTTCAGGGCCGAACCGCCAAGCCGTCCGTCACTTGAGAGGGCGTGCATTTATGATATGACCACTCGCGAGGTAGTACTTACCAACTGTGGATAGTACACGGAGCGTTGCCTCCTCTTTACTGCAACCTGTGAGTGAATTTAGACAATCGTAATGACTTGGTACTTTGACTGCGGTCGATTGCTATTCAACTTGTTGAATCTCATGTGGGCACCATCACCGCATCACATGTGCTGATTGACTCTACACTATCGGTCGTTTGGCGCAGATCGCTTCTGCGAACAACATGTCGGGAATCCCATCAAAATAGGTGAATCAACGAAAATCCTCTCATTGCATTGAATTGGCAGTGATGATTACTTGATTTCTTGATTCCTGCGTCACTGCATTCTTGTGGGAGGGGTGGGCGCTGAATCCCTATTATATCCGATCAATTCGGACTTATCCGCCAGGTTGTGGGGCTCCTAGCACTTAACGGACTGGCTTGCGATTTGACTTGGGGGAATATGCGCTTGAGAGGGAGACATCCAATCCACCTCATCGCGAAGCCGTCCGGTGGTATAATAGTTACGGGTTTTATTCGCATCGTTGGAAACGCAGATGCTTCCAAGTTGGTTGGGACGAATGGTCGTATGTCAACTCCAAACCACCGGAAATTGCGGCAACACAGACCGCTACGACATATGGGTTCGAGGGCTCGGCTCAGTAAAAAGTCACCAGCGAGCTATTCAGAAGGACCTCCTTGCGGTACAGCGTGGCAACTCTGAGATCCACATGTTCGACGGATCATAGTCGCAAACGCGGCTTGAAGGATGCAGGCGGCTGGCTAGTGACTGACTGGCGTAGCCCCGCTGACAGCGTGCATTCCGCTGTAGTTCGAATGGTTCTTGGTGAGTAGTTGACCTTGTTGCCTACCGCTATATGGGTACTGCACACGCGATTTCAGAGCCACATCACCATTGTGGAATGAGTGTCTGACGGGACGTCAAGGGGTCCGCTTCACCCGCGTGTCATTTATCCTGACTGCGCAGGTGTCACTCCAAAGTTCAAAAGTATCACCACGGTCATAGGAGCAGCTTCGACATCGTACCAATCGAAAAGAACTCTTACACGTGGCAATGAACCAACCAATGCTCTTGAATATGAATGAGTTACTCAACAATCAACGCTTGTCTAGCTTGGGTCTCAACGACATCGCAACATGGAAAATTCGGTTGGGGCTAAACAAGGATCGGGCATATCCCATGTGATTCGTGCAAGCCATGTAAAGCCACCATGGTGAGTGTGTGAAGCCAACCAACAGAGTGATACCATGAGCCTTTCTCCCCCTACTGGCCCTACTGGCTAGGTGTTTCTCGTTCCGCTCATCAAGTCCCGACGACGAGGAATGATGGCAACGTTTTCAGTAATATGAGTCAGGATGCTGCCTGGCACATTGGGGAGTTCAGGAAACACAGCTATCTGGAAGAGCTTGGAGTCCCTATAATAGTGCATAGTGATCGCACTTTACGTCTCAGGAGTAGCGAACTGCATAGAAACCAGAGGCCCCCGTCCTCCTTCCCTGCCTCCCCCCAGAAATCCCAAGCAATAACTTACACTCGCCGCTCGACGTTGCCGTCTGGCAGTGGGAAGCCAAGAATATCGCCCTTACCATGTCCGTTTCATCGCCCCGACGCCTAATCCAACGATTCGCATTCGCTACCTGCCCTCCTCAGATACCTCACGGTGTTTTCATGTTCAAGTTTGAACTAGTTAGGATCCTACACAAGCCATTAATTCCTTACACACCACATACAGTCACCTTCGGCATCATTACAACAAATCCTCTCTCATGTGAGTCCAGTATTCATCAAATTGATCTTCAAACCCATCATTATCATGACTTCAACCTATAGCATTATAGCGTTCTACACCCGAAAATGCCGCTACTCCTTCCTCACCCTTTTCCAGTTGAGGGTAGCTAGTAGTAAATCTTACAATGGTACACAAAATATATGCCCCAGATCATAAATGCACACTTTCAGCAGAGGAAAAAAAATATAAGAGAGAAATACCTGCCCACCCATTCCGCCGGTTGTTATCCAATGAACCCCATGCGTGAGATACTCTGCGCCGCCTTGCCTATGAGTATGCTTTCCCCCAACATTGCTGCTTATGTGTGACCCCACTTGGTTGACTTTTCGTATTGTCTGTACGTGGGTTTCCAACAATCTTTTCATGCTTGCGATGCAACGTTCTGTGATGCCGTTGCTACTGGTGTGAAACCCAAATCTTCGTCTGAGAAAATGGGCTGTCGAACTTCCTCCTGCGTTTCGTATGCTGAACCGATGCCTGTCAGCTCGATCTTCGGTATCTCGCGGGACGGACTGTCCCGCTCCCCAATCTTGGATGCTGATGGGGCTTCTGTTGCGGTGGTTCGCATGTATGTATTCTCCGTCTTGTGGTGTATATAGTTTGGCCCAGATTCTGTGTCGGTATCCCCTGGTGGATGATCAGCGGATTCCGTGGTGCCCGTATTCTCGACGCGAACACCCCCCTTGTCCAGTTCAACTTCGCCTCCCGTGAGCCCCACACCATTATTGACAGAAGCTTCCTCAGGGCTCAACTGCGCAGCATCTGAGCCTTGCGGCTCTGGGAGATTTCCCGTACGTGTCGCTTCAGCGGCAAACCCTTTCTCAGGTTCCAACTGAGCAGCATCTGGGCCTTGCGGTCCCGGAATTCTTCCCGTAGGTGTTGCATGGTCACCCATCAAGGATTCATCGAACCCGACAGGGGTTTTTGAAGTCTCCTCGACTTCTTCAACCACGACCTGAGGAGCTCGCATTGGTTCGGGAATTGCCACATGTGTCGCAATATTGCATTCTCCCGGCGTCTCGTCCGGTTGATGCAACGGGTCGGTGGAGGTCTCCATCATGACGCCTTTGGCCTTGTCCACCGACACATCCGCTATCGCCAGAGTAGCGGCGTCTTTGGGCATCTCAGCTCGCAGTTCATTTGGCTGCGTGTCGGTGACAGAGGAGGGCTCCGCATGGTTCTCAGGCCACATGGCGTTTTGCCCCATGCAAGGTGAATTGCCGTGGTTGCTGGGCAAGGGGCTGGGTGGCGATCGTCCGCGAGGGGGATAATAATAGGAATCATCGGAGAACCCCGGCGATGTGACACCCGAGTAGCCCCAGTTGTTTTGAGGAGTGACCGTCCTGATCTGTGGGCGTCCGTCACGCTCATACCCGTCTACCAGGTATTCATGTAACGAATAACCATCGTCTACGGAAATGGCAGGCGCATCTCGCCGTTCATAGTGGTCGTAGGCAGGTTCTGGGAACATGGCAAGAAGCGCCGTCGCCTGCAAACGAACCCGGGGGTTCTCGTGGAGACAGTTCTCCACCATCCTCCGGTACCAGACTGGCACATCGATTTCGCGGTCGAGACGAAGGGGCCTGCGATGCGCTTCGGGCTCATCCTCGAGCGTCGCAAGTGCCCAAAGCACCATCCCGAGCTGGTAAAGATCCGACTTCACCCCGATATACATTGAGATTCTTTGGTTGCTGTCGAGTAGTGGAGTTGCCTCCGGAGGTTCCCAACCGACTGGGCAGCCTCGTCTGTTAATGTCTATAATCTTTGCATTGCCTCGATCGTCAATAACAATGTTGGACAGGGTAAAGTCGCCCTGCACGAAGCCGGCTTCATGAATATCTGAGAGCCCCTCGACAATCTGGCGCGCCCATTTCTCTCGGGTGGCCCAACTGAGATCGAGACCATTTTCTTGGGAATCATAGATGACATCGATGAGCGCACCTTTGTCCGCATAGTCAATTAGAAGACCTCTGACGTTCTCCTCATTATCAACGACAACACCGTAGAACTCGATGACATGTTGCGAAAAAGCCAGCGAGTTCAGGGCATTCACCTCGTAAAGGAACTCGTCAACGGTGTCTGGTCCCGGAATTTCTTTTTTGATGAGTGTCTTGCCGTCAACCCGGACCTTGTAGACAAAGCCCGACATGTGCGAGACAAATTCTAAATCCCGGTCTCTCACTCGCCGGCATTTCAAATGCTGAACCACACGAGCGGGAGGGTAGTGAATGATTTCCTATACAATCAAGTGTCGTCAGTACGAACGCCAGGTTGAGGCATGTTTTTGTGACGCACATTGTTATCCTCCACTACATGAACATGCAGTCTCCCGTCCGTGGTTTGCAACTTGAGATTGGTGACCGTCTCATAGAATTGTATGTCTTGGAGACTTTCACGGATGGCTTCGTATATCTTTGCGCTCTTCTCCCGTTGCAACTTGGTTGCAAACAAATCCTTCTCCAGAGAATCATCGGGGGCGTCTCTGTAATCGAGAGAGATGGTAACCCGTCTCCACCTGAATTCCTCCTCGCGATACGTGACGAAGAACTTTTCCCGTTTGGATTTGTCACGAAAGTGCATGGAGAGGTTGAGAATCCACTTTTTTTCCAGGTCGTCGTGGATCATGGTTTCGTACTGCGAGGTGGTGACGGATTGCGCATCAGCTGTCGACGATGCCTGGGAGATAACCCTGGACAGGCGAGGCCCTTCTTCTGTAGTCGGAGCTACGGCGACAGTTGTGGTATCCGAGAGGCTAACGAAGTGCTTCTCATCGATTGGACTCGATGGCACCGAGGGAGCCTGACTAGGCGTGGCCGTCGAGTATGCATCGTCAAGGAAGTCGGGCGCACTTGCGCGAGGGTGCCGCTGTTGGCTTTGGCGGGAGGCATCGCGGTTATGAAGTGTGCGCCTATCCACAGATACTGCTCGTCGCTCGGCCGGGGTTGGCAGCGTTGGCTCGAGTTTCTCCCTGTTCTCCGACTGCTGCCTCTTGAATGTCTTGGCGCGGGGCAGACCAGGCACGACCTTCCTCGAGACGCGGCGTATCAGGCCTGGGCCGGGCGGCGTTTCTGGCCTCGGCTGTTGTACATTCTGAGACGGACCTGGCGGGCCTGGCGGTGCCGCATGTGTACCGTTCTTGGCTGACCATCGCTTGAACATCTTGTGAAACATGCTATGACCTGCGGGTCGTGGTGGATCGGGCGACGGTGTGTCTACCTGCGCTGCCGTATCGGCCGGTACTTGACAGAAGGCAAGAAGCTCGTTGGGGGATCATAAGACGTGTCTCGATGATATGGCCCGCTCTGCAGAAAGGTGAAGTGGAACCCCACGGATGGAACGGTATACAAAGTGCGGAGATGGCCGCTGTTAAGGCTGGTCTAGCAGGGACGACGGCTGATAATTGCAGAGGTTGACGTCGTGGGCGGGCGAGACTCAGCCGTGACAACGTCGCTCCTGCGTCCAGTGCTACCGATGAGTCGGCTCGAGAGTCGAGATGCCAGCCGGGGCGAGAGACGATTGGGGCGGAGGCGTAGAGGTAGAAGCAAGATCAAGGCTCGTTGAGCGCAAAGTCCATGCAGCCAGCCGATACTCTATGCAAACTTGGACATCAGACTGATGGAGTCGTTGGGTACTCATGGCACGACTCAATCCGCGAGATAACAGTCCAATTGGGAGTGAAATGAGGCGTCAGAGGTGTTATTGGTAATTGGCGACTGTAGCTTCCGTCAAGGTGCCGCCGATGCTGGGGTTTGCTGCTGAGTTGTCATTTGGGCGCAATTCTCTGGGCATCCCCTTTTAAGGGTCAGAGGCCTCGTAGGTCGCAGCAGATTGGGCCTACCCTTGGTGTCGACGTGCAGGTGCAGCTCTAAGAGGTGAGCTCTAAGAGGTGCAGGAGGGGACGACGTGGAGTTGCCAGTCAGAAGCACTTTCGATATGATGCATGCGGTGAACGCAAGCAGGCACAAGCCTCTTCCCTAATCCGTTTTTCTCTTAGCCGGGCGGGCAACACTAGGACAAGGGTGGTGGAGGTTTTTTTTGGCTGGGGTTTGCGACATGGGTTTGACAGGGATCGATCATGTACATTTGTCTAGCCTTGTTTAAGCCCGATGTCCCAGATCGAAATGCCTTAACAAAATACCAAAATACCTGTACGAAGTACTAAAACGTCCATGCTCAACCAGTGGAGGGGCATTTTGCGGGGGCGTTCGTCCATGCCATTGGAACCCCAAGGCTGCTGAGTATACCTGTTGCTGCTCCTGTCAAACGTGCTTGTTGGCGGGTTGAACACGTACGAGCAATTCGGGCTCATGATTGATCATGTCGTTGATGAGTTGTACAAAAAAGCATGTCCAGGGATGCAGTCTTGCCGGGGATGGCTGGGCTAGTTGGAGAAGGGCCTCGAGTACCTCCAAATAGTGTGTTGAGGGTCGGTTGCGGTGCACATTCTCATGCGATTTTATTCCCTCTTTTTCAGCTAATCATAATAACGATACTGTATTTAGCGGGTCAATTTCTACATGCATGTATAAACTACAGACATTTCGTGTGGAATCATTCTGAATGTCATCTTCGGCGAGGCATGAGTGCATGCAGGCAAGTACTTCAGTCAACAAACGTATGAGCTCAGGTACAACGCTGGCGCTGGACCAAAATGCTAGTTGTAGATCCGCCAGCGAGAACTGACTGCGGCAAGCTTTGTCAAAAACAACGAGAAAATATATATTGCCGATAAAATCCTTGTTTTACACAGCTATGGGAAAATGTTCGCCAACATAGAGGGTGACCGACCAGCCTTCGCGTTGCTAAGTTAACATGAAAGCCGGCTTCATGGAGGGCGGCAAAAGCTATGCTGTAAAACGATACTCTCATCAGCCTAGAACCTCTGGGAGCCTCTAGATTTGTTGCTGGACCTGTGCAACGATGCTAGGTGCTGACATGGGGTGCGTTTCTTCCACACATATCACGTTGCGCAGGTGATTCTCTTCTGGCCAGAGGCGCACTGCATTTCATCTAGCTCGTGTCGCCTCCGTTCACAGGGCATGTTGCGCAAATCCACTCTATACGGAACAAAACGACAACTTGGTGCTCCCGCTCCTGACAAGGAACGTCAAGCCATTTTCCAGTTGACCGCATTTTCCCAAGACGGATGAAGTGGGCATTAAGGAGTTGTGGTTCTATACTACCAGATCCCTGCCAAGCCGCGATTGGTTCACCGACTACACCGACGCCTGGTTCCTGTCTCAATATCCCAGTCGTCCCATCTCGGAGGATTTCCGAACCACTGAACTTGGGCGTCTCTCATTCACTCAGTTCCCAAGGACTATGGATCGCCCGTTTCTATATTTGACAGATCCGTTCAGGGATACGTTAGGGCCGCGCAAGTCCGAAGTGGATACTGCGGGATTGCGGGCCCTGCTCAGACCGCCATCCGGTCCCAGATAAAGAATCGCAAATAAAGAATCGCAAGGACAATGGATTTCGTACTATGGAGCCGTCAGTGAAGATAGAATGACTTCGAAAGTTCGAAAGCGCGAACTACCCTATCTCGAATCACCGACCCGGGTCCCTGAGGTCAGCTGGCTACCCCAACGCGCAGGGCGTTACTTCATACAGTATCGGCGTTGTACAGCAGCAGCGAGATGACGTACGGGAGATGGACTAGACTGCCTACAGCTACGACGAACAATATGTCGTAAAAAGATGAACGGGTGTTCACGCATGGCCATGCTTCAGGTGACCTGCCATCTCAACACATGGGTAAAGCATGGAGGTAGTTTTTCCCAGGCGGATACTTGGAAATGTCGTCAGAGCCGTAACCTTGTTGGGTTGAGTGACAGTCACAGGACCCGCGGTAAGGCATCTATCTATATTCCAATCACCAGTTTTGTTAATCTCCAATGATACTCGATCGCGCCCGCCACCAAGCTTAATATAATAACATGACATATTGCATCTTAATAAGCCCCGCCAGCCACCATCAACAACGCACCTATCCATCAACCCTGGCGCCGCTTTGGGGTCTGGCTCTTTTGGGCAGCCATACATTGTGACGGCCTGGAAAAGCAAGGCTGCTGCAAAAATACTGGACGGCGGTGCGTGCCCGATATTGAAGCCATATGCACACGTCTTTATATGGTCTTCATTTGTTCAGTTCTTTGGAGCAGCCGAACCGCCTCCGATATAGGCATTCAAATCATCACCATTTACCGGATGCGTCGAATATGCCATCCCCGTCAACCTTTAGCCGCATCTGTACGCTCGTACATACCCCATTTTCTTGCGTAATCCATGATCTTCACTGTTCGCTGCGCAAACGTCTATACAGGTTACATGCTTACTCTTTATTAGTTGGTCTCCATCCAGCATACCGTACATCCGACCCTGCCCATCCACACCATCAGATGACTTTAGTTTAGTGCATCAATTACAGGCTCCATCCATGACTCATAAGACGGGAAGCAGCCGTTAATTGCGCTTGCCCAGGTCAGGTCCCGCGGGTGTGGTGAGATTCTCGACAAGGGGAATCGTTGTCAGGTCCATGTCCGATTTCCCCACTGGGACATACATCCATAAGGTACGGTAGCTAACTGCAAACACGTTTTCCCAATGAATATATATTAATGTCCTATCCGGTGCTTATTCATCAATACTACTAATCGCTCAAATCGTCTGCCGGAGAGAATATATAGATGGAATGGAATGGGATGGGATGAGATGAGATGACATGGCATACCAATAAATTGACGAGGGCGACGACGCGGACGAGTCACCCCTAGCCCAACTGAACCACCCACAATTCGGCTCGCCCAGCTTGGTCGTTGGGCTTTTGGGCATCGAAATTCCCACTACCGCTCTCAATTGGGGGAAATGAACAGTCTTGGGGGCATCAGCATGCGGTGAGCTTTCACACTAATCACGGATGAGATTTTCTTGGGGTTGCAGTAATTGGAAGTTACCTTTTCACTTACCATTAGGCAGGAGCTCCCAATAAACGTGGGGCGGAGCAAACTGCGACTGGGTGATAGAGCAGCAGCTTGCAGGCGGGCTGCATCGGACGACCGAACAAACACTGACCGCCAATGACCTAATGCCCAGTAAGTCTTGAGGTATCCTTGCGTGGCTCATACCAATACCACGATCTTTCGGTGGGAAGGGAGAGGCAGGTTGAGAAAAGCCTCCAGCCATTATGGATTCGCGATGTTATGTACCTAGGCAGTGCTGTTTTGACATGTCGCGAATATTATGTATCAGTTCAATATACAACGCTCGCCGCGCAATTTCTATCATCTGATCGAACAAATGCGCGCAAACGACCTAGAGTAGGCATGCCTGCCGCCGGCATGGACGAGCCTTTTTATCATCTTTATCATCTCTTCTTCCTTCGCCTATAGTTACACAATACAAATGTCTGCCTCGACCCGCTGTGTGGCTCGGCAATAGATAGAATTACAAAGCATTTTATGTCTGATGTGATGATAAGGGAGTAGAGAGGGTTTGGGTTGGGTTCGGATGGGTTGCTTCCATTTCTCGAAAAGAAACCCTATCGTCGAGTCGTTTGTCCTGCCCGCCTGCTCCGTAGAATACGCCTGTTGGTTGAATGGTCCAACCCCGCGAAAATGCTTTCCTCTGAGAATTCCATGTATGATGATGCAAGCCAGTCGCCAATGATGGATGCGGGTACAGTGGGAGTGTGCTTTTCGTCGCCGTGAGCTCCTATTCGTCTTTGCTACTGCTACTCTCCGCCTTGTCGGGATGCTCCTTCTTCCACTCGCAAACCTTGCACGTATTCGCCAATTCCCTATCCACATGGGGGAAGACCAGGTCGAAGATGTCCTTATACCAACTGGCCGGTCGGCCCTCGAGGCCCTCCTTGATGTTCTGTAATCAACAGCGTTAGCATGACAGTTGAGCAATTTAATGGATGGTTGTCAGCAGAACCTACCTCGGGTAGTTCCAGCCAGTCGGAGATGTTGTCCTCCGGGAAAATGATTAGCTTACAACCCGCCCTCCGCGCTGCCACTGCCTTCTCTCTCAGACCACCGATGCGAAGAACCTTGCCCGTCAGGGTAAGCTCGCCCGTCATCGCTACAGTTGGATCAATGGGAGTGTCCAATGCTAGTGAAAGCAAAGATGTCGCCATTGTCGTTCCAGCCGACGGACCATCCTTTTGCACCGCTCCCTCGGGGACATGCAAGTGAATCTTCGCCTTATCGAAGAAGTGGTTTTCGCTGAACTCTTTGGCCATGAATGCCTTGGCAAACGAATAGGCGATGGTCGATGACTCCTTCATGACCGACTTGAGATTTCCCGTGATCTCCAGCCCTGCACGACTGCTGGGTCTCAAGACAGATTGGAGGATGGATTCAATGTACATGGCAGAGCCACCCATTTGAGTCCATGCGAGACCCATGACCACTCCAGGTGGCGTCACGTCGTAGAGACGGTCGGAAGTGAAGATCGGGGGCCCAACATAGTCCTTGAGGTTTTCCTTGTCGATCGTGACGTGAACAGAATCGGGCACTATCAGGGCAATGCGAGGCGTCTCCGTGGTCTCTTGCTCTGTTGCCTCGGACGAAATTGGATCCTTTTTGTCCTTCTCTTTCTCCGACTCCTCCATGGCTGCCTTGCCCTCATCCGTCAGTGCCTCGGACTCTGGCAGGACATCTTCCCCAAGATCCTGGACGATCTTCAACGCCGACTTTCGGTAGACCTTTTCAATTTGCTTCTTCAGGTTACGAACGCCGGATTCGCGACAATAAGACTTGATCAATTCATCGATCGCCTCATCGGAGAGAGTGACGTCGGCACCCTTGAGTCCTGCCAACTCCTTCGCTGCGGGAGCAAGATAACGGTCGGCAATCGCCTTCTTCTCGTCCGAGACGTAACCAGAGAGTCTGATGACTTCCATGCGGTCAAGAAGAGGTCGGGGAATTGTGTCCGTCATGTTGGCTGTGCAAACAAAGAGGACTTTAGAGAGATCAACTGGCACATCCATGTAGTGGTCCAGGAAGGAGCTATTTTGCTCGGGGTCCAGTAGTTCTAGGAGAGCAGATGACGGATCGCCCTGGTATCCTCGGCCAATCTTGTCAACCTCGTCGATCAGAATCAGTGGGTTTTCGGTCTGACACTTCTTGAGCGCCTGGATGACTCTTCCCGGCAGCGCACCGACGTAGGTCCGCCGGTGACCCTTGATCTCAGCCACATCTGTGAGACCACCAACGCTGAATCTGTAGTACTGACGGTTGAGAGCCCTGGCGATCGACTTTCCAATACTCGTTTTCCCAACTCCTGGCGGTCCGACAAAACACAATATTTTGCCTTCAACCGTGCCCCGTAATTTTCCTACCGCAATGAACTCTAGGATGCGATCTTTGACGTCCTTTAACCCGTAATGGTCCTCATCTAAGACGGTCATCGCATTGTTGATTCCAAAGTTCTCGGCGCTCCTCTGGCCCCAGGGTATTTGCGTAAGCCAGTCAAGGTAGTTCCTTGTGACGTTGAACTCCGATGCAGCCGGTTCGAGGTGGGCAAGCTTGTTAATCTCGTCGTCAAAGACCTTGCGAACGGCCTCGGGCATAGCCAATTTGTCGGCCTTCTCCTTGAACTTCTCCACAAGCTTATCTTTACCGTCAGACTCAATCCCCAATTCCCGACGAATGCCCTTCATCTGCTCCATGAGCCAGTATTCACGCTGTCGCTTGGTGATTTTCTGCTCCACATCCTTAGTGATCTTGGACTGTAGTTGGGCATTCATTAGCTCTTTTTTGAGCACAATCAGAGCTTTCTGCATTCGCTCCTCCACGTTCAGGCTATCCAAGACTTCTTGCAATTCGGCAGGCTCTCCGGCCGAAACTGCAGCTGCGAAGTCGGCCAATTTGGCAGGCTCGGCAGTGACATTGCCTGATGATGCGCTCATGGAAAATGTCGAGATCTGATCCCGGAACAGGCTGTTCATCGAGGCAACCTCTTTAAACACGTTGACAATCTCGTTGGTGACGGCTTTGATGACCATGCTCTTTGAATCGAAAGGCTCGTCGCTCAGGTTCTCGACATTCACCAGACTGACTGGGTATTTCCGAAGGAACGAGGTCGGTTCGTATTTCTCTGATTGTGCCTCTGTTTTCGGGGCCACGGCAGCCTCTTCAAAGCTAGCTACCACGTCACCCTTCTTTTCCCGTTGCGTTTCTTCGTCCGTCTTGATGGGTATGGGCTCGGGCACCGCTTCGGGTTCTGGCTCGGTCTTCTTCACATCTTGGCCGCCCGGGGGCATCAACGTAGACAGCTTAATGCGACGGTGTGGGTACAGGATGGCGGTTAGAGAGTTGGTTTCGCCGTGAACTGGAAATGCGCTCGTGATTTGTGCAAATACACCGGTATCGTAGACATCCTTGGAATCCCGAATGACATCCTCGTCGGCATTTTCGTCTTTGAACAAGAAAGCGCCAACGTATGGCTGGCCCCGCTTGATCATTTCCATAATCGCGGCACACACGTCGGGGTCCCTAATGGTGATTGCCTTGTAGAAGCCTGGGAACAGCGGCCGCTTCGCTATGGGGATCGCCATAACCTGGGGATATACTTCCGGCACACTGGGTTTCTGGAGTGCTTTGTCGACTCCAGCCTTGCGACCTTTCCGTCCTCCGTCACCGGACCCATCACCACTCGACCCGGATGATGCGCCGCCGCCGCCTGCACTGCTAGCTTTCCCATCCGCACCGTCTCCCTGTCCGTCTTTGCCATCCTTATTGCCTGAAGCGGGAGGCTCGGGGCTAGAAGTCTTCGCTTCAGCACTTTCTACCTCGGTTGTTTCCTCGACCTTCTGTTCCAGGTTGGCCTTGGCCTCCTCTTCCGATAGCGGCTCTACTGTTTTCGGGTTGAAGAAGTCATTGTCTTTCTTCTCTTTCTTGTCTTTCCGCTTTGCTGTCGACGTGGAGAAGCTGGCGGTGGATAATGCGCTGGGCCATGGCATCGTCGTCGAGCGCAAGCACGCGACCAGCTGCTCAGGGTGGTGTCGGGGGCCGGCGGACCTATGTATTGAGTAAAGGCGCGTCAGTGACGGTGTATACAAACGATGGGCACATCTTGATGATCCTTTCACAGCAAGTTGCCGCGAAAGGTGTTGCCTGCAGAGCATGATTGCTTCCTCGATTCAAAGACTTGGGCGGTGGAGGGGGTAATTGCCAGGATGGCGCGGGACAGTAATCAGATTAAGAGGGATAGTAGGTGTTTAGATATACAGCAACAACAGGAGATGAGAGAAGAGGTTCTGAATGACGAGTGGTGGCTCTCTCAAAAATTTTGCCCATTACGTCGCCATGGACAATCAATCTATTGTCTTCTATTGTCTTAATAATGCAACAATACTTGGAGCTCGGACTTGAAAAAGAACGACATCATCAACAGTTTTCTGCGCCGGCCCGAGATGGATAGAGGTTACCCTGTAGCCGGCTGAATATCGGGTAGATCAAGTAGCCGGTACTGGAGGAGGTGGGTGGGTTGGTTGATTGGCTGGAACTTGGTCCCCCTATCACCAGCCGCTCTCACTTGAGCTCTCCCAAAGTTGGGACGACAAAGAAACGAGGTTCATCATCTGAAGATTTATCAACTATACTTTAATTATTGTATTGAATACCTAAGTTAGGCGAACGCCAAATGGAGTCAATTGATCCCGCGACTGGACAGGCCTTGCCCGCTGACGCCATTCAGCGAGTTCTCTTCGTCGCCCGCTCAGTCCATGTCTACAACATCCCTCCCATGGTGCCCGGCAAGGGCCATGTGGCAGCCTCCTGGACAGCAGACGGCAACAAACGTCAGATCTTCACTGCGCGGCTGCGGGTGATTGAGACGGCGATCCCCACGCCCAGTGGTGACGAAAAGATGAAGACTGACCTCGTGCTAGAGGACTCAAGTAGCGGCCAGCTGTACGCGGCAGCGCCTTACACCGTCGAGGCCGTCGTCGAGCAAGTCTCGGACAGCTCACGCTTCTTCGCCGTGAGAGTGCAGGATCCAGAGGGGAGGAAGGCGTCGCTAGGCGTGGGCTTCGAGGAGCGGAGCGAGGCCTTTGATTTCAGCGTTGCGCTGCAGGAGGCGCGCAAGACGCTCGGCTGGGATCAGGGCGGTGGACAGCCTGGCAAGAAGCCCGCTGTGAAGAAGAAGGATAGCGCAGAGAAGCGGGATTATAGCTTGAAGGAGGGTGAGACTATCACGGTGAGCTTGCCTGGACGGTCTGCGGGGCGGAGGAGACCTACGGCAGATGCACCCGCCAATACGCCCTTATCCGCCTTCTCCTTGCCTCCGCCCCCCTCTGCTTCATCGTCAAGAGGATCGGATTTTCTACCTCCACCGCCCGCACCGGGTCCATCTTCAAAAGGCTCAGGAAGTCTGCCACCATCATCTGCCCCACCTAGTACGCAGAACACGAGGGTTCAGCATTCTTCAAATACGCAAGGACCCGGCCAGCCTTCGGCAGAGGAACTGGGATTTGACGATGGCAAGTTTGGAGAATTCGCTTGATGGGATTGAGCTACTGTATGTCGAGTAACACCAGTATCTGATAGACGTTATAAAAAGCGGGCGATGATTCCACTCATCCCTACGATTCCCAATTGCAAACCCTCTCTCCCGTGGCGATTTGCCTCTCAGCCGCCCCGTTCATCACCAGCATAACCCAAACACTCGTGACCTCCACCCTCCCGGTCTCCTGGGTCGCTCCATGTGTACTGCACTGAAGGCATGCTTCTCCGTCTCCCTGCCACCGTGGGCTCCTCCGCCTTGTCGTCCGTGAACGTAGACGTGTCAACCTGATCCGAATATCCACCTCCTCTCAAATCAGCCTCATAATCTTCACCTTGCTCAGCAACCTCGGGTTGTCCAGTCGACTCACCCCCTGAAAATGTTGGGAAAGTCTCCATCCCCTGTAGTCCTCCACCTCCTGCATAGCCCATCTCGCCAAACCCACCCGGACCAAGCCAACCTTCACGGTCGTTCTGCACAGGCCAATTTCGCGCATCACCACCCATTACCGGCGGAATTCTCGACGGCATCTCATCATCGTCTATCTCGGACTGTTCCAAGCCCACCTCCGATAGGCCCCGAACCTCTTGTCTTGGCTCCAGCACCTCCCGCTGCCCCCACGGCGACAACCCCATCATCGCCCTCTCCCACCGATCCCGACACTGGATTTCAACACACACTTCGCCCAGCTTCGCCAAAATCTCCCGCTCCCGGTCTACACTCTCAGCGATCCTCTGCCGCAGCCCCTGACGCTGGAGCTGCTCGTGCCCCTTTTCGACCTTTTGCGCGTCCAGCCGAGGTAGTTGCCGGAACAACTCCGTTGAGCATCGGTCTGCTTCTTGCAGCTGGTTGATGAGGAATTGTCGCTCGGCGTGGTGGCCGATGAAGGAGCGGGGGTGGAAAGCTAGCTCAAGGGCGGGTCGGAGGGAGCTGAGGTCGGTGTTGATGGGTCTGAAGTGTGTAAAGAGGGGAGGTCTTGTGGGATGGCCGTAAGTGCGGTTGTGGTTGTGGAGGTTGGAGGCGCGGAAGTCTGGGAATGGTGGGGCTGGGGGGTATGGATAGGTTGGTGATATTTCCGGATTGCTGAAGTTGTCCATGTTGTACGTGAGTTGGATGAACAAGGAGTCTGTCTTTTGGCTTGTTGGCGCGGAGGCCCAGCGCCTCATTGTAAGGTTGGTTATATACATCTGCATAATGTTATGTCTGAGTGAAATATTTCCCCTTCTTACATGCAGCAGAGATGGCATAACAAAGATCGGAACAGGGTTGATATGCAGGAGTACATAGAACAATTCGTTAATGACGAGACACTGTCTCTACCAACAGACTACTAACAAAGCTGAGTATCAGTTTATGCAAATGCACTTAGAACTGTGACCCTTCGACTCTAATATCATTGGCCGCATCCCTGAAATGCAGGCAATGCTTTGTGGATGTGGCATTGAGACACTGGTAGCACTAGATATGCTTCTAGAAGCAGCATCATTGTACTCCAAGATCGGAAGTAAATCAAGTTTGGCGACGAGATAAAGGGTCTGCAGCATCAGCCCTCAGCACAATCATTAGGCAAAGAATGAATATGGATGTCAGCCTGGAATGGTCTGTATTTCCAAACGTTTGCATGAGCCTGGCTTTGTGCCTGGCCTGCATGGTAGTGAGTGGTGGGTGACTGGTGGTATGTCCATGAGTTGGTCAGATGTTTGTGCTTCCGAAAAGTCAAATTGCCGCAAGTCACGGAGGTCACAGGCATTGTCTATTCTTGCTGGAAGGAATCTCAGACCACCATCTGTCCACGCTTATAGAACTGAAATACGTAGAAAACACAAATTAGATATCTCTTCTGACGCGCCAGGCATATACTCGCAGTAAAGCATCTAACTGAATGTGGTTCGACGAACAATGCGAAACTTGATTATCTCGGGATACACATTGATATGTGTTCGACTCCACCGGCCATGCTTCAGACTATTGATATACCGATGCCTACCCAGGACTCCATATCGTGTTATGTGAAACAAATGAAAATTTAGGAAAAGTCGAATCGCTCTGGGATGACAATAGGGGCCACCAGAGTCCAAATATACATGCTGTAGCAGATCCAAGCACTAACGATCTTCACCCAGCTGGCCCAGTATGTCCGTCCGACTGTTGCGAAGCCTCCATTGTCCGTGATCTCATCGCCCTCCATGTGCTGTGTGAGAAGGGTGGCGACCCAGCAAGTAGCCAAGAAGAAGATGATGTGGAATACAGAATAGTTGTACTGGGTGCTCGAGCGCTCATCGTCGTGAGGCGCCTTTCCGTTCGACTCCTCATCGTCATCATCTGACAGCAGCGCATCTGCCGGCAGACTGCCCTCCTCGACAGCTCGGCGCAGAACTTCGGCTCTCATCTCGCGACGTCCTGGCTGCTGCGTGACGAGATCATGCTCATCTTCCTCGGGAAGTCGGATGCCCCCGCGGTTGTTTCCGAGGCCAAGACTTTGGGTTGCTGCGCGGGTCGTGGTATACGCCACGGTCAGCATGGTTACAATGGCACCCATGACGACCGAGGTGGTTCGAGTGCCCTGAGCACGGATCAATGGATTGCATTGCTTGTCATCTGGTTCCATCGATACAGCCGACATGGTCAGGTAGGTGCAGTAGACAGCGACCATAGCAGCCTGCGCCAGACCGGCCTTGGGGTTGTACTCTTGGATGGTCGGGTGGACCGAAATGAAGGAGACGGCGAGCCAGAACAAGAGGTTGATAGTGATGGCGGCTTGGTTCATCGAACAGCCGCTTGAGGCGAAGAAGATATATTGGACGATGGTCATGGCCAGTGATGCCGCATACATGCCTAGAGTTGATCCTATCAAGACGGTTCTCCAGATTCTCGACTCGGAGTTCTCGATTCGCTCAAGACAGTATTCAGCCCACGTGTGGGCAAGATCGACCAGTAGAATGAGACCGAGAATCAAGAAGAGCATGGCTCCGAAGAAGGCGATATAATTGCCCCAGACCTGGAAGAAAGCATCTGGAATCAGGAAGGACAAGACGACGAGAGCCAGCCAGGCGATAACCTTGGGGCCCCAGTAACCATTCTGGAGCGCGGCTCGAGGATTCTTCGTGTTGTTGATCCCGAAGAGGAGACCGGCGAAGATCAGGTGAAACAGACCGAGAGCGAAGTTGAATCGATGGACAGCAAGCCAACCGTAACATTGACCGTTGGGACAGTTGATTTTGACGTAATCCAGCATCAAACGTTCCAGCTTTTCGATGGCCCATGGCGTGAGCATCATCCAGGAGAGAATCGAGTTGACGAGGAGGAGAAGGGCATAGGCAATTCGGGTGGCAACACTACAGGGAGAAGTCAGCAAACGAGCCAACACCATCTGAAGGGGGCCTTACCTGTTACCGCACTTGCCACAAGCACTGCACACCATGGAGCAGGTTGCAGCACCGCAGCAGCTCGCAGCAAACGACACAAGCTACGATAGAAATCTCATTAGCGAAAGTCAACCAACAGGCATGCGCCAAGACGGAGGAGTTCGCACCGTGCCCATGCTAGGGACCGCCAGCAGTGGAAGAGAGAGAAGAGCACCCATCGTGCCTGGGAGAGGAACTCGAGGTCGATGATTGCGAGAGTTTGATGAAATTTGATGGACAGTGTCGGTATTGACGCGAGCCTCCAGCCGGGGATGCTAACGGTGGGTGATGTATCCAAGCTTGGACCAGCCATTGCGACGAACTTGTACTTGGAGCCTGGTGCACAGGCCACTTGCAGCTGACGTCGTGGCTTCACCCCACTGAACTCGCACTACTTACTAATTTATGGACCTGTGAAACCTGTCAAAACAACGCCCATTGATTGGCTTCCACAGAAGTCCGTGTTTCACTTTGTCATGCAGGTCTTGGTATCTGCGCAAGTGTAACAACACGAAGTTACCAAGATTAACCAAGAGATTAATACGGAGTAATTACTAACAATAATCCAATACTTATACTTGGCATAGCACAGCCATTGATGTCTGCCTTCAGTTCACTGACTAAAAGTTCTTAGCAGTCCCCAGATGAACTGCCAAGCTGGAATCCAAGGGCCCAGGGCTGCAGGACAAACGGAGTTGAACGACCCGTCCCACGCACGTTTCTGTGACTGTGACCGGGCAGAGCGGCACGAGGCGGTCCGATATCGAATTGACCAGGGGTCTCTTGTTTTAGGGGGGCCCAAGATAAGCAGCTGCGGTTCCGCGACCTAGATTAATAATTCACTTTCCAACACCACCAGCATCCCACCAATGCTCCTCCTTCCTTATACTGTTTTCCTAGGTTATTGTGATGATATCTTATTCAGTCTTGGAGTAATTTCGAGGCACAATTGACCCTCGTCACCCCCAATTGACACATCTTCTTGTAGGCATGATAAAGGCACCCGGGCTTGACGGCATTCGCAAACCTTCATCATGACGCTGAAAAAACAGCTTTATTCCGCCCGCATGGTGTCGAGCGTGGCAGCCACCATGATATCACTGGCGTGTGGAACAAATGTGGGCGTTCGAATGTCGGCTGTTGCCGAAAACCTCTGATACTGATAGTTTCTGGCCAGTATGTCTACTCTGCGTGGGCGCCTCAATTCGCCGATCGACTCCTTCTCTCTGCGACCGAAAGCAACTTGATAGGGCTGTTTGGCAACCTGGGCATGTACTCATGTGGTGTACCCATTGGGATGTTCGTGGACCTGCAAGGACCTCGTCCCGCTGTGGTCATCGGGTCGATTTTACTGGGATTGGGCTACTGGCCTTTGCATATGGCATATGAAGCAGGCCACGGGTCCGTCCCGTTGATGTGTTTCTTCTCCTTCCTGACTGGCTTGGGAGGGTGCACGGCATTCGCTGCCGCCATCAAGACTTCGGCCTTGAATTGGCCACATCACCGGGGTACCGCGACGGCATTCCCGTTGGCCGCCTTTGGACTGAGCGCCTTCTTCTTTGCCCTGATCGGTTCCATCTTCTTCCCCGGGAGCCCAGGCAAATTTTTGGAACTCCTGGCTTTTGGGACCTTCGCTATGACCTTTACTGGATTCTTCTTTCTGCAAATATATCCGCACTCGCAGTATCACGCGGTGGCGCCTGCCGAACCCGGCATGACGGACTCCCAGGAGTTGCGCTGCACTTTATCTGCCGAGCCTAAGACCCCGCGGTCGGGTCGTTCGGGGTTTTCTGAACCTGGTATGTCGTCCAATGCCAATAACAGTCAAGCCTCGGACCAAGGCGACGAAGCCGGAGCCCTAGATCCCTCCAACCGAGCGGTTGGTGACGAGGCTGCCGCCGGCGGCCCGAAGAGAGCGCCCCTCCCGGTCGAGGACTTGGATGAGACGGCTTCTCTGATATCTCGGTCATCGTCTTCTTCATTACCGGGTGATGTCCTCGTCCAGAGCAGTGTTGATATGGATCGTTCCCATCGTGTAGATATCCGTGGCATGGCATTGCTGAAGAGCTTTGAATTCTGGCAACTGTTCAGCATCATGGGCATACTTTCTGGTATTGGACTTATGACTATAAAGTAAGTGGCATGCCACATCAGCGTTTCCGTTGAGTCTAACGAACTGTAGCAATATTGGAAACGATGCCACAGCGCTTTGGAAACACTATGATGATTCCATCGATGACAAGACGTTGGTTCTCCGACAGCAGTTACATGTATCTATTCTCTCGATTGGCAGTTTCTCGGGCAGACTACTGAGTGGCAAGCAGCGAGTGTTCCCCTATTGTGGTCATTGGGTGCTAACTAGTATTAGGTGTTGGTTCTGACTTCCTGGTCAAAGTCGTCCACGCTAGTCGCATTTGGTGCCTCGTCATTGCGGCTGGCATCTTCTCTCTGGCGCAGATATGCGCACTCAACATCACAAACCCACACCTACTGGGCTTTGTCTCGGGTTTCAGCGGCCTTGGATACGGGTTTTTGTTTGGCGTGTACCCTTCGATCGTGGCGGAATCCTTCGGCATCCACGGACTCAGTCAAAACTGGGGTTTCATAACACTTTCACCGGTCATTAGCAGCAACCCCTTTAACCTGTTTTACGGGTATATTTTCGACAGGCACTCGGTCGTCGAGCCAGATGGAACGAGAACTTGCACTGAAGGGCTAGCCTGTTACAGGACCGCGTATTTGGTTACACTCTGCGCTTGCGGGCTGGGTGTCGTGGTCACCTTGTGGGTCATTTGGCACCAGAGGCGTGAGAAGCAAAAGGAGTCAATCAAGACTCGGGCGGAGGACTGAAACAGTCGTGGTGTGAATTATGTAGAGATATTGGGGGGCATGGTGGCCGCGACAGCGGTTTACACTGCAGACGGTTTTTCATATGTTCATGGGTATACTGGGGTCTTTTTTGTTTTACATGTGCGCAACGTGGTTTGGCGTTGCATTGATAGATATAGAATATCAACACAGGCCTTATAAGGTAGTGGGTTAAATCAGCGGCGAACAATAGAAGAAAGATATATTGTAGTGTCGGCTGGTGTAGTTGGTCACTTCGCTGGTAGATAAGTCCCGATTTGAGCCTCGCCCACTTGGGTTGGTGACGAGTCGCGGGTTCGAATCCCGCAGCTGACACACAAGGGGGTTTAGTCAACCCTTACGGCGCGCTGCCCACCTTGTTGACTTCGCCTACCTAGCGATAATAGGGAGATTGGTGCAGTTTAGGATTACGAGCATCCTAGCCAGTCGACCGTCAAGCACTACGTCGGCGGAATATAACTCGACAGCCGGTCCAGAATTCGAATCGTTAATCCGGCCCCTTATCGGACCTCGCCTATCCGATAACGCTCGTCGGCGAACCCGTCCCCTCACGATAGAAGGCGCGCAGCACGCCCTCTCGCCGCGATTCTTGCGAGCGTCTAGACCACGTTACGGTCTATCCACTTGAGCGTATGGTTGAGATGTATACGCTCGACGAGAACCCCAATTAGCAGATACTACGACTTGTCGCGACAAAAAATAGTCGAGCATCTTCTGCACATCAGCAGCATCCCACCCCTGAGGACGAATTTAAGTGCCACATTACCACACTTATCGGTAGTTCAGGCAGGGGTTGTAGCACAGACTTAGGGAGGGACAGGAGGTTTAGTAGTCGTTTGGCTACAAGTTTACCTGTATAACCGCCCGACGCGGCTTAAGGGCCCGCTATATCATCTATAGCCCCTTAAGGGAGTACTTGTAGAGGTACCGAGGGTTAACACCTACGGCGTATTTAATATTATTTTTTATTTATATTGTAGTGCTATTTTCCTCGAGCTGTGGCAGCCGCATAAGTTGGTCGAGCTTAAGGGACACAAGTGCTTGAAAAGAAATGCGACAGGAACTCTTCTCTTAATTCCACGGCAAGAACCTATCTCACTCCCACTCTCACAATATCCATTCAAACCACTTCACTGTGCACTACGACCGCCCTGATCCACCCCATGACCAGTACTCAAATCAAAGAATGACAATACTACACTCCCCATTATATATACTTGCCTCAACCGTCATCTTGACACCCCACACGCACACCTCTTGAATTGCCTTAGTGCCAGTTTCATAACTTCTATGTCGCTTTGCCCACCGACAACAATGAAGCGAGCAGTACTTCAGTACACACTTTCGATGCTAGCTAGACTAATAGTCACAAAAGTCCTCTCAGTCGCTATTTGATGGTTTTCGTCACATGCATTCGCTATAGGTTAGGGGATGAGTGGTGGAGACTACACTCTCATTGGCTCTCAAACCATCAGACCATTGTTAAGTCGGCAATCAATGGATATTTTCACGTCAATCGAAATCTTGAGCAAGAAAATCCGGCATAACCTTCGGTTTGAGTTTACGTTCGTTTTCCTTTTCTTATGGCATGGAAAACATATAAGTAGGCGAGTTGTCGGTACAAATCTCAACTCGGTTGCTCCCGAACCGACAGCATCCTCCCAGATTAAGGAAGACACCAACTACGAGCATTATTGACCGAAAAAACTAACGATCAATAGTATGTCGCAAACGAGAAACCTAGGCATACTTATCACCAACTAGAAGAGTAGTAATGTCAGTTAAGTATCTTTACAGTACTCCCTGATGTTGGCATGTCGAGTAAACCCACTACGTGTATAGACAAAAAGAGTCACAATGTGGACTTTCTGTTGGTCGTCTAAATGTACCATTTCATTTCAGGCCAACACTGGAATAGGACGTAACTCATAAAGCACTGGTAATCCTCCCAGCACACACACTCCGCTTCTCTTTGAACCCTACTTTTCCCTTGCGGAAAAGATCCTCTTCACCAGACTTTGCATGTGCTTCCCATTTCCAGACCCGAAGTGCACCACACTGACGTAGGGTCCGCCAATCATCTTTGGAATTCCCAAGGTCTTGGTCTCAACAATCATCTATAAGGGTGGCCGATTGGAACAAGAACCCAGGCTCCGGGCTGCCGGCGTTGAAAAGCCGTCCGATACGAACACTTCGTCGGGAACTGGTTCATCCCCCGTACGACAACACAGGGCCATGCCATCGCAGTCAACCTGGAATAGTTAGCACCAACAGCATGTACACCACCCCGGGGAAATCGACGTGACACCAAGCAATCTAAACGATAAGCGGTCGGCCATATTCCCTTCGACAGGAACTGAACAAGTCAGACATGGAAAAAGGACAGAATCGGCTTCGAAGGACCTAGGAAACTGGTGCTCTCTGAGGGAAGAATGGTATTTCTGTGAAACTTGAAAAGAGTGGATCGGTGGGTTCGGGACAGGTTCAGGTTGCTGGATCATCATGCACGACGTCATGTTGAGGTTTATATAATATTGCGATGGGTTAAATATAGTTCCAAGTACATGTGAAATTCATGTATCAGTGTGTGTGTGCGTGATGATCAATCCAACCTTGAACAATGGGATAACGAAGCATGCCTCGACATACCCGTCAGCACTCTGACATGCAAAGCGATCCTGATATTTGGACATCAACCTCACCAAGGGTCATATATGAAGATGCTGACTCGCCAAATTCCGCTGGTATGATCCATAAGGCACAAAGAAAGAATATTCCAGTCCATGATATGCATATCCAGATTGTCCAAGTCTTCCAGCCCGGTGAGACGAACAAGTAAGACATATAAGCTAGTAACCACATGATAGACGTGGCGCCTACATTGTGGTGTACTAGGAAAATGGAATCTCGTCTCCAGACGGTGGTGTCTCTCCAAAGATACATCAGGGATCCAGGTTCATATGTTTAGTGTTGACATGCCTATCATGGTTGTCCCGCCGCGTAAAACTCCGACCATGGCTGGCACAACGCTTATGGTCACAAACCAACTTGCTGTCAAGAGTCTCCTGGTGCGTCAGACTGTGGTACTGATGAAGAATGAGATCCTTCTCTGGTAAAAGCATCGTTGCAGTCACCAAGAGTGCATACCAATTTCTTGTAACGTATTGTCTTTCGGCGCCTGTGTTCAAGATTAGACGAGACAAAAGGAAAGGAATATTGAGAGGTAGCATACTTAAAAATCTCTTGATGCTGTGTGCGTTTTCGTCTGTGGTTCGTATTCGTACCTCTCGACTCATCCGGCGGTGTGGTGTCTGTGCCTCCATGAAGGTTTGCACTGGCAACACAAGAAGGGCTACGATAATTCGGCGAGGTCAATAAAGAGCCACCGTTTAAGTAAATACATCCAGATTGTGCGGCTGAAGCGCCCCTGGACATTGATTGGCTTGGATGTGGAGAGGACATCAGATCCCAAGTGGGTGAAGCTCCGGCAGGTTGCATCATACGTATGCCACTGGCGCGATGCTTTCCATTGGTATAAAATAGATCATGTGTTAGATCCGCGCTGATATACAGTTGTTCTGGGCTAAAATCTGCCTGGCATCGAGGGCAGTGGAATGGTTTTGGGATCCCTCGAACAGTGCGTGTTTGTACTGGGGGCCGGCTGCCTGTCACACCCCCTATCTCAGGAATGGTCCCAATAGACCGTAAGGAGAACCCGACTGAGCATGGTTGACAGAATAATATATGTCGAGGACTGGCTGTGTGAAATATATCATTCGGCTCCTATATGAGCGTTAGCAGCAGACAACGAATAGGGGTATCGCTACTTACGCTTCAGCAGTAGGAATGAAATTACCCCCAATTAGGTCATAAGGCTGTAGCGTGAATTAGGAAGGGAACCGAATTAACAAGAGAGGCATTTCAACGAACCTGATCATAGTTATGGCGACCTTGACTGGAATTGTGCGACCATTGAGGTCCACCAAGATGAGGGGTACAAGTATTCATTGAATTTTGGTGGTTCGCTCCGGCAGCAAAGTGCATTCCGGTATCCATTGGGGTGTGTCCGTTTCATATGATATTTTAAACAAAGACGAGACCATCTTCAGTATACAGCATACATTCAAACAGACATCGTCGTTCCCTTGAACTGTGAAACCCGTCACTGCGAGGCCTTGACACGAATTGTTGTCAGATTAGCCGGCGTTCAATGAGATGATGCGTCTCCGAAACTTGCTTGACCAAGATATCAAGTGGTTTAACCATCGAGGCCGCGCTTCTCCTTGCACTAGCAAACAGAACCCTTGGGTTCAACCGGGGCAGTTCAACAGGAATGTGTGAACACAGCAGTCTAGTCAATCCAGCGATCGAATACACACACACCAAATGGCTCGAATTATTGCCGACTCGAAATAGACCGGACGATGTTTGGTCACCCCTGGGTTCAACTCCTGGCTTGTCTGGATACTCCACAAAGACTCGACAGTCTTGATCCAGATGAAATTGCCCCGCGGCTCCGTGCGGCTCCAAGACTGACAAATGTATTTAATGGGATGCCTTTCCTGGGCACACGGGGTTCCAAGTATGGCGTCGGCACACTGACAGTGCAAGTTAAGAAGCGAGCATGTCGAAATAATTTCATCAACAGACGCCCGAAGGTAGTTGAGCGTTGATGTAATAGGCACCTTTGGTCTTGGTCCATGAGGTGGCCAAATTTATCCCGATTGCTTTCACGCAGACAAGAGAACTGCGGTTCGAAGTCTTCGGTCTCGGTATTCACTTGCCTTTCGGTGTTGAGAACAGCTTATTGAGTACTTGATGTAATGAATTTGGCCGTTTCCAAGCGGATGCATAAACACTGGAATCCTCGGGTCACGAAGTCCAATATATTTGCATCCAAGATGTCCGTGCTGTTCTGTACGTCCAGAAATGATACATTTGTTCATCAAGAACTGTCGACGAGGTCTCAACGGCTGTTGATCCTCTTCCGATAATGTCGCTCAGCTCCGGAGTCCACAATGTGGTCATTCACAACTCCGAATATTGTCAAATAATCCGTACTATCCGGCTGCCCAAGATGGTTCTGATGTGGATATACTCAATGCGGTGTGCACTGTGAATACACGGCGGCTAGGGGGACGGCGATGTTTGGTCGGGCTGAAAGAGAGTAGCATGCAAGGTCGTGCCAGGTTGGGCTGGGTGCTGGGCCGATACGTCTCTACGCTGGTTCCCGAGATGTTGTAGGCAGCCAGGAATGGTGTTGAGCGCAAAGAGAAGCGTTGATATCACTTTGGTGGGATGCCGGGAAATAAATCGCAAAGATAGCAGAGACATCTGGCTCTATGAGGAGGCTTTCAAATGGTGCTGAGGCCTCTCATTGAAAATGTGCCTAACCAGCGTATGAAAGTGACAGGTGGTAAGCAAAAGCGGCCAATACTAATATGAGGTGGTGCAGGCAAGGTGGCCTTGCTTGTAAATAACTTTCATGCCAGAGAAGAACGGCCTTAAGCTTACGTGCATCCCTTGCGCACAACACGCAACGAAGGAAACAGACAAATCTGTAACATATCAGCATTCAAGGCAAATTCATTATTTTCGTGAATCATTGAGTCGAACCAGCTGATGGATTGAAGCGTCCGTTGTCGTCACTTTCAAGTCACAATACCACGTGAATTACATCGTCCAAATGGCCAGTCTTTCTTCTCTTCATCACTTATCCATCAAACCCTCTCTCCATCTTACCAACATCCGTCACCTCCCATCTGCACTTACAACCAAGTTCCTCATTGACCGCATATGCGCATCTGTAGGATGTTCCTTCAAACAATGCCTCTCCAACTCCACTGCCGTATCAAGTTTCCTCTGGCAATGACATTGCACAGCCCTACTCGGCGGTAACTCATCACCACTTGCAACCAAGCCGGGCAGAGTACTAGCCTTCTCCTTCTCTTCAGCACCGCCGCCGCCGCAGCTCCTTTTTAGTCCAAGCCCAGCTCAGTTCGATATTGCCAACAAGCAGCTTCGGCTGGTTTCTCTGTGCTGCAATCTTGCGATATGGTGTAGTGCATGCGATACCCGGTATTCTTGGACACACCTGCGTTGATGATCTAGGTGCGAAGCTCAGACGAAACCTGCGACTTGGAAATGGGAGATGTGGTCTTCGAAAGTAGTAGATGTTGTGAAGCGACGACTCGATGGGTAGATCCTTGTTCCATGTCTGGCTAGATACGTTATTGTTCAAGTGACATGTTCTGTAGTATCAGTCATTGTCATAGCGGTTTTGGTGCGAGCAGCTGGTACAGAGGGCCTTGCGGAACAAGAGACGAAAATGGGTGAACTATATGAGCTGAATCCCGCGTGGTCAAGTAGCCAATGAAATAGCGTCTCTACAGCAGTCCGGTGGCTGCAGTTTCAACTACGACATGAACATAGACGAGGTCTGGATTTGACATGTCTCTTCATTGGTGTATCCTAGCCGTACAGGTATCAGATTGTCTATCCTGAGTGAATAGCGGTCCTCATCAACGCATCGGGTATCTGACCGATTACTTCCTCCCTCGGGAATGTTTCGTGGCCACACAGAGCTCTCGCTGTCATTCACAGCCTTTCTCCCCCTTTCTAAAGCATTACTTGGCCCGTCTCGTAGCCAACCGGTCATCTAGTATCCCGCATCTCCTTGTAATCTTCCATATTACCCCCCCCCCCCCCCCCCCCTTTGTAAGTGTCCGTATTAATCACTGTGACAAATAGTACAAGACACCAAGCTTCCGTGCCAACTCGCTCAACCATGATCGGCTGAGGCTAACTTCGCAAGAAGGATGTACACGACTCTCTGGCTCTCCGCTTCGTAGAATCAAATAGGTCTGCCTGCGACTTGCAGACCGGTGCAATTAGACTGAATCCCTGAGCCTGGGTAGGAATGCCGCCAAAATAAACAGAACGCCGCTGCCGCCGCCGCCGCCATTTCATGACATGCAGATGCAATGCAACTGAGAAAATAAAAATAGAAATCTTCCGTAGTAAAAGCGCTTCCAGCAAGGGAAGACAGTAGTGGGGAAATGTCGGTTCCATCAGGCCTGGAAGGGCTGCTGTGTCCTTCGTCCGTAGTGGCCGAGTCTCGTCAAGAGCAGATAGAATCGAATATGCGTAGCTCTGCTCGTCTCGTCTCAAAAGGAGTATCGTCCATGTCGTTGTCGCATACATCATCCTCAGGTTATCAGACACACACGCCCAGGCATAATTTGTCCAAAATCTCTGACATTATGCACAGGGCCCCAACACGTCAATCGCCAGCTGGCTTTCAGGGTGTTTTGCCTTGCTTTCGATCATTGACAAAATCAGCGTCAAAAATACACCTCAGCCCTGAAAGTGACCACCGGTCCGCTGTCGAATGGACGGCAATAAGCCAGGCCGCGACCAGATTGACCAGGTAATGCAGCATGTAGGCGTGGGACACGCCGTATATAGCTGCATATACGGCAATACCGAATAGCAGGACGCTTGTGACGTGCCGGAGGCGGCTTGTCACTCGAGGAACCATCTTGCCCGTCGTCAAAGTTTCCACGAGTAAGATGAAAGGTAGAATCGAGAGCACATTGTGGTGTGAAGAGAATGGCGTAAACCAACGGACCGCTAAATTGCGCACCCAAACGACCAGAGTAGGCATGTTGATGGGCAGTACCCAGAGCATGAGCAGGAGTATCGAGTGCGAGTAGTTGCAGAAGTTGGAGTTTCCCGGGGAAGGAACCTCGCGGGCGAACCGGAGCCCGCGCACGCTCGTGCTCAACTGGACCAGACACGCAACCAGATACGCGAACTGGTAAGGAATAAAGGTTGAGACGGAAAAGAGGAGAATTCCTGTGGTGATCAATCGTCGTCTAGGCGATGATGGCATGAACACAGGCGACAACGCTCGCCTCCTGTCATCATGCCTAATCCAGGCGGGACGCACGCTGACCCAACTATGTAGGACGCTGAATATATACGTGAGCGACAGGGCCATATAGTGCATAGCTGTGCAAACTCCGATGCAGACAAGGCCAATCATCGGTACCAGAAACCAGAAAAATGGGTCGGCAGTTCCAATCAGAAGGTCATTCTGCTTGTAGTCAATGGCAGCAGTGCTGTTCCGCCATGGCCAAAGTCCATTGCCGCTTGATCGGGGACCATCTGCTCGCCCCATTGACAGTGCAAATAGGGTGAGAGACAACAGAAGAAGCGGAAGGGACTGTCGGAGGCAGATGCCCAGACTGTCGAGGAAAGAGATGAACACGCCTGTACTGTCGTAGACGCGGAACTGCTTGCGCAATACCAACGTCACCACCAGTAAAGGGAATGCCGCAAATACAGTTCGATAACGCATGTACAGCTTTCCCAGACTGCCCAAAAGGTCCACCTTCAACTGAATGGAGATGCTCGAATCGCACGATGGGTCTGTCCAGAATTGGAGACTGAGACCATCATCGGACTTTTTCGCCTTCATGGGTGGTGGCACATAAGGCGCAACTCCGTGGATGCTGATCTTAGCTTGTCTGGCGTTGACGAAGAACTTGGACTCATAGGGCTCAGTTATGAACTGTCGCACGAGTGGTGCGAACAGTTCGTCCTGCCCATTGCACGACTGCTCGCTGATCTCCAAGCTGTACGCTAACAGGCTGCTTTGGATAGAAGGAATTCTCATATCCGTTACCAAGGGGCGATGCGACGGAAGATGAGCCTGCATACCCATGGTCAGGAGGCGGCGTAAGCTGATGTGACGCGTCAGGTGAAACTGTCTGGCATCGCTGAATTCGGCCACGACCCATCCAGGCGTGCGCGTGGTGGCTTTATCAATGACGGCCACGAATTGATGATCGGCAACATCCTCGAGGTCATACTGGAGATACGAAATCGGTTCTATCGGTTTCTCGTGTTCCAGAAAGAATGGCAATTTGGTGTCTCGTGTCGACCTCGGGAGGGTGATCAGATCTGAAGCCGCATTCTTGCAAGCTAGCCTGGTTGATCCCGTACTGTCACCGGAAATATCCATGTTCATGGAGAACAGGATATTAGACTGGCCAGGTTGTAAAGGGAATATACTGCAGAATAGCACCTCGAGTTTCCCATTTCCTCCCGATTGATCCAAACTAGTGTCGGTAAGCAACGTAAACCGCTTGCGATCCGAAGAGCCAATGGGTGGGACTGGAATCAAATGTGCCTTGAGCTTTCCTACCCCACCCAATTCACGGAGTATCAGTCGCTCGCCTTGTCTAATTATGGAGTTCGAGTTGTCGTCTAGGGTAAGGAGGATCTGGGGCTCGGTCTGGGGCAGGGACTTCTCTGCCACGTCCTCCATTCCAGTTAGGAACCACTTCTTGAAGACCCTCAGTCTTTCGGCCCGTGGCTTTGTTTGGGCAGCCCTATCAGTGTCGACAACGTCATACAGGGCTCGTACTACCACTTTTCTAAACTGGTCACACCACAAGATTGCTGCATGATCCACGCTGGTCCAAACAGTCGGTATTGTAGTTGTGAATACCGTGAAACCATGCGTTTCTGGTACGATCGACTCCACGCTGGCATAGTCGGAAGGAACCACAGTATCCAGATTGCCCCCAGCGATAGACACTAAAGTAACGTGCCACAGTGGATTGTTGTTTGCCCATTTCTGAGAGTAAGCATGCCTCCAGTAGGTGTTAATGTCGTCGTAGATTTTGACAATTTGGGAGTCGAAGCTGATTGGAGGTCGTGCATGCGGAGCGGACATTGTCACTATCGTATTGATGGAGTTGGATTGGTAGTTTGGCATGATCAACATGGTCCGCGCAACAATGCCCCCCATGGAATGTCCTACTACGATAACGGAACTCGGGTCCGGCACGTCGGGGTCTCGGGGCGCAGAAGTGCGCGGATCCAAGTAGAGAGACAGTATATATCGAATAGCCTCGTTCAAATACTCGGCCTGGTCCAACATGGTTTGGCCGTGAAAAGCGGTAAAATCTTCATTGAAATCCACCGTGAAGAAATCCAGGTCCTTGATGCCGGCTTCGACCGCATTCGGGTCGTTCCGCAGCTCATCGTGAAAATAACGCGCCGCTTCGCCCGCAAGAGACCTGACCTGCTTGTAACTGCCGGCATTTCCGGGGATAAAGAGCACCGGTGTTCCCCTGACCTAGATTCGCCATTAACATCGCCGAATACAGCCCCGTTTGCTTCATCGCCCCAAGGAGAACTACGTACCACGCCATCCCGGTGGACGCCTCCCTCCCGATACAGATGTAATGTATATTTGGTTGCGAACCTCGTATGCTCGGTGTCGAACTCGGTCAGGTGCACATATCTGGGCGCTGTGTAGGCCATGCGGCATCCTTTGGGGTCGAACTGGCGCGTGACAGAGGAATTCAAGATAGTCGCCAGCGTCATGAGACCGGCCAATGTGGTCAAAATCGTCAAGATAGTCGCGGTCCAAGGACTTCGCGACCACAAGTGACGGCCTGGTAGCCTTCTGGTTGCCATTTTTTCTTCTTCGCCCATCTCTTTCTCTGAGGGCACCGTCACCGCGAGGGACGAGGTTCGAGACAATGCAGACCGTGATTCTTTGTCAGTAGAGCCATTCCGGGCATGCGCCGGTTTCCAATTGAGATTACTGCTGGGCCGACGTATTCTTGTAGAGGAGGGTTTGGGGCTAGTGTTCTCTTTTCTTTCCCGACGTTCGGTCTCACAAGTGTTGGGGGCATCGTATGCGGAAGTCTTGGGGTGGTCATCTATCGTCGTGGGTCCATTGGAACGGGCCGGGGCTGCCTCGTTCGACGCATCTGAGTTGACACTGCCCTCGGACGACCCTGAAGAGCGCCTCTTCATAGAGAAGAATGGGGCTCCCGGTAGTCTTCCGGAACAGCCCAACTCGGTCGTAATTATAAAGGGCGGCAAGCCGAGAGAGCGATCGCCAACGTCGTAGTGTTTATACGCGCGCGTGTTTTCGAGGTATGGGGGGGGATCATTAACACATAATCAACACCAAGCTTGATTGTTGGTTGTCGCACGCGGAAGAAGACGTTGAGAAGGGCAGTAGTTGGAAAGGTCGGTGCGAGGTAACACAGGCCTGACAGGGCACACACAAGCCCAGCTCGAGACACAAGTTTGCGCAACCAAGTAGCTAAGTTGGTTTTAGATCTGCGGCGATCCTTTAAGGAAAGAACTGAGCCAAGCCGAGGGTGGAAACGAATGTGGCTCCCGGATCCACCACGGTCTTGGCGCCTGGGCAACTAGGGGAAGACACACGGTGGTCAACAGCCGACGATCGTCCACTTTGGTGTTTTGATGTGGAGTTGCAGCGGCTGGTATCGCGGCGCTGTGTCGTCAATTGCATGGAGGGAAAAAAGGTCGACGGGATTTCCGAGACGCATCAATTCATCTCAGTCTCGCTCGATGACTGGTGCGCTCCCGCCACCTGCAGTGTCTTCCCAGGAATTTGCACCAAAGGTTATGTACCCACGCGGTTTGGAAACAAGATTTGGGGGCTAGCAGCCGACGAAGCTTCGAAGTGTTCGGCTGGGGGACTTTTAGCGGCTCTTTGGCGTTGAATAGCTTCTCAGATTGCCAAGATTTATGCAGGCCGCTTCTAGAGTGGATATCAGCCCATGCCAGCCTCGTGCTTTTCACCTCCAAGGTGTGGCTTCGAAGTTGAGACGGGACACACACGGGTCTCCGCGAATGACGTGAGTCGGCGCCTCTTAGCAATTGCTGGAAGAGGCAAAGAGTGGCAGTTCTCAATTCTTAATCGACCTAAGCTTTCGCTCTATCTATTTCTATTCCCTCTTGCTCGCAATGGATTGGCATTTGCTCGCTTCACTCAATGTCGGTGCTTGGTTTTCCTGTGGATACCTCGGGAATGAGATGGGATTTTAATGCGATACTGTGAACAATGCCATGGGCGGGCTGTCGGGGAATAACAGAACTACGGGCTGGAAAGTCCACCTTGGATAGTGCAGATTGTCCTTGGCGATCGGTTAAGGAGCGGCGCCGAGCCTCGTCTAGGAGGGCCTAGGTAGCTGGGCTGGTTGTTTCATATCTACAGGTTGATATGCAAGCTACAAGTTGGTGGGTGCCCGAATTGCGAATTAATGACAGTCCGATATGGTCGTATCTTGTTTTCAGTTACATTCAGCTGCACGTTGGCACGAGTGCAGGTCTTATGAACTTGCAGCTCTAGTTTATGACCAACATTGTGACACGCACGGGTTACCGAGCACGGGATGCCTTGGTTACTAATTAGTGGCTTCATTTATGTCTAGATTGAGCCGACGCGCCCCTCGTAACTCTAGATGATCGAGATTGCCCTTTATTGATAGCCCCGAGGACTCTGGGGCTTCAAATTTTGACGGACGGCAACGACAGGGGTAATCTAGAGCTGTTTCTACAAACTTTAGATTACAATGGCGATTTGAACCCTTTAATTACAGACGCCAGACAATCTTGATCCTTGAAAATGCTCGCATGCCTGCAACATGTAAATGTGATCCATACTAACTGCTCCGATGAACTGCCATACACTGGGCGCTCTGCAATTCGAGATTCTTACCGTCAAAAAGAAAACTGGATGCTGATCAGTGATAATACGACCCAAAGCAATATACCATGCCGCTCTACATAGTAGTCACACGGCAGCTTTTTGGACCCAGTACGACCTCGGAGACAATTGGCCTGTTTCTTCTTTCTATGATAACCCGACAAGTTCGTATCGACCGACGCTTCGGGCGATACGACGTCCGCCGCATGCACCAGCCATCCCACCGGCTTCACGCCACAATTATTACTCAGCTGTGACTGGCCAGCTGCATTACCAAAAGCTCCATTGCATTGCATTCCTAGTTCCGTAGCCCCCGAAATAGAGACTTCCAACTATGCGTGCAGGAATAGGCCAGCCATGCTCGTGTCCCAAAGAGAACGACTTGTCGGTTGACCGTTGCCGTGGACGCAATCATCCATTTTTGGGCGATTCTTGCTTTCAACCTCGTTGACCACTTGTTTACTGCAGAGTCGGTCGCCACGTAAGTATTGCTCATCAAGACAGTCCTATTGGCAAGGTTTCAGCAGCTGCGGCCCCACTATCGATTGATCTACAGTTTACTCTTGGTGTCCCGAGTGGATGGTATCTGAATAGATACAAACTGCCAATTCGGAAAATGGCTGCCGAAGCTCGTATTTTGTTTCAACCTCCACGAGTATATGGGTGGATCGTATCACGTCATTCAAGGTTTTGCAAGGTTCCTCCCGCAATCTACCTTGTGGGATTAAATTACGAAATACTGGCGGCACGGCTGATGGTGGTGGAGATAGATCGTGAATGGTGGACCGAGGCCGGCATATATTGATGAATATATTAGCAAACCAGTTGTTACTACAGTCGCAGCCCGCGATGATCATGACGATACAATAAATGCCTTTCGTTAGACGGCTTAGGACGACTGCATTCATCATTCAGGCCGCCTATTCTTTTCATCTTTCTGAAAGCCAAGCCGGACCGCGCGGCACTCATGTAAGGTGATAAGGTGATTTATGCCAAGCTTTCGCTACACCACCTTTATATCAACGCCGTACTTCGGTTGTCGATGCGTCATGGAGCGATCGACAACGACCTCCACAGACCTAGACACGGAATATTTCCAGTTACTAGCTATCGACTCACTTGTTTTGATCCCTTCCATGCGACAGCAACTGGGGCTCTATCCATTATGCTCAACTCCGGCGAGAGCCTGGTGGTTCATCTAAATCCAGGGAACTCTGCAGTACCAGTCTGCCACAGTAATGAGATTCGTATGTACGTAAGTACCCTCAAGCTAGAGTTGGATTTGGGAAGTATATGAAAGTGTCCGTGAGAGTGGCTCCGCGAGGTTTGCATGTAGGGGTACTCCTAATGGATGGGAGGGTGCTGCATCAATGAACTCGATTCCTTGTCTTCAATGTTTGGCCTGAGGTACCTAACAGTAGGTAATTAGCAAAGGTCAAGAATCAAGTTGCCAGGTTGCTGTTGTCTGGATTGGTTTGACTTGGACTTGGATGTCACAATGGGCACACAATTGAAGGGACGAAGACTCCTGCTGTGTGGCTCAGCAACGCCACCGCCACAATTCGAGCGCATACACTTAGAATGACAACGCGTAGCGCGTCAAAGCATGTCAGTTGACAAGTTAGGCAGATTTTCGAAGGTATTCTGCCAGGAAATCGAAAACATCAATCAGGTTTCGATCCTCAACGCGAAGATCCGCAGTCTGTCATTGGCAGAAATCTAAGGTGTCTGTTTGTCTTGGGGAAACCCACTCAAACTCGGAGGTCGCTTCGGCGGGTGGAGCGGGCTTCCATCTCATGCCCAACAGCCAGTGAGCACAGTGACACACATCATGGCGACTATCAAGGCAATTGAGCCACGTACAGTATGCTCTCAATGGTCCCCTTTCAAGCTTTCAGGTCAATTTTGGCATTCTTTATGCTAACAATGCGGCATAAAGATCCACCAGATCCAGTCTGGCCAGGTGATAGTCGACCTCTGCTCCGTAGTCAAGGAGTTGGTGGAGAATAGTGTAGACGCTGGCGCGACGAGTATCGGTTCGTCCTCACCCAATCGAAACCCCAATATCAGTATGTTGACTTCATCCGCTTTGCAGAAGTCCGGTTTAAAAACCAGGGGCTGGATACCATCGAAGTCCAGGACAATGGGTTCGGCATCTCACCAGAGAATTACGAGACCTTAGCCCTTAAACATTACACCTCCAAGCTTTCAACTTATTCAGACCTGTCAACACTGCAAACTTTTGGTTTCAGAGGGGAGGCTCTATCGTCGCTATGTGCCTTATCGAAGTTCTGGGTGACGACATGCCTGGCATCAGACGCACCTAAAGGGTCAAAATTGGAGTTCGCGACATCCGGGAAGTTGCAAAGCACGAGCGTCATTGCTAGTCAAAAAGGCACTACGGTCTCGGTCGAGGGACTGTTCCACAACTTACCCGTACGCAGGCGTGAACTTGAGCGCAATATTAAGAGAGAGTGGAACAGGGTCATCGGCGTCCTCAACAAGTACGCCTGCATCCTGACGGGCGTCAAGTTTTCCGTCTCACAGCAGCCGACCAAGGGAAAGAAAGTTGTCTTATTCTCGACCAAGGGAAACAATACCACGCGAGACAACATCGTCAACGTGTTTGGGGCCAAAACCGTCACTGTCCTCGTTCCCCTTGACTTACAGCTAGAACTAGAACCCACCAGTGCGCCTAGCCAACTTCGGAGTGCACAAGAAGATAGAGACGCCAAAGAGATACTAGTTCGAGGACATGTATCCCGCCCAGCGCATGGGGATGGCAGACAAACACCTGACCGGCAGATGTTCTTCGTGAATGGACGACCCTGCGCGCTGCCGCAGTTTGCCAAGGTTTTCAATGAGGTGTACAAGTCCTACAACTCATCACAATCCCCATTCATATTTGCTGATATACAACTTGATACGCACATGTATGATGTCAATGTCAGTCCCGACAAGCGAACCATCATGTTGCATGATCAGACTCGAATGCTCGATAACCTTAGAGAGGCTCTAGTCCGGTTGTTTGAGGCACAGGATTATGCAGTGCCAGTTTCACAACTGGCCGTCCAAAAGCAACCTCCGTTCAGAAAGCTCACATTCAGCCGTCAGGGAACCGTGGAATCGGGGAGGCAACAGACAGAGACGCCTCCGGTCGAGAAGCACAGGTCTGAATCAGACTCACAGTCCATTCATCCAGATAGCAGAGAACCCAAGGAAGGTCGCAACGGAGAATCCCGCGAAGACGAGGAGGTTAGTGGGCGGAGAAGCAATGTTTCCATAAAGTCGCTCGCCCTCGATGAACAAGGAATACGCCTCATTAGTCGTTTGAAGGAGAGAACGTCTAGTGAGCGTGATGGCTCTTCTGCAAATGCCAGTACTTCCACTTCCAGGGAGCAAGCGGGCGAGATACCTAGGTTGAAACCCCGGCTCATCGCCAAGTTCAAACACACCAACAAACAAAACTCCACACAAGACATTTCCGCGGAGATCGCAGACGACGCTTCGGCGTCCGAGGCGGAGCCAGACGGAGAATCTGACGAAACTCCAAGCCGCATTCGTGACTTTAATGCCCACCTAGAAGCACTTAACAGTACGAAAAGGACAACGGATGCGAGGGATGACCCCAGGCAGCGGCAGGAAATTGAAGAACCCCCTATTCCTGCTATTTCTACAGCCAGTACGGTTGCAGCTACAGGGTCAAGCAGCTACAGCCAAACGACATTCAAACGCACTGCTCCGGAGGTTGCTACTATAACAATCGGTGGCGATACGATCACCAGCGTCATTGGAGGACCTGCCAAGAAGCCACGAATAGACAAGTCCGGGGGCCAACGCTCGTCGGATGGTCGTAAATCCTCCAAAGGGAGTACACCTATGCCCTCCTTTAAAGGCCGTTTGACACAAATGTTTGCAGCATCGAGCTCGGTGAAGGAGGCTAGTCGTGACGACACTGGAACGACAGAGTTAATGGACGTCTCATCTCGGTCTACATCACCCAGTGAAAACCTGTTCGTCGAAGATAAAGATGATGTGGATATCAGCAAAGAGTCTCAAGGTAGCGATGAAGATGTCGGGAGCAAGGATGAGCAAAAACTGCACTATGATGCACAATCCCTAGCCAGTAAAGAGCAAGGGGAAGAGCAAGGCGAGGAGAAGAGGCAGTCACCGTTTGACTCAAACGGTGACGATTACGTGGATGAAGATGAAAGTAAAGCCCAGGAGTACATCAGGGTACAGAATGTGATTGATGCCGCAGAAAATGCAGCAAATACAACCTCTGAGGAGACGGAGAAACGCCAACAAAGCTTCATTCGCGGCGTAACTAGGCGGAAAGACGGAACTTCTCAATGTCTCCAGAAGCTTTGCATGGACGAGAGAAGGTTAAAGGAGATGGCTTCAACTTTGGAAAACAACCGGGCAGATTTTGATTCTAGCACAGATGCAAAGTTGTCGGCGGAAAACATCAATGCTTCCGATGCGGAGGAAAAGTTATCTTTAACAATCTCAAAGTCCGACTTTGGCAAGATGAAGGTTGTCGGCCAGTTCAATCTGGGCTTTATATTAGCTGTTCGAGCAGCAGAAACGAGCCTAGACGGCACGGATACCCACGCCAAGGATGACGAACTCTTTATCATTGATCAGCACGCCACAGACGAGAAATACAACTTCGAGCGTCTTCAAGCGAGCACCATCGTGCAATCCCAGAGGCTTGTCCAGCCCAAGACTCTCGAGCTGACCGCCATCGAGGAAGAGGTCATCAAGGAGAACATGGACGCCCTTGAGACCAACGGCTTCATGGTCAGCATCGACGAGAGCGGCTACCAACCCGTCGGGTCCCGCTGCCAGCTCCTGAGCCTACCGCTAAGCCGCGAGACGACCTTCTCGCTGGCCGACCTCGAGGAGCTCATCTCGCTCCTCACCGAGCACCAGTCCGCGTCTGCTACCACCGTACCCCGGCCGTCCAAAGTGCGCAAGATGTTCGCCATGCGCGCTTGTCGGAGCAGTGTCATGATTGGCAAGCCGCTGACGAATAAGCAGATGGAGAAGCTGGTTAGGCACATGGGGGAGCTGGACAAGCCGTGGAATTGCCCGCATGGGAGGCCGACTATGAGGCATCTCGGTGGACTCGGAGCATGGGGCAGTGCTGGGTGGAGGGAAGGGGATGGGTTTGATGGTGAGAGGCCGGGGCCGACGGATTGGACGGCGTATGTGAGGGAGAGGCGTGGGACATAGTTGTTGTGATCTACAAACGCTAGGAGATGAAGGTAATGTTGAGATGAGAATTTATTTAGAAGTAGTACATCTCAAGAGACATTTACTACTTGCTCATGTAGCAAAACACGCTGGATATCTTTTCAACCTTCCTATGTGCATTAGCACGTCCTGGTTTGGGTTGCCCGCTCTTTGCCCCGAAGCGTCTTAGTATTACTCTCAGCGAGCATTGTTCCAAGATAAGACAAAGCGTCAAAGTCATAGATCGAATTGCGTGAAGACGTGTTATGACATTCTCCGAAGTCATCATGAATATTGCAACATTCCAGAATGTTTCCAATCGCATAGAGCCAATTCACTCACAATACAATGGTCCATACACTCTCTCATCTCATAACCTCACACTGTTATACTATCAAAACCATTATTTAAGTGAAAAACAAGTATGTCCACTGACCCTGGGTATCGGGGGAATCTACCCTACAATTACCTTTACATCCTAAGCGTGCGTATCTTCATCATGCATCTGCATCGTCGTACGCTAATAAGTAATCCCAACAATGACAAAAACTCCTGGTATTTTCTCCTTTCCCTTCTTTCCCTATTCATCATCGAAACGAATCCAAACTCAGACTTCGCCCGTTTATTTCGCAAATCACACCGTTTCCCAAGAGTGCCTCTTAATCATCATTAAGCACACTGTACCGCGAATATCTCCTCCCCGCCCTCCCCTCCTCAGCAATCTTCCCGCTCACATTCCGGCGGTACTTGCCGTAGCCACTACCGCCAGTCCCCAAATCATAGTCATTGCCCGACGAGACCTGGCGTCCGGTGGCGGTGCCGACGATGAGGGGCGGCGTAGCAGCCCTGAGATCACCGTAGGGCTTCGCGTAGAAGCTATCCTCGGGCTGGATGGAAGAATCCCTATTTCTCCCTTGCCAGCTGTTGCCGTTGATGCTCGTGGGAGAGGCCAGGTTGCTGTTCTGGTTCAGGTCGGCGACGTCCTGGCTTCCGCTGGGTGCGCGCGAGTTGAGGTTGATTTCTGACAGGGTCGAGTCGCGGTGCGGGCGGTGGGGGGTTCGGGCGCGTGGTAAGACCGAGGACACGGCCGTCCGGTTGGAGCGCAGGGGGTTGGGGTGCATGTTGCCGATGCCGAAGGCGCCGTCGTCCTCCAGGTCCGAGATATCGGCGGGGTCGGGCCGCATCATGTTATTCTCCTGGTCTGAGTCGCCGTCCGAGTCCCGGTCGTATTGCTGAGTAATTGCCTCGTAAGCGCGAGGCTTGGAGGGGGACGTGGATACCGAGGTCTTGTCGGCTGCCATCTGGGCTCGTGCGCGTTGCTGGGTGCGGCTGATGAGCGATTCGGATGCGTACCAAGCCTCAGTGAACCTGGCGGCACGAGTCGGTGACGTAACGGGCGGTGCGGTTGATATGCTGCTGGGACGTGGGGACTGCTGACCCGTCTCGTGGATCGGGACCTCGACATAGCTGCCTCGGGGGCTAGCATAGCGAGGGGGCTTGGACAGGCGCTTGAGCTCAGCTGCGGAGGTGATACTGTTGCGAGGTGAGTTTCCGGGTTCGATCTGGCGCTGGAAGCTGGGCAGATCCGCCCGCGAATCTCGCTTCGAAGAGGCCATCGAGTCTCTGGATCCAGTGCGGGTATGCATGAAGGGAATGCTGGGTGGGCGCGACAGGGTTTCGTACGGAGCACCAGAACGACGGCGATCCTCAAGGGGAGTTGAGAGACGCTTTTCGGAAGCGGACGTGTAGCTCGTGGAAACGGAGGACTTGTTGCGCTTGTGACGGGCCGTGAGATTGTCCTCCAGCGGATTCATGTCGGGAGGCATGTTGGCTATTCTATGGAACATCAGAGCCAGCCAGCCAGAGATGCATAGGGAGATGAAATGGCAACCGCCAGCGCTGATAAGCAGGTAATAAACCGCTGGAACGAGAACGCTGGTGATGGACTGGTTGGCCAACAGAGTCATCCAATCCTTGCCATGGTTGACCACGGCGAGCACACCAAATGAGTACAGAGGCAGAACAGCCAGGTCGGTGAAGCCAGAAAAGAGGTGATAGGCTGCAGACGAAGCGGGCGTTCTGGCTCCTGCCGGTCTGTGAAGATGATAGAGGGCGTAGACACTGCTAATGGCCACGACGCCGCCCTACAGATGCGTTAGGTTACACTTCATTATAAGATAAGTACTGCAATGACTTACAGTGATTCTCAAGACCCATGCTGTAAGAGCATCGACGTTGGAGATCAGGATCATGAGAACGAGCAAGCCCAGACCGCCCGCAAGTTCCAACACGCGAAAGGGCATCTGCACTTTCCTCATGCACTTGATCCACCACTTCTTCGTGCTGCTCATGGGTCGAAAATTGGTGGTTCTACCCGTGAGCACATCATGTGCGCTAGGAGAATCGCATATCAGTTACATGCTGCGCTAAAGTAATTATGCAACGTGTCCGAGAGCACAAAGTGTCTCAGTCAGTCAGTCCAAGTGGATATACTTACTCAGGATGACGATTGAAGGCCACAAGCGGTCTGTCCTGCTTGGGCTTCGGCTTAGGTTTCGATTCCCACGAGGCTCTCGTCACAGCTTTGGGGTCGAATTCTTTCGTCGGAGAGCGGTTGTCTCGTCCATCGGCATCATACAGGTACGGCTGGTTGAAGCCCATGTTTGCGACCCTCGTCGAATTATCCGGCACTATTTGTGCGGGAGCAAATATTCTAGAGTAGTAGGTCGTCGAAGGACAGTGTTGGACTCAAAAAAAGGTTGTGCAAGGGCAGAGATGCGCCTTTATGAGAATTAAGGAATTCTGGACCCAAAAAGACGAGACAAGTATGTAATTAAGGTATGCCAGCTGCGGTGCTGTGTCCGCAGCAGGTTTCGGGGTGGCTGTAACAAGTTGGGTTGTGCCGATTATCTATGCGGCGCGAGTTGGCACGGCAACCAGCCGCCTTGTCAAACACAAGGTTGTGACCAGAAAGCAGGGTATTCGTCCTCCCATTTCTGCTACCTAAGCCACTCCATATTACAGCTGATAACTTGTTTAATCTGGCATTTGCACAGGAGTCGTCAAATAGTTAACTTTAAACGCCTAGTCCGCAGTTATAGACGCTCTCCAACATCCGATGGCGGGTATAAACTCTCGGAATCCGAGACAGCAGCTGCAGAATGACAATGATCACGTGTAGCTGCAATAGTCCAACCCCATTTTCCCGCCCGTGTGAATAATCGTAATTCCATTCGTCAACTTGCACTTTTTCCCTGCATATTTACGAAGCTCCTTGCCTAAGGCGGCTGGGGTACTGCAAACATGGCTTCACTCGCCCGATCGTGGGTTTGCAGCACCTGCCGACGAAAAGCACTAAGCCAACCTACGCAACCAGCCCTCATACCCAAGAACCTTTGTTCAACCACCTCGGCCCCCCGCCAGCATGATCGGCCTTTTCGCATGGCCGTCGTGGGTTCCGGCCCGGCTGGCTTCTACACGGCTTACCGAGTCATGTCCAGGATACGGCAGGCCAAGGTCGACATGTACGAAGCCCTGCCTGTGCCGTTTGGACTCGTGAGGTTCGGCGTTGCGCCAGATCATCCCGAGGTCAAGGTATGATTGAAATATTTGTCAAGAATATCATGCATATGGTAGGACAATAATTTCTCACCAAAAAATGTAGAAATGCCAGGAAAAGTTTGAAGAGGTCGCCAGTTCGCCAAACTTCAATTTTATAGGAAACGTCGCCGTGGGCAACTCGGACGGCCACTTCGGCGGCTGCACGGTGCCACTGAGGTCGCTCATGCAGCACTACGACGCCGTAGTGTTCGCCTACGGTGCGTCCAAGGACAGGAAACTCGGAATCCCCGGCGAAGGCAAGTTCAAGGGCATCTACTCGGCGCGCGAGTTCGTCGGCTGGTACAACGGCTTACCCGAGTATGCCAACCTGGCGCCGGACCTGACGCACGGGGACGAGGCTGTCATCATTGGGCAGGGAAACGTCGCGCTTGATGTGGCTCGGATGCTGCTGGAAAATGTGGATGTGCTCCGGAAATCGGACATCACCGAGGCCGCTATTGAGACCCTGCTGAAGAGCAGGATAAAGCGCGTTCATGTCGTTGGACGGAGGGGGCCAATGCAGGCTTCGTATACCATCAAGGAGGTGCGTGAGTTGATGAAGCTTCAGGACGTGGGATTCCACCCAGTCGATATGGCGTTGATACCCGACGAGGTGTCCAAATTGCCCCGGGCTCCGAAGAGGTTGATGGAGGTCGTGTTGAAGGGGTCTACAGCCAAAGCAGAGGAGGCGTCGAAGGCTTGGTCATTGGATTTCTGTTTGTCTCCTACTGAGTTTGTTGGCGGGGCGGAGGGTGGGCATTTGAGCCGGACTGTTTTCGAGCGAACTTCTCTGTCGGATCCTTTTGACCCCACCTCCAAGGTCAGTGGTACGGGAGAGCACCTGTCGATCCCCTCGGCCCTGGCCTTCCGTTCGATAGGTTACAAATCTGTTGGGTTGCCTGGTTTCGAAGAGGCAGGCATTTTATTTGATGACGGAAAGGGGGTGATTCGTCATGATGGCCTTGGACGAGTCTACACCCGCGGCGAAAAACCACAGGAACTTCAACACCTACCGGGAGTGTACTGTGCGGGATGGGTCAAAAGAGGGCCGACGGGTGTCATTGCGTCGACTATGCAAGACGCTTTTTCAACTGGAGATGCCATTGCGGAGGACTGGTCCGCGGAAGCCAAATTCCTCAACGAGGGGAACAGTCACGGTTGGGAAGGTGTGAAGACTGAGGTGCATGACAACAAGTGCAAGGTCATCACGTGGGCGGATTGGCATAAAATAGACCAGGTCGAGAAAGAAAGGGGTCGCTCCGCTGGCAAAGCGAGGGAAAAATTCACCAGCACAACGGAGATGCTGGCGGCGGCTGTTTGAAGAGAACGATACGCCTCCGCAGGCGCAATTGAATGCCAATCTACGTATCCTTGTATTGTACCGTCTATGCTGACTTGAGCTTCTCTGTCAACTCCGGAACCTTTTCAAATAAATCCCCAACTAATCCTACATCAGCCACCTGGAATATGGGTGCGTCGCCATCCTTGTTGATCGCCGCAATCACCTTGCTGTCCTTCATACCCGCCAAATGTTGGATGGCACCTGAGATACCCACAGCCATGTACAATTGAGGAGCCACCACTTTACCGGTCTGCCCAACTTGCAGACTGTTATCAGCGTAACCGCTATCTACAGCGGCTCTAGAGGCTCCAACGGCGGCACCGAGCGAGTCGGCCAGGGTCAGCATAACCCGATCAAACTCCTCCTTGGACTTCAGTCCTCGACCGCCCGAGACGACCTTGCTTGCCGTCGCAAGATCGGGACGGTCCGACTTCGCCAGATCCTCCGACACCCATTCGCTGGTGAGCTCGCCCTTGGGGTCAACACCGTCCTCGACCATCGCTGAGCCCCCAGCTACTTCCGCCGCTGCAAAAGCCGTTCCGCGGATCGTGATGAACTTGATTGCGTCCGACGACTCAACGGTAGCGATGGCGTTGCCGGCGTAAATGGGCCGGACGAATGTGTTCTCGCTCTCGATGGCGGTGATGTCTGAAATTTGCTGGGAATCCAGTAGGGCGGCCACGCGCGGCATCAGGTTCTTGCCAAAGGCTGTGTGTCCAGCAATGATGTGGGTGTAGCCGCCTTTCTTGATGTTCTCGACGAGTAGCGGAGCATAGTTTTCTGCGAGACCCTTGGGGTTGTGTTAATATAATTGTATTTGTTTGGAGGAGACTGGCACAGCGTGTCGTGTACCTTCTCGTAAGCCGCATTGTCCACTGCGATAATCTTCTCAACACCCGCAACCTTGGCAGCCTCCTCCGCCACGGCCTTGATGCCTTCACCAGCAACGAACCCGTGTATTGTGCCTCCTAACTTCTGTGCGGCGGTAATTGCGCTGAGGGAGCCGTGGTTTAGCTTGCCATCTCGCTGTTCGAGGATTGCCAGCGACGACAGCAGCCTTCGGAGGGCCGAGGAGCTGGAGAATACGGAATTGGCCGGGGGAAGAGCGCTGGTAGCTCTCAGAGCTGTCCGTCTTGCTGCTACTGAAAACATGGTCGGTCGTGATGGGGATGGACACCAGACACCACACTCCAGAGTCTCGAAACCGCAAGTCCGTTCAAAGAGGAAGAAGAGTTCGTCATAGCCGGGGCAAGCCGAGGTCGTGCTCTTGAGCCGTAGTCGGCGTCAGCGACCCAAGGTACCCGTGAACGCGCTAGTGGACCGTACTGCTAGTGCAAATATGCACTGTCTGCACTGTGACGCTCGAGCCAGCCTCGAACTCTGGAGTTGAGTTGCCAAGCTCTGGATTTTGTCGCGAAAGGCCCAGCTCGACCAAACGCGATAACTCAGCCATCTCAACGAGCCATCGTCCAGCGGTTTGCGACAACAACCCATCCGAATTGTGTCGGCTGTAATTCTAAATGAGCTGTCACCGATAAGAATTTGATACTTTGCGACGCGACGCGCCCTCGCTTTTTGCGCTTGGCGCTTTCACCTTGACTATCGGCATCCCTTTCTTCTTCTCGTCGAACATTCACTCCACCTAGCCTTTCGACCCGCGATCCCATAGCTCAGAACCATCACCATATCCGCCATGGAGGAGAACGTCATTTACGGCTCTCCGGCCAATGCCATCACCCCGGGTAGCAACCCCATTCTGTCGCAGCCGCCTCTTCAACCAGACCCGTCAGCTGCGCCCGAGACCTCTGAAGGTGAGCCAGGACTCCGTGCGCATGGAATGCACACAGCGGCTGTCCACTAGCTCCAACAATACTAATCCCCATACCCACTCCCAGATGTCCAGATGGTCGAGGCTTCTCTTTCAGAGCCCAACATCAAGCAGGATAGTACCACGCCTGCGCCCGGTGGTACTTCAGACAACCCTCTCGATGCCCCCGATGGACCGCCTGCTGAGACCACGTTAGCCAAAGATGATGAAGAGATGCGCGATGCCCCCAAAGATGGTCAATCCGGCGATAAGGACGGCGACGGGGCCGCCGCTGGCGCCGAGGGTGGACAGACGGAAGTCAAGTCGAAAGAGAGCATAGAGAATGCCGCGCGCGAACACCTTATCTCCCAGACACACTCCATTGTCCTGCCGAGCTACAGTACTTGGTTCGACATGAACGTCGTCCACAGCATCGAGAGGAAGGCCATGCCCGAATTCTTCAACAGTCGCAACCGAAGCAAAACACCACATGTCTACAAAGACTATCGCGACTTCATGATTAACACATACCGTCTGAACCCCATCGAGTACCTCACTGTAACTGCATGCAGACGGAATCTGGCTGGTGACGTGTGCGCCATCATGCGTGTTCATGCATTCCTTGAGCAATGGGGCCTAATCAACTATCAAGTAAATGCGCACTTACCAAGCCTTGTTGAGTACATACTAATTACTCATAGGTCGATGCTGACCAACGACCATCCCAAGTTGGACCTCCATTCACTGGTCACTTCCAGGTCATCTGTGACACCCCCCGTGGACTTCAGCCATGGCAACCGTCGGCAGACCCTATCGTGCTGGAGGGCAAGAAGAGCCAAGACACGGAGCAGAAGGCCGCTACCGCTGCTACGGCCGCAGGCGAGCGCAATCTTGAGATTGGACGAAATATTTACGAAGCCAGTGCCAAGGGAACGAAACTCACCAAGACCGAATCAAAGACCAACGGCGACGCAACAGCTGTCAATGGTACTGCCAGCGCTTCTCCAGCTGCTGAGGATCCTCTGAAGGCGCCTATTGCCAAGGTTAACTGCCAGCATTGTGGAGTCGACTGCACCAGGGTTTACTACCATCTTCCTGAAGCCAACTCGCAGAGCAAGACCAAGTATGATGTTTGCCCGAGCTGTCTGCTGCAAGGGCGCATTCCCAACAACCAGACCAACACCCAATTCCTCAAAATGGAGAATCCCATGTATTCTGCCATTTTGGATCGTGATGCGCCCTGGACTGACGCTGAGCTTCTGCGACTCCTGGAAGGTCTGGAGAGATACGACGACGACTGGGCTCAGATCGCAGAGCACGTTGGCACGCGAAGCAGAGAGGAGTGTGTGCTTCAATTCCTTCAACTCGACATTGAGGACAAGTATATCGAGACAGAGGCACCAGTCCACGCACCGACTGGTCTGCAAATGCTCGGTAGCCACGGTGGCCACCTGCCTTTCAGTCAAGCAGACAACCCGGTCATGTCTGTCATTGGGTTCTTGGCAAGCTTGGCAGACCCCAAGAGCACCGCAGCAGCTGCCAGGCAGTCTGTAGAGGAACTCCGCGCTGGTTTGAAAAACAAGATTGAGGGTGGTGAAGTTGCCAAAATAAATGGCAAGGGCAAGGAGAAGGAAAGTGACTCCATGGAGATCGATATCCGACAGGAGAGCACGACGACTACTACTACCACGACGACAACCACCACCAACACCCTCGCCAGCATCCCACTTGCCGCCGTTGCTGCCCGTTCTGGCGGTCTTGCTTCGCACGAGGAGCGTGAGATGACCCGCCTCCTCTCAGCTGCTGTCAACGTCACACTTCAGAAGATGGAGTTGAAGCTGAAGTATTTTGACGAGATGGAAGGCATTCTGCAAGCCGAGCGACGAGAACTCGAGAGAGGCCGCCAGCAACTCTTCCTTGACCGTCTGGCGTTTAAGAAGAGAGTCCGAGAGACCCAAGAAGGTCTGAAGGCGGCAGCTCTCAATGGTGGCGATGTGAAGATGGCCATGGGTGGTGATGGCAATGGCTTGACGTTTACTTCGACGCCGGCGGCGGGCGCTGTGCAACCCTTGAGCGCTGACGGCCAGATCAAGAGTTACGAGGCGTAAATGCTGTCGGACTATATACACGGCATGGTGTGCGGATGGAAAGGAGATGTGGCGAAAACCGGTATGTTTCGGGACTGGCTAAGGTATTCTGCGTTATTTGTTCTTGAGAGAAGGCGTTTCGATGGTCGGCTCATGCTCATACAGCTCCCGGTCTTGTGAAAGTATGTTGATAAAATGTGTACCACCAGTTACTAGGAGACTCATAAATAGTGTCCACCAATGAATTCTTTACGTTGACCTAATTTCTTGGCTTATCAGATCGTATGTGCCAGCCCAGCTGTGAAGGGCATGACTGTCCTGAGAATTGTACAGTAACTTAGGCACCCCCGTAACAAACATGGATTATCTACAATAAACATGGCAGAAACGGTCCTATTTTCCAGTCTACAAACACGGGTATATTATTCTCTCCACTATCATCATGTTGATCAAGTGCCAACAGCACCCTCTGCATCCCTACCAGCCACCTCCCACTCACTCATATACTCAAAAGTAGCCCTCCAATCGTACCCAACTGCCGGCTCAAACACTGCACGTCTGGCTCCCTTAGGTAAGCCTGTCGTCGTCGCCGTCGTCTGCCCAGGCCCGCCAGTACTTGGCATAGTAGTAGTCCCCCACTGCGGTGCCACCCCCTGCTGGCGTAGCACCCCCCACAGCCGAGCCTCTTCCTGTGTGCTGGCCCGGGCATCATGCTCATCGGCCTCGGCTTCCAGGCGGTATTCGGCTTGGATACGGGATTGGAGGGCCTGGCGCGCTCGTGTGGTGCCTTCGAAGTCGGCGGAGAAGTGCATGGCTTCTTCGAGGTCATATTTTATGGCTGCGGTCTCAGGGGATAGGTCGCGGTTCGATTCGCTGGTATCTTGAATTTCGGGGTTCATGGAATCGATTGGAGTGGAGGTGGTTGATGTGTCGGAGAGATCGTCATTGTCATCATCGTCGTCGTCGTCGTCTCTTTCAGGGGCCGTTCGCCAATGGGGCCTGCGGTAACCCAGAGCAGCTTCTATGTCGTCATACGACATGATCTCGTCACCTCCGCCCTCCCCTTCGTCCTCTCCCTTCGATCCATAGACATCCAACCTCAACCTCCTTGCCGACCGCGCCCAAAACTCGCGACGGCTCGTCTTCATGGATATTGAATCAGCCGCGGCTTTAACATCCCTCGCCTTGACCACGTGCCGCGTCTTGGCCACAACTTCCTTCTTAGCTTTGATCCTTGACTGGCTCATATGCAACGCAGCCGCAACCAACCGCCTCGTGACACTCACAGCCAGCGCATGAAAATCCGATAACGCCGTGCTCCGGATAGCAGGCGGCACCGAGTCCGAAAACCACCGCCAGTTGTACTCGGGTATCGACGAGTTCATGAACATGTGCTCGGACACCCTAATCCAATTCCTCAGAATAAAGAGCTCGGCAAACGGCAACTCCACATCAGGCCCTTTCCGCTTCATACTAACTTCATCCAGCTCCTTGCTTAACGATTTGGTAACGAGCCATTTGTCACCCCACTTCTTTTCCTCAACCGCCACCTCATGCCCCTCCTGACGCAGCGAAAGATCGTCCCCGACCTCATCCAGCGCGTTACAGCAATCCTGACTAACCTCCACCGCTGCCAGCACCTCAACCGGTTTCAGCGTTTTGCGCCGTAGATCCCCCTCGGCCTGCCGTCGCCGCAGCTCCGTTTCCGACAGAAATACCAGGTACTGGTGCACCTCGACGGCGCCCTTGGTGCCGATGCGGGCGGCGATGCCGGGGAGGTCGTCGCGCCCCAAGCGGCCTAGTGCTGAGAATAGGGCTTCCTTCTCGATGTGATTCCAGCGCGTTGCGCCGAGTTGGGAGTCCTGGAGCTCTGCCGCGTTGGTTTCGGTAGAGACTACGAGGCCTGCGGCCGCATCCTGGATGTCTTGGTTTAGGAGGGCTAGGTAGTCGGCGTTGAAGGTGCATTTTTGCCGTTTTAGGGGCGCACCGGAGTAGTCGGGGAGGCGGCGGCGTTTACGGGATCGTCCGAAGGAGTTGGGACTGCTAGCTTCTTCTCCTGACGAGGCGGTGGCGGTGTTGTTGTCTCCTTCACTGGACGATTCGCTAGAGCGAAATGAGTCGTCCTGCTCGATGTACGGATCTTCTTCTGCTGGGAGCGCTTCTAGAACACCAGAAATGTGAGATACGACCTCGCTGGGGGCGTAGTCGTCTTCTGCTGAACTCATAGTCCTGTAGGTGTCGGCGACTTTCTATAATAAAGGTTCTCATAGAGGTTGTAAAAAGTTATGGCCGAGCTTTGAAAATGGCAGGTGGACCCAAGCTCGTGATTGCCCGGAATATATCTGTCATTCTTAAAGTTGAAATCTGTTGCGTCATCTCCTGCAGCATAAGTAAAAATTTGGATACCGTCCAAATCTAGTCAGACCTTGGTGAATGGCTTCTTAAGTTGGTGACTTTGGAACGTCGTGGCGAATCACTAAAAGTTGTTGCAGAGGCCTTGAGTGGGTATGAAATACTTTCACAGCACAGGACACCAATAGGTAGGGTTGAGCAACAGTTTTTCATTCAAAAACGCAACCTCAAACATCAACTGACTGTAGCCAACTTGAAACATTCCATCAGATCTGGATAAATTGTACCTATATACCTGAACAAGGCATTTGTTATTTGGACTTCGCAAGGGCAAGTGACGATGACTTGCAATAATCAGCTTCCCATTATAGATGGAACGAAGCTTCAAAGCACAGACCATATAAGCTATTTACGGCGCTTCGACGTGTACGTTATCGCCCCTGGTGTACTCTAATGTACTTTCTGACTACTGAACGCCCAGTCAATGTTAGCAATACCCACAGCTCTATCGATAGCTAGGCTATTTCATGAATTACATGGACGTATTACCCATGGTAATAACCCTAAGGGCCGTCACCTCACACTTTATGAGTTGATCTATTCGTACATACCCTACAATACTATGTAGTATGGTGACGTCTACGCTATCCTCTTGATTAAAGTCTTTCGCCCGATCTCTGGCCGTTCAAGACTAGCTTGGTCAAATGGGTCTCGTGTTTCTGGGTATGGATGCTCAAATCCGTTAGCACTGTGTTATGTCGCCTGTCCGTACCTAAGATCCATAGTTGATAGCGTTATCTTGCAGGGCCTGGTTGGTAGTCTTATGCAAGTACCCATCAGCTTAATAGCACAAGCCGCAAAATCAAAGAGTCACAAGCATCTCGATCTACTTACAGGTTACTAATATTCTGAAGAATATACTGCATTATCTCTTATATGTATATTCATATCTGTAATGAGTATTTTCGCACTAGATTTCCCGGTATACATCGTATGATAGCTAACATTACTTGTTCATATAATATTCGGGTTTTTTTCATAAGAACATGCCCTCGATGCTTACGCTACGGACAGTAAGCTACACTTTAAAGAATCCCAATGTCTAAGATGCAGTACTGGTAGGTATATGAATACTATAGCACGTAGTAAATATATATTCCTACTTCACACAGTCCCGCGCAGATTAGGTTTATGACAATATAAAGATGTTGCCCCTTCACTCAGGTACTACATCTATTCCGCTTTCCAGTTGCGTAAGGTGGAAAATGAGGAAGCACAAAGCGGATGGTCAGGTCCTAACACTCGAATACGAGCTTGAGCACACTGGTCCATCAACATAATAGCATTATCAGTAAGCCCTTGCGATTTCCAAGAAAATGCCAGGTTGGCCATACTTCTCAGCGTATCGGGATGCTCCGCACCTAGCACCGTCTTGCTCATCTCCATCACCTGCACTTCTAGCAACTCGGCCTCCTTCCACCGGCCTTGGTTACAGTACGTCGATGCCAGGTTGGCTATACTGCTCAGCGTATCGGGATGCTCCGCACCTAGCACCGTCTTCCTCGTCTCCATCACCTGCACATCTAGCGACTCGGCCTCCTTCCACCGGCCTTGGTTCCAGTACGTCGATGCCAGGTTGGCTATACTGCTCAGCGCATCGGGATGCTCCGCACCTAGCACCGTCTTCCTCGTCTCCATCACCTGCACGTCTAGCGACTCGGCCTCCTTCCACCGGCCTTGGTTCCTGTACGTCGATGCCAGGTTGGCTATACTGCTCAGCGTATCGGGATGCTCCGCACCTAGCACCGTCTTCCTCGTCTCCATCACCTGCACGTCTAGCGACTCGGCCTCCTTCCACCGGCCTTGGTTACAGTACGTCGATGCCAGGTTGGCGATACTTCCCAGCGTATCGGGATGATCCGCCCCTAGTATTTCTCTTCGCAGCTCTACTGCTTGATCTAGTCTCTTTTCGGCCTCCTTCCACTGTCCATGATAGAGATAGTAACCTGCCACGTTGTGCAGAAGATATGCTCTCGCCTTGTTTCCATCCTGCGAACCAGTCTCTTCTTGTCTCAGCACGGCATACGCATGCGGGAGGTACTCTTGACACACCTCCTTGCTCTCATGTTTACCGTATGGATAGGTATTTGATACTATCCGAAGAGCTTGCTGTGCGAACTCAGTCATCCTTCGGCTATTAACAAGCCATTTCCGCGTGACCATTTGTACCAGCCGGTGCATGTCCACGCTCTGATGCTTCGACTCTTTAATGAAGGAAAATGCCTTTAAAATACCTAGCGCTTTCGTAACTGCTGCCGCTTGACTGGCCTCTGACTCCTGCGGCGTTCTTTGGAGATAGTAATTATTTATAAATATTTTCGGAATAGCCTGTCGATCAAAAAGACTGAGAAGAGATAGAACATCGCTAGCGAATGCATTTTGTCTCTCGATCTGCTCAAAGGAGGAGATGATCCACGTTGCTGTGAGGGCGTGTGGCGTGCCCGAGTCTCTCCCGACAGCTTCGAACGGTTCGCTGAGACAATCCACAAGTCTAGAGTCGCTCTCAGACAATAGCTGGACATAGTCATTGATTAATATGTCGTTTTCTAGAATAAATGCTGCCGCCTGGGCGAGTGCGAGCGGTAGATTTTCTAGGCGGGATGAGAGGAGCAACGTTTCTTCCGTAGAGATTATATTAACTTCTTCCTCTAGCATTGAGCGAAGCAACTGGTCTGCTTCGTCATTAGACATGCTGTCAATCCTGATTGGAGGCCTTCCTGGAGCAAGCCGTGAACCAGTTTGTTTGTTCCTTGTCGTGATGAGAATCAATCCGTGGGCGCACTCGGGAACATAGCGTCCTAAGTTGTGTTTTGCTTCAATCGCATTGGTAGACATATCGGCGTGACATCCATGTATTTGAGAGAATAGATGGGTGTCGTCAGCATTGTCAATCACCATGAGCCACTGGCCTGAGTTCTTTGTCTCTAGCCACTTCCTGACGAGGAGAAGTGCGTCGGCTTTAGGGTCGTCACGTCCGGGAATATTACATTCTTCGGCGATAGAGGCGAAAGCCTGGCGGAACCGTTGCGCATTACTAGCATGGACCCAAAAAACAGAAACACCGGGATGCGTCTCTTTCATCCAGTACACGTACGCCAGTGCTATCTGCGTTTTACTATATGAAGTCAGAGAGTATAAAGGCTTTGACGAGGTGTCTTGCATTACCCAACGCCGCCTAGGCCATAGAGCGCTACTCTAGAGCACGGCTTGACTGTAGCTTGGTTTTGGTCATGCCCGAATAGTCGTTTGACTTGATCAAGAATTTCGGACCGACCAACAAAGCCCGGATTCTCGTTGTATGGGACAAGAACTGTGGCTCATTAGCGAGTTCCGGGTCCCCAGACTTAATTAATCACTTACACCATGTATGGGCAGTTTCAGGCCCGTTTCTCTGGATATAGTGCTCGAGAAGTGCCTTCATTGCTGAGGCCGCTGTTGCTGCTGCAAAGTCCTGCCACCTCTTGTTCTTGTGACTGTCAGCGTAGTCACATACCGCCTTAACAATGACACACGGAATCTCGTCCCATACCCCTGCTCCCTCCATCTCAAAAGCTATGATGCTATGTTCTTTGGCTATCCTGTCCCGGTGTTCGCCTGATTTCATTACTGTATCACCCGAGCCTATACGCCCAATGTGTATTCGAGATTCTTGTGCGTTCGTGATATCTCCTTCCTCAAACTGTCGCTTTCTCTTAGACTCCAGGCGTCTCCTTAATACTCGATGCCCGACGTTACACTGAAGCTCCTCACAAGACGCACTAATCGCTCCGTCACAGGCACTGATTTCATCACAGCTACAGGTTGATTGATCTCGATGTCTGTGGGGATAGTCTGGCTTGAAAAGCGTGTCCTCTCCATCGGCAGGACGGTCGTAGCATGTCCGATGATTCGTCTCGACGGCCGTTTGTTGGAGTTTCTTCAGGATCTGAATGGTCCGGCACTGCAGTTCATTCAGGCCTAGATGCGTCTCGAAGATGGCGAGCAGAGTGCGGATGTCCTTGCTCGGCCGGCCGAGGTTATCATGGACAGTATCTTTCCGGCTGAACTTACCAGGGTACTGACGGCCTAGGTCATATTGAACGATGCTATTGCTGATGACAATATCCCCGAGCAGAATCTCGTCGTCGGTCCCCGGGCTGGGCACTCCACCGCAAATGCCAGTCAAGATGGCCAACTTGAGCCCAGTATAGATTAATCGGAGACGGGCTGTCTCATTTGCGGCGCTGACCTTCCCCATGTTAGGAAGGAGGACCAGAACAGCATTGTGGCTTCCGATCCGGCCCATTTTGTGATAGTTGTCATGTCCGGCAGGACGACCGCGTATATCTCGATCTTCGTTCCAGAATTCATCAAAAGCCAAGGCGACGGCATCGTACTCGAGGGGCAGGGCGCATATGACTGCGACGTGGAAGTCTTCACGACAGCGAGGCCGATAATTGTTAGTCATCGCAAGTCGTCAAAGATGTCGTGGGAGACCGTGTTTGTGCTACGGAGTCGAAAGTGTAACCTGTTGATCATTCAAGAGGGTGTTTTGGAGAAGTGGTGGACAGACTATCAAGGGCGACGACCTCTCCACCGCACGCAAGGCTGTGTCTGCTGTAGATCACGCGCTTAGGTTGGTTGAGCAGAAATCCGCCAGCAATCCGCGCTGCGCACTTGCCTGCATTCCCTGCATGGCTTCGCATTAACGTGGATCGCTCGTGACTGTCTTGGGTTATTTGGCGAGAGTTCCAGAGAACATTATGGGTTGTCCTGTACTCCAGCGAATAACTTCGGGTTCTGGCAAGATCGGACTCTCAGCTTTTCATATGGGCTTGGAATCTGTCCTTCATCCAGCCTGGATTCAATTTCGGCCAGCTCAGGCAAGACGATAGCAGTTGCAAGGCCGTGTTCGTATTGTATGCAATAGAAGGAGCCTTGGCGGCTTATGCACAGGGGTAGATCAACGCGGACCCAGCAAGTAGAACACATGGTTCAAGGCTGAATTCGGCCAAAAATCTCAAAATCGGTGCTTTGTAGACAGTAATCTAGCCCTATAGCAACTAAGTTTGATGTCGTCCGTCAAAAGCCCATGTTGGATCTGCAGGTATGTAGATTCGGTCTCTCGTAAAGTGCTCCGCATGTTACCGTAATGCACCTGGCCAGCAGGTCATCCCTAACTGTACGTAAGCCCACAAATTTTCACCTACAAAGCCGGAAACCAATTTCGTGACTGCTGTCATAAGAAAGAAACATCAACAGTAAACTGCTCATATGCACAAAACGTGCGAAAAGCAACACTGTTCCAAGGCAGTTAGCTCGTCCAAGATGACTTAGTCGCCGATCCCACCTGCTGATAACTGCCTGAGGCCTAAACTGGGTGATGAGTCAGCGGTGTATGTGATCAGTAACAACAATAATTTCAAACTAGACAGTAGCAAGTCATAATTCAGAATAGTACACTAAGCGACCAACCGGCACCGTGTCAGCGCCAAGAAAGGAAAAGGTCTGTACACGAATGATTTAAAGATGTAGAATATGGGTAGGGTGACTTCGCTTGTGACTGTAGTAGCGCTCGTATGTACCTTTCAAGTCGAAACTCAAGGATACTTGGGATGGCATCGCGCACAGTATAGGCGCCGGAGATGGCATATATGGTCTGTGCTTTGTATTTTTATTTTGGCTGACATGGGAAGCCGATTTTGCAAATCACTGCAAGGGTCAGTATATTTGTACCAAGTGCACGGGTCATATCCACAGACCCACCTATAATCCCCAAAATACTTCAGTTACCTCAGCGCCAGCATCTTCAGTTCACTTGACGAGTTCAGGATCTCATCAAGTTTTCCATCACCAACCACCCAAGGCTCGGTGCCTGTGCAATGCAACGCTTGTGCACGCCATGGCGTCCTCTGACTTCATTGGTGGGGAGGTCTCGCCCATTGATCGTCCACAGACGGGGTTTTGTCGTTACTCATCCGACACGGGCTCGCGCTGCATCTGCAACGGCAATCCCCGTCAGTTCTCCTTCTCCTATCCAGAAAGTCCGTCTCCGTGACTACCAGGAAGAATGTATCCAGTCGGTCCTTTCTTCGATACAGAATGGCCATAAACGTCTCGGTATCTCACTGGCTACCGGTTCTGGCAAGACGGTTATCTTCACCCAGTTAATAGACCGTATCAAGCCTGTCAACGAACATGCCAGCAAAACTTTGATCCTTGCTCATAGAAGAGAGCTAGTAGAGCAAGCTGCTCGGCATTGTAATAGTGCATACCCAGAGAAGATTGTCGACATTGAAATGGGCAATATGCGCGCCTCTGGAGCTGCCGATATCACCATCGCCAGCGTGCAAAGCATAATGTCGGGGGATAGGATCGACAAATTCGACCCCGAAAAGTTCAAGCTGGTTCTCGTTGATGAGGCTCATCACATTGTGTCCCCTGGCTATTTGAGGACTTTGAAACACTTTAACCTCGACCAGAAGAATCTTGAATCCCCTATTCTTGTTGGCGTTTCTGCCACGTTTTCCCGTTTCGATGGACTCCGGCTTGGAGCTGCCATCGACGAGATTGTCTACCACAAAGACTATGTCGACATGATCGGGGACAAGTGGCTCTCAGACGTGATATTTACCACGGTGGCATCGACAGCCGACGTGTCCAAGGTCCGCAAAAGCGCCAATGGGGATTTTCAACCAGGCGAGCTTTCCGATGTAGTCAACACGGAGCAGGTCAACGAGATTACAGTTCGAAGCTGGCTTGCCAAAGCCGCTGAGAGAAAGTCAACCCTCGTCTTTTGTGTTGATCTTAACCACGTGTCCGGGCTGACCAATACTTTTCGAGCCCACGGAGTCGATGCCAGGTTTGTAACCGGAGACACACCCAAAGTCGAGAGAAGCGAACGCCTCGAAGCCTTTAGGCGTGGGGAGTTTCCGGTCATGGTCAACTGCGGAGTCTTCACCGAAGGGACGGATATTCCAAATATTGACTGTGTCATTCTGGCTAGACCGACTCGCTCCCGTAACCTCTTGGTTCAAATGATTGGGAGAGGCATGCGGCTTCATCCAGGCAAAGAAAATTGCCATATCATAGACATGGTGTCCAGCTTGGATACTGGCATCGTAACGACACCGACGCTGTTTGGCCTGGATCCAGGCGAGCTGCTTGACGGCGCGGCAGTGGACGACATGAAGGAAATTAAGGATCGAAAAGAAGCTGAACAACGGAGGACTGAGGAGGCATACACAGGCAGACCAGGTACAGGTAGCAGAGGGCCTAACCGCACTATCACATTCACCGAATACGAATCCGTCTTCGACTTGATCGCGGATACATCAGGCGAGAAACACATCCGTGCCATCAGCCACTATGCCTGGGTGCAGGTTGGTCCGGGCAAGTATGTCCTCTCCAGCCCAGGTGGCTCTTACATCAGGTTGGAGAGAGATAGTACTGTGGAAGAGGATGCGCCCATGTTCGCAGCATGGGAGATCCGAGCCCTCCCCCCCGGCGTCTCGAAAGCCCCTTATGCAGCACCTCGTCAACTGCTCCAAGCCACCACATTCGTGGATGCCGTCCACGGAGCCGACAAGTACGCATCAGAAAATTACCCTCGTACCTTCATATCAAGGACACAACGATGGCGGAGCGGCCCTGCTACGGATGGACAGCTGAGGTTTTTGAATAAGCTAAGGAGCGAAGGAGACAAGTTGGAGGCATCAGACATTACCATGGGCACAGCCGCGGATATGATCACCAAAATCAAGCATGGCGCTCGCGGACGTTTTGCAGCATTAGATGCAGACCGACGTAAGAGGGAACGCCAGAGCACGATGGCTCAGCAAGACAGAGAGAAAAGAATGCTGCGGGAGAAGGTGTCAGTTGGTTCTCTGGTGGCGTGAAGCACCAGATCAAACACAGTTCAGCATCAACAAATCCTAAGGTGTTCATCCAAGTCACCAGAGAGTCGCCTTAGGCATGACCCATCACCCTGGGGCCGTCAAGCAGTTGGCGACCCTGCACCAGAATGAATTGGGATGGAGGACCTCTTGAAGCAACTGTAACTTTCTCAGTCAGTACATTCTAGGATTATCGGTCAAATAATTGTTCCACTTTGACAACTGAGGAATCAATCTTGGGACCCTTCACGCTGATTCATTCTGGCAATTGTGCGTTGGCAGCAAGTTGTTTTCCACCGCTCAACTTCCACTCACGATGCCTTCACGTTGCAGGGCCGCGAAACCCCAAACTGCAACACCTCTTCAATCACCATTTTCCCAGCATGATTAATTTATCTGTTGCGTGTTCATGAAAACAAAATCAGCCATGACGCCAGCGGACAAAGCCATAATGGCAACTAAGACCGTGCCGAACGACGCAGCCGAGACCTTGCCGGACAATGCAGTCGAGACCGCGGCCGCGACGGTGACTGGAAGCAAACAAGCCACTCCTTCCAGTTCAGTGTTATCACCCCTCCCACCATCGCCATTGCCGTTGCACGAAACGCCATGGGGCTGCTTTCCGCCCGCTGTGCCTGATAGTCGCATCCTTCACACCCTCATTTCTATGCGCAAGAGCTTTATGGAAGATACGCTCAGAAACTACAGTGTCCTCGACGGGTTTCAGGGCGAATTGGACGAAATCACATCTATCGAGCGAGTGGGTCTGGAAAATTGGCTGCAGTTGAAGCAGAAAGAGCGATGCGAACTCCGTGCCCGTTTCTCTAACGACCCCGACTTGGTTCAAACACAGAAGGAGCTTCAGGCCTCTGAGGTTCTGGCGTGGAAGGCACCGACCCCGATTCAGCGACTGAATGCCAGACAAGACATACCTCGACTGAAGAGGAAGCTTGCTGAGCAATGCGAGGAATTTGACAAGGCCGACGAGCCAATTCGAGCAGAAATCACTGGTGTCCTGGTCGCTGCCATGGGATTTAAGCGATGCGAGCTTAATGCATACCAGAAGAGCAAATTCATTTCTGCCACTGCTCCTGCAACTCGAACTCGAGAATTGACGTCAGTTGAGAAGATGTTTGGTGCCCTCAACATGGACGATGATGCTACTCGCTCTCCTACCCCGGATAACGACCACACCGGTCTGAGTCGACCCTCTTCAGGACACTCAGTGTTTAGAATGACCCTCGATGAATCTACTACCGCAGAGGCGAGATTCGACTACCACTATCGCAACAGTTTGAATGTCATCAAACGAGCTTCCAAGGAGCACCCCGAGAACCATTCTGAGAACCATCCCCAGAACCACCCTGAGGACCATCCTAAGCAGCAAACAGAGAAGTCATCCACGCCGTATCAGATTCATATTCCTGATTGGTTCCGTGTTCTTGAAGCCCAAGACTGCATCATGTCAACTCTGCCCACTGTGGAGGAACGATACAAAGAGCTGACCAACCAGATCTATTTTCTGGAAGATAAAATCCGAGCCAATAAGTACAAAGAGAAGGCGGGGCCTACTAAGGAGTGGCACAACCCCAGTCCAGATTGGCACTTCGAGGCACGCCACCAGAAGGGAGGCTGGTGGCGATGCCGATCTGGCTCTGATGCCACTGACGCTGAGCGTAAATGTAAGGTTTGCCATTATTCGTCCTCTCCTCGCAAGGCAGAAAAAGAGAACAAGGACGATCCGGAAGCACAGCTCAAATACCTCATGGACCTTATCGACCAGGCTTCAAAGGAGGTCGCCGAGAAGGACAAGCAGGAAGTCATTGAGCAAATGAAGAAGAAGGACCAGGAGAGACTGTTGCCCAAGGTCACTACCATTGTCAGTATTGGCAAGGAGCTTGCTGAGGAGGATGCCAGACGCCAGAAGGCGGACGAGGCTCGACCCGCAAGGAACATACCTGGACTCGATGGTTGTCGTCTAAGTGCGGGACTTTCAAGAAGCGTGGAGTGAAAGTGCGAACAAGGAGCAGTCTTGTTCTTCTCAATGATTGTTTTATCTGTATCAATACCTGACATTAGTTCGGTTCAGGACCTTGCGTTGGTTTTTCATTGGTTACACCACTCAAAGGGAGATGATTCTCACTGGCAGGTTATACCCACAACATGCATTATTTTTCAGGGCCTAGGAAGTCAGCATAGTAAGCAAGGCGAGGGGAGAAGGAGACAGTTCTGGCTGGTTACACTCATAATGTGCAATCGCTTTTCAGGACGTAAGGGATCAGCATCCTCAGGCAAAAAAGGACATCACTTCTGGTTGCTTGGTTGGATGGATTACACACATAATACATAGTCTTTTGCAAAACATGAAGGTCCCGAGTAACGGTAGCAACTTTCTCATCTCTTGTGTGCAGTTTTCATGAAAGCACTTCTCCGTGTGTGGCGGTGACACAACCTTGAGCAATACCAGAATGGTTTACAGTTTGAGCCATGCACGGTTGTCCATAGCCATTATAATGAGTATTACAATGATTGTGGAATAGTGTGCAGTTGATGGCAGCGATACTGTACTACATGCATTACTTTTATTCCCAAATAATGTGTTTTACTATCCTCAACTGGGTACAATGATACCTAATTTCATCTTGATTCATATGTGATAAAGGTGATGTATCCGTGAAGCTGGTTAAGCATGAATAGCAGCGGCCCAGAACCTACTTGTTCCAAACTAGTCTCTACCCTGAATCGGTTTCTATGGCTCGTATTGACAATTTCTTCGTGTCTTGTCTTTAATAATGAGATACTGTCTCCTATGCTACTCACTAGTTGGTTTCTCTGCCCTCACAGTAGCATTTCGTGCCAAACTGTGACAAGGAATACTGTATCTTTTGGCCATCCAGATACAACAATAGAGCCCAAGTCCCACATTTTCACTTGCATCATGTTCTAGCCGGAATATGTTTCTAATCTGGGCATCATCATTGGCATATAGTCGTCGGGCCACTGGGCGCTGGGTGGAAGCACATGTATCATTTCTATATTTCGTAGTGTATACTAATGCGGGGATGTCTTAGCTCGTTCAAGGGGTCCTTTGTATAAGAAACCCTTGTTTTCAGTAACCGCGCCAGTAATGTTTGCCTGGGATGAGGGCTGCCCTTGCCTTTGTCCTTGAGAGCAGCTTGGACAAATATGCTATATACAGAAGTAAGTCAGATCACTCTCGAACAAATAGAGACGATGATTGATAGTTTCACACGGGGCCTCACTGTAAACTCATCCAGATGGCGTCCTTTATGGTTTGACACATTGACTAATTTGACAATTTCGTCGATTATGGTATTGCGAATGCCTTGATCTGTGACCTGAGCTTCTCGTCACCAGGAGTTTGACATGCCTCTTTGGTGTATACCGTGCTCTAACAACCAACCGGCCTAGAAGAAGGTCGGAAACAGAAGTTAGAATATTCGTTGAGTATAGTTCGAATCTCTTCCCATAATCAAAGCGATGACGACGCTGCTGATTGAAATTAGAATCTCATTTATTGGTTTTCTTATCTGGCTCGCGAATTATGTAGTCTGTACATGTGTGTTGCTACTATGATGACCGGTTATGCTCCACCGCGACGCACCAACAAACCTGATTATAGAACCCAAGGAGAGAATAAATATAAGTTACGACATATTTAAGAAGTGTCTCGCAAATTCCTGCAAGAAGGATAATGAAGCCACTTCTAATACAGCTTATTCGCGCTCAGCTCTGTCCGCCCGAACGGCATCTCCGAACAAATGATGTTCTTGGATATGTTTAGTTACGACCCCTTGACAGTTTTTTTTGACAGTCTATTCCAGAAACCGAAACCACCGAGTAATTGCTGATTGATTTGCATAGGTGGTGTCCAGGAAACTCAGCTCAGCATGAATGATAGCCATCCACCCGTGGTAGAGTGATTAGGCGAGAATGTGATACAAAGCCTCAGCAGATGGGCTCATATCATGAAGAGCTATACGGAGATAATATCCACCACACGTCATGCCGTTGCACATGCCTGGGCGCTACAGTAGAGGTAGAGGCGAGCCTACTTCGCTATTAGATTGAAGGACCCTTGAGACTTCTGCTCGACAACCTGCAACAACATGAAAGGTGCTGATTCACGCTACACGCTACACGCTACCGTAGCGTGTTGGCAGTACGTGATGGGGTTCCACGCAGCACAAATCCTGGAGTAGACTGAAATATCTGTCTGGAGTCCAGTTCGATGGAGATTCGGCTTGTCGTGGCAGAATACGTGAACGAGGGGTTTGGGAAACTTTAAGCGAGGTCGAGTGGTCTGACTGGCTGAGAGTATGCCTTTCCTCAGGAAGAACATACGACGATCAGCTTTTTCGATATATTGGTAGACGTCCAAGTCTGTCTTTCTGACAGTGGCAAAAAGCTGATGGATGATATTGCGTTGTCAAGTGCGACAGGGAGGACTAACAGGCGGTCCATGAACTTGCAGAGAAGGCTCCAGGTGGGACGAGTCGAGTCATGCTGGGTTAATTCTCGGGCTATACGAGTTAATGTTGTCAGCCCTTGGTAGGGGACACATTGGGGACTCTGCAGCATCTGGCATGCTCACCGACCAACATTCTCGAATATCCCTATTCCAAATGCCGTGGCAGTACGCACGGCGTTGCGGTGGATGACACCACCAGGTAACGATCTCACGCATGGGGAGGAAACCCAAGGTAAGCCCAGGAAAGGAAGATACACCGCTATGGGAATGTGGCCAGCGAGCCCTACAGTGCCATACATACCGGTGAGGTAGGTGATTGACCTCTGTGCACCGGTGTGAGAACTAAGTAGTCGATCTGAGCAACAGGTACAGGATGCCCATCAAGTCAGCTGAAGAACGTAAAATGACTGACAGCACCGCTTCGGAGACCTACATTTCTATGTGCGTGACAAAGCAAGCCACGCAGGAGGATAGGTAGAGATGATATGCATGAGGGCTCGGGGGGTATTCTCTGGTTCGAACATTGGACGACGTGTGTTGCTCGGCCTTTATTGGCCTCGGCACTACCCCCTAGACACAGCCCCTGATTGCCACAGCTTATATCTGATCGCCGACTTCGTGCCACGTAAACTAACGAGGAACATCATGTTTTATCAACGTTGACTTGTTCTCCTCCATGCAGTGGTATCGCAACCGTCCTGTGACTGAGGGCGCCGAGGCATCATGGTCATATATTGGAGGCAAAGAGACGTGACGCAGTGAAACAAAGGAAAAGAACATTTCCATGTCCACCGGTGAGACAAAAGTCGCGTCATACGTCTTCTTTAAATCAACTTCCATCAAAAAATGTTTGCTTGTTTTCCCCCTCCATTATCGCGAACGCCGAACTCTCTTCCCCATACTTTCTCGGCTGCGGACGGCATGGAATACGTGCTGACCAAATTGACGATAATCCCTCTCTTACTGTCCATACAGACGACGCTCCACAATCTATGCACCGGACATGTCATTTTCGAAATGCGATGATAGACAGGTCAAGGGATAACGACGTTGCGAAGCAAGCCGACATGGGCCGGCCGAGGGTGCCGGCCAGAACTATTGGACGGTGGGGCAGGCAATTGAGCTGGACTGTCTGGCTGTCTCGAGGTAGAAAGCCCCTGCCTGCAGGCTTCACAGATGACGAGAATCTCACCGAACATAGGGAGGACGACATCTCGACCCTTTTTTCCAGCTTCGGAATTCCCAAAATAGCCTTCCAGCAGAGAGTCAACGGGGCAGAATAGGGCGGGCGAGCGGCAGGCCTGTACTGACGATGGTGTCGCGAGATTCCATATGTCTCTTGTCGCGAGCACCGGCAGGTCGAAGGCCGCTTTCCCTTCCATGTAGCCAATACGGGCCCCTGGGCCTACGGAATAGAGCGTTTGATGATTCGAGAATGGAGCACTAGCTTTCGCCAAGGCAGCGCGCTGTGGAGAATGCACATTCCCAGGGGCGGATACCCGCAGGAATGGTTTGGTTGTCATAGTGGGAAACGTGCTGCGGTGAAGGTAGATATATGATAACTGAGCGTGTAACCCACGTCCAGATTGTGTAAGGAGCCTACATCGCTCTTAACTGGGATGTACTTGGATTTGAAACGAAGGCTATTTCAACGCTCCTTCGCCCTCCCATTGCTCACCGGTTGAGTGAGCAAATTATCCGCATGCGCTCTTGCGCAAGATCGCGTAGATCAGGGACGTCGTAGGGTAAGATCTGGACAATCGTATAGAGAATTGACGGCGCGTTATGGGAATAGACGGACGAGATTCAAAGGGTGGGAAAAACGAGTCACGAGGCTGCACCCGTTCCGTAGACGCAGATGCTGACACCAACTCAAGATTCCATTGCGCGGTGCTTTGTTCGGTCTTACGAGATGACGGTCTCAGCCAACCAGGAGCTTGCATAACCACCAGACTTGCCGGAAGAGGATGCAAATCATCTGCTTTGAATGGATGGGTATCAAACGTGGTGATTTGGATCACCCCTTAGACAGTGTATGAATCGTTACACAAATTGGACTAAGGCAAGCCCATTGCAAAAGATACCAGACCGAGATTCGCCAACCAAGGGGTCGCCGGAGTCTATTGCCGTCTATACACCAGACTTTGTGTTTCTCGTGGAACGACAACATATCGTCGTGACAGATCAAGGAGCTCAGTCCCCTGCCCAGAAAAGCCAATCGCGCACTACGCTTGCAGCCCCAATTGATATGAAAGCTGCGACGAGCCTATTTGGAATACGTCGCGCATGATGGAAGAAATATGGTGAGATGAAAAACGTTCCCTTAAGACGGCGATGATGGACGGGACCAATAAGCACTTGTATAAAGTGCTTGGCTCCAACAACCCAAGACTGGAGGTCAGAAATAAATCTCCATAATTGCTCCCTAGGTCTTTTTGAGTGTGTCTTGTTTTCTCCCTCCAGCCCAAACCTCAACCACCCGTCGAATACTACCGTTACCAAGTACATTTGCCTTTGGCTTCTGCGTTGCCATGCCACACAGCGTTCACGGAAGCTCCCAGACAACCTCCAGGTGCGTGATGAAAACCACATTCTCGAGGGAGCTTGAGGAGGGCTGACCTAAGCAGTTCTGCCCAGAATCTGGGCAGCACCGCGCAAGGCGGGCAACCTCTGATCCCGCCCCCTTCCACAACACCCATGTTGGATGCATGGGCAAGGGAAACCAGTGGGGGTAAACTCCCTATGAGCGAGGTCCTCGTGAAGAGGTGAGTCAAGCTCTGGTACATACCAAGATGACACAATACTGACTTCAAATAACTTCATAGGGCCAATAGTCAGGGTTGAGAGACGTAGAGAACTAAGGGACATCTTTGGTGCGTGGATTTGTAAATGTGCTAGACGAATTGACATCCCTTTCCGTGGGATTGATCAGTTCGTCAGAGAGCTTCTTTCTTCTCATAGCTCCGGTTGAATATACCACTTCGTCACTCCTGATCAGCCGTGCATAACATTAAGCTGCTGTATGGTCGTGCAAATGGTAGTACCATTAAACATGGCCCAAAACGTTGGTAGCTCAGAGTTGAAAGCCTATGAAGAGCTGTCAGCCGCTGGAGCTTCGCCTAGCCTTTGAGCCGAGCCAGCAGCATGGAATCCGTCAAGTGTGATGGTGACGGCACCGGCTTGTACGAGCTGTCTAAAGTTAGATTTCCGAGCTTGAAAATGGTGCGATGTCTTACCGAGCGGGACAGGTCATCAATGAGATCATTCACATCCTCAATTCCAACGCAGAGTCTGATAATATCCTCAGGCATCTGGCGTTCTTTCCTCGTCTTCGCATCAATGCTGGCATGACTCATCCGGCAAGGCATGCTGATCAAACTGTTGACACATCCGAAGCTTACGCTGATGCCGAATAATCTTGCGGCTTCAACGATCCTTTCCGATAGGGTCACGTCGCCTGTCTCAAATGAAAGAACAGCGCCAGCACCTCGTGCCAGGGCCCAGTGGAGGTCGTATTGGGGATGCGACTTCAAGCCTGGGTAGCGCACTCGAAATCCATGGGACTCAAGGAATTCTGCGATGGCCTGGGCATTCGCCTGCTGCTTCTCCATGCGGATGGCCAATGTTTTGACGCCGCGCATCAACAAGAATGAATCGTTCGGAGATAGTCCGCATCCGCTTGCGTTGATGGTGAAATACATTTTGTCGCCGATGGCTGGGTCATTGCACGCAATGATTCCGGCCATGATATCGTGATGACCAGACAGGTACTTCGTGCCAGACTCATAAACAACGTCAGCACCAAGCTCTAAGGGGTTGCAAAGCATAGGAGATAACATAGTATTATCCACGATGACAAGCGCCTTGGGATTTGCATCATGGACGATCTTGGCAATGGAAGTGATATCCACGATTTTGATCAGAGGGTTGGTCGGAGTTTCCAGGAGCACCATAGCCGTTTTGTCGGAAATGACCTCTCCCACGCGCTCAACGTGGGTTGTGTCGACATGATGAACAACGATGCCTTGGTTGGACGATAAATATGCGAGCAAACGGTTGGTGCCACCGTAGAGATCATCGCCCGTTACGACCTCATCTCCCGGTCGGAGAAGCCGTGTTATTACATCCAGCGCACCCATGCCGGAGCCCACTGCCAAAGCCCGTGTGGCGTTCATGATCTTGGCCATGTGTCGCTCCAGATGGGTACGGGTGGGATTTCCTGATCGAGTATAATCATACTCGTTTCCGCCGCTCGCCGACGTCTGTTTGAAAGTAGCCGACTGGTATATCGGAATGCTGGATGCGCCATATTGGTCTTTTGATTCCGTGTAGACCAGTTCAGTGGCAAGAGCATAGCGGCGTCGGCCATTGGCCGGGCTCGAGGGTGCAGGTGACGGAGGCAGATCGTGGCCGTCGAGGTCTACCTTGGAGAATGCCTTGTTGATGGGCTTGGTAGCATCTTCATTCCCAGAGGAACGGCCATTGTCCGGTGGTGTGGCCATTCTGATTGGAATGCCTTGATGTGTTCAACGTGGGAATGAGCGGGTGCAAAATTGCCAAAAAAATATGATGGTAAAGAACTCAATTGGCCCGAAATGTCACAAAATTTGCAAGATATAAGGGAAGATGAAAGCCTTACGACGCGCAGAAATTCCCGAGCAGCCTGAAGATGAGGTGGAGGGGCCAAGTCCCTTGCAGTTGCCGCAGCCATAGAGCGGATATCGGAGGTCAGCAGATGCGGTCAAGCAGAAAATCCGGGGTTTGTCTTATTGGCATTCAGGACTAAAAATGACGTGATCAGAGGTACGTACCCCGTATCTCCTCACCAAAAAGAGGGACGGAGTATTATGTATAAATCGATCTTGTCAAATTTGGATAGGAGTTATTCAAAGGAAGCCCAGTTCGCCGGTTTCCAGAGACACGTACAGACTTCAACCATTTCAAATTGATACAGGAGTACAACCGGCCGGTTTTCTAGTAGTTATGTCAAATGTCAATACGAAGGAGAAGTGTCGAACATGAACGCTGGAAGCCACGTTCCACTGACATGGAAGTGTTACGGGGGGCTGAACGGGAAAAATGTTGATCACATAGGGCTGCACATTCGAAATTCCTGACCCCTCTGTCGACAGTATGTAAGTTTGTCTGAGTAACAGACTAGGTCAACATTTTGATGTTCCGATTGAAACAGTGAGGACCGTAATCGGCGTAGCAAAGGTTTGCTTACAGCATTGGTACTTAATACCCGTCAATAGCGACTATGACTCAAAGTAGTCTCTGCTTCAGTCGTCGTCGATTTGTGAGCTTCTGGCTTTGAGTATCCTATTTCCTGACGCTTTAATTTCTTCGTGTCATTGCGCAGTTATCTTGGAAAAGTCCCGTATTCTAGTACAAAGTGGTATTGACACAACCACAATCCCATCTTGCGTCCATGTATCCCACGTGCAAAACCGTAGGCAGTGACATCCTACCTAGGCCGACTATTGTGTGGTTCTTTGTCCACTGGTAGATGTTTCCGCTGTAAGATCTTCGTCCTCAATGTCTTCATACTCATCGCTTGAAGATTTTGCTTGAGCGTGATTCTTCATGAGTATTTGTCCACCACCCTTTCGCCCAAAGAAATCTTCTGTCCTCATGCCTCGTACACGTCTCGGGTCAATACTCGACATGGCACTGCCACTTGCTTTATGTTCCCGAATGTATTCTCTCACTGGCACCATGGCAGCATCGCGACACGCCTCCTTAATATCACTTCCAGACATTCCGGCGGTAACTCTCGCGATATAGTCGATGTTGAAATTATCGGGATCTGTCTTCGTATCCTTCAAGACGAGCTGCAATATTCGAAGCCTCTGGCTCTTATCTGGCAAAGATACTGGGAATTTCTTGGGCATTCTCCGTAGAATGGCCTCGTCAATGTCGTGGATGCGGTTAGTCGCACCAAGGACACATATTCTTGATGGCACACCCCTCGTATTTGCAGATGTGAGACCATCCCATAAAGTCATGAACCTGTACTGTTATTAGTTGAGTGCTCAATTGTGCCAAGACAATACACTTACTCGGCCTTCACCATACCGCTGGCTTCATGCTCCCCACTCCTCCGCGTACCCAGCACAGCATCAATCTCGTCTATGAAAATGATGGCAGGTTGTAACTTGCGGGCGAGGGAGAACACTGCCCGCACAAGCTTGTTCGAGTCTCCATACCATTTCTCCGTTAATGTAGAGATATGGAGGTTGATGAATGATGCACCACTCTCGTGCGCAACGGCTTTTGCCAACATGGTCTTGCCGCAACCCGGAGGGCCGTAGAGCAGCACACCGGACGGCGCAGATAGAAGCGGAGCGGCGTGCGAATAGAGATGCGGCATCGTGAGCGGGTAGATGACGGATTCCTTGACCTCCTCAATTATATCCTCAAGTCCGCCAATGTCTTATCGCATCGTAAGCATCGCATTGCCCAGGCGGGCCTCGAAGTGCTTACCATCAAATCCGACAGCAATATCTTCTGGCGCAACAACCTCCATAGCCACCAGATTCTCATATTCGTTGAGTTCGAGATCTTCTATCCGCGGTCCTTGTCGCGCGTTGCCGCTCGAATCTTCGTCATAGTCACCACCTTCACCATCTTCTCTAGACTTTTGTAATCGCTGGAGATTCGCCCGAGCTCGGATTCTGGCCTGTTCGTGCTTCTCCTTTTCGGGATCGGCAAGGGTCGTTTGCAAGCTTGACAAGAAATTCTTTGCTAGGAAGAATCCAGTTCCCGACTACTCAGTAGTTAGATTCAGTATACACCACCATGGGAGAGCCGCAGCGAGATGTCCTACGATTAGTGTGAAGAATATCAGGTCCCAGAGGTAGTCGCCTCGCTTTCGGTCGACCATCTTGAGAGCGTCCTGGAAGTAGCCTAGAAGCATCTGCTCTTCGCGGTTGGCAGTCGACCTGGGAAGCAATTGGGTAGAAATGAGGTATGATTTGATGCGCCACGGCGACTATTCACAAATTTGGGCTTGCGTGCTGACGTTGGGATAATCGACTGGTCGAGCAGACAGCGTCGTGGTCGGCCAGCCGCTGAAGGACGCCGAGGACAGTGACGCCACAGGTGGCGGGAGACACGTCACTCGAACAAAACGGCTCCCAGCTGGCTCCCGGGTAGGACCGTAAAAAGGTGGGGTTCCTTGTACACCGACTTGTTTACATTGATTTGACGTTCCACCTCAAGAGAAGTCGTCGCGATCTACGTCGCGTAATTAAATCATCGCCAATAATTTGACTTTCTATGTACTTTGGTTTAGCATCAGAACCTTCACTCGTCCCATTAATTGCCGATAACTATATCGCTCTCCACCGCGTTGTTAGCTTTGCGCAAGCGAATCGCCCATTGTTTACTTTCGTTCCATGTCCAAGGCCAAATTCACTGCGCTGCTGGGGCTGGTGGAGTCGGAGGACGAGGATTCAGACATTTTACTCAGCCATCCACTTGCGCAGACCAAGAAAACCGAGAAGATGCCTACAATCAAGAAAGGACGAGGCGCCGCTGTCAGCCGAGCCACTAAGCCTGCCCAGAATGCGACACGAACAAGTACTAGGGCAGCAGCTACAACGATGGAAAGAAAGGCATTGGCCGAGAAGCCGAGCAATGCCAAACCGAAAGCTACAGCAGGGAGAGGAAAGAAAAGGCCAGCTACGGAGGACGTAGATGAGGTGGACGATCCTGATCATGATGGGACCACGGTTGAACCCGAGGCAAAGGCAAAACCCGCCCGAGGGCGTCCGCGCACTGCGAAGACGGCAAAAATAGAAGAAGAAGCAAAGGATCCAGAACTTGAAGCACCAGAAGCTGCCCCACAAGCTAAGAGAGGTCGAAAGCCGAAGGCTCGGGTCGCAACACCTCCCGTCGAGCATGAGATTGCGGAAACGCAGCAGCCCGAGTTAGAAATCCCAGAGAGCCAACCGGCCAACTTGCTGGAAGACAGTATTGAAGACGACCAAGTTGAGGATCTGCCCCCGTATGATCGCGCTGCCTTGTCCTCTGCACAATGCTCATCCTCTGCGAAACACCCACAACACCATGCAGTTCCCTTCAGTGCCATTCGCCGACCAATGGCTGCCTCTGATTCCGAGCTCAACGATCCCTCGTTGCGTCGTCGCATCGGCGATCTAACGCGCAAGTACGATAATCTTGAGACCAAGTACAAAGACTTGCGGGAAATTGGCGTTAAGGAGGCAGAGCGCAACTACGACAGACTCAAGCAACAAGGAGAGGAGAGAGCAGAGAGTGAGTCCGGGTTAGCATGATCGTCACCGATGGATCTAACGTTTGTATAGCTGCCAACCAGTTGATTACGACCCTGAAAGCTCAGCTTGCTGCTCAGACTGAACTCGCCAAGGATAGCCAGCGACTGAGAAAGCAGCTCGAGATGAGTGAAAAAGATATGACCGAGTTGCAAGACAAGATCACTGAGATGACAAACTCACTAGCTGAGACTAAGAAAGAGAACAAGACTTTGTCGACGAGACTTGCTGCATCTCGTGCAGCGGAAGCAGCTAACGTCAAAGTTCCCAGTAGCGCCATCAAGGGCAACATGGGCAACAACCGAATGCTCGCTAACGCCGAGGCGGCTGTTCAAACAGCTCAAATGAAAGAAGATCTCTACGGAGACTTAACCGGACTGATGATCCGCAATGTCAAAAGAGAGAACGATGAAGAAGTGTATGACTGCATCCAGACGGGCAGAAACGGAAGTAAGTGACCATGAGATCTCATATCCGTCTCTCCAGTCGTTAACTATTCCTCTAGCTCTTCATTTCAAGCTTTCTATCGGAACGGACAACACCTCCGGCAACATCGACGAGGTTCAGTTCATGTACATGCCTCAATTGGACCCTAACAGGGATCGAGCTCTCATCGACGTGTTGCCTGACTATCTCGTCGAGGAAATCACTTTTCCAAGGCCACACGCGGCCAAGTTCTTTGCGAGAGTTATGAAGTGTATGGCAGAGAGGCCGGAGTAGTTTGATTTTGTAGTCGTGCTTCTACGACAGTCGCCTATGCGCAAAGATACCCATCTGGCTCGGTATATGCATTGTTTATGTGGATAATGTGGTAGCGGGGTTCGAGATTGGACCTGAATAGGACACAGGCATAAGTTGTTCATGAGTCCTGGAGTTTTCAGTAATTGTACGATCAATACTTTGAGTAAGGTTAGCAGAAGTTGTTGCCAGCTTGTCTGGACGCTCCTGGATTTGGACCTGGGCATTCTTCATCTTGGAAGTGTAGAGGTCGTGGAGGTATTATTCATCAGGTACTTCATATATACCTGTGCATCAAGGTGGCTTCAAGCTTCTGCTTATGAAACGGCCATCCGGGTTTGCACTACTCAAATAATCTCCCCTGAGCGACGAGTGCAAAATGCGGGTGGCCCTTGCTAACAAACCCTGCAAAGGAGCACCGGGATCCCGGAATGACGAGCTAGCTGATGGAGGCGACACGGGATTGGTAGAGAATGTGCACTTAAACTTCCTGGCCAAGCTCTGAAAGTGCCATCCTGGCCTGTGTTGCATCTGAGCTGCTGCGAACTGACTGCGATTGCTGATGATTTTTTCGTGTCAGCAGAGCGCAATACAAAAAAAAGGTATTTACGATCAGTTGTATTGCGGGTCTCTGCCAGTATTTTGGTGACGCTCTTGCCTGTCCACTCGCTTCCGGATTTCTGGCTTCAATGGATGTGTCGTGTTCTTTTGCGACCGCCCACTTCAACTTGATTGTTGACGACCAAGACGCCCGCTGAGACGGCCAGCCTCAACACCCAAATACTCCACCATGGCGACCGTTACGCGGTTCGGATTCTTGGCGATTGCCATGGTCTTCCACCTGGTGTATCTATATTCCATTTTTGACATTTATTTCGTCAGCCCCATTGTGTCGGGCATGCAATTGTTCCATGTCGACCGGCCACAAGGAACCAAAGCCCCGGCCGAACGTCTAGTGCTTTTTGTTGGTATGCACAGTTGGACCTTCCTCCTGTAGTATAAGTGCTGATCGATGGTGCTTAGGTGATGGGTTACGCGCCGACAAGGCCTTCCAGTCCTTCCCCGACCCCAACCCACAGTCCGACAACGATCTGACACCGCGGCCTCTTGCGCCGTTCCTGCGCTCGCGCGTCCTGGAGCATGGCACTTTTGGCGTCTCGCATACAAGAGTTCCGACGGAATCGCGGCCGGGGCATGTTGCGCTCATTGCTGGACTTTACGAGGACGTATCGGCCGTTGCGACGGGATGGAAGCTGAATCCAGTCAACTTCGACAGTGTCTTCAATCGGAGTAGGCACACATGGAGCTGGGGAAGCCCTGATATTTTGCCCATGTTCGAGAAGGGCGCCACCCCTGGGACCATTGACGCTTATTGCTACGATGCCGAATTCGAGGATTTCTCGCAGGACGCATTGCACTTGGATCTGTGGGTCTTCGACCATGTCAAGGAGTTCTTCGCGGAAGCAGGCAAGAGCAAGACGCTGGGTGACGCGTTGAGGCAGGACAAAATTGTCTTGTTCCTACACTTGCTGGGGCTGGACACCACTGGCCACTCGTACCGACCATACTCGAAAGAGTATTTGAATAACATCAAGGTGGTCGACGAAGGGGTTAAGGAAATATCCGAGCTGATAAACAAATTTTACGGAGACGACAGAACGGCCTTCGTGTTCACTGCTGATCATGGAATGAGCGACTGGGGTAGTCATGGAGATGGCCATCCGGACAACACCAGAACTCCTTTAATTGCCTGGGGTTCCGGTATTGCGAAACCGACCAAATTCCCAGGATCCGTTGCCCCTGGACATAACGAGTACTCGTCCGACTGGAATCTGGACGAGATCAAACGGCATGACGTGTCACAGGCCGATGTTGCTGCATTAATGGCCTACCTGCTTGGGGTTGAACTCCCAGCCAATTCTGTGGGCGAACTTCCCTTGTCATATCTCTCTGCGAATACCAAGGAAAAGGCCGAAGCATCCTTGGTTAATGCTAAGCAGATATTAGAGATGTACCGAGTTAAGGAAAGCATAAAGCAGTCCACTCAGCTCAGGTACCAACCGTACAAGCCGTTGAGTGTAGGAAACTCGACCCCTGAGGAGCGAGTGGAAGCTATTCAGCAATTGATTGCAACAGGAAGGCCCGAGGAGGCCATCGAGGAAACTGCTGCCCTTATTAAGCTAGGTTTGGAGGGGTTGAGATACCTCCAGACTTATGACTGGCTCTTCTTGAGAGCGCTCATCACCATTGGGTACCTTGGCTGGATCGCATTCGCACTTACTACGGTGATAGATCTCCATGTGTTACAGGGAACTACGCAACCTGCAAGGACCGTACCAGGTGCTCTCTTTTTCTCGTCCGTCTTGGTCGTTTTGTATGCCTCCTTCGTGGCATCACACTCCCCTGCTACCTACTACGCCTACGCGTTCTTCCCTGTATTTTTCTGGGAGGAAGTCTATGCAAGGCGTGTGAGCCTCTCAAAAGGATGGCAAGCATTGTTCGGGCATGTTAAGGCCGGCCCAAAGATCTTGTCACTTGTTGTCAACGCTATCACCTACCTGGGAATTGTGGAATCCCTAGTAAGCAACCCTGAGAAAAGAAACAAAAAAAAGAAATCTTCAGAGCCATGTATTAACATTGATCAGGCGCTTGGTTATATCCATCGTGAAATCCTTACGGTTCTGTTCTATGTTGGCGCCTTGTACCCCGTGGTCCTTGGCTTGAAATTTCTCCAGAGGCATGCCGTTCTCTCTGCCACTTGGTTCGTGTCATGTATTGTCACGGGCTCATTCACACTTCTGCCGGCCATGAAGGTGGAAAACATAAATCTAATGTCAGCTTCCCCAATTCCTGGTTTAGGTGGTTTGACTAATATGCTGCAGTATACTTGGCGGTTTCCTCATGGTAGCAGTTGGCATCTTCTATCTTGTGTTTGAGGAGAAGCTTCTTGCCGATTCGTCGAAAATTGGGTCAATTCCAATCAAGGAGAGCAACCTCTCAAGGGCCTTGATTGGTGTTCAGGTAAGCTGCGCCTGCTACCAGTCATGGGTCTCACTAATGCTTGCTAGACCGGGCTCACTCTCCTGGCTACATTCGTGACTCGATCCAGCGCCCTCTCACTGCAGGCTAAGTCGGGCTTGCCGCAAGGTAACCAAGTCGTTGGGTGGCTAGTGTTGGTTATCTCATTGCTCATGCCACTGGCTCACCGACTGCATACCAACAGTCATTACCTTCACCGGCTAATGGTGATATTCTTGACTTTTGCGCCAACCTTTGTGATACTTACGATATCATACGAAGGACTATTCTACTTTGCCTACTGTGTTACTTTACTTGCTTGGGTGCGCCTGGAACATTACAGTCAACTCTTTCGCAAGGCGAACTCCCAAACCCAGGAGACGAATGGCTCAGCCAAGACAACTCTGGCAAAAGTTACTTCGCATTTCCGACCCTTGGCACTCTCAGACGCTCGAGTAGCCTTGTTCTTCTTTGTTTTGCTCCAGTCAGCCTTTTTCAGCACGGGGAATGTCGCGTCCATCTCGTCGTTCAGTTTGGAGAGCGTAAATCGGCTGATACCTGTCTTCGACCCATTCTCACAAGGAGCGCTTCTCATTCTGAAGCTGATGATCCCGTTTGCTCTACTATCAGCGAACCTTGGCATTCTGAACAAACGGTTAGGAGTCGCGCCCTCAGCACTATTTATGGTGGCCATGGCTCTGAGCGACGTCTTAACACTTTACTTCTTCTGGGTTGTCAAGGACGAAGGCTCCTGGCTGGAAATCGGGTCGACGATCAGCCATTTCGCCATAGCCAGTCTGCTATGCGTGTTTGTGGCGGCTTTGGAAGGCGTGAGTGTGGTTTTCATCTCTGGCATCGAAGTGAATAGCTCCGACAAGCCCGAGGTCAAGACGAATGGAGCAGCAATGGATACTGTGGCGGAACTCGTGGTGGGCGAGGTCAAAGAGCAAGAACAAGGAGAAGAAGAAGCGAAAGCAGTTGCTACACATTAGACGTCAAAAACAGCAATATAGTTAGTTCAAAGTACTTACTTAGCAGTAATAGAAATAGCATTTGAACATGAACGTTATGACTGGCTGCCAAGTCTTTGGCCAGCGATTGGCCGCACAAGACGCGAACGGTTTTATGGAGTTTGGTTCAGCACGAGATGCCGAGGTATCTTGTCTTTCCACAAGATACCCAAGATCTTGTAATCCAACCTAAAGTGCTCCGCCCAACCCCAGATTTTCGGTCCCCACGTCTGGGCTGGGTGCGTGCAAGCGTTCCCTTTTGTACAGCCGTAGACATTCTTCTGTATAGGGTTTGCCCGAGTTGCACGCATCCACCTTAGTACCTGTTGGAGATGTGTATATCTTACCCCCAAGATTCAGGAAAATTTAATGGAGCCCTTTGTCCGCATCGAGACGATGCATACATTATGAGAGAAGAAAACATTGAGGTCTCGAAGCTGACGAGGCTTGCTTGATCAGACGATCATGAGGCATCGATCTTGCTGCTGGCATGGGATATGAATCATTCGGGCTCCCAATGCGGTGCCTTACAGCTTCTACCGATAGGTCACCGACCCCGTTTCAAATTGGCGCCATCAGCAAACCCAGCCAGCTCATGGCCTATATTCCCGCCTATGCCAAAGCGGTCGGATCTTCTGGTTACGTACTTGACAGATGGGCTGAGTTCATTGCTTCACTTACAAGCCCAATAGCAAGCTTAGACTCAATTCAGGACTACGGAGTCTAGAATTTAGCCCCAAATTATGTGGGTAGCATCTTATTCCGCAGAAGTGTGCATTAGTGATGCGGGAAGAGTTGGAAAGTCTACACACCCTCAACACCTAAGTGGTGTGCCCCAGATTCTGGACGGCCGGGACAGTGATGACACGTCCAAGACTTCGGGCCATATACTACTTTCACTCATCATACATCCCTCGGCAGGGCAGCCTCTGCCGTAGCTTGCCGTAGCAGGGGCATCTGGTGACTCTTCTATATAATTCGTCGATCACATGTTCATGCATGATGTCTAAATGTTGCAAACCCCCTTTCAGTCACCTTGCATGGCGAAAATCTAGTCACCTGGGTGGGTAAAAAAGGATGGCGACTATAGACGTCGGAAGAACTAGTTGACCAAAAACACCGCAGCAGCCGTCTGATATACTTGTAGTACTCGAGTACTCGCAATCGTCTGCTTTTAAACTCCACCTTCGCAGGTGGCCTGATATAAGAAACACATCAATCAAAGCTGGAGCCTTAAGCTGTCATGAGCACTGAGTACTGTTGGAAGCCAGGTCGGGGAATTATTCAAATTTGACCAACGGTCGGCTTACCAAGCCCCCCACGTCTTTTGACGATCTAGGACTCGGATACGTGTTAATGACAGGAATAGTTCCGAAGGTGGCAGGAACCAAACCAACAACAGGCTTTCTAGCCGCTTTTTCGGGGCTCAGAATGAGTCCTTTTACCAAATCGCATTGGGACTGCTGTCAGAATTCGTAAAATTCCCATCAAGCATCCCCCGGTCTTGGTAGCAAGTGTGACGGCGCACGGGCAGAACAGTTGGGCATTACGCAGTGTTGAGGAGTGCTGCACCTTTCCGGAATTTCCAGAATTCAAGTAGTAAATAGAGACTGCAGTGCCGCGCAGACCGCACGACACATGAGACACATTTTGGCAGCACTGGTGGATGTCAGTCGGTCGCATCCAGCTGGGTCCCTCTAGGTCCAAACCTTACAACCTTGCGCAAGCACTCCCGGCGCGGACGGGGGGTTCGTACGGGGACGCTTGAGATTAGTCGCAGCACTGAGCACTGAATTCAAGCTGGGACTCCATGATTCCCACAATCACTATCTTCTTGCTTCACAACTTTTAATCTCAGGACTCAACTCGACCTCGACCTCGACCTCGACCGCGACCGCGACGACCGCGACCGCTGTTCCGAGATTTTGTCCAACAGCACGCAGCGTCGCCCAATAATGGACGTGGACATGGCGACAGCAGGAGACTCGGCGCACGCGGGCCAAACCCAGAACTCGCATTCCCCGTCGCAGGCAGCTCCCAACGGCGGCGGCGGGCCAACTCAAGCTGGGCCTGGTGCTGGTGGTGCTGTGGTCGCACCACCACCACAGAACTCGCAAAACCACCCCAGCTTTCGAAGGTTTGTAGCAATATCCAATTACCTCTGCGCATGCGTCCACGGCCCGTCTTGCTGACTGCATCTATAACGAAAAGACAGCGAGCTTCAAGAGCTTGCGAGGTATGCTTGTGTTTCTTATGTTTCTTATCAACCTCTTTGCGACCGCTCCGAGGCTTTATCTGGTTTTATCTGGGTTCCGAATGGTAATCGTGCCGAGGCATTTCGACTCGGCCACGCCACGTACCCATCCACCCATCGCGACCCTTTACTGACAAGCCGACTTCCCACAGACCTGCCACGCTCGAAAGGTATGCAGTACCGCTCAATTGCCATACTCAGGCTTCCCCGGAGCGCAACTCGATATTTACAAAATAACAGGTTCGATGCGACGCCGCCAGCCTAGGTGTGCCATGTACGAACTGCGTCGCCTTCCAGATCGAATGCAAGATTCCTGCACCTAAGAGGAAGAAGACAGCAGGCGCAAACACAAGCAAGGACTCGGACAGGTGGGTTGAACTCTCTTATCTCCTCAGCAACATGGACACGGCTGATTGCATCTCAGTGAACGCGGCGACAATGTTGAAGATCGATCACCTGCCCCCGGCCCCGGCCACGGCTCGTCCACCACCTTCCCAGTGAGGCCCACCGTCTACCACTCCAACGAAGGTACCCCGGCGAACACGTTGACCGAAGCCCAAGCCCGGAAAGAGGAGGTGGACAACGATACCTTCTTGAACATTGTCATGAAGCCCAAGTTTACCAGAGCGCCCATCACCGAAGCCGGACGAGTGGCCTTCCTCGGAGAGTCTTCGAACTTGACTCTATTGGTTCACGACCGCCAGGGTGGCTCATCCGATGTCGTGCATTATCCGCTGCCTGACAACATCCGAGGTTCAAGAGCACGACTGACGGAGCTGGACAATATTGAGATCGATATTCTACACCAGCGGGGCGCCTTTCTCCTACCACCGAGGTCCCTTTGCGACGAGCTCATCGAATCATATTTCCGATGGGTCCATCCCATTGTCCCAGTCATCAATCGGAGTCGCTTCATGCGGCAGTACCGGGACTCCAAGAACCCGCCCTCTCTCTTGCTGTTACAAGCTGTGTTGCTTGCAGGCTCACGTGTCTGCAACAACCCGGCATTGATGGACGCCAATGGTTCAACAACCCCTGCCGCACTGACGTTCTACAAGAGGGCGAAAGCCCTTTATGATGCCAATTACGAAGATGATCGCGTCACCATCGTCCAGTCTCTCATTCTGATGGGCTGGTACTGGGAAGGTCCTGAGGATGTCACCAAAAACGTATTTTACTGGAGTCGAGTTGCGACTATCGTCGCCCAAGGATCTGGCATGCACAGGAGTGTGGAGAACTCGCAGCTGAACAAAGCGGACAAACGACTCTGGAAACGAATATGGTGGACGCTGTTCACTCGAGATCGGTCTGTTGCAGTCGCCTTGGGGCGTCCGGTGCATATCAACTTGGACGATTCAGATGTTGAAATGCTCACCGAGGACGACTTTATCGAGGACGAATTGGATCACACGGGCGCGTTCCCCCCCGATCCCATCCACGTCCAGTTTTTCTTGCAATACGTGAAGCTTTGCGAGATTATGGGCTTGGTCCTCTCCCAACAGTATTCTGTCGCCTCCAAGGGCCGTCAGCGCAACGCGATAGACCTAACTCATAGTGACATGGCCTTGGCAGACTGGCTCCAGAACTGTCCTAAGTCTGTTTACTGGGAAATGCCGCGACACCATTTCTGGAGCGCTTTGCTTCACTCCAACTACTATACCACGCTATGTCTACTACATCGAGCGCACATGCCGCCCAATAGTAATTACGGAACCAGGTACCCAGACGACTCATCCTACCCATCAAGGAACATCGCTTTTCAGGCAGCGGGCATGATCACGTCCATCATTGAAAACCTGTCTGCTCATGATGAGCTGCGTTACTGCCCGGCGTTCGTCAACTACAGTCTGTTTTCGGCACTCATCATGCATGTATATCAGATGAGGTCACCTATTCCATCCATCCAGCAGGTTACGAATGATAGGATTCGCACCTGCATGGGGGCACTGAAAGACGTTTCCAGAGTCTGGCTGGTAGGCAAGATGGTCTACACCCTTTTTGAGGCTATTCTCGGAAACAGGACATTTGAGGAAAGGCTACAAAAAGCCGCAGGCAAGCGTCATCGCAAAGCACAACAGAGTCTGGCTCAACTGGAACAACACCAACACCACCAACAACAGCAACAGCAAAGAGCACAGGACGCGACGAAGCGGAAATATGATGAGATGGCCATTGACTTTACCGTGAGCACGCCAACACATCAAGAGTCTTACGAGCGATCTCGGCCACAGACGCCCAGTGCGGTGAGACATGAGCACATGGGACCGCCCGGCGCGACGTCTCCCCATGTGAGGTCTGGTGACACTTTCATGGGTGGCACGAACAGTCGACCTCATACGCGGCCAGCGACCCCGTTTAACCCCTCGTTCTCCGTTCCTGCGACGCCTCCCGACTTGTACCTAGTGACACGAAACTCTCCAAACCTGTCACAGTCGATCTGGGAGAACTTCCAACCAGACCAGCTGTTCCCAGACAGCTCTCACATTTCGCAATTCGCGCAGATGTCACCGCCCCAGACCAGTCAGAATCTGGACCCAAATCTAGTGGCACAGATGCAAGGCATGTCATCTCAGATGCAGAACCAAGGTGGTCAGTACCACCACCACCAGCAGCAGCAACAACAACAACAACAACAGCAGCAGCAGCAGCAGCAGGGCGGGCTGGCGCCGAATAGGGGCATGAACGGAAGCCCTCAGCAGCCGAACAGTATGCTGAATCCCAACATGGGACAATTTCAGGGACAGTCAGGAAACGTGTGGCAAGGCTCAACGGGAACATTCGACGGAATATTGCCCGATGGTCACAGTCCTAGCGATAGCTGGAGTACAGGTTCCGCGACGGGTCAGCCAGTGCCGGCCACACTGAACGTTGAGGATTGGTAAGTTTGACGTGGTGAATGATTCGATATGGACAACTTTGCTGATGCGCAGTACAGGTTTCAGTTCTTCGGCATCAACGGTGACCAGGTGAACATAGCGAACCTCGATATGGGCCTTGGTTCTGTTCCATAAGCTCCTTAACGTATATATGGATGGGCTTTTGCTGTCAATAACGCGCTGCTAAGTTGGATGAGGCATTTAAAGGAGCGTGCGTGCTATTTGGTTGCTATGGGAAAGGTCGGGCTGGCGCTGATCTACCAACAAGCATTTTACTACGCTTGACAGCGACCAAAGTACGCAATAGTACTATTTGAGAAAGCTTAGGCTTCCAAAACCCATATGTTCACAAACATCTAAAGTACGCGATCAAATGGGATAGCACAACTAAAACACTGTGCGGTCGCGATGTACACATGTAGCTGTTGAAAAGGCGCAGAACAAAGAGTGCTTATTTGATGACGACGCGCATTAATTACAATGGATAAGTCACGGTGTATAAAATACTTCAGTTAAGGTACAATATAAGCTAGGAAAGTTCTAGACAACCGAACAGCCTGAAAATTGTACGTTAGCCGCAGAACAGTCATGAATCTAGCGCGTAATGATATATCATGGACCTAGAATCGACCAGGAGATAAATATACTTATTACACGTGCTTGGCTGGTCTTTCCCACGATTTTGACAGGAGACGGACTCGGTTCAGTGGGGTCACTGCCGCACGTTAAAGTAGATGGCCCCAGCGCCAATTGGCCACTAATCACAATGGATACAGTTCCATGCGCCGAACTTCGCCCACCTGCCCACATTTCGCGAGATAACCACCCAGCTGGCAGGTGCAATTAGAAGTGGCATGAAAGGGATACGTACTCCGTCCTCGTACCCCTTCGCATCACTTAAGGTTGTCCAGCCTGTGATGGTTCCCGCACTGGAACACACAGTACCTTTACAACAGTAGATGGCCAGCCATGAGACGTCAATGATATTGTTGCCTCCGTATTTCTTCTCTGGAAAGCGACCAAACCTCTATCACCAATTATAATTTATTGTCCCTGTGATAGGCGTCGTTCCAAGCAGGGGTCAATTGCATCCTTACGCCTTTAGATTAGCCCCAATCCGACTTGACACGCCGCCGAGTTGCCGTCTTGGTATCTCATCACTTCACTCACTATCTGCGACCCCCATTCTTCAATTCCACCATTACACCTGCGATCCAGTTCTAGTCGCTCGCTGCCGACTGCGACATCATCCTACGATACTACCTTGGGTCCTAAAGCTACAACATCCCGACAAAGTCAAATGTCTTGATATTCAGCAACATTGGTCCTACGTGAATGCTAGTTCTGCATTCCAACCGCCTCGCGCCGATGCCAGCGACGGCCTTGCTGGTCCCGGACGACGACGACGCCCTCCCCGTCTTCCCTTGGTTCGACCATGTACAACCTCACGAGGACGCCGTCGAATAACAACTCGACTGCGTTGATGCCCGCGGGCGTCGATGCTGACTCGACATCGCGACCACGGAACAGGCGGGGCCCGAGCACCAACGACCATGGCGGCAGGAGCAAGTCGGCACCGCGCCTGACACCCGGCACCAGTCCAGCGCCCAGCCGCGGTGTCAGTCCCATGCCCTCGGCCCACCTCAGCAGCACCAAACTGGCATGGAGTGGGCGATCCAGCCCCTCCAACACGTCCTTTAGCAAGGGCCTCCTCGAGGGTTCGTGGGCACCCAGCTGGACTTCGGTCCAGGACTTTGCCTCTTCCTTGATCGCTGGAGTGGAAAGCGGCTACAACAGTGAGACCTCGCGGCCAAACAGCAGGAGTGGAAGCAAAACCCGGCAGAGGTCCGCGTGGAAGGGGCTGGGAGCGGCAGGCAGCAGTAGAAAACTACCTGAAAGCTGGGGACCTGCACCACCAACTAACCCGTCACGGCCGAAAGCTGAGGATATTGCAGCCGGGTCGCTTGCCGAACGAGAGACGGCGCTCAACGCCATGAAGAAGGCTAGTATCCTACAAAGCTACGAGGGAGTCAACGGGGGGCTTGATGTTGGGGGCAAATACAAGAGGAGGAATTCGGACGAAAACCCAGGCACAGTGAGCGAACCCGCCGTTGAGGAACAACTAGTATATCTGCACCACGTGCAGCCCAATGATACCTACGCGGGCATCGTGCTCCGGTACAGGTGCCAAGAGCACATTTTCCGGAAAACCAACGGCTTATGGTCCCGAGACAACATCCAGGTGCGCAAGTATCTTATGATGCCAGTAGATTCTTGCGAGGCCAAAGGGCGGCCCTGCGACCCCCCAACTTGCTATAACGACAAGAATGTGGACCACCTGGCGAAGACGCCGCAGCCAGAGAGCTTCATTCAGAGTGGTGCCGCAGGTTCTTCACAGACGCAGCAGACGCTGCACGATGACTTCTTTGGCTCCCCAAATGGGAAAAGCCAATCACTGCCGGACGAGGAACAACCGTGGACACATGTCAAGTGGGTGAAACTAGACTCTTTCAGCAACCCTATTGAGATTGTGAGGGTCTCGCGGAAAGCCATGGGCTTCTTTCCACCGAGGAGGAAGAAGAGCGTACACACAGTGTCCAACTTCTCCACTCCGCGCCATTCCCTGGAATTCCATCGAGGCATGGCCGCGGGCTCGAGCGAGCCGGGATTGGACAGCCCTGGACGGCTGTCGTCGCGAAGACAAAGTTCGATGAGCGGCCGGCCAACTAGTTTGAGTCTGGGAACATCGCCTTCAGCCGGCAGAAGCAGGGGCAATAGCCTAGGCCCAGCTGATGGTGTGCCGGCCTGGATGCGGAGACCAGGTGGGGTAGGGTCCATGAGCAGGAGTGTAAAGGCACCTGGACCGGCAAACGATTACTTCAACACCTGGGTCAACAAGCGGCTTCCCAAGGGTTTCAACATTGACAACATGCCCTCAATATCCGTCATGGGATCCGAGTCGGCGTCCTGGGGCTTCAGCAAGAACGAGGAGGCGGCGGGCATTGTCGAGAGCCCCTTCGAGGATGGACGTGAAGCGCCATCGACGTCTCAGCAGGGAGCGGGGCTTGAACAAGCTGCAGCAAGCATCGAGACTTGGTTGCGCGGCGCGTGGGCCAAGAGACCTGCCACTCCGAGGCTGAGCTCTAACAGAAAGCCGGTGGAAGACCTGGATCTCATCGAGCTAACAGACACCAACAGTGATGACGGGCGATCGAGGATTGAATCTACCAACCGAGACACGGGTCTGCAGAGCCCCCAGGTTTACGGTTCAACGGGAAGAAGTGATGGAGACGGCACTGTGCGCGGGTGGTCCACGGGGCCTTCGAATTTGAAGGGGAAGAAGGCGGACTGAGGATCGATTGGTCTGCGTTCTGAAGAGAGAAAGGTCTGCAGTCCGCAGTTCCCAATGAAGAATAGACTGTCGCTACTGCCTTTCTGCTATTGCTGCATTGGATGGGGTTATCTTGTATATATGTACCATTGCGAAGACATGGAGTGGTAAAACTGCATTGACCGCGCAGCATTTTTCTCGTGTTGTAGCAGGGTTATTCTGAACATACAACATAGATATGGTTTGATGAATTTTACGTGTTTGTGGTTATACTGCTGTTGTGACGACTTGCATTGTTGGATCGATCCGAAGGGTCGAATAAAGCTACCTGGCATTGCTACATGCGGCTCAGGGGTAAAAGTTCAGTGGCACGCGACAACGCGGCGCGGATACGTAAGAATGCCTGAGCTCGCCCGACCATGGGGACCACCAATTGAACCGCAAACCCAACATCAACCATTGGGGATCTCAACCCTCGTTCTGGCAGTGCGAAATCCGGCGTATATTCATCGATGAATTCAATAATGCCGTCCCCATAGCCTAAAGAAAGAAGCAATCCGAATTTCCTCGGCTTCAAATTCTCCAACAGCGCGCAAGAAACCCACGACAGAGCCGCCGCTGCCGCCGCCGCCGCAATGCCGATCTGCATTGAATGCCGACACCCGGTCAAAACGCTCTGGACGCAGTACTCGGGGGCGGGGGGCCCCTCGAGCGGACACAACATCCGGCTGACGGTGTGCAAGAAGTGCGGGCGGTTCTGCGACAAGTACGTGGAGCACGACTTCGTGGTGCTCTTCATCGACCTCGTCCTCATCAAGCCCCAGGTGTACCGGCACTTGTTGCACAACACTTTGATGCGCGAGCGCGACCGCTTCGATCCGTCGATTGTGCGCTTGGGGACCCTTTTGTTGCTATTTGACGTTTATTTGACTTGGGCGAGGATCGAGAAGCAGACTATTATTGGTGGTGGGGGGATGCCGGACGGGGGAGGGGTAGAAGGGGAGGGCGGAATGGGAGAAGGCATGTTAGGGGGACAGAGTAATTTGGGGGGATTGGCGAGGAGGCCTATTGTGTTGCAGTATATGTTCTTCTGTGAGTATTTCACTTATGGTGTCTTGGAATCTTCTCTCTGTATTATAGCAAGCTAACCAACATCCACCCTACAGTAATCCTCTGCACCTTCTCCACCCTTGCCTTCCACCTCAGCATCCGCTTCCTGACCTCATCTCCCTGGTCACCACTCAACGGCCTCGGCGTCCTTAACACGTACCCCCGCCCCAACTCCGTCTCTACCGCCCTCCTCGTCAGCTCCTCCACCAAGCTGTTCCCCATCCTCATGGTCGTCTGGGACTACGACGTGCCGGCCGCGGCGCGCAGCTTAGGCTGGGCCGTGGTGCTGAACAATGTTGAGGCCCTTAAGATATTGCTCGATTGTGGGTATCCCATTGCGCTGGTGCTGGCAGCTGCAGGGGCGGTGGCTAGGTGGGTCGTCGGCAGGGCCATATTGTGGATGGTTGGTTTGCAGGGCGTGATTTCAATTGGGGAGAGTGGTGTCGCGGCTGACGGGAAGGCGTTGTGGGCGGCTATGGTTTATGTGAGGGATTGGGCGGTTAGATTGGCTGTTGGATTAGGGTAGTCAGTGCCGGATGGCTTACGGCACAAAAACTGAGAACTTTCAATCGGTGTGTTAGTGTATAAAGACTTCCATTGGATCAGTGCCATCGTATACACCCAGAGGACCTTCGTATTAAAGCGGCTGAACCACTGGATCTTTCTGATGCTCCCGTTTCCGAAGCATCCGTATCCGACGAGCCCACGGTCTGCAACGTAAAGCCAGATCATCGCCATCAGTCAATCAACCAGTCCGTGCCGTTCTTCCCATAAACGCCGAGATATGTAAACAGTTTGCTTATTGTGTGGTGGTGATACAAATCCATCGAATTCGAGTCCACCCTTAGTCTCTCCCCAGCGTTCAGCTCCTGCGTCCCCTTCCCTTCTTCTACCCCTGGCACACCATGTTGGATCTACTCGTGTGCGAATTCGGCTCGTACGTCGCTTCGTCTCGGCTCGATCAGGGGGTGCAGTTGGGCCATGAACGTGACGAACCACATGAGGTAGCAGCTGATGAATGCGATGATGAGGGAGGAGCGCCAGGTTCTATATGTATGCGGTTAACAACTGCCATCGCGTAGATGCGCGACACTGAAGAGGGGGGCTCACGTCTGGTTCTCGCCCTTGGGCGATAGGAACCATGCGGCGACGCACATGGCGGCGACGATGACGAGGCCAATGAAGACGCTGTACCTGCAGGGAGATTCTTGATTAACGTCGAGGTCCTGAAACAGTAAGTACAAGAGGTGAATCGTACCCTTGAGCCATCTTTGCGGAATGATTATGCGCCTCGGTGATTTACGGGGGTAGGTAATTTGTGGTCGGTCGGAGTGGTCAGTTGGAGCTCTTAATGCGGAATGGAAACTGCCAGCCAAATGACGCTTTGGGAGCTCTCTTCCATCGATGCAGGTGCGACTTGAGGTCCACTGCCAAGAATGGCTTAGTCATTTCAGCTTACACTAAGTTCGTTATGGGGTAGGTTCCGCCAACTCGTTCGTTAAGCTCGGCTTCTTTCGAATTGATTAAACGATTGAAGTTTTCAGACGAAACATCAGTAATGCGAGCCATGCCCTTCAGCAAGAAACCGCGTGCGAGACCCGGCGGTATTAGTCCTGCAATTCGAAGAATGACTAACTGGGCACAACCTCAGCGAATATATTGCCATATGCCGTTCTTATCATTCTACGACACCCTATTGGTGAGGAGGCACCACCTCTGAAAAGTCATTTCTTCCAGTGATACAACATTGGGCCCAGCTTGCAAAGGCACCAAACGTAGTTCACACAACTCAGGAGATATTCTCACAACGACAAGGTTCAATGTCTATACAGCATGATATCTTGAATATTGTCACCGGTCAAGTAGCATTCATTTGACTTTGTTTCATTCGGGGTTCCTTCATTACCTCTACGAGCGTGCAACTTATAGCTGCCACTTCAAGCATCATTCTCGTACTTCAAGCCCGCATCCATCCGCGCCGCACCATAGATTCCCGCAATGTCGCCCTTATCGCCACCGACATGCTTTGCAACATCCTTCAGATACCCGGCTGCCGTTTCCGTATTCCGGATAACCATGCCCGCTGCCTCAGCCAGATTAATCGCATGTCCCGCATCCTTGAGCGCATTGTTAGCAGAGAACAGCGGCTCATCCATCTTGTGGTACGTCCCCTGGACCATCCTATCCGCATAAGCCGCGTGGACGCCGCCGAAGAGCAGCTTGATGAACTGTTGGACCGGTTCGGTGCCGACTTCGGTCTTTTCGGCCATGGTCAGACCCTCGGCGAGTTGGGTCACCATGTTTAAGATGAAGGTGTTGCCTATAAGTTTGAGTTTGGATGAGCTGGCGTAGGGCTTGTCTTCGAACGGGATTTCGGCTATTCCCATTACCCCCGTCGTGTACGGCCGCAGCCGGGCAATGCTGGCCTTGGGGCCCGCGGGGATGAAGAGGAGCTGCCCGGCCTCGGCGTTTGCCGGGGGGCCGAAGATAGGGCTCGCAACGAATTCAGCGCCAGCGTCGACGACGATCTTGGCGGTCTTCTCGGTGGCGTCTGGGTGGATAGTAGAGCAGTCGACCACGAGCTTGCCCTTGAGGTTACCAGCCCTGAGGATGGCTGCGTAGGCTTCCTCGACGGCGGCGTCGTTGCTCAGGCAGGTGAAGACGATGTCGGCGCGCTTGACGCCGTCCTCGATCGAGGAGAGGGCTTCCGTCTTGTCGGTGCCCAACTTGGCCGACAGGTCGTCGGAGCGTTTCTTAGTGCGGTTGAAGAGGAGGAGAGGGCTGTCTAGCGGGCCCTTCTCGACGAGGTTCTTGCACATGCCCTGGCATCGAGGTTAGATGACTTGTTGACCATGTAAGGCTGGTAAACTCACTCGGCCCATGTTGCCAAGACCAATCCACATGACTTGAGGCGCCATTGTAACTTGGAAGTGCTTTCTGTATTCTTGTGAGAGATAAATGGATTGATGATGAGAGCTGAGTGTGGAATGTCCTGTATAACTTCCACAGGGATCACTGGGTCTTTATGGATCAATGCCACAGAGAGTCAACGATAGCTTGATACCTCAGCTGCCCCAGTACTGACAAACTTCTCGGTGCAGGTGGAAATAATGCGTTTGAGAGCTTCATCCAATGATGTATGTGCCTGGCTTCTTTACTTAGCCCGGCTACTCGTAAGCTCTTACTGACGGAGTAGACGTTGCCCCGCCTCCACTCCGGCCCGATGTAAGCCGTCAGTATATCGGCCCCACCTTTCTCATCATCGGCTTTACTCGTACTTTTGATGCCGTCTCGGCAATCGCGGGCAGCGATGTGTACATTCCCATGATATTTCCAAGATTTGAATGAAGTCTAAGAACTGCAATGCTCGCTTTCGTTCTCGCTTCCGGGTTCGCTTTCTCAACTTCCAATCTACCGTTCTCGAAATAGATCGACAAGGCTGGCCCCCACGTTGTTACCCCGAAGCCGCTAACCTTAGACCTGGCCCGAGTACCACTAGAGCCGGGTTGCATAGCCAACGTCACGATATTCGCTCTGCCCGCAGGATCCGCGGATTATATGGCAGCAGCACTTGCCCGTTACGGCTGTCACCTTTGATACTATTGGCTAGATCGCCTACGCATCGTATCGTCTCTTTTGGACTCCAATCACTTATCAGTCGACGCATGCATGGCATACTACGAAGACAACCAACTAGACTAGACAGTCGTTGGTAGTGATGTGGTCCACCCATCACAATGTTACCAACTAGCCTGATCCGCCCAGGCCGTGGGAGCACTCTTTGGCGACTACAGAGGTTCCCGAGCATTCTGAGTCGAGGTAGACGGCTACATCTCGCACCTCCGTTCCTGCTCGATGACTACATCCCTCGTTATCAACAGCTTACTTCAGTGGAGGCGTCCAAGAAGCGCTCGGCCGCCTACTCGCACCTACGGAATTGCAATCTTTGTCCCAGAATATGTGGAGTGAATCGATACGAAACAACGGGGTGGGTGTCCCTCAGCAGTTTGTCATTACTTCAACACCTTGGTTGTTCCGTGTTTGCAATGAGAATTGTCCTTTGGCAGTTATGCATACTGTTCGCTTTGGAGGACATGGCCAGGAACTCTTTATAGTATAAGAAGAAGCCAGTACTGACCTCAGGCTCTCCACAGAATGTGCTTGATCGGACACGATGTCAAGGTCAATGTCATTGCACCACACTTTGGCGAAGGTAAGTCGTCTGTTGTTTTGGAGGGCACTCGTCGCCTGAAGATATCTTTTGTTATTTTCATTACGTGCTGCACGTGCAAGCATTAAATCCCGCCAGAACCCTGCATTCAAGGCCACAACGGCAGCGGCTCGGTCTTCTTCAGCGGCTGTAACCTCCGTTGTTCCTTCTGTCAAAACCACGATATAGCCCACCAGCGCAACGGCATGGACCTCACCCCTGAAGAACTCGGCGAATGGTACATAAAACTACAGGAAGTCGGCCACGTCCACAACATCAACCTCATCACCCCAGAACACGTCGTGCCCCAGGCAGCCCTGTCCATCCTTCACGCCAGGGACCTAGGGCTGAAATTACCCATCATTTACAATACCTCTGCCTTTGACTCCCCTGCCTCGCTCGAGCTCATGGACGGCCTTGTCGACATCTACCTCCCCGACTTCAAGGTTTGGTCCAAAGCGGCATCGCAGAGACTTCTCAAAGCAGATGATTACGCCGCCGCGGCTACAGAGAGCATAAAGAAAATGCAGGAACAGGTCGGCGACTTGTGCTTCACAGCCGATGGTATCGCCAAGAAAGGCGTCTTGGTCAGACACCTCGTCATGCCGGGCATGGAGGCCGAAGGGGAGAGGATCATGCGCTTTCTCGCCGGGCAGGTCTCACGAGATATCTTTGTCAATATCATGGAGCAGTACCGGCCCGCTGCGCATGTGGGGAAGCCGAAGAGGAAGAGGAAGACGGAGGTTGGTGTTGTCAAGCCGGGTGGAGTGGATAGTCGGGAAGAGGTGCGGTATGCGGAAATCAACCGGGCTGTTACCAAGGACGAGGTATCGAGTGTGCGGAAGGCGGCCGAGGCTGCTGGTTTGTGGCGGTTTTGCGATCCGCCCCGACATGATGGTTTTGCTATTTAACGGGGCGAATGGTGGTTGGTTGACATGGCCTTGCGCCCTAATTTGCTGTACTAACAACCCGAGCAAGGAATCAATGGTTGAGAACGGTCGGATGATGCTACTCAGATTCAGCACGACAAATCACTTTTGGAGGAGACCCTCTCGGTGATGTCGGACGGTGCACAGAACGAGCGCCCCTTAGAGTGTTCCCCCTACGCAGTGGCCGGCTGCAGAAAGGCAACCTGGGCCATCTCTTAAATAATAAATGTAACCACTTCACCAGGGTGTACTCCTTTCTTTTATACATAAGTTCGATGGGAAACATATTTTAGAGTTCAAAAGCAAAGATTGCAAAATGTACGACACCAGGGATTCGCTGGTAGTCAGTCGCCCAACTGCTCGTCCGGCGGTTTAAGGACTGATCTAGGTTAGCAAGTTGTTCGAGTCGTTATCCGTGACATCTTTATCAACCTGATCAAGGTCCTTCGGCCTAACCTTCGTCTAGGTCTTCTTTCGCTTCTATACCGACTAGGGAAGCGAATGAATGATATCTCGTATATCAGGTGCTATAATTCGCTTTATACTATCGACCTCTCCTATTTAAAAACTGGAAAAATATCAAGGCACCCTCTAGCTCTAGGGCTCTTAAGTATCCTACATATTTCTTTTGTATTCTTTAGTTCTCGCCTCCTAATCACTATAGGAGCTAGCCTCTTCTCTTGGTATCTATCACTCAAATTGCCATGCCGGTAGGACTAACGATATCGCCACCTTATCGTACCGCTATGAAATCTAGTATCTCCTATATAGCTTTTGATACGTAAGCTTATAGGGGTCGCGTTACCCTGTAGGTATACATAAGATAAGATAAGAATGCAAGGGTGCTGTCACGACCTGGGTTGCATCGCATTGGTAGAGACCTCGATTAGGTGCTATCGACGAAGATTCTACTCTAAGGAGCGAAGGAAAGAAAATGACAACTTAGGTTTGAGGGAGCGCGACTAAGTCGTCCACGCTTGGCGGGGCTCCTACAGGGGTTATGATTGGCTTCCCATCTGGCACTGCCACGGCAGGTGTTCCAGCTGTAAGTCACCTGGTTGTAGTGAGTCTGCGAGGGTTGACCTTCACAAATCCCTTCAATTAAGTACTATAACGTTGCGCACTGCTGCATTATAGCATCCTCCCCCCTAGGTGCACGCATCAATGGGTCTCGAGGTAGGAAAATATACATAAAGGATAGCGTTATCATATCCTTTATAATATAGGCACTACTAGCCATATAATTTAATATAGTTATAGGTAGCTCAAATAAACCTTTCTTAATTATGATAAACGTACGTTCACTCAGAACAATTAATAAGAAGAGATTTCTGACTTTCATCGATAACTTCTTCGAACAGCGTCAAATCATCAAACCGATTGCGGCATTCGATTCCTAACGACCGTTTACGTCGGACAGTGACCTCGCATCGCACGCGAAGCGAGGACGCAAGCGATGGCGGCGCCGATGGTGATCGACGGGGGACGGGCGGGACTCGAACAGAGTTTTCACCACCCCCACGCCAACGAAAGTGCCCACGCACCGAACGTGGAGCGCACCAGCAGAAAGAACGCAGAGAGGGAAGGGATCGGAAGAGAACTACAAAAGGTAGAACAAGAGATTGCCGACTTGGTCCCACGTGAGAAGATTGAGGTCATGGGGGGTTTGATGGAGCGTTGGCTGGGGTTGAAACTAGCCGGCAGGACGCTGGAGGAGGGGGGCGACAGACCCGCCACACATGCCGACGTACTGGCAGTGACTCTGGCCCTTGCCGAAATTCCTGCGGCGATCCAGACGATGGTTGAGAAGACCATGCAGGATACGGTGAAGAACGTGGCCTTGCCTACAACTCGATCCTGGGCCTCAATCGCCTCAGGATCGGCCCAGGGACGGGGACCCGGTGAAGCCCCAGTGTGGCAGCAGCGGGTTGTAGTGCCCCAGCGAAGGGAGAGAGAGGTAGTGATCCGGGGGACAGAGGACCCTAATATGAAGAACAGATCGGCGGCTGAGGTCGTAAAAGCGGTGAACAGTGCACGCGGCAGCACCGATGCAGTGGCGGCCCGCAGGCTGCGCAGTGGCGATACCGTAGTGACGTTTAAGCAGTCGGCCTCAGCGGCGACCACGGACAGCAGGTGGGTGCGTAGTGCCTTCGGCGATAAGGCACTTCTCAACCGCAGAGAAGTTGCAGTGATCGCGAAGGGGCTGCCTGCGAAACGGCTGCGAGAGGTCCACGACGAGAGCCAGCTACTTAAAGACCTGAAGCGGGACAATACAAAGCACCTCTCTAAGGCTAAAAGAAACCTCCCCCGGGCGCCGCAAGCACCGTATGCGGCCCTGATACTACACGTGGATAGCGTGGAGGCGGCGATGGAACTATGCTCCGAAGGGCTTATTTGGGAGGCCCAGATATTCGATTGCGAGCCGTACGACGGCAATCTTCGGGTTCGGCAGTGCTACCAGTGCTACGAATACGGCCATATCGCGAAACACTGCAAGAAGACGGCGCGTTGCGGCGTCTGCGCTGCAACGGCACACCCAGGGGGTGAAAAAGACTGCCCCGAGAAGGCACCTAGCGGCAAAAAACGTTGTGTGAACTGCAAAGGGAAGCACACGGCGTGGGACAGGGACTGCCCTACGGCAGAACAGCAGCGGCTACGCGTACGCGAGGCGTACGCTCACCGCCCCCGACAATTTGAGGTCCGCAGCTACTCGGACGGGTTATCTAGTGAGGGCAGGCTCACACCACCTAGCTCATTGACCAGCGACGGGTTTACAGTTGTACGACCCCGGGGCCGCCCCCTGGGCGGATCGCGAGTGGAGCAGGAGCGAACCGAACGGTCTGCGTCAGCAATGCGTAGCTTCCTCACTAAGGGACGTACGAACGAAGATATACCATCGACAGCTTAATGGTAGTCTCTATTCTCTACTGGAATATCGCAGATTCAAAGGCGAACGCAACGCTAGCGCTGGATAAGGGGGGTGACTATGATATAATAGCGGTTCAAGAGCCATGGATCAACCGGCGGACGAAGGCGATTTATTGCCCGAAGTCGTCCAGGTACGAAGTAGTGTACAGCAGCGGCAGAGCTGCGCTATACGTCCATAAACGATACGACGTGGCTACGTTGCGACCCCGTACCGGGATGGACTGGAGCAGTATTACGTTCGGGGCAGGCCCGGACGCCCTTACAATCTGGTCTATCTATTCACCAAACCAAACCGGGAGCCGCTGGGTCAGCCCGCTCCAAGACCTCCCTAATGGGGCGCCGGAGGGGACACAGGTCCTCGTAGGGGACTTCAATACACATCACCCGCTGTGGGACGTCCACGGACGGTCGTCACGGGGCAGCGACAACGTAGTGGAGTTTGCGCGACGCTGGCGATTAGAGCTCGTTACGCCGTTCGGGGAAATCACACGGCAAAGGCACAAACAACGAGACTCAACTATCGACCTAGCCTGGGTGACGAAAGGGGCTAGGATTGATTACGATGGGGACCCGGGCCTAGAGGGCTCAGACCACAGAGCGCAAGTGATTAGGGTAATATCCAACGGGGAAGCAGTCAAGGAGGGCCGCCGCAGTGTCGAAGGGTGGAACTGGGCGATGGCGGATAAGTGGCTCATCGTAGCCGAATCAAGCCAGAGATTTATGAATTATTTGCCGGTTGAGACGATAACGGAGTTGGACCAGGCTGTTGACTGGGTTATCCGGAACCTCCAAGAGATCGCCGACGTGGCGGTCCCGAGACGCACCGTTGGCCGAGGCGCTGGGGTCCCGTGGTGGTGCCCGCAGGTTAGCAAGGCTTGCGCTGAGACGAAGAGACGACGGCGGGACTACCTTCAGGCAAGGTCGCATACCAACTGGGACGAATATACAAGAGCCGGCCAAAAACAACGGCTCGAAATCAGCGAAGCGCAGACGCGTAGCTGGCACGAGAAGCTCGAGGGGACGGCGAAGGATCACAAAAGCCTGTGGGCACTGCAGAGGTGGGCTAGGCTACGGAGCTGGGCCCCCCCTGAGGCCCACGGCTTGCCAGATCTCCGGAGGGACGCCGGCGACACGCTTACAGCACGTACACATGATGAGAAGGCAAAATTACTAGCTGAGAGGTTCTTCCCAGACCCGTATATAGATCTATCGGACCTCGATCGCGGCCTATTACAGACGAGACCAGAGCTGAACGTCCCTAGGGAGGTGACCACAATGGATATCGAGTCTATCATCAAAGGAACGGCTGCTCGGAAGGCTCCCGGCGACGACCTGATCCCCACTGGCCTGCTAAAGGCCTGCGGTGAACCCCTATGGGAGATCCTAGCGGATCTGGCAACAGCTAGCTTTAGGCTGGGGTACTACCCGGAGCGCTTCCGCTCAGCGAGGGTGGTTATTATCCCTAAGCCTAATAAAACGACAGCTCAGAAGCAGACCCCTGGCGGCTGGCGCCCCATTGCCCTGCTTAGCACGGTAGGGAAGGTAATAGAGACGGCGATGAGCCAGCGTATCACCAAAGTAGCTGAGGCGGCCGGCCTACTACCAAACGGCCAAATGGGTAACCGCGCTGGGAGGTCCACCGAACTGGCAATACGTATAGTTGAGGACGTGGTCTATACGGCGTGGAGACGCGGGGGCATCGCCTCGCTGCTACAGCTAGACATCAAGGGGGCATTCGATACGGTCAATTACAGACGGCTGATTTCCATATTAGCCCGGAAAGGCTACCCGGAGTGGGTTCAGGAGTGGGTACGCAGCTTCGTGGAGGATAGAACGGTACGCCTCCGGTTCGATGGCAAGGAGTCAGAGCCAATCCCCCTACGAGCTGGCGTCCCCCAGGGGTCACCGCTATCCCCGATACTGTTTATATTATACATTTCAACGCTGTACGAGGAGCTAGCGGAGCAGCATCCACTACTTTTAGTAGTCGGGTTCGCGGACGACACGAACCTGCTAAGCGTCGGCACCGATCCAGACACGACCTGCCGCCGGTTGGAGAGCGCATGGGCTACGTGTCAGCGGTGGGCAGTGAGGCACGGGATGGAGTTCGCTCCTGACAAGAGTGAGCTAATGCACTTTACTAGGGCCCGAGAGCCCTTGCCGCAAAGTATTCGCCTTGGGGACGCCACAGTGTCGCCGGTAGTCTCAGCCAGGTTCCTAGGAGTCTGGTTCGACCGCAAACTGACGTGGCACGCCCATGTTGAGCGTGTTAAAACAAAAATGGCAACTCAAAAGCTAGCCCTGACAAAGCTAGTCAATATGTCGTGGGGCTGCGATCTTATACGGGCGAGGCTGTTATATACGGTGGTTGTCCGTAGCGCAATCGCCTTCGGGGCGACTGCGTGGCATACTATAAGTGAGGAACCGGCAGGGCCAGCTAAGAGCCTGATGGGGATACAGAACGAGTGCCTCCGGGTAGTCTGTGGTGCCCACAAAGCGACGCCGGTTCGCCACCTGGAAGCAGAAGCAGCAATCCCGCCACTAGACCTCTATCTTAGTGCCCGGGCTGCTAAGTTTGAAGAACGGCTACGGCTTAGCGGGAAGAGAAATCTGCTTCGCAGCGCGAGCGCTAAAGCGTCACATATACTCCGGCAGGATAGGCCGGCGAAGAGGAAGCAGGCGTCGCAGCTACTCCGACCGGCAGGGTACACTATGGAGAAGGAGGCCCGGGGCTCCGAGTGGATGAGTGAGGAAAAGGAGGTCCCGGCTGCCCTCCTCGACCACTGGAGGAAGAGATGGCTCACCGGAGCAGAGCATCACGATCGCCAGCGACGCGCTATCGCTGAGGAACCGGAGGGCCCTTCGATGCAGATACCGAAAGGGGGCAAGTATTTCGGCCTGAACCGACTGGAGGCGTCTACGCTGTGCCAGATCAGGACGGAAAAAATAGGACTAGCAGCCTTCTTATTCAAGACAGGGGCTTTTGGCGTGTACTCGCCGCTATGCCGCTGTGGCGATGCCCCTGAGACGGCAGAGCACGTAATCCTCTTTTGCGGGCTGTTGGAAGGACCGAGGGAACGATTACGGGCCGCCATCGCACCACGGCCACTATACTCTCGCAGAGACCTCGCAACGGCAACAGGAGAACCAGTAGTTAGTGGGACTATTGTAAGATGGCTGCTAGGGACGGGTCGGACAGCTTCAAGGCCCAGATAGCATCGATCTTCTCAGGGGGGACTTTGTTGGTAGGTTGAGAACCAACGTAGTATGGTAGTGAACGCAACGCAGTCGCCAATAGGGCGAACCGACGACGCAGCGTATGTATTTAGTCCAGCCATTAGGGCACGGTTTGACATACGGGAGTACTAGTAGAGGTACCGGGGGCTTCGAGCCTACGGCGTATTTAATAATAATAATTATGATAACATATTGTTCGTTGTATTTAAGGCTAGACATAATTATATATTGTAGTGGGGTAAGGCCGGACGCCAGGGAAAATAGGTGACGGAGCGGGGAGGATCTTCTGCTTTCTTCAGGGGACTTGTGGCTGCAGTTTTTCTTTCCCATCACCCCCCTTTTCAATCACCTCTTTCATCTCTTCTATTCTACACAGTCAACAGTTCTCAGTTATCGTACTCTTTTCTAGTGTGTGCAATTCAAAGCTTCTGTTCATGGTTTACTTATACGTTCAGACATAGTTTTCAAGAATCCATCTATCTCTTCCACTTTAGCCTCGATAACTACGAAGAGTTGCGTCTTGCTCTGATCAGAGAAATTCAACGCTAGTGGGAGCTTTACTTCAACCCTCGGAGTCAAGAGTCCTATCCTGAGAATCACCCCTTCGCTGAATACAAGAGGGCACATCCGACCAACTTGCGTTCAAGGCTTGTAGGAGGTTCGTTCCAACGTCTATCGCCATGATCTTCGTCTGATCAGACCAACGGATCGGATCTGTTGGTACTAGAGCCGTCTGTTCAGTGTGTTAGTAATAGGTATATCCTACCGACCGCCTGACCCCGTTTCAATATTTTTCTACATTAGTAATAAAATAGGCTAGATGCACCGAGATGCCCTACTAGAAATTCACTCTACAGGTTTCAATACCTAGAATAGCCCCTACTCTACTAAAATGCTAACGTCGAGAGAGAATCGATATTATACCAGATTCCACTATATGGGCGAAAGTGTCCCGTACCGCCCTTACAATGCCTTAGCGCCTCCGGTGAGACTTACTTTAAGTATATACCAAGTTGGATGAGGAAGTTAGGTACACGCGTACGGTATGGTAGGAGGAAGTGCCTCATGTACGGACGTTCTTCGACGAGTGGGTTATCAATCTCGTCGGCGCAATTGGTCGGTTTCATGGGGACGAGATGGGGAAGTTGCCTAATGAGGTGGAGGATGTACTCCAGCTGGTATGCAAGCTGGGTGTCGTGCTGGAAAACAAGCCGGATCTGCGTGACATGGTCATGAAAGTAGAGAGGTGTGACGTAAATCCAAGACTGGATTTACTACGTCTGGCTATATATAATGGTGTAGCGAAACCACACGCTGTGGAAGACTGGTTCCAGAGTTGATAACGTCAACTTTTATGCTTTTAACTGTATTTGGCGACGGTACTTTCCACTGAAAGTAGGATTCCTTCCACCCTGCTTACATCAAGTACTTAGTAACCCTCTGTTATCAGAGGACCATACACACTTGACTCTTAGAAATGATTAAAGAGGTGGGCAAATCAGAGAGGACACGTGTCGTACAACAAAAGTTCTGACGACTGCGCGTGATGGAGACGGTTTTATGGATATGCTTGGCCTACAATCAGGGCATTGAATAGGACATACCCATCTCTCCGTTCCTAAAGACACACTTGGGCGAATACCGCAACCATAACAACTCTGGCGAGAAGATTCAACGCCAACCACGTACTGAGTAAGACCTCCCTCTTCATGTGCATATATGAAAAGGGCCTATTCTGACCATATTTCTGCCGCTTATATATGAGATGACAAGTCACAAGGCCTTGGGAGATACACACGGCTTATGTTTGTTACCGCATCACGCAGCTAAAAGCAAGCTAAAATGTGCCCCGTTAACTCTGTAGGGAATGCAAAGGATGATGAATTACCGCAATTTCTCTAATCTAGACTTTGATAACTCACCGCCAACTTGACTGAATATCCGTCACCACTCATTACTCGAATAAGGTTGCGAGACCCAGTTGTTCTTATGTCATTTCGTGCCCAATCATTACCCGAGCTCGAAAATATCTGCCAACGCTCATGAAACTCCACCTCGCTTAGTTCGTGACAGGTTGCAGAACCGACTGAACTATATTCTTGGAATGGTACCGCCGTGTCCACATGACAGATCAAGACCGTAGAGGAAGTGGCTGAGTGGGCATTTATGTATTTGTCGCTTTGACTTATACACTCATACCCTAGAGACCTCTGTATGGGTTGTGAAACAACCTAGAATTGTGGGCCAACAAGTGTCATTGTCCTCAAAATTTCCGCGTCGCTTGAACGCGTTGCTCAAGAATCATCATTCACATTTCGGTCATCAAAGGTGGTCTCTTAATCGCATAGAGAAGCTCAAACCACTGATACTCACCTTACTCGACTGTAAACTGAAATATGGGAGACCGACCAGCCAAACGCGCGCGAATGGAGAGTGCCAGCCCCCAGATGCAGCACCCCTCGCAAGACGCGTATCGCATGTATGCATCTCAACTTCAAGGTGCTCAGATGCAAGGTGCATATGCTCAGAGTGCTCAGAGTGCTCAGGGTGCATATCCCATGTATGCCCAACATCAGGCGCAACAGGCTCAGCAGCAGGCCCAGCAGCAGGCTCAGCAACAGGCCCAGCAACAGGCCCAGCAGCAGCAGCAGGCTGCATATCAAATGAGACAGGCACGGCACCCGGAAGCTGCATACAACCAAGGTGCGTACGCTATGTACGCTGCGCAGCAACAACAGAGTGCTGCGGCCCGCCAACTGGAGGGAGCAATCAACATGTACCCGACTCATCAGGTTCCAAATTCAGAACAGCAGCACCGCCAACAGCACTCGGCGGACATGTCTGCCTACTATCAGACGGCAAACCCCTCACGCCAGTATCAAAGTGCCCAGCAGGCACAACAATATGCGGAACAGGCCCGCCAATATCCAACTACAGCCCAATCCCAGCAATATGTAGATCAGTACCAGCAAATGCAAAATGCAGACCAGTCCCGACAACAACTTCAGTGGCAGGACATGGCCCGTCAACAGCAAGCCACCAATTCACCCCGTCAGGCGCAGACTACGAACCCTTCTCCGCAAGTGCAGACTGCTGCAGATCCTTACCGCCAGTATCAAGCTGCAAAGCCGTCTCCCCAAATGCAAGCCCCCACAAACCCCTCTCCCCAAGTTCAAACTGCGGCAAACCCGTACCGCCAGTACCAGGCGACAAAGCCCTTGCCTCAAATGCCGTCCACAAACTCGCCTCGTCAAGCTCATCCCGCAGCGGCGGACCCTGCTTACCGAGTGCCGTCTACGGATCCAACTCGGCAAGCCCAAACTCAAACCCAAGCTCAACCACAAACTCAGCCCCAAGCTCAAGCCCAATCTCAAGCCCAACCCATAGATGCATCCCGCCAACCCCAACCCCAACCCCAAAGCACCGAGCTGTCTCGGCAGGCGGTACTAAACTCGCTCCTGGACATGGTACCCCCGGAGATAATCAAGCAGCTCCTCCACGCCGCAGCCATGGCAAGCACCTCCGTAGCGGAAAGCATCCGCGCCAGCGTCGAAGTGCAGCGCAAAGTCGTGTTGAACTTTGACTCGTACGCCGCCGACGCCGAGTACGAGCTGAACTCGCGATACGAGGACCTCGGCGGCAGTAAGCAGTACGAGATGTCCGGGAAGTGCAGCGCCAACGTGGAGAAACTGCTGCGGGAGGTCCTGCAGAAGGCGCGGCAGAACGCATCCTACGAAACGAAGCTCAGCGCCGTCACCAATATGTGCAAGATCTTCCGGTCGGTGCTGTCGGGGGGATACATGGCAACGCGCGTCGCGAATGACGTGTTTGGCTGGGACCACATCTTTCAGGATGCCGTTGGGTTGTTTACGCGGAAGGAGCTCGAGCGGCTGGTTAATGAGGACGGGGGCGCGTGGTTACGCGGGTTTGGTCAGTGTGTGAATAGTGATTATAGGGGGTTCGAGGCCATGAGGCCCATATATCAAGCGCTACAGAGTTATTTGGTTGAGGCAGGGTCGGAGGGGGACCAGCAGCAGCAGGCATAGGAGCCGTGATAAGCGAATCTAACATCACCCGAGTTGGTGACGAGTAAGCACGTCGTCTTAAGAGGACAGGAGGATCCGATAGGCTCCAAGTGTGGATAATAGGTGTATAAGAAGAAAAAAAATACGTCTGAAACAATTTGCGGGATTGCTGGCAGGCGCTCGCTTTTTCAGGTCCCTCCGAACTCGGAAGCAAAAGTAGAATTATACGTTGGCTGCCTGTTCGTGTTGGTCAGCGCTGCAGTTTCATAACAGCGGGCAGGCCAATCGCGACCGACTTCGAGGCCGTCCAACGCATTCTTACTTAAACACCACATCCTCATTACTCACTACTTGAGGAACGGGAAATATGCTGGTGGATGGATTGACGATTCAGGGGCGTGTGGCTCTGATGGCGTTGTTGCTTTGGGAGGGGGATGTGTGGGTGGACGCCTTTTGTGGAGAGGGTGGGGTAGAGCATGGATGGAGAGGGGGAGGGGGAGGAAATGGGGTTGGCCCGTTCGATAGGGAGGATGAGGCATATGGCGAAGTACCTGATCACGTTGTTATGTACGACCCGGCTGCCAGGGCAGTTGCTTGGTTATGCGATGAGATTGAACGACCCAGTAGTACGTCCAACTTCACGGTTTGGGGGTTTCGGGACACCCCGTTATTTCTTGGGCACGGGGTGTTGTTGGACGATAGAGTGAGTGTCATTCCGGGATGGGAGGCGTCTGGTGTTCTGGGCAAGCTGGGCATGCAAATGTGCTGGCGTGAGTTTGAGGATCTTGGGTAACGGTACTCGGGTGATATGCTAATGGTGGGTTTCCTGAAACTAAGAAGGAATGGTTTGATAGTGTAGTATAGAGAATGAATGGACAAGGAGATACGAAACATATCATCAGGAGTTGGGGTAAGACAGGGGTCATAGAAGAAGCACTAAGAGCACAATTTCGTCAGGGGCTACCACACGTCTATATTCAACGTAGCAGCAAGCAGTTTGAAAACAACCATGATGTCCTTAAAGGTCTTCTGCCGTACGTCTGCTTACGTGTGATATCCCACCGACTCTGGACATTACCAGACCACATCCAATGTCTCTTGATATAGATGGAAAGTCGATTGAAAGCTTACGGATGCGAGGTTAGCTGACCCTATCCTAAACGAAGTCGCATCATGAGCAAAGTGACGACGGCGTGACGTGGGAGATTCGAGCATGGTTGATCTCAATGCGAGTCTTTCATTTGATGGTGGTATCACTTTGCAGTTAAACGTCAAACGTCCAGTCCCAGCAGCCAGCCGGTCACCACCACGCATGCCATAGCTGACCAAAACGCCATAACTCATATCCAGCCAGGTCCCCAACCACCACGACCGCCGGCATGCCAATTGTTGCTTTGAAGCCAAGACATCTCTAGTCTCTTGCTTTACCCGCTGAAATCACGGGGTCTCAAGGCCCAATATCCTCCTCGTTCCTCAACCCCGAATAATCAGTCCCCTGATTCGCCGTAGCCAAGCGAGCACACAAGCTTAACAAGACGACCGTCTCCGTGGCAGCGTAGTGGTTGAGGGCGTCAAGGAGGATCTGCAGGTGGCGGCTGAAGTTGGTCTCCCACTTCTTGATGAGCTCAAACAGGTTGTTTACCCTTGTCTCCTCGTCCTGCAGCTGGCTATTAGACGTGCTGTCCGAGTTCGACTTTTGCGACTTGAAGACCTGGAAACGCTTCCATTGCTCATCGCTCATGTTGGGCGGTTTGAAGTTGCCGACTAGGTCCGGATCGCCCTTTTCCAATGCGCGGGACAGCCAGCTCGTGTACGAGGTGAACATAGTGCAGGTTTGCATTAGTTTCGAGTGGATCTAAAATCGGTCAGCGAGGTGGTTACGGAGTACATATTGTAAAAAGGTTGCTTGCCCTGATAAGCTTGCCGTTTGTAAGCATGCATCCCTTCAGGCAAGTATCCAAGAAATCCACATGGTCCTGCATAAGTTCGTCTACCGTTCGATCTGGCTTGCCGGAGCCATCCAAGCTGCCGTCTTTGGCTTTGAGGCTCGACATTAGGGCCTGCCAATTCGGCTCAATCACTTCCAACGTGCAGAAGTAAAGCAGTTGCTGCACGAATACCATCATGCGAGCTCGCAATGTCCATACCCGCCGTTTCCAAATCTCCAATCTTCTAGTTGAAGACTTGTAACACCAAACGATATTGCTATTGTGTGTTTGCCACGTAATGGACAGTTGAGACTCCAAATGTCTCAGTGATAGCAGGAAACGGAATAAAGCTTGGTACCGCCATACCGTTTTCCGGCTGATAACCAGCGATACGGGAAATGGCACCGTATAGTTCAGTTGCAACGACGTAAACCCTTTCGCATCCTTGTCGTGCCCAACGGGCTGGTTGTTGAGAGGCTGAAGCGCCTCTCCTTGCTCAATACCTGTGATATTGACCACCCGCTGCAACATCTTGATAAGACTGACCTCATTCATTTCGATGTAGACGTCCTCCTTGAATGGGTCTAGCGACACGATGGTTCCTGGTTGCCGCAGGACAATGTCGAGCAGTGACTGCAGTTTGACGGTATTAACCTCCTTGACTGCCTTTCGCAGCTCGGATGCTCCCAACTCAAGGAAGTAAGTGAAGTAGTCGGACGGATCGAGGAAGAAGTAGTGCTTCAAGGACCGAAGTCGTGCCGGAAGAGCATGCGTGGTGAGGAGCAGCTTCATTAGTGATTCGTTGGCATAAGCATAAGCGTTGTTCACGTTGTCGAGGAACCGTGGGTCGTCAAATGTGACGGGCACATCTTCAACAACTTTGCTGACATCGACACCGCCGCACTCCCTAACGACGTTCAGGTATTTTCCAGCCAGAAGGACCTTGTCCTTGACACCCAAGAGTTGAGGTGGTATGTCTTGATCTCGAACTGTATACCGCCTCTCCCAGTAGTCATCTGTGTAGTCTTGCTCCAACCTGTCTCGCTTTATGCTCTTTTGCTCCTTGATTAGAAACTCGGAATGTGGATCATTGATCCCGCCGTGATGCAGCCACTCATTCAACATGGACATGTAAGGCCGACTCGCATCGCGTAAAAGCGAGGTCAGCAATGATCTTGCTGCCGGATCGCCCGACATGGTCTCCAATCTTTTCGTGATAAGGCCTATCACGACCCCGCCCTTACAGACCTTCTTCCCCGTCATATTGCCAGGAACGAGTTCGCCTCCCCTCTTCAAGTTTTCAAGAATGTGCTCAATATCATCGGGGTCCGAATCTTCTTCGCTTTCTACGTCAAGCAGGGCATTTTTTTTAAGGAATTCATGGGCGAGGGAGTACAGCTGCAACATCAGCTGACTTGTAGGAAGAGTGTGGATGTTGAGCACGTGCAAGGTGAAGGTGTCGTTGGTGAGGAATTGCGTCTCGAGTTGGGCAATCATGACCAAGTACTCTTGCAGAAGCTTCCTGATGGCCGCACATAACGCATGGTTGACAGCGCCGAACTCCTCCCGACTTTGCACGTCAACAAAGTGCTCCAGGGCCGAATAGTGAGTTGCCATCTTCGACATGGACAAGGTCAAATCCTCCAGGCTGGGATCTAGGCCCGGTGAAATTTTGTAAGTCGGTCCTACAAGTTGATCTCGTTCCTCATTTGGGTCGTAGGAATACGAAAAGCGGATATACTGTCCCTCATACCCCATAAACACAAAGAGCAAATCTTCGATGATGGCGGCCTCTTGCTCCTCCAGAGAAAGCTCGTAAAGTGGCTGAGGTTGCAGCACAGCAGGCATATCTGACGCCAACGGTGGTATCGAGATACGGCATGCTAATGGAGCCGTGGTGTGTGGTCCTAGTACAGCTGTCGGGTCCCATGGTTCTATAATACACCTAATTAGATCCGACAGTACACCCCGGACATTGTCTCGACCTACTTGGTGGCGACTCCGGCGCCGACTCTCTCGCTCTCGTATCCGGGCGCTTGACCTCCTTCTCCTTGGCCTTCCATTTTTCTGGCGGTGCGGTCTCCTTGGGCCGCCTGTCGGGACTTTTGGCCCGCGAAACCAGCTTCTCCCTCGTGGTGACGGTTACGCGCTCCGTCCTCCGCTCCTCGGCGCTCCTGCTGGCTGGCCGTGGATTCCCGGATTGACTGCGTTTATGAGCCGTACTGGCGGCATAGCCAGTTTGAGGCGATTGGCCCGATTGTTGCGTACCTCGCGAATCCTGTCGCTCGGGTTTGTAGCCTTGACCGGAGGCTATGCGGGGTCGCGAGTTCCCGTTCGCATTATCGCTGTTGCCATTGGTGCGCCGGTCGGCAATGTTGGAGACTCTCGACGACATGGTCGTGGGCCGGCGACATTGGGGATCGGGACCTGGGTGTTGTCGGGAACATGGGCCGTTGTTGTCGCTAGTTGACGTGTCGTCGTTGTTATTTTATCTCTCGATTCAATGTTATTGGTTAATCGCATGTGAGGTTCTAGTTGACGCGGTCTAAAGTGGCAGCGCGTCGCCCGCTGGTAGCCAGTCGCAGTTACTTCGGTAAGCTATAATTCCAGCGGAGATGATCCTGTTCAGTGGTCAGTGCTCCTTCCAATGGTGCCTGGGCGGGCTGGGGACGGCAAGGCGACCGACCAGCTTCGTCAACCTTGTGCAGCCTTGAGGTAAGCTCCGAGCTCCATACATCACCAACGCCAGCCTTCCCAAGTTCAATTTCTGGGAGCAAATAACACCATCAGTTCTCAAGATACCCGCATAACGACCCATTCTCCCACGTAAACTCCTCACAACTCCGTCAAGATGTTTATGGCAAGATCTGAATACGGTATGCATTCTCATTACGCCACCCGAAGCTTGGCCCGTATCGTACAGTAACTGACACCATACTGCCAAACAGATCGGGGCATCAAGTATGTTGTCTCAAACCCACCACTCCTTCCATCCCCGTGAGCCATAACCCACTGACCGTACAAACCACAGCACCTTCTCCCCAGAAGGCCGCCTTTTCCAAGTCGAATACTCGCTCGAAGCCATCAAGCTCGGTAGCACCGCCATCGGCGTTGCCACCTCGGAGGGTGTCGTGCTGGGCGTTGAGAAGCGGGTAACCTCGACTCTCCTCGAGACCTCGTCCGTCGAGAAGATCGTCGAGATCGACCGCCACATTGGATGCGCCATGTCGGGCCTCCAGGCCGACGCGCGCAGCATGGTGGAGCACGCGCGCGTCGAGTGCCAGAGCCACGCTTTCAACTACAACGAGGATCTGCGCGTGGAGAGCTGTACCCAAGCCATCTGCGACCTGGCCCTGCGCTTCGGCGAGAGCGCCGACGGCGAGGAGAGCATTATGAGTCGGCCTTTCGGGGTGGCTTTGCTTATTGCGGGGTACGATGAGGATGGGCCGTCATTGTACCATGCTGAGCCTAGTGGTACCTTCTACCGGTATGATGCCAAGGCGATCGGGTCTGGAAGTGAGGGTGCGCAGGCGGAGCTACAGAATGAGTATCACAAGGTGCGATTTGGGCAATTGCTTAATTTGGATGATGGGCGCCGGTATGGCTAACATGGAAAAACAGTCGCTCACGATCATCGACGCCGAGACGTTAGTGCTCAAAACGCTGAAACAGGTGATGGAGGAGAAGCTGGATTCCAAGAATGTCCAGCTGGCGAGTGTGACCAAGGAGAAGGGCTTCAGAATATACACGGACGAAGAGATGGCCGCCGTTGTCGAGCGACTACCTGCCAACTAATTCATGATCCTCTAAGCTTACCCGCCGAGGGTGGTATTTATAGCCCCAATGTTCTGCACGACCAGGCGTACGGTAGCTATCTACGCTACGATTGACAGTGTTGGGCAATCTGTGCCGTGGTTGGCAAGGTTGAACCACTCACCAAAAGAATAAAATCGCACGCCCATGCCCATTCACTCGATAGAGGGAGGCAAGTAGGCGGGCAGGCGATAGATGACGGGGAAAATCTAGAGTCGAGTCAAACATACCTTTCCATCTTCAATGGTGTTCAGGCATGGAACGCGTGCCATCGTCATGTTTATGTACCATTAGTGTACTGACAAGCAAGCAAGCGGTCTGTTCTCATCCGACTTCTACACCGAGGTCCCTTATAACCCGCTGAAATCTCCACCGTACGCTCAAAATGCTCCAAACTTCGGCGCCACCCATCTTCCATTACCTATGCTCATCTCAAATCCTCTATCAAGCGCATCCGCCTAGTTTCTTCTCACCCACAACAACGCCAGTTCTTCACAAAAATGCCTCCAAGCGAATCTACACTTCCTCATTACCTCACCCCCTATCCCTCTCACTACTATCCAAATCCAGCTTTTCCAGATCCTGCTCCACAGCCAACAGCCCCATGGCATAGTGCGCCTTCTCCTCCTTGGCCAGCACGATTTTATTGTTACTGTTACTCCCGTTATCAGCATCCGTGACCTCCTGAATGTGGCGGTCGATACGCCGCGGGTTGCCCAAGATGGGCGGCATCCTATCGACATTGATATCGGGGCTGCGCTGATACATGGGCCCACGGCCGAGCGAGGCGGCCTTGACCCAAGCCGACTCGCAGCCATCGGCAATCTGGCGCGCCGATTGCCAGCCCGTGAGGCGGGCGATGTCGTGGCAGCGCCGGATCACCCAGTCGCGTTGGGAGGGGTTTTCATACTGTATGTGCGTAATGTCAGAAAACCAAGGTTGTTCCTAGGGGTAATGTACGGAATCAATTAAGGGGATGGAGGAAGGAAAAGATGGGACGGGCCAAACCAAAAGGGAAACAATAACTGACCTGCACCCCAGCCACGAATAAACAAAAGGCGCTCTCGATAAAGGCAGCGCCCACTAACGTGCTGATCTCGGGTAACAAATCGACATTCTCCTCGAGTCCCGCGGCAATGCGCCCGATCTCATTGGCGTAGAAGCCTGTCTCGCGGGCGGCACGACCAGCTGCCATCATGGCGACGGGTGGCATGGTGGGGTGCGCGCGGTACAGCAAAATCATGCCCATGTAATAGTTCATCCAGATGCCGGCAATGCCGTACGTGCGGTACTTGGCCGCGGGGCCAAACGGCGTTGTCCCGACCACGGGGTACATGTCGAGCCCCATGGGTTCGAACTCGGGTCCGAAGTGTTCGCGGAGGGCTGCGAAACCGGCTTTGATGCCTTCCCACTCGGCCCGGGCGATCTCGGTCGAGGCCTCGAGATCTGCGTCCTCGAGTGAGTCGGATTGTGGCGAAGGGGCGTCTTGTTCGCGGGGCGGGCTGAAGCCCATGGGTAGCGGAACCCGATTTGAGGCCGGCATCATGCCGGGGAACGTGCCCGGAGGCGCGCCCGAGGGCCCAAATGTGCCGGCCTTGCGAAGAACGCGCCGCTTGCGCATAAGGTCACGGGAAGCAAAGTTTGCTAGGCGCCCCAGAAGGAGCATGAGGTGGTCGTATGTTCCGTAACTATGTCTTGTCAGCATCAAGCATACATCATTTGGGCTGGCGATTTGTCTCACGTGGCGTCCAGACGACCCATCGGTGCTCGTGGGGGGCACTGCGTCCACATGTTATAGTCCATGCTACTCTTTTTGTTAGTATACCTTCAGCTCGGGGAACCAAACCAGCATTTTTCTGTCCGGAAAACTCACAATAACTTGGTAGCACCTAAAATGCTTTGATAGACATCCATCTTGCAATACCACCAGAATAAATCACTGAGCTGCTCATACGTCTCCGTGTCCTTTTCAGTGAACTTGTGCCTGCTCCTCGGGTATGCCCTTTGCTCTTCTGGAACCATGCCCAGCTCGTCATGCGTCACTAACCTCCCCGTGATCGATGTCAGCAGCGACACATTAATTTGATCCCAGTCGTTGTATAACGGATCTGGCTCATCCAAGGGTGCGTCTGGCTGATTATAGTCTAACCCGCCCCACGCATTGTACGTCCCTTCCCAGCCAAACGGGTCACTTCTTTCAGCCTGCGCTTGTTGCTGCTTCCTCTGTTCCTTTTTTTGCCGCAGACGCCGCTTAATGGCCATCATCGACCGCGTCATCTCCGAGTATGGGATGTCCTTGAGGATCAACCGGGCGCCCAGCAGGTGCTTGCTCCACTTCTCATGGTCAGAGTTCCACACCTCGTAGTACGCAAGGAGCAACGTAGCAGCTAGATTTGATGGTTGCGTGCGTTTATTCACCCTGCCCACGTTACGGGCCACCCGCCTGAGAGCAAGATGGTAGTGTCGCAGGGATGCCGTCGGGGCACCATTTGCAGCTTGGCGATCTGGAGACTGCCGAGAGCAAGGATCGCTTGAAGTAATGCTGGATGACTGAATGACAAGACGGGGAATGTGTCTGCACATGTTAGCCTAAGGATCAATCCTTAAAATCTTCGAGTCGCTTACAAGTCCAGATATGCTGGCGACCTTGGGGAGCAACAACGGATCCTTCCTGGATGAAAGGGGACGGATCAAATGGATGCCTCTCGTAAAGCGATATGCTGGGTCCAGTAACGTTGACAAAATGCCAGAACACGGAGGCGATTTGCTTGTCATTGAGGGGCGAGTTTGCAGGCGATGGCTCGTACGTTGCGAGGACAGTGTTAGCTGCGAACCTCGAGAAGGTTCTTGCCTGAGTTCCAAAAGCATCATATCGATCGTTCAGTCTTTGGGAGACTATGAGGCCGAGCTCGTTTAGCTCAAATTGCGAGTCTCTCTGTGGCATGAGCTCCTCATCCGACTCCCCCATTGAAGCATCCTCATCAGACTCCGCCAGCTCCCATGGGTCAAGCTGGGGCTCTGGGACTAGGGCCGGCTCGCATTCCTCATGTTGCTTGCCCTTCACCTGTTGCGGTGCCACTGGCGACACCGGCGAAACATTCTCGAAAGTGTTCTCCTTGGTTCGTCCTGGGTCGTACTGTAAGAAATCGTACTGCGGCTCCAGCTGATGTTGCTGCTTCCGTCTCCATGGGTTTGGTGTGAACACGCCCCCAGTCTCGGGCGGGAAAAAGGTAAGTTTGGACGACGTTGGTGTGGGTTGTATGCCAAACGCGTTGATGTCGAAATTCAGGGGGGGTGATGCCGATGGCCCAGCCTGCCCAGGGAATACATTGCTGAACGGGGGCACGGCGGCATGGTACCCAAGAGGTGGTGGTTTGGGGGCGATGATTTGCAGGGACTGGGACGAGGCCTTTTGTTGCGCCGCTGATAGCTGTTGTTCTCTCGCAAGCGTCTGTGGCGAGTGTGTCGGATATACCAGAGGATGGCCAAAGGGAGCAAACCCGAGAGGATCTTTGAATATTACGCGTTGGTTGTAACCTTCGCAGTTTCTTTTCGACTTTATACAGTTGTTGCATGTGGGTCTTCCTTCATCACACTTGATTCGACGTTTTCGGCAAGCTGGCCGAGGTTAGAGAGTTTTTGCGCATATTGCACAGTCGGAAGCATGAAACGTCTACATACTGAGACAACCCGTCTTTGTCCTCTTCCTTACGGCAGTCTTCTTGGGTGCCAAGTCCTCGTCGACCTTCTCTCTCGTTGGTGAAGTATCTCCCAGCTGAGACTGGGACGGGGATCCCCGAGGCGCCACTAGCGCGGTGTCCATCCTGGACGATGAAGGTCGGCGCCTGATCCAGAATGAAAGTAGCGGCTTGCCTTCTAGCCGTGCTATCATTCACATGCCACATGGCACGGCGACCATGGGCGGCCCTGCGGGCTGGGACTTCGCCGGTGGGGAGTGGGTGGGAATGAAGACATCCACCAGGCTGGAAACCGGCTGGGCCACGGAGACTACACTGTAGCTGAAAAAAAGTCGGTGTTGGCAATATCAAGTCTCTAAGCGTTTGGCCGAGACAGGCGAAAAATCGGGGAGGCGAGACAGGTCGATATGTCCGCCGTCGTACGCAGTTACCACTTTGGTGTTGAGAGACAAAGGCAGGTGGACTACTCAAAATGCCTGAGGCGAATGACTGCAATTGCTTGTATATAGCCCATGAGGACAACTGAAACAGAAGCGGTGTAACGACGAATTACCCAAGATATGCTTGCCGGCATGGATGGCCGGGCGGGTGAGCTTTGTACGCGAACACAAGGCAAGGTACCTCGGGGGGTACTTTTGTAAGTGGCGGCGCGGCGCGCCCGCGATGAGGCCGCTATTGAAGAACGGGGAAGTGGGGTTGTGGGATGAAAAGAGCTTGATAGCCTGCCTACACCTCTCCAGGCATGTAGATTGTTGGTGGATGAAATACCCTGTTCTAAGTGACTGATCAACGCATACAAATTGCGTGACTGATCAAGTACAGGTTTACTTGGACCAGGGTGTCCTGACCCTCCGCAGCACTGAAAACGAGTGGAAGATCAAGTATTATGGGGGTTGTAATACGCTAACAATCTATTGTAGGGATGCCAAGATGATCCCGAACTGACCACTAGGCGGGAAACGATCAGATGAGAGGCAGCTCCCCTCCTGCTGTCCTAAAAGGACTCAATCCACTCTGCACTACACCAGCCGGCAATGCACCGGACGGCATGGGTACATGATGTTCCAGGTCCTGCAGGTTGCAGGTGAGAGGCAACAGCTTGGACATTGTTCGAGTGACAACGACAACGACCACGGCTGGCTCGAACTGAACCGGGTGGAGCAAGTTAAATAAGCATGGTGCGATTGAAAACAGGCAGGGGTCTGTCTGCCAGATTAAAGAGCTTTGGCAACCTCGAGTTATTATCAATCATGATCGATCAGAGATACCAGATATGCAGGTCTCCAGGTCTCCAATGGAACAGGGGTATGCAGGAAGATATATCGAGTTGGTCTGCGAGAGCTCCCTCAGAGTCGTCAGTGAGCTCTAGCGGCCTGTGGGAGAAGACGAATCCCAGGGTCGATCAGATGGAATGGACGTGGTGGCACTGTGACAATGGCCGGGTCTTCCACACTGACTGGCTGGCGCAAGAATTGATACACTCCACCGGGGTCACAGAAGTTAGTGTAGTGACATCTTGCATTGTGCTATACCGAAAAAAGTTAAGTTACTATGCATAGTCTTCTATAAAAAAAGAGAGCAATCTTTTTGTACTTACGACTGTCTCTATTTTTTTTCTTTGACTAGCTCGGGCTTCAAACTATTTAAGCAGGCTAATTCTAACAGCTACTCTTCTGTAACTCCATTCTACGCCTCTTAAATAACTAGGAGTAATTATTCGATGAAAAGGACTCTAAATTTCGTGTTAAGACTCGATCTTCAAGCCAAAGCTCATGTTGTATTTTAGTAGGTGCTTGTGCAGCCTTTAATCGATAATATAGAGTATTCTCCTGTGAAGACGGCTAAGTCGGGGTTATCGCGGAAGAAATAGGGTGCTAAAGATAAGATAAAAATATGTACTTACATATAATGTTTCTACCCTATTCCTTCTCTTAAGCGAAAGAAGCTCCCTTCTTATTATTAGTAAACTAGCCCTATGATATCTGGCTGTAAGGCTTTCTCTATAATAGGGTAAAGGGTTCGAGATCTTCCGTATCGTAGATAGTCATCCAAATCTTCTATATAGATTATTCGTTCCCTATTTTCATTAGAAAATATTATATTCTTTTAGTCTTCTGTCCGTAGTTGAAGTTAAATAACAATCGAGTAAAGTTAACTCTATGTCACAAGAGGAGGACCAAGCCCCTAGGCCAATAGACCAAAAGATCTAGAAATGTCAGTGTTACTGACATTTGGTCCCACTAACTGCTATATACAGCACTATGTGGCTCTGTAATCGCCAGCGCTGTGACACTCTAGCCCGCTTATTAGCTACTGTTCTCTTAGTCCGTTAGGGGCGAATAGCCGTTCGATAGCCTATTGATTTCAAAGCGGTTATAATTGCCACCTATCTATATCTCGAAAGCTTACAAGGGAGAAAGAACCGAAGGTCGTATCGAGGAATCTAGCGACTAATCTTATCTTCGAGAAGCTGTAGCGTTAGTAATTCTTTTCTTAGGGATCCTGATTAGTCCTCTCTAGTTCTCTTCTCTAAGGAATAATAGGCCTGTTACAGGCTAATTAAGCTTACCTGTATAAGTAGGGGGTCTTTATCGGGATCCCTTTGTACGTCTAGTTAGCCCACTTTCCGAGAAGGGCTCGAATCCCAATCTTCTAATCCCGAGTACGGTCCGTATTACGAGTACAACGTGGTTTTGTTAGTGTTCAAGGATTAAGGTGATAGCAGACTCGTGGAGAGATTTGTTGCTAGAATACTCGAATTGTTCCAAGAGCTATTTATTATTAGTCTCCGTACCTCTCATAGAAAGTGCTAACCTAGAAAAGTGACCTTCAGCCAAAAATGGCGAGCTCCTTCATCAACTAGGGCCCTGTAAGTCACTGCAGTAACATCTGTGACTCCGGTGGAGATGTATATTGCTGTTTCTAGCTAGAGGTTCTAGGCTACGTACAGCAGACCCATGAAGCGAACAACCGTGCTGCCAGGATTTATCTCGCTGAGGGCAAGCGACAGATGATTCTCGGGGAGCCAATCAGCTGCCCGGCTGTTCCCGTGCCACCCAATGCGTCTTTCGATGAGAATCTGTCCTACACAAACTCCGCGTTTCGTTGGACACGGCTCACTCGATCGTCATTTTGCAATCCTAGACACGCATGAGACGGCGACGGCAGCAGGAGAACAGCGCAGAGCTCTCGTGCTGCTATCTTGGCTGAGTACTTGGGCTGGATTGCTTCCCTAGTAATGAGTGGGATCTTGATGTGCATCCTGGGAACTGTCGCTAGACATCGCTAAGCATGCGCCACCCCGCATCGGAAAGATGTATGAGGTTCTTGGATCGCTTCATGTTGGGAGTGCAGACCAACACGCGGCAGGCTGATCAATATGCAGCTCTGGCTCGTTACCTCAAGTGCCGTGCAGGACCCTCTCTCAGGTTGCATGAGGATACTTTCGGCCCCGTCCACCAGGAAACCCTGCACGTTAGATCTGCCGTTGATACGGTTGTGACGTACCTTCATATGTTGGAACTTCTTCCCATACAGCTTGACGGAGATTGTCCGCGTTGACGAACGATAGTTCTGACTTGTTTAGGTCTAGAGAGGCTTATGACGGGCTTTCCAATGCGATATCGGATTGAGTGCTAACACTCAGCCGCCAGTTATGTCTCGGGCGTATGTGGATATAGCAGCCACTGCTAGGGCTAGGTTATGCAGCTTCCAGTGACTATACGAGATGAACCAGACAGAGATGCGGGCGAACGACACGCCCCCAGTCGGCTAGCCGCATGAAGTTGAAAGAGCAGCCCGTATAGCAGACAGAGCGACCCCATTCTCGGGGAAGCACTGAATCTGGTCGCACTGCGATCGATGGTGATGAGTCGACTCGATCACCCCTTTGCTCCATGCTTGGCTGTCATTTGCAATGTTGGGTTGCCAGGCCAGGGACACCTCGTACACGAGAATCAACCTGGGTACCTGGGTAAGAGCAATCGTTGCCGAGGGACCTTGAACTAGTGTTGAGGAGTCAAACTCGGTATCCTTCGCTGCCCCTGCTGCCAGGAGATCGAGACTTCGGCAGTCACGTTGTGAACTCACTCGCTAGGCAATGCAAGCCTAAAGGCTCAAGGAATATAGGCCTAGTTTCCCTATCCTTGGTGCAAACCGACGAAGAAATAGGAATAGCTTGGATGCACTAAAACAGCTGGCCAGGGTCTGTTCCTCATCGACTTTATTAATCCTCGCGCCAACGGACTTGTGGAGTACCTAGGGAGGCAAGTAGCAAGTGCGTGACAGAAGCTACAGGCGCATACATGGGGTGGAATAGTGTAGTGTAATAAGATGAAATATCGGGCTGTTACACTCTGCACCGTTTATTTGTCATGTACTTGAGTTGGCACAGCTAGGGCGCATCTGCCGAACAGGTGATTTGCAAGCAACAGGGACATAGCTGCGAGGACGAAACCGGTGACATTTTTGCTGAGACAGAAACTCAGAAATAGCATATTCCTCGATATGCAGCGGGAAAGACTTCGATGTTGCAAACATCAGCATTTGTGAGATTTGTCCTTGGAAGTTGATGTGTGGAAGAAGCAAGGAGCGCCTGAGGTTTGACAACATTTTGGAACCAACCAACGTCCCAGTCTAGACCCACTTGCCACATGACGCCAACTGTAAAGCCCAACGCGGCTTTGCGATTTCCCTCATTTTATTGGGTTGGTCTCCAGATCCTAGCGGGGTTTCTTGACCTTCTGCAGCGGCGCTGTAGTGGGAGATCCCTGCAGAAAAAAAACAAAAATCAAACTTCCAACGGTAGATAAGTTATTTACATCTGGATTCTCACGCACGTCACACTACCCAACCGACCCCTATCCCAAATTGCCCGCTGTTTGCGCAGGATCGCTCACCGGCACTGAATCTGCATCGGAGAAAACCGAATCAACAACGATGTTTGCAGTTCCTGGTTGGTCGGTTTCTGCCGCCAATCTCAAGGCAGAGAGTGCGAGCCAGGGCCCTAAAGGTGACAGCAGCAATCAGGATGCCGATGCCAAATCGAAGAAGCGGAAGCGTCCGTCTGGACCCCCTGCTGTGACTTCTGCCAATGTTTCAGATCTCTGGGAACGTGTCATAGAAGGCAAACGAGTAAAGAAGCCCAGGGCTGATTCAGCTGATCAGAAGGATCCAAAGAAGCCCAAGCAGGGCCCAGATGGAGTCATTTCAGAGGACGGTAACGTTTTGGAAGGTGATAGAGCAAGGGATGGCGCCAAGAAAGGAGCACAAGCTGCATCGAAAGGTGGCCCTGGTGTGACCAAGAAGGAAAAGAAGAAGCAGAAGAAGGCTAAGGAGACTCGACCAGATGGTCAGGAGGACGGCGAATCCAAGACTGAAACGACCCAATCAAAGAACCCGAACAGCGCTTTAACCAAGGGGAGCAAGCAGGTGGCTGTTGCGGCTCCTGCTCCTCCTCCGGCTCCAAAGCTTACACCATTACAAGCAGCTATGAGAGAGAAGCTCATATCAGCTCGCTTCCGACACCTCAATGAAACGCTGTACACCAAGCCGTCGGTCGACGCGCTTCAGCTCTTTGAGGAGTCCCCTGAAATGTTCAATGAGTATCACGAGGGCTTCCGCCGGCAGGTCGACGTCTGGCCCGAGAACCCCGTTGACGGCTACATTGAGGAGATCAAGCTCAGAGGCAAGGTGAAACAGGCCCCGCGTGACCAGTCAGCGAAGACCAACAGTAAAGGGCCTAGACCCCCGAAGTCCCCGCTGGCCACCAGCACCGGTGGCGTCGTGCCCTTCCCGCGGACTCGCGAGGTGTGTACGATTGCGGATTTGGGCTGCGGCGACGCCAAGCTCGCACAGGCTCTGCAATCGCACAAGAACTTGGGTCTCAACATCCTTAGTTACGATCTTCAGAGTCCCAACCCCCTGGTGACAAAAGCGGACATCGCGAATTTGCCAGAACACGACGGCAGCGTCAACGTGGTCATCTTCTGCTTGGCGCTCATGGGCACCAACTGGCTCGACTTCATCGAGGAGGCCTACAGAATCCTTCACTGGAAAGGCGAGCTGTGGATCGCCGAGATCAAGAGTCGATTTGCACCCGTTATCAAGGGCAAGAAGGGGGGTGTGGTCTCGCATAGTGTTGGGAACAGGAAGAAGCTGGGAAAGAAGGGCAAGGGCGGCAAGGACGAGCCAGAGGAGTCCCACGACGCGGAACTGATGGTGGAGGTCGATGGCGGTGATGACAGGAGACAGGAGACTGATGTCTCTGCCTTCGTTGAGGCCCTCCGCAAGAGAGGGTTTGTTCTGCAGGGAGACGTCGATCTCAGCAACAAGATGTTTGTGAAAATGCGTTTCCTCAAGAACACTCAGCCAGTGGTGGGTAAGGGAGTCGTTGAGCAGAGAGACTCGGGCCGGGGCGGTGCATACAAGAAGCCGGTGAAGTTCCTTGATCCGGCGGATCAACCCAAGGTGGACGAAAGCAGCATCTTGAAGCCCTGTGTCTACAAGCTCCGGTGAGCTGCATCACGCATCTACTCATAAGTAATTGTGGGATGCACACATGGCAAGATCAGAGCTATAATCATGTATGAGGCAGTATATTATCGACTTGAGTCTGCGTCTGAGCGGCCTGTAGTTCGGCGCTGAGGCTAGAAGTATCTCCGAGAAATGCCCACTTGTCACAATATCACAAAATGTCAAGTACTGTCAAGTATCCTGCCGAAAGCCGCGGTGACGACACCTTCTAAAAAGCAAGAAATGATGTATCGAGATCCTACCTGCCCATGTTAATGCAAGCCAAAATGCCGTTTCGCCTAAACCGTGTGCCACTCCAACCCGACGCAGATGCAAACACCAAGCAATTACAAGTTCTGGAAAAGGAGTCCGGCCGCATATTCGACGTTGCCACCGGTGGCTTCCAGGGCAGCGATGGCTCTGCGTCGGTCCACACCCAAGTTCATCAATGCCTCTATGTCGGCCTCGGCAAACGTCCTAGCTTGTGGTTGTTGGGGTGCGGCAGCTGCTGCCGGCGGCGGTGCAGCAGATCGAGATGGCATCGAGGCTGGTTGAGGCCTGACCGCTGCGGGAGCGATGGCTGTATTCGGCGGCGGCACCGAGGGTCCTGCTACAACGGCACCAGATCGTCCGCCGATTTGTGTGCCGCCGGGTCCTTGGACAACGGGTTCGTCGTTAACCGCCTCCTCCGTCTCCCTGGGAATATCAGCTTCGCCCAAGAAGTCGACGCCCTCCCCTTGAATGATGAGCTTGTTCTGCGCGAGGTCGATGGTGGCTTGGTGGCCCTTGAGAATGTCCAACCCCAACAACAGATCAACTGACTTGCCCTCCATGACCGTGAAGGCCGCTGGCAAGTGCTTCGATCCGAGTTGGAGCATTGTGTAGTGGACTCGTCCAATGATCTTCGCAGTGCCGATGCCTCGGGCTACGCCGGCATAGCGGCGATCGACGAGGTGCATAATGTTGCAAGCTTCGGCACACGAGGGCGACATGATGGTTGCCTGGGCGCCAGAATCGACCAGAGCCTTTACCTGGACTCCGTTGACCTTGACATCCACATACAACATGTGCACGCGACCAAAAGCTGATATTGCATTGGAGTCAGCAAGCAACTATCTCACCGCCTGACTTGGTTAGTAGGTAGGTACTCACACTCAGGGTTGTATTCCATGGCATTCTGAAGGTTCTCCGTGACATTCTGCTGGCGGATGATCTCCTCAATCCTGGCCTGGGCATCGGGATTGAACTCGTCATTGTTGAGCTGCTCGATCTCGCGCAATCGGGCGAGGCGGGCTTGTTCTGAAGAGTTGGCGCTGTCGCGCCATACTCGAGCGAAGCGGGCAGAGTCCTCGAGAGCATCGTGTAAGCTGGGGTTGCGCCTCGCCAATTCTCCTCTCAGACGAGGGTCACCCAGTACTTGTAAACGTATAAGCTCGGGATCCTGTGGTTGCGACGGGCCGGCGGCGGTTCTCTGGGCAGGCTGGTCAGTCTGATGGGCCGGCGCAACACCTGTATTACCCCGCATGTCGCGGATGTGTAGCGCAAGCATGTCGCCGTCCGATATTTGCAGCTCTTGGAGAGTCTTCGCGTTGTCCGTAATCAGCTGGCCGTTATGGTAGAGATGCTGCGTCGGCGCCGGGATGCCTTCGGCTTCGATGGAGCTTCGCAGCGTACCGAGCGTCATGTCGGGAAAGACCTCAAGCGTCACAAGACGAAGGTCTTGCTCCGCCTCCTGCGGGTTATTTACGCTCAAAGTTATGCGCCTAGAGATAAGGTGAGTCCCAAGACGTAATAGCATGGTAAGCAGCTCGCGCTTACATGTTGGCCTTTTGTCGTCGTAGATGTTGCGATGTGCCGTTCAGAGGTGGGATGGAAAGATGTCTAGGTGCAAATAACGTTCGGAAAGTAGAGGCCACTGGCGCCGCTTACAGACAAAGCTCCGGACGGTGGAAATTTGCAAGTGGCAAAGGAATCTCATCAGCTGTCTGAAATCTCGTGAGATTCAACGGCGAAACTTGATGAGAAGTAATAAAGCAGCAAATCGAAGAGTCGTGAGGCAGACAACTACGTAACGCACGAGCATCCGAACCCTGCCTGCTCTCAGTGCTGGACCTTTCCGCAGCTACCGGGGTAGTGGTGGGGCAGCTCGGTGGGCGGGGGGTCTACCGGGTTCTTTGACTTCTAAAGTTGGAACAGCTGGAACAGCACTTGTTCTGCTCATATTTTGCATCGCTTCCCAATGCGCCATCAAATCTGGGCGGCCTGAATTCCGATCACTATGGGCGCTAGAATCGTGCCAAAGTTTTACAATCACGTCTGACCGCCTTCCCTCAAATAGGAAGCTCAGTGTGACTGACCCCCGTGTCCCAAGGCACTGGCGAATCGCTACCTTGTAATCCATGCTTGATGACTTGAAGGAGTACTGCTCATTGAACACCTCACGAGAAGCCACCCGGAATCGCATTTTGGCATCCGATACGCATGTTCACACTACCATGGTTTTTCTTATGGATGGACAAGACTCGGCACAGTTGGTTGGACCGTCTCACGGCAGCCGTTGTGTGCAGTTGTTGAGCATCATGCGAGCCATCATCCTATGCTATGTCACTCTCGCGTTGACAGTGGACTGCCTGTTCTGATGTCTGGTTCTCCCCAGAAAACTGTTGACCGAGTCCTTAGACGTGTACAGAGTTGGTACAGATTGTCTTCAGCCTTCATCTGTAGTGATGCAGTGATCGACTGGCCGGACACGAATCCGTATCCCCGGCTTGATCGTTAGAGTTGTAGTATCACAAGTAGATGCCCGTGTAGTGGGTACTGTGTCATGTCACTATGGTACCCAAACGTTTGTCTTTGTTGAAAGCCAGGGTCTGTCATGTATCACAAGCTAAGGCGACTGAGGTGGGCAACTTCCAGGCACGAGATGATACCACAATCTACAATCCTCGTCCTGATTTCGTTTTCGCCGAAGCCCCACTATGGAGGATCACTTGATTTATCACTTGGCAGATTTGACTTCAGTCTTCACAACTGTACATAATCATATGAACCTTGCTAATAGCACGGGGTTCGTCCAGAAACCAGGGGGCCGCGCCTAGGTCTGTCCAAGTAGAGAAGCCCATAAGAAAACATTCAGTCCTGGCTTTTATAGACATGTAACGTAATTTCCTAAATTATTTTGCTATCTGTTGTCACGATAATGGTAGTATATTCCCTTACCTGTGTAAATCAGTAAAACAACAGGGTTTGCGGACCATCTACATGATTATATTTGTGCCCACACCGTCTCTCCATCGTTGGTTTCCTTTGGAACGTCTGTGGGGTCCTCTTTCTCATAAACCTTCAAGATCTGATAATTCCAAGTTTTCATACTTGGTTTCACTAGTAGAGAACTCTACACCACGAATCCGGGGTACTCTTAAGGGTATTTTGCAGCAGACTTCATCTGATGTGAGATAACAATGAATAGAATTTCGTGTGTTCTCGATTTCTTATCAAGAACAAACTTAACTCTGTTTATTGAATGGGAGTTACAGTAAAGATTGCCATGATCGAGGTCAACGATCATCTATTTTACAGCATGAGTGTCCGCATGACAGCAGATTATAATCATCTCGTATTATACTCCTTGAAGTCTAGTCTTGACATCATTGCATAGCTCACAGTGAAGCTTAGTAGTGTCACCAACCTGGGTTACGGAAGACTTATGGGAGTTTCCTCATCATGAAGTCGAATATTCCACGCCCATCTCGCAGCCGGAGCTTCTTTTGAGGTTGATTGGTTACCGATAGTTAAGTAGATATTCGGTAGATTAGGTAGGTGGAGTTTCGCTGTCAGTTACTAGCGCGTTATACACGAATTTCCAATTCAACTAGCCTCGACGGGCTATTATATAACTACAGCTGATCATTTATCGATGTATCTTGTATTGCCTCCAGTGCTTCTGATATGGAGGAATTAAGCCTTGAGGATGAACATGAAGAATACTACATCAACACTCCAATTTTGCAAAGTTCTGACATTCAGTCAACATCGACAAGCCTGCAACCTCATGTGGTGTTGACCCCAAGAGCAACTAACGCTTCTTTTGTCTACAATGAAATTCACCTAGTTTTTCGCCATTGTGAGGAAACCAGAATGACCTCCGAAAGGAGCCGGCTATTTCATGATTCCAAGTAGCAGCTTCGTCTAACAGAATACCATGTTTTTCATCTGTCGCCAGGCTGTCCGACAGAACCACGATGCAGTATATCCTCGATTTAACGTTTCGGTGTTATCACATAGCTTCAGCCTTTCTCATCAACACCAACGTTCCGAGTTGGTAGTTTCTGGGTTGAAATTAGAAACTTCGCTTGCACTTCTCTGTTCCTCAGTTTTCTGCTATAATTAGCGTATGTGCTGTGGTACACTGCGAGAAGATTGACCTTACAGTGCCCCTCTGAACCATAACCTTGACCCTCTTGAACGAATTGGTGCCGCTAGCATCTGCGGTAAAAGTTCTCGGCCGTTTGTGGATTTTGGAAGCACCAAAAAGAAAAAGGAAGGAAGAAAGGTTTGTCTCGCGCCCTTGGCTTCAATGCTGTGATAGGACCCGACATCAAGTTGGGTGGGTGGAGATGGTGGAAATAAGAAAAATGGGTTTGGTGGGTACAGCTTTCACATGCTTTCCTCCTGCTCGCGACTGCAGACGTTATGAGTTTTTATTTTTATTTTTATTTTTTTGAATGGGTGTAATTACTGCGTAGGCGGCTGGTAAATTACCTCAACTTAAAGGTGGTGAAGTGACAGTGATCCCAAGCCTACCTACATTTGCCCAGGTAGCAAAGTTAGCGATGCCATGGGAGAATCCCAGTAGTTGCTGTAAGTTACGCCCTCTTAGGGGCTAGCAGACTACAGCCGGTATTTCCGACCTTCTATTTATCTCATTCAGAAGAAATGTATTATGCTTGTGAAATGATCATTCTCGTCACACGTCCTTTACTTCACTTTCAACGCCAACTTCTTAATATCACCCCATTCTGAAGGGACTATCTTGAAAACACAGGATGGAAACTACGCATCACGTTTAATCCACGACGTGCTTTAGAGACCTCTATAGGATCTTTTCTCTCCAGGATTCTACCAGCTTGACGAATTGACCGCATCTTTCTCGTATGGTCCTGATAAGTCAACAATATTTTGGTTGGTATTGTGCATCATGAGGCAACAGAATCTTTATACCAATGGTAAACTGAGAAAGAGCGAACTGCTTACCTTTTAACCCTTTACTCGGATGACTATTAATTAAATAGAAATATTTTATTCAGACCTTGCTAAAATCTCACTGGCAGCAGCACATTCTGAGCTATGAAAGGATCTCAATGCTGGACTCTTTCCCAGTCTGAGCCAAGTTCTAATATCATAGCTTCCAGGAGTTATCACCCTGCGGGCTTGCGCAAGTAAAATTTCAGCCACCGACTGTATGAAAGCTATCTGCCTAGTTCATGTTCAACCCAACTATATGCGGAGTAGGCAAGTTATTACTTGTTCCGTGACAGTTCGTTTCCAAAGTTAAACCCTTCTTTTCCGATAGCTTCCGATAGGCAGTGAAACTTACATATCTGCAGAGACCTCGAAGTCTGCGGCTGAAAATGAAGCTACATCGCGGGAAACGCGATTAGGAGGCTTGGCCAAGAAGAGCCCTGCCTGAGCCGCAACTTAGCGCGTTCCCGCTTGTTCTAGATTTCAGTGATGTAGACTAGCGGTGGATCACAACCCAGCATGCGAAGCTGAGCATCGAGATAAGTCGTGACGTTGTCGAACGTGCCTCGTGGCGGGGCGCGTGTTTCTATTTAAGATTATGCAGCCTGCTACACGATGGTAACACAATATGCAGTATTGTTGACATGATCTTATCTACTCGAAACTATCCGAGCCAGTTACTTTGATGGAAAACATAGGTTCAGACGAGTCTCGGTTTCCTTCGTTACCTCGAGTCAGGCTCGCCAACAGAAGCTTGGAGTGCCCGTTGCGTACCTAACTGAAGTAATTTGGCATGCCATTTAGAGTTTCATGAGTTGTACATGCGCATTGGCTTGAAACACGGTCACGAAAGTCCCATGACGAAACTAGAATCACATGGGATCTCCCATCACTTCATCTGTGCGCCCTTGCCTATGGTGAGGTATAAACAGGAGGAGAAGCTCTTGAATGGCTTTATCCAGAGATTGATATTGACTGGCTGAATGGATGCTTTGACCCGCTACATTGGGATCCAGTGGTTTGGGTTCTGATCGGTTTGATCGGAATCTCTTGCATATGCTGCACTAGTTATCCCACTCATGCAATCAAGTTCTTTGCAACGCAGTAACCGCCTGTCTGGACTTCTGCTAGGAGTTGCTCTCCCTACCTAGTCATAATAGCCGAAAGTCGTCGGCTCCAAGTGAATTTATAGGTATAAGTTGAAGGGGTGGAACTCGAGTTTCTTACTCTTTTCATCAATATTCGAGATAACATCACTTATGGCAGCCGAAGTGGCCACTGCACCCGCTGTCTCCGAGGCGGAAAAGGCATCACCACCTGCGCTCCCAGACTACATGACAGATCCCAATGCTGTCCTCAAGGACCTCAACACTGAATGGCGTTACGGAAGACCACCGGACTACTCCAACACTCGCCGATTCTTTGCTCAAAGTAAAAAAACATCCTGGTTGAAGCCGTTATCCACGACACTTCACTTACAGCTAACGCCATCGTAGCAAAGAAATGCAGCCACGAGCCTGGCAGGCTTCCTGACCTCGTCCAGAATTTGGTCAAGAACTGGGAGATCGAAGCATCCTTCAAGACGCGTCTTTCTGACTGGCGCACCGTGGACCCTGGCACGTACTCCTTCTCCGTCAATGGTAGTCCGCCTCAGTCGGGTGAGCACATGCTGAAGGTCGGAACATACAATGCGATTATTGTCGCCCCAAACGAATGGTATAGCCCTCGATACTTAGACTTGGCTTCAAGCCACAAGACATTCAAGCGTATGATGCCCACCTTTGCCTGGGAAATGCTAGAGGTGTACAGCGGTCCGCCTGTTGTGGCCTTCAAATGGCGACACTGGGGTGAGATGAAGGACGATTATGTTGGATGGAACGAGTAAGTTGGGCGATACAACGATAAAAGAAAGAGGCTGACTTGGGGTGATAGCAAAGGAGAGAAGGTCATGGTTAAGGCGCATGGGGGCCCAATCGACATTCAGGGGGTGACGGTAGCGCATCTGTCTGACAAGATGCAAGTCAAGAAACTGGAAACATGGTTTGATCCTGTCGAGCTGTTCAGACAGATTTCCCCAGCAGGGGTGGTGAGGAAAGATCTCACAGAAGCAGCAGCCGCCATGGGTTGTCCAGTGACGGGTTACCAAGTTGCCGAGAAAGATAAGGCATCTGTTGATGAAAACGTTACCACATTGGAGAAGGAAGCAGTTGTTCTGAAGGCACAAGGTCAGGATAAAGTGCCAACTCCGGGCGAAAACTTGGCTCTCGAGACTGCAAGCCTGGCTGGTAGAGCTGTTATGGACAGTGGTGTCGGTCTTCCTGGTGATGTGAAACCAACGGAAGCGAACCCAGAGAATGGAGAGATCCCAAGGCCGAATGCTGAGTAATGGGAGATTCCAAGATGATATCATACACATCTTTTCCTACAGTAGAATTTCAATAATACAAAAATACTTGTACTTAACAATCATTGCTCTTCATCATTAGCTGTTGCTTACACAAGGGTAGCAATAATCATAATAGTAAGACATATGAAACCTATTACATCTTTACCTATGATACCCATAATACTTCTTAGATCCTTGGGGCATATTTTTCTATCGCAATATTGGACCTTCCAGAATGAACGATAAACGTTGTAACGGATTCTCATCACTTGGTCAGGATAAGACCAAGGAGGCTGTAAATGAAAGAAAAGTCGGACAAATAGGTTTGCATAACGGTTGCTTTGTGCTTGTTAACCCAAAGCTGTCCAGAACACAATAACAACACAAGGCGCAATAGTTTTACTGTGTGACCCCTTTTGGGCGGGCTCAAACCCATACATACCTAGTTGGTATCTGTGAGCAAACCAGGCGCTTGCAATATCTTTACCCTCACTCTTTTCTCCTGGCAATATTTCACTACTGCTTGATGATATGGGTTCTCTATGCCAATATATGATTATTTTATCTAATTGGCCTCCTTGGATCCAATCACAGACTTTGGTAGCTGTGAATGATACTCTTTCTTTATTCATATTCTCAGCCCACTTGAAAGAGCCGTTTATCCTCACAGAAACCTTGAAAGAGTCGACAGTCGTTCAATGAACCACAGGGACGAAAGTCGCTCGGCCAGTGATAGGTGTAGAAAGCGGTAGACATATCTAGCAGTCAGGCCTCCTGTTCTCTGACTTGCCTTCTAATCCCAACACACAACCACAAACCTCAAGCTCAACACAAATATCTGCAACCAAACCCTAAGTGCCTCAGGCAGAATGGCACCTTCCACATCCTCAAAGTCGTCCAGATCTTCAAGATCATCCAGATTGTCCAGGAGATCCAAAACCCCGCGCACCCTGTCAATGACCGAGAAGAACATCCAGCGCCGCCAGATGTACAGGAACCGAAACCCTGAGAGCAAGCGTCGTGAAGCTTTCCGCCTGAAGCGCCAACACACCATATATCAAGGGAAAATATTGATGCAATGCACTGCTTGGAGCTTGCTCAAGCAGGAGCAGCAGATTTCTCTGCTTTGCCAGGTTGAGGAGGAAATTCGGGAGTTGTTGTAAGTCACTGCACCTCTGTGCTACTTCAAACATGAGAGAGCCTGCGCTTTCAAGTTCGGAGCAAAACCTGAGCTAACTTGCCCGCGAGGAATTAGTGCCTTCTTCGTCCAGAATACGGAAGAATACGAAGGACCGGAGGACGTGCCGGGCCCGAAGCTCATCGCGCAGGAGGCAGTGAAGAAGGTGCTTGGCGACAACACACATCTCTTTGGCTTTGGCGCGGACGAGTCGGTGCCCTCAGAGCTCACGGAATGGATATGAAAGAGGAACGACTATGTTACGGCATGACTTGCCCGGAACTGTTTTCAAGACACAGCGACGACATTGAGCTCTGGGTTTGACGGCACTAGCACTTGTTAGGAGTTGGATGGAGAGGGGCGTGGATATGAAATGGATGGGATGGAACACACTATTGACGGGATGGAAAGTAGCCCGTAGACACGCGTTTAAAAGGAGAGCATCGGTACAATAACCTTCGCGATGAGATCGAAGTTGACCTGGATACACAGAGTCGGCTGAACTCCATGTCCTAGATCGAATCGAGTCAACGCTCGAAATGGGCACTTGGATTTCCTAAAGTTATGATTTCTGTGGTTGCGTGTTTGGTGAAGTTCGAGCTAAAATTGGGACAGGTACCTGAGGACTTGAGATGCCTGGACGCCAAAGGTACTTACTTACCTTCATGCTATACCGGTCATGAGATTGCCATTCTGTACTAGCGGATGCACTCGTACATAACGAGCTTTTTTTTGAAATTCCAACTGCTAATTTGTTCAGTAATGTTAGGGCTCGAGAGCTCGGGATATACTGACATATACCCCCATTCTGGGGGTTCGATGCTTGCGTCTGTATTGCGTTTGAATTGCGTCATTTCGAGAGTCGTTCTACAGCTGCCGTAATCTACAAGCGAGGAACGGCCACACAGCCCAGAACGCAGGTTGATCCAGAAGAGTGCATAACAACACCACGGTACTAGCATCCATCGGTTGTAGTAGTTGAGACATGCGAAGTCGAATCCCTGACACCAAGACGGCGATGCAGTTGCCTGCTAAGCCCTGGAGTGCCTTCTTGAAGCTTGAGGGCTTTAGAAAAAGAAGCAACATGCGGCGTATTCGTACTTTGTCCGTAGCAGTCGAGGTTGAAGCACCAAATGGGCATGCAAGGCACCCTTGCAAAGGTTGCACACCTCATGAACTGACAAGCAACCTCGGCATCGTCACACACTTCTAGGTATCTTTCAGTCACATCCCATACTACTGAAATGATTGCTCCGATTATTCCTCTAGAGAAGGTTACACAAGACTACGGATGCATCAGTCCATCCGTCACCTGCGATTTATGCCGCCTGCCATTTTCCAGCAAGCTCAAGAAGTAATAGCGGTTTCCATAATACCATGATCCACCATCTTGGCCGTTATTCCAACGAGCATGTTCGATCGGTCTGCGTCTAATCCAGACATGTGTGCCTGACATTCGCTTTCCCAACACCCCATAACGTTATCTTGAGGTGTTTGATGTCTTGGCACCACTGCAGCTTACATGTTTTGGATTAGGTGGACTTTGGTTTAGTAATTACCTTATCAGTGACATTCGCTGTCCCCATAGAAGTAGACGGTCAACTTGGTGAGGGTTTCTTCTGTATTTGAGGTCGTACCCTACTGAAACTGTTGGCCGACGATGCAAATCAATTCGAACAATCAAGTAAGGGCTCATAAACAAATGTACGTGGATTTGGTGAATTTCAAGTTCGGGTCATACTATGTTCGTAACTGCCTGAAGTAGAGCTAGAGACTGACAAAATGATGGTGATTGGTAAGATGGCTCCACACCTTTGCAGCCTCTGTGCACACACCCCTACGAAGGCAATGCGCGACACCAACCAGCATTCGATTTTGCCTACTGTACGCAAATCTGAGCCTAAGGAGTCCTGTCCCTGATCGACCTTCGCCCTCGCTCTCGCCCTCGCCCTCGCCCACGCCCACACGCCCACACGCCCACGCCCGCGCCCACGCCCACGCCCAAGCCCACGCCCATCCACCAGCCCAGCCCTGGCCAGCAACTTTGTGTGCCAGCAGCTAGCCTATCGTCGTTCGAGAGTACTTTGCTACTACTATATCGTGACGCGCGCCGCTGCGTGTGGGAGGGAACGGCTATGTACTCCGGCCACTATGGCTTTCCCAATGCTGCCGGCGCCCCACCTCCACAGAACCCTCATTTGCAGCCTGGCCAAGGTCCGAATCCCAACCAGGCCCAGCAGCAACAGATGATGTACAATCCACAACACTTCCCCATGGGTCCTCAAGGCGGCGGCTTTCCTGGCGCTCCCAATATGATGCCGGGAGCTGGTCCTGCAGGCGGCATGATGCAGAACAACGGCATGCCTATGGCCGTCTCCAATGGCCAGAGTAAGCTCATATCTCTGTCTCTCTATTTCCCGCTGCTCTCTACCCACACCCGTCTCGCATGGCGGCTGCTTTGTTTCTCTTGTCGCATGCTGCCTATCATTCCACTCGTCCATGCCCGTATGCCACATATCTAGCCTGCTTTTTCTCTGTCGAGGTAGCTGTTGGCTGCCACGCGCTGTTCACAGCAGGCGCATTTCTGCGAGGAGACACGAGCTACCGCTACCCGTCCTATTCTGTAGGAGCCGAGCTCGACGATACACACAAACATTCCCGCTCTGTTGCTTGCTTTCAAATATAGGCTAATGGATCTTTGATTGACTAGTGCACAACTATCCAGCTTCTTACTCCCACTCGCCATACGGCGGTGGCATTCCCACCTCTGTCGCGCCCCAAATGAACGTACCCCCCAACTACGCCATGGGCGGCGGCATGCCTATGTCCGGCTTCCCAATGCACCCGGGACAGATGACTCCACAGCAGCAGCAGCAACAGCAGATGATGATGCAACGTATGCAGCAGCAGTCGCATCCGTCAAGTGCCGGGGGAATGTCCGCTTCCACACCACAACGCCCATTTCCTGTCCAAGGTCATGGTCCAGGTCCCCAAGGGACACCGACTCCGACAACCCAACAACAGTTCGCGACACCGCAGAACGCTCAAGGCACTCCGCGGGCGCAGACACCGAATAGCGCACACCCGCAACCTCAGCAACCATCCTCAGCGCACGCTCAAACGCCACAGACCCCGACCTTCCCCTCCAGTGTTCAGACGGGAACCATCAACGGGGCATCATCGAATTCGACGCCACTGAGTCCAGGGGGCGATTCTCGGGACAAAGAGAGACTCGCGGTCATACTAGAAATCAACAATGAGCTGCTATTGGAGGCCATGCAGCTTCAGCATACACAGGCAGTTCTGAAGAAGGAGCACGCATCGCCCAGAGATGGGGCCGCCAGCGAATTGGAGAAGAAACCCACTGAAGTTGAAGACCTTGTGTCTCAGGATTATGTCCAGTGAGTCTGAACGCTGCTGACGGTGTGATAACGCGACTGACTGGCGCCGCAGAGTCATGCGCAGACTACAGAGCAATCTGTCTTATCTGGCGTCACTTGCAGATAAGAAGGGCTCGGTACAAGCTGCGCCATGCCCAGCTTACCTGAAGCCACCACCTCTTAATACCAAGGTGAAGTTGAGGCAAATGCCCGGACCTGATGGGGTAGAAGGCAAGCCAGAAGCTACGGATCGCGAAGAGACGGCCAAGTATATGCAGGAACTATACACCAAGCTCCAGGGTCTCTACCCGGGCATTGATCCAAATAAGGAACCTGCGCATCAGATGCCCAATGCGCGGCCCGGAGCGCCAGGTCTCAGTGGCCCAAAGCTCGGGTCTCAGACACCGAATCAAGCCAGTCCTGTCCCCGGAAACAAGAACACTCCCCAGCTGGCGGCATCGGCACCTCAACCGCAAGTAAACCAATCGACCGTCAACGCGACCCCATAGGATCCGGCGGTGGCAAGCAACCGACCTCAGCAACCATAGACGAAACCATGGCCGGGCTCATATTACTTGTCGGGAACCACCGTTGCGGTGAGAATTTGATCCCGAGGATCCTCAAGCTGGACGCAATTCTCTTGTCATTGTTCGTTGCGAGGCTTTTCCTGTCTCGTACTTCTATAGAATATGCCTGCGACATGATTTGAAGTCGTCTGGTTTTATCAGCGAAGACCTGTAAGAGGCGTCGGAGTTAAGGTTGTTTGAAATTATGGAAAGGATGTTGGATACTGACGTCGGAAGTATATACCACTCACAGAAGTACTGTATAGTTTGAGAGATTAAAATAGTACCCAAGAGACTATGGATCCCCCAGCAGTAGAAACGCATCATCGAGATTCACTACCAATTTGCAGTTACCAGTGAGGGGCTAACATCATTCGTCAATGTTGTGCTTAGATGCTAGAGAGTCGTGGATGCGAAGGTATGTTTCCATACTGGTGAGCAATTAACATGCCTAGTGAGGTGGACACGCTCTATCATAAGGTACTGGCGAGTAAACTACATGCGTGAGACCCGCCGTTGCCCCTCTTGAGCAAGGTTCTTAGTTTCAAGCAACATGCGTCGTCATTTATGCTTCCACCTAAATGGGTTTATAATAGAGAGATCCGTCTTGTTTGCATGCTAAGTCGGCTTCCAGAAATCTAGGGATACAAGGTGTCTATTATGAAAACTTAGGTAGACGTAGAAGTAGTTATAAATCCGTTGGCAGAAAAAGCCCTCTGATGTGAAGGAGCCGACGTGTTCTAGATATCTTCGATGGCTTCCAATATAAGGTGGATATGCTCAAATCCGGTCCGCCGCGTACCTGCCCAACGACGTCGATTGCATCCAATGGCCGCATAGCGCTGGGATCTGTGCGCCTGCATAAGGAGCAAATTGGACCCCTGGACGGATAGCACTTTTTGGGGTAAGTGAAATACAGGGGCAGACCTTGGAGCCAACCATAGAGCCCCTCGCGTGATCCACGATTCATCGGGTCAACTAGTTGCTGCGTGCAATGATAGGCCGCTACTGCACCTGGAGCTCGACGGGCGTCACAGCTGTGGGCGCATTTCAATTACACTGGAACGCGCTTATTCAATGGAACGACGTAAAGTATTGGAAGCTGTTGGTGATCGATGGCTCCGCGTCGAAATCTTGATGTCAGAAATGGGCACAGGCACCAACAGACATTTGGCGACATTCGCAGCAAGTACCAGCCCCTGTTCTGCCGGGCACCGAAGATGATGACCTGAAAATGCATGCATGGTGAACTCGTAGGTGTGTTGATTGATCGAGCCGAGAATCAATGCCTTCATCTCCTCTCCTTTCCCTCATCCACAACACACACCGTTCGTTGTCTTTGGTCAATTGGTGAGCAGTGAGCTCTGGTCTAGATATGATCAGAGTGAGGAACAACATTCGTTATTGCCACGGCTGGGTCGACTGACTCCTGACTCCCTGCTTGAGGACCAACGAGCCGGATCCCTCCTGGCACCATCCAAGAATTATACCGAAGGCACACACTCTTTCCTCCTTTTGATCCGGTATCGCATGCACATCCATCGGAGTCTTTTCCAAAGGATTTTTGAGGCCTTGAGACGTTCGGTTATCGATCACACCTCAAACCCACTCGACCACGGGTCCCTTGTGCGTGCGGCGTTTCATTCATGAAACAAAGAGCGAGGAAACCACACTGGCAGCTTCCGTTGCTTTTCGTGACCTCGAAATCCCTGAGTGTCTATTTTATTGACTGCAATGCTTTACCTAACAGGAAGTTTCCACATTTGAAGACGCCGCGAAACCCCCTGCTTCCCAGTTGCAAATTCGAGAAGCTGGGCAGATTGTTTGAACACGACATTGAACCATAGCCTACTATTTCCACCGCCACTGGGAATTCCTGTCCTGTCTCTCCAGTAACGAAGCGCTCACGGGTCCGGTCACAAGCAAGGCATTGAGGCGATTCGTCTGATCCCTCATTACAACCAACCCAATTGACGCCGCGCCACGCCTGTCTGGACTCTATCGTTTGACCTAGTGTCTTACCGCTTCGTGCATGTCAATGCAGACCAGTCAAGCCGTCACTGCCATTTCGCCAGTCCGAGAACCCACCGAGCGTTGTGTCCTGGGAAACCTGGGTGCAGCATAGGCACATTGTAAGATTTCCCCATAACTCACACTGGAATACGCCGAGGATCGACTTCGTCACCAATTCTACTATTGAGTAAGGTGAAGGAGGCCAGCACACGTCACTGGTCGACATTCTGTAGGGGTTGCTCCTCTTGATCGGCAATCCAGTATATACCTATCACCCTTCGTACCTCGACACATTGGGGTCTGCGCTTCAAGATGGAGCCAGACGCAGCAAGTCAGAAGAACAATGAAAGCACTCCGACCAGCCCCGGCACCCCGTTGAACTCGACAGCGATAGCCACAGAAAAGTCAATCGCCGACGTTCCTGGTCACGACTCCATGGTAACTGTTCGTCTTTCTGAGCCGCCGTCTCTTTCCGTCGATACGAACCTGCCGGCGAACCCCCTAGCCGCAAGACGAAGCATGTTCAGCCCCGAGTATACGCCGACAAAGGCCATGGCAGAACCTGTTCAGGAAGAAGATGAGGAAAACGAACAAGACGAACAAGAAAACCCAACTTCTGCGGAGGAGGGAACCCGCTTGACGGCATCGGCTGGCGATGGCCCGAAAAATTTGATGGAGGAGCTACAAGAATCGACCGAAGATGACGAAAGACGGGAGGCCGCACCGTCAGCAGAAACGCATGAATCCACTGACGAATCCGACACAGAGGAAGATGTTGATTGGGATGAATTGCAGAAAACAGAGGCAGCACACGCTCAAGATCAAGCGAAAGATGACAATGTGGGTTGCTCTATTTTTATTTTTTTGTTTTCTACTGTGATGGGTGTTTACACAGCCCACGGCCGGGCGCCCAATCAGCAGCCGTGATTTATTATGCTGACGACACACTCCACGACAGTCTACAGCCATGCTTCTGGCACGCCTTGAAGAAGAAAACAACAAAATTGCTACGAATCCCAAGGGCGTCAAGGTCAAGGTTGTTGAACAAGTCACAACCCGCCGACCTAGGCCACCGTCAATGGCTCAGCTCCGTGATATGGTCACGGGCCCGACGCCGGTGGCTCTGCGATACTCGGTACTGCCACCACCCCCTATGACCGATCTCGAATTTTACATGGCGCTTGTCAAGGACTACCAGCAGACGGCGGCCCGTCTCCCCACGCTGCTGGCCAACAAGATTCGCAAGGGAATTCCTCCACCGCTGCGTGGGGTGGTATGGCAGAGCATGGCAGGCGCCCGTGATTCGATGCTCTTGGAGCAGTTTGAAAGACTCAGCGGCGAGTCGAGTCCCTATGAAGGCATCATCGGCAAGGACCTGGGCAGAAGCTTTCCAGGCGTGGATATGTTCCGCGACCCTGATGGTGACGGACAACGAATGCTGGGCAGAGTGTTGAAATGCTTCAGCCTTTACGACCAGAAGATTGGCTACTGCCAGGGACTTGCCTTCCTGGTTGGACCTCTGCTGATGCACATGCCAGACAACCAGGCATTTTGTGTGCTGGTTCGGTGAGTACAAGACATACTCCTGCGTACTCCGTGTATGTGTCGAAAGGATTTATACAAGGCTAACGAGATATGGGATAACTTTGACAGCTTGATGGAGCATTACGACCTGCGCGCATGTTTCCTGCCAGACTTGTCAGGATTGCATGTCCGCATCTACCAGTTCCGTGAACTACTGCGGCAGCATCTACCTACAGTATCGGCCCATCTGGACGAGTTGCAAGTTGATCCGGCGTACGTTTCACAGTGGTTCCTATCGTTCTTTGCCGTAACGTGTCCCCTACCCATGTTGTTTCGCATTTACGACGTCATTTTTGCCGAAGGTGCCTCCGAGACGATCATGCGGGTCGCCCTATCTCTCATGCGTAAGAACTCGAGCCGCATAGTGGCCTGCCAGGAGATGGAGGATGTCATGCAACTCCTTTTGTCTCGCGGCCTTTGGGATTGCTACCACTACAACGCAGATGAATTCGTTGAAGATTTTGTCGGTTTATCCAATGTGGTATCGCGCGAGAAACTAGCCCAACTGGAATTAAATTACCGGGAAGCGCAGATCGCTACCGCAAATGCCACACGCTCCTCCGACGTTGCTACAGCAGCTTCCCGCTTTTTGGGCCGCCTATGGACCTCGTCTCCGAAGTCCACCCTGGGATCTCTGTCTCCGGGTTTCATCGCACCTTCGCGCCCGCTGAGCATGCTGCGCAGAAGCACGTCGAAGCAGAGCCTGGCTTCTACTCTCAACTCCATGGAAACCAGCTCCGCCAGCGTCCTGAGTACTACTTCCACCGATGCCACCACGATATCGCGCGATTCATCCACTGCCGACGACTCGTCCATCCGCGAATCCACACCAATTGCATCCAAACAAAGCCTACTCAACAGCAATGTGACCGAGAACCGAGCCCTCCACACCCAGATCGAGGATCTCCTGACAGCGCTTAGCGACTTACAGCGAAACCATGCATTACTCGCAACCCAGTTGCAAAAGGAAAGAGAAGAGAGGGACGAGGAGCGGATGGCCGTCAAGTCACTACTTGACGGCTTGAAGAAAACAGAGCCTGGTTCAGAAGAAAGAAAGGAAAACATACCAAACGAACTATCTCAATTAATTGAAGGCGTCCACGAGCGTTTCGGTGCACAGCAGAATGATCGCAACAGCCAGGGACCATCCATTGTGGAGACCAAGTCCCAACTGCGCGACGAGTTGGCGCGGACAAAAGAACACCTCATGAACGAAGTCTCCAAGTCTCAAGGCTTGAATCGCCGCATCGACGAGCTTGGCCAGGAGGCGCAATCGCTTAAAGAACAGCTCCGCGAGAGCCATGCCCATGTCCGGAACATGCACCAGGAAAAACAGCGACTCGGAAAGCAGGTCCACACTATGCGTGTGCGAGCTTCAGCCGATCCGCATCAGGGCACAGCAGCATCCGAATCTGCAGGATGGTTCTCGTCGGCCGTGAATTCGGCCGCGGGAGGGCATGGAGGCGGCGGGCCTGCCGGTGGCCTTCGTGAGCTGAAGCTGTCGCGTAGCAAGTCAACACCCAATTCACAAGTGCCCTTTGCCGGCAGGTCGGCCTCGCTCCAACGCATCCAGATGGAGCCACATTCGGTCCCAAACAGCAGTCAATCGGCTAGTGAACACGAGGCACTACTAATGGAGCTAGTACAGGCCAAGACAGCCGAAGCCGTGGCCAGGCAGGAGGCCGATGAATACAAACAGAAGCTCGAGACATTGCGGAAGTCATGCGGAATCGCGTCAGTCGAGGCTCCTGGAACAACGCCGGCTAGCACGGCTGCTAGCACTGCCATGGGTGTACTCGGCCGGCTTGCGGGTGCCGTGGCAGACACGAGTGGTGGTGGTGCTAAGAGCGCTACTCCCGCTCCTACTGCTGCTGCTTCAGGGGCGGCGAACAACGGTGGCGGGTTCTGGGGATGGAGGAGGTAACAGGGGTTGTTCTGATTCATCTGCATGGTATAGCATTGCGTAGCATTGGGAGGAAGGTGTTAATTTGACGTCGCGAATATTTCCGGTGCTGCCTCACACCTAGAGGCTTGGGGTGTCAGTATTAATGAAAATGAAGATCACTACCGGGAAAGTGAGCGGCGGGCATTAAAGGACTCGCATCTAGGAGGAACATCATGTTTCCGGGTCTTGCCTGTTTTCACAGTTTTGCATCTATACCGGTCGCAGCCGTACAGCTTCCACCAACCAACCAACCAAAAACCTTAGACTATTTTTCTAATAGCTGACTTCATAGGGACTGCTATGGGAAACAGCAGATGTGGGGTGGGGGACGGGGGATTTGCGCAGTTCAAGTTCGACAACGTGGACCACAACATACAACATTTAAATAGGGAATTCCGGTGAGAGCCCCACCTGGAATGGAATAGGTGCCTACTACGTAGATGGTAGATAGGATGTCCTGACTCGAGCAAATGAGATTCGTGTCTGATAGCAGATACACACCAAATTTATCGAAGAAATGCGGTCTTGGCCCGGTACTGGGTGATTTCGTAGAATGCTGGTGGCGACTGCGTGACGCTAGGACGTCGCAAGAACCCCGGCAAGTGACGGAAATAGCACAAACCTGGGGACAAGTATAGCGTGTATACACTGACGTTCGTTACGATGAGCAGAATGCATCTAATGAATAGAGCGTTTTTCTTGTTTACGAGTCGGGCAAATTGCAACCCATCGTCAAATTATGGCGTGCGAGATTGACGCCAGCTTGACGATTTCATCAGCCCATGCGCTACAGGCTACTCGAAGGCTCTCGAAGGCTACTCAGGTACACGATGAGTGAAGGACTAGACCGGGGGTAGGACTTGAAACCGCAAACTGGAACCAGTCATGATGGGCGCGATGCCACTTACGGAACACACTGTTCACAAAGGCTGGCAGCAACATATGTACGGCGTTACAGCTTGGTGTGTGTTTGTTGAACTGGTCGGTCGCTGCGTTCGAGCCGGAATGCGTCATTTGGGAATGCAAAAACTCCAATCACGTTAAGTTGCAACTTGTTGCTTGGCAGCAAAACTTGGGGTTTGGGCGCTGTCGTGTGCCTTTCTGCTCCGGAGAGAATCACATGCAAGTGACGACATGATGCATTTCAGCGCGTGCTCATTTTTGGGATGATCGGCCGTGGCTGCGAATTTCCCAATCGCCAACTAGATGGGGCTTCAAACTGATATTTTCCGTATTTGAATAAAGGCATATCTGGCTCTTTGAATAGATATGTAAGTACTTCAGGGAGCAAGATGTAGTTGAGTTGAGTTCGTATCGGTCTGCAAGGTAGGAGCGCGCTCCGACTGCGAGGATCTCGATTCCATCTTCAGCCACAGATAGCGAGGCCTCTCTATCCAGCCTCAAAGCCGGGGTTCGAGTGGCAATGTTCACGGTAGAAACTCATCTCGATAACCTGACAAGCTTCAACAGAAGACACTCCGCAGGTCGTCCATAAATTGTTCATTTTGACAGACTTTCTGTTGTTAAGATGCGCAGGCACGATTAGGATCCGTTCCACAGCAACATCAACGTGAGGAAGCAGCAGCGGGGGCACAGGGACCAGGCTAGGCCCGGAAAGCTTGGGTGAGAGAGCTGTTGCTTCAAATTGATAGCGTTGCCGTGTGTCGTCACATTGCACTAGCCACGGGGTGCCACATTTGTTTTTAGTGAATCGATTGCATGGGTTGGCACAGCTCCAGGAGGGCAAAGCGTCATCTGCCTCCTTTCGCTTGATTTCATCAACTGCCAAAATATCAATCCCGGCATCGATCTTCTTCCTCATCTTTCACACACAGAGGCCGCAAACCCACACACGCTTTTCTGCTTCTTCATTTTCCCCATCTTCATCTCCTAAATCATCTTCTCGCGACAACGCAGAAAACCAACCCTCGTCGACCTTTTTAAGTTTGTCGGAACAAAGCTCCGGCTGCTGCGAAGAAAGTGAGCATAAAGGCCCAAACCAAAACAAGCAGCACCCCGATCAGACCCGTACTAACCTGACACTCGCGCAAAAGGACAGTCGTCGACTCGTACTCCCAACACAACACCACTTCCACCACAACTCTCACACAATGGCCGACACAGCTCCTGCTACCAACGGTAGCTCTATGGATTCCCTTCGAGGCAGTAAGGTGAGTGCTTCTTCCTCTTTGCGTGATTCGTGTGGCTTGCAGCAGAAAACTGGTGGCTAATCAGATCGTCAGTGTTTCAAAGTATCTCCGGCCCCCCCGTCGTTGTGATGACTGACAGGTGCTCCTACAGACGCCCAGGCTGCTTATGGTCAAATCGCAAATGGTAAGTCTTCTAGTGTTTCGGTTTGATTCGAGTTTCCTTTGAAGAGTCACGCTAATATGTTACTGTTGCTCCCGCAGGCCCGGTCGCCGACAACATCAAGGCTCAACATGCAAAGACCCAGAACGAGTTCTCCACGCTCGCTGCCTCGCGACAAACTCCTGCGACACCTGCTGCTACTGGCCAGCCCTTGACGCACTACCATTCGTTCTTCTCGGAGCTGCTGTCATGGAACAACCCGCGTAAGTACACCGTCGCCTCTTCTATGAGATCACACTTCGGGGTTACGCCATACTGATAAGCCCACAGGCGCCTCGGGCATCGCGTATGCCAGCATTGTCTCGCTCATATTCGCGGCTCGATACCTTGACGTGCTTCGATACACCCTCCGACTGACCTGGATGGCATTGGGCGTCACCGTCCTTGCCGAGGTTGCCGGCAAGACAATTCTGAGCAACGGCTTGGCCACTCAGCTCCGACCCCGCAAGTACTACACAATTCCCCGTGACACTCTGGATGCCCTTATTGGAGACGTCCACGAGCTTGTCAACTTCTTCGTCATCGAGGCCCAGCGCATCTTCTTCGCGGAAAATGTTTCTGCCTCTACTGCGGTACGTTGAATCCGATGCCTTGACAAATTTCGATTACTAATGAGAGATAACTAGGCTGCTATCGGTGCATTCCTGTCTTACTACCTCGTCAAGGTTGTTCCTTACTGGGGTCTTGCTCTGATTGCCACCACTGTCACCTTCTTCACTCCGCTCGTCTACAAGTCTAACCAGGAGCTCATCGACCACCACCTTAAGCAGGCCGGCACCGTTGTCAGTAACCAGACCGAACAGCTCCGCCAGCTCGCCGGCAAGCACACTGTCCAGGCCACTGAGATCACGAAGCAGTACATGGGTGACTACACGTCCAAGGCCCAGCAGTTGCTGAGTGGAAAGAAGTCCACTTCTGCCACCTCCCCCACTCCCCAGGAGTCGGATTTCCCTGCTGTCCCAAAGCAGGAGACTGACTTCCCCGCTGTCCCCAAGGATGACTTGAAGAGCGAGGACGAGCCCCTTATTTCTGCCTAAACATATTGTTCTCGGTTATGTGAGCAGTTTGTCAAGACGGTCGTATCGAGTGAATACAACACTCTACACCCACCCGATATCCCCACAGTCTGACTGGTGCGACGCGACAACTTGATATGACTTATGGCATAGAGAGATACGATACTGTACGGTTCTCTGGTCCATCCTAGATGAAGGGCCTGGGCACGTGCGGATGACTTTTCTTCCTTTGGCAAATGGCAACGGATGGTAGGGACGTTTGGCGTGGGCACCTGGCAATAATTACTTGATACTGATGCGAACACGTCTTTGATTTTTTTGGCAACAGACGAGCAGTGATGCATGGATCACAACTCTTATGTGGCGTGTTCTCACAAAAGGCGTTTGCGTTTTCATAGCACGGAGACCGAGGATGAGTCACGAGTCTGTAAGGAATGAGAAGAGTTTGCAAGTAAGCAGACAGTGATCAATTTACATTGGTTTTCCGCAACTGGTGACGTAACTGCGTGAATAAGTGTGGTGATGTTGTAACGTGACTACTACACCTATAAATAAGTGTTCATATTACATACCCTTACGTCAATCTACTACCTACCATCTTTGGATTGGTGTCTTAGCCACGTTGTTACCGAGTAGACCCCACTGGTCCGTAAATATCGATTGGATGGGACTATCCTGGTGCTATTTTGTAACAGTAGTTAGTCCTGATGCTTGGGTCCGGCTTTTCGAGACAGATCACTTAATCTTGGCAGCTAGAGTTTGACGATGAATACTGCCACATTCGTGCGTAGTCTGTCACACAAACTGCATATGATGCAAAAAAATTAGTCATGTACGAAACAAGGCTCTCCAATATTGCCAAGTTATGTGCGTATACAGAAAGGGAAAATCGGCACAGCACAAGAGCCAAAAGCGAACAAAAGGGAAAAGGTATGCAGAGGCTGATTGATGGAAAACCAGCATTATGTCGTCGTCCTCCCTCTTCATAACTTTGCCTTCTCTCGGGATAAAGAGATCGTTGGCAACAGAGAAGAAAATGGAAATATCATCAGTAAAACCAGAAAAGGCATCGCATGGACGCCGAGCTATTATCCAGTTCCAAACTAAGAGGTCAAAGAACCAGCGCCGTCCACCCTCCTCTCCTTTCAGACCTCTTAATGCCTTTTCATCTTGTGGTTATCGTCAAACCAGTCCCTTACGGAAACCATGGTAGTTTTGTGGTATCAGCAGGTTTAATCCGACTCATCAAGGTCGAAATCATCGCTGTCGTCCTTGCCACCGTCATCGAATTGCTCGCTATCGTCCTCGTCGTCAAGATCAACAGGAACGTAGACGGGCTTCTTCTTCACAGCAGCGGCGCGGCCAGGGCGAGCTCTTGCAGCAGGCTTAGGCGGTGGAGAGTCGGCCAGGACGAGATCATCATCATCTTCGTCGTCGTCGTCGTCGTCGTCGTCGTCGTCCATATCAAAGGCGTCCTTCTTCGAGCTGGGCTTTCCGGCGTCCTTCTTCTTGGCGTAGAGCTTAGCCGCTGGAGATAGCACAGGTGACTTCGTCATCTTCACAAGAGCCTTCTTGGCTACTGGCTTCGGGGCTGCCTCCTTGGCTTTGGCTTTGGTGCCGACCGGTCGACCGCGAGGCTTCTTTACTGCCGGTGCAGGGGCAGAGGTGGCAGCCGCAGACTTTGAGTCTTCGGACGAAGAGGTAGACGACTTCAGCTTAGAGGCGGGCTTAGCGACAACCGGCATGTCATCGTCGCTCAAGAAGCTGCCGACCTCGTTTCGTGTGGCCGTCTTGTGCGGGCTTGATTTAGCCAACATTTCGTAGTTGGTGTCGTCCTGACTGCCCATGTCGAATGTTTTGCTAGGCTTCGACTTCAGCTTCAGCGCTGCATTGCCACCCTGACTGCTATCAGGTCGCGACATGGCGAACAAACTAAGCCGGCCTGTCTTGTTGTCGCCCGCGGGGGCAGCAGTCGTTCCAATGCCCTTGACCATGGTGTCAATATCGCCGAGCATCATGTCGTCGTCAGAGCTCTCTGATTCGTCGTCATCAACGATCCACGCTTTTGGCTTGGCAGCTGCTGCACGTTTACCACGCGCTCTGGGCGCGGGCACGTCTGAAACTTCTGACTCGTCTACGGCCGCAACTGCCGAATCCTCTGTAGCTCTGGCCGGAGCGGCAACCTTCTTTTTCTTCACAGGCTTGCTCTTGAGCGCCGCATAGTCATCAGAAAAGGCATCCGAGTCTTCGTCGACTCCATCTATGCCGAGCTTGGCCTTCTTCGCTGGGGCGGCGAATGTTTGCATGAAGCGCTGGCTCGGCTTGGGCTCGGCGTCCTTGAGTTTGGTCGCCGCAGCCTTGGCGGCCTTGGAGACGGTTTTTGACTTGACTGTAGGGGCATAGTCATCATCGCCCTTGGGCTTCCGGCCCTTGCCAGCACCGATCTTCTTGGATGCGCGGGCACCCTTATTGCGGATGTTTTTGACGATCTCAGCGTCTAGACGCACTTGGTTCTGCCATTCTGCCTCGAACTCATCAAGGTCGCTACACCAGAGGTCTTTCTCGCTGCGTGCCTCGAGCGTATCATGCTCTGCCTTCTTCTTTGCGATCGCCTCGTTGAGTCTGTCCAATCGTTCTTGAGTGAAGGACCAAATGGGCATCTAGAAAGTGTCAGTGCTGGTGCTGAGTAGTAGCAGCGTCATGTTTTGACTCACCGAGAGGAGGTAGTCGTAGTCTTGAGCTCCCGCATCTACCTCGACCTCCTCATCTCCACCTTCCTCGGCCTCGTCTTCCTCGTCCACTTTGGACTTCTTCTTGTCCACGTTCTTCGGGAAAGCCTCGTATTTCCGCGTACGCAGCTCCTCGACGACCACCTGCTTCTTCTTGCGAGACACCACGAGATCGTTGTCCATAATCTCCTTGACAAACCGGGCTTGGTTCTTGAGCTTGCGATAATCAGCGTGATAGACGCCTAGCCAGTACACCTTCCGCTCATAGTACATCTTCAACCGGTAAACATAGAACTCTTCCATGATCTCCTCGACTTTCTCATACTTGCGGATCATGCCACGGGAGTCAAAGGCTACTAGATTAGACGTGGCAACTTGCTTCAAAAGTTTGAATTTTTCCAAGGCAGCATTCGTGTCTGTCCTTAATGCCGGCATGTGTTTCTCATCCACCTGGATTTCAAAGTGCACATTTTTATGGTCGTTGAACTCCTTGTAATCCTTGATGAATGAGGGTGTCTTCTCGGCGCGGATGACTTCTTCCAGTTTCGCCTTGAAATCATCTGTCCACATTCGGATTGGCAGTTCTTTGATGACAACCTCGGGGCGCGTGGGGTCCACTTCGACCATGCCGTCGAATGAGTAGCGGTTGGGGCCGGCTTCACGCGGAGTACCTTTCCAGCCTCTGAACCATGGCATCATGGGCTCGAATGGCTTCTCGTCATCACCGTCCAAGCGTCCCATTCGGCGTCTCAAATTCCAAACGATATCCTCGGGCTTGTAGTTGGGAATACTGGTACTCCAACCTGTGCCTATACCATCGGCACCATTCACAAGCACCATGGGTATGATGGGGGCGTATACTTTCGGCTCGATCCTCTTTCCGTCCTCAAGGTTGTGTTCTAGATTAGGCTCATCGAGTGGGGAGAATATCTTGCGAGCAAAGGGAGATAGACGGGTATGGATGTAACGAGGGCTGGCAGCATCAGAGCCACCGGCTAGACGGGACCCGAAGTTACCACTGGGCTCGAGACAATTGACGTTGTTGGAACCAACAAAGTCCTGTGCCAAGCCGATGATGGTTTGCTGCAGGGATACTTCGCCGTGATGATAAGCAGTCTGCTCAGAGACGTAACCAGCCAACTCAATGACCTTCTTGTCCTTTACGAGATTTCGCTTCAAGCAAGCATAAATGACCTTGCGCTGACCAGGCTTAAACCCGTCAAGCATGGAAGGGATTGATCTCATGTTATCAGCCATACTAAACAGAATCAACTCCTTGTTGACAAAGTCGTTGTATGAAATGAGATTGGATGTGTGATCTAGATATGTGCCAGGTACGAAGTTGCCCAGCCATTCTTTTCGGGCATCCGCCTTCTTCTTCGAGAAGGCAAGTTCGAAGAGCTCGGCTTCAGTTGGCTGCATCACATCAAATCCCTTCAAGTGCTTGTCGAGGTCAGTGAAATAGATTTGGGCGTCCTCGTTGGAGCTGGTTCCCAGACCCTTGTAATACTTGGCCTCCCAACGCCTATGATCAGATTTGTGTTGCTCTTTCCACTCTTCGTACTGCGGTTGCGTAAAAAAAGAGTGTGCCTTGAGCGGTTTCTTGGGATTTGGACCTTGCCAGACTTTGACAATGGGCGTGATGAACTCTCTAAAGAACCCCGGAATCTTAAGCAGCGAAGGGTATTGAACTTGCAGGAAGTTGATCAGTAGGCCCTTGATGTGACTACCGTCGTGATCTTGATCGGCCATGATCATGAGATGGCCGTACCGGAGACTGTTGGTGTCCGTGTATTGCTGCTTATGCTTGAGGCCCAGGAACTGCTTGATGTTTTGGATCTCCGCATTCTTGGAGATCTGCTCGATCGAAGCATCACGGACGTTCAGCATCTTACCACGCAGAGGGAAGACACCAATGCGATCGGGGTCCAAAATCGCACGGCCGGCAACAGCCAAACTCTTGGCAGAATCACCTTCTGTCAGGATAAGCGTGCATTCGTAGCCGCGCTTTGTCCCCGCCAAGTTGGCATCTACAAGTTTGGCGTTGCTGATTCTGGAGCGCTTGTTGCCATCGCTCTTGGCAAGCATTTTGTCTGCCTTCGCCTCAGCAAACTGAAGGATGTTGGTGATGGCATCGGTGTTGGCAATCTTCTTTAGGAACGGGTCCGTTAATTCACACTTGCTGCCAAACTGACTCTTCTTGGTTGTCATTTGCTCCTTGGTCTGCGACGTGAAAGCAGGGTTTTCGATCAGGCAGTTTACGAAGATGAAGATATGGTTTCTGACATGATTCTGCTTCAAAGCGTGTCCCTTCTTCTTCTTGTTAAGATGCTTCAGAAGAGCCTCGGTGATCATGTCGGCAATGTAGTTGACATGGGTGCCACCTTGGGTCGTCGCTATGGAGTTGACGAACGAAACTTGCTGGAATGATCCATCTGAGACGGCAAAAGCAATTTCCCATTTCGGATGGCCCTTGGAGTCCTCAAGGATGACTGAAGCGCTGGGCTCCGCGCCCTCTTCGGCTGCCCGTTCCTGTGCAATGGCCTTGGCATACAGTTCGCAGTATGACTGGAAGTTCAACTTCAGATACGTGTCATTCAGGTGAACCTTGACGTTGCGGACCGTGCCGGCCATGTCGTAAACCCTCCGAATGAGTAGGGCTTCGAGGTCATCATCAATACCGTCAGGCATGCCGAATCGCGCAAAGTCAGGCTTGAAAGTGACTCGCACAAAGTCAGCCGTCTTGTTCGACGTGATCTTGGCCTTTTCCATCTTGCTCATGTTGTCCCGCCACGTCTGCTTGTATCTTTTGCCGTTCTTGGAGTCCTGGCATTCAAGCGTAAATTCCGTGCTGAAGACATTACAGAGCTTGGCACCGTAACCGTTTCGACCACCAGTGGTCTTCTTCTCGTCGTCGTCGAAATTGGAACCGGCAAGTAGATGGCCGAAGACAAGTTCGGGAATCCAGACCTTCTCCTTCTCGTGCATCTCGACTGGAATGCCTTTGCCGTTGTTCTCGACTGTGATCTCGCCGGCCTCCCGATTTATAGTGACCTTCATGGAAGTCATCTTGGCATCTCGCTGCTTGTTGTCGGCAGCGTTGACGAGGATTTCATCGAAGATCTTGTAGAGACCCGGCACGAATTGGACCTCACGGAACTCCATCTGCTTCATCTCCTTGTTGTACACCCACATCTTTTGGCCGGTGCGCTCGACGGAGCCAATGTAGGTATCAGGACGCTTGATGATGTGTTGCAGTTGCGTCAACTTCTGGTACGTCTCGGTGGCTGTCTTCTGGGATGGCTTGGCATCCGGTGATCCATCTAGCATCATGCTGTCGTTCTCAATTTCGCCCAATGGTTTCCCACTGGACTTCTTGGGTGCGGGTGCTTTCTTCTGCTTCTTGACACTCGGCGGAGTGTTGGAGAATCCGGATTCGTCGTTGGATTCTTCGTCGTCGGTCACAGGCTTTGCGCGCTTCTTAGGAGCGGCCTTTGTGGTCTTGAGTGTGGTCTGGACCATTTTCCTCGGCGCCGCCTTGACTGCTGGTTTCTTCACTGCGGCTTTGGGTTTGGGTTTGGGTTTCTGTAGACGGCTAGGATCAGTTCTGTTCGTCAAGGCGAAGACCGGTGTGAGTGAATGGCGGTATTAAAGTGAGAATTTGCTTGATTGAATGGAGAAAGACCTACTGGCTCGGGGGAGAAGGCGTCCGAGTCGTTCTCGAGGTCATCAAAGACCGAGTCCTCCATGATGTCTTCGTCCATGGTGACGTTTTGCGCGCTGTCGCACCAAGGTCTGAGAGCTGAAGAAAATTTGACGAAGTGCGCGTTGTGCCCAAATGGGTCAAATGGTGCGAACGGAAGAAGTAACCAAAAGAGCGGCTGCTATTCATCAAACTCAAGTCGTAGAGAAGAAGGGAAAGGGCTATTGCTTGCAAGTGTCTACACTAGTCTCGCCGTGATGGGGAACAGGGTCTGGTGGTAGATTATTGTTTAGGTCGGTTGAGTCGCCTATCCAAATTCGTGTTGTTGTCAACAATCGCTGTCGCGCGCCAATACGCCCTTCCGGGTATTGTCGCATCCGTTCAAGGTGGGGGACGTAGTGGGGAACGCAGTATGGGGCCCTGGAAAAAGCACGGGCCATTGCGGCCGAGGGTCAGCCACAATGTGCCACTACAGTTGGCAGTTGCGCTTACTTCGTACAATTCTATGCAACATCGAGCTGTCGTCCCAATTGCAAGTACGAGTAGACTAGTTAGTTACTTTAATTATTCGTCACATCAAGGCAGCGTATCACGACCATGAACGCATTCGCTGGGATGACGAGTAATCAATAGACGAGAAACATGATAGACCAACTACGCTCTTGAAACTGGCGTATACTTCATGGTTCCATCACGCGATCGGTCATGGAAGATGAGGACTGTCGTCGAAGCATCTTAATGAACCACTCAGGGCCAATGTCCGGGACGTCAGCTGAACTCGACGCGAGTGTCTCGGCAGAAGCAGGCACGCTCAATCTTGCAGAACCAGAATCAGACCGGACAGAATCTTCTACTCGTCAAGATGGTTCTCGACGGTAGCCACTACGCTGAACAGCTCAAGATCCCGGCATCCTGATGCGTTTTTGTCACACAGTAACGCATGGCTCGTCAGGGTTGACCTGAAATTGATTGGTGTTATTTCTCCGTTTCTCATGTGCGTACAACTCTGGGACCTCACGACTAATGCTCCCGAAGATGAAAAGAGAAAGAAATTTCCCGAAGTCGACTGTACACACCCGTGCTCGTTGTTACTGTTGCACCACGCATAGGGAGTCCTTCCCTCCTGTCATACTATGCTGTACCACAGGAGCCACTGTACAATCATCTGAAACTTCAAGACTGCCAGCCTGCCAGAAACAGTCTTGACGAGCCTCAGACTTGACCCTTTCTGGAAGGCAAAGAGGCGAGGCCGCGGGGCAGAGCCGATCGTTAGTCGATGCCATCTGCCTTTCTTCCCGGCAGAACCGCGTACCTGACAGCCATGATGCAATGGCAGACCGGGATTTGGCATCGTCTCTCCCATCTTGGCACCAGCTTAGGGAACGGGTGGGGCTATCGACCCTCACCGGCCTTCGTGCCCTCTCGTGGGCTGATACAAGCAATTACACGGACAATAAGCTTGATTTCAAGTCTCTCGCGGCTTGGAGGTAGCATGGATCTTTGTCTGTGCTTCACCTTATCCAATGTGAGCTCCCCACTTGCCCTATCCGTTTGTAGGCACACACTACCTGCAATACCATTTGCTGCGGCCGTTGGGGAGGGTGTCCTCCAGCGGTAGGCTGCATATTTTAGTGTGCTTGAGACCAGACGCGTAGACAGACAGCCCCAGGGTGTCAATGACTCGAGGAACTTTGGATTCTGCGATTTGGCTGGATGATGTGAAAGAGCCTGGTCTCCCAAGGCAACTAACTGTTGTTGAGACCGTGGCAGCAGGGACCAACGAAGCCGGAGCAGGCCAGTCAGCCCTTGGCCGTCAGATTTGTGAGCCCAGCCCGTCACTTCCAGTCATTCATCCGACCAACGGCACCTTTTTCCGTCTATTGTCTCTCAAGTCAGTCTGTTCAATCAAACTACCTTCTTACCGATCTCGGTATATGAAGCCAGGCAGAGACGAGTTCTGCAACAGGTCATATGATATACGAACAAAGAAAGAACCAACATCCTTGGCGGACCCATAGGGTTTGTCACCAGGGTCGATCATGGCATGGCCAAAGGTGGTAAGGCCTCCGCTCTCTGTGTTCCATCGGACATATTCTGTGCCTGTACACAGCTGGGCTCGTGGGGAAAACATGGGTTGATGTGGTGACAGCTGCAATCTCCGCATTGGGTGTAGCCAATTGCCATCGGGCAGTCCTTTGGCTGCTTCCCATGCTTCTCGAAGAGCCGTGGAATTTCTTTCAAGATGCTCTACGTTCGGCTAAGCACAGAAGAGCCTCTCCACCAAGGTTGTTGCCTTTTTGGCGGTCAAGGCCGAGACAAGTCTTTGCTTCATTTCCTTGGATAGACGACCGGCGAAGGTTTCCCTCGCTGCAAGAAGTAATATCTCTTCTTTTTGGTTGGTACTGATGGGTACACGTGTGTCGAGTCAAGCAATCTTTGTCTAGGATCTCATCTGCTCAACCTAGTGGTTTCTTTGTTCTACCCATCCTCAGAATCCCGCCTAGCCTGTCAACTTGCCCAGCACAAGATGCAGCTATCCGCTAGGTTGCTTTCTGTCAACACTCCTCTATGCATTTTCCAAACAAGTCAGGACCCTGTTTGGGCTTTTGAGCCATGGCATATTTGCTGTGTCAAACTCATTTGTTGTCTGTAGCTACAGATCCGCTGCGTCATGCAGTCGCCTGTGATGGCCCCTTTCGGGCCAGCACTTAGACGGTGGCATCTAATGAAACCTGCCTCACCTCGATCCTGACCTGGGGCTCTGGGCATCGACTTGATAGACATAGTATTGCTTGAAATCCATCCCGACGGCTATGGTACGGAGTCGACGGTACCGTTTGGCACGTTAGAACTCTGATTCCGAAACGTCAGGCTCCGTCAGGAGGTCATTGCACCGGCCAGTGAATCCCCCTTCCCCCCCCCTCTCTTTGGCTCATTTAGACGGGCTCGTCCGCCATCAACGTATTGCGTAGACGATCCCAAGATCGCGTCGGCGTCGCCTTGCCTCGTCTATCTCCAGTCACTCCCCACTCACCTATCACTTTGGTCGCTTTGAACTCGATCTTGCAAAGAGCGGTGGGCTTCCACAAACGGACTCCTCTACTCTAACAGGTCGATTCCAAGACATATTCGACAAAGGAGCTGCACCGAATACACATATCGACAAGGCAGCGCCGGTCACCGCCCAATACGCTGCAGATAGCTGCATGACTGGATACAGTCAAAAAAAGCAATCTCGGTTTCTTGTGTGCTCTGACGAGTGCAGCCCAGCATCCCATCAGCCCTTCTGTTTGCCCGATTAAAAAGCACTTGATGTTCTCTTTCCCCCCCAATCTGTTGCTGCAAGCTGCTGTCTGAGTTCTCTGGCATTTCCTCGAACTCTCTGTAGAGTGCTCCCGGCAACTTCACGTACAATTTCAAGATATCCCCCACAGCTACCCAACGCCATGCTTTCAGTGGCATCTCTTCTTAACCCGGCTCCTTCGGGGCCGCCTTTGCATCGATACCCGCCAAGTCCAGCCTCGTCATCCCCCACAACCTCCTTTGCTGACGAGTCTGCCTTCTTCGATCGGCCCATGATATCCAAGCACAATATGGCAAAGGACGCCGCGGTTTTTACCAAGGGTAAAGCCAAGGGTGTTGTCAACTTTTACCCATACGAAAGACTAGACGAAGTCTCCTTGCGCGAGGTCCGCAAGTACCAAGTGTATCCCTTCGGCAAGATACAGGAGTATTGCCGTCACATCCCTTACAACAGCGGAAAGAAGGACTTCTTTGAGAAGACTGGCCGGGAAAGCTTCGAAGGTAAATTTGCACCTCGAATTCCGAGTATACTTTCGGGAAACCAACCTCTGATCCAATCATAGTCTTTCAATACATTCTCAGGGTACCCGGAGATGAAACCGAGTACGCAGTTATGTGGGACTACAATGTTGGCCTCGTCCGCATGACTCCTTTTTTCAAATGTTGCAAGTACTCCAAGGTAAGTCACGTCTGGACACTTTCCATACAGTTCTGACCTGACGCTTCCAGACAACGCCCGCCAAGATGTTGAATATGAATCCTGGTCTCAAAGAGATTACCCACAGCATCACTGGAGGATCCATCATGGCACAAGGTAAGTGCTTAAGAAGGACAAGTTGATAGAGACTACATCTTACGAAGAAATACTAACAAATCCACCAGGATACTGGATGCCATATCAATGTGCCAAGGCCATTTGTGCAACTTTCTGCCATCACATCGCCGGGGCTCTGATCCCCGTCTTCGGTCCCGACTTCCCTTCTCTATGCACACCACCTAATGCGCCAGAGCATGGTCGCATGATCATCGACCATTCGATCATCATCCAGTCTACCAGAGAGTCGGAGCTCTTCCGCCGACAATATTCCAACATGTTGACTTCAGCCGGCAGCCTGAGCCCCAAGAGAAACCGACGCGTCTTCCAAAGCCCCTACGACGATTCAAGACACCACCCGCGCCATCGCATCCGCAGAACCTTCGTGTCGAGCGACAGTCCCTACGCCACCGACACCGACGGCGATATATCGCCGGTCACCGACCGCAGCGCGTCAGATCGATACCTGTACTCGCCAGCCCCGTCCTCGGCGCCGCCCCCGCACGTTCGTCCTAGTAGCGGCTGGACCCCAGCCAATGTCCTGCCTCTCCAGTACGAGACCCCGGGTCCTAGCACCTATCTCAGTGCCGTACCGCGCTTCACCAGTCGCAGCTATCCCCAAAGCCATACCAACCCCCCTCATCAATCACACCCACACCCACACACTTACCCACCACCTCAACTCTGGCGCAGCAAGCGGCCCGCAGAACACATCGACCCCGACTACGAATATGACGCGGGTGAGAGCCGCACGGCAACGGGCACGAACACCACTGCGAACAGCCCTGTGGACGACAAGCCAGCCGAACCGTCATCAATGGGTCCCGATAAGAATGCGGCGCTGTTGCTGATGAATCTGAGTGTGCAGGACAACGTGGGAATGGGCAGCATTAAAGGTAGAGATGCGGGGGCGGCAATATCTTCCGAGACGAACTCGCCGGTGGACCGAAAGTTCCCCAGAATCAAACTGTTGAGGGCGAATTCTCTGTAGTAGGGGAGACAGCGGATAGGAAATATGGAGACAGGGCGGTTAGGGGGTAAAGACTTGGCCTCGAGTAAACCATTGTAATCGTGTAGTTAAACAAAGACCTTCTTGTATCAGTTGGGAACATTCAGCATTCATAGGGATAGGGACTGGTTGGTTGGAGTTGGGGCGGCATTGAACTTGACTGGGGGGGAAAAGCATGGGGGTTTATTCACGTGGAAATTCATTCCAGAGGTAAAACTGGAATATTGATAACTATAATTATTATTAAATACGCCGTAGGCTCGAAGCCCGCGGCACCTCTACTAGTACTCCCGTATGTCAAACCGTGCCCTAATAGTTGGACTAAACACATACGCTGCTTGGTCGGTTCGCCCTATTAGCGACTGCGTTACGACCCTGAAGTTGTCCGACCCGTCCTTAGCAGCCACCTTACAATAGTCCCACTAATTACCGGTTCTCCTGTTGCCGTTGCGAGATCTCTGTGAATTGACATAATTAAATCAATAATACGCCTTCACATGTCGTCCATTGAAAGATGTCGCTCCTTGATTGGCTCGTGGACGTTAGGAAAGATCAGTTGGCCATGTTCGCTGCATTTGTTGATTCTAAACTTGGGAGCAATACCAACTTTAGCGGCAGCACATGAGTACTAGACGGTTAGGCGCACCATAACCTGACATCATTCCAACTACGTAATCATATGGACATGAGAGCAGCACGCTATACAACACGAAAATTGTGAAATTTCAGGGATAATGTTTTAATATGATGAAAAGGCTGGCTTGCTGGATGCATGCATGTTGTAAACAAGGTAAGGTGAAAGGTCATGACAAGAATATTGCCCCTGTAATTCACGTAAAAACGGGATTCAATTCCTGCTAAGATCTAGACCACCTTCAGTCTACAAATAATCATAACATACTCTGGCTGCCTCTTTATCAAAAGATTTGGTAAGTATACATTAAAGCAAATCAAGTTGATGCTGGGACCTGAGCAGGTACTTTGATTCTTTCAGAATGATAATTGAGCTGGTATGTTTTCTTGACAAGTGTAGATACAGTGCTATATACGTGGAGAAGCTTCAGGGTATGGGCGCGTGTTTCAAGGCTGAATGTTGTGTACTTGGTGGGTGCTCTCTTGGATATGAATGAATGTTGGGGTTGGAAAGGAACATCGTCCAATTCCTTCTTACCCTGTAGGAAGTTGTCTGATAGCTGTACTGTACCCTATGACAATCCCTGGGGGGTTCATATCCGCAGTGAAAGGGTGTATTTACGTATAGCTATATTTATAGCTATTTTGGCCGCTGCCTGGTGGAAATGGCTATAGATCAATTCAGAAAATTTTGGTAACATACTGGCTTATTAAGTCCCTGCCCAGACCTGATGGCCGCGATTCCCTGCCTATAGGCACCCTAACGTACGCTTCTGCTGACAGTGTTTTCTCCATTCACGTTCACAATAACAACAGCTGCCAATCTGGCCATCTATTCTGTACTTTTATTGTATCGGTAAACGCTTACCTTATACTCTGAATTTATACCACAACAGCTACGTGCCTGGATGCGGTGCAATTCTACTATAAACAGTATGTGTGCCCCTAAATCTAGTGACTCGGGACTGAACCGGCAGCCATCTGCTTGAGACATTGGACACTGCCACGACTGTTGGGCCTCGCTGTTTGATGCTTTTCTGGCTACATAGAACTTCACTTTTCTAATTAACAATGCCCGCCCAAGGCAATGACACCCTTTGGTCTTCATCGTTCCAAGATAGACCATTATTTTAGATAAACTTACATATGCCGCTTGTTATCAAAATTCACAATACCCAGATATTCATCACACATTACCACAGAAACCTTCACGTTAGGAGGGATTCCAATCTTGGTATCCATCCAGCTTTCTCGTCAAAGATGGCTTCTTTCCTTTCTCTTCTCTTCCTCTTGTTCTTTTTATGCTTATTTCTCTTCTTTTGCTTTATTTATCTAAGTATATCCATATTCAACCGCTCTGAGCCTCAGCCTTCTTCCTCTTGTACTCCTGAGCCCAACTCTCTGCCTTGGCTTTGGGAAGTATATAGAGCCTTATCACTTGATCCACCACCTCGACGTTCCCCGAAGAAAGGATCTTCAATAACGGGACCTTCTTGCCGACCTTAATGAGCCCACCACTCAATGTGTCCATGTAACATTCCACCTTAGCCAAAGTATACTCCCCCTTCTTATCCCAAGGCAGTGGCAATATATACCCCAAATGATCCACCAGCGACTCCGTTTCGTTAAACGCCTTGATGAAGTCGCTCTCCAAGTCCTGCGGATACAGCAACACAGTCGGGAAACTCAACGAGCTCTTCGGATCATCCGGGTCCGGCACCAGCTGCATCCCCACACCGTCCATCTCAGGCGGCTGCGCCGTCTTCCTCGTCTTGATCCCCCTAGCATGCAGCGCCGCCCTAAGCAGAAGCTCTCTCCTCTTTTCTTTGGCTAGGCGCTCATTTTCCTTCCGCTGCTTCGCGCCAATCTGCTCATTCTTCTTGATGATGTCTTGCGCAACGGCCCGTAGCGCCGCGTTGTTTTCATTGATGGCCAGACCCCGAGCGCAGGCATCGTCCGCTTCCTCAATCCGGTTTACGGCCAAAAGCGCCTTTGCGGACCGGTAGAAGGCTTTGATGTTCCGGGGATTGATCCGGAGCGCTGATGCGCAGTCGATTGTGCAGCTGCGATAGTTCTTCAGTTCCAGGTGACAGGCTGCTCGGTTCACGTACAGCGTCTCCATTACGGCTCGCTGCTTCTCGACTTCGTCTTCGGGTGTCTCCTCTTCTGCAGCGGTGGTAGTGGTCTGCTCACCCGGCTTGGCGCGCTTCCGCTCTTCGGCAGCGAGCACGAGAACGCCCTTGGTATAGAATTCCTTGGCGTTGGTCCAGTCCTTCTCCTTGAAGCATTCATTTCCACGTTCCTTGAATTCAGACCCGACCTCGAGCGGTGTGCCCTCATACGCAAGGGCCTTGAGGGCCTCCGTGTCATCATTTTCCTCGAGCTCAGTCATGAAAAGAGGCGACTTGTTGAGATCGGCAAGCACCTCGTCCACTGTCTTGTTGCTGGTCGCCGCCAGAGCTGGAGGGAGTTCGGGAGCTTTTGCCGCGGCCGCATCCTGTGACTTTGAAGATGGTTCGTCTGGGGACTGTGATGAGACCTTGAGCCGTTCGGCCATTTCGTCCGTGATTTCTTCAATGTGCATTGTGGCGATATGTGACGGAACAGTGCGATCCTCAAGAACTGTCGGCGACGATGTGTTAATGGCCTCGAGCTGTTCTCCTTTATTCCTTCAGTTCAAATTATGTTTGTGCCCTTGCCGGAATTTCTCGTGGTAGCTGCCTCTCATCTGAGATGGGTTCTTTGAGTGAGTCTGAAATCGTCACAGCTCGCTTAGTAGAATTTGTACGACCCCTCATCTGCATAAGGGAAGGAGGACCAATCCCTGCTACTCCTTTAAAGAGGCTTTGCTCCTTCCGTAGCCAGATCGATGATCCAATCGCAATCTGATAAAACTCAATTCATATCGCTCACGGTTTCAACTCTCGCTTTGGAGCATGAGGCAACGCTCGCTTCGATTTCTAAGGAGGCCTGGAGTGGCGCCTTCTCCAAAGTGTTCGCCGGTTCGGCCCGCTTCACGAAGAATTCCACTATGACGAGACTTAAATTCGACGTCTCAGAGCTCAAGCTGACGATATATGCACTTGCGATTTCGCTCAGCCGCGAATCAGTTGTCGTAAATTCGCGTCCTACAATCCAGACATGGCGAGGAACCGACCGAATGGCGTTCGTCAAGATGGATGGTATAGCCTCAGAGCCAATGAACCGTCGATGAACGCTCGGCTCGCAACTCCAATTTCGCAAGTGTCGCAGCCGCTCGTGGGTCTTAAAGGGGATTGGGCGCATCCTACAGGGTTACGGCATGGATTCCTGCATAACCACGTGCAGACTGCTGAAGTCGTCGAGAGCTTTTCATCTCAGCCTCACGACAGGAGCCGGTCGCGGTAAGAGTCTTGTCCACGAGTGGTTGATTGACCACGTCGTCTTTTGTTCTATCGCGTCTTTGCCCAAGAATATCACGGGTAATACGACCGTCACAGCATCTGAAAGTCCGGAAATGGGCAACACGGACATGGACAACGCGACACTGGCTGGGGTCGTCTCAGCCATCATCACATTCCTAGCCCTCGTTGTGTCGTCCGTTCAACTGTTATACCAATATTACACTAACGTAAACCTTTCTGCCCTTGGATCGCGAAACTGTAACGACATGGTCATGGGCCCGTGGGCCGAGCTGACCGACAAGAAATGGCGTTGGCTGGAGTTCCGGTATGAAGTCATTTTCAAATCGCCCATCATCTTCGTCTCGTGGCCGAGCAACAATAAGGGGCCCGTCAACAAAGCCCCAATCTACTCCATGCGAGGGACTCCCCAAAGTTTCAAGGACACCAGAATCTGGCAACCTGATGTTGAACAGCTTGCGCAGCAAAAGGAGATATTGCAAGCAGGGTTACCTTCTTACACAGTATCATATCCGTTTTCCAGGACTTGGCAAAAAGTTACCGCAGCACGAACAAGATTTACAGCTAGAGGGACAATCCGATAATGTCAAGGAGGACTCCTTGAAAGTAGAGAAGTCGGAAGAAGAGGAAGTCGAGAGGACCCGGCGAAGTCTCCTGCGTCTTGGTCTCAACAGAGAAGCCTCTTGGGCCACCATGTTACGAGAGTTGCAGGTCATGGAGCGCGACAGCACCAAGTGGCAGGAAGAGCTGGGGGGAGGGCGGGAAAGTATACAATTGTTCGAGAGACGAACTTTGGCCGTTGCCATCCAACCACGCGCCTACTCCTGGGACATGGTTCCTAATTTCAAGAATCCTCTTGCCCAGACGGTCCTAACCCACCTCGTGGAAATCGCAGCAATGCTAGGAATCTACTGGACTGTATGGGACTCTGCCGGGGACCGTTACCGTGCAGAGGGCAACGGCTTCATCTTGTTCGGCTCGTACAGACCAGAACAAGGACTGGTCTTCCAGTTCTTGAGAGCCGGCCGGTCAAGCTTCAAGGGAAACCGCATCATGCCAGCTGATGAAGTCAAGAAATTTTGCTTCGGATTTGCACCAACTCTGTTCTGCTATCAGCATGACCAGACCCACCGAGCAAAACACCTTGTCAATGATGATTTGGGGACGATCCCGGAGTTGAAACTTGGGAGCAAGCAAGACATCGCTGAGACTCTTAGCGAGATTGGCTGTCCAAAGTCGACAGCAGACCGTTCCTTGGGGGAACGTAAAACGTCCCACATATTTCCTAGTGAGCTTTTCTATGCTGCTTGTTTCACACGTTCAATTAAAAATAAAAATAAGTGCTCATCTCACTCACCTAGTGGCATTTGAGATTCTCGGTATGCTAGGCATGACATTACGTTGGCGCAATTCTGCGTTTCGTGTACTACCGAACCCTACCATATTCTGCTGGGATCGTAGAGGATTCAAGACCAGATTGTTACTCGATGGCTTCAGAAAATACTTCAAGGATCATATCAACAAGGCACAGACACAAGAAATCACGCCAGTTCAGCCCAATCTAGCAACTCCAGCTGCCCAGCCCGGGCATCCAGCTCAAAGAAGAGCATATATCACAGCCAACGACGTTGAAGTTACTTGTCGAGCTTCTAGACAGACTATACGATCTGTTGCCATCGAAAGTCGAGGACTATGATCTCCGGCTGCTCGACTGTCTGCACGACATTCTTGACGCCATCGATGGTCGGCTGTCCAACAAAAAAGCGGTACCAGAAACATTGGTCCTCGAGACTGCAGGCAGGCACGTAACTTACGTGCTTGACGATCTCAACTCGGAGAATTCAAAATTAGACAAAGCCACGAGTTTGCTGGGAAAGGTGAAAAGGAGAAAAACTATATCGGATTCTTGTTCTACGACGTGAGAGAAGCGGTCACAAAACAAACCGTCGAGAAAAGACCGACTCTGGAGACGTCCCCCAACGCGCAGAGTATGTCTTCATCTGTGTTTAATCGCGAGACAATCTGGTATTGCCTTGTTCTGCGCATGCTTTGCTGGCTGCAGCTCCATGACTTTGACAGCAAAGATATCATGCTGCCTAGGGGAAGATCGGTGGGAAGTCGGATGCCGGTTTATATTATCTGACTGAGGCATCCGCAGTGGGGAGTTTCAGTTCGGCCGTTTGTTATTCCTTGGCTTGAGCGGATTTGGACGTTGTAGTGGCATTGTTCTGATTCGACATCAACTCACGGCTGAATTGGCGACTTCACCGCGGTCTGGAACGTATTTTTCTATGCAATTGATTCGATCTCGTGACCTGCCTTTTCCTCGTAGGGAACATGCTTCTTTATGGCATTTGAAACCCACCAACTCACGAGAGTACACAGACACGGGCGACGCGAGGTTAATTTCTCGTAAATTCTCACAAATATCCTCCAGTCTATCGCTATCGCCGAACAATTGCCGAGAATAGTGGCTCCTGTTCATCGTCAATTTCACGCAGATACACTTCTCAATCGCCCGCCAAGCCGAGTCTGCGTGCCTGACTGGACCCGTAGCTGAATGTGTAAGACTTAACACGCCTGTCGGCCGAGAGCGGCGTGTCCCGGCCTCCTTCCCCCCCATGCGAAATCTTGAACATAACAGTTCGCAACGGTCGATAACAACGGGGTGGTGCTTCACATCGGGAGACGCCAATGCTACCGAACTCAAAATCTTGAGACTCGTCGAATTTTCCCCTGACGTGATACAAGTTGGCGAGGTCGACCTTGGCGTCGAATATCAAAGAGCCCACTGGGCTATAATCGCCCAGCTCCGACACCACAAAGGTACTTAAAGCCCCCTTTGCGTACACCTAGACCTGTTCAAGCTTGAGAAGTTCCTCGTCGGGTAGAGAAAAGCGCCCGCGAAGATATTGCTGTAAAACTCAAAGAGCTGCTCGGACGCCTGCCGAGATTCAGAGAAACATGTGTAGTATATCCGCATCAGTGTCCCGTACAAATTATGCGAGGTCTGGTGCATGATGTGGGGGGCGGTTCATGGGTAGCGGTGGAACGTCTCGTTTATGTAGCCTCACATGATGTGCATGCATTCTTCGAGGAGACAAAAACTGTCTGGGGCTGATAATATTGAAGAGCTCCGAGAATCCAGAGTAATCCGGTTCTCCATAATAGACATCTTGCGATTATATGTTTCTAGTCTCCTCTTGGTTGCTTTTCGCTCTCCACTACCAGGCCCTATCAATATCCCAGAGCTGATGGCGCTGCTCTTTTTACGACGGACAAGCTCGCTAACCTCGTCGAACTTGTGGTTCTTGCGCAAGCCCCATTGCGTGATGCGATATTTGTACATCTTTTCTCTAATAACAGATTAGACAGCTAGCTACGACGTCGAGTACGACAATTGTTTCAGCTAGTACAACTCAGGTTGCAAAGAACTGATGCTCATCTTCTCGCATCTGCTCCAGACCCTTCTCAAGGTCATGCCCTGTTGCTTGTGCAGATTGGAAGACGAGACAGCACCTCGCCCAGTCGACCACGCCTGCTGACTGAGCGAGTGCGTCTCCATGGCTAAATAGTCGACGCTTTCTTCTCAGCCCATGCGTTACTAGAACGGAGGGGAAATTTGCAAAAAGTTGGGGGAAAGCATTGGGCTGGGAAGGAGCAGAGCATTCAAATTGTTACACAATGACACCGGGGTGGCTGGCTCCATGTCGTTGTGTTAGATTGCCCAACACGGCACGAACGGCACGGCTTGGTCGCTTGGGCGGTAAATGATTGGAATGCAGCCTTGCAGTTTACTACGGCTATTTAAAGCCGTTTATTCCGGTGCGTCTATAGCCTGGGATAGAACTACTACGTAGTACAGAACTTAGCTCACGCACACAAGTAACAATCATGTTTTGCAGCATAGTATCTTTGGGATGGAGAAACAGAGAAGCAGGAGCAGATTTGAAGTGGTCATCAGACTCTGGCTAGATAGGGTTCACGGGACACAACCACCGGGCGGCTTGCTGCATGCAAACGGGCCAAAAGGGGAAAGTGACTGGCATCAGCATCAAAGGTAGTACAACCGCTTCATGAAGAAGACAGTCCTCTTCCCATTCGCAAAGAGTCCGTATGTGAGTTGAGAGCTTTGATATTTCACAGTAGGCTTGTGAGATATATATGATAGGCAACATACGAATCGAGACTACATTAGAATGGTAGATGGAGACGTAGATAATGCAAGGGAAAAATGATAAGTGGATGAGAGCTGATGTACGCATATGCTGTTTATGTCAGATTAGTACAACCCGTTTGGCGGACTAATTATTCAGATCAGCAGTCGTAAGTATGTATAATTTTTATACTTTATAGAACCAATTATTGCAACGGCACTGGCCCTAAATCAGGCTGATCGTCTTGGACAAGCCGCAGACTATCTGACTAATTGCATTATCAGGGATACAAATATAAGCACATGTACCAATTGAGTATTTCGAATTTGGGACATGCTCCGGCCTCGGATACGGCCGAGACGTCAAAAAGGATCGATCCATAGCGGGTCCGATGGCTCTGTATGGCCCCTGCCAATCGTGACTCGACGACGTAACTATGCTGCAGGAGCACTTATAAAAATCAGATCGTCTCGCGTATCAAGAAGCCGCCTTTGGTCATTACTGCGCAAAGACGACAAAGTTGTCTGCTCGCACATTGGACAGTGGCAACATGGCACCCTTCAATCTCCAAACCTGCGCCAGGCCCAATATCCTGGCGCTCGAGCCGTACCGTTGCGCGCGAGAGTAAGTGCTGACTTGCACGAAGAATAGCTAGCATTTGTACTGACACCTCTCAAGCGACTACAAAGACGATGGCAAAAATATTCTCCTGGATGCAAACGAGAACGCCTATGGGCCCCCGCTGCCCAAGTCTGCCGGTGCCGCAGTGTCAGCCTCTGGCGGCCCCGAGATAGACCTCCTCGGCCTGCACAGATACCCAGACCCACACCAGCACGACCTAAAGCAGCTTCTCTGCAACTTGCGAAACACCCACCACCACACCTCCAAGACCATCACTCCCGAGAACCTGTTCGTCGGCGTCGGCAGCGACGAGGCCATCGACGCCCTGCTGCGGTGTTTCTGCGTGCCGGGCCAGGACCGCATCCTCGTCTGCCCGCCCACGTATGGTATGTACTCGGTCTCGGCGCAGGTGAATGACGTCGGCCTAGTCAAGGTGCCGTTGCTTCCCGCGCCGTCATTTGCGCTTGATGTGGAGAAAATCAACGCGACGCTGTCGAGTGAGCAGGGCATCAAGTTGGCGTATCTGTGCTCGCCGGGCAATCCTACGGGGTCGCTGCTGGCGAAGGAGGATGTGCAGAGGATCCTGGAACACCCTACGTGGAACGGCATCGTTGTGCTGGATGAGGCGTACATCGACTTCTCCAGGGATGGCTCGTCGTTGGCGGAATGGGTGGCCGAGTGGCCGAATCTTGTCGTCATGCAGACGCTGTCGAAGGCATTTGGTATGGCGGGCATCAGATTAGGTGCCGCATTTACGTCGCCGCCTATTGCGCAGCTGCTCAATAGTCTGAAGGCACCGTACAATGTCTCTAGTCCTACGAGTGCGTTGGCCGCGTACGCAATTTCGGCAGATGGTCTGTCAGCCATGAGAGCCAACCGCCAGAAGATCGTGACGCAACGGGAGCGGTTGCTGAAGGAATTGGCGAGGATCGAGGGAGTGGGGAGATTAAGAGGTGGCACAGAGAGCAATTTCCTGCTCTTCGAGATGTTGAACTCGAAGGGGCAGCCCGATAATGTCACGGCGCTATCGGTATACGAGACGTTGGCGGAGAGCCAGGGCGTGGTGGTGCGATTCAGGGGCAAAGAGCATTGCTGTCTTGGTTGTCTGAGAATCACGGTCGGTACGGAACAGGAAGTCACAAGATTCCTGAGTGCACTGGAGAAGTCTCTCTCTGAAGTTCGCAGTGCAAAGGGGTCCTTGCCGGTGGATGAAGCAGCTAAGGAGGTACAGGCGAGTGGAGTTGTGGCCTAGATATTCGCACATGGTGTCTGTTGGCGGAATATAATGTACACACAGCGCTATGTATCACGCCAAAGACTCGTCCCGTGGCGTCTCGCCAGCTAATAAGGCCGTCTCCACTATATTGCCATCCTGGTCAGGAAGCCAGTTGCCGTGACTCCTGACTGCCATCTCGCCGTTCTCGTACCGGTACAAAACGAAGTCTTCCCTGAAAGCGAGAACTACAACACAGCCGTCATCGTCTTCCTTGCGCCAAGGTAGAATCGCTTTCAAGGGTTTCGAGACGAGCAATGTTGATGCACCAACATCCGTTTCCTCAAACTTAACCGGCTGAATTAGGACAAAACCTGAGCAGGGGGACAGCAGGGCCTCGAACTTGTCCTGAAACCAATTTGCATTCGGGGCGTTCAGCCCCTTCACGTATTCCGACATATCTGCATTAACCATCACCAAGAAAGGTTCATCCTTCCCTTATCCCTGTTCATCCAGACCTTGGTATCGGCTGGATCCAGCGCCGTGTCAGGCTCCAAATGGCGGTCCTCGGACAGTGCAGGCAGCTCCCCCAACGATACCAAAATCTTGCCCCGGAACTTGAACACAAGGGGAGCGGATTTGAAGCACATTTTCGGATTCCACGGCGTGCCTCGTCACGAGCTTGCTCCGCGCTAAAGACATGCCGCAGCCCCGACGAATTTGAAGAGATCGTTTGTATATTCAAACCCCGGCGAGACCTGTAATGTTCGGGGTTGCTGTCATTATAGTCGGTGGCGGCTTGACGGAGCTGCGGGGTGAAGTCGGGGTGGGGCCGGAATCGCGGCGCAAGGACGGCGGACGGCCGGAGTAGGGAACCGGTGGTGGGCAAAATTGAGACAGTGAGGAATCTTCGCGAGATCTTGCATATTATCTTTGGGCTTCCTTCAAAAACTTGAGAGGCGCTCCCAACCGGAGGTCTGGCTCGTCTGTCTCTTGCAGCTGCGTGGGGCATGCAAATTGCTTTTCCCGGTGTGATGAATAGTCACGTCCCGCTGGTCATATCAACATGAGCAAATTTAGGAGTTGATCCTCATGTTCATCTTTTGTTTATCTCCCGGGCATGATCTGTCATCTGAAGAAATGAATACCTATAAATACATATAAAGGGGTGTCAAAAGGTGTGGGCTAACCCTTGGGTAGCTGAAGAAGCGAAAGTCGAAACACCATCCCATGCATATGCTGTGCTGTAATACCCAGAACGCTGCCTTAAAGCACCAAACTCCCCATCTTTCTTCATGCCCACTTCCAGAACAAACCTGCAAGTAGGCCAGCAATTGTCAGGAACCAGGCAGGGCCAAGACCGCCAGCATCATTTGTCGATCGCCTTGTGGGCGTCGGCGATGCCGTTGGCGAAGGGGTCGTGGTTTGCACCGGATTCCCCGCCGTGTCGCCCGTTACATGCTTGATCCCGCCGGCCTTCAGAGGCGGCGTAGCCTCCTGGACCAGGAGTCCATGCACCACTTCTAAAGCACCCAGTTGCTGGCCGAGACCGGGATTGTTGTCGTATCTCCCCGTGTACCACTTCTGCCCACAGACTGTGCCGTTTACGCCGCCGGAGCAAGCCTTTCCGGCAGCGACGGCGGAGACATTCAGCAGGGTTTGGACGTCTGTGAGTGTTGATGGCATCATCTGGGTTGTGGCCCACATGAATCTGGACAAGTACGCCTTGAAACTCAGCATGTCCGTGTTACAGGTCCCTACGGTTTCGCAAGCGTGTTCGAACATGATGTTGGTCGCATTTTCATAGGGACTGAAGTAGGAGTTGGCAGCCTTGAGCAGGCCATTCGTCCGGTCTCTCCAGGTCTTGTTGCCATCAGTGTGGTTGTAAAGTACGGCAGCTCCGTAGAGGTATATGCCTTGCGAGTATGAGAAAGACAGAGGATTGACCTTTGTGCAGTCATTTGTGCTGTCGGCGCCATCGTAAACGTTGAAATTGGGGTCGATGAATCCCACTTCTACAGACCAGTCCCAAACCTTTTGCGCCCACTCGTAGTAGGTATTGTTGCCAGTATCCCGCGCCAGACGAGCAGATAGCTGGAAGAAGCCACCATTGGAGACGGAATTCTTGTAGCTCATGCCGTTCGGGTTGCTAGCAAATATTTGCCAGGCAAGTCCGCCACCACACGAAGTGGTGTTCCAGCGGACAACCATGGAGTTCCAGATGTTGGCCGCCATGTCCAGCCACGGCGGAATGTTGACATTGGGTTGGGGGAAGTTGCGCTCGGCAGCTGCGAGGATTCCGAAAGACCAGAAGACCTGGTCGTCGTTACCCTCGTCACCGAAATGACGTGGAACCATGAAATCGAACGCCGGACCAACTTGTGAGAGTAGAGCTTGTGTGATCACATCATTGTACGAAGAATCTCCCGTGTAGTGGGCGTAGTCCAGCATCGAGCCCCACGCGGCACCGGCTTCCCACCAGTAGACCGGTGCCGGGAAGATGGCGATTGTCTATAAACATACGAATTAGTAAACACCCGAATAAGCTTGGGGCGCAGCATACTTGCCTCTTCGGTGTTGGTCACATTGCCACTGTAAAGTGACATGGTACCGTAGGCTAGCGTGCTTGCCACACTCCGAATAGAAGCTATAAACTGTGAGTGTTGCTGGCCACGAGAGATCATCGTCTCATCGTCATTTCACACATACCGGCATCATTGATATCGAGATTTTTGGGGGCAGCGAACGACGATGCCAGAGTAGCCGCGGTGTGAATAGACTTGACGAGCATTTTGCGTAAGCTGACGAAAGGGGGTTTGTCACACGGCCGCACAGCGATCTTGGTGTGATTGATATTATAGGTGGAAAAAGATATGATGCTTTTGATGATCGATCGGGTCTTGCGATCCCTTACCAAAGCGATAGACGGACCGATGGTGCAATGTAGTGAATTGTAAGTAGGGCACAGGATACACGATGTACCTAGGTAGCGAATGAAAACACGGACGATGAGAAACGAGTGTTAGATGTCCTGGTGTAGGTGGTAAGGTAGGCGGTGAAATTGTACAAGAAGTATAATAGGCTGGCTACTTGAAAATAATTGTCCCAGCCAACAAAAGATTGACAACGAGTGTGAAAGAAAGTTGGCAAACCTATTAGCAGGTGGTAAGATCCGAAGAAAGAGCAACAGCCAGCACCATCACCAATACCGTGGCGGTGGCTTTGTTCTTATTGAAATAGCCGACAACGCGAACAAGGACTGGCCCGAATTCTGCTACGAAAGGAAAATGCTGGTCGGCGGCCACCAGGCACAAGCGAAAGGTCGCTGGCCAGTTGTTTCGGTTGTTCCAGCGTCATGGTGGTGCAGATCGATGCGATCCAGTCAAAGGAATGACAAGTGACAGGGGGAGTCGTAGCTGACTTGAGATCGTGACGTGGGGCATTGGAGTCGGCAATCCTGGGATCCACAGGTAGAACCCAACGTTACTGCCGGATTCGTCCAGCGTTGGACTTCGTTGTAATAGGCGGCACATAACCTGGAAGGTGCTAGCTATGCTGGGGTTTGCAAGAGTTGGGGTGTGAGATATCCCAGCTCAAAATAATAACCCCGCCATGTTTTCAGGCAGTTCAGGGGTCTAGCGATCTCTAGCAGCAGAGGAATTGGGGGGTTGCGAGGGATGATTGGATGCCATTAATCCTCCATTTTTCGCCTTGTGGCTCCGCAAGCATGGTAGAACGTGAGACAAGCTTTAAATTTAGCCGCAGGGGCAGTGACAGGCCGATGTTTGGTTGTAAAACCTCGACTGGAGCCGCGCGAGTGGCTGGCCCTCAGTGACCATAGAGGGCATGTTGGTAGGGCTAATTTCAGTCCGTACGTCGAGGTCCTTCATTGTTCGCTTGCCCTTATCCAGTTTAGGACCAATTACATTCCCGCCTCCGCTGTCACGGTGTATCTGTCGAGTTTGCATAGTTGCGGAGTCGGCAGGAACTACCATTATAGCGATTGGAATGGCATCCCTGACCCGATCTCTGATGTGCACTGGGATTAGCAACTGCAACACCCGCAGTGACCTGGGGCCCGGGCAGCATATTTCGACCTGGAATTCTAGAACCCAACAGCGGTTGGCCATTGTGTTTCGAGAAATTGAGACATTTGCACAGGTGGCAGCATGCTGTTGTCCGTCACTTTGTCTTTTTTCACCATCCCAATTTTATTGTCGTGGGCCTGGCCCTGTTATCTTGTAACGAGGCTCGCGTCTAGCATCACCAGTGTACAATCTCATACGCACAGCTGCCCCATAGTTGAGTACCTACCTTACTAACTCAGCGCGAAGGTTCCCATTTCTTCCACGTCTTGGACTCATCAGGCGCCAATATCAACTCCTTGACCATCTCCCTGATCCTTTCACACGCCTCCTTTCCGAATTTTCATGATAATTCGCCGTTCTGCCGCACACTTGGCCGCGGCCAACTTGCTCCTGCAGCGGCGAACCGGGTTGACCAAAGTGGCATACGATGTTTTGGTGCTCCGAAGGGGAAATATCGCAGTCGCGTAAGACAAGAACCAAGGCCGGTCCGAAAGACGGGCCTTGACTGCGTTGGGTGGGTTTACCTCTGTAGTTGGGAGGAAAGTGTCCCCTATTTCTTTGACAATGATAGTTGTGCATGGTCTGGGTGCAGTCGGTATTAATGTGCGTCTGGGCTTGGATGTTACAACCTATGGGCGTACTTGCTTCAAGCATTCGGTACTCTCATCGAAATTTGGGTCGTACTCAAAGAGACCACAAATGTCTTGCGCCGTACGCTTCGCCATATTGATGAAAGTGTAGCCCAAACTTGTGTAAATGCGTATGGTGGAGCGGCAATACGATCTAGCACGCTGCAAGTTTTCGGTACTCTAGAAAACATTTCACTGTAACGGCAAATTTTTTTTTACAACGCAGTAGGCCGCCAGAGTGTTTCTCTGTGCCCGACACCTTTTCCGGTCTTCGACGGATTAAGGATTGGCACCCATCAAAGTCTCGAATCGGCCCAGGGACAAAGGATGTGCCCAGAGACAGAAAACGCACGGAATAAAAGCGCAAGCTACATTTTTCTGCTTCGAATGATAGGCAACACGCATGAGAAGTGCAATGTAGCATCACTTAGTCCTGGTAAGTGAAAGGCATGCTTCGGCCAGTCAAAGTGCACAGCAGGCGGGTTTACGCTCAAAGCCATCATGTCACCCAGCCTATTCCATGAGATGTACGTGCCTAAGCTGAATACTAATTGAACAAAACACGAGTCTCATTTAACGAGACTGTACTCTTGAATAGCAGCATAGGCCTGTAAAATTCAAGTCATACTCATAAGCATACATCGGGAAGCCAGAGTGTCATCTTCGAACATAACAGGAATGGAAGAAGTTATTATGTCTGCATTAGTTTTAGGTAAAGACGGCTATAGCCATCTAATGAGACCCCAGCCGACAACATCAGCTGTAGGCAATCTTGAAAACCCAGCAAAACTCCTCCTTGGCGAGCAAATCCTCCGTAACCTCAATACTCAGTTCTGAGCTGCTGCTCCCCTGGCCAGAGACCTCCCATTCCAGAGTCTCTCCACCGTCAACCGTCAGTAGACTCACATTATCACCCTCCAAAATCGGCACCGGCGCCGGGACCTTCACCACGCCCTCAGTTACTACCGGCTTCTCCAAGAACAAGACATAAAACGCGTTGTTCGTCTGCGTAAACCTCACATCCAACCCCCCCACAATCTCACTCTGCACAAACCAATACGTCGTATTAAACACCGCCTCCTCATGCGTCCGGATCCAGCTCCCCGCCTCCAACAGATTATCCACCTCCCTCTGCACAATCATCCCATCGGCGCGGGGCCCAATATCCAATAACAGATTCCCGTTCTTGCTCACCATGTCCACCAGGGTATACACAATGGTGCTCGCATTCATGTACGCCTCGTCCGGCGTCGCGCGGTTGTACCCATAACTGTACGGATCCATCCCCTGATTCGACTCCCACTTGCGGTGCTGCGCCGACGAGAAAGTCTGGTACTCGGGGGTGTCGAAATCCGCCGCTTCTGCGATCCCGCACCGCGAGTTGATGGCTACTTGTCGGTTCTGCGCCCGCGCGGTGTTCCACCATGCGGCTGCGAAGGAGGCGGTTCCGTTGGCGGCGCCGCAGTCGCACCACATGATGTCGGTCCCGTACGTGTAAGCGAGCGTCTCCATCTGTGGGACCATCAGATCGGAAACAAAGTCCTCGACGGGAACGTGGCCTGTGTAGGGTTCCTCGACGCCGGTGTAGGGGTTCGTGGCGAGCATGCCGGGCCAGGAGACGGTGGATGCCCTGGGGAGTTGGTCGAAGCCGTAGGGGCCGAAGTCGGGGTTGAACCATTCCGGGAGGGAGAAGTAGGTACCGCGCTTGAGGGAGGGCTGGTACGTCTCGGCGGCGGAGAAGAGCTCCCCGAGGACGTCGCGGCGCGGGCCGTAATGTAGGGCGGAACGGTTGCTGGTGGAACCCGTGTCGAAGAGCGCGAAGCCGTCGTGGTGTTTAGTAGTTATGACGAAATATTTAGCACCCGCGTCGGCGAAGAGGTCGACCCACCTAGAAACGTTGTCAATATTTCCTCCTTGTGATGTGTGGAAATTGCCCCCGTAAAGAGGGTCGGTCTGGAAGAGCACTCACATCTTTGGATCAAAGTTAGACGCATTGAAATCGGGAAACGTGTCGTCGTACGCCCAATCAGGCCCATACGTCTCCAGGCGATAATTGTAGAAATCGGATGCGTCTGCTTGAGGGTGATGCGTTGAGTACCACCTGCACAGTTCTTCCAATCAGCACATCACTCCACAATACTAGTAGTTGTGTGGGACATTTTACTTACCAGAACCACTCAGCATACGATTCGTACGGCGACGAATTTCCCCAGCCGGTGACAGCATAAGGCCCCCAATGGATGAAAATCCCATACTTGGCGCCATCAAACCATTCCGGACTCTCATGCCGGGCCAGATTGTCTGGATCCGAAGTCCAACTCGTCAATCCAATCTCGACATTCTGGAAGCGAACTGTTTGGTTGCTGGAAGCTTGACTAATGGCCACGTCAACAGGGACTGGGCCTTTGGAGGATCCGTCCACTCCGACCGTGACCACCTTCTGGTCCCCGGGACAGAGCCGCTTCACGCTCCCCGGCAGAACTGTCTTGAACCCCGTGCCGGCGAGTGACACCTTCAACCCATCCCCGGAAACGCACTCGGACCCCGCGTTGTTCACCGTGACCTCGACGGCTTGTGTCCCGTTGGCGAGCCATTTCTGAGTAGGACGCACTGCCTGCACGTTGACCGACGAGCCCTTCCAGAGCGAAATGGCGAAGACGTGAAGGCGGCCTTCGGTTGCGTTTGCAGTCGTAGGCAGGGTGATGGAACTCAATGTCTTCCCGTTTTCCAAGCTTGAAGTCCGCTCAAAGATGTGGGTGGAGTTGTAGTTGGTGCCATTTTCGGTGAAGCGGTAGGGGTAGATGATCTCACCGCGATTGATGGTCAAGAAGTTGAAGAAGCTTAGACTGCGCAGCTCGTACAGGGACGTGGTGTTGTCGGTATAAGTGAACGTTACGTTGGCGGACACACTGTATAGCTCGAGGTCTGCGGCAACGAGGAAGGATGCTGAGAAGTATGCGTCATTGGGAACCGCAATGGTTTGGCCATTGCATATCAAGTTGTCGGGCTTGGATGGCCCCGTGTACCCAGGAAAGGAGTACAACACACCCGTCTCGGAAGACGTGTATGTAGACGCGTTCGATGGCGGCGCGGGATATGACTGATTTAATGTATCAAAGTCTGCCTCACCCGGAAAGGTTCCAAACGCCTTGTTGTTGAAGAATGACCCGAGGTCAAGTGGTATAGACTTAGTCATTGTAAGCCAAGTACCATCACGGCATGGGGACGAAACTGACCTTGCTGGCAGATGTTGCTAATTTTGGCCTGGCTAAGACATTCGCAGCATGAAGCGCGAGCCACAGCAATGCGTTTACAGAAACCATCGTGGCCGCCTCGAAATATCACTCCCACGGTCTTGCAACACGACGAAGGGTGGCAGAACGACCGAGCAAGTTGGGAGGGGAAGACGCGTCCTTTCAATAGTGACCGGTTCGCTAACAACAACAACAATATCAACGCAAACCGGGACGTCACTCATTCCACACATTCTATCGGATCCGATTCGGGCCCCGTCGGGATGCTCGTGAGTGGATTTGTACATGTTCCTGGTGAGTCTCCTACGTAACATTCCGCCCTCTCGGTATATACGGAGAAAACTCCACGGTTCAGCGCATGGAAGGCGAACGTTAATCAATTTAGCGGTGTCTATGGTTCGATGACTGCAACCCGAGACGGAAATTAGGTAGCCAGCTAGTACAATATCCCGCGATCCTATCTTCCCCGCCCCGCAGCGCCCCCGCTTTTCGCTGCAGACTATCAACGGCTGTTCCTGGACGGTCTTGTTCTAGATGGCAATCATCGCTGATAAGAAGATGGAACCAAACAACCCCACAGCCCGGCACCGCTATGCTATGTAACGTCGTAGGACGGAGTGTCCTGATTCATCAACACAGTGGTTCGGGGCTTATCTACACCAAGGCATCGGATGGCCCTAACTGCAATGGGCTGGACGCGTTGAAATATAGTACATAAGCTAGCCAGCAGCACCGAACGACAATGCCACCGATCGTGGCGAGCTGGCCAGGCCGTTGAATTCACGATGCGCCAGTTCATTTCCTGGGTCGTCTGGGCCCTCGTCCTGGGCCTCTCGGCAGCCCAATTCAACAACCCCGAAGGCGTTGATATATGGTGTGGGAAAGCTTATAGGGCAACGTAGGTCGCTTTTGAGAACATGCATCTTTCAGCACTGCCATGACTAATATTCCGCTGTCTGTAGCAACTCATCCTTTGACCCGGGTGGGTGGTTCGAGGAGCCGCCAAAGTCAAGCGTGCCGTTGCTCAACCTCAGAGTACGGCCACGGATGAGCATCTATCTCGACACGGACGCCACAGGAAGCCTTCTCATCGACGCCGGCATCTCGGACCAAGTCGGCCAGCCATTGCTACAAAGCAATGCCTCGTCTACAGGAAACAGTTCCAGCATTCTCCAGGTCGAGGTTATTTCCGGCGGCTCTGTTTTGCAATCAACTTCAGTAGAGCTTGGTTCAACCGATAACGAGATACTCATTGATCTGGAGAGCTTTCCGGCTAGTTTGAGCGGCCACAATATCCGCATCAGAGCGACTTTGGGGCAGAATACTACCTACACTGCTTCTACCGAGCTATTCCGCCTACCTTATCCGGAAGATTATGGCAGTGTGTCGAGGATAGACAACTTGTACGGTGGCTTGTGGGCGCAAAGACAAGGCGGAGAATGGACTCACATCTTCCCTTACACGTATTATGGTATGATTCCCGCCCAAGTCCCCAAAAGCCTTCGACTAACGAATCGCCAGTCCAATGGAGTCTGTACTGGGACAATAACGTCACGACCCTAGATGACTTCGCCGCCATGGGATACAACGTCATCCACATTGTTCCCACCGGCACCCTGGGCGACACGCCCTTCCCCTGGGATCAATTCGAGCCGTACCTCGAGCGCGCCGACGAGCTCGGCCTGTACTTCCAATACGACGTTATCTGGACCCCGCAAAACAGCACAGGCATGATCGAGCAAGTGGAACGTCTCAAAACCCACCCGTCGATGCTCCTCTGGTACCAAAGCGACGAAGCCGACGGCAAGAGCAACCCCATTAACTCAACAGGCATCGCCTACCAAAAGCTTCGCGAACTAGACCCCTACCACCCCGTCTCCCTGGCGCTCAACTGCTACGACTTTTATTACAGTGACTACGCCGCGGGGGCCGATATCATCATGAGCGACGTATACCCCATCTCGACCAACACCTCCTTCTCAACCGTCTACGACACAGTCTGCAACGCCACGTACGGCTGCTGCGGGTGCGACGACTGCAACGGGAACTTCGACGACATATCACACCGCATCGACGAGTTCCAGCGCCGCGATGGCCTCATCGGCTGGTCGAAGACGCAATGGTTCGCGCCGCAGGCATTTGGGAACGAGACGTTCTGGACGAGGTACCCCACTGCGGGCGAGGAAGTCGTTATGACCATGCTTGCGATCAATCACGGGGCGAAGGGGATTGTCATGTGGAATTACCCGACTACGGCGGAGTTGGCGGATTTGACGCGGCGGTTGGCGGTGGTGTTGACGAGTGAGTTGGTGGCAGACTTCTTTTTGGAGGCGCCGCTGGTGGAGGGGTTGGAGGTGAAGGGGGGGAGCAAGGTTGATGCCGCGGCGTGGGTTTCGGAGAGTAAGAGGCAGGTTCTCCTGGGCGTAGTGAATCTCAACTACGAGGATATTCAGGAGGGTATTGAGGTTGTGCTGCCGGATGGTGTTAAGGTCGGTTCGGTCAATGAGGCGCTGTGGGGGGATTTGAGTTGGGATATTGAGAGTGAGGGAACTTCGGCTGCTACTGGTGGGATGGCGGGTTTGCAGGTGTCACTCGCAGTGCTTGATTTGGTGTGACATTTAGTGTAGGTAAACTTGGTGAAAAATAAGGGTAGAGTGGCAGCCAATCACAAGTTATCCACAGCACGCTAGTTTCCTGAACAGGAAATAGGTACGCTTGCATCTCCGGATATTTCATCAGCGGCTGATTTTGGCATTGCGTATGTGTGAATGCGACACACGTGCTTATGGGCGGCTCAAGTGTTCGCGGTGAGTTCGCACTGCTGACGCGCGTTAGGGCGCAGGAAGTGTTTGGGTCAAGGTGACTCGAGTAGACGACGAGAGGCATCCGTGATCAGATTGCCACGCCGTGGAACAAACTGACCAGTTGCACTAAGACTCAAGAGACTTTCGCAAGTACTCATTACAGCATGCCTCTCGCAAGCATCGAATGGGTTTAACAAGATGCATCATCTGAAACCACTCTATATTCCTCGTCTTCGTTTCGGAGATGTGTTCCTCTAGACAATAATGGAAGCATTGTGTACTCGTCAAGCCTAAAAACGGCGGCTTAACCTACTGCTAACGCAGTGGATCAAGGACGTATATCTGTCATTTTTGATCGATACTTCCGAACTTCACCAATTCACAGCAAATTCGGAAGTATCTCTCCAAAGCTTGAATATAACGCTTAGAAGCATGTAACGGAAAAGCCAGCGTCGGCTTCGCCGCCACAGTCAGCGCCAGAATTTGAAGAGGATAACGGGGATGAAGACCCTTTGCCAAATTTACTCATTATATTCGGATTTAATCGAGAATAATAAGTCCGCGATCGCGTACAAACCCCGTAGCATCTACAAACTAGCTGCACTTCTAACCTAACATATAGGGTCCTAGCGAATTGAGGTACGTGCATGTATGGTGCTTTACAGTGTACACATTCATTGGCGAGGTACTAGCAGTTTAGTGCAGATGATTAGTATTCGGAAGTACCCTCAATAATGACATATAGATGGAAAATAACACATAGACGTCCTTGTCCCACTGCGTTGGCAGTGGGTTAAACCGCGGGTTAAGCATAGTTACACTGGAGACGTTGCTACGAGAGGGCCTTTGCGGTGTTGTATTGAGCGGGTCGCGGCGCACCTCGGCCGAGATTGCCATTGCAAGGATCCCCAAATATACCAATTTTACGTTATACATACCTGCTATGGGGCCCCCAGGTGAAGTGGAGTATACCAAGAGAGTGCTCGATGAAGGTGCAGCCACTATGTGTGGGGAAACAACAGCAGTTCAATGCATGACAAATAAGGTGGTGGTTTTCATTTCACATTAGCCTACTACGTAATTATGCGTGATGAACAGCCTTCAGTTGCTGATTATTAGCATTGTAAGGCAAGATCGGTTGCCCACCTGAAGCACACCAGAACCAGCATAGGAAACCACATTAGAGCGCAATAGCGCCACCCACAAGCGCAGCGGCTCCCATAAATACCGCGTTCCAGGTCATTTGGGGAACACCAGCCGTACTTGCGCTAGAGCCAGCGCCGCCACTGGTAGTCGTCGTAGCCGGAGTTGTTGAGTTGCCATCACTTCCCGTGCCCGTGGCCGCTGGGTCTGCAGAGCCCGAAGAGAAAACCGCCGAACCCATAGAGGTAATCGTAGAGTCTACGGTGCTGGTGGCGGTGGCGGTGGCGGTAGCTGTTCCCTCGCCGCCACTGAGAAGGCTCAGTCCCGCAGTGACGGTGACAGGGATGTAATAATCCTGGAGGCCCGAGGCGGCCAGGAGGCCCGAGGTGGGGCTGTCGACCAGCGAGCCGCCAACGCTGTACGTGCATTCCGCCACGTCGGCGGTTTTGGTGATTTTGCAGGCTTCGCTGTAGGTTCTGTGGGGGTTTACTTAGACTTTGAGAAGAAGGTGGGAGGGGGAGAAAATCAGAAAGTAGGAGAAACGTACATTCCAGGCACCGACGAGACCATCTCGAATGTAGAAGGACCTCCCACGACGGATATTCCTACAAGTTATAGATCAGTTTTGGGACTCTCAGTATGAAAATTCACCACGGAGAACTGTCTCACCTCCAGCAATTCCGCACTCGGTGGAATCGCTAGAGTCGCACTCGAGGAAATACGTCGTTGCGGCCGGCATGGCTGCCACGACCGACGCAACCAGGGGCTGAGGTTCGAACCCGGGGAGGAACAAGCTGACCACCTTGGAAGGCTGGGCAGCGAGCACGCCACTGGCGGCGAAAGCAGAGGCGAGGAGGAGGGATCTTGTTGGCGACATTTTGGGTGGAGGAGTTTGACTTGATAGCTGCGTTCGGGAATAACGACTATGGATAACGACTGTGGAGATGAAGTGTTAAAAGAGCGTATAACCTGAAGGCTTGACAATGTCCCGAGTTGATTCAGGCGGTATTTTAAACGAGTGAATTAAACCTGAGGAGGTCAAAAAGAGTGGTTGTATTTAGCGATAGACGGAACGCGTGAGCGAAATCATCCGGAACAATATCTTGACAACAGAATGGCGGACATAACGACCTTTTTCAATATGAGCTTGACCCCACAGCAACGGCGCTAACCACTTACAACCCAATGCTCCGCTGAGCCGAAATCCCAAGTGTCCACGAAGACAATCCTGCTGCGGATCAATGTAGCAGACAGGGTAAAATATTATGCACCGACGTGTTTGTCACACAGCTGAATTCGTATTCTCACCATCGAGAGGAAAACATGGGGCTCAGCCGGATAGTTGTTGAGCGGAGCGGTCTCGCATGGTCCTAACCTAGAACATGAGCCGTGTGCTGTACCCGAAACGTATGCCTATCATAAGAGCACATGCTGTCTGTCGTACGTTAGATTTGATGTAAGTTGTACTTCACCAGATTTCCGTGCTTTCTATTGACTACCCTTAGTCCCACGCACCTTAGGTACGAAAATCTTCAATTTCCTGTCTCGGCGCACTAATAATGAAGCAGATGATGGGGATCTCCCGAGAAGAATGATCATTCATTATCACTTGGGTTTGACATCGATATATGATGACCACATCGCTCGGTCTCGCTCGTAATGATATGCCTGGCGCGCATTTTGCACTTTTGTCTAACCTGCACTAGCCAGCATTAGCCACTCTCGGTTCATCAACCAGAATATCCATTTCGACATTTATAAACCGGCCCCGGCCAGCTCGCTGAGCAATGATATGCTTCTCGACCGCAACGGCCTGATGTTTCCACTGCCATAACCTAGTCAACTGAGCCGTTGAATCCACATCTGCCACATAGCCGGAGCACAGCTTTAACGTGGTGATTTTGCCCCAATCCGACGCCCAATCCACGGAGATCTGCGTATCCTCACTTTCGGCTTCCTTGCGCAGTGCCGGGAGCCAGTCACCGCACCCGGTGAGGTCCAAGTACTCGAGACGATACAGGGCTTTGCTTAGTCGTCTGAGGACTAGCACTGCCTCGGACCAATCGTCGTCGAGAATATGACTATATGGGTTTGTTCCGCCATAGTTTGAGGTTCTTCCCGTGGTTGAGGAGACCACTTTAGCAAGCATTGCATTTGGTGTTAGGGATGGCGCTGGCCAACCTGAAATATTCAAATGGGTCAACGAGCCCATCTTGGTCGATATAGATAGAAGGTGCCTCCAGTATGGGGGATGAGTTGCACCAGGTGAGACGGCAAGGGATAGATGTGTAAGGTTGGGCACAAGTTGTGATGGGCCTATTGAGGGTTCAGGGGCATCCCAGGACTCTTGAAGGTCCCTGTCAGACACATCTGTGGCTGGGAAGAGCAGGTCGCCGATAGCCTTCAGCGACACTCCTTGGCCCACTAAACCTGTCAAATCCAGATAGAACATATCCTCGTTCAATATGCCGGCATCTGGCATCGCGATGCCGTACTGGGCAAGCTCCGACTGCGGGGGTCCCATGAGGACTAGTTTCAGGTCCTCCACAGACAGCCCAGGTCGGTACAGTATAGACACATTATACAGCAATGCCGTCTTCATCCTGCTAGGCAGCGTGTAGAGATAGAAGCGATTCCACTCCCGCTGCGCAGGCCAATCCGCCGCAATGCGCCGCAACAGAATATCGACGAGGCTTCCATCATCAGGATGATACATGCCCGGTAAAGGCCAACGCTGCATCCTTCCAACGGTAGAGTCTTCCGAGGTCGCAGGCGCATGGACCGGCTGATGCAGCGAAAGCCATGATCGCGGAGGTGGTGGGCCAGGTGGTATCCTTCGACCGTTAACGTCTCGTCGCTGACGTTGTGGCCGCCTCGGGGGCGGCGCGGGGGTTTCGGGAATTTGGAGGATCTCGCGAATGGACGGCGGCACGCTCGGGGCTAACTGTGAACTGGCTTGAACGGCATGGGGGTTCAAACGACTCCGTCGCATATCAGCGAGGAGCTCATTCACCGAACGGGCATGACGTCCTAGAAGGATCGTTTGGTCAGTATTCCACGTTATCTACCGAGGCACCGGCGGGGTATGGGCCGCGCACCTGAGTTCGCCTGCGACGAAGACGAGGAGCTGAGGGACGGTGGAGCGACAGATGGCGGCTTCGAGTATTTGGTTTGGTGTCTTTTCTTAGGCATAACAGCCCTCAAGCGGTGGCGCGTCTATAATGTGCAGACAGAACGGAAAGACGACATGAAGCTGGCGTAGAAATAAATTTGATAAAAATATAAAAGAAATGTTTTAAAAGATGTTAAAGACAAAGGTAGGGATTTTAACGGCACAACCTGGTCCTCGGGAGTCCGTCATCATTCGAGTCACCTCTGGCGGCTTAAAAATGGATGACTAAAGTAGTGGGGTCATCGAGTAACATCCCTGTCCTGTTAAATCCGGTAAAAGCGAAGGAGCAATCCTTCGTGTAGTGCAACCACTGCTGACTTCTTATATAGTTTTACATCTGTCTCTGTTAAAAAAATTTTAATTGTTATGATTCATCTCGAGATAATGTAACACAAATATAAAAAATAAAATAATAAAAAAACCCCAGAAACCCCAGAATACCTGCTGAAATAATGCGCACAGAAGAATGAGCACTGTCGTGAATACTTCCCGTAAAGCAGACTGAGCAATCCACGTTACGTTGCTTACACGGCATTGCTGATGTGATATCTATTTTTATCACTATGTCATCCTCCTAGCGGCATTCTACAATTGCTTGAACGGACTACACCCCCGAATCAAGTCACTCAGCTTCCCCTGCTTATCAATAATGCCTTTCTCTAACACGACTACCCGGTCAAAGTCAACTATGGTTTCAAGTCTAAGAGCAATCGCAATAATTGTGTGTGAGTAAAACTCGCCACATATGAGTAGTTCCTGCACACGGAACTCGGTAGCTTGGTCGGCAATAGTGTCATTTAGCAACGGCATTCCGACATTGCCGCTATGGTTCGAAAGTAATCAAACGCACCTGCTTGTCGCTTCATCAATAAGAACGACTTTTCTACAATTATTTCTCAGGATCGCCCGTGCGAGGAAGAACAACTGTCGTTGGCTATCACTGAAAATTTGGTTCTCGAACTCCCTGTCGAGTCCTCATTTCCGCTTGATGGCTCCCCACAAGCCGACGTTGGACAAAACAGTTGTGATTTCGTCGGTCATGGAAGCTTCGTAGGGATCCATGTTTTGCCGTATGCTTCCTGGGAGGAAGAACTGTCTTGTGTGATGGCGATGAAGCGAGATCGAATTTCCTCGCGCGGGAGAGTGATGGTATCCATACCGTCAATAACGATTGACCCTGTTGAAAGATCAACTATTTTGATGACAAAGGAGGAGCGGCGATTTGTCACTGTCATCCATGGTTATAATATTTTGCAATTGAGGAAATTTTGTCGCTAAATTATACCTTCCAGTCTCCAAAGGACAGCAACCTTCCGCCTAGCCTGGAAGGAAATCGAAACATCGTCCTCGGCCTTGATTTCTCAATTCACGCCATATGATGCAGGCATCTCCTGCAGCTCAATATGGCCTCGAGATGGCCAATCCGCTGGCGGCTGCTGGTTCTCCCCGGGGAGATTCTCGTCCTGGGTTTCTTCGCTGAACTGCTTGATCCTCGCACCAGCGCCAAGGGACGTCTCGACCGAAGTCCACCACCAAATGGGCACTTTGACTGTTTCGATGAATTGCGTGCTGCTATTTTCAGCAGGAAAAATTATGTTAGTACCTGTCTCATACGTGCTAAGCGGGTACTTTTTCTCCAAGGTCGAGGAATCGGAGTTTGGAGGGTCGAAGAAATCCTTTCTGGAAGTAGAACACTGCAGTGAGAACAGTAAAGCTAACCGCAAACGTAGAGTGTTGAAGAAGCAATCAGGATGGCTTGCCTAATGGAGGTGAGCAAATCTGGATAGCAGGTAAGCTCAGCAAGAACAAAGAAGGTATGCCAGTCAGAGACTTACCGCTTTACCTTACTGTGTTGCAAGAACAATAGTCGTCCATCATTTCCCGAGAATGTCTTCGTTATTGCTGAACAGACATCCGCAGATGAGTTTGGAGGTGTAGCTATCACGACCACTCAGCACGTCGTCGAATATTGCAAGCTGCGGTTTTGCATATACCGCCCACGCAAGAGACTAGTGCTCACCGCTTAGTGCGATACCTTTATTACCAACTAACTTAGAGTTTCATCGCCATTATAATATTAACTTTTGTCCTTCTGTAAGCCACAAGCGGGGATGCCTTTTTGATATAACTCGGAGTTGAAATGGTTGAATAAGTAAGTTTTAGCAAGGGACAGTGTATACAGTCTGTATCTAACTTACTATGAGCCAAGGAGACTGATCACACCACGACGTGCGAGATTGAGACACCCTGATGCTGCCAGTGGCCACAGGAACCTCTCCCAGAAGACCTTTGAGCAAAGTACTTCTGCCGTAAGCCACCAGTCCTGCTAGAACGACCAGTTGTCCAGAAGGTACAGTCATGCTGATGCTATTGATGACAGACTGTGCCTCCACTGACTAAGATAAAAGATATATCTCTCAGTTGTACGTCTATCGTGTCCTGCGATGCTTGCGCCATCGAACGGGTGGTCGTTGGATTTTCTACCAGTTCGATGCTCTCATTCAAAGCAACCGCTGAACTCTGTTGAGGCATACCAAGCGAAGGCACCAGAACATGTCGGTTGATCCGCCAAGGGGCCGCGATAAGAAAGCGAGGGTCGTGTCGTGAGTCGCGCGAGAGAAAGCTTTGGGTGCGATCAAAGCAAGCCAAAGTTGAGTGCAAATCCAGAATTGCTTCCAAAGTTGATGATAGAGGTGCTGCCAGAAGAACGATCGGTGAAAAGGACGAGAATAGTCTTGTAGCCTCCAATGTCTCTCCAGTTCTCATCGCGCGAATGGCAAAAGTTGCAAATGCCACGGCGGGTGAAACCAAACGGAAAGGCTTATAGTTCCTATGAAAGTTAACCGAAAATTACCATAGCAATTTTCGAACAATATCACATATGCATACAGCGGAAGTTCTTACCAACTCATTTTGGGCCATCCTCATTCACCGACCCTGAGATCTGTGAGCCTTTGGAGAGACGTACATGGTTGCCGCCAAGGAAAGAAGACATGACAACAGGTGCAGCGGCGTCTTCAGTGGCAATTAGACTTATTCCGTAGTCTTCTTGAAAACGTCCGACACCAGCACGCCTAAAACATGGTGACCATGCGGGATGCGCGATGTCAATAGAAAGCACCGGAAATCGCTATTCCCACGTAAACGAGACCATACACTGCAACGAGGCCATAGCCGACGTTGATAGAATCCTCGGTGGCTTCTACGAAAGCGAACAATGATTACCCCATAAGATGACCAAGATCATTTGCTAGACAGCGACTAGTCCAATAACGGCCTGTGGAATCAGCGCTTCGACAGTCTACCCAGTGCAGGGGCGGAGCCGACAACTTTGGCGGTTCTGATAAGACATTACTCGCACCGGGTTGAGGAGTTGGTCGAGAGCTCGAATTTCAGGGTAAAATCAAAATCATCCCTGCAGCCTTGAATGACTGGGCCGTCGTCGGCGGCAGATGAAACATTCATGTTGACAGGCTACTCTAAAAAGAGCTAAGTAAACGACAAAGGGAGTAAATAAACTTCTTCACCATTAATTGGCATCGATAACGCATTTGGAGCATATCTGACATGCCAAACTGAAAAGAGCAGGTCGGGACGTAATATGAATATGAATCTTCCAAATTGAAGATAACTTGGAGAAAGAACTCCCCAACTCACCTTGACCCCGCACCTTTCCCGGAATGGCATCGATATGCACTTCGGCATAACAAGTCTAGTAAGCGGTCTCAACATTCAATTCAGCTCTGTGGTTGTGACACTCGTACGGACCATGGTGATAATTGGGGACGTGAGACCGGGAATTATTCAGCTGGAACGGATCAGATCAGATCGGTACCTGCTGCGGAATCGATTGTTGGTTACGGGCATGGCATTAAATATCGATGCTGTGAGTCCGGATCCATCGCCGTTTTGTTGAACGCCTAGGCCGGTATAGGTTGACGACGAGCCTCGGCAATAATGAGTTCTGGTATACGAAGTAGGCTATCCCGAAACAAGTCATGTTGTTTTGCATTGTGGCCGTCCAGAGCCCGACCAGGAGAGAGCAGCATTCGCAAGAGGCCGCCCAAATGTTGCCCATGCTTTGATCGATGGCAGGCGGTTTTCGTCTGGGCTGACCTATTCTGTTCCTCACCGACTAAATAAAACAAGCTGCCGCCGCAACCGCAACGGGAAGCGAAAGTCAACGAGGTTTTCGCGTTGGCGCCAAGCCAGATTGACGTCGGGCTCTCGTTAACCACAGCCGGTCTTGTGTAGGGGTCTCGTGAGATTTTGCTGCCGCACCCCTGCCAGTGAAAACCCTTCTACCATGACGTAACGCAGCGCCAACAGGCCATGTTGACGTCTGGCTCTCGTTGATCCCAGCCGGGTTGCACTAGCAGGCATACTGCAGCAAAATCACATAACACCCCTACATGAGACCCTCTTTACGATGACGTACCGCGACGCCAAGCTCTCTCACATCGTCCAGCGCAAGCTTTTGTGTACCTGGCGGCAGTACGAATACAGCAGTGGGACACAATAAGTCTTCTTGCACAAGTCAAGGCCATCCCTGCGACACTGTCCGAGATAATGATGAATTTCACCAGTCTGCGCAAGGGTAGGAGGAAACTAGCGGTATCGCCCAACGTGGTTATTTTTTTGGTCGTCCTGGCGATGTTTGTTCGATGGGTTGGAAGCGAATCACCGCTTTGGGTGGCGCTCATTTGTCGAATGGTTGGCTGTTGCATCATCCGCCGATATGGGTCAAGTGCCCATGATATTGTTATATCAATCTGGTTCTGGGTTTCTTTGTCTCTTGAAATCGGCTGTTTGGTACATAATACTGGTCAGCCCGTCAGCCCGTCTGGTTTCACCCACTTTTGCTCACCTTACAAACCGACCTTTTTAATCCATATTATAGTTATCATTGCTAGAGCTGAATCAACGTGAATATATCATACGTCATAATGGGGAACAGTGTGAAGAGATCACCATGGATGGTGATCATTGCCTTAGTCTTCTCTATTGGAGGCTTCGTGCTTGCTATGGTGTCCATGTTTGCTGGTTCGCATCCCGGGAGAATGGAGGAATATCACGTTATCGCTGTAAGTAGCTCTGTGTTTTTTATTTCTGAACGAGGCAGCTGACAATAAATATCAAGATCAACATGTCAAATTTTGGTCATGACCTTGTACCAACAGCAACAAGCGGTGGATCCAACCCGACGTCTACCAGCGAGGGCGGTATTGGTGCCATTTTTAGCAGCGTGGTTGCGTCCGCGGAGTCTGCAATTGGCGACGCGCTGGACGATATCGCCGACGAGCTATCCACAGAGTTGGGCATCTCGCAGTGGTATTCGCTTCACATCATGAATGCTTGCGAGGGCACTTACGCCCCGAACGCGACGAGCCCTGGCGCATGGTACAATGTCACCAACTGCACTGCGCAGGAGGCTGGATGTAAGTTACTCATGATGTGTTTTACATGATCTCAATACTGACAGTGCAGACCAATTCAACCTGACCGAGGTGCTCGACCACGAACTGCAAGTCGGACCCTTGAAACTCAACCTGAACCAGCTAGGGTTCCCCGAAGACATCCAAGATTTCATCGATTACTTGAATAGTTTCTTGCTCGCCATCTTCGTCTTCTACGTGCTAGGCAGTGCATTAGCTGGCTTGTCGTTCCTCCTTTGCATCGTGGAGCTTACGTTGCGAAATCAGAGCACCCTGATTCGTATTAGCGGCATAATCACAGCCGGGTTGTCAGCGTTGACCCTCGGCGTAGGCAGTGCCATAACGACGGCCGTGGCGAAGAAGGGCGAGTCGGAAATCAACGAGAAGGGCGATGATGTCGGCATCTCTGCCAATGCTGGCGGAAAGTTCATGATCATCTCGTGGGTCTCGTTCGGGGCCATGTTTGTTGCTTTCATCGTTTGGCTATTATCTTTCTGCATGGGCCGCAAGAAAACGCGAGGAGCAAGTCACTCGAGTGGACTTGAAAAGGGAGAAACCCGCCAACGATCAAGCCGGAACCGCTTTTCTGGCTGGCGCCGCACGAGGCGTTCGCATAAAGCAGGTTCATTTTGAGATATAAGGCACTGAGGAGTTTATGGCGCGCCTAGAATGTCTCTAATGGCGACAGAGGACAGCTTGGGATGCTGGTCATCCTACAATGCGTCTATTTCCGGGCTATAAAGCCAGCTTCGCTCCAGGTTCCCTTGTCTGCCGTTCAATTGTTTTTCCGTCAGCTAATATAGAGAATCCTACGGGAGACCAAATTTTCAGACCATCATTTTCCCCATAGCATAAAGATACCATTTTGATAGACAATAATCAAAGTCTAATTAGCACCCTTAGCTTTCCCAAAGACACACTGTTGACACATGTGACCAAGTGAAATTCCAGCACCCATTGCTAGGAGTTCACTTCAGAGAACTTCGTACAGCTTCAAGTGCCCCACAAACATGCTCCGGGTCCCTCCTTGATGGCCGGTAGGTGGGTCAATGCATATATGCCAACTCAGAAGAACCAAGCGCCAAGCATCGTGTCTCACTTCCTTACTATGTAAACTTTTAACGACGACCACTCATCCAGCTGTATTGTTCTCAAGAAAAAAACGGCTTTTTACTAAATCTTAGATTCGTTCACACTGGATGTGAGACATTTTTGTATCTGTATCATCTCAGACCGATAAGCATTTCAAGATGTCGCGGCAACTCACTCTGGACGGCGATGAGAGACGCGAGCTTCTGGAACGCGGCGAACAGCACGCGAAGAAGTTCTGGCAAGGCTTCTTGGATTTCGCCTTTTCAGGAAACGTCCTGGAAGTTGCATTCGGTTTGATGTAAGTGAAGCTCACCGTGACTATCAAAGTAATTCTCGTCGTGCCGCACTTACGAGTCATGAGCACAAAGTGCCTCGTAACGAGATAAAAGTAGACTGACGTCGACTCGATCAGCCTCGCATCCGCATTCACGTCGCTCACGAACTCCCTCGTGAGCGACATTCTGCTTCCCCCGCTGTCTGTCATCCTGCCCTTGAACCGCAACTTGGACGAGAAATTCGCCGTCCTCCAAGCTGGGCCAAACTATGACGATCTCAACGGCTACACGACGCTCGACCAAGCGGTGACGGATGGCGCTGTCGTCTTAGCATATGGGTAAGCACAAGTTCCTGAAGACTCACTTATTAGGCAAAAGTAGGAGCTAATCGGTGACGGTAGGGTCTTCTTGAACAAATGTGTCAACTTCCTTGGTCTGGGAATTGCGCTATATATAATGGCACTGATGTACCAGCGTTACTCCCATGAGCCCATCATCAAGCATCAGGTCAAGTGTCGGTATTGCAGGAAGAAGATCAATGAGAAGGTAGGGCAATGAAGCCGATGTTTGTGTATGTTGACGACGCTGACGGAATGATTTAGTCCCAGAGATGCATATTTTGCACAAGCTGGCAAGATGGTCGCGAAGAGATGATACGTTGATGGATGACTGTCAACTGTACGAGGATCCGCACGCGTTCCCCCTTCTTCTTTCCTCTTGTCGATATATTGATACCCGCGACTGCTAGGTCCAGCAGGATCATGCTGTACTTAATACGACTAGACCAATCCTCCCAGTTGTCCCAACAAGTGACGAAGCGTGGAATTATGTTCTGTTGTCCATTTCACTCACGAAACTGATCTCGGCCCAGCTAGCCACTTCCAGTCGGTGGCCTCTTCATACAAGGACCCCAAAACCGGCTCGTCGAAGTTGGCGACGGAGGCCCTGGCGGAAACCCCGGCGGTCGAGTACCAGTAGGAAATGGCGGCATAGAGAAGTTCCCGGGCGGTCGCCCGTTACTCACGCCGCCTTCCTTGTAGTAATGAGCAGCCGCGGTCACATTTCCATTGTGGTCGGCGGCAGCGTCGATGCCGATAGTAATCCACATCAAGACACCATCCGCCGGATCCTCGCTCAGCAGTACGTAATCCACAAAAGGATCGTGCTCGCGGCTCGCCTCCTGAGCGACCAGGAAGTCCTGCACGTTGACCATCTGCCTGATCGGGTTGTTGTAGTAAGGCGGCATCGATTCGATGACATCGATGAGTTCTTGATCGAAGTACAGCTGGCCAATGTGGTTAACCGTACCGCCGGTGTACGTGCCGTTGTCGAAGAGCGTCCCACCGCGGTTGCTGATGACGTGGATATGGTTCGTTCGGCCCATGTAGTGGCCCGGGAAGACGGAGTCGAACTGAACCACCCCGTCGGTGTCCGTGATTTGTATACCACGCATAAAAGTGCTGTTCAGTCCGCCTCCGTCGACGACCCCGGAGTACGTGCCAGTGGCGTTTGCATGCCAGAGATCAACAAGCATACTCGGGACCGCGGCACAGCTGCTTATGTCGACGAACTGTAGGTCGACGTGGATCGGGATACCTTGTTGGCCTTCGGTGACATTGGTGCGGATGAATTCGCCCTCCACCCAGTAGGGTCCAATGATAGTCTCGGGCGCGAGACCGGCCGTGGCATTCGATCCGAAGATGGTATCCATCGGGGTCGACAGGTCGTAGCTTTCGCGGTCACTCATGTCGTGGCAGGTGCGCATCCAGGCGTCTAGGTCTTCTTGGTCTCGCTTGGATAGCATGCGGCCTGAGTACAGTTAATACTATGTCCCTGTGTTGAGTGGCCGAGGTTAGACGCACTCTCTTCCAGTCCGCGCTTCTCTCGCAACTCTTGGGCTTTGATAGCCCGGCGCATGATGGCGCGTTCTTTCAACGCCTTGCCTTGAGCGGTACCTTGACATTGTGCTAGGATCTGGTTGGCATTTCTGGCTGCGAGCTCGCTGTTTCTCAGGTCTCGCTTGATCTTCTCTGCATCGTGGTGCTCCCCTGGGTGCGCTTGAGTTTCGGCATATAGAGAGGCGAAGACCACCACGGAGGTGACGACGGAGCGGAAACTCGGCATTTTGAGTGTGTTGGAGCCTGGGGGGGCGAGTGGTGCCGGTGACCTCGAGGTGGTTGCCAGGACTCAGCACTCAGTTCCTTCCATGCTTGAACTTCTTATACTCCATCCGCCTCGTGGCCTGCTTCAACATCCTGAAGAATGAGCTCGTATTCCTCGTATCCCGGCCTCCCGTCAGACTATCTTAGCCGCCATTGTGCGATTACGTGGACATCACCGTAGAGCTTCTGCCGGTTCCTACGTTGCCCGTGTGTTTTTTCCAGTTCATGTTTCTTGGCAACACGACTTTGGAAGCCATTTTTGAAACCGGGTAATAAGCATCCTAGTGAGTCTTTCAAGGGAGCAGCATTTGACGTCTCCAATGAATGAAAGGGGCCAATGAGGGTTGTGACTTTAATCATATCAACTTGCCGAGCCGCAAGCCTATAGTAGATCTGGGGCAGACGAAGTTGCGGGGAGTGTCAATTTCTCATGTCGGAAGAATGGGAGCAGTTATATTAAGGTTGCACTGCGCTCTGTAGTGCCGCGATGTTGATCGGGATGTGGGGTAGTTGCCGGGAGCATGCGTGGCTTGTATACGGAAAGAGTTTAGGACAACCATAGGTGTGGCTTTGGACCAATCGGCAGATTTGTGTTTTCTCTAGGTGCAGGTATAGGTAATCAAGCTACGGTAATACCATCTAGGGCCTCTGCGAGGGAAATGAACACTACAGTCAGTGTCCAGAAGATATTCGTGAAACTACCTCGAGTCGAATACCGAGCCAATCTCACAAAGATCACAGAAACCAGGCCAACAGCAAATTGACACAGGGCCTTATCAAGCTGGGTTTTAGTTTCAATGTAGTCCCAGCTGTTATTTCCTGAACAGCAACAGCCGTAAGACCTCATCTTGGAGCATCAGGTTGGTAAATATCCATTACGTAGCCGGGACCTAGTATCTCCATATAGCATCAGCCATCTTCACGACCTGGCCCATCTCGACGACATCATGTACCCTGACCACATCGGCCCCGCCCTGAACAGCCGCCGCAACAGTAGACGCCGTGCCAAAAATGCGATCCATTGGCTTCGGGACCCCCGTCACCTTGCCAATAAAACTCTTCCGACTAGAACCTAACAGCCATGGGAAGCCCTCTAGCCCAGGCCAAGTCCGCAGCTCGTTGAAATGTCTCAGGACGTGCAGATTCTGCTCCCCGACCTTGGCGAACCCAAGCCCAGGGTCCAGAATAATGCGCCACCTTCGAATACCAGCCGCCTCGGCCTCAGCGACGCGCTCGAGCAGTTCCTTCGCGATAGTGGGGATGATGCCGTCGGGATAGTCGTTCAACTTGCTCATCGTGCCCGGCGTGCCGCGCATGTGCATCAGACAGACGGTCTTGCCAAGCCGGGCCATGGTGGACAACATGGCCGGGTCGAGCTGGCCAGCCGAGATGTCGTTGATTATGTCGGCGCCTGCTTGGACGGCGGCGTCGGCTACGGAGGAGCGGTACGTGTCGACACTGATGGCTACACCACGGGTCTCGGGGAGGCTGCGGATAAGCTCGATGACGGGAAGTACGCGGTTGGTCTCCTCCTCGACGCTGACTTCCGGGGTGCCGGGGGAGCTGGATTGCCCGCCTACATCGATCATGGTCGCGCCGCCGCGGACCATGGAGAGGACGGTGCCGCGGAGAGAGTCGGGGGTGTGGATCCCACCGTCCGAGAAGGAGTCAGGGGTGATGTTCAGGATAGCCATGACCTGGGTCTTCCGGTTGGCTTTCAGGGCGTTCAGGGCTGCGACTGAAGAACATATCGGGGTGAGGGTTGATAGCGGCTCGGAAGCTGGAGGGAGCTCGTTGAGATAGTCCTGGACCAGTTTCCATGGTTTTGAGGGGTAGATGACCTTGGTTGGGATGAGTTCAGCAAGCGGTCGAAGAACAAAATCGCGTTCCGGGATGCCGATATGAGGGATTTTGAGTCTCTCATGACCAACCTTCCTGTCTGAATACAGCAGAATATCTAGATCAATGTTACGAGGTCCTTTGTCGATGAGCTTCCGACGACCCATCGACTTCTCAATATCTTGCAGTTGATCCAGGAGGGAAAGGGGCTCCAGATCAGTCTCCACCTGTTTCACATTCAGTAGTTGTTATTCAGTGAGAGTAAATATTTTGCATTCGACGCACCTCGCAGGCTCCATTGACAAATCTATCTTGTTCTAGGACGTACATGGGTTCCGTCTCCCACAGACTGCTCGTCCTCTTTACTTTGACGCCCCGAGCATCCATCTCCTTGCAGGCCTGCTCGATCATGGACACGCGATCCCCCAAGTTGCTACCGAAAGCAACATACGCCGTCCGCTTGGTGTTGCGGGCGGCGGCGGCGGCGCAGCCGCACGCGGTCTTTTGTTGCGTGATGTTCATCGTGCTTCTTTCTGTGCTGCGCAAAGTTTTCGCGATTTGTGACAGGTTGTGGCCGAGGTGATGCGCTGGAGATGGTCGTGCTTGGCGCGAACCGGAGCCCCATGCTCGAGAGAATACAACCAGATTCATTGAGCTTTCAACGAATGCATTGAAGCCTCTGTTGCTTACATTGCGAAAAATGTTAGCGGATGGAAATTCTGAGACTGGTTGAACGGCCCACTCCTGGGGTCGGTTGTCTTTTGGAAGTACCTAAGTACCGCTCAGCATTCAAGCCTTGTGTGGGTGGCTTGAGCATTGATATGCAGCCCTGCTGGTCCATGACGTTAAAACAATGAATTCCGTCGCGTTCTTCTTCTTCCACCGTCCCAAGTCCCGACTTCTGGATCCGTTCGATGCATCAGCATCATCAATGGTTGGGTGCTAGAACATTAAGCCTCGGCATCTTTTCCTGTGGGTCTCTTGGCGTTCCTGTAACTAGTTTAGACCACGACCCATTAACCACATGAGGCCTCGGTCGAGCGATCCGGAGTTGCTTTCCCCAGATTCCCAGCGCCGAAGTGGTCCTCGCCATCCAGTGCTTTCATAGACACCTGCATTTCTAAGTTCCTGTAGACATTGTCTTTCTTCTTCATCCTATTGCTACCTATAACATTTCCGATTTCTGTGCTGTCTAAGCGCCTTACATACTTGTGTATTCCCACTACCATCTACAGTGAGCAGTCTTGCACCCACCGCAAAGATGGCATCTCCACGTAAGGACCAACGGATCCTCCAACACCATGACGGACTCGGTGCGCTGACTGTCTTTTCGTATAGAGAAAATCCGAACAGAGATCACCGATTTGTTCAACATCAAACACCCCATCCTCCTGGCCGGTATGAACGTGGCTGCCGGTCCTGAGTTGGCGGCAGCAGTCTCGAATGCCGGCGGTCTCGGTGTCATCGGTGGCATGTCCTACACCCCAGAGATGTTGAAGGATCAGATCGATGAGATGAAGTCTCACATGACGGACAAGAACGCACCGTTCGGTATCGATCTTCTACTTCCTCAGGTTGGAGGAAATGCCCGGAAGACGAAGTAAGCAAGCACCCTGAACTTCGTGTCCGTGGGCAAACTAGCCGTGGCCATTCTCGCTAACAGCTCGCTCCTCATCCGCAGCTACGACTACACTAAGGGCAAACTAAATGATCTGATCGACATCATCATCGAATCGGGCGCCAAACTCTTCGTCTCCGCCGTAGGCGTCCCGCCAAAAGCCGTCGTCGAAAAGTTGCACAAGCATGGCATCCTCTACATGAACATGGTCGGGCACCCGAAGCACGTGAAGAAGTGCCTCGACATTGGATGTGACATCATTTGCGCGCAGGGTGGCGAGGGAGGTGGCCACACTGGAGACGTTCCCACGACGGTCCTCATCCCGGCTTGCGTCGACATCTGCAAGAACTCCAAGAGCCCATTGACTGGCAAGCCTGTGCCGGTTATCGCGGCAGGCGGTATCCACAACGGCAACATGCTAGCGGCATCGCTCATGATGGGAGCCGGTGCCGTCTGGGTCGGCACGCGATTCGTACTGTGCACCGAGGCCGGTGCCCCAGAGTCGCACAAGGAGGCGGTCAAGACCGCCTCTTTTGACGATACTATCCGAACCCTCATCTTCACCGGACGGCCGCTGCGCGTACGAAACAACCCATACATCGAGAACTGGGAAACGGAGCGACAATCCGAAATCAAGGAGCTGACCGCCAAGGGTGTTCTTCCCTACGAGGCCGATCTTGAGAAGGTCATGAGCGGCGGAGGTGAAGGCGTGCCCGGTCTCGAAACTGGCGACGGCAGTGCCAACGAAGACGAAGTGGACGAGCTGATGGACCAGTTCCGACCATTCTTGATGGGCAAGTGCGCTGCATTGGTCAACGAGCAGAAGAACGCCAAGGAGATTGTGGATGAGTTTGTAAATGATGCATATGCTGCTCTCAACAAGGGCACGAAGATGGTTGCGAAGCTCTAAACAGTTGACCGACGACTTACGGCTGCCGTCCCTGGCCTGGTCGCATTGTCAACTACCAACAGCTCCTTGGTCGACATCCCATTTTGTCACACCTGATATGGATTGTACATTGAGCATAGGGTAACTACTATTACGCAGTGTTAGCTGCACACTTGTATATATATCATATCCGTGTTTTATTTGTGTTTTACTTATCTCAGTTTTCATACTGAATAATCATGTTTCAAAAACGAAGGGTGTACGTTTCTGTGGGCTGTGATATGAGGGGTTACTACTACAATGTGCAATTACACAAACGGTAGAGCAATTGTTCCTGACGATCGTAATGCCCCGCCTGAGAAGGTGCGAGTGGCTTATACTTGACGTCATTGGGGCAGTCGCGTCACCGTGTGTCATTCAAACGGAGACTGAAGGCGAGTCTAACACTTCAACTCCAACAAAATTCTTCGTTAGAGAAAGGAAGGAATCAAAGGTCGGCAACTGCTCACTTTTCGTCAAGTTAAATTTCCTTCTGCTCATACACTACATCGCCAATTCTCTTCCGTCTTGCTTCGCCTATCCAACTTCACCATGGCCGAGACCCACCACTTCGACGTAGCCCGCCTGTTTGGCGTAAAGGACTTCACGGCCGTAGTCACAGGAGGCGGCACAGGAATCGGGCTCATGGCCACGCAAGCCCTCGCCGCCAACGGAGCAAAAGTCTACATCACGGGCCGCAGAACAGACGCCCTTGAGACCGCAGCTAAGACGCATCGTCCGTCCTCTAGCGGAGGGCAGATCATCCCCATTGGCCCCTGCGATGTGACGAGCAAGGACGACCTGGAGAGACTGGTCAAGGACTTAGGCGAGAAGGAGAAGTACATCGACCTTCTCGTCTGCAACGCTGGCGTGTCAGGGCCCAAGGCGGAGCCCGATACGGGACATGCTGGAGATTTGAAAGAAAAGCTGTGGCACAACGAGTCGGTTGATCAGTGGCAGGACACGTACAAGACGGACGTGACGTCGGTGTACTTCACCACGGTGGCGTTCCTGCCACTACTACAAGCGGGTATCCGACCAAAGGGCAACCTTGAGCCATTCGCGCCGAGCGTCATTACCATTTCGTCCATGTCAGGAATTATGCGGGATGCGCAGGGCCATTTCAGCTACAACACTGCCAAGGGCGCGACGGTGCACTTGACGAAGCTGATGTCGTCTGAGTTCCAGAAAGCGGGCATTCGGGTCAACTCGATTGCGCCTGGGTATTTCCCTTCGGAGATGACGGTCAAGGAGAGTGACGATCGCCAGAAGAGTCATATGCCGCCTGAGAAGATCCGGGAGAAGGGTCACGTGCCGATTCAGCGCGCAGGACGCGAGGAGGAGATGGGCATGACGGTGCTGTACCTAGCCAAGAATCAGTATGTGAACGGGGAGATCATCGCGGTGGACGGAGGTGTCTTGAACGAGCTTGGAGGAAGATGACAAGGCACGGGACTCCGGGGGGAACATAGAGTCGTCAAACGACAGGCACACTTGGCGGACTGAGGGGAAATACATGTTTTGCCTATTGGAGCTGCCGGCCTCGCAACATCGGAGAATGCCTTATCCCACTGTTGGGATGCTATAATACACGGAATACAGCACGAGCTCAGCTTAAAGGGTGCTGCAACGAGGATTGACACCTTGCATCAGCACCAGAATGAGTACGCATTATTGAAACGATGAATACGATTTTCGTTACATTAGCCCCGCGATGAGCAACAAAAATATTTAATATGATTCTAGATAACTTCGAGTACAACAGGAACCCCCGTGATAGTCTTGGTTCGTTCGGATCAAGCGTGGGGTGTATTCAACAGCTACCTCTCTTGCGTGATTGAAGTTGGAATGGCATCATCCCGCATCGGGCCCTTTCGAGTGAGTGTGTCCTATAATCCCAGAACATTCCGACACCGATACGGCTCCGATCAGAGGAAGACAACAAATCTGAGGGGCGAAGCTTGTCTAAAGGCCCGCTGCACCATACAGTGATGTGATCAGCTCCGTAATTGATGAGTTGGCTCCGTATCGTCGGATGTAGTTAGTATAAACTAGCCGTGTGGTATTTCCTGTCTTCATTTATAACGGAGATCCCACTGCCAAAATGCAGAAATGGAATCTTGACACATAAGTGGGAACGGGAGCTTGACTGTTTGAAGATGACCGAGTCAACGCCAGCTCGCCGGTGGTATGACTGGTACTCTCCCGATGACAGCCCCGAAGAGAGAAAGCTCATATTGAAGCTCGACTTGTTGATTGTTCCCTACGCGTTTATCTTGTACTGGATTAAGTATATGGACCAGACCAATATCAGTAAGCCCATGGTTATACCCAACGGTGCTGCTCGTGGGTGAGAAAACTGCTGACTATAAACTAGATAATGCATACGTCTCGGGCATGTCAGAGGATCTTGGGTTCAATGGCAACCAACTCGTTCAATTTCAGACTATTTTTGTAGTCGGCAACGTCGTTGGGCTGCTCCCTTTTATCTACCTCTTCCCTCGAGTGCCCATGCACATCCTCGTCCCGACTCTAGACTTGGGCTGGGGCATCTTCACCCTCCTACAATATCGTGCGCAAAGCTACGGCGATATCATGGCCTACCGGTTCCTTGTCTCTTTATTCGAAGTGAGAGCCAAACCTACCTACTTCCTCTCCCTCTCTATACATATAATAACTAAATATTGGTACCTGCCTTCAGGCGAACTACTTCCCCGCGCCCATTTCGTCCTCGGTAGCTGGTACCGAAGCGATGAAATCGGCCGTCGAGGCGGCACCTTCTACGTCGGCTTGACCCTAGGCACTCTAACAGCGAGCCTCCTCCAAGCCGCCGCAACCACGCACCTCGACGGCGTCCACGGCCTCCCTGGCTGGCGCTGACTCTTCATCATCAACGCCGTCATCACGCTGCCCCTCGCCCTATTGGGGTACTTCATCTGGCCCGGCACACTCGCCAAGCCAAACCGTCTCGTCATAACGGAATCCGAACTCGCGCTCACGCGCTCGCGGCTCGAGAAGGCGGGTGCCAGGAAGCTGGTGAAGACTCCCTTTTCCCTCCATCTGCTGCGGCGCCTTTTCACGAATTGGCGGTTTTATGTGCTTGTGCTTTGGGACGTCTTCTTCTTCAACACAAGCGCCAATACGGCTGCGTTCTTGCTGTGGATTAAGAGTCTGCACCGGTACGAAGTGGCTACCATGAACAACCTCGCAGCCATAAGCCCGGCTCTGGGCATCTTCTTCGTGCTCCTCATCAACTTCAGTGCAGACTTGTGGATCGGTCGCCCTGGGGCCATCACGCTCGCTTCCGCGTTAAATTTCACCGGGCTGACGATCCTGGCCATTTGGAATGTGCCTGAGCCGGCCAAGTGGTTTGCGTTTAGTTTGGGATACTCGGCGGTGGCTGTATCATCGGTTTTGTATGGATGGGCTAACGTGCTCCTGAGGGATAACGACGAGGAGAGGGCGTTGACGCTGGTTCTTATGACTGCTATTGCGACTTCTACGACTGCTTGGGTACCGCTGTTTACGTACCCTACCGTCGAAGCGCCCAGGTTTCCGAGGGGGTATGTCTATTCTGCAACTATGGTGGTGTGCCTGGTTATTATGACACAGCTTGTGAGGGTTTTGTTTGATGGGTATGGGTGAGTTTTGATGAGTCAGGATTATGAATTATTTTACGAACGAGATATCTGATAATTTTCACAAATAGGAAACGCAGGATCGAGGTTGAAGAGAGTGCCTCTATTGAGCGTGTTGACGACGAGACGGCCAGTGTCCCGAGTCATCAGGGGCTAAATCCCAAAGATTCTTAGCAGAAACACCTCCATCCCGGAGTGGGTCCTGTCTAGATGGCCAAGATACATCCCCATAGAGAAAGATCGAGTTCTGGGCTCGTCCGCGAAAGTGGGAGTCGGTAGGGGTAGACATTTCAAATTGGAGCTCGATCAAGTCGACCGAGTAGAGAGTAGAGCTGCACCACTTAACGTCAGAGGCTACTTACTTAACTTACTTGAGAGCCAAGGACATGGAAGCTACCATACCACTTTCACACAGGCGTCACCAAGAGTCTGCAGTATGTGGAGGTGACGTTGATGTACCAGCAAATAATGTACAGGGTATTACGTCCATAGAAGCTTGATTGGCAAACTCGCGGAATATTAATAATTCTTGAGTAGTCGTCAATATACCAGACTAAAATCACTTGAATTTAAACTTGTACGGCGGGTTGTCTTGATCAAAAGGGGCGACGTGCAACATTTACCCAGTACTGAAGTTTTGACGTTTAGCATAAATTGACAGCATACCGAGGCGAGAAGAGGGGGAACTCTGCTGCTTGCGACCAACGGCATGGTGTGTCATGTCTGGGAATTTCCTCTTCGCGCTCGGTTCCAGCAATCCGCAGTAGAAGCCCCTGAGTGCTACAGTTGACGGAGTTAATGCCTACCTTGATCCTGTAAATTTTTCAGCGCGAAGATACTCGACAGCAGAGAGGGTACCGCTACTTATATTTGGCCTTGCCGAACAGTTACGGAGCCAACCCACGGCGCATGAGTTCCATTGATTGTCTTAAGCCATCTTGAAGCTTTCATATGGGAAAGGGCATCGGACAGAAAAGAGCAGAAGTCATCACCAACCTGTATCAAATATAATCAACTGACGTTGAGCCTGAACCTTCGGTCTATTGTCTTTCTAAGCAGAGCTGGAGCCCCAAGACTTGCGATTGGAGCTCTTGTACGTGACTTCTGAGTTGTGATTCTTGTATAATAGACAGCGAAGATCCACCAAAGGCACCAAGTACAGCTATGAATACTCCTTATACTACATATAACTAGTCGATGGCAACTGATTGCAACGTGAGACTGGATCATCCTTGGTCTCTATAAGATATCGTCACCAACACGAGAAATCCTAATGCATCTCTGTAATATGACTTTATACCGCGTCAATGCTCAAATCTATAACTACCAACACGGATTTGAGATACATGCGATGGGCACCAGCAACGGTATTGGAGGTCAAGCCCCCTGAATTCTGCCGCCTCTTGCATAATTTCGAGCTGAAGCTCAGATATTTATCCCATGACCAGTGGGTATCAGAGCCAGCTATTTTCGAAAGTCTTTCCGTGAGCAGTCTTCTATGCAAGTCGAATTATTAGGGTGCCAACGTCTTGGTTATGTTTTGTACTACCCTGTTCAGTTTGACCTGAACCCAACTGGGACGGCCAACCGGGACGCCCAACCGGCCTTATCTCTTCGCCTGCGTCGATCCAACCCTTTAACAATCAGCATGGCTTAGGAGCACGATATACGAGTCTAGTGAAGTATCCATGGATATATTTTTCCCCTCGAGCTGCCGTTAGAACTCCACCGACTCCATTTATCGAGTGTAAGTGGCCCAGAGTAGTGGACAGGACCGCAGGTCTTCTGGAACGACGGGTGATGGATCATGAGAATAGGGTTTTGGAGCACGACTTCTATCAAGTATTTATCCTTGAATAGGGTGTTTGACCGTGGAAGATTCAACGGCGTGTGTGACTCGGTAAATCAAGCATCGTAAGTCGGCGTATCCTACACCTTTATTATTAGTGAATTGCAAACCAATCTCCAGGTGTACTGTTTCCAGTTTGTTACTTTGCTTCTGTATAGACTTGGTTCTTCCTTGTGGAGAGCTGAATGGAGAGGACCCGTGGAAGCAGGCTGTTCGGTCTGTTCCATATTGAAAATGGCAAGGGGTGTTAAGGGATGGCAACTGCGGTTGCTGGGCTGGAGAAATTTCAAGTACAGATGAAGAAGCCATATCCTCCATGGAGGAGTATGTAACAGAACTTAGACACGGCAGAGATCAAAGTGTTGTCTCTGGGTGTGGAATGTGCAGTGACCACTGTTCGACGTTGGACTACCTGGAACTTCTGCTTCAAATTCTACTTTCAGGGACAAAGCCCAACGTCGGCGTACAACTTTTTGATAGGTCCGGAGAGACACTATCAGCTACATCAAACACTTGGAATGCCACGATTTAACATAGGGTCTGTATCTCCGTTGGTTGATTAACTACATTCAAAGCCCCCTGAATGAAACCAAGCATTCTCGATCACGATCGCTGCTGGGACACAGATGCGATACAAACAACCAGATCAAGTGAAATATCACTGGAAATGTATACGCCGGACCACAATGAAAGCAGGGGAAATGATGCATGTCTGAGGTCAATGTCAAGTGTCAGTAGAGAAACATGACAGTCAAATTCATGAGCTGGTACCTTGCCCCATAATTGCTGCTCCTTTGTTTCAAGCTTCAGAATGTGGTAGGTGACTTGCACTTGTGGGAGTTCTCGAGGCATTCGTTCACAGTACACAAAAGCTTCTAGTTTCTTGTGGATGGTGACTATCTTGACAGTCTCAAAGCCAAAAAGGCCAGACTCACACCATGACCTGATGGCTGATAAACTCAATATCCGTGTCTTCCATGCCAGTGTCTTCCGACGACGCCCAGTCCTGTTCTGAACGGCGACTCCGACGTCAGGAGACGGGAAAACTTGCGAATGATACACCCTTGCTCAGTCGTTGATTTTCTAGTATGCCGCTCCGGAATCCTGCCCCCCTCGAGGCGTACGTGCCTGATATTGAAAGCTGGGCAACTTTGTTGTGAGGCTCTCACCGAAAATACTCCAACGCATAACACAGCATGGCATGGCGTGGTTTGGTATGGGTCTCAGCTAGAAACGATGCGAGCGGAAGGCTCAGAAACAGCGCTAACTGGGCGTTGGATTGCTCAGGTGGCCCAATCTCTTGCTACTATCGGAGGCCGCCTTGATCGAAGGAAACAGGATTTTATTTTTCAGGGTGTCGGAAACTTGCGTCGCTAGTTGGCTTCATGCAAATGGGTAAGTAGGTAGATTGGATCTGCTTGAAGGATGGAGAGGAACGAAGGTTAGTGTCAGTGTCAGCAATTGCGCGTCGTCGAGATATCGTGACGGACAATGAGACCGCTAATGCGTCTTTCCCCTTCTCCCTTTCTCCCTTTTCCTTCTCGTGTCGTCGGCAGATTCAGGACTTGGGATCCCGACCCCCTCTGCTGCAGATCGAAAAGAGTTTCGACTGGAAGATAACGTCTCTGTCAGGTTGAAGCGTGATCTGTAAAGGATTGGACTAGCAATAGGCTGGAGGGAGCGTTAGTGACACGTTACAGACGATCTAGCGCAGTCATGTCAGGTTATGGGGCCTTTTGTGCGTCACTCAGCCTTCCGGCACTTGAAGTTCTGGCCATAGCTGGCGAGTTCGAACCAACACATTGCCAGCAATCCCGGTCGTGAGAGTAAGATCATGGATCCAATATTTCTCATTCTCGGCTCTTGGGCCGGCCACGTAATTTGGGCTCCATGCGCGTAGGATTTTCCATTGTCGGACAGCACTAGTCGTGGAGAAAGGTATCGCCGCCTCTTCCTCTTCATACCCACGGTGGCCGCCTATCTAGAGGCCCCAAAATTTCCAGGGTTCTTGGCCATGGCCACTACAGGAACTAGAAGCAGACCAAAAGTGCGATGCGGCATCACGAAAGTGTGAAGGTTCAGGGGTGGAGCAGGATCGGACAAATGACAGGAGGGAGACAAACCCGATTTGGAAATGAGAAGCGAACCAATTCGGAAATTCAACGCTGAAAAGACGCTAGCTGGGACGCAATTAAAAGCTTGAGAAACGTCGTAGAAGGCCAGGAGCTTTGCTTCAAGTCGAATGCGAATCTCAATATCGGCAGTTGGGATAGCAAGTGCGTTGTTCGCAGTGTGTTTCCGTCCCTGTGGTGACCAGCCCCGGTGGTTTGGTTCGATGCAGAATTTCATCTTCACGAGACAAACAGTAATCCTCGGGAAAACTCAGAAAATCAAATCAAGGAAGCAAGGCACCGGAGCGTGCTGGCATTTCGATGACATATAGACAGAGAGCTTCCGACACGCGTATTGTTGTCATCCTTGCTGCCGATCACAGTCCAGCCAAGCACCGAACCGCTGACAGCAGTTCGCAAGATATAGCTTGAAACGAGCCTCTTGAATCTCCATTGGTCCCGGAGGTTAAATTACAGGAGGGCCAGTAGTATGGATGGTTGAATGTGTTGGGCGGGCTGCTTCTCCTTGCATGGAAACCTTCGGGTAGGGCCCTCTTTGTGTCACAGTACGCAGAACACGATCTCCCAACCACCGTCGCTCAATCTATCTCCTCTGCCCGTGGCTTAAAGCATGACTAGCGGTAGCAGCGTGATTATCAGTCCTGCCGGGATACTGCGATGGGATGAGCCATGGATTGCCCCAACCAGCTTCCAATCGTCACAGAGCCGGACTAGCCTACTGAGGGCTCGCCATGCAGACTGAGCCATGCCTAACCCAGTCTGATCGAAAGATCCGCGAAAAATATATCTCCCGACCTGATAGCCTGGGCTAAGTGGTTGGCTGGCGATTTTCCCGGCTTGCGCCACTGGCGTGCCCGTTGTCCTAATCCTAGACTTATTGGTGAAAAGCTATGGTGTGCCAAATCCGTCACGCCATGAGGAATATGGTTAAGAAGTAAGAAGCCGGAGTCCCTGGGATACGGAGGATATATTCCGCCGACACAAGTTGTGCTAAGCCCGAATACTATGGACGGACTCCAGGACAAAATATTGTACCTGGGGTTAGAGACGAAGGGAAGCGGATGAGCGCAGAATTTGGCGCGGGTCTGATAAGCATCTCAGAGACCGAAAATCAGCACGGGTAGCTGCATTCGAGTCACTACACCCCATTGACAATTTTCAATCGACCAAATTGACACCCCTTCGAGTTGGCT